ACTGTCTCTGATCAAAGGAGGAGGAGCAGTGTCGAAGGAGTCGACACCAGGTCATGAGGAGGAGGAGCAGTGTCGAAGGAGTCGACACCAGGTCATGAGGAGGAGGAGCTGTGTCGACCAAGAGGCACAGGGGTGCCAAGCAGGAGAGGCCCCTGAGCAGTACTCGATGAAGAAGGTACTCTATGGAGAGAGAGCAGGAGCAGCATCGCTGGCGATGCTGAGAAGAGGTATATAACCATGCTTTCTCATCATCATAGGTCAAGTGGATCCTCATCCACTCTACTCACCATACAACTAGTCAATACTTTAGAAACACAAGTACTCATTAGTTACAGTCAGCATAGCAGCAATCTATCAAGGTTGCTCCTCATCGTAGTGTGTGTGTTGTATCACCACTACCTGACGTCCGAAGGCGCCCATAGCAGGTTAGCGGTCCGGATATAGATAGAACCGAAGGCAGTAGTCCACTGCGGTCCGGGGATCACTTCAAGCATCAAGTCAACATACTGGACACTCGTGTTGACGCCACCAACCTTATCACCAACACCATCAACCTCATTATCATCGACATCACCAATCTCATCACCAACACCATCAACCTCATTATCATCGACATCACCAATCTCATCACCAACACCATCAACCTCATCATCATCAACACTCACACCAGACCTTGGTGTCATCATAACATTGATATTGATCGTGCCGAGCTACCCCTGAACGGAGTGTCCACAGAGGTCAGCCGAAACCTACGATAGTATATACAACGAACGCCACCTGCTGTCACTGCACAACTTGATAGTCACCGATACCGAGACAATAGCTGTCACACAGTTTGATAGTCACCGAGTATCTCGACAGACCGACCTGGGTTTCAGGCGCTAGACCCCTGACAACACCAAGGTCTGGTGTGAGTGTGCTTGCACTGACACAAGTGTCCAGTGTGCCAACTGAATGATTGAATGATCCCCAGACCACAGTGGATGACTGCCTTTGGTTTCTAATGATCAAGAGAGCCAGACCACAGTGTGAACCGCCTTCGGATGTTGTCAAGAAGCGGTGATACAACACACTCGCTAAGTAGATGCAATGCTCTGCAATTGCAACTGTTTGATGGAAAACTACTAAGTATACTTATGTCGAAGTTATAGCTAGTAATGTGTAAGGTGTAGAGTGGATGGGGATCCACTTGACTACCATGAATAGAATGCATGTCTTATATTGACACCTCTTGCAGCGTCGCCTGCGATGCTGTCCCTGCTATGCCAAGAGGTGTACTCCCTTCCTCGAGCACTGCTTCGTCACTGGAATGGAATTCCGTTCTCCAAGTCCAGAGCACTTGGGAATGAAAATGCTTATACTTCAGTGTTGTGTGAATCAGGTACACCAGCTAAGGGACTAGCTGGTGTAGTGGTTTTGCTGCTCACTATGTTTTGGTTTGGTTACCCGATTCCTGACCCATGACATGCTTCTCCTGCTCCTTGTGGATGAGGAGACTGTCTCAGTGTTGCTTCATCGTTTGATAGGGGTTGTCCCTGCTCATCCTAGTGGCAGTGCTCGCCCCCTTTCATCTTGCTCCTGATGTTGGTGCCCACCTCCTTGCACCTAGTTCATTGTTGTGTAGGGCCCCTACCTCATCAGGTGGTGGCCCATTCCTTGTCCATTGTCCTCTTATTGCAGGATCAGTGAGAGAAGCATCTTCTAACTAGTTTCCATGAGATCTGTCATACAAGTGTGGTACTACTGATCCCAACAGATTCTGTAGTAAGACCTTGCACCTGCCAATCTTGACAAGTTCTGTCATAGAGTGCTTGATCCTACCAATCTTGCTGAGATCTGTTGGAAACCTTTCTTCACCTGATCCACGATTGCTGTGCATGGTCTCTTCATATGGTTCCAATTCTTCCTGCGCATCCATCCGGTCCCATGACACTATGCTATGATAGAATGAAAGTATATATGTGTTTGTGCAGTGTTGCCTGCGACACTGCTCCTGCTCCTCCTGGGAGTGTCAACACTTCCTGACTGATGATGCTCCCTCTTCTGGGCAGTGTCGATCCTTTTTAACACTGCTCTTTGTCCTTCTGGAAGTGTAAAACACTTCCTGAGCACCGACACAATTCCCTGTGTCTTGTGAATGCTCCTGACCTCATGGACCCTTCTATTGTCCACCTCCTGACCTTGCAGTTGCTTCCATTGTTCACCTCCTGACCTTGTAAACACTGTCATAGGAGCCAGATGCGCAGGAGGCAGGAAGAAGTTGAAGTCATATGAAGGAGCACAGAAATCACAGGATTGGGCTAAACAAAAGCTTAAGGAAGAGTTCACTGAGATCAGTAGTAGAAACAATCCTATGGCATAACTCATCAGGATCCATAGGAACGAAGTCATTACTACAGAGTTCAGTGGGAATCGTAATATCACGCTGAGTATGACAGATCTCATGAGAATCGGTCAGAGAGGCAACCCATTGCCAATACGACGAGGGGGATACCGTACAGGGGGAGGACATCTGAGGTCGCCACTGGATGAGGTAGGGGCCCTACACGACATTGAAGTCAGCGCCAGCAGGTGGGCAACAACGACAGGGAGTAATGAGAAGGGGGCAAGTCACCACTCAGATGAAGTGGGACTGGCTCCTGTCAGAGATGAAGCAGCACAAGGCCATCCATCCACAGGAGACAAGGGATGTGAAAACCATGAGCAGCAACCTAGTGTGGATGGGAAAACAGTGGGAAAGTTGAGGAGGAGACATGGAGTTGAGAAGGCCTCACAGGACAGGAGCAGTGTCACAGGTGACACTGCTAGGATAGTATATAACTATGTGTCATGGACCTGGGTGCCCAGAACGAGGAAAGACCGAATTTCATATGAAGGTAGCACAGGAATCGTGGAATTGGGTAGATCGTAGGAGCTGCGACAGAGTTCACCGAGATTGGCAGTAGAATCAGCTCTATGGCAGATCGCAGCGAAATCGGCATGAGCATCATTGATATCATGAATCCCACCAGAATCTGCAGCAAGCGAGATTGTGTGGCAGATTCTGCAGAGATCAGTAGTAAGGATGTCTGTATGATGATTCACACATGAGAGGGACCGAGCTCAGTGACACACAGATGGTTACCACTCAGGGGCCCACAGGACAGGAGTAAAAGAGAACCATCACCGGTCAGAGGAAGGAGAGCTGTGTAAAGGACACCAGCGAGAGGGACATGAAGAGGAGGAGCAGTGCTGATGAAGTCGACACAGCTCAGGAAAGACAGGAGGGACAAGGCTTGATATGGAGGAGGGGCCTCCTTGGAGATCCCTGTACAGTACTCGATGAAGAGGGTACTCTCTGGAGAGAGAGAGCAGGAGCAGTGTCGCTGGCAATGCTGCGAAGAGGTATATAGTCATACCTCCTCATCACAAATGGTTGAGTGGATCCTCATCCACTCTACTCATATCATAAACAACTAGTATTACTTTAAGCATAAGTATCATTAGTTTATAGTCAGTATAGTAGTAATCAATAGATTGCTCCTCATCGAAGCACATGTGTTGTATCACTGTTTCCTGATGTCCAAAGGCGGTTCTTAGCAAACCAGCAGTCTGGATAATGATAGAACCAAAGGCAGTCATCCACTGTGGTCCAGGGATCACTTCAAGTGTTAGTCGACACACTGGACACTCGTGTCAGCATCATCAATCCATACTCACACCAGACCATTGGTGTCAATATCAAGTTCACTTAGAGTCATATTGTAGTTTGATTGTGCTGAGCTACCTCTGGATGGAGTGTCCACAGCAGTTAGTCAAAATCTGTCATAACAACAATACAATTACAGATTCCAATGAGAAAGGTGACAGAGATGGCTCTGTTGCATAATTCACTAGGAATCGAAATACCATTAGCACTGTCACATAACTCGACAGAATCGGTGATAGTATCAATACTACCACAGATCTCAGGTTTCAGGCGTGCGACCGCTGACACCATGCTCCTTGTCATAGCAAGTGAGTGGATTGCCATCCACTCTACACCATACATAACTAGTTATCACTTTAAGCATAAGTATACATCAGTTCAGTCAGCATAGTTGCAATCAAGTAGATTGCTTCCATTATATTGCATGTGTTGTATCACTGCTCACTGATGTCTGAAGGTGGTTCATAGCAAACCAGCAGTCTGGATAATGATAGAACCAAAGGCAGTCATCCACTGTGGTCCAGGGATCACCTCAAGCACTCAGTTGACACACTGGACACTTGTGTTGGCACTACCAATCATATCACTCACACCAGACCTTGGCATAGTCACAATACATTCATTGTTATTGATTGTGCCAAGCTACCTCTGGACAGAGTGTCCACAGCAGTTAGTCGAAACCTGCAATAGCAAAACCACTACTACATCTTTGGGCAAGAAAAGTGATAGTGACTCCTCTACTACATATCTCAACAGGAACAGTAATACTTCAAGCATTGTCACATATCTCGACAGGATTCGTAATAGATGCATTTCTATTACAGATATCAGGTTTTGGGTGCATGACCGCTGACAGACACTTCTATTGTCTATTCCCTATCCTGTGTGCTACCATCTCCCCATGTGGTAACCTTACCATGTGTTCCTATGCTTGGGCCTCCCCCTATGTATGTCCAAGCCCCTTATTGTGGTTTGCATGGCTAAACCAGTTGAACTAGCTCGTTATGATTGTTTCTACTGAAAACAATTGTAACTCTGCAGTACTACTGTTTTCACTTTTTTGTGTGCAAATTGTGCATCCATGCATGTCCAGGATTCTTCTGCGCAGACCCTGTGACATTGCGCACACGAATCGAGGGATCGGGCGAGTAGTTGGGTTCCAACAGAGTTTGTTGGGATCAACGGGAGAGAGACCTTACGACAGAACTCGTTGAGATCGGCGATAGAGGGACTGTATAACAGATCCTGACGAAACCAAGCAAAGGTAGCCACTGTCATAGGGCTGGATGCGCAGAAGCAGGAAGAATGGATGTCATATGAAGAGGAGCACAGGAATCACAGGAATGGGCAAAATAAGGGTTACAGCAGAGTTCATCGAGATCTGTAGTAGAAGTGGTTCTATGACAGATCTCGCCCAAAACGGCACAAGCGGGAGGTTACTACAAATCCCACCAGAATCGGTAGTATCTTGATCATAGGATTCAGTTGAAGTTATGTGATACACCTCTTCGTCTGGGCCACGTTCTAGCTCCTTTCGTACTGGTGTATGGTAGATGCAATGCTTGGATTCCAATAGACTAAGACTACAATAATGTGAGGATATATATACCTTTGCTTTGTTCATGAGACTTGCTATTCACACCCTGTGAACTAGGTGTGTTGTGATGAGCCTTGGCATTTTCCTCCTTAGTCTTGGCATTCCTCTCTCTAAACATGTCCTGATTGGTTGCCACCAAATTTACTATGCATGCATGATCCTCGGCCTGTTGGTGGTTCGGCTCTCCTGCATGTTTGTCATTCCAGTGCAACTTTAACTGATTCTCATGGAAATCTGTTGTATTAGATTTCTACAGCAGATTCAACATAAGGGAACATTCCTGCACTTCTCACAGAAATCTGTCATACTAGATTTCTATAGCAGTTTTCAGGTTTCTGGCGCGCGACCGCTTACATGCTGTTCCTGTGATCTCCTCCCACATCATTGGGTTGACCCCATTGACATAGATTCGCAGCTGCCTTTGCCAGGTGTAGTAGCCGCTGCTACCTTGCAGCACTGGCGGCGCTGCCATGGACATCATTGTATCCATTTTGATTGACCTTGCTGCTGGTGTTGCTGATTGCGCTGTAGATGATGCTATTGCTTCGAGCCTTTTTATGGCGAGCTACACTTGCTTCAGCTGTTTGATGGCGAGCTACTTGGTGGTCTCGAACCTTGTTGGTGAGCCGGTTACTGTTGCAACTGAGGGTTGTTACCCCAGGAGCTGATCTAACTGTTGAAGTTCGATAAGGTCGAAGAGCCTAGTAACCGCTAGGTCCGATAATCTGTTGAAACGAGTGGCAGACTTGAATGGCAGAACGCGGTTTATTACGTATGTCGACGATAAACAGTATGTACAGACAGATGGGTGGGTCGACAATAATGGAGAATAAACTAACGAAGCCTGGTGCTTTTATACGTCTTACCCTGTGGACGATACAGTGACATGTTGGAGTGAAGGACGAGTCTGAAACATGACAGGGCAGTGCAAGAGACCATGCAGAGATAAAGCTCAGGCTTCTATCTCCTCCTGACGCTTATCTTCGGCCTGATACGATCATCGGATAGACCGACAACCGGCTTGATACGAGCCGATACAAGCACAGCCTTCCCACACAAACAAGGTCGAAAGGAGGTTGTCATAGCTGTGAGCGTGCGTATATTCGACGGTCCCGTGCGTCGAGACCAAAGTAATTTTCTACAGTCATCGCTCAGCCTAAGTAGAGTTGGCTGACTTAGACACTAGTCTCAGCACCCTTCCTCTCGTTATCCCTAGGCACGTACGCCGGAGGGGGAGGGCCAGGAGGGGGAGCGTAGAGCGCTTCATCGTCGTTGTTTCGAGGTGGAGCACCGGTGGGTGGGGCATAAGGCTGACCCGCGCCTGTCTGTCCATATGGTGACTGACCGTAAGGACTTGGTTGTGCGCCGCCGTAGCCGCTATTATATCCCTGCTGGTAGTTGGTCGCTTGAGGCTGGTTGTTCTGGTACATTGGGATAGTGGCGGGCTGCTGAGTGAACCTTCTTCTGCGACGACGAGCAATCAAAGAGAGGATGATGATCAGAGCAATGATTGCGACGGCAATGGCAACACCGATACCGGCCCGTGCGCCGTAGCCGAGACCTCTATTGCGACATGGGTAGTAACTTGTGTAGCCGTTGCAATAATAAACCATGATTGATGTGTGAGGCTGCAACTAGCAGCGGTGAGACCAGTGGATGTGGTTGACTTGGTGTCGAGCTCTAGTGGCGTCGAGTTGCGATGTGCGAGGTCTGCTTTACTCTAGGTAATGAAACGGATCGAAGCTAGTGTCCTTGGTGTAGAATGGTAGCCGACGGATTTCCTCGATGAAGCAAGTGAACTTCAACGTTCGTGGCAAGTGATACTGTGGGTTCGGATGATGATGGTGGTGATGGTCCTTAAGCAAGGAGGGTGAAAGAACCGACAACGTCTTCCATCGACTGTGGATGGCGTCAAAAAGGCTGAGTCTTGGTCAAGTTGCCGAATACTGCCCTTCTACAAGGCCTTCTTGGCGCTGCAGGGACGGCTTGATGCCGTAAAGTGAGTGTCTGAAGGAGTAAGTGGAGGCTGCTACTTTACGTGACATTGCTCTTTCGCCTTGCATCTGCGCGGTTCTCTGGCCGCTGCTGTGATTGTGACTGGACTGTGACGTGACTGTGACAAGGCTTTTTCGCTTTCTTCAAAAGCGGCCGTGCTCCGAATTCCGCTCTCTGCTCAGCTGAAATTCCCGACAAAAAGGTGGTGCTCGGCTTGCATGACCGTCGTTACCGCCTATTCCCAGCTTCTTAGGCGATTCTTCACAGCCGCATGTTGCTACGTCATTTGACGGCATTCGACAAGGATTGGCCGCTCGCTTCATCGCTTTCTTCAGCCAACGCCCCCGCGATGCAATCATTTCAACTCAAGTCATAGCCGTTGACGTCTCAGCCTTCTGGACCCTTCTTTTCGCTACTTTGCTCTTTTGGCCGTTGATATCATGACTCAAAACAGAAGCTTCTATCAGGAACGCTAGCTTTGTTGATCAAGGTTCAACGAATTCATTTCATTCGACAGCATCAGCAATGTCGAGTCGAGTCAAGCAGCATTGAAAAGATCTAAATCAGTGACAAAACTGTGGAGTGGTAGCATTTCGGAAGATAGCTTTGACAAGATGAGTCCGAAGAAGACTTGGGATCACAATCGACTCTTGAACACCCTTGTATCGTTCCCATCACCAATCCTACCCAGCAAATGACGTCCAATATAAGGGTTCACGAACACCTCCTCAGGATCATACCTTTGCCTTGTAGCCAAGAAGTCGTTCCAGTGTGGGTAAAGCTTCGATAGTTCCGTCGGCGAGCAAGAGTGTGCCTTAGCCCAGTGCGGTCTGCCCGAATAATGCCTCATCAGATCCTCGAACTTGGCAAACAGCTGACGGTATCGAACAGGCTTGTTGTAAGGTCTGTACTGCACAATGCCAATGTAGCACGTCTTGCGACCCTGAGAATGACTGAGCCAGATACCGTCTGCATCGGTGAAGCGGATTTCGACAGGGAAGTGGATACGGTCACCGTCCGAATTGGCTTCTTCTTCATCCAGCCAGTCTCGCATAGCTCGCATGGCGGCGGCTGCACGGTTGAAGGGAATGGCCCATTCATCAGTGTACTGAGGGAAGAGGCAGTCCACGTTGAAGATGCGATCGGAGCGGCCAACTTCTGCCCAGACCGGGTTGGAAGGGGAGAGGGTTCGGGGTGCGGGAGAGTCACGAGGCAAGGCGTTGAAGTTGCCAGCTGGGATACTTTTCTGCAAGAAGGCGAGGCAAGGTTCGCCTTCGGTGGAGGCACCAACGCCGCCGCTGTGAGCGAAGGACTGGCGGATGTCTTGGATCAAACGCCGCTCGTTGGTGGAGTTGTCGGATACAATGTCCTCGCTGGGCTCGACGGCCTGAGCCTCGGTTGTAGCTGCGATCTTGTTTCGCTGCGACGATGCCGGTCGCGTCGAACTTGGCTCAGGGAATGCAGGATGCGTGAGAGAATGGATCCATCGAACGACTGTCGGGCTCCATTGCTTGTTGAAGCGAGATGTGTAGAGCAAGAACTCGGTCAAGCGGTGTCCAACAAGAGAAGCCTTGATGCGAGCTGAAAGGCCTGGAGCTGGAGATGCTTCTTCCGTGGTGCGGTTGGCACGTAGCATTGTGATCCTCTTGACCTGCGGGAACCACAACAGTCTGACGTGCTGTGTTGACGCTGCCACCTGTTCCAACACCAACTGGGCCTGCCTTGTCTCCTCGTCATCCTCTGGGTCCATCCGAGACATGCGGTCAGCATCACGATTTGCTGTTGCAGCGATAGGGTGGATCTCGGAGGCATCCGCGGCACGATACGAAGGACGGTAATGCTCCGAGCAGAGAGGAAGACGCTTGTTCTTGCTCAACAGGCATCCAATAGCTGCTCCTGCGTTGTTGTGGGCGTCCTTTGGCACAGCCGGGAAGCCAGTCTTGCTACCGAAGAGCGAATCGAAAGTGAGCTCCTCCGAGTACTGCTTGAGGTTGAAGGCATTCTGGACCCTCAGCGTCACTGAAGTGATGAGACCGGTCGATCCAAGCCCGCACAGTGTTGCGTTGAACAGATCTGCATGCTGCTCTCTACTACATGTGAGGTGTTGCGTACCCTCCGGGAGTGGGCTGAGGATCGTAAGCTGCGAGACGTAGGTCGATACCACAGGAAAGAGAATGCCTGTTCCGTGAGTAGCTGTCGAGATGAGTCCTGCAATTGTCTGTTCCGAGATCGAGCCGACATTGCACACGGCAAGACGAGGCTGTGCTGAGTCGAGCGCTTCGTGAATGTCGGAGATGTAGGTGCCTGCAAGAGCTGTAACGGTGTACTCGGAGTGGTTGATGTCGACGATCCCGTTGAGACCCTCCATTCGCATTGCCCATCCTGTAGTGAAGGGAAGATCGCTGGGACTGTGAGCGCGACCAATGGCACGAAGCTGGGTGCCTCGACGACGAGCCAGCTCGACGACGGCAGCGCAGTGGGTCACTGTAGTGGGAGCGAAGACTCTAGCAGGGATGCTGACAAAGGATCGACCCCAGTTCTGGAATTTGGACTTGGGAGAGCTGGAGGGTAGCACGATGGGCTTGACCAGCTTCTCGAGCTCAGCGGTAGACTGCTGGAGGAGGCTCGCGTCGACGTGAGTCGAAGGCTGCTGCGCCGAGGTAAGCCCTGGAGTCGTGAGCATAACTTTTGATGTTGAGGCCATCTTGTGTTGCGTTGGCGAGGTTGATTCTGTAGTTTCTGAGTGCCTCTTGTCCTTGAAATCAGCTCCTCGAATGGCGAATCTGTGAGAGCAGCTCGTGATCGAATGGAAGTGGCTTGGCACTCTGAACGATGGGAGGAGAGCTGTGAATGGATGTGTGAAGGAGGGAAGGTGGATATTGCTGGATGGAACAAGGTGCTCCGCCGTGAAGAGGTGTCCAAAGAACAACAGCTCACCAAAGATGGACCCATGTCGACAGAAAACTCAGCTGATCGCAATGGCATAGTGCGGTTGATGCCTCTCTCACAATCTCACGAAGAGGAGAGAGATGGTTCGGACGCAAGGAGAATTTCGGATTCGGAGGGAAAAAACACAATTAGTCAGATAGAGGCAACAGAGCAGTTCATCCTTGCCATGCCAAGGTGGAGGCTTTGCAGGGAAAATCCGAAGTCGAAATCGAAGTCGAAATCGAAGTCGAAATCGAAATCGAAGTCGAAATCGAAATCGAAGTCGAAATTAATTTTTGTGCCGAGCGCTTGCAGATCTGAGCAGCGTCTTCAGAGAGGCCACGTTTCATAGCCGCCAATTTTGCATTTCAGCACGGCACGCGTCCTTCGTCGACAATTCTAGCGGGCGGCAGTCATGCAAAATTACGCAATACGCTGCAGCTCGCAGATTTCTCTCACTGCGGTTCCAATTGTCATCGGGCCCCATTTTACATCGGGGTCTGCTTGTCCATCGATCTGTCCCACAGCGCCAAACTACTCAATGTATAGCCGACACAGCATACGTGTCACGCCTGGGCACTCTCTCGTGGGTTGGAACGCATCGAAACGGAAGCCAAAATCGTCACATTGTTGCTTGGCTTTGCTGTCGATGTCCGAGAGCGTTTCTGTCCCGTACCTGTTCGACATCGATAAGATGAGTCGCTGTTAGACAAGCTGTAAAAGCTTTTGGCGCCAAGCCTCTGCTTCGCACTTACTTTTCAGGCTCTTTTATTCCGTTAATGAGCAAGATGCTGTGCTGTTCTGTTTTCGCCATTCTGATAAGAAGCCTGGTGGTGAAGGTTAGCGATGGTCGTGGTCATGTCACAAGAGCTTCGCCTTCGGTCCATGAGTCTATCTCAGATAAGCTCAGTGAATATCGCAACTTTACGGCCCAAGGTTGTAGACCATGCAGTCTAGCATGTCAAGTGTGGGGCAGGACGGATACTGGCGGGAAGAAAGTAGTGTCGAGTGAGGATGTTCGAAGTCCGCGAAAAATAACCCAAGTCAGTACCCGCCCCTAGCCGACTCGGCGCTGTCCAAGATTGCTTCCCTGCATTCTTCCTAGCCGGCAGACAGGCTCACACAGCAAAGCAATTCAATCAAGCCCGCTCGCATCGATTCAATGTGGGGTGAGCATCTTCTATTGCAATTCCCAGAGACAAACGCACGGAGATCTGACTATGAGAAAAACGACGCCTCTACAAGTACGACAGAGTACTGGCGACATCCTCAGATGTTCTTGACACGGCCCGAGCCCGGAGCAGGAGAGCGATTAGGTTTGCCACCATGACTCGACTTCAGGACCTTGTCGTTTGGGCGAGGACCTGGTTGAGGGTTGCCCGGGTCGTTACCGTAGACGCCGGCAAACGCGATGCTGTTGCCAAACTTCTGACACTGTCCAGGCTTCCACTTCTGTTCAGTAACACCCTTTTGAGAGCATGCATGATAACCCGTCTCGCCGTTAAAGTCATAGTAGCTTGGGCTGAAGATAGGATTAATTGTGTCGCCCTGAGGCGAAACAGCCTTGAAGGACTTAAACCCGTCTGCGGCGAGCGGAGTGCATTGAACAGTGCTGTAGATCTGCCTCTTGGCGCGCCCAGAGCAGTCGTCGTTGGGGTAGAGATAAATCACTCCTCCACCTCCCCAGGATACGCCATTCAAGCAAACAGAGTACTGATCGGCGTGAGCAACAACACGCTTGTTATGCTTGTTGCACTGAGAAGCGCTGGATTTGATTGGGATGTTAAATGGGTTCCAAACATAGCCTCCCTGGTTGAGAAGCGATTCGGACCTCGTAGACCAGACGCCGACACGACCCACCTCGAGGTTAGGGAAGGTGACGCAGGATTTGCTCTGGTAGGCTTTGCGTGTTTCAGCAGCTGACATGAAAGCCATGTTCTGAACGACTGTGTCCGACTCTTCTCCTACAGCAAAGCCGATACCAATGTCCGCGACTGTGGCAAGGACGCGAATCGACCCGAAGGGTTTCTTGACCGAGTGAGCCACGGCGCCCTCGGACAGCATCTGCTTGTTTCCTTTGATGAAGGCATTAGGAGTGGTCTTGACTAGTTGAAGAGGCTGGGAGCATTGAGTGTCTTCGAAGAAAGCGACTTGGACGATGGGGCAATTCTTAGGGTCAGAGGCAAACTCGGTCCAGCATTGGGAGCCGTCGGACAGAGCAGAACGCTTGTCTAAAGGCAAGTTCGAGTGTTGGACGCTGCCAACAGCACCAAGCGGGCTGATGGTGACAGCAACGAGGAGGGCCAAGAGGAGAGCAGTTCGAGTAGCAGGTAACATATTGCTTGACGTTTGCAGGCGTTGGAGTGAGTTGGGAGCTATTGTTCGTTCTGGTGGTAGAGGTGCCTATTTATAGACGTCGCCAGCTAGCTGGATTTTGCCCGAAGGAGCAAAGTATCTCCATTGTATTGTCTTTTGTCTTCAGCAGCAGACACGGTAAAGTAGCTGAAGGCACCCCACAGACATCATGTGGCGCCGATAGCCGTATCGTGAAACCAATGCTTCATCTGACCCCTCAGCCCGCTGCGCCGCCCACTCTTGTCAACCTTCACCTCATTCAGGAACACGGTCCGAGCTCACCTCAACAGTTGAGTGTCACGAATGAGACTTTGCATCAGATTGAGGCGCAACGATGAGGCGCAACGATGAGGCTAACGTTGTAACACGTTTGATTGAGATGAACCTCTAGTCCGCTTTGCGATGGTTGGAAGCGGGACCTTTCGGTGGTGGGCCAAGTGGTCCTTTTGGTGGAGCTGCTGCGGCTCTCGAGTACATGTTTTGCCCTGCACTTGTGTACGTGGCGGATGCTGACCCACCTACGCCACCTCCTAAGTTCATTTGTTGATACGCCTCTCCAGCGCCTGCTCCATCATTCACTGCTCCGTCATGAGGAGGGGCACCACCGTACGCAGGCCAGGGTGAGGGGGAGTTTCGGCCGGAATTAAGTGAACTGCGGCTGCCATTGTTGAAGATACCGCCCACCATCTCGGCGGCACGTTTGCCACCAGTCCCGAACCGGCCAAATCCACCATTGACAGAGAATCCGCCGGCGCCGGAGAGGTCACCCGTCCTGCCGTACATGCTTGTATTGCGCTCGAACGCTTGCGCTGATGGGGCGAGTGGTGCATCGGCGAAGGAAGGCAACAACTGTAGCACGAGGCGGTGCAGCTTGACAGTGGGCCAAAAGACGGGCAGACGAGATGGGATCAGTCGATGGAGTGGGCCGTTTGCGTAATCCAAGCCGCCTTCCACGCCGAAACCATTCGAAGATGCCGCCAGTGCTCCTGATGCCGAGATCCTCGGTTGTGGATCGGCGAGCATCGCTAGAACCGTGCAGAATGGGAAGACCAACATGAAGAGCATCAAATTGAGCAGCCCACTTGGATGGAAGAAGGACACTGCCGTTGACGGCAATCCGAAGGCAACAAAGTACGACCACCTCTCTTCGCAGTAGCGCATCCTTCGATCGAGTGACCAACCTCGCGAAATCCATGCCTGCTCGAAGCAGTAGTATCCATCGACCATGCACATGAAGAGGAAGGAAAGAATGCGTCCGAAGTAGGGAATGCGGCCAAGTAGAATGTAGAAGACAGTGTAGTTGGCGATCAGGAAAACACGGTAACTCTCCTGCAGTAGGCGACGTGATGTGCCAGGCGGTAAGGATGGATTTGAAAGCGTCAACCTTCGGACGTGGCCATGTCGAAGTTTGTACGCCGCCTGGGCGATGTCGGAAGTCCAAGAAGATGCAAGCAAGTAGCTTCCACCAATCAGCGGATAGATCCAGAACACGTTGCCCAGTGTTCCGACGATCGAGCCGGACTCCGCTGCGTCCTGCATAGACTTGATAGGTGGCTGCTGAAACAGCACCTTTGGCAAGAAGGCGAGCTCGAAGAAGAAGGCCACAGCCGAAATAGTTCCGCTGAGCAAGAGACCTTTGAGAACACCGTTGCGAATCTCACTCGAGCTGGCGATGAGCTTGAATGCCTCCGGCCATCGATTGGCGTTGCACCAGCCTGCTCTGGCCCAGCGAAGATGGCATTGAAGGCTCGAAACTAGGGATACACGCGGAATATGCTCTGCAGGTCCTTTTGCCGACCATGATGTTGGACGTCCGCTTGTGCCGAGTGGCCACGGTAGACCTGCATCGTAGAGTTCGTCGACTCTGCCTCCACTAGCGCCTTCGATGTCAAGGTCGACGTCGGATACGGAAAGCCCGTTGGGTCGATGGTAGAAGCTACTCGACGAGACACGGCTATTTGCCGGTACGCCGAGCATGATCGCGAAGGACGACTGGTTTGCGTGATTGGATCAGCTTGGTGATCTGTTCATAAGGTGACTTGTTGTGGGCTGTTTTCCGCGGCGTGTGTGCTTCTACTTTGTTCTGGTTGGCCCGACGTCTGAGACTCTATCGCCTTTATACAAGTCTACTCTGGCTGAAGATAATGCTGTTCGATGGCGATAGGTTGACCGCTGGATCGTGATGACTTGAATGGAAGAGTCGTTGCAAGGTCCAAGCACACCTTGTTGTGTGTCTGAGTGTTGGTTTGGCTCACTGCCAAGAATATCAAAAAGGCGTCTGTGCCACAGTTCCGTGAAACATATTGGAGTCCACAGCTACAAAGTTGAAATATAATATATGCTATATTTAATACAGTTTGTATCCTATCCCGGCTAGCTCAGTCGGTAGAGCGTCAGACTCTTAATTACAAGGGTTTCCGAGCTTGTCTCGAAGTTCATCTGAATGTCGTGGGTTCGAGCCCCACGTTGGGAGGTTTCTTCCTGACCCTTCATTTGAAGGTCAGGTTTTTGCAATTCTTTTTTGATGTTCGCCGCTGTTGATCTTTATTCCTAATTCTCGTATGCCACCTCGTTCGTTACCAGAGAGATTGCAAAGCGTGAGCAACGCATGTAACCTTTGACCATCATAACAACTGACAGACACACTCATCTGGTCGGGGCTTCCCTCTACTATTCGTGTGGGCTAGAGGGGCAGGGGCATGAAGGTACCCCGACAACCAGAAAACTCAATCGAGGCTGCTCATGGCTGACCTTGGCTGACATCGGCGATGTCGGAAAGATGCATTCGACTCTGTTTAGACTCTCCGTCGATGCTTGTCGGAACGGAAAAAGGGACGGGCAAGGAGGGCCATTGGCCACGCGATCATGATTCGATGCTAAGACGGACAGCAGACTTTTGCCAAGCTCTATCGGAGGAAGAAGGGAATTCGCCGTTTGGAAACCATCTGTGCAGCGTCCTGTAACCATGCTTTCCCGAGCAGTTTACCTAGGGTCATATTGCAGGACGCCTGACCGAACTCGCTCCTTTCCGGACGCTGTTCCGGCTCTGATAAAAGGGAAGCCTGGTGACCCTTTCACACCCGAGGCTTTGTCCAGCTTATGTCAAGAAAAAGAAGAAGTGATATTCTGCTTTGCTGTTTGAGTATCGCAGCAAGCATGCGAGCCCTGCTGATCGCTGTGCCGTGGAATTTCTTTTCGTTGGTCGGGCGGTTTGCCTTCAGTCAAGCACCTTTCGTTAGGACAAATTTGCCACCGACTCGGACTGTTAGGCGATTTAGGCGAGGAAGCGGGCCGTTTTGACCGAAAAGAAACAAGAAAAAACTTTTCACTGGGATTGCGCTCGAGAGCAGGCTTGATCGCCTATGCCAACAGTCAAGGCAGCCAAGCAGCTGGCCAAATGCTTTTTGCCCGACAGCTTCAACGTCCACAACGCTTGAAGGAACACCATAGGATCGATCAGTGAATCCCTTGTGACCATGCTCCAGCCTGCGTGTCGGAAGACTCTGATGCATGGTCACAGCAACGGTCTTCCTCTTGGCCCACAATGAGCGAGAGAAGACAAGCAGGAGGAATTGGTTTGAGATCGATTGACATGGACTATGATTGGCGCTGAGCAAGGCAATTGTGCATGTCGGCTTGAGCCTCGCATAGAGAAGGTCGAATTTTTGCAGCAGATGTCTCATGACCGTGCTTTCTATGCCATTTCGTCCTCGACCCTCTTTGTGCCAATGCTTTGACCTCATTTGCTCTCATCTTCAACAGTGGGATGGCGTTGGACTCTATTGGGAAAACGCAGATTCGGGTCAGCCAACCATTTTGCTTTCATCACGGTTGTTCCAAATTTCTTTACCTCTGCGCCCGCCAACCACCGACGAACCATGCCCACTTTTACCACATCATCGGTCCCCACCCGACAGAGATAAGGGCTTGAAAGACGATTGGTCAGATGCAGGATGATAGTGGACAAAGCTTGAGCTTGTTGATGCTTTTCAAGGCACGCCACCGTTGCGTATGAAGAAATGCTCGGTGTTGATCGCTCTTCATGTCAATGATGATGAGGTGGTATTGCTCCAAGAAGAAAAAAAGAAAGAAAAAAAAACACACTCACTGCGTCCCTTTTGACTGACTGACTGACTAGACTGACGGACTGACTTTGAAATTTTCGACAACGGCAAAAAGGTCAGCAGGAAAGCGAAAGCGAAAGCGAACCAGCGGCACGGCTTGTCTGACAACAGCCCACTGCACGCCGGGAAATTTCTTTGCTGTCGACTAGAGACGACCATCGGGACATTTTTTCTTTTTCTTTTTTTCTTTTTCTTTCTTGCCTGTCCCCTTGTAGGCGAATGCTTTGCTTGACTGCCTGCCTGTGTGTGTGTGTATGTGTGTTTCTTTCTTTCTTTCTTTCTTTTCGGCATAGCAATTTGGACTGCAGTGCTTAGCAGAAGAAGAGCCGATCTGGACAGACAAGAGTTTTTACCGTCAGCGGCGCTTCTTGCCTCCCCTTACAGCGAAAGAGAAAGAAAGAGACCCTCGGCTCATCTGAACCATTCCCCAACGCTGGCATGAATGAAAGTGTCTCCACAGCCTTGTAACCAAGCATATGCTCTTCAGTTTTACGCTCCCACATCTCTAGTCAGGGTCATGGCAACCATGCTTCAATCAGTGAATGGTGGAGACAAAGCGAGAGTCGTCATGTGTGCAATATTGGTAGTGTGCGGAGAAGCCGATAGATGTAGGGTGAAGACCGAAGATAAGCCCTTCCGTCTCTGCACGGAGAGCTCTCAACTGTTCCACGCTTTGTAGAAAGTTGTTTAGCCCACAGTGGCGCTGATAAGGCTCAGCTCCGTAGAGAACAAAGGAGACAGGGCGAAAGATGAGCACAGCTCGCATGGCCATTGGACTCTGAGACTTTTAGTCTGCAGAAGACGGGTTTGGTTTTAGTTTGTCACATCCTCCCATCAATCAAGCAAGCAAGAGTGTGCGCAGACAGCCGTGCTGTGCTCTCTTCGTCACTCCACAACTCGGGACTTGTCATTGGCCGCCTCCTCCTTTTTTATCTGCAACGCTTGACGCTGTTTCCTCATCTTCGCTCCTCTTCTCCTAACCATCACCACATCTGCCCGTGCGGTTGCATCAAGCATTCTATATAGATCTACTCGCTGCCTCCTCTCCTCTCCTCACCTTCTCCACCCCCCCCCCCCCCCCCCCCCCCCGCAACTTCACCACACTGCCCATCATGGCATCAACTGGCCACCAATCACCCATAGAGGACCGCTTCAGCCGATCCACCTCGCCAACAAATACCCTCGATGTCGAGAAGACTGCTGCTCCCGATTCGATCAAGCCTCACAATCATGTCGCACACAAGGTGGCCGGCACCGAGACACCACCGCAGCAGACCATGTTTGGTGAGAAGCGAGAACAGTACCGTAGCGAGGAGGACTACATGTGGGAGCAGCAGAAGAGGTCCCAAGGTGACCACAAGTTCCACCGTCTCGGATGGAAGAAGCTTACCGTCTGCTTGATTGTCGAAGCCATCGCCCTTGGTGCTCTTTCGATTCCATCTGCATTCGCAACCCTTGGAATGGTCGCTGGTGTCATCGTGTGCATCGGTATCGGTATCATTGCCATCTACACAAGTTACATTGTCGGCCAGGTCAAGATCAAATTTCCTCAAGTCTCGCACTACGCCGATGCTGGTCAGCTTATGATGGGTCGTTTCGGTTACGAGTTGATTGGTGCCATGTTCGCACTTCAGTTGACATTGCTCGTCGGTTCTCACTGCTTGACTGGTACGATCGCTTTTCTCAATCTCAGTAACGATGCCGTCTGCTCGCTTGTCTTTGGTGTCATCTCGGCCGTCATTCTCTTCATCGTCGCCGTGCCACCTACCTTCTCCGAGGTTGCCGTCTTGGGTTACATCGACTTTGCCTCGATCATCATTGCCATTGGTGTCACCATCATCGGCACTGGTATCAGGTCCAACCAGGCTTCTCTTACCACCAACCCCGTCCAATGGTCCGCTTGGCCTAAGGAGGGCACCACCTTCGCCGACGCTTGGATCGCCCTTACCAATATCGTCTTTGCCTACTCATTCGCAGTCTGCCAGTTCTCCTTCATGGATGAGATGCACACCCCCACCGACTACGTCAACAGTATCTGGGCTCTCGGTATCATCGAGATTATCATCTACACTCTCACCGGTGCCCTCATCTACGCCTTTGTTGGTACTGATGTCCGCTCACCAGCTCTTCTCTCCGCCGGTACCACTCTCTCCAAGGTCGCCTTCGGTATTGCTCTTCCTGTCATCTTTATCTCGGGATCCATCAACACCACCGTCGTTGCACGATACATCCACGGTCGTGTCTTCAAGAACTCAGTCATCCGCTATGTCAACACTCCCATGGGTTGGGCGACATGGTTGGGCCTCGTTGCTATCATTACCGTGATCGCATGGGTGATCGCTGAGGCCATTCCTTTCTTTTCCGATCTGCTCGGTATTATGTCGGCCTTGTTCATCTCTGGCTTCACTTTCTACTTTCCTGCGATGATGTGGTTCCTGCTCATCAAAGAGGGCAAGTGGAACGCAACTCGCAAGAACATCATTCTGAGTGTCATCAACGGTGCTGTCTTCCTTCTCGGGCTCTTGATTCTGGTATCAGGCACCTATGCTTCGGTTAAAGACATCATGGATCAGTACGACAAGGGTTCGGTGCGAAGCTCGTTCACTTGCGAACCCATTGGATAAGAAGAAAAAAAGGAGTACAATATAGAATTGAAGAAAGACTTGCATAGTTCCCACAATCTCGGAGCCTTTGACACTCTGGAAGTAAGCCATGTGCTCCATACCTCATCCCCGTTTGTCGAATGCATTGAACATTTTCATGTCTCTTCTACTCACGCCTACACACTAATGTTCTGTTGAAATGTAATCTGTACTAGCAACTCCTACTAGCAACTCTTGTCGACGGTCCTGCTTGACTGTTGAAAGAGTCCATAGATGAGAATTTCTTCCCTTTGGTGATCCTCAGAGTAACGACTACGCACAAACAGGCCCGTTTGCGGGCATAAAGTTAAAGATATACAAGTCCTGTACGCTAGTTTGGGCTACTAACAAGCTCCTAACACGGGCATATGTTCTTCTTGTAAAAATGCTATATATTCTATCTGTGTACTACTGTGTATATGAGCATATATATATACTTGATGATTGCCTCCAATACTTATCAATCCATGATGAGTCACTATTCATTGTCACCCCTGAGTTGCAATCTCCTGTGTGTCACTATGACAACGCATATGCATCCCACATGCATTGCCACCTATATGCAGCTTTTCTTCATCGAGGATTTGCTTATGTTCTGTGGACCCTATGTTGTTCTGTGGACCCCGCGAAACCCGTGAAGATGCCGACGCATCTTCAACTCGTAAAGGCTGCTGGTCAATGATCGTCAGGGCCAGGGGCATGGACAAGCTGAGCCAATGTATCGCCGATTCCCAGACAAATTTGAGTCTTGGAGCCGGGGAGGAAATCGGGACCTCCACTTTCCCGCCTCAGTCCGCTGAGACTGTGTTGCTGCGACGTGCAGAGCTACAAAAATCTCGGTTTTGGAAGCCACAGTATCGTGTCTTGGTCAGCTTGCTGCCAAGTTGAGTCGCTCGCTGCTCGGTCCTCGTGTCCAATCCTTCGCAACAACTTTGACCTTCCTGTTCCGTACCCAACAATCCTTTCTCCATCGACACATGGAGCCAGCCCTTCATCGCCAAGCAATACACGTAAGTCGACACTTCATCCTCCCTCTAAACCCGGAAACGCCGATTGAACATACAACGAAATCAGCAACCACATCTGCGGATCGAATCAGCCCTTTAAATCCCCTCACACATTTTGAAGGACAAGATTAAGCGACATGTCGGGCATGCCAAGCAAAGACATTGGTGCTGAGCAGCAGCAGCCAGGCGACCCTGGTACCTCAAACACATCTCAGCAACTAGCAGAGCAATACGGCGGCGATTTTGGCATGACTGGATCCGAAATGCCCGAAGCACCACGAGACAAGTTCTTCCGCAAGATGAGGGAGCAACCTCTTGTTCCCATCGGTAAGTAGTGCCAGATACCTCCCGCTGGTAGGTCAGACGCTTCAGTCACCCTTACTGACCCTCTTCACTTTTCTTGCTTCATCCGCTGCGTCATCTACAGGCTCACTGCTTACATGCGGTGCCCTAATCGCAGCCTCAAATCACCTTCGTACCGGCAACCGAGATCAGTTCAACAAAGCTCTTCGATGGCGTGTCGGTTTCCAAGGTCTCACCGTTCTCGCAGCATTAGCAGGTTCTTTCTACTACGGTCAACAAGCAGCTGCATCTGTACCTGCTCCTCCTGCTACACCTGCGGACGCGCCGCTTCAGCACGGCACAGTAACGACCCTTCCGGGACGAGCACCGACACACTGGCAGCAGACACGAGCGGAAGAACGAGCGAGCAAGGATCGGGATGGATTTGAGGCTCGTGTTGGTCAAGCACTGGATCGGGAGTTGAACGATGATAAGCGTCTGGAAGAAGCGCTACTGGGTAAAGAGGAAGATTTGGAATCGTTGAACAAGTCCAGCAAGACAAGACCTGTGATTGGTCAGGATAGCCGTCGACAGGTGTAGAGTAAAGAACGACTACAAAAAGAATCACAAAAGTATAACACGACGGATCTCATGTTTCGCGGAAAGATGTCGATGAGTTTCACGTAAACAATGCAACCACGTCACCATTCACCCTTTCAGCAACTGATTGCCGCCCTTGCTTCCAGCTCAGATCATTCTCACTAACAACATCGACGATTGTAGCCTCAGCACTCAAACACATAAAAGCAGACCGAGCACGCATGTTTGTTAAGGTAAGGTGTGCAGTGTTGTAACTACCAGTATACAGGTAAATATCGTACAAAAGCCGAACCGTCACCTCTAATGAGTCCCCGCCCGACCAAGGAATCGATCCAAATTATCCATCACACTTTGTGCCGCCCTCGTAATTGTCGTCCAGCTCGCCCTCTCACCTGCACTCGCACTCCCGCCTTCACTCGGCTCATCGCTTTCGTCACTCCCCTCGATCTGTTCGAACGAGAAACTCTCCGCTGCGAACCTTCCATTTGGCAACTTCCCCACACAATCCCTAATCTCCTGTAGCGCTTCCCACGCTGCCTCTGCCTCCACCGCGCCCGCAGGCAACGAGCGCAATACCAGCTGATGTAGGTCTTCGAGCAGATCCAATGTATCCAGTGCAATATGCAGTGGTTGATCTGGCCGAAGCGGACCTTGAGCGTGGGTGGAGACGAGGTTGTGGTGCAAGCAGGCATTCCAGAGTTTCGCACGGAGAGCCTGGCGTGCTAGATCGACAAGGATGGGGTCCGCTGCGAGGTGGATGTGCGAGAAAAGCTCGAGTGAAGCTAACGAGTCGTGGATGCTTACGGTTGCTTCTGAGTCCAACCTGCAAGAAGAGCTGTGGCATCGACGAGTCCAGCAATCAAGCAGACCATGGAATCGATGTAGAAGATCATCACGGACTCCTGCGAAGCCGAGCTTAGTTAGGAAGCCCAATGGCTCTACCGTCTTCGTCTCGCTCCTTCGTTGTTTCTTGATCGACATCTGTGCGTCGTTATAGTCTTCATCCGTCTTGACCCGCTTCTTACTGTCGACGGCTTCGGAACGAGCTTCCATCTGACAAGCATACCCTGCCTTCTGCTCGGCCCACCACCTTTCAGCGCGGACCAAGAGCATCCATACCTTTACCTCTTCCGATACCTCTCCCCCTACCCCTACACTCGCTGTTGACGCACGGACTTGATCCAACCCTAGAATCTTAGCCAGTGTCAAAGCTTCACAAAACCTAAAGAAAGAAGCATCTTTCCACTCGGTAAACCTTGCCCCATCATCCAAATTGTACAATGCAAGGGAGAGGAAGAAGCTCGTCAGCACCGTTTCAAGTGTCGGCGTTTGACCGAAACCGATCCCTCCACCACTCGATGAGAGACGGAGAAGAAGGATCCGTTCGATCAAGGGTCTTGCTTCTGAATACAGCTCTCCCGTTACTTGACCTCGGGGAGTGAGGGAGGGCATAACGAACGGTTGCCTGAGCTCTGAATCAATGTCACCACCACAACCTTTGGTAGGGGCTGGTGGAAGGGTGAGACCGAGAAGTCCAAGTAGGGAGATAGACAGTGCAAGAGCGGCAAATGTTGGATCTTGATCATGCCACTTCCTCCCCAGTTTCGGATAGATGTATGCTCGTGGTACGATACCGGCACATAATCGTTCGTATAGGTTTTCGTAGAATAAAGCGGTTCGTTTGGTGAGAGTCATTGTGTTCAGCGGGTCCTCCACCACACTTGAACCTCTCTTCGACTGCTTTTGCTGAAGTTTCGCCGCCCCTGTAGCTTCTGCTTTTGGTAATGCTGTACTAGTCAAAGATGCAAAACTTCCTCTCCGGCTACCATCAGGTTTGATAAGACCCAAAGAACCCAAAATCTGACCCGCCCACAACTTCTGTTCAGCTTCGTGATTCGATTGAACCGCCAAATGCGGCGCCCCTCCCCTTTGCTGTGGATCCCAATCGACTTCTTCTGCCAAAATCCCCAGTAAATCTAACCCCGTTGTCGTTGCTACACTGCCCGTCATACTCGTATTATCCACCAAAGAAGTTGAGACTGACGAGAAGGAAGATTTGGAAGAAGACGAGGCAGACGGAGTTGCGTTGGAATGGATCAGATCGCTCAGTGCCGAGTTAGGAAGTGTAGACGGTGGGTAGTTCAAAGTCGAAAAGGAGACAAGTTCAGAGTAGGCAGAATGAGTTGAGCTTTTGGAAGCTTGTGTGTCGAGTAGGGTTTCAAAGGAGGATGCGAAAGCGAGAAGTGATGGTGGGTCGGGAGAGATGCGTAGTGGTGCTGTCTGTTTCTTGCTATTGCTTGCTCGAGGTCGGTCTCGGGGATAGATGGAGTCGAATGAGAGATGGACTTTGTGAGAGGAGGTGCGTGGAGGGTATGGACGATACTCGGAATACTGTTCAGAGGATCGGCTGCGATGGTGGGCAGCGCTGGTCGAGGCACGAGGTCGTTCCTGCTGCTGTTGCTGGTGGTGGTGCATGTGATGAGCGGAAGTGGAAGCAGATGGTGAGGTCGGTGATCTCGTTGAGCGACTTCTTTTGCAACTGGTTGTGCTATCAGATGCGCGGAAAGCGGTCGATGTGGTTGCTGAAGCCATACCCCACTCCTGGTCTCCGTTGTAATGGCGATTTTACAATAAGGATCACAGCGTGGGTCGATTATGATGATGCTGTTGGTGGGCTCTCAAGCCACGATGTCGTGAAAGATATGATGGAGCGAAGGTGGGTGTTGCAAGCTTCAGAATGAAGAGATCTCACGAAGACGTTGGCGGTGTGGGACTTGCTTAGGACGGATGGGCAACGTAATCGACCGCTGCTGAAGAAGAGTACGTAATGCGGAGGAAAGATGATAAGATTCCTGGCTATGAAGCCCGCTGCCTTGTGGGTTGTCGGAAGAATCAATATTTGCAAAGACAGAGCTATGACCAAAAGTAACGAGAAGCGGAGTGATGGAGACCAGAAAGAATGGCTTGCCAACCAGCCCAGTTTCGAGGAGGAAGGGGAGGAGGGTGGGATGGGATCGACACATGTCCACCAACCAACACACCAGCACTGGCGGAGGCCGCATGATGAAGCAGCCCTCTAAAAAACCTATTACACCAGAAATGTCTAAGGCACAACAAGAGCTTATTAAAACCCCGCTCCCTCCTTCCCTCCTCATCCTGCTCGAGACAAGAGGCAGGAGTAGTGACCGGGTTGATGTAGCCGGACAAAGAACGGCAAGTGGGGCAGCAACATGCATCGGACATCTTGGATTGCCCCCGCCTTTCGTTTACACGACAGGACCGAGTTGGGACCGGCGGTGGATTTGCTTACCGGTCAATGCTTCCCAAACCCTTCTCCGTTCACTTGAACTGCTCGTCTTGCGTCTTCATTTCTTTCTTACTCCACATCTTATCAGTCTCACACCAGGCTCGCTCTTACACAATTCACCACAGTGGGTAGCGCCAGCTGTCGTTGTAACAACCTGTGCAACGAGCCAGGGGGTTAGATGGGGGGATGGGAGCATCAAAGGTGTAGCACGATAGCATGCGAATATGGTCGGCGGTGACAGTGGGGGGAAGGCACCGGAGTCAGGAGCCACCGGAAGGCTAAACCAAAATGGCAATGTGGGACAGGAGGGAGAACGGAGCACTTTCGGACCGCCACTTTCAAGGCCATTTAAAACTCCGAATGCGGCGCCCTTCTAGGAGTAGTCTGCATACCTTCAGAGGACGCCCTCTCGGCTGTCGGAAAAGCAAAGTCTAACAAAACCAAAACGCTTTTCGAAGCCTCTAATACCTTCCCTTTTGCTTTGACCCTTTTACTCCTGCTCCGGATGATCTGCCTTCGGTGAGGGGAAACGGGATCGAAGCTATTCATAGCAACATTGCCGCTCTGGTTTTGCGAGGTGAGAAAGCGCTGATGTATGATTTCATACTTTGCGCCGCATTTCAGTTTACCCTTACTGCGATTGACCGGTGAGCATCACAGGTTGCCCTCTTTCAACCACTAGCAAACCTTTGAACGAATGGACGATCAGCGATCCCCTTCACATGTCCAAATAGTGCATGCTAACCAAAACCCCTCTCTTCTCTCGGCCCCACTGATTGAACTGCATGCAAGCTGCACACATGAGCAAGCCTCACATTTGATCTGTGTCATGTATGACACACAGAATCATGCCTGTCATCTTATGACACCTTTGAAGGGTCGCTTACCGACTTCTTCCGCATGCTGTTCATATGGATCAGGATGGACATCGATCGAGCCTGGCCTCGGTGAAGAGAGTGAGTTCTACCAGTCAGAATCGAAACGGGAACCGTTTTGCCAGTCTCTGCGTCGATCGAAATCTTCGAACTTTCGTCGGAGTCGAATATCTCACCTCTTCCTCCCGCACACTCTCTCCTTGTTACGGCATCACCCACACAAACAAAGATGGAAGAGAGCACGGCCGATGATCGTCTTCACCAGTACGCGATCAGCATTGCGTTTTATGCACTGAGAAGGAAGTCATCTACCAATTGTACAAGAAATAAATGTTCTTGTTATCGGTCATCTGTTAACCCCACCCACACCCGATACAAAGGCAATCTTGTCAGTCTTTTCTGCACCTAATCAGCATCATACGCAGCAGCGGTGTGGGTCAACGTACATCGAGTTCACCATTGATCTTGTTCTTGAGCAATCGTTCTTCTTCAGAGACGCCCATACGTGCTAGTACCTTACGACGTCGCTTGTTCTCTGCGATCAGATAGAGGAGCCATGCAATGCAGAGGACGAAAACGAGCGCAAGCATGGAGGCTACGACAATGAGACCTCGAATGTAACGTGGTGCGTCGGATGCGCGGAAGACCTGTGGTCCGATCATGTTCTATAGCCCCAAGATCCAGTATGAGAAGGGTTGAACGTGTTAGTATGCATCGCGTGAGGAAGAGAGGGACAGTAGCGGGGTACTTACACCAACGCAATAACCCATAAAACACAACGTTGCAACAACCGTCTTCTTCGTCCTCCCTCCAATGATACTCGGCATCAATGCCCACATCAAAAAGCTCTGCAGTGCATAAAGTACGCTCATCAGATACACTCCATACCTTGTCCACCTATACTTGGCTTCATCCGGCAACGTCCCTGCAGTCAGCACCGCAACAAAGGCAGGAATGACGGTGAAACACATGAAGAAGAACCTGAGTTTGGGGAACTTGTGAATGACGAAAGCTGCGAATAGGATCCAGCAGAACGACATTGCGAATGACGGCAACTGGTATAGGATCGTCTCCAATGGTGTGAAGCCAAAAGATTGATAGATAAGGCTTTGGAAAGTAGTGATACCGCCATTAGGGATGCAGCAGGTGATGTTGATAAAGAATATAAAGTAGGTGGTGGGGTCAGTGAAAGCATCTCGAACCTGGTCCCATTTCCAGTGTTGAGTTTCACCTGTGCCGACGCCGTTGTCGATGATTCGTGCATGGGCTAGTTTGCGTTCTTCTGGAGTAAGCCACCATGCGTTCTTGGGGAGACGGAGAAAGATGCTGGTGATGATACCAATGAAAACGGTGAGTCCGCCGAGGAAAAAGTTGATGACTCTCCAACCGGAAACGCCACCATGCTCCTGAACCTTCTTCGCAATGAAGTAAATCACCACGCTAACCCACAACGAGAAACCCGTATTCATCGCAAAGTACAACAACTGTCTACTAGTCTGCTCCTTCCTTTTGTACCAACTTGCCACGATCAACCCAAACGCCGGCGTCACAACTCCTTCCAACGCTCCCAAGATAAAGCGTACCGCCATCAATTGCGCAAACGTATTACACAATCCCAAAGTAGCCAGCACTACGCCCCAAACAACTACCATCGCAGAAACAACATACGCTGCATCCACCCGCTGCATCGCATAGTTCATCAGTGGTTGAAAGATAAAGTACCCCAAATAGTAGATGGTGGTGAGCCAGGAGTATTCTTGACCTTTGAGGTTTGTGTCACTCTTGAGAGAGAAAAGGACTCCGTTGGCGAGAGAGACTTTATCTGCATACTGGAGACCGTAGATGGCTAGGAGACAGGGGACTGTGTGATAGTCGATGCGACGAAGAAGACGGCGTGAGGTGGCAGGGTCGAGTTGGGTAGAGGTTTCGACTATGTCGGTGATCTGTTTGAGGTCGGTAGAGTGCGGAGTGGTGGGAGTGGAGATGTCGAGGGAGGTGACGGCGAGAGTTTGGAGCGTCTTCTCGTTGGTGCCCAAGACGATTTCCTCGCCATGGTTGTGGGATGAGATGGATTCGTGAGTGCTCGTCATCGTGGCGGCTCGACGAAGTTGGCAGCCAGAGGGTCAACCTCGATGCGACCAGAAGACTATGATTCTGCTGCGCTTTAAGAAGACTAGATGGATGTGGTCGAGAGATGAGAGTAATGATGGAGAAGAGGGATATACCATCTTCCCAAGATGCTGATGAGGGGACGATAACAACCACAAGGAGAGAACAAGTAACTGATAGCTGAGGACTGCAGGGACCACCTTATCTCTACCCGGCACTCGCATGTAACAGATACATGCGCACAAAGCACCATGAGACACTTCCTGCAAAGCTTCCGTCTTTATCACCGAAAACCTTGTCTGCGCCACACGACATCCGCAAGCACCGCAACTCGAAAGTTAAGCGACATGAAGTTGTGCAAGAGGATGCGATTGGCTCACATCGACTGATATTTACATAGCCGAGGTTGGAACGCGGAATTTCTGTGCTCGAAAACGCGAAGTCTTAGACGCCGAGATCGCCGCGGTGTGTCTGTTCACCTTCCCCACACTCAACCGCGAAGGCTGTGTCTTTCGTTGAGAAAGTGTAGAGGCGGCGTTGTTGGACATGCAGGTATCTGAACAAGGGAGGGTGTGGGGAAAGGCATGGCGGCTCCAAGTCGGAGATGAAACTGCCTCGACGTTGAGGTGAAAATGCCAGTGGCGTATTTCCCCCGCAGTGACAGGAGCGCTAAGCGAGTCAACTTTTTGATGCCAAGCTCCACGCTGAAGATGTGTCAGGAGACCTTGCATCGATTGTGAGTCTATTCTGAAGATACGTAGCTTTGTGTCTGTAACCTTGTCGGCAAGACGGATGACCGGATCGCGGCTCGTAATGGTATCGTCAAAATCCGGTAACCGATTGTGCCGACGACTACTTTCGAAAGTAGCTTCGGTCCGGATCTTGCTGCACTCAAAGGCAAGTTTGGCGCATTGCCGGAAGCCGTTTCTCATGTTCTTACATGATTTCGATGCATTGGTCGTATTGCTTTCCGTGATTTGGTTTGCCGTGATTGGAAAGGCTGATTTGACTGGGATTGCGTCTGAGCCTATACATTCTTATCGATTGGAACACCCTCACTTTCTCTTGATGCCCATCCCATCCAACTCTCGTCGTAAATACTGCTCTGCACACCGAGCTCCTGCAGCGCCAACCAGATGGTCGCAGCGGTCATACCCGAACCGCACGTGTTGGTAGCAGCCAACTCTCCGCCGCTCGACGCCTGTCTCAATTTGTCCAAAGCTTCCATGCCACCAACGATGTCGCTGAGAGTTCTCCACAGCTCTATCTGGTCCTTGAGCACGGTGTAATGCTTTCCATCCTTCCCTGTCTCTGTGTTGAGCAGGGTAGGGAAGGGAAGCGAAGTGCTGTGGGGGATATGACCTGACGATAGTCCTGGTCGGGGTTCTGGGTCTGTGCCGTCAAAGCGACCTTTCGGCCGTGCGTCAAAGACGGTCTGTCCTCGAGCGCCCATCTTGGCATTCGCGACCATCTCGTCGAATGATCGGATGATGCCGTCCTGCAGCTGTGGCTCAAGATAGGCGGTCTTTGGCACAGAGGTTGGCTCGCCGCTCTCTGTGGGGAGACCGTTACCAATCCAAGCTGGAAGACCGCCGTTGAGTACTGACACGTTTAAATGGCCGAATGCTTTGAAAGTGAATGCGGTTCTTGGTGCTGAGAAGACGCCGTGCGTGTCGTACACCACCACATGTGTCTCTGGCTCAATCCCGTGTTCTGATGCTGCTTCAGCAAAGGTCGCGGGGGATGGCATCATATGAGGAAGGTTGCGAACGCTCTCGCCAGTAGTCGCGACTTTGTCAACGTTCCAGAAGAGAGCTTTGGGTAGACGAGGACCCGCTTTGAACTCTTCGAATGCATTGCGTGGTGGTTTGGAGTTGGGCATGAACCATGTCGCGTCAAGTATGCGTAGCTTGTTGCTGTTGGTATCTTTGTTCGTCTCTAGCAGAGATGCAAGAGCCTTTGGTGCGATGACGAGAGGGACTGTGGCAGGTCGAACAGTTATACTGGTGTTGGAACTCATGGTTCGAATGTTGGAGCCGGCTCTTGCCGATGATGTCGAGCCAATTCGAGGTAGCAAGCTGGTAGATGCGAAGTTGGCAGATCGAGCTGCAAGAAGCATGATTATGGTCGGGTTTAGTGTCCCTGGAATGGTTACAGGCAGGTAAACTAGCGGGACAGGATGAGGCTTGGTGAGGAAGAGAAATGAGGAAGAGGTTCCAGTAGCATTATGGCAGCTCCGTTGCGTTTCCCAGTTCTTCTCTTCTAAAGTGGAGAAAATTGGATTCTAATTACTCGCGCGAGTAACTCCTGGGTTCTGGAGGATGTTGGATGTTAAACCTCGTTTTTCAAATGCCGTTTCGGGACAATTTTATCGGACCGAATCGCTGTATTTCTCCGACCATAGATGCCAAGAAAAAACGGCAAACACGGCCTAGAACTCTCAAACGAGCATGCTCAAATCCATTGCCACATGGCGACTATAATGAGAACGGTCGAAGGGCAGCGACCCAGCACACCTTCTACAGCTGGAACCCCGCGGGGAATGCAGAGCAGTTTCAGTAGGAGTGTTCAGCTACCAGTCAAAAGCAGGAACATGAAGATGCACCGTCTGCGTCAGACTGTAAGGTCATCCCACGATGTTACATCTTGATCCTAGCAAGGAATCGAAGGCTCCAGTGTGTGTCAGTAGAGCCGACTGTCGATAAACAAGGTTGGAGCGACAGCATACAAAGTTCGAAGACGGTTGTCAAGTTTGGAGGCTCATCTGATAGAAAACGTCCAATACGTGCTAAACCCGAAGCGAGGTTGAAGCATTACTTGGTCGCAAATTTCATATCATTTTTGTTTTCTTTTAATGAGACACCTGGTGCAAATGTGAATTGGCAGGCACTTTAGCAGGCACGGGAAGAATTGAAAACCTCAAAAAACAAACTTTTTCTTTAAATTTTCGTCGCTGAGATTGGCTGTCTCATTCTGCCCATTAATTTGGGGTTTCCCTCTCCAATAGCACACAGTGTCACTAGCACCAAAGGAATGGTCATAACACTTGGACCAACAGGAATGCTTGCTTTCTTGCTTGCTTGCTTGCCTGCCGTGCTCGCTTGCTTGCTTGCCTTTCTTGTAACTCGTTCGTTCGCATGACCTCTCACAGTTGACCGTCGTTTGAAGCTGACCCAACATGCAGGTGTGTCTGACGAACCTGGAGTCCCCGCCAAACCCGCTGTGGGTTCCCTCCTGTCTTGCTCTGCCCATCTCGCACATCTCCTTGTCCTACCCTCCTACAGTTACTCCTACTTGACCCTTGCTTGGTGTCCTCTCCAAGGATCTTATCCCCATTCTCCGCAATCTCTTTACCTCTTCCCCACGATGATCCCCTTTCCCCACGACTGAAGCCATTGTCGTGTGTCTTACGAAGGCCACTCTGGATCGTGCAACCAGCAAAGATAAGCGCAAAATCAACCTGGTCGAGCCTCGGCGTGTCCAGCTTCATTTACTGCTCGCTCGTCGCCCTGCCGTCGGTCCTGTAGCTGCGTGCATCTCCTGCACCCCACAACGCGCCCTCAAGCCTTCTAACCGAGCTTCGTGGGTTGGAAAGGTACAAGTGGGACCCTGCTCCGCTCCTCGTTTCGTCGTAGCCATCATCCTCCTCCTCTCTTCACTTCCCACCACCACCACTACCACCACCTCCTCTCTCGACATCTTTCGCCATCATGTCGCACTCCAACAAGCAGGCGTCCATCACCCTTTCCAAGCAGGAAGACCACTTTGCCACCCAGCAGCTCTCCGCCGCCGATGTCTCGTCCAAGCGTAGCTTCGGTCTTGCTTCCACCGTGGAGGACCTCCGCGAGCACTGGCGTGTCTACATTCTTGGTATCTGCGTTTCGTTCGGAGGATTGCTGTTCGGTTGGGACACCGGGCTTATCGGTGGCGTTTTGAACATGCCTGCTTTCCAAGACGACTTTGGTCTTGTTGGTCAGCCCGCCAAGCTCGCCGCCTTGAAGGGTAACATCGTTTCGGTTCTCCAGGCCGGCTGCTTCTTTGGTGCTGCCGCCAGTTTCTACCTCCCTCACAAATTCGGTCGTCGCAACGCCATGTTCATCTCCGCCGCTGTCTTCCTTGTCGGCTCCGTCATCCAGACCGCCTGCCGCCTCGGCGGACAAAGCGCCAGCTCCGCTCTCAACCAGCTCTATGTCGGCCGTGTTATCGGTGGTTTCGGTGTCGGTCTCGCTTCGTCTGTCATCCCCATGTACCTGTCCGAGTGCGCTCCTCGTTCCATTCGTGGTCGTCTTGCCGGCATGTACCAGCTTCTCATCGTCGCCGGTATCTGTTTGGCCTACTTTATCAACTACGGTTTGGTCCAAGAGTACCCTGACCAGAAGTCGAGCGCCATGTGGCAGATTCCTTTCGCCCTTCAGTGTCTTCCTGGCATTCTTTTCATCGTCTCTCTCTTCTTCCAGCCCGAATCGCCACGATGGCTCGTCGAGCGAGGCAGGAATGAGGAGGCACGATCGTCGCTCGCCCGCATCAACCGTACTTCGCTCCACGACCCCGTCGTTGTCGGTATCCTCCGCGAGATCCAGGACGACCTCCAGGGCAAGGTGGGCCTCAGCGTCCTCCAGCAGCTCAGGATGGCCTTCTCCGACAAGAAGATAACCTACCGAGTCTTCACCGGTGCTCTCTTAATGTTTTTCCAGCAACTTACCGGGACAAACTCGATCAACTACTATAGTCCGCAGATCTTCAATGCGCTCGGTGTTACAGGCCAATCTGCCGGTTTGCTGGCCACTGGAGTGTACGGTATCGTCAAAACCGTTACTACCGGTTTGTTCCTGATCGTTGCCATCGAGCAGCTCGGCCGCAAGTGGTGTCTTATCATCGGCGGTCTTGTCCAGGCCTTCGCTCTCTTCTGGATCGGTATCTACCAGGCCATTCGACCCTCTGGAGCTCCTGTCGACTTTGCTTCCTACCTGACCATCGCCATGGTCTACATTTTCGCTGTCGGTTACGGTCTTGGTTGGTCCTCGGTTACCTGGGCCGTTTCTGCCGAGGTTGCTCCTAACCAGCTTCGTGCCCTTGCCATGTCGTCCGCTACCATGAGCCAGTGGTTCTGGAACTTCGTCATCGCTCTCATCACTCCTCGTGCTCTCAACTCAATCAAGTTCGGTACCTTCATGCTCTTTGGTTCAGTCACTGCGGTCGCTGTCGTCTGGGCAGCACTCTTCCTTCCCGAGTCCGGCGGTATCACCCTCGAGCTCATGCACAGGGTTTACGAGGGCAACATCATGTCCAGGTCCATCCAGGATCTTTCTCCCAAGGAGAGGAAAGTCTTCCGAGCTCGTCTTATGGCCGAGGTCGGTGGCACTGCTGATGAAGGCACAAGGGTTGGCGATGAAGGTCAGCACAACGCTGCTCACTTTCCCACCCTCAACAGGGATGACTCACGCAAAAAGGCAGACGATGACATGATCAACGCTACCTATGCCAACAGCTCTGACAACGAACACAGGAGATAGACTTAGGAGGGGTTGGTTTTGGAAGAATCGAAAATCTTGGTTCTTCACGATACATTTTCTATAAAAGCTGTCACCTCTACTGCATGCACGCTTGCACGCTTAGGCCCTCTTCCCTCTTGTCTGTACCCATATACCACTATACCAATCTACTGCGCAACATTCCGCGTTGTCTGGGCTGGCTGTGCATCAATGGCTCCCTTTGTTTGAGTGTCCTTTGTTCGAACATGTCAAGTTAGGCTCCCTTTGCTCTGATGTATCAGTCGTGCATGTCCTGTCTCGTTGGACATGTCCCTTTCTCCTGTCACTCTGTGCACTTTGGAGGCATGGGCGTCCTTTCCGGCTTGCCAAGTCGCTGACATCGGTGATAATGGGTATCGCCGATACAGGGGAGCCGGAGGAGGACCGTGCTCTGCGCTGCGTGTTGTGTACACAGGACAGGATGCACCTCGCCTCCTCACTTCAAAACCACCACCACAGACTCGTCAAGCGTAGCCCATCTTTGACCCAAACGACATGTCTCAAGCGTCTGGTTCGTCAACGAGATGTGCACCATCGGATGGAGAAGATAGAGAGTAGAAGGAGAACGATGGAGCCCATAACAGCGCCTGCGATGGCTCCTTTGTTGATGCCGTTGTGTGCAGGGGCGATGGGCTGCGAGTTAGCGGTAGTGTAGATGGTGTTGATCGGCGCCGCTGTTGCTGAGGTGGATGTCGAGGAGGTAGTCACTGTCGAAGAAACTACTATGCGAGTGGAGAGAATAGAAGGCGTAGCGCTGGGAGCAACGGTTGTGTTTGCTACTGTCGACGCAGCAGACCCGACCCCCACACCGGCAGAGGCCGACCGTGTGCAATCACCAAACGTAAAGCTCCTATCATCGATCGATGTTACCTGCACTGGGTTCTCGTTCGAGCTTGTTGTCGTCGTCAAGATGCTCCCATTGGTATCTGCCAATCCGATACCAACCCTGTACCCTCCAGTCAATGCTGTATCACCGAACAGCGTCGTCTTGCTGTACGCCCCTGGTGTCGGGACCTCTCCAGTGTTAGAGGCCGAATACAGGAGCATGTAGTTACGAGCGCCTTGTGTCGAGATGAAAAAGAGTTCGACATACGAGGCTACAGACCATTCTGTTTGGGTGAGCGTTGCGGTCCAATCGAGACGAGTACAGTTTATGTTGGAGACGCTAAAGTCGAGAGCGTTTGTTGGGATGGTAAGGTTGGAGAGGAGTAGCGCGCTAAGCGTGCTCAGTCGAATGAGCTTGTCATTGTCGAGCTCCTCGTGCTGGTAGGTAGCTAATATCAATGATACTGAAAGTGTTGTAGGGACGAAAGACGAAGACAGATGTGGGGAAAAGGGGGATCGACCAAGACGATCGTTGGATGAGGCTTGACAATATAGCTTAAACAAGATCCGAACTCCACAAAGGAGAGCAACAGAACGAGTCGAGCACAACTAAGTGGGACACAGACTGGTTCGAGTGCAGGCGGTTAAGCCATCTCGTGCGTGAAGTCTACCGCAGAATGGCCTACGCCCGCGACCCCGCTCTGCACTGCGACGCAGTTCGTGCAACCATGATTGACATTGTTGACGGATGACACTTTCAGATGCCTTGGGCAGCTCAGCGGAAGAATATGGTTGTTGCCTTCCCGGTTTCGCAGTCCCTTAGCATGACAGTTATTGTCTGTCTCTGTCAACGGTGAGTTATCGGCCGTGACAACACGTAGGAAAGGAATTGAGAAGCTTTCATGGGAAAATTGTTAAAATTGCCTAATTCGAGTGAGTCGCTTGCGAGCTCCCAGCCGTGGCCGTAAGGGGCACGGGCGGTCGAGCGTCGCGTGTAAGCGAGGCGGAATGCGCGCGAGAACGAATGACAAGAATGAGTGAAAAAAGTACTAGGGTGGGATGGAGGGTGAAAAAACTTGGTGATGCGCAGCCCGGAGGCAAGCGCAAGGAGAAGGTGATGAGGAGGAGGAGAGTGAGCAAAAGGAGAGGCGAGCAAAAGAGATGATGATGGAGAAGAAGGAAGAGAAAAGACCAGTCGGAGGAGAGATGAATGCGTTTGCAATGAAAATGAAGTTTTGCGCGTTGGTCACGTGCCCCTTCACTCACCATTGAACAATGCGCATGTGTTCATTCGCACGATAATTCCTGAATCCACATGCGCTTGGAGGATATATTTTCATTCAGGGTCCAGCCAATTTTATTTTATTTTATTTTTGTTTTTTTTGGGAAAGGATTTAGTTGAAGATCCGCCAGAATAACCAATATGCAGGGAAGCCGAGTGGCCGACAGACCGATCGCCTGCATGCATAAGTAAATTGTGTGGCAACCAATCAGGGGACACACACGAAGGAGAGCAACGAGGCATAGGAGAACAACGCCGAGGCACCATATGATACACGTAGTTCAGAGGGAGATAGCAGACGATCTCATGGGTTAGACGAAGGTATATATATGAGCAGTCTTGTAGTCATAGCTCACTCAGAAATTCAAGCATTGCATCTACGATACACCTGTGCAAAAGGAGCTAAGGAGTAGCCCGGACGAAGTGGTGTTTAGCATAACTTCAACTGATTTACGCCCTCGCTTACACTTCCCTGTGTTGGGCGTTGTAGTAGAATTTAAGACTCACAAAGACATTCTTTGTCCCCTGTGCGTCCACACCACACGCCTACCATCCTCTCGTTGGGGAAGAGTCATGCACCAGCACCAGGGTACACGTGTACTCTGTCACATGAGAAGAATCAATGATCAGGTCAATATGTATAAGGTCCAGGGGTCTAGCAGCTCTCTCGTCACTACCTTGCCCCATCTGTGTGCTTGTACTTTTAGATCACATGCACTTCTCACATGTCAGCGCGATGTCCGGTGTCACAGAAGCTGCGCAGGAAGATCCGAAATGAGGTATGAGGAGCTTTTTGCGCACAAAATTGTGAAACCAACTGGATCATGGGGTTCCAGTTGATTTCACCTGACAATAACCATGTCATGTCTGTCTGGTTGATTTTGCTGAAATCAATCAGAATATGACTATCCAGTTGATTTCACCAAACACACCGCAAGAAGCTTCCATCAGTATGGAACAAGCCAATGGACTACAAGGAAACAATGGGAGGCTTAGTAGGAAGACCTCCATGGTCAAGGGGGAGGCCAGGATGGTGGGAAAGGTTTCACATGTGAGGAGAAGGTCTGAGCTCAGCCAAGAAGAGGACCAAGCTCAAGAGCAAGCAGCAGGTTACCACACAAGGGGGACATGCTCTTGATTGCATAAGAACCAGTCACAAGGTAGACTGCATGGACAGGAGTGGGACAATATGGATGGTCACATGGTCAGGGAGAGCCATCAGATAGGGGCCAAGGGAATGGCCATGGATTGGGAGGGGAGGGGGAAGAGCTGAAAGGACCAACATTGGTACCATGAGGAGGACAGGCAGTGTCAAGAAGATTAACACACAAGGGGAGGAGGAGTAGGAGGAGGATGGGGACACTCCTCCACAAGGAGCAGGAGCGGTGCCATGGATGACACCTGTCAGCGGTCGTGTACCTGGAACCCGAGAACTACCGGTCTGGGTGATTTCAGCCAATTTCAGTGAGCATGCTTGAGGATGCACCTATCAGCCAATTTCACTGAAACTGCTTGAAGGCTGTTTGTTTGACAAGTTTTGGCTAACCACTGTGAACACTCTGTTCAGTGGTAGCATGGCACAGTCAGTTCCAGCTTGTTGCAGAACCCTTAGTGTAGGAATGAGGTTTGTCCACTTCGACATGAGTGTTTGAGGTGTCGATGATCAAACAGTGAATCAATAAGAGAAGTCTGGACTGCAGTATGTATACTGCCTTTGGAGAGGTGATTATCTGGACCACAGTATGACTGCCTACAGATGACATCAATGAGAGGTGATATGACACACCTACTCAGATTAGTAGCAATGGCCTGCAATTGCACTATATGACAGAAACAACTAAGTATACATTACAGTAGAGTATAGTTTAGTTAAGAATAGAGTGGATGCCAGATCCACTCATTCACTATGGCAGTGGGGTGTATTTATCTCCTCTTGCCATGGTGTCTTCATCACCATGGCCCCTCCCCTCTCCTCTGCACAGGGTATGGCATCCCCATCCATTGGGTATGGCCTCCCCATCTCTCCTGTTCTATCTGACTCCCACAGCTATCCTGCCCCTCCTATCCTTCCTATCCCTACTTCCTGTTGAGGTGCCAATCCTACTTTGTCAGCTTCATCATGCTCAGGGGTCTCCTCCCACCTCATCTGATGGCAAGGTCTCTGGTACCCCACTCTCAATAGCCATTCCTCTGATCTCAGTGGGGCACCTTCATCTGGTTGTGGGGCTGGTTGATCTGCTTCCTCTCGGGCCAGTCTTGGTGAAACCTCTCCATACCCACCATCCCAACCAATCTTGATGAAGTTTCTCTTCCACCTCGCTTTCCAACCATTCTCAGTGAGACTGGTTGGAACCCCTGGGTATTGACCAGTTCCACTGCAGATGCGCCAAGCTCATTTCGGCAGCTGCGCAACACGGCTGCTTATGACCTCTGCGCAGGCCCTGTGACAACACCCTCTGGACACATAAATACTACCACTTCACCATAGGATCCTCAACCACTCTACTCTTTACTTTACTTACTCTTACTTAGTTACATACCATTGCAATAGAAAGAAGCCTTTGCAATGACATCTCAAATGTGTGTGTTGTAACACTGTCAGACATCAGAACTGTAGGCAGTGTTCCTCTCAAACACCTGCAGTCCAGTTACATCACTGTAGGCAGTGTTGCTCAACACCTGCAGTCCAGTCAGTTATTGTAGGCAGTGCCCATCACCTGCAGTCCAGTAACTCCTGTCATCTGTAGGTGATAGGCATATCACAGTCTAGGCAATGTCAAAGAGCATTAAGCAACAGTACTATGAACACTTGTGCTGTTTAGGAGAGTGTAACACTCTCACCCCAGGTAGTCATGGATGTGCTGTGCAACCTCTGAACAGAGTGTTCAAGGTGGTCAGCCGAAACCTACCAGAACGAAGCTGTCTGGTTACTTTCAGTCAAAACATACTGAGTAGACCTTACTCAATTGATCTCACCAAAATCAATTGGAAACACCCAATCTGGTTTCAGGCGCATGACCGCTTACATCCGGGTCCAAATCCATGATTTGCTTGCCTTTTAATTTGTCCATGATTGCTCTGGACTTGTCTCAACCTGGGTGTCCAAGACACTCATCCATAACCACTGTTTGGAAATCTTTGGCTCATTCTTAATATGCTCGAACTCCTCATTGACACCATCAAATAATGGTGTTGTTGTGGTCATTGCACTCTCTTGCCATGTGTCACCTTGGAACTCCAATAGTCCTTGCTCGCAATTCTTTGCAACTTTAAGTGTCATGCCATTTGCTAAATAGATTTGTCTGCTGGTAGTATCCAGGATTACTTGTGCTCCCTCATCCATTAATGAATTTGTTGACAGGAGGTTAACATTGAGATGCTTGACATGTAATACATTTTGTAGGGGTATGTCCCCATAATCTGTTGATATGCTAACAACTCCTATAGCTGTCACCTCCAGAACCTCATTCCCAGCAGTGATTATGCACTTTTGACAGGTTCTTGGATGGGTGAGCATGCTATAGGTGTTCACCATGTGATAGCTCGCCCCCGAGTCCAAAATACAATGAGCTGTCTGTCATAGGAGCCGGATGCGCAGGAAGCAGGAAGAAGTTGAAGTCATATGAAGAGGAGCACAGAAATCGCAGGATTGGGCTAAATGAGAGCTTAAGGAAGAGTTCACTGAGATCAGTAGTAGAAACAAACCTATGGCATAACTTGTCAGGATCAGCAGGAACGAGTTCATTACTACAGAGTTCAGCAGGAATAGTAGTATCATGCTCACTACAGAAGATCTCACAGGAATTGGTTTGAGAGAGGCCTCTATTGCTGATAGGACAGGGAGGACAACCAACAAGGGAGAGGTAGCCACCAGATGAAGTAGGGGCCTGACACGATGATGAAGTTGGTGCAAGCAGATGGGTGCCAACAACAGGAGGGAGATGAAGGGGTGTGAGTCACCACCCAGATGAAGTGGGAATGGCTCCTGGTTATGATGAAGTGGCATGAGGACTGGCCATCCACAGGGTGCAAGGGAAGCGGAGCCAGAGAGCAGCATCACACAGAGGATGGGAAGGATAGGAAGGACGAGTAGGAGGAGCAGAGTTGAGGAGACCCCTGATGAGGAGCAGTGTTGAAGAGGCCTCCCAGAGTAGGAGCAGCATCACAGGTGATGTTGCAGGAGTGGGTATATAACCATGCCCCTCGGCATAACAAGTGAGTGGATCTCCATCCACTCTACACCATACATAACTAGTTATCACTTCACATAAGTATACATTAGTTCCAGTCAGCAAAGTCGCAATCAAGTAGATTGCTTCCATCATAGCACATGTGTTGTATCACTGCTCACTGACATCCAAAGGCAGTTCATAGCAAACCAGTGGTCCAGATAGCAATAGAACTGAAGGCAGTTGTCCACTGCAGTCCAGGGATCACCTCAAGCACTCAGTTGACACACTGGACACTTGTGTTAGCACCACCAATCATATCACTCACACCAGACCTTGGTGTAGTCACAATACATTCATCATTATTGATCATGCTGAGCTACCTTTGGATGGAGTGTCCACAGCAGTCAGTTGAAACCTGCAATAGCAAAACCACTACTACATCTTTGGGTAAGAAAAGTGATAGAGACACTTCTACTACATATCTCAACAAGAACAGTAATACATCAAGCATTGTCACAAATCTCAACAGGATTTGTAATAGACATGTTTCTATTACAGATATCAGGTTTTGGGCATGCGACCTCTGACACTGTCTCTCTTGGGTCCGGGGGTTCCTGCCAATTTGGTGTGAGGGTGAGGGAGCACCATGCTTCCTATTTGAATTTAGCAAAAGGAGAGTCCTTGGGAATGGTGACTGAGGCATCACAATGCCTGATTCCATGTCCTGTCTGTTTGCATACCCAGCATTGGATTTGTTGTGATCTGCTTGTGTTCTTTGGACTTGCATTGTTGTTGCCCATTTTGGTCTCCTCTGCCTGTCTGTCTTGATTGTCACTACCAGCAATCCTGGTGCTGGCCTGTTGAGGATCAATCTTTTGCATGGGGATACTTTCAACAGCAGTCTGATGGAATCTTAAAGCAATGGCAAGAGTAATGAAGTCAATTTGGTGGACAGTGGTGACTGTCTCTTTGTACACTGGGTGGCAGATTGTGCACTTTTGCAAAGCCAAGAACAATGTGTTGTTGGCAAATGGCTTTCCAAGGAGGCTGCTTTTGGTCTGAATGGACTGGATCTCCTGGATTAACTTCCTGGTGTTGGAATGGAACATCTTGATGTCACCCAGCTGTGAGATGAGTGCAAGTCTGTGGGATGTCTTGGTGGCTTTGTTTGTTAGCCTGTTTTCAATCTTTCTCCATACTTGATGAAAGGTAAGGTACTCTCTAATTATATCTAGGACAAGATAATTGATGTTGTGTTCCCCAGTAGTATCTATTGTTCTGCAGAGAGCATTGGTTAGGGTGTCATTGAGAGTGTGGCTCCATTTCAGGTGTTTCTTGTTGTATGCTCCCTCAAGTTGTTTCATAGCATGAGGTACAGATCAGAGGAATGACTTTACATGGGTGCTCCAGCTATAGTAGCTGTGCAATGTGAGCTTCAGTATGGGCTCAAGGAGCTTTGCTAAGGTGTGAAAGTTATATTGTTGTCACCACTGTCAAAGTTGGAGTCAGAGTCAGCTTCTTCATCAGCTTTGTTGTCAATAACCTCTAATCATTCTTGTTGATAGCTTTGTTATCAGCTCACACCTGGGTCATCTTGCCTTTCCTGCCTCCTTTGGTTCTTGCACTGGCACCAGCTTGAGGTTCAGCATCTTCTACCATGATTGTTGATGGGCTCCAATTAGCTCAGTTGATAGCTTCTTCAGACTCTTAATCAATTGAAGATGACAATTAGTATACACCATTAATGAGGCCACAATCAGGCTCCCTTAGCACAGTCATATGTCTTCTTGTAATGCTTAATATTTTGGTAGCCTGAATCTTAATGACAAACACACATATATACTCTATTGCTACCTTTGATCATGTCCAAGCCAGATGAGTCACCTCTTTTGTAACCCCCTGAGTTGCTGCTTTCTGCAATGCCCCTGAGCCATTGCTATGGTAATGTTCATGTGCCTTATTGTGTTCATTGCTTATGCATGCATTCGGTCCCTCAGTGTCTTGGCTATAGCTCGTGCATTCTTCTTGAGATGCCAACACATCTTCAACTGATGGCAACAAGGGAGGAAAGAGCAGTATCGAATGACTTTGCAGATGGTTTCTCATAGTGATGGTTGGTCCGCATTGGGCCCTTCGCCGCATCACTATCACGGTGCAAACAAGTAACCAGATGAAACACCGATCATCAAGCTCTTTCTACATTTTCTATCACGTTATTAATTGGCCGATCATGGATGCAGCCACAGCGGAGAGCAATATGAGAGAGGTTGTGAGCAGGAATGTCGAGAAGATCACGCATGCTTCGTTGTACGATGTCAACGAAAAGATGGGGGAAAAAACTCTGTCAAATGCAGGCCAGTAAAAAGGAATAAAAGAAATGCATTGACGGGGACTCGAACCCCGGTCGAGTCGAATCGAGTGGATTAAACACCTGTTTGGTGTATGAGACTGGCAACGACTCATGATACCCCTACACTATCAATGCGACGGTGCCTGGAATCGGCCGTAGAAGATATACATTAGAAATAAGTACAATCCAAGCATGAACTGGCCCGTTCCGACGACTTCGTCGCTTGTCTGCCCTTCATAGCGTCGACCCAGCACCCTCTGTGGTGGGTACGGGTCTTCAGATCAGCCCCTTTTATCTTTCCTTGCTCACCTGGCACACACAACGCATACAGGAAGCACAAGTCAATCGTAGAAGCAACAAGAACGCGCGACACACGGATCTCAGAAGATGATCAAGCAAAGCACACACAAATATCAAAGTACTCATGGGAGGTATCATAATCTCTATTGAGAGCGTACATGGCGGTCAACAACAGGAAGGAGTGGCTGCTAGCAAAATGTAAGGGAAATGTTTCCTACTTGCGAGCCCAATACATGAAACTTGCTTCTTCTTCATCGTTACATTATATCTTCAACTTTATCGCTCGTTTAAGCCTTGTTTGCGAAACCGACACTGTTGTTGTCAGTGTCAAAGATAGCAACGACGTTCTGCAAGAACGAGTCACCGGTAATCCAAGCGTTCAAGCCCAAGTCGGAACCAGCGACGGACAAGACACACTTGCCGCTGTTGGTGGTACCGAACGAAGTAGTGGCGGCACTGAGAGTCTTGGTGTAGCTGCCATACCTGAAGGTGACCTTGGGAGGCGAGTTGCAGTTGTAGTAAGCATAAATGCTACCGTCCTGCTGGAAAGTGGGCAAGCCGAGGGTCTGGAAGAGAGTCCGAGCCTGGCTTGTGGGGGCAACGATGATGGTTGTGCCGGTGTCAACGATCGAGTCGATGCGCTGGCCGTTGACAGAGGCGGGGACCTGCCAGAAGCCCTGGTTGGAGTCAATGTTGACGTAGACAGGGGTGGATGAGTACTTGGCGGAGTCGGTGCCACCGAGGAAGAGCGAAGAGCCAGAGGTTCGGAGATCGAACTGGAACTTGCCCGAGGTGACGGCACCAGCCTGCTTAAGGCGGTAGAAGTAAGGAAGGTACTTGGAGCCAAAAGCAGCGAGCTGAGGAAGAGCCATACCCGAGATACCGGAGGAACCCTCAGAGGCGTCGATGAAGGTGGTGGTGGAAGCACCGATAGCAGTGTTGGTAGCGCTCAAACCACCGATGTGAACAGTGTCAGTGTAGATGGTACCCTTAGCAGTGGTGCCGTCACCATAAGCAGTGCTGAACTGGTCACCGTTGGTGCGGGAAGTGGAAGAGGCAGAGGGTTTGAAGGTACCCTTGTTCACAAGAGTGTCGGAGGAACCAGTATCAAAGTCGATGGAAAAGCTTTGAGCAGGAGTACCGTAAGCCATGGTACCAGTCCAGAGCTCACCGCCCTCCTGGTCAGTGAGAGCGACGGAACCAGTGGCACGCTTCTTGAGCTCGGCAGGGAGGTCGCGCTTGAGAGGGTGGACCTTGCCGGTGTTCTTCTCAAAGTTGGCGAGATTCTTGGAGTACTTGGCGCGGAGGCTGCTCATGTGAGCGTTGACCTTGGACCAGTCGATCTGGTCGGTACCGGCGATCTTGAGGTTGGAACGCTTAGCGATGTCGATGTTGATACCACGCTCCTCCTTGTTAACTGGAGCCGCGATGGCGAATGCCGAACTGGCGATGAGACCAGCGACAAAAGAGAGCTTGAGCTGCATTTTGGTGGGAAGGTATAAGGGTGGGGGCTTTGGAAGGGGTTCTAGGAGGGTATCAAGGTCCGAAGAAGAGTAGGAATGCTATGTGAGGAGAGGAGAAGGGATGGGGATAGATGAGGATTCGATTCAGAAGTAGCATCTTTCAGGCTGCCTTTATAGTTATCGACAACATAACATCTTGCTGATACAAGAAAGTGTAGCCTGCAACACCGTCTCTGTAGTCTGCCCGTGTGTGGCAGCTGTCAAGCTCTGCTATCTCCCATCGAAGGTCCGAAAGCCTGGTAGCTTGTCGCTTGAGCCTCTCCTGCAGGCTTGCAAACGAACATTAGCTCCAATCACAGCACTCGGAAGTCAGTGCACCGAAGGAAAAGACCCTGTTGGAGCAAGCTTGAGCGTTAGAGCAGCAGCAAGGCCAGTGCTGTGCTTTGTCGCAGTGTTGGTGCGGCGATGGATGTATAGGCGAGGCGAGAGGAGAAGAAAGGTGAAAGGAATCGGCTTTCTTTCCCCAAAAGGCAACACGCGAGGCAAGGGAAGCAACAAGGGTAGGGTCTGAGAGGAACAACTGAGCTAGAGCTCGTCTCGGTTATCAAAAACCTGTGAGAAAGAAAGCGGTCATCCGAGGGTTGGAAGTAGAAAGGCCGCTTTCAATGGCGCCGATGCCGTCGGCGCACCTCATCTTGAGCGCTTCTCGATGCGCAGATTAGGTCGGAGTGTGAACTTCCTTACTTGGTTTGTTGTCTAGGTGGAGGTGTTGTCGGTAGATACTGATTTGCATGGTTCTCAGCGCAAGATACCGATGACACCCATCAAAGCCTAAGTTGCGCTTTTGCTCCCTCTAGTGTGGTCAGCACGGCTGATAAAGTGACCGTCAACACAGTCCTTGATCGATGTTTGATGCACTTTCCTGGACGTGTCGGAGTTAGTTGAAGATATGTCGGAAAATTTCCAGGGTTTATCCAGAATGCCGAGAGGGCCAAGGTGGTGCAAGCAAACACCGCTTATTCATGAGCTTCGTCCAGACACACGAAATGCATCAAGGTTGACATGACAATGGCTCAGGAGCTCTGCAGGAGAGACATTCGACTCACCTAAGAGAGACGATGTGAAGATATATATACTCATGTTGGTAACCTTAGTCTACTTGAATACAACAAGCTTTGCAGTTGCTACACACCTGGTCGAAGAGAGCCTGATCGCGACCTCAACGAAGTGGTGCATACATTTCAACTGAGTTGCAATCAACTCGAGCTAAAAGGCATCGCTGTCGTCGAAGCCCAACAATCTGCTGCAACTCTGTTGCAATCGTGTTCGTCCGTGGATGCTGCACCCTCGCGTTACAACTGATCCGCTCATTCGCTGTGATTGGTTGCTTCTCCGCCATCTGCCCTCGATGAGGTTGTCATCTGTTCTGCTCTCAGAGATGGTGATGATGGCGATAGCAAGCTGCACGATCAAGTCGAGAAACGGCTCACCATCTTCCGTTCGTTGCAACCTTGTTCCCCTCGGCTTGATCAACTGTCGCCCTTTGATGCCAATGTTGCCGCCCTCAGGCTCATTTGCTTTTCCATCCGCAGGTTGCTTCCTCTTTCACTCGCCAAGCTGATCTGAAGGCAAATCCTTAATCACAAACCCGTATCCCATGACAATGGGACGCTAATGTACCTTCTCACTCCGCTGCGCAAATTCGGAAGTGCACCTGCCGACCATGCACTCCATTGTATCATCATATCCCATCGTCTCAAGATAACCTAACCTTCCCTCATATCAGCATCTGCTGCGACGTCATGTTCACCTTCCAGCCGACGCCCACCAACATCCGCCGGCTGCAAGGCCGCTCGGATTGGCCATATCCGCAAGCCGTTAAAAGCGAAAGTATTGCGACGTTGAAAGTGTTTGCGTAGGATCACATCGCGTGCTTGGACTGTCGCCAACATTAGATCTGCAAAGCAGCTGACCCCTCAGAAAAGCCTTCTACTGCAGACATTTGAGAAACAAGGCTTAGAAACTGCAGCCGAGTCTGATATGGGCAAGAGACATTGTTTGTTCTGACAGGACGACCCTTGAGAACCGAGTGCTTCGCTGAACTAAACCGGGCATGTTACTCACCATGTTTCTCACCATGGTAAATGATCTTTCAGACCCTCTTCCACTGCCACGAGTGCATGACCAGCAACCGGCATGAACTTGGGCTCAAGTCTCAGATCTTCCAATCAGCTGCATCCGAGAATCATCCACCCTCTCCTGCCATGAATCTCGGTCCTTCTCCGTTCCATCAACCGATCATCGAGCACATCCTTTGTAACTCCGTCCCATCTACTCTATTAAAACCTTAATCTTGGTCGCCATACACCATCTCACGGCACCTGATCTCACCAAATCAAAGGCTATCATGCAGACCGGAAAAATGCCGAAGGCTGTTCGGCGGTGACGGCGGTTGCTTGCGGTATCACGTCTTCCGCCGGCCTTGCTTCCAAAGATGGAAGGTTGAGAAAAGAAACCCGTCCTCACAGCCGAGAGGGAGATAGGAAAAAGGACGCTAGTGCGTTATCAGCCGCTTCCCTTTCTCAACCGCGGTCAGCTCAGTTTTTATGGTCCCCACGAGTTACCTCGCTAGTCCACTGATACGGACCTCGCCGAGCATCACATAACTTTGGTAGAGACAGAGTTCTAAAAGCCTGAGCTTGAGTTCACTACCAGTGTCGATCGTGAGCAAAGAAGGGTGGAGAGATTGAGCGGCGGCAGGGTATCTCCAAATCCCGTATTCCGAACTCTCATCCTTCGCTTAACGCAGAGAACCGTCTCTTGCTGCTCGGATGGTAGAATTGATAGAAAACAGGCGAGTTCACACAGCGCTCAGAGACTCAGTTGCCGCGGCGATCAACGGTGTTATCATCTCTTTCTTACCCATCTGTCTTCCGAATGTGACCTTCCGACGGCGTCTCGGGGCTCAGTATCGCACTGTTCTATATCGAGCGTCACTCACTCTCATGTCCAAATAGCGAGATGGGAGTTGGTTGACCGAGTTGGAATGCTGACCCCAATCTCGGGGAACAGTCTTCCGTTCGGCTCTCAAGCTGTTGCTACTGACGCTGCTGCATTGTTCCTAAGCTAGTGAAATGCAGCCGATGCACACAGCTGATCATCGCATTCATGTCTCGGTTCGTATGCCAATTTTTCAACCACACTAGAGCTGCTAGATAAAGTGCATTGACGTTTCACTGGGTCGCAAACTAGAATGTCTGATTTGATTTGGATTGGTAGGCAATCGTCGATGCGATCGGGTGATGCACGCTTAGAGATTAGACTTGACAGCAGCAATGCACTCGATCTCGACACCAACGTCCTTGGGCAGACGTGCGACTTCAACAGCCGATCGGGCAGGCTTGTAAGGTGAGAAGCGCTGTACATTCCAACAAAGAGCAAAGTGGGATTTGCATCAGTGCCTCTTCTCTTGCCTCCACCATCATTGTACGAAGGTATGCTACTTACTCGCTCGTAAACTTCCTACAATCCCATCAAACACAAGTCAGCATCACAAGAAGGCATCGATACAGTCACTATCTTCTCTGCCTATCACCGGCATACTTGGGCTCGTAGGTGATCGGGACTCACGTTGATCTTAGCAAAGTTGTTCATATCCTTCATGAAGATGGTGCACTTGAGAATGTGCTATTACCCCGCCAAAATCCGAACGAATGCAAAGTCAGTATCCTTCTCTTGACAACGATGCTAGCTAAGGGAGGGTGCGACTTACCGAAGGCTCAGAACCAGCAGCCTTAACAACAGCAAAAAGGTTGTTCATAGCCTGTTCGGTCTGCTCCTCAATTCCACCCTCTACGAGCTTCATCTCAGTGGTGAAAGGGATACAACCGCTGACGTAGGCAACACCGTTGTGCACTACAGCCTGAGAGTAAGGTGCGACGGCACCGGGAGCTTCGTTGGTGTGAACGACTTTGTAAGGGGTGGTCATTTTCGTTGCTGCTACTACTGAGGTAGTGGATAAGGTTCGGGCGGTTGGAAGGCGGGTTAGCGATCGAGTTCCCGTAGTTATGAGGAGTCGTGATGATGAGGGGCGGATGATGCGGGCTGCGCAGTTTATCATCATCAGTGAGATGGATGGTGTTCCGCTGTGTTTTGTTCTTGTGTAGCTGATGATAGACTCACTGATTGTGCGATGGAGGTGGATGATGAAGTGGTGAAGTGGATTGTGGCTTGTGTGGTGTGTGCGGCTGGCTGACTTGAGAAGCAAGGTAGCGTCTGGAAGAAATGCGGCTTCTTGAGCGGGGAACAAAAAAGCGCACGGATCAACTCACACTTCATCGCAGATTCATTTCCCGATAGAGAGTAAATCGGAGATTTTGTGTTGGTGTGGAGAAATTCAAGGGTCCAACTTGCGTTTTGAGTTTGCCTTCTTCACGCGTGTTCATGACACAGAAAGTATGGACCCTGAACGCTTTCCTGCCAACACCATTCACTTTCTTCTTTCCCTTTGGGGACGGACGACATCATACTATTCCCCAGCATAATCAACACATTCTCAAGGGGACAAGATGTCATCCACACGAGTCTCGAAACGTCGTCGAACGTCACATCTTAGCGAAACCTCGCTCAGCCCTTCAGCCGGCACCAACACTCTGGCCTCCTCATGCTCCTTACCTGCACCTGCCACCACCGAACCCTCCTCCTCCTCCCAGCCCGATACTCTCCGCCGCTTCTTCTCATGGTGCGGCAAACAAAGGATCGCCATCGACCACCGTCTCGACCTCCGCTACACATCCTACAATCCCAACTCATGGTCCATCTCCATTCACGCCTCCACCTCAATTCCAGCCGACTCTGTCATCGTCACCATCCCCAAATCCGCCGTTCTCTCCCGCAAGACATCGGCTCTATCCCCCTTCCTCCACTCCGAATCCGAAAGATGGCTCAGCGACAACCCCGAAACAGTCGGCCTGGAACTCTCCCTCTGTCTCCTCTATGAACGACTCCTCCAATCCAAATCCCGTTTCTACCCCTTTCTCTCCATCCTTCCCCGTCTGCCCCTCCCCTTACCTTTCCTCCAACCCAACATCAATCCCTGGTTGAATGGCACCGAAACCCATCGAATCAACTCTCGCGCTGAAACGTCATACCATCTCTCCAACAACACCGGCTCCTGGGTGTGGGAGGGCCACGACTACGGGATGTGCAAAGCTAAAGCTCTCGACTATTTCCATGATGTTGGGGTTCCGGTGTTGAGGAAGAGTGGGTTGTGGGGGAAGAATGAGGCAGAACATTTGGATGGGTTGGAGGGGAAGTTCATGGCGTGCTATACGCATGTTAGCTCGAGGGACTTTATTGTAGATGCGTATCATGGGGTGGCGTTGGTTCCGGTAGCGGAGTTGTATAATCATGCTGAGGTGAACACAGTGCAGTTTGAGAGCGATCAGGATGTGTGTGAGTGCTGTGGGACGGCTTTGATTGGAGGTCATGATGAGGGGAAGTGTCGAGCTCGCAATAAGGAGGAGAAGAGCGAGGATGCTTCTTCGGATGGGGGCGAGGTGGAGGAAGATGAAGCTCGGTCGACAGCGGAAACTGAAGAAGATGAAAGCGAGGTGGAAGTGAAGGAGGAGGAGGATGACGAGGCAGAGCAAGAAGGCGAAGCACAGTCAGAGGAAGAAGACGACGAGGAATTTGAAATCGAAGACACTCTCGATCTACGCACTCTCACACCCCACTCAACCGGCGACGAGATCTACAACACCTACGGACCCCTCACCAACCCCCTCCTCCTCACTCGCTACGGCTTTTGTCTTGACACCGAGACCGATTTCGAACGCTATACCCTCGATCTTCGATTCGCCCGCGAGAGAAGATGTTATCTCGAAGCTTTCCTTTCCGATCCCACTTTCTTCTGCCCGAATGATGGCATGCCGGCGATTGTAGGGGTATTTGTTACAGTGCTTCGCTTCATCCGAAGTCGATTTCCACCTTGCGAAGAAGGAGAGGAAGAAGAAAGAGAGGAAGAAGAAGGAGAGGAAGGGGCCAGGGAACTGAAAGTTTTCGACAATCTACATCAGCTTGAATCGCTCCTCCCACTCTCCTCTTTCCCTCCCGCCCTATTCATCATCCTATCCCCTCTCATCCATCCACAACCAAACCAAGACGATGATCTGGTGGACAGAGACCAACTTCAACCGCTCTTCCTCATTTCTACGGGCCAAACAAGCATTCCACTATTCACCCTTACCTATCTGATGCATCATTTCCACAACTCCTCACCCCTAATAACCCCACCTCTCCCTACCGAGCTTGAGGTAGAGGACGCAAAAATGCAAGCAACCTTATCCACCCTGCACGCATTCTGGACTGCTCGATTGGAACATCTCCACATCCGCCGCAAGGTGGACGAAGCACTAGCGCTCTTACAACCCGACTCAAAGGAGGAGTACATCACAAAAGCATGCATTCAACAAGCGTATCAAGAGTATGTTTCACTCAAATCTGCTCTTGCCTCACTCGAAGAGCTTCTCATCGTTTCACCCTCTCCCTGATCACACAGTCACACATCGCAAAACACTTTGTAACAACATAATCAATTCAAACACCATCTCCTCTCACACGAGCTTAAAAAGTCTGCCAACCACCTTGATCCATCGCAGCTTCAATCTTCCTCGCAACAATATTCGCCACACCATGACCCCATATCTGTTTCCTCAATCCATCATATCTCTGCTGATGCAATTTCTGAGGTCTACCTTTCCTCAACCCTACATCTATCTCACCATGACTATCCAAATATGGCGAAAGGAAATGGAACGTACCATTCCCATGATACAACAATAAAACCAGGTTAGATTTGATCTTGAAGTACGCACCTACGCTGCCACCGCACACTTCCATGTGCTGATTGCATTCTCCTTTTTCTCCATCATCTTCGGATTGACAGCAGAAGGATTGAAGACAGACGATGTCACCGCAGAGTAAACAGAGTGCGGGTTCGGGCGGAACGTTGCCGCATTTCTTGCAATGACGTCTGCGGGTGTCTTGGAGGAGAGTGGCGAGGTCGGAGGGTAGTTTGGCGAGTTCGTAGACGTGAGGGTGCTCGAGGAGGAGGGTTGGATGCGATTCGGCTCTTTGCAGGCAGGAAGAGGTGAGAGAGTGAAGACCAGCCGAGGATCGGCCGAGGGTGCCGCTTGCGAGAGAAGCGCTTCCCGAGGCACTGCTGGCAATTGCAGCTGCGGATGAAGGTCGATCGTGAGTTACCGAGTTCAATGCCTGACTGCCAAACAGAGCGTTACCCAACGGTGTTGGCTGAATGGGGAGCGGGCGGAACAACGATGCCAGAGGCACGTAAGCATGCTTGATCCAGCCTTCCACCAGACTTGCCATCGGTGTCTGCTTCTCCGCTCGCACAGGCAAGGCAACGGAAGGAAGCGGGATCTGCAACTGAGCAAGCAGCCGTCGATACTCTCCTGGAGATTCCTCGCCCGTCTCCATAGCATCTTGTCCTGTTGAACCAGTGCTCGAAGTCGAAACCCCAAGCACACGGCGCAAGATAGCAGCGCGTCGCAAGAAAGGCAACGTGTAGCTGCAAATCATCTTAGCAAGCGTATCGTCATCCAAGTTGTCGAAGCCCAGCGTGATGTTGCCTCTTGCGTAGCCGACGAATCCGATGATGTTGACTACAGTCCAGCGAACGTCGGGGAAGATCAACCGTGCCTCTTTGACATCTTCCTTACTGATGTGACCCGGCTTCAAGCCTGCACCGGGTCGAGGTGCTGATGTCGAACCAAACATGTTGCCCATATGACCATACACTTGTGGCCAGATCGAAGGCTGTGCAAGACCAAACACGGTCTGTACAAGGCAGATGTAGTACATTAAAGCCGTGCACTGCGTGAGCGCCTCTGGTGCCACGACAGCAGCCTCGATCAAAATCGTCATCGGGTCTCGAAGCAGCAGAGGCGATCGAACAGCATCATCGCCACCCCAGTGCGGCAGGAGTCGCTTAAGCAATCCACGACGTATGATGTCCGGCCCTTTCGATCCTTCGTGGAATGTCAAGGTCGATACGCGCAAGCAGTGGATCAACGAACGCAGCAGATCCACCGTCGAGTCATTGAGCGCATCCGCCACAGACCTCTGCTCGACAGGAACATTGCAGTCGGTCGTTGGCGATGGCGTCATACCTCTTTGCGACACTTCCAGCATAGCAATTGTGTAAGCGACAAGCTCTTCTGGAATGTACATCTTGCGTCCTTGCGGCGCCAAGATCGTATGCTGCTGAAGCTTCTCTCGGTCCGGCTTTGTGGCGTGAGACATGGTCTTGAGCACGTTCATCAGTCGATCGATCGTCTGTGCAGTCGAGCGATCAATGTTGGCAATCTCGAGACGCATCTGCAGCGAGCTCTGCGAATGGTCGACAAAGAAGGGCATGAATGCACCGCTGCCGTGATCGGTCTCCTGGTAGTCGGCGACATTGGTCTTGGAAGAGTGCTTGAGAATATCGATGTTGATCTTGCGGATCCAGTCCTGCAGAGGTGTTCCATCCGCCTGCACTGAGTCAAATGGCACAAAGACGTTGCCAGTCGATTCTGCCGAGTCTGCCGCTGCAGTGCTGCCATCAGCTACTGGTAAGATGACGTTGCCCAGACTCTTGCACAACGGGCAGATGAACTCTGAACGCTGCAGGTCTTCTGGATGGTTGCGGGCGATCTGCTGGGTGTGGCGCTGCTCCACGCTCCTGCAGTACGTCTCGAAGCAGTGCAAGTGCATGAGATGGCCGCAGGTCGAGGCGTAGAAACCGAAACGGTGGTCTTCCTGAGGGAAGCTGCCATACGCAGGTCCATTCCTGCCCTTCTGTGCGTTGGTCTGCGGCAGACCGCTGCGACCCATCGGCGCAGTGCCTTGAATCCGCTTGCCATCGCTGCTGCTGCGATCCATGGTCAAAGGAGCCTCTAAAGCTTGTTGCAAGCTGGGTGCATCCTGCTTGGGCGTCATTCGCATCATCCGACTCGGCTGGATGTGAGCGAGACTACCGAACGCCTTATCCGATCCGAGGTGTTCTTGGCAAAGAATGCAACTACCCCAGCTCTTCTTGGGCGCTTTCGTCTCCGCTCCGACAGAATTCGTGGCTGTATCCACTTCATCCTCATCGTCTTCGTCATCGTCGTCGTCCTCAGCACCGAGTTGGTCGAGCAAACTCTTCTGCTGCGCCGAGAACTTCTGCATGATGGCAGCCTGTCGGGCTTTGGCTGCTGCTCTGCGAGCCTCTTCGGCGCTCTTTTGCTTTGACACACCGCTTCCTGTGGCACCAGCACCACAAGCACCGACGGCACCACGCCCCGTAGCTGTGAAGTGCGCCTGAACCACATTGAGTGCGGACTCTGAGTGCGAAGCGAGCTTCTCCAGACACCAAGTGATCTTGCTCTTGAAAGGCTTGAACTTTTCAAGCAGCTCAATCCGGCAGAGAAGCTTGACTAGTGTCGACTCCTTAGCTGGATTTTCACTTGGGTCCTCGCCCTCGTCATCAGCAGCCTCGAGCTTCGAGACTGGAAGCGTAGCCGCCTTGTCCGCAAAGCTATCAGCAGCGTCGACAAGACCAATCATGGCGATCTGCAGCGCTGCATCAACGAGTAAGTCGGGTGCGTGGGTGTGGAGTGCGTGCGTGTTGTCCAGAGCCTTGAAGAGCAGCGAGACAAGGATGTCGTTCGAGAGCACATCAGGCAATCGACCAAACAGCGTCCCTCGAAGCTGGTGCAGTGCTGGACTGGGCACCAGTGGTGGCAGATCCTCATCCTTGATGGCCGAGACTGGCTCGCCACTGCTCTGCGCCAGACGCTTCTTCTGACGTGTGCGGATGACCTCCTCCACCTTCTCGCGCTGGTTGCGCGTGTAGTGGTAGAAGAAAGGCTGGATCTCGGCATAGCACTCGTCCTTGAGCTCAAAGATGCCAAAGTCGTGGGTGCCATCTGGTGCGCGGAAGGTTGAGACCTGCGAGAGGATGCGCTCGAACGAGGCGTGGTCGGTGAACTTCTCTGGGATGTTCTTGGTGACGTCGGAGAAGGTGCCTTGCCCAAGCGCCAAGAAGTGGATCACCTCGCGTCGGATCTGTGCCTCAATCGGCCATGCGCAGACGGACGAGAGCTCCGAAAGACATGTAGTGATGATGAAAAGGAACTCTTCGGCAAGGAAGACGCCCTGCGCTGGATCGCATGGCTTGTCGCCTGGCGCGTCGGTGTGATTGAACCATGTGAGCAGACAGAAGCGATCGAGCATGGTGAGAAGGAAGCGATCTGTGTCGAGCAGCGCAAAGCCAGCCTGGATCAAAAGCAGGTCTTGATCGTGCATGATGCCACGCATCGAGTTGTCGCGATAGTGGTGTGCCTGCGATCGAATCACGAATCCGTTGCGAACCCACATGTTACAGCGGATCTGCGCAAGCTTCACACAAACTCGCAAGGGGTAGTCCAACGCAATGAGTAGATTCTTCTCGTCCACCTGCGAGTGAAGCAAGTCATCGAGACGCTCCTTGCCCGACCATCGTTGCAATGCTTCGTGTCCCACGATGGGGATCTGGCGGATCAGCTCAGCCAAGAGCCAGTGCATCGGGTGGTGGAAGCTGACTGGTTGAGATTCAACCGCGTAGGAGACAACGGGCATCGTCTTGGTGCCAGCGTCGGTGCCGATAGTGTAGCGTGCGTCGTGGAAGGTGGTGACAGGATACGAGTCCGGGTCGGAGCCGGACAGCTTGACGCAGCTCCAGCAGATGGCATTGATCGTGCCGACGATTGCCTCAACAAGTCGAGCTGGGGTTGCATGCGCGAAAGCCTCACCAAACATCTTTGCCGCTTTGCCGAGGTGCGAGCTAATGTGGAAGACGGGGATCCACATCTCGCTTTCGAACTCGACGTGGGCCGACACAGCACGCTTCGAGGGGTGGATTGCTTGGAAAAGCGCGAGACACTTTAGAAAGTAGTCGGTGTGGCTGTGTCCTCCGTTCGCGATGAGCTTCTGAACACCCTCGGAGGCCAGAAGGTAACGGATATCGTAGAAGATGTGGTAGCTGCGTGATTGGCGAAGGAACATGAGATGAACATTCGCCTGACTGTTGGCTGGAGTCGGAGGCGGGAGAACAAGGCCCATCTTCTCGTCGACGAGCGAGCCTGCGAAGATGGATTGCAGCAGCAGCAGCAGCTTGGACAGGAAGCCGACCTTCTCGACCAACATTGTCGCAATCGACGGCACACTGAAGAGCTGAACCGTCAAGAGGCAGTTCGAGTACTCCTGCTCGCGATCTTTAAGCATGAAGGTCTCGACCAGCTTCGGGTAGATCTTGGCAAAGCGCAGAGAGACTTCCTTCTTGATCTCGCGTCGAGCGATGAGCGACATGAGCATCGCCTTGATGTCGATGCGTGCCGACTTCCACAGCTTGCAGTCCATTAGCAGCAAACCTTCGTAGTTGGTCAAGTGGCGAGGGTCGAAGAAGTCTGGGCTCATCGAGCCTGTCTCGATGGGCGAAAGAGTGTGGAAAGGAGCAAAGAGGCTGCGTGCAACAATGTGCTTGAAAGCAGCAGCATCTGCCTTTAGGGGCTGTCCGAGCCATGTAGACAAGGGTGTTGTCGAAATGGATTCTGGCGATGATGGAAGGTAGAGGTTTGCGTTGGAGAGATCCATCAAGAAGTTGAGAACGATCTGAATCACCTCTTCGGCGAAAACGTCGAAAGCCGGCCGTATTGTCACAGCAAGGTCGATGGAGTGCAGCACTCTAGCGATCTGATAGAGCCGACGCAGATCCGAGCCTACTTCAATGATCTCTCTTCCGTGCTTGTCAACCCGCTCCGCAACACCTTTCGCCTCATGCTCAGATCGTCCTGTAGCGTCCGTGACGATGTCAATGACCTGACTGAAGCTGTGCTTTTCGTCATTCCACAGCAGCACTGTGAAGTTACGGTTGCTGCTGGACGCATCGCGAGCAGCCTGCGATTTATTGCCTTCTGTGCCGGACTTTCTCCGTGATGCGGAGGCAGAGGCCGCCTGATTGGCATAGAGAGCCTCGCTGGCTCCCATCAGATTGTCGGATGTGCTGTCGCTCTGACCTGTGAGCGAATGAGGCGCTGACCGCCAGCTGCTTCCTTCTGCGAGAATCTTGCCATTGGGTCCGGATCGACTGCCTCGTCTGGCACGAGAACCCCAGGCGCCGCGCTCGGCACTGAAGCCGTCGTCCTTGTCCTCGTCAATGCTGTCACCAACAAGATTCTCCACTTCGACTGCACTCATCTCGTCGTCACTGTCCTGTTGTCCTGAGGTGCTGCTCTTGCGTTTCGATGGCGTTCGACTCGACTGCTGCGAGATGAGTCCGTCCTCGAGTGTTGACTGGTGAAGCACGAGATCGAGGGGATGCAGATTTGGGCTGGCGTCGAACTCGGGTGCATGGTCAAAGACGGTGACGATGAGAGTGACGAGCTCGGCGACGACATCCAGTAAAGGCTCGCGAATCTGTCCAGGTAATGCAGCAAGGGCATCGTCTATCTCTTCAAGGCCGTCCGCGTCATCCGATGCGCTCTGACCATTGCTAGCCTGTAGTGCTGAAGAAGACGCTGCACCGCGCTCCTGTGATTCGGCCTCGAGTTCCATGTCGCTGCCTGCTGGATTCTCGCTTGCTGATGCTTCGGAATGATAGCGACAGCAGACATCTTGCTTCCACGCTTCGGGGTCACCGCAATCACAGCAGCCCCCACTTGAAGAGGAGACACTGAAGACAACATCATGATCCTCCTTTGCGTGAATCGAGGCTTGGAAGCAAGGCGCACATTGCACGCAAGTGTCATCCAGACCGCAATCCCGACAGCGGTAGACAGCTTCGCCCTTCTGGAAGAGATGGCCGCAGGGCATGCCTCGACGAGATTCCGAGTATTCAGGGCCGAGGAGTTCAGGGTCTTCGACGTCATCGTAGGCGCTCGAAGTGGACCAGGGAGACTGAGCGCGCTGCGCCTGCTTGCCTTTCTTGCGTGCCAATGCGATCTCACGTGTCTCTTCGATCTGAGCCCGAGACAGATTCCAGTCGTAAGAAGCAACGAGGTTGAGTGCATCTTGGATACTGGTGGTTGGATCGCATGGTATGAGAACAGCAGGTGAAGGGACGCTCTCGAAGAGATGGCGGAAGAGATTTCGCTGAAGAGTCGCCTTAATCTCTGGGGTGACGAGATAGGTAGCAGGCTCTGATTGGTCGGGCAATGGCACCAAGCGAGCCAGAAGCTCGCAGACGCCAATCTTGGCTGAGCGAGCGGTGTGGGACCCCGAGTCTGGTTTCATGTTGGGAAGATGTATTGGCTCGCAGTGCTGCGGAGGTGGAAGGAAGGCCTATGCCGAGGCCATGTAGAGCAGGAAGGTCGAGTGCTTTTGTGCAAGCGAGATATGCGAGTGAAGAGATAGCTGATAGACAGACGTGGTGATCCAACTGATGAGGGGCGAGCCAGCTGATTGTCGCAGTGTCAGATTCTTGGTCTTTCGCTTCAAGGCTGCAGTTGATCTCGACGGTCGATCTGCTAGCTGGCGACAGTAAAGAAGCTTTGTCCTGAAGGCAACGAGACCGGGCTGTCGATATTTTCACGATCCTGCGAGTGTGTTGCGACGTCAGCAGGAGGTGATGGAGATGGAATGAGAGAGATAGGTGGCGTGGGTGTCTCTGTTGGCTAAAAGTGGCATTTCGACACTTCTGCCTGTCTGCTGCCTCTTTTTTTTTTTTTTTTTTTTTTTTTTTTTTTCCACTCAGCAAATAATTCGAGTGCCGCTCGAGCCTCCTTTTAATGTTTTTCTTCGGCTTTTCTACCGAATTCACGCGCACCGCATTCAAGCAAGCTCAGCTCACCACGCCTTACTGGACTGAGCGACACAGGCGAGCACTCTTCACAGATCTTGAATCAGCACCATCATCCATAACACCCCAAGTGATACCTTTTGTGTTTGACTCCGGAGCCTCATATGTCATGGTGAACTTGGCACAACATGGAAAAGGGTGGTGTGATGCCAACAACTCTGTGAGCATCACCACTGCCAATGGTGGCAAACTCCCAGTACCAAAAGTGGGTGGGATTGTCAGTCTACTCAGCTTCAGCCTGACAATGAAGCATTGGGAACAGATGGTATACAACAACTGCCTCCTTGTCCCTGACTTAGTGACAAATCTCATTGGTACAAAGACACACTCAAGCAAGAGGAAAAGTGACATTTGAGGATGAACTCATCACAGTTCAAGACTGACATGGCCATGTGATAGGTGTTCCAATCAGTGGCAATGGATACCCTGCAGCAGGAATGTTATTATGGGATGATAGCATGCCCAAGCCTGAGGTGTCACTAGCCTTCACAGGAGTGGTACAGAGCAAGGGATGACTATACATGTCAAGTGATACAGCCAATCTCTGGCACTGTGTCAGGGGTCTCGCGCCTGAAACCCAGGTCGGTCTGTCGAGATACTCGGTGACTATCAAACTGTGTGACAGCTATTGTCTCGGTATCGGTGACTATCAAGTTGTGCAGTGACAACAGGTGGTGTTCGTTGTATATACTATCGTAGGTTTCGGCTGACCTCTGTGGACACTCCGTTCAGGGGTAGCTCGGCACGATCAATATCAATGTTATGATGACACCAAGGTCTGGTGTGAGTGTTGATGATGATGAGGTTGATGGTGTTGGTGATAAGATTGGTGATGTCGATGATAATGAGGTTGATGGTGTTGGTGATAAGGTTGGTGGCATCAACACGAGTGTCCAGTGTGTTGACTTGATGCTTGAAGTGATCCCCGGACTGCAGTGGACTACTGCCTTTGGTTCTATCTTGATCCGGACTGCTAACCTGCTATGGGCGCCTTCAGATGTCAGGTAGTGGTGATACAACACACACACTACGATGAGGAGCAACCTTGATAGATTGCTGCTATGCTGACTGAAACTAATATATACTTATGCTGAAGTGATAACTAGTTATGGTGAGTAGAGTGGATGAGGATCCACTCGACCTATGATGATGAGAAAGCATGGTTATATACCTCTACTCAGCATCGCCAGCGATGCTGCTCCTGCTCTCTCTCTCCAGAGAGTACCTTCTTCATCGAGTACTGCTCAGGGGCCTCTCCTGCTTGGCACCCCTGTGCCTCTTGAGCTGTGTCGACTCCTTCGACACTGCTCCTCCTCCTCATGACCTGATGTCAACTCCTTCGACACTGCTCCTCCTCCTCATGACCTGGTGTCGACTCCTTCGACACTGCTCCTCCTCCTTTGATCAGTGACAGTTCCTTTGGCTCTTGTCTCTCGAGCCCCTGAGTGGTAACCATCTGCATGCTCCTTGAGCTTGGTCCTCTTCATGGCTGTGCCTGCTCCTTGAGCTTGGTCCTCCTCGTGGCTGTGCTTGGCCCTCCTTTGCATGTGAGTCCATAGGAGTCCATGGTCTCCATGGAGACTGCACTACGACCATGCTCTCTACTGATCTCAACTAGATTCTTCGATACCTGTGCTCCTTCCATATGAACCCATGACCCTCCTGCTTCTTGAGCATCCAGGCCCATGACACACTGCTGCCTAGGTCACCCAGGGCATGGAGCACTCCTGCACACTTGAGTGGCCACCACCGGCCACAACATTCCCTCCTCCCAGACATCTCATCCCAACATGCTCTGCGACACCTGAATATGGAGCAAAGTGTCAGAGGTCCCATGCCTAAAACCTGATATCTGTGATAGGAACATGTTTATTACGATTCCTGTCGAGATATGTGGTAACATGTTGTGTATTACAATTTCTATCAAGATATGTCATAGAGAAGCCGCAATGGCTTTCTTGCCCGAAGATGTAGTAATGTGTTTGCTATTGCAGGTTTTGACTGACCACTGTGGACACTCTGTCCAGAGGTAGCTTGGCACAATCAACAACTACTATGAACTGATATTAACACCAAGGTCTGATGTGATTGTGATTGCTGCCATTGACATGAGTGTCCAGTGTGTTGACTGAGTGCTTGAGGTGATCTCCGGACCACAGTGGATGACTGCCTTCAGTTCTATTGTTATCTGGACCACTGGTTTGCTACAAACCACCTTCAGATGTCAGTGAGCAGTGATACAACACATGCACTACTATGGAAGCAATCTACTTGATTGTGACTTAGCTGACTGTAACTAATGTATACTTATGTGAAGTGATAACTAGTTGTGTATGGTGTAGAGTGGATGGTGATCCACTCTATTGCTAGGACAGAGAACATGGTTATATACCTTTCTTGCAATGTCACCCACAACACTGCTCATCCTCCTTGTCCCTCCTATGCTCTCCATCGACCTTGTGATGCCACTCATTGGCATTGCCTCCTTGCCTCCTCTAGATGAATGGCCTCTGGCTGCTTCATCTCTGTCAGGGGCCAGTCCCACTTCATCTGGGTGGCAACTCACACCCTTTCATCACTTCTTTGTCTTTGGCACCCACCTTCTTTTGCTGGCTTCATCACTGTAGGGCCCCTGCCTCATCTGATAGTGTCTCCTCCTTGTTCAGTGACCTCTTCTCACTGTATCAGCAATGGGGTGCCTCTCTGACTGATTCTCATGAGATCTGTCATACTCAGTGTGATATTGCAATTCCCACTGAACCCTGTAGTAACAACATTGTTCCTACTGATCCTGACAAGTTATGCCATAGGGTCACTTCTACTACTGATCTCAGCAAACTCTTTCTTAAGCTCTTGCTTAGCCCGATCCTGTGATTTCTGCACTCCTTCATATGACTTCACTTCTTCCGCCTCCTGTGCATCCGGCTCCTATGACAATAACTAGTTTATGGTGTAGAGTGGATGGCGATCCACTCACTTGCTAGGACAGGGAACATGGTTATATACCTTTCTTGCAATGTCGCCCACGACACTGCTCCTCCTCCTTGTTCCTCCTATGCTCCCCATCCACCTGGTGATGCCACTCATTGGCACCACTTCCTCGTCTCCTGTGGATGGATGGCCCTCTTGCTGCCTCATCTCCATCAGGGGCCAGTCCCACTTCATCTGAGTGGCAACTCACACCCCCTTCTTCTCATCTTCCTCCTGACTCTGGTGCCCACCTTCTTATGCTGGTTTCATCATCGTGTAGGGCCCCTACCTCATCCAATGGTGTCCCCTCCTTGTTCAGTGACCTCTTCTTGCCATATCGGCGATAGAGGTGTCTTCTTGAACTGATCCTTGCAAGATCTGTCATACCTATCATGGTATTACCTTTCCCACTGCATTCTGTGATACCAACCTTGTTCCTGTTAATCCTGGCAGATTATACCATAGAGTCGTTCCTACTACCAATCTCAGTGAACTCTGCCTTAGGCTCTCGCATAGCCCGATCCTTCGATTTCTGCGCTCCTCTTCATATGGCTTAAATCTGTCATAGGAGCCGGATGCACAAGAGGCAGGAAGAAGTTGAAGTCATATGAAGGAGCACAGAAATCACAGGATCGGGCTAAACAAGAGCTTAAGGAAGAGTTCACTGAAATCAGTAGTAGAAACAGTCCTATGGCATAACTTGGCAGGATCTGTAGGAACACAGTTGTTACTACAGAGTTTGGTGAGAATCATAATATCATGCTGAGTATGACAGATCTCATGGGAATTGGTCAAGAAAGGCACCCCATCGCTGATAGGACGAGGGGAGGGTACTGTACAAAGGAAGAACACCACTGGATGAAGCAGGGGCCTGGCACGATGATGAAGTTGGGGCCACCAGGTGGGCACCAATGACAAGAGGGTGATGAGAGGGGGTGCAAGTCGCCACCCAGATGAAGTGGGACTAGCCCCTATAGGAGATAAGACAACAACAGACTGTCCATCCACTGGGTGTGGGAGAAGCAGAGCCAGAGAGCAGCACCATGCAGTGGATGGGAAGGATAGGAAGGATGAGGAGGGGGAGCAGAGTTGGCGAAGCCTCCCAGAGTAGGAACAGCATCGCAGGCGATGTTGCAGGAGCAGGTATATAACCATGCTCCTTGTCATAACAAGTGAGTGGATGGACATCCACTCTACACCATACCATACTAGTTATAACTTTACACATAAGTATACATTAGTATCCAGTCAGCATGTTGCAATCTCAATAAGATTGCATCCATCATAGTGCATGTGTTGTATCACTGCTCACTGATGTCTGAAGGTGGTTCATAGAAACCTGCAGTCCAGATAACCATAGAACTGAAGGCAGTCATCCACTGTGGTCCAGGGGTCACCTCAAGCACTTAGTTGACACACTGGACACTTGTGTCAATGTCACCAGCAATAATATTTGCACCAGCCTTTGGTGTCAGTACAAGTTCACACTGTTATTGATCATGCTGAGCTACCTCTGGACAGAGTGTCCACAGTGGTCAGTTGAAATCTGTAATAGCATAAGCTCAATCACAGATTCGAGCAAGTATAGTCATAGGGACACTACTACAGCATAACTCAATGGGAATTGTAATACATTGCACACAATCACATATCTTGGCAGGATCTGTAATAGAAGCGGTTCTACTACAGATCTCAGGTTTCAGGTGTGCAACCTCTGACATTAGAGTGGATCGTTCAAGCAGCACCCCACAATCAACATGACAGATGAGAGCCTGCATGACAAGATTGAGAGACTACTCTCCCTAATGGAAGCTCAGCTGGAGCTCTCCAGACAAGCTCAATATGAGGAGTGTCTATGCTGCGCTCACCTGAGCCAGGAGGATATGATCATACCTCCCTGCTCAGAGGAATGGTCAGGAGGGGATGAAGATATGATGGGAGACCCTCCCACACTGTCCCCGGTGGCATGACCGAGACAGTCGGTGTTGTTCACTGAATCAAACGACCCCCCAGGCATCAATTATGAGAAGTATGTTTCCCCCACCAGGCCTAGATACTTCAAGCCTAGGGTGGACCCATACAACTGGCCTAGGACAGACCCTTATGGCCTAGAGCAAGAGGATGATGCTAGCACAACAGGAGGTCGAGACCCCTCACAATCGAAACCAATCACCACACCATTCCCAAAGTTCAATCCAAGAGACATAGAGATCTTCATACTCGAAGCTGAAGCCTGGTTCAAGTTCAATCAGGTATACAAGCAAGCTCATATGATCAATCACATGGGTGCTCAATTGGAAGGAAATGCATGTGAATGGTGGACCTCAAAGCTCTGCATTGACAGAGCACAAGAAGGATGGCTGTTCCATGACTGGCACTACTTCACTGAGCACTTGGCAGAACAGTTAAATCCTCGCAATGCTAGAATGGAGGCCTACAACAAGTTGTTGGCCCTTTGCCTCACTAGTGATGCACCAGGTGCCACCACATGCCATGTCAAACACTTCAGAGACTTAGAGGGACAGGTCAACCTAGACAACAATGAGTTGGTCATTGATCTGTTCAGAGGCAGTCTCACACGCAGTCTGCAGGAAAAGTTTGAGAGAAACCCACCCATGAAGAGGTGGGAGTGGTATCGAGAAGTTGAGGAGATTGACTGACAGAGGATGTTATTACAGCAGTCCACTGCTAGGCACCCAAGTGTCACTCCACCATGACCAAACCCAGGAGCCTGGCCAATGCCACCAGCCCAAAGTTTGCTCCCAGCCTGCCTGCTGGCCCAAGCTTATCCAGCTTGACTGCTGGCACAAACAACCATGGGAAACCATAGCCAATCAACCAATCAGCTCTTGCCCCATCAACTGGTTCAGGACCAAAGCCTGAAGGGGCCCCCAATGGCCCATACCAACACCTGCCACTTGTGCAAAGGCCTTGGACATTGGGCAAGAGATTGCCCAAACAAGAAGCCAGACCCAATGGGCCTGTGACCTATGGGACCAAAGGTCATGGCAACCACAGAGGATCTCCTTGAAGGAGGAGCCCCAGACTCAGGAGATGAACATATGGAGGACCCTGAGACAGTCAAACCCAATGACCTGGATCTCGGCCTGTACCAGCTGGTGACAGACACTGGTATTGAGGAGGCCCAAGACAACAGCAAAGAGGGAAATGACAGTGGGGTGATGCATTGATGGTGTGCATGGCTCTACAAACCCCCTTGCCATCTCTATGTATATATCAAAGTTGCCCCATATGTTTCTCTAACAGTGGAGGGAAAGCAGTATTAGAGCTCTCCAGGATGGTCCAAGACCATCCAGCTCAAATACTCACTGACACTGGTGCTGGTTTGTCTATAGTCTCAGATTCATTCATTAGTAAGTACTGTCACAGGGTCAGCAGGCCAGCGCAAGAGAGTGCGTGGCAGTCAATGGGAAAGTCATGCAACGGAGCAATGTATGAAGGGGGGGCAACGGATCAATATATGGAGGGCACACCAGATTGATCAGTGCCAAACCATTGGGGATCAACGAGATTAATTGGGCTGGCAGCACATATGAATTACAAGATCAATTGAACCCTGGGTTCCAGATTAATCTCATTGGTGATTGGTTGGAATCAGTCAGATCAGTATGCTTCAACAAGTTGGCCGATACAAGCAAGTACTAGGAGCTGTGTCGAAGTGACCACATGACCAAGGGGTTTGGTCACGAGGTTCAACAAGTGGCTAAAGGGATTCACAAGATAAAGTCGAGAAGGAGCTGTGTCGAAAGGGGGCATCACACATCATCAGGCAGAAGGAGAGCATGAAGGTGAGAGGGCAGTGTTGCATAACCCTTATGCTGTGCAAACAGTAGGGGTGCAGTACCAATGGGATTGATGCCAGCAGGACAAGACAGTGTTGAACAGGGGACAAAGGCCCCTCAAGAGGAGCAGGATAGGTGTCATGGGCAACACCAATCGAATGCATAAATACTCTCATTCTACCATAGCATATGAGTGGATCCCCATCCACTCTATTCTTACTTACTCTATCTACTTACTCAGTTACATACCATTGCAATAGCAGTGCTCTTGCAATGACTCTCAACATGTGTGTTGTATCACTGTTAGTTGACAACTGTAGGTGGTGTTCTTCAACACTTGCAGTCCAGTCCCTTGCTGTAGGCAGTGTTGCTTGACACCTGCAGTCCAGTCAGTTATTGTAGGCAGTGAATCACACCAGCAGTCCAGTAACTCCTGTCCTCTGTAGGCGATTAGCATATCATGGTCCAGATGATGTCCAAGAGCATTATCAACAGTACTACAAACACTCATACTGTAGGAGAGGGTGTTTCACTCACTCACCAATGACCAGTGTCCATGCTGTGCAACCTCTGAACAGAGTGTTCAAGGCAGTCAGTCAAGACTTACCAGGCAGCAACATTTGGTTATGTTTAGGTGAAACATACTGAGTAGACCTTACTCAATCAAACTCAATATAACACCCCAAAGCTAAGTCTCTGGCGCGCGACCGCTTACAAGTACCAAATACCCACAAAACCCACAAAAACAAGATTGATACATGGTGTCACTGGACACCAGCTCGCTATCAATAGCTCAGCAAGCATACACATTGCTATCAGTGAGCACAACCTAGGGGTGGTAGAAGTCTTGGTGGCTGACACTGCTGACTATGACCTCATACTGGGTTTCACTGAACTGAGGAGGCTCAAGCCAACAATATGTTGGGAAACCAGCCAACTAGAGTTCCAGGCCCAGGAACAAGAATGGCCACCAGGACCCACAGTAACCGAGGGTCTATGCACGAAGTCAGCAAAATTTGTCATAGGAAGGAAACTATTACTGAATTCAGCAAAAACAGTGGTAAAATGCGACTTGGAATCGATTGCAAAGAGCTCCTATAGCGAAAAGCCAAAGCATCCCACCCTACATGGGAATGAGTTTGTCTCAGCAGGATGACTGATACAAGCAGCCCTTGAGGACAGACCCATTGGGTTCATGCTCTTAGAGACCCCACCCTCATTGCTGCCAGCATTTGGGTTTGTTCCCACCAGTGCTGATAAAGGGGTTGAAATGGAAGTTGAGGTTGATAAGAAGGTTACAACTGCAGATATACCAAAGCCATATCAACATTTGTGGGACATGTTCAATGAGGTGGAAGCAGATAAGCTGCCCCATCATACTGAGCATGACCTCCATTTGGAGTTAATGGAAGGAAGCAGACCACCACAGGGCCCACTGTACCTCAAGGGGCCCAAGGAGATGGCCAAGCTGAGGAAGTACTTGAACAAGAACCTTGTGAAGGGGTGTCATGGGCCTAAATGCTCAGGAAGCAGGAGGGTCGCTGGTTCATATGGAAGGAGCACAGGTATCGAAGATCTAGTCGACACCAGTAGAGAGCATGGTCGTAGTGCAGTCTCCATGGAGACCATGGACTCCTACAGACTCACATGCAAAGGAGGACCGAGCCATATGCGAGGAGGGCCAGGCACAGCCATGAGGAGGACCAAGCTCAAGGAGCAGGCACAGCCATGAAGAGGACCAAGCTCAAGGAGCAGGCACAGCCACGAAGAGGACCAAGCTCAGATGGTTACCACTCAGGGGCTCGAGAGACAAGAGTCAAAGGAACTGTCACTGGTCAAAGGAAGAGGAGCAGTGTTGAAGGAGTCGACACCAGGTCATGAGGAGGAGGAGCAGTGTCGAAGGAGTCGACACCACTCAAGAGGCACAGGGGTGCCAAGCAGGAGAGGCCCTGAGCAGTACTCGATGAAGAAGGTACTCTCTGGAGAGAGAGCAGGAGCAGCATCACTGGCGATGCTGTGAAGAGGTATACAACCATGCTTTCTCATCATCATAGGTCGAGTGGATCGGCATCCACTCTACTCACCATAACTAGTTATCACTTCAGCATAAGTATATATTAGTTTCAGTCAGCATAGCAGCAATCTATCAAGGTTGCTCCTCATCGTAGTGTGTGTGTTGTATCACCACTACCTGACATCTGAAGGTGCCCATAGCAGGTTAGTGGTCCAGATCAAGATAGAACCGGAGGCAGTAGTCCACTGTGGTCCGGGGATCACTTCAAGCATCAAGTCAACACACTGGACACTTGTGTTGATGCCACCAACCTTATCACCAACACCATCAACCTCATTATCATCAACACTCAACAACCTTATCACCAATGTCATCAACCTCATCATCATCAACTCTCACACCAGACCTTGGTGTCATCATAACTGAAGCATTGATATTGATCATGCCGAGCTACCCCTGAACGGAGTGTCCACAGAGGTCAGCCGAAACCTACGATAGCATATACAACGAATGCCACCTGCTGTCACTGTGCAACTTGATAGTCACTGATACCAAGACAATAGCTGTCACACAGTTTGATAGTCACTGAGTATCTCGACAGACCGACCTGGGTTTCAGGCGCGAGACCCCTGACAAGGGGTTCATACAACCTTCGAAGAGCCCAGCGAGATCACCAGTGCTCTTCATGCCAAAGAAGGACAGGGGACTCAGACTGTGCATGGACTATCATGGCCTGAATGAGATCATGGTCAAGAACTGGGCCCTGTTGCCCCTCATCAAGGAGCAACTGTTCCTGCTCCAGAAGGCAAAGATCTACACCAAGTTAGATCTGCAAGTGGCATATAATCTCATCTGCATTGCACCAGGAGATGAATGGAAGACAGCATTTGGCACACAATTAGGGCTCTACGAGTACCTAGTAATGCCTTTTGGCCTGGCAAATGCACCTGCCCATTTCCAATCATTCATCAACAACAACTTCTGAGACATCATTGGAGTCTATGTTGTTGTGTACTTGGATGACTTTCTGATCTTCAGTGACACTGAAGAGGCACATGTCCAGCATGTCACAGAAGTCCTCACCTGATTGAGAAGCAATCAACTGTTTGCCAAGTTATTGAAGTGTGAATTCCATACCACCACAGCCGAGTTATGGGGGTATATCATCAAGCCCACCAGGGTGGAAATGGATCCCAAGAAGGTATGGACAGTCAAGGAGTGGCTGCTGCCAGAATCAATCCATGACACCCAACAATTCCTGGGTTTTGCCAACTTCTACCAGTGATTCATAGCCCACTTTGCTCAAATTGCCAGACCACTGACCTCACTGGTGAAACCATTGGAATGTTTCAAGAAGTTTGAGTTGCTGGAGGAAGCTCAGCAGGCTTTTCACAAACTCATACATGCATTCACAATGGCCAGAGTGCTATGGCATTTCAACTATCATCTCCCAACAAGGTTGGAAATGGACACAAGTGACTTCACCATTGCCAGAGTACTCAAACAAGAGCATGAAGGACATTGGCACCCCATAGCATTCTACTCAAGAAAGATGTCATCTGCAGAAAAGAACTATGAGATTCATGACAAGGAACTCCTTGCTGTGGTAGCATGTCTCACACAGTGGTGACACATGCTAGCAGGATTGCCTAGCCAGTTGGTGATTCTCACAGATCATGAGGTGCTCAAGTACTTCAAGTTGCAGCACCATATCACAGGGCAACAAGCAAGGTGGGCAGTATTGTTGGCTGACTTCAACTTCGCACTGCAATACCAGCCAGGGGATAAGGGTGGAGAACCTGATGCCCTCACCAGATGAACTGATATGCAACCCATTGGCAAGGAACAAGAGCACAATGTGTGACAACTGCTGCCATCCCAGGTGTTTGAGAAAGTGGAGGACAAAATTGGTATAGGAGGCAGGTTACAGCAAATTCCAGCAGAAAATGTAGTACCAAATGCAATACTACAGATTTCAGTGGAATCGGTTGTAACAGCACACTTGGGCAATGATTCTGCATTAGTGGCTCCCATGCTCACAATGGAGGCCATAGCAATGCAAGGGCTCAAGGAGCTGACCAAGATCTTTCAGCCCTTGGACATGGAGCTGCAGGGGATCCATGTGAAAAAGCTGTTTGAGACCAAGGACAGCTTATGGCATAGTGGCAGTAGATTGGTCATTCCAAAGGTAACCATGCCAGGAAGGACTAATGACTGCCAGTTGCAAAGTGCCAAGGAAGTAGATGGGCAATCACTCTCTGTTGAACACTTGTGTTTTATGGTGATGTCCCAATGTCATGATGGTCTTACAGCTGGACATGTGGGACAAGATGCTACCATCAGAGTGGCACAATTGCACTATTGGTGGCCAAACATGATGGCTTGGATTGCCAACTATGTGGCCAGCTGCCTGGTGTGTGCCAGATACAAAGCCCCTTGTCACCATCCATATGGCTTGCTGCAACCACTTGCTACACCAGACAGACCATGGGGCTCCATCTTGCTGGACTTCATTGAAGGTTTGCCACATTCACAAGGGTATGATTCCATCCTGATCATCATCAATAGACTGACTAAGTATGCTATCCTGGTCCCAACTCATAAGACAGTCATGGCAAAACAGACTGCCATATCGATTTGGGGACATGTGGTCAAAAACTTTGGTTTCCCTGACCATATGGTCTCAGACAGAGGAAGACAATTCATCTCACAGGCATGGAAAGAGTGTGCTGAGAGCATGGGTGCAAAGCATTTGCTCAGCACAGCATATCATCCACAAACTGATGGCCAGATGGAGAGGGTCAACCAAGTAGTGGAGCAGTATCTCTGGATGTACTGCAACTATGAGCAAGATGATTGGGCCAACCTGCTCAGGACAGCAGCATTTGTGTACAACAACACAGTCCACAACAGCATTGGGGTCTCACCATCCTTTGTGTGCTATGGATGGAACCCCAAGGCCCATCCAGACATACCTCAGTGACTAGGAGTAAATGACCCAGAATGTTTCAAGTACCTGGTTGATGGAAAGCAGCATTGCAAGTACCTCCAGGAACAGATCTGGGAGGCACAACATCAAATGGTGGACCAGTACAATCAAAAACACAAAGACATCGAATTCAAGGTTGGCGATATGGTCTACATCAATTGCTGGAACTGGAAGACGAGGCGACACACCCCGAAGCTTGATACCAGGTTTGTGTCATGGGCCTGGATGCGCAAGAAGTAAGAAGATCCATCAACTCATATGAAGGGAGCACAGGAATCGAGGAATTGGGCAGATTGTGGGATTTGCAGCAGAATTCATTGAGATCTGTAGTAGAAATAGTTCTATGACAGATCCCATCGAGATCTGCATGAACAAGGATGATATCACGAATCCCACTGAGATCAGTAGTAGGAGAGGTCATATAGCAGATTCTGTGGAGATCAGTGACAAGGATGTTCATATGATGAATTCACATGTGAGGAGGACCAAGCTCTGCCAAGATGGGGACCAAGCTCAGAAACATGCAGCTGGTTACCACTCAGGGGTTCACAAGATAAGAGTCAGGAGAACAGTCGCCAGTTAGGAGGAAGGAGAGCTGTGTTGCTGACACTGGTGTACAGGTCATGAGGAGGAAGAGCTGTGTCAAAGAGGTCAACATACAGCTTGTCAGGGGTCTCGCGCCTGAAACCCAGGTCGGTCTGTCGAGATACTCGGTGACTATCAAACTGTGTGACAGCTATTGTCTCGGTATCAGTGACTATCAAGTTGTGCAGTGACAGCAGGTGGCGTTCGTTGTATATACTATCGTAGGTTTCGGCTGACCTCTGTGGACACTCCGTTCAGGGGTGTCATGGGCCTGGATGCTCAAGAAGCAGGAGGGTCACGGGTTCATATGGAAGGAGCACAGGTATCGAAGAATCTAGTCGAGATCAGTAGAGAGCATGGTCGTAGTGCAGTCTCCATGGAGACCATGGACTCCTATGGACTCACATGCAAAGGAGGGCCAAGCACAGCCACGAGGAGGACCAAGCTCAAGGAGCAGGCACAGCCATGAAGAGGACCAAGCTCAAGGAGCATGCAGATGGTTACCACTCAGGGGCTCGAGAGACAAGAGCCAAAGGAACTGTCACTGATCAAAGGAGGAGGAGCAGTGTCGAAGGAGTCGACACCAGGTCATGAGGAGGAGGAGCAGTGTCGAAGGAGTCGACACAGCTCAAGAGGCACAGGGGTGCCAAGCAGGAGAGGCCCCTGAGCAGTACTCGATGAAGAAGGTACTCTCTGGAGAGAGAGCAGGAGCAGCATCGCTGGCAATGCTGAGAAGAGGTATATAACCATGCTTTCTCATCATCAATAGGTCGAGTGGATCCTCATCCACTCTACTCACCATACAACTAGTCAATACTTTAGAACACAAGTACTCATTAGTTACAGTCAGCATAGCAGCAATCTATCAAGGTTGCTCCTCATCGTAGTGTGTGTGTTGTATCACCACTACCTGACGTCCGAAGGCGCCCATAGCAGGTTAGCAGTCCGGATATAGATAGAACCGAAGGCAGTAGTCCACTGCGGTCCGGGGATCACTTCAAGCATCAAGTCAACACACTGGACACTCGTGCTGATGCCACCAACCTTATCACCAACACCATCAACCTCATTATCATCGACATCACCAATCTCACCACCCACACCATCAACCTCATCATCATCAACACTCACACCAGACCTTGGTGTCATCATAACATTGATATTGATCGTGCCGAGCTACCCCTGAACGGAGTGTCCACAGAGGTCAGCTGAAACCTACGATAGTATATACAACGAATGCCACCTGCTGTCACTGCACAACTTGATAGTCACCGATACCGAGACAATAGCTGTCGCACAGTTTGATAGTCACCGAGTATCTCGACAGACCGACCTGGGTTTCAGGCGCGAGACCCCTGACAGTACTCTCTGGAGAGAGAGCAGGAGCAGCATCGCTGGCGATGCTGAGAAGAGGTATATAACCATGCTTTCTCATCATCATAGGTCGAGTGGATCCTCATCCACTCTACTCACCATAACTAGTTATCACTTCAGCATAAGTATATATTAGTTTCAGTCAGCATAGCAGCAATCCATCAAAGGTTGCTCCTCATCGTAGTGTGTGTGTTGTATCACCACTACCTGACGTCCGAAGGCGCCCATAGCAGGTTAGCGGTCCGGATATAGATAGAACCGAAGGCAGTAGTCCACTGCGGTCCGGGGATCATTTCAAGCATCAAGTCAACACACTGGACACTTGTGTTGACGCCACCAACCTTATCACCAACGCCATCAACCTCATCATCATCAACACTCACACCAGACCTTGGTGTCATCATAATCTACGCATTGATATTGATCGTGCCGAACTACCCCTGAACGGAGTGTCCACAGAGGTCAGCCGAAACCTACGATAGTATATACAACGAACGCCACCTGCTGTCACTGCACAACTTGATAGTCACCGATACTGAGACAATAGCTGTCGCACAGTTTGATAGTCACCGAGTATCTCGACAGACCGACCTGGGTTTCAGGCGCGAGACCCGTGACAAGGGGTAGCTCGGCACGATCAATATCAATGCTTCAGTTATGATGACACCAAGGTCTGGTGTGAGAGTTGATGATGATGAGGTTGATGACATTGGTGATAAGGTTGTTGAGTGTTGATGATAATGAGGTTGATGGTGTTGGTGATAAGGTTGGTGGCATCAACACAAGTGTCCAGTGTGTTGACTTGATGCTTGAAGTGATCCCCGGACCGCAGTGGACTACTGCCTTCGGTTCTATCTATATCCGGACCGCTAACCTGCTATGGGCGCCTTCGGACGTCAGGTAGTGGTGATACAACACACACACTACGATGAGGAGCAACCTTGATAGATTGCTGCTATGCTGACTGTAACTAATGAGTACTTGTGTTTCTAAAGTATTGACTAGTTGTATGGTGAGTAGAGTGGATGAGGATCCACTCGACCTATGATGATGAGAAAGCATGGTTGTATACCTCTTCACAGCATTGCCAGCGATGCTGCTCCTGCTCTCTCTCCAGAGAGTACCTTCTTCATCGAGTACTGTTCAGGGGCCTCTCCTGCTTGGCACCCCTGTGCCTCTTGAGTGGTGTTGACTCCTTCGACACTGCTCCTCCTCCTCATAACCTGGTGTTGACTCCTTCGACACTGCTCCTCCTCCTCAGGACCTGCTTGCCAGTGTCCTATGACTCTTGTCTCTCAAGCCCCTGAGTGGTAACCATCTGAGCTTGGTCCTCTTCGTGGCTGTGCCTGCTCCTTGAGCTTGGTCCTCCTTGTGGCTGTGCCTGGCCCTCCTCGCATGTGGCTTGGTTCTCCTTTGCATGTGAGTCCATAGGAGTCCATGGTCTCCATGTAGACTGCACTACAACCATGCTCTCTACTGGTATCGACTAGGTCTTCGATACCTGTGCTCCTTCCATATGAACCAGTGACCCTCCTGCTTCTTGAGCATCCAGGCCCATGACACAGCTCAGGTAAGGATGGAGGGGATGTTACAGGGACTCCTGCACAGTACTCGATGAAGAAGGTACCCTCTGGAGAGAGGGCCTGAGCAGTGTCACCAGTGACACTGCAAAGAGGTATATAATCATACTTTCTTGTCATAGGTGAATGAGTGGCTCCTCATTCACTCTACACCATATCAACTAGTTATTACTTCAAGCATAAGTACATATTAGTTTCAGTCAGCAAAAGTTGCAATTAAGTAGATTGCCTCTCATTGTAGCACATGTGTTGTATCACCACTCACTGACATCCGAAGGTGGTTCATAGCAACCAGCAGTCTGGATTCAAGATAGAACTGAAGGCAGTAGTCCACTGCAGTCCAGGGATCACCTCAAGCAATAAGTCGACACACTGGACACTCATGTTGACACCACCAAGCATTCATACTCACACCAGACCTTGGTGTCAGTACAGTTCATATCATTATTGATTGTGCCAAGCTACCTCTGGATGGAGTGTCCACAGTGGTCAGTTGAAATCTGCAATAGCACAACCCCAATCACAGATTTGAGCAAGTAAAGTCATAAGGACATCACTATGGCATAACTCAATGAGAATCATAATACTACACATACAATCACATATCTCGACAGGATCTGTAATAGAAGCGGTCTTACTACAGATCTCAGGTTTCAGGCGCGCGACCTCTGACAGTTTGCAGGACCCTACCTGGTTCAGGAAAGGGTGGGCTGCAGAGCATATCGAATCACATTGCCAGCAAACCTCAGAGTCCATGATGTGTTCCATGTCTCCATGCTCGAACCAGCAAAGACAAGCTCTCTACCTCAACAATCAGCCCAACCAGTCATGCCACTGCTACCAGATGAAGAGCTCAAATTCGAAGTGGAAGCACTCATCAGGAAATGCACATGCAGCCAGATGATGGAATACAAAGTATTATGGCAAGGATACCCAGAAGAAGCTGCTTCCTGGGAGCTGATGTCAAACCTCAACTGCCCTGACCTCATCCAGGAGTATGAGGCATCGGGGGGGGGGGAACGAGACTAATATGAGCATGAGGCACGAAGAGGAGGCGGGAAAAGGAAAAATCGGTAAAAAGGGAGTTGGAACCGATTTGAGCGAAATCTGTGAGAGAGGATATGTGTCAGGGGTCTCGCGCCTGAAACCCAGGTCGGTCTGTCGAGATACTCAGTGACTATCAAACTGTGTGACAGCTATTGTCTCGGTATCGGTCTCAAAGAGCTAGCTGCTTGGCAACTATCAAGTTACATGATGACAGTGGGTGGCATTCATTGTATATACTGTCATAGGTTTTGGCTGACCTCTGTGGACACTCCATTCAGGGGTAGCTCGGCACGATCAATATCAATGCGTAGATTATGATGACACCAAGGTCTGGTGTGAGTGTTGATGATGATGAGGTTGATGGCGTTGGTGATAAGGTTGGTGGTGTCAACATGAGTGTCCAGTGTGTTGACTGATGCTTAAGGTGATCCCCAGACCGCAGTGGACTACTGCCTTCAGTTCTATCTTAATCCGGACCGCTAACCTGCTATGGGGCGCCTTCGGACGTCAGGTAGTGGTGATACAACACACACACTACGATGAGGAGCAACCTTGTGTCACGGGAGCCGGTCAGCCGAAATGGAGTCTGCGCCATCAGCTGAAATGGAGTCTGCGCCATCTGCACAGATGGAGAGGCTAAATTGGCTGAGGGCCAGTGTAAGAGCCTGGCTCAGCAGATCCCAGGGAAATCCAGTAGATGACCATAGCTCACTGGACATCAGGGACTACTGGTGGCAGGAACAGATGGGAGGGTTGTTGAGCAGCACCACCCTGTTGGGCATGTGGGAGGTCAATGTTGTCGATCAATGATGATCAGACACTTGATGAATTGCTAGGGAACAATCACTCTGGAAGTGTAGTTGGCTTGGTGGCTCAGAAAGGTGCTGAAGTCAGCATTACCAAGCAAGGCCTGAGCGATGTCACATGCAGGTTGTGTGACAGTGCTAGGTTGCGATTTTGGTACAGTTTTGTATATATACTATCCTTCCATGCTACTGGATGAGCGGAGACTCATCCACTCTACTAAAAACTTCACAGTGATCGTAACCATATGTTATACTACACGAACAGCAACATTCTTTATACGTTGCACATCGCAATTCCACCTATTGCAATCAGTACAAGTCTGAGTCTTCATCATCGAATGAAGAGTACTGTATATGACATCATCAACACCTACATCGATGCTGTAGCACCTCAACTACAGGTGGAACCTCCACTGCAGGCCTGGAACCTCTACCAGTCCCTATACCTAACCGCTGCCAGCAACAATGACCGAGCACTAGCTCCGTCACTAACAGTGCTACATCGATGCCTCGACACTCATGCTGATGTTGCACTACACCATTGCTAGGAGCTGAACTTGCCGTGTTACCTCTGTATGGAGTGCTGACAGTGGTTAGTCGACATCCGTTCCCCAGGCCTCACTCATTGGGTATCACGGGTAACCGTTCAGGAGAGCATCTGTAAGCGGTCGCGCGCCAGAGACTAGCTGGGGTTGATTGAGTAAGGTCTACTCGATATGATTCGCCTAAACATAACCAAGCATCATCGCCTAGTAAGTCTTGACTGACCGCCTTGAACACTCCATTCAGAGGTTGCATGGCACAGACATTGTTTGTTGGTGAGTGCGTGATACACCCTCCCCTACAGTACGAGTGTTCGTAGTACTGTTGATATGCTCTTGGACATCATCTGGACTGCGATATGCCAATCGCCTACAGAGAACGTGAGTTACTGGACCGCTGGTGTAAAACACCACCTACAATAACTGACTGGACTGCTGGTGTCGAGCAACACCACCTACAGCAAGGAACTGGACTGCTAGTGTGAGAACACTGCCTACAGTAATGAACTGGACCACTAGTGTAAAGAACACCACCTACAGTAATGAACTGGACCACTAGTGTAAGGAACACTGCCTACAGTTGTCAACTAACGGTGATACAACACACACATTGAGAGTTGTTGCAAGAGCACTGCTATTGTGAAGATACGTAACCTAGTAAGTATAGAGTAAGTAGTAGAGTTTTCTGAGTGGATGCCAGTCCACTTGAATGCTATGGTAGAAAGAGAGTATTTATACATTCAATTGGTGTTTTCCCTCGACACCTATCCTGCTCCTCTTGAGGGGCCTTTGTCCCCTGTTAGGCACTGCCTTGCCCTGCTGGCATCATCCCCTTCGATACTGTGCTCCTACCGTTTTGCTCAGCGTAAGGGTTATGCAACACTGCCCTCTCGCCTTCATGCTCTCCTTCTGTCTGATGTGGGATGCCCCCTTTCGGCACAGCCCCCCTTTCATCTTAATCTTGTGAATCCCCTTTTGAACCTCGTGACCATACCCCCTGGTTATGTGGTCACATCAGCACAGCTCCGAATACTTGCTTGGATCGGCCAACTAGTTGAAGCATGCTGATCTGACTGATTCCGACATCGGCACAGCTCCGAATACCTGTTTGGATCAGCCGATTAGTTGAGGCATGCTGATCTGACTGCCTCCGTCATCAGCATAGCTCCGAGTACTTGTTTGGATCGGCCGACTCGTTGAAGCGTAATGGTCCAGCTGACTCCGACTGTTCCCATGAGATTGATCTGGATTCCTGGGGTTCGATCGATCTTGTAAATCATGTGTGCTGCCAACCTGATTAATCTTGTTGATCCCCGATGGTTGTCGACTCTGATCAATCTGGCGCACCCTTCATATGTTGATCTTCTGCGCACCCTTCATATACTGCTCCGTTACACGACATTATCATAACTGCTGCTGATCATCTGGCGCACTCTCTTGTGCAGGCCAGCCGTCCCTGTGACATTACCCCCCCTTCCAGAGCTGAGCTCCATCGAGGTTATATAAGCCCTCCTTTGTCTTTCTTTTTGTCCCCTCTTTCTTCTCCTCTTACCATATCATGCAACTGATATCCCTCTACTTGGTATGCCCCGTCTTCATCGTTCTCATCCTTCGAGGACTTCCCCTTCACCTCCTACTACAATGGTCGAGGTTTCTAATGACAACCCCACCCCTCAGAGTCCAACTTCTTCTATCCAGACTCCCCCATTGCCTAGTCTGACTTCTTCTATCCAGACTCCCCTGTTGCCTACGTCTTCCCTTCCTGATGACTTGGCCTTCCCGAGCCTGGCTGCTTCCTTGCTTTCCCTCTGCTCCTCCCTTGGGCATGTGTACAGACCCGATCCTTTGTTCCTTGACCTGGAACGCCCCACAACTTCTTCCTCTGACCATCGTGATGCTGTGGAAGTAGACTTGGCATGTACTCCAGCCCCTCCTTCCCTTGATCATCATGTACCTACCAATGGTGAGATAGCTGGTTGGTCTGAAGGATTGGTGGTGTCTAGGCTGGTGGTAAAAATTGCTACTGGGGACTATCCTCCAGAGTGGGAGGTAGGTAGAGGTTCTTCGACCAAATGGCAACTGCACTGTCTGGCCATGCTTCGAATGACCAAGGGTTGTATGCCCTGGCCTAGCTGGCAATGCACCCAGTGTGCTAGTCTTAGTCTCCCGTAAGTAGTCTTTTGTACACCATTCTCTTTCTTACTGCCAATGCTAACCCCCTTTTTTTAGTTGTTTTCCTTCTGCATTTGTCAACCCCTTCATCCCTTACGGTCATGTTCCTCGCACCTGCACTCATTGTCACCTTGGCAACTTGTCACATTGCGAACAGACAATTCCCATTTCTCCAGACATGGAGTACCTTGGTGACAGTCCCCCCAACAGGCAGCCTCGGGGTGCTCACCTGGCAGAGTGTGTGCATCTGACTGTGACCAATGGTTATGGTCCAGGATTCATTTGTGCCAATGATTGAGTGACTGATTCCAACACCTCTGATGAATGGATATTTGCCATTGGTGTTCTCTGGTGCTCACCTAGCTGAGCAATGGTGTTCCCAATCATTTGGATTCTTTTCTTGTACCTTGATTGTCATGATAAGTTGCACTTGGAGCATCAACCTCATGAGTCTGTCACAGTACCTGGCGAGAATCCTGATTTCCTCTTCCATGGATGCTGGGTTTGTCCTCCTCTCATTCCTGTTCATGAATGTGATGTGTAATGACACATTTGTATCTTCCTCTCAATTCAATTTTCTTTTGCTCCTTTTTTCTTTTAAAAGACTGTGTCTTTTGTCGACTTGCATGAGATGCTACGAAATTTGAACAGAATTTTGCCTTCCGTTGATATGTTTTGCTCTTCTCCATTTGTGTCGCTTTTTTGAAACTTTATAGTTGTCATTCCCCTGCCGATTCCTCATACTCCTGGATGAGGGTTGGGCAATCAAGAAGGTTGATCGACTCCCATGATGCTGCTTCTTCTGGGTACCCTTGCCAGAGTACCCTGTATTCTATCTTGTGATTCCAAACTCATTTGTCCAGTAAGGCCTTGACCTCAAATTCGAGGTCCTCTTCTGGTAATGGTGGCTCTACTGGAATCTGTGAGTGATGTGGAAGTGTGCTCGTCCTAGCTGGCTCCAACATTGATATGTGAAACACATTGTGGACTTGGAGGTTTACTGGTAGACTGATTTGATATGCCCTTCTACCAATCCTTTCTTTGATCAGGTATGGGCCTGCGAACCTCATGTCCAACTTTGGGGTTGGTCGTCTCGTCTTCCAGTTCCTTCGATTGATATACACTAAGTCGCCTGTAAGCGATCGCGCGCCAGAGACTAACTGAGGTTGATTGAGTAAGGTCTACTCGATATGATTCGCCTAAACGTAACCAAGCATTGTCGCCTAGTAAGTCTTGACTGACCACCTTGAACACTCCATTCAGAGGTTGCACAGCACAAACATTGTTTGTTGGTGAGTGGGTGATACACCCTCCCCTACAGTATGAGTGTTCGTAGTACTGTTGATAATGCTCTTGGATGTCATCTGGACCATGATATGCTAATTGCCTACAGAGGATGGGAGTTACTGGACTGCTGGTGTGAATCACCACCTACAATAACCAACTGGACTGCTGGTGTCGAGCAACACCGCCTACAGCAAGGGACTGGACTGCAGGTGTTGAAGAACACCACCTACAGTAATGAACTGGACTGCAGGTGTTGAAGAACACCACCTACAGTAATGAACTGGACTGCTAGTGTGAAGAACACCACCTACAGTTGTCGACTAACGGTGATACAACACACACATTGAGAGTCATTTGCAAGAGCACTGCTATTGCGATGATACATAACCGAGTAAGTAAGTATAAAGTAAGTAAAGTCAAGTCAGAGTGGATGCCCATCCACTCATATGCTATGGTAGAATGAGAGTATTTATGTGTCCAGTTGGTGTTTCCCCTTGGCACTTATCCTGCTCCTCTTGAGGGGCCTTTGTCCCCTGTTAGGCACTGTCTTGTCCTGCTGGCACCAACCCCTTTGATACTGCGCTCCTGCCATTTGCATGGTGTAAGGGTTATGCAACACTGCCCTCTCACCTTCATGCTCTCCTTCTGCCTGATGTGTGATGCCCCCTTTCGACACAGCTCCCTCTCAACTTTATCTTGTGAAACCCCTTTAGTCACTTGTTGAACCTCATTGTCAGGGGTCTCGCGCCTGAAACCCAGGTCGGTCTGTCGAGATACTCGGTGACTATCAAACTGTGTTACAGCTATTGTCTCGGTATCAGTGACTATCAAGTTGTGCAGTGACAGCAGGTGGCATTCGTTGTATATACTATCGTAGGTTTCGGCTGACCTCTGTGGACACTCCGTTCAGGGGTAGTTCGGCACGATCAATATCAATGTTATGATGACACCAAGGTCTGGTGTGAGTGTTGATGATGATGAGGTTGATGGTGTGGGTGGTGAGATTGGTGATGTCGATGATAATGAGGTTGATGGTGTTGGTGGTAAGGTTGGTGGCAAGGTTGGTGGCATCAACACGAGTGTCCAGTGTGTTGACTTGATGCTTGAAGTGATCCCCGGACCGCAGTGGACTACTGCCTTCGGTTCTATCTTGATCCAGACTGCTAACCTGCTATGGGCGCCTTCGGACGTCAGGTAGTGGTGATACAACACACACACTACGATGAGGAGCAACCTTTGATGGATTGCTGCTATGCTGACTGAAACTAATATATACTTATGCTGAAGTGATAACTAGTTATGGTGAGTAGAGTGGATGAGGATCCACTCGACCTATTGATGATGAGAAAGCATGGTTATATACCTCTTCTCAGCATTGCCAGCGATGCTGCTCCTGCTCTCTCTCCAGAGAGTACCTTCTTCATCGAGTACTGCTCAGGGGCCTCTCCTGCTTGGCACCCCTGTGCCTCTTGAGCTGTGTCGACTCCTTCGACACTGCTCCTCCTCCTCATGACCTGATGTCGACTCCTTCGACACTGCTCCTCCTCCTCATGACCTGGTGTCGACTCCTTCGACACTGCTCCTCCTCCTTTGATCAGTGTCAGTTCCTTTGGCTCTTGTCTCTCGAGCCCCTGAGTGGTAACCATCTGCATGCTCCTTGAGCTTGGTCCTCTTCGTGGCTGTGCCTGCTCCTTGAGCTTGGTCCTCCTCGTGGCTGTGCCTGGCCCTCCTCGCATGTGGCTCGGTTCTCCTTTGCATGTGAGTCCATAGGAGTCCATGGTCTCCATGGAGACTGCACTACGACCATGCTCTCTACTGGTATCGACTAGGTCTTCGATACCTGTGCTCCTTCCATATGAACCTGTGACCCTCCTGCTTCTTGAGCATCCAGGCCCATGACACTCATGACCATACCCCTTGGTCATGTGGTCACATTGGCACAGTTCCATCATGACTTGTCTTGTGAAACCCCTTTAGTCACTTGTTGAACCTTGTGACCCAACCCCTTGGTCATGTGGTCACGTCGGCACAGCTCCGAGTACTTGTTCATATCGGCTGACTAGTTGAGGCGTGCTGATCAATCTGGCGCACCCTTCATATGTTGATCTTCTGCGCACCCTTCATATACTGCTCCATTACGCGACATTACCATAACTGCCGCTGATCATTTGGCGCACTCTCTTGCGCTGGCCAGCCGACCCTGTGACACATATAACACACACTTGCTCTTCGTCGTAGTGGTCGGGTGGATCCCCATCCACTCTACACCATATCTACTAGTTATAGCTTTCACATAAGTATACATTAGTATTCTGTCAACAGTTGCAATTGCAGAGCATTGCTTCTATATAGCACATGTGTTGTATCACTGCTCATTGACATCATCTGAAGGTGGTATCTATGGTGGTCCAGATATTGATTAACACCAAAGGCAGTTCATACTGCAGTCCAGTTCTCTCAATCATTAGAACTGAAGGCAGTTGTCCACTGCAGTCCAGGGATCATTCAATCATTCAATCAACACACTGGACACTTGTGTCAGCACAAGCACATTCACACCAGACCTTGGTGTCATCTCAATGTATCTACTGGTTATTGATCATGCTGAGCTACCTCTGAATGGAGTGCCCACAGTGGTCAGTCAAAATCTGCAATAGATGGCAGTTACTACATATTCAAGCAAGAACAGTCATAGAAGGCTTCTACAACATATTCCAGCAAGAACAATAATAGAAGGCTTTTACCACAGATCTCGCTGAGATTAATTGTAACTGCTTTCTACCACAGATTTCGGGTTTCAGGTGCGCAACCTCTGACAACAGGCTGCACGTCGTCCAACTAGACATGAGCATGGCATTCTTAAATGGAAAAATAGACAAAATGGTCCACATGCAAACCCCCCCACAATTGAGGCACCCAACAGTGATGGGAAGTGCTACCATCTCAAGAAGGCACTATATGGCCTCAAGCAGGCAGGTAGACTCTGGCATGCTGCCCTCAACAAGCAATTACAGGTGTTTGGATTCAAACAGTGTTGCACAGAGCCATGCATCTACACATGAGGAACCAAAGACACCATGGTAATGCTTGTGATCTACATTGACAATCTACTTGTCATCAGAGCAGTGTTGCAATGTGTCAATTCAGTCAGACAGCAGTTATCCAGCATCTTCAGCATCACAGATCAAGGAAATGTCTCACACATCATCAGCATGAATGTCAAATATGATTGTGAGTTGCAAATGCTTTCAATTGATCAAACTGGTACATCAAAGGACTACTCAAAAAGTTTGGCATGCATGAGGCATGGTCAACACAATCACCAGCTACAGAAGCAATCAACATGATGGGTCCATGACAAGGTGACACAGCCAATGCAGAAGAGATCAGGTACTACACTTCACTGGTCAGACTGCTACTCTGGATCATGCAAGGAACTCAACCCAACATAGCTTTTGCCATTGGACAATGTACCTGTTTCATTGCCAATCCATCAAGCAAACACCTAGTTGCTGTGAAACAGATCATCAGGTATCTAATAGGAATGATTGATGTCAGCCTAGTGGCAAGCCAGATCAGTAGTAAGAAGGTGTTGACATGTTGGACTGACTCAGATTGGGCAGGATCACAAGAATGTTGCTGTTCAATGATAGGGTATGTCTTTGCTATTGACAGTTTCATATGCAGTTAGTCTTCCCAATTGTGGCTGACTGTAGCAAACAGTTCGGTCGAAGCCAAATACATCGCACTGGCAGCCGCAGTGTCACCAACCTCCATATGCATTACATACCGGCCGATAGGTTGTTTTGTTGAGTTTCGTATTTCAATCACATTTTACACATTCACTTGTCGATTAGAGCTTTCTCGGGCGAGAGGCTTCATATTTTTGTCAAAAAAGGCTCAACTGTGCATGCATGTCCTTAGCTCATCGCCACCATCTCTGCAAGCAAAACCCAGCATCAAGTAATATCGTCTTCATCTCCAACATTAATTTAGCTTCATGTGGGCAGCATTGTCATTTCATAAGAAGGTTGTTGACAGCGGCAAGGGAAACGCTATGGACATCCATGTTCTTGTGAGAACTGGGCCAGTCATTACCAAGATCATCCTCAATCTATGTCACTGCCAAAACTTCTGTACTGCACTCATGTGACCAGGAACTGGTACTTAACCCAACCATACCAATCTTGTACAGTGACTTGTATGGAGCAAGAGTCATTGCTAATGATCCACAGCACTTCAAGAGGACAAAGCACATTGATATCACACACTTCTTCTTGTGGGACAAAGTTGCTGATGGTTGACTCACAATCACCCCCATCCAAAGCAGCAAGAACCTTGTGGATATTCTGATGAAGCCCCTTGTGGCACCAAGGCTCACATACCTTAGACAGTTATTAGGACTGACAACATTATAAGGACAAACCAGATTGAGAGGGGGTGTTGGGGATTGCAATCTAGTCAGATCTAGGGATAATGTAGATCAGATCTGTAGAGGATTGGGTGGAGCAGATTCAGTTGGCAATCAGATAAAGTAGGTCTGATCAGGATTGGGTGAGGCAAATCAGACAGGGAATCAGGCTGAGCCAATACAAGACAGAGATTGGATGCAACCATGTCCCACTTGTTGCTACACACTGTCATTAGGTAGGATACACCCACAGTTGGGCATGTACCACATGTTTGTATATAAGTCTAGCAGGGAGCTCGAGGCTCCCACCACATTCACTTCTAGTATGTCAATATAGTATAGTGTTTTGCTCTTTAGCTTGAACACCATACTTTGGCTGATATCTCCCGATCATCGTTGCTGAGTGATTCCTTTATTACAACAGTTTTTGCAACTTTGCCATTTCTCCGTCCATCATATCAATTCAGTCCGGGGTCAATTTGCTTATCACTCTCAGCCACCACCTCTCTCTCTTCTCTTTCTGCATTCACCATCAACATCCATCACACCTATCACATCCATCACAACCATCTCAACCATCGCCAGGGCTTCATTCAGCCTCCATTGACAACTTCTTGACCAGCTTGACTCTCTCCGCTCCGTGCAGCAAAGACAGCATACACCACACGTGGCACGAGCAAACCTGCTCCTTATCTCCGCAGAGAAGACTCTGGATCAGGCTTTTGACACCACCACCTGAAATCGATCATGCCTGAGGAAAAAGGACTTACCGCTACACACGACGACGGTCAGCCAGCCAAACGAAAGCGTCTTCGTATCCCCAAATCCTGCATTCCCTGTCTCAAAGGCAAACGAGCCTGTGACCGAGGTCGTCCTGCTTGCGGCCGTTGCGCTCGTTCAGGCCAAAGCAACGACTGCAGCTATGATCCTCGTCTACCCCAGCTTCCTGCTTCTGGTGGTAGCTCATTCAAACGCAACGCAACTTACGACGACTCGGACGACGACGATCAACCCGATGCCTCTTCACCAGACAACCGCCAATTAGCTCTACTTCAAAGAGAACTTGAAGAAGCACGTAGCGAGACACGTCGCCTACAGCATCTACTGCGAACTCAGCAATCGTCTGCTGCTCCCGCTTCACCACGTTCCTACTCCTCACCGCAGCACCGGCCACACTCGCATTGGTCACATGCATCGACATCGGCGGATCGACACCGTGCACATTCGAGCGCAAATGATTTGCATGCAGCTAGGGGTTTGCAGATGCTAGCAGAGATTGCAGGGCCTCAGCATCAGGATGCGGACTCGAACGCGGTCAAATCTCGCATCTTGCATTGGCCTGGTCCTGCATCGCATGCTTCTCCTTCCAGTCAACTTTCGCCGATCCATCGTCATGCCTCTGCTTCCTCTCGCGACTCAATGCGGCCCATCAATGAAGCAGCTTCCTCTCCAGCACCAGACAACAGATACGCGCACATCTCAGCAACACCCTCCATCTATAACAGCCATTTCCAACGTCGAAGCTCCAAACCTCCCCAAAACACAGACGACTTGGACTTGCTTAAAAACATCAACGGCACCCAGATGTACTACGGCGACAGCACCTCCGGGGATAAAGTCTTGCGCAAAGTTGCTGCTTCTACCGCCTCCTCCTCCCGCTCCCCCACGGGCAATGTTGCGAGCAGCATACACGAAACGATGGCGAGCAGAGATATGCAGTCCGCCTTCAGCAGCGTGCTTGATCCTTCCCGCGACACCTTTCCGTTTGCGACCATTTGGAGTTCAGGTACGGCCTTTATCGAGGAGGTCTTGCCGTTCTTTCCCAAGCCGGAAGACTTTGATAGTATCTGTGCCAGCTTTGTTAGGCATTTTTCGGCCATGTGTCCCGCACTTACGATTCCAACGGCCATAGATTATGCAAGAACGTTCAGTCGGATGGATCGCAAACAGCAATCTCAGGTCAGTCTTCCGTGGTTGGCGGTATTCTTGATGATCTGTGCACTGGGCAAGAATTGCGATTTGGAAAGTACAACAGTTGGAGTGGATAGGAAAGTGAGGATGTTAGATGCGTTTTTAGCTGGTGAGGCTTCGCAGCAGCCCAGTCGTGCTTCCTCTCCAATCCCCACAGCCGACGGAGAAGCACAGCAACAATCCTCTTCGAATAGCACAAGGTCACCAGCAATGGTATCCGACCTTTTCCTCTCCGCCGCATACCAATCTCTCCGTCTATGCAGCTTCCTCTCCGCCCCAACACTTCAAACGATCCATTCGCAGCTGCTCATCGGCGCATATTTGCTCAACACTGAACGCGCTGCTTCCTTCTGGCCCTTGCTCGGATCAGTAGCGCGTCAAGCTCAGAGTATAGGTCTCCACGTAGATCCAAACAAGATCAAACGCGATTGGGACCCCATCGAGGCTGATACGAGAAGAAGACTTTGGTGGGCGGTGGTGCATCAAGATGTGATTCTATCCTCGATCTTTGGCCGTCCACTTGGAATTACTAGGTTCAGCTGTAGATTTCCTGGTACCGCAGGCGTTACCACGTATGCTACACTCCAGTGCGAGTTTTCGCAGTTTGCAAGGATCTATCTGGATGAGAATCAGGATAGGAGTTGGAGTCAAGAAAAGATCATTGATTTTACCGAAAAAGTACTCAGCTGGTATGCGAATATTCCGGAACGATACAGACCCGACATTGGCCGCATCAACCTATTGGGGTCGGGAGAGGATGAAGAAGCGATCCAAAACTACGCTGCCGCTGGAGTAGACATCGAAACCAAAGGCCTAATGGAAGTTCATCAATCCGGAAACCTCGCAGTGGAAGTTTTCTATATCCTTCTCTCTCTCCATCGCTCGAACCTTTTCCCCTCCTCCTCCTCCTCTGACGATGCTCCGACCAAACCTTCCAGCAGCGCGAGCCTTAACAAAACGAGTCTGCACATCTGCACCCAAGCCCTTCGCCGCATAACTCGGGCCCAAACCACAATGATCGATCTCTTGGGTCGGGCACGAGCAACTATGTTTTGGAAAATCGCATACTATACCTACCAAGCCGCAATTGCAGGGGCGTATATAGTTTTCGTAAAGCCACAGAGTAAACAGGCCGAATCGGCATTGGAGGATTTAGCGATTCTGGTGGATTTCTTTGATAGACTGCCGGAGAGATGGACCGGATTGAAGATGGCCAAACATGGATTGAGGGTGTTGAGGAAATTGGCGGTTGCTGCTAGGGAGATGCCTGAGGCTGCGAGCATTGTTCGTAGTGCTAATGGGGAGGAAAACGGGGTGGTGGATGAGGCTAGTGCAGGGAGTGGTGTCAATGGGAGTTTGAATGGGATGAGTGAGGTTAGTGTGGCAACACCGACGACGACGCAGCATAGTTTTGGACCGACTTCCAACGGTACTGGTGATGCTTTCAAGGGGGGTGCTTTTCTGCCTCCTATCTTCGGCAATCCTTTCTTGAGTCCGAACGGGACAGGATCAAGTCAAGCAATGATGATGGGAAGTAGCAACGCAATGCTACCTACCAACAACAATCTTCCTTCTTCTATCCCATCGACATTATCCATGCCAACAACGATTGGATTCAATGGAGAACCAACGTCACTGTTCACCTCAGCTCTAACAGCCGCTGCTTCAACAGGCTCCCCTCTCCCCCGTTCGCTCGCCAACGTCCCACTCGTTACACTCTTCAACAACACTTACGACCAGCAAGAAGTGGGAGGCAAACAGTTTTGTTATGATCCGTTTGTACCTGATCCTACCTACCCGGCCACCAGCGTCGCGGGCGGAGAAGCTGTACAAGCCGTAGGAAGCGGAGGAGGTAGAAGCTCGAACAGCCCCTCAACAAGTGATAGAATGACCTCCAGCATCAGCTCCCCTTCCACAGCTTTCTCCACTCACAACGGCGCTGGGGTAGTAAGCGAAAGAGAAAAAGCGAGGGAAGGGGAAAGAATGCAAGTAGCAGCAGCAGGAGGAGGGCAGGAAGGAAGTCCAACTCCAGGATTGAATCAGAAAGATCTAGCTACGTATTGGTCGGAATACTTTAGCTTGCAGTTGGATTGGGATCGCTTAACCGGGCTCGCATAACCCTCATCCCCCCCACCCTCTCTCTCTCATTCACTTTGCCTTTTGCAATCGAATGATCTTTTTGATCTTTGGAGGTATGGTTTGTGTGATATCGATTGAAAGGGTATCCAAAATACAGAAAAGAGCGTGTGTGAGATACACAATTTTTTCACCCCCTGCCTACGGCTCCAGCAGCACCCAACTCTCCAACCCCGCCAACAGCTACCTCTTCTTCCTTTGAGATCACAATCTCCAAACCCCACAAGAAGAGCGTGAGTCCTACGGTGAGAAATCGCCAATAAATCTGGTTCTTTTGATCCAACAACAGCAGATGCGAATAAACTGCAATCAGAATCAACCGGGAGTAAGAGACGAGGATCGAAATGAACGATCCAAACGCCTCCCCTTCCTGTCCTCGCGAAGATCGAGAGGCTGGAGAAGGAGGGAAGGAAAAAGAGGACGGAGGTGGACGTGGTCGCTTGTGACGACCTAATTCTGAGGGTGGACGGGTCAGGTTAGGGCGGTTTCGCGTGGTGGGGGGAAGGTCGGTGGCTTTTACTTTTGGTGAGGTGGCGGTAGTTGAGGGCCGACGGGTTGGTTTGGTTCGTCCAACGTTGCGATCCTTGCGTGCTCGCTTTAATCCCTTGAGTGCGGTGGAGGGAGGTGGAGGGGGGGACTTGAGCGTATCAGCCAGACTCATAGGTTCCTTCAGCTTGTCAGCGATGGATTTGGTTCCATCGTCGTTATAAGCGATGCCAGAGTCGTCTTCGGAGTATTCGCCGCTGCCGGTGTCTGATTCGCTTTCCTCCAACTCGCCGTCGAAAGGTGTTCTTCGTCTTGTCCTCCTCCTCAATCTTCGTCGTTGGAGAATCCATCGTCCTTCGTCTTTGTCCCAAACTTGCTCTTCTAGTTCTTCCACCTCGGTACCTGATAATGAGGAGCTGGAGGAATGCGAAGAGGAGTCAGAGCTACTACCACTGTACTCTGACTCAGACTCGCTGTCTTGATCCCCACCGCCACGTTTGGATCGTGCTCGACCCCAACTTGCTCGTCTTGCATGGTTCTGATCATCATCGTGCTTGGGGGCAACGCTGCCCTTAAGCATAGGCAAGATGCGACTGGCAGCGTAGAGCACCATCAGTCTGTAAATCAGCGAGACAATCACTGATTTGGGCAAGGCAGCCCCCGCAGCATGGATAAAGTCCACCGACTGACCCAACCAGTGCGCAATCACTTCGATCAATCCACTCGCCGCTTGTAGGATCTTGCTCGTCAACGGAGCCTGCAGCGAGCGTGGCAGCTTTTCCACGAACGCTCGACCGTGAGTGTCGACCTTGAAGCTGCGAATGAGCGAGATCGGATCCGGAGTGAAGGAAAGACTAGGCCCTAGCTGGTAAATATTGAAGACGACATAGGCAAACATGAGACTGGTCTCAATGACGTTTCCTTTACGAATGGCGAATGTGATTGCTGTGAGCCAAAGGGTGGATGTGACCGAGGTTGCGATGGCTGCTGCAGTGCCAGGTCGGTCTTTTGTTGCACCGTCGAAGGAGACATAGAGTGCGAAAGCGGCTGTGACGTAGATGGTGGCAGAAAGGAGCAAGAAGAAAATCTGCCATACTTCGCTTGCGCCGAATCCGATGGAAGCGAGGGATCGCATGATGAAGGTGTTAGACATCCAAGCTGCTCCTCTTGCGGTGGTTGCTCCATTGGCGTTTGCTCGCTGATGGCGGGGAGATGGTGCTGCAAGAGAAGTTGCAATGATCCATCGAGAGGTGGATGCAAGTGACTGGATGACAAGAAGCGACGCAACACCTTCGAGCAGACTGAAAAAGGGACTTGAGATACGTAGCAAGGTATGCCACCAGCCTGGGACACGGCGTGCGAGCCAAAAGAAGAAGGCAACGGAGGCTGAGACGAGTCGGTCGAGGAACTCGGAGCCGGTCAATGAATCAAGATGATCCAGGTAGATGTGTTCACGCCTAGCACCGTTGGATCGACGAGAAAAGAGACTGCTAATAGCCTCGGAGGCAGTCTTGTCCTGGCTGTCGGATCTGCGTGCTGGAAAGATGGTGGCAGAGGGTGGAGAGTAGACATTGAAGCAGACCAAAAGGCAAGCTGGAATGACGATGAACTGGAACACTGCGAGCGTCTGACCGATCCATGCTAGACGCGTGCCGCGGGTGAGCAGCCGAGCTGTGGAGAGGAAGAGGTAGTAGGAAGCTAGCGATGCTGATAGAGCCAGAAACGCATCTTGACCAGCGATGTCGAGTGCGAGCGGAAGGTAGAAGAGGACCTGGATAAAAGAGGCTACCCTGCCAAAGTTGACAGCAAGGGAGCTGGCAAAAGCCATGGTTGCGGGAGTAGCAGGGGTTGACTCCAGAGGCTAGCGAAGGGTAGCCTGAGCGGGATAGCGACGTTGAGGTCGCACTCGAGGGTTGTTTGGATAGGCGAGGCTTTAGAAAGCAGAAGAGCGAGTCATGGCGATGTCAATGTCGTTCGTGGTGGTGCGGGCAAGAATGAGAAGACGAGGATGCGGTGAATTGACCTCCAGTGTGACGCTCAGAGACCAATATGGAGCGGAAACGAGGCTAGAGCGGAGTAGTGATGATGGTAGCGATGGATGATGACAGAAAGGAAGAAAAGTCGAATAACGGTCAAAGCGGAAAGCGATAAGCCTTCGACGTCAGAGAAAGCGAGAAAGTGTGTGTGTGTGTGTGTGTATGTGTCTGTGTGTGTCTGGTAATCACGTGATTAATAGCACGTGATGTGATCCGTGGTCGGAGATTCTGCCAAGTCATCGCGCAGCTACAGAATACCCCTCTCTCCGATCTATCATTCGCGCCGCTGCTCGCTTAGCAGAATCTCGCTGTCTCTTCAGTGTTTTCAGGACCTTCTCCTTCCCGTGGGTGCCCCTTGGGCCCAGCACTCCCTGATGTTGTCGACCGACCTGGGCATCACACCTGAGGATCTCCTCCTCGCCACCACCCAGGGGGCCCCTTCCACAATGGAGCCCCCTGCTGTGCCAACTATCCTACCGCAAGAATGTGTCTGCACCCGCTGCTGCAAGAGCCTCCCTTTCAGCCAGTTCCTCTCCCTGAGCCAGCCCAACACCATCACCCAATCCTGTACCACCTGCAGGGCCTGACAAGCAGCTAGCCTCAACACACATGGCCTTTGTGGTCACTTGACCCAGACCACTCGGGCAGCCTCATATGTGTCCTCCATTGCATCAACTGCCATTGCCCCTGGCTCACCTGGGGGCCCAGCCAATGCATTGGCCCCCGATCCAGCACCCGAGCCCAGCCTTGGCACCAACCCCTTCGTTATGGTGTCCCTGCTCGAAGCACACCTCCAGGGGGTCACTGCTGACATCACCTCCTCTGTCATGGCCCCTGTCATGGGCCTGAATGCTCAAGAAGCAGGAGGGTCACTGGTTCATATGGAAGGAGCACAGGTATCAAAGATCTAGTCAATACCATTAGAGAGCATGGTCGTAGTGCAGTCTCCATGGAGACCATGGACTCCTATGGACTCACATGCAAAGGAGGACCGAGCCCATATGCAAGGAGGGCCAGGCACAGCCACAAAGAGGACCAAGCTCAAGGAGCATGCAGATGGTTACCACTCAGGGGCTTGAGAGACAAGTGTCAAAGGAGTCGACACCAGGTCCTGAGGAGGAGGAGCAGTGTCGAAGGAGTCGACACCACTCAGGAGGCACAGGGGTGCCAAACAAGCAGGATAGCAAGGAGGAGGAGCAGTGTCGAAGGAGTCGACACAGCTCAAGAGGCACAGGGGTGCCAAGCAAGCAGGAGAGCCCCCCTGGACAGTACTCGATGAAGATGGTACTCTCTGGAGAGAGAGCAGGAGCAGCATCGCTGGCGATGCTGTGAAGAGGTATATAACCATACCTTCTCATCATCAAAGGTTGAGTGGATCCTCATCCACTCTACACACATCATAACTAGTTATCACTTCAGCATAAGTATATATTAGTTCCAGTCAGCATAGTAGCAATCTATCAAGGTTGCTCCTCATTGTAGTGCATGTGTTGTATCACCACTACCTGACATCCGAAGGCAGTTCATAGCAAACCAGTGGTCCAGATATAGATAGAACCGAAGGCAGTAGTCCACTGTGGTCTGGGGATCACTTCAAGCATCAAGTCAACACACTGGACACTTGTGTTGATGCCACCAACCTTATCACTGACACCATCAACCTCATCATCATCAACACTCACACCAGACCTTGGTGTCATCATAACCTACATATTGATATTGATCGTGCCAAGCTACCCCTGAATGGAGTGTCCACAGAGGTCAGCCGAACCTATTCGAGACTGATACTGAGACAATAGCTGTCACACAGTTTGATAGTCACCAAGCATCTCGACAGACCGACCTGGGTTTCAGGTGCGAGACCCCTGACAGCCCCTTTACGGAGTCTCGAGCATCAGTTTGCCTCCCTGGTGGCCTCTATGGCCCTTGGGCCTCAACACAGGCCTCCCTCTGCCCCTGCCCCAGTTCCACACCCTTCCCTGCCACCTGCCCCAGCATTCCCCTTTGATGCTCCAACAGCCCCCAACAACAACAACCCTGGTGAGTCATCTGTCTGTTGCCTTTTCCCTTGGATTCCTGTAGAGACCATCAATGCAGTCTACAGGGACCTCCTCTGGCCTAGTGACCTCAGCAAGCTGTGCAATGTGTCTGCTGTGGTGTCCATTGGGGAGAAAGTGACCCTCTCTGTGGGCACTTACAAACTTGCCCTCATGCTCCCCACCCCTACTCCCATGGCCAAAACCTTCCTCAAGACCATCCCCGACTTGGTTGCCTTCTGCCAGGTCTGGATCGTCTACACAGCCCTGCATGCTGCAGCCTCCCCCGACTGCACCCTCGGCCCTGCCCTGGCTGGGTTCCTGGTACACATCGCCGAGCTGGACCATCACTTTGAATGGACATTCATTGCTGACTACATCCTCACAGTCTGTGAGAAGCGTTTTGGCCATGCTGACGCTGACACCTGGTCCAGATGTGACATGGAGGCTTTCCAAGACAAGCTCGCGATCGTGCCTACCAAGCCCCCCAAGGCCTCCACCATCACCACTGAGCCGAAGAAGTCAGGCACTGGCACCATGGTGTGCCTCTGCTGGAACAACAACTCCTGTGGTGGCAACTGTGGTCAGGCCCACACCTGTCTGATTTGCAGAACAAGGAGCCACCCATCCTGGTCCTGCCCCAACCTATCGAAATTCAAACCCTCCCAGCCTTCATTGGTTGCAGCCAAACCTGCCAACCATTCCAACGTCAAGGCGGGAGGCACTGCTTAATGACCCCAGCAGTGCTTGGTGGGTACCTGCCCAACCACCCTGTGCCTGGTGTCACCCTGACAGGCCCTCACTCTGGGCATCCCTCAGCATTTTTCGCTTCCCCCTCCTCGGACCCTTGGCGACCCCTCATGGTTGCCTCTCCACTCCTCTGATGACCTATCATGGTCATCCCCCAACACCCCCGGCGACCTATCATGGTCATCCCCCAACACCCCCGGCGACCTATCATGGTCATCCCCCAACACTGCCGACAACCTATCATGGCCCCCTCCCTGGCTCGGGGTCCTATCATGGTCTCCTCCCCAGCACAGGGTCCTATTATGGCCCCCCAGCCCCTCCCAGCCCATTCACCAGCCACACGGGCCACCGGCTCCTCTGGCTCGCCTATCACGGCACCCGGGCCTATCACGGCTCCCAGGCTTATTACAGCCACCCCACCCGGGTCCTCCACATCCCCCCCAGTCTTCGATCTCTCAGCAGCCAATGCATGCACTTGCCTCCTCCTGCAGGCCTGCTGCAGGATCCCAGCACCCCAACCCAACACCATGATTACCTCCCCAGTCTTCGATGCAACCGACACACCAGCACACTGGGGCTCCATGCAGGAGCAAGCCCCAGCCTGGCAACGCCTCCTTGCACAATACCTGGACAAGGAGGTACAGCAGCAGCTGTTGGGTGGCATCTCCCATGGGGTCTGCATTGGCTACGATGGCCCGCTCCACTCTGTTGGTCAGAGGTCTCACAACCTACCAATGGACGCTGCGGGGCTTGCCCACATCTGCCACAAGATACACACACAACTCGCGGAGGGTTGCCTCACAGTGGTGTACGACCCAACCCTGCTCGTCTGCTCCCCTGTTGGCACCGTCCCAAAACTGCATTCTGACAAGCTCCGTACTATCCACCATCTCTCACACCCCTGCTGCCCAGGCCCCCAGCTCCCTTCCGTCAATGCAGGCATCCAACCTGCTTTCATGGCACTGCAGTATGAGAGCCTCCAGCCCCTGGTCGAGTTCATCCAGACCTCATCTGGCTGCTGGCTCTGGAAAAGCGACCTCCAGGACGCCTTTCGGCACATAGTCACTTGCCTCTATGATGCCAGGCTCCTCGGTCTCTCCTTTGATGGGGTGTCCTACCACAAGAATGTGCTTACCTTTGGGGGCAAGAGCTCCCCCTGGCTCTTCAACCTGTATGCTGAGATGGTACACTGGGTTGTGAGCTCATGCCTGCCCAGCTCCCTGTCATGGGCCTGGATGCTCAAGAAGCAGGAGGGTCACTGGTTCATATGGAAGGAGCACAGGTATCGAAGATCTAGTCGATACCAGTATAGAGCATGGTCGTAGTGCAGTCTCCATGGAGACCATGGACTCCTATGGACTCACATGCAAAGGAGGACCAAGCCATATGTGAGGAGGGCCAGGCACAGCCACGAGGAGGACCAAGCTCAAGGAGCAGGCACAGCCACAAAGAGGACCAAGCTCAAGGAGCATGCAGATGGTTACCACTCAGGGGCTTGAGAGACAAGAGTCAAAGGAGTCGACACCAGGTCATGAGGAGGAGGAGCAGTGTCGAAGGAGTCGACACCACTCAGGAGGCACAAGGGTGCCAAACAAGCAGCAGGATAGCAAGGAGGAGGAGCAGTGTCGAAGGAGTCGACACAGCTCCAGAGGCACAGGGGTGCCAAGCAAGCAGGAGAGGCCCTTGAACAGTACTCGATGAAGAAGGTACTCTCTGGAGAGAGAGCAGGAGCAGCATCGCTGGCGATGCTGTGAAGAGGTATATAACCATGCTTTCTCATCATCAAAGGTCGAGTGGATCCTCATCCACTCTACTCACCATACAACTAGTCAATACTTTAGAAACACAAGTACTCATTAGTTACAGTCAGCATAGCAGCAATCTATCAAGGTTGCTCCTCATTGTAGTGTGTGTGTTGTATCACCACTACCTGATGTCCGTAGGCACCCCATAGCAGGTTAGCAGTCTGGATATAGATAGAACCAAAGGCAGTAGTCCACTGTGGTCCGGGGATCACTTCAAGCATCAAAGTCAACACACTGGACACTTGTGTTGATGCCATCAACCTTATCACCAACACCATCAACCTCATCATCATCAACACTCACACCAGACCTTGGTGTCATCATAATCTACGCATTGATATTGATTGTGCCGAGCTACCCCTGAATGGAGTGTCCACAGAGGTCAGCTGAAACCTACGATAGTATATACAACGAACGCCACCTGCTGTCACTGCGCAACTTGATAGTCACCAATACCGAGACAATAGCTGTCGCACAGTTTGATAGTCACTGAGTATCTCGACAGACCGACCTGGGTTTCAGGCGCGAGACCCCTGACACTCCCTTCCCCTCAGCCACTACCTTGACGATTTTTTCGGGGCGGTTCCAGCAGGTGAGGACTCCTCCTGCCTGGTGCACATGCTCGCCATCGCTTGCAAAGCCCTGGGCCTCAACCTATCCCCCTCAAAGACCTTCTTTGGCACCAAGAAACTCGAGATCTTGGGCATTGAGGTCAACACCGAAGCGCTAACACTCAGCATCACTGACCAGCACAGGTCCTCCATCCTCAGCACCATCCAGGCACTCCTCTGACCCAGCTGAGTCTCCCTCCTCCAACTCCAGCACATCTCTGGGCTCCTGCAGTTCGTGATGCAGGTGGCCCCTCTTGGCTGCATCCACCTCAGCTGCTTGTACACAGCTCTCTGGCATGCCCATCATTCACCCCTCAGCCTCCTCTGGCTGCCCAAACCTGCCACTGCCAAACTACAGTGGTGGCACCACCTCCTTGGCCACTGGAGCGGCTTGTCCCTCATCCTCCCCTCCCCCCTGCAGGCCACTCACATCTGGATGGATGCATGCCCCCAGGGCCTTGGGGGTTATCTTGGCCCTGCAGATCACCCAGACCTGGTGTGGGCCCGCAGCGTCCCTCGCTGGCACTGGAGGAAGAACATCTGGTTCCTCAAAGCCCTTGCCATCCTCGACTGCCTCCATGCCTCCCTCCCCCACCTCACTGGATGCAGGTTTACTCACATGGTTTTCCATGTGGATAATGAAAATGTGGAGCATGGACTGCACTCTGGGAAGTCCAGGGACCCCCTGACCCAGATGCTGCTAAGGGAAATATTTGGCCTTTGTTTTGAGCACAGCTTGGTGGTGTCCCCCTCTCAGGTCAGCAGTACTGACAATGTGTTAGCTGACCTCCTCTCCTGCCATCATTTCACTCAAATCCAGGCCTGGTTTCCTTGGGCCCACCAACAGCTGTTCTCCCTGGATCCTTCTCCCAGCTCTCTGCCACCACCCTCGCCTCCCCAGCCTTCACCAGACTCCTTGGCTACTCGACACATGCAGCTTCCCTCCTCCTGCACAGTCTTAGCGAGTGCTCCCACCACCAGTATGACTCTGTTGATGGTGAGTACCAAGCCTTCTGCCTCCAGCGTTTTGGCCCCAACTGGATGGCCCTCCCCTCCTCTGACCTGCACCTCATTGAGTGGATCACTGTGCTTGGCTGGGTGGGATGGAGCTACCATGTGGTCTGCCACCATCTCACTGCCCTGTCCTCCTGGCATGTCAACTTGGGCCTTGACTCCTCTGCCTTCTCTCACCCTCGCATGCAAAGGGCTCTCAAGGGTTTCAAGCGGCTCTACAGCATCACCCAGTGGGGCCAGAAGCTCCCCATCACCCTCTCCATCCTCCATGGTCTTCTGGACACCCTCCAGGCTGCTCTGGACTTGTCCCCATCCAACCACATCACCTTCACTGCTGCCTTCACCCTTGCCTATGTGTGCCTCCTGCATTGTGCAGAGTTCACCTGGTCCAGGCTCAATGACTCCATCCTGCAGGTTGGCTCCATTACCTGGTCCAAGACATATGCTATGCTCCATCTCGCCTGCTCGAAGATGGACCTGTTCGGGACTGGGGTTGACCTCATTGTCCCCAGGGTCAGTGGCCCCGCTTGCCCCCACACCACCTTGCATGCTGCATGCAGGTCCTGGCCACTACAGGCACCTCTCTTTGCCTTGGACAATGGCACCACCCCCTTCTCCCATGAGAGAGCCATCAGTGTCTTGCAACAGCTCCTGGGCACAATGGGCCTGCCTGCATCGGCTTATGCCAGCCACTCCTTCTGCTGGGGGGGGTGCCACCTGGGCTGCCCACTGCAGCACTTCCACCAAGGCTATCCAAGCCATGGGTTGGTGGTCCTCTGACTGCTTCCACCATTACATCGATCATCTGCCCTCTGCCCATTGTGACATTGCTGCCTCCTACCTCTTCTCCACCTCCACCCCCTGACCCTTCCTTGGCTTGACATGTGCCTCCTCCACCTTTGGCTCCCATCTCCTTCCAGAAAAACTGGACCTTGCTGTGCAACCAGTTTGCTCCTTGCAGGTCTGGCAGTCCGGGAGCCTCACGAGCCTTGTGAGCACTCTCATGCTCATCCTGCAATCCAAAACCCTCTCTTATGACCCCCAGTTGCCTTAGTTTCTTGATAGTATGAATTGAGGGATCGGATGTGTGTGTCTCACTTTTCCGCATTTAGTTGATGCGAACTGCGCCTCATCCGCCAGCACACGCACACGCACACACGCGCATCCATTTCTCATAGCATTTCGCTGTTATATTCAGGGTCTAACAGAAGAAAAAATTGAACGCTCAAACCATGAAATTTTTCAGGAAATAGCCGAGGGAAACGCTCTCTGCTGTTCAGGGTCGTGTGCAGTTGTCAAAAAAGTTGGGCTTTCTATAAGCAAAGTAGCACCGACATCTACCAACCCTTTCCTCCACCACCTTCTCGGTCACACATACCCAAGATGAACGGCTCGCAACCTCCACAAAGTGCAGGAGCGGATGGCGACACGGTAGCATCGGCGCAGGCTGCTGTATTCGTCCAGTCACAACCTCTACCTGCTGACACACCTACCGTCGTTGGACCCGACTTCGAACACCAAGACCCAAACGACTTGGCAGCACTACTCAAAAGCATGTCCAAGGTCGGCTTCCAAGCCTCCGGAGTCTCAAAAGCCATCGAGATAATCGAAGAGATGCGTCAATGGAGACTAGCCACCGATTCAGCCTATCTCGCCAACACGGACCCCGAGAAGCCCAGCCTTGTTGACGCACAAAACACACAGTGTCGTATCTTCCTCGGCTTCACCTCCAACCTCGTCTCTTCAGGATTGAGAGAAGTGATCAAATTCCTTGTGAAGAACAAGATGGTTTCGGCCCTCGTCACAACAGCAGGCGGAATCGAGGAGGATTTGATCAAATGTCTCGGTCCCACTTATCTCGGCGACTTTGCATTGGATGGCGCTACACTACGCAAGCAAGGTCTCAATCGTATCGGCAACTTGTTGGTACCCAATGACAACTACTGCAAGTTTGAAGACTGGGTCATGCCGATTCTTGATGCGATGCGTGCCGAGCAAGGCGATGATGTCTCCAATGCGTGGTCGCCAAGCCGTGTCATCGAGAGGCTGGGCAAAGAGATCAACAACGACAGCAGCATTCTCTACTGGGCAGCCAAGAACGAGATCCCCGTCTTCTGTCCTGCACTCACGGACGGAAGCCTGGGCGATATGATCTACTTTCACTCGTACAAGAATCCAGGGTTGACAATGGATCTGGTGAAAGACATTCGCAGGTTGAACGATCTCTCGGTCAAAGCACCCAAGGCGGGGATGATCATTCTAGGTGGAGGCGTATGTAAACATCAGATTGCAAATGCGATGCTCTTCAGGAATGGGGCTGACTTCAGTGTCTACATCAACACAGGACAGGAGTTTGACGGGTCAGATTCAGGAGCCAGACCGGATGAGGCTGTTAGCTGGGGAAAGATCAAATCGGCTGCGAATGGTGGGAAGAACGTCAAGGTGTATTGCGATGCTACTATCATCTTCCCCATGATCGTTGCTGCGACGTTTGGCAAAGCTTTCTGGGCAGCGAAGAAGGCGACAGCATAGCTACTTAGCATCCGGTATAGACTTATCACCAATCTTGTACTTGTATCCAGCAACCAGCATTCAGCATCGTCACCACTACATTGTCTCTCAGAAAACATTCCCGATACAGGAGTGAATGAATTGGTATCGGGCGATCTGTGATCTCATTTGTTCGGGCAAGACAACGGCTCTATGTTTTTCAACTCGATCCTTCTCGCCGACACGACAACAAGGCGACAAGATGTGACACTTGCAATTTTGGAGCTTCACTTGACTCGGGCGGTAAAGGCAATCGCCGATTCTCTACACCAGCACTCAAAGTGTGGGAAAGTGTGGAGAGTGCGGAAAGTGGAGTTCAAGGGTCGTGCGCAGGGTTCGTGTTACAATTAGTTGAAGATGCATCGGCATCTCAAGCAAGATGCATGTGTCACGGCCAAGACACCGAGGTACAGGAGGCCCACTTAAGCAAGAAGCACAATGAGGTACATGATTGTTGTCATGGCAACAGCTCAGTGGTACCCAGTATCATAGCAACACAGGAGTACAAATGAAGTGACACATCCTGTCTCAGATAGGACTAGAGCAGTGAATGGAGTATATATATGTGTTTGTCATTTAGGTTCACACTATGAAAAACTAAGCATTACATAGAACACATGGCTGTGGTAAAGGGAGTCTGATTGTGACCCCAATAATGCTGTATATTAATTGCTATCTTCAATTGATTAAGAGTCTGAAGAAGCTATCACCAAGCTAACCAAAACTCATCAACAACCATGGTAGAAGACACCAAAATGAGGACCAAAGGAAGCAGAAAAGGCAAGAACACCCAGGTTTGGGTTGACAATGATGCCACGAACAAGAATGAGCCAGAGGCTATCGACAATGAAGCCAATGAAGACACTGATTCCGACTCCAACTTCAATGATGGCAACAAGTGATATAACTTTCACACCCTAGCAAAGCTCCTCGAACCCATGCCAAAGCTCACATCATGCAGCTATTATAGCTGGAGTGCTCATGTGAAATCTTTCCTCCGATCCGTGCCCCATGTGATGAAACATCTTGAGGGAACATATGACAAGAAGCACCCAAAATGGAGCTGCTCCCTCGATGATGCTTTAATCAATGCCCTGCATGGAACAATTGACAGTACTGGGGAATACAATGTAAATTACCTCGTTCTAGATGTAATCAAGGAGTACCTTACTTTCAATCAAGTATGGAGAAAGATCAAAAAGAGTCTCATGAATGAAGCCACCAAGATGTCTCACAGACTTGCACTCATCTTGCAGCTCAATGATATAAAGATGTTTCACTTGGATGCCAGAAAGCTAATTCAAGAGATCCAGTCCATACAGACTGAAAGTAGCCTCCTTGGCAAACCATTTGCCAATGATACATTGTTCTCGGCCCTGCAGAAATACATGATCTGGCATCTGGTGTATAAGGAGACAGTTGCCACCATTCATCAAATCGATTTCAACACCCTCACCACTGCACTAAGCATCTGGCAGACTGCTGTCGAGAGCATCCCTGTGCAAAAGATTGACCCCCAACAAGCCAGTGCTAGAACTGCTGGCAATGATGATCAAAATGAATGGGCCAGAGAGACCAAAGCTGAAGCTGACAACAGCCATGCGAGCTTGAGGAACACAGGCAGACCACACCGAATCTGATGCTGGATCTGCAAGTGACTGGGACATGGTATTAGTCAATGTGACACCTCAGTCACCATTCCCAAAGACTCCCCCCTCGCTAAACCTAAATAGGAAGTGTGGTGCTCCCTCACCCTCCCATTGAAATGGCAAGACCCCCCAAACATGAAAGAAACAGCTCATTGGATCTTGGACTTGGGGGCGAGTTATCATATGGTGAACAACTATAGCATGCTCATCCATCCAAGAACTTGCTGAAAGCAGATAATTACTGCCAGAAGTGAGGTCTTGGAAGCAGCAGCTATAGGAGATGCAAGCATATCAACAGATTATGGGGAAATCTCCCTACAAAATGTATTATATGTGAAGCACCTTAATGTTAACCTTCTGTCAATGAATTCATTAATGGATGAAGGAGCACAAGTGATATTGGACACAACTGGCAGTCAAATCTTTCTAACAAATGGCATTACACTTAAGATTGCAAAGAATTGCAAGTGAGGACTTTTGGAGTTCCAAGGTGACACATGGCAAGAAAGCATGATGGCCACATCAACACCATTGTTTGAAGGTGTTGATGAGGAGTTCGAGCATATTAAGAATGAGCCAAAAGTTTCAAAGCAACAACTATGGCATGAGCATCTTGGACACCCTGGAAGAGATAAAGCTAAGGCAATCACAAGCAAGTTAAAAGATAAGCATACCATGGAATTGGATCCAAACACTGCTCTGACATGTGAGCAGTGTGTACAATCCAAGAGCACAAGTGCTTGGATGGGGCAAGGTAGTGGCAAAAGAGCTGTAGGGCCCCTGGATCTTATCCACATCGATCTAATAATAGACTCATCCCATGTGATGGAGTACACATGCATGTTGGTGCTGGTCGATGATCATAGCAAGTATGTGTATGCACAGCCATTGACATGAAAGAGTAATGCATTTATGCAACTCAAAAGGATTGTTTTGTTCCTGGAGACACAGATGGATTGGAAGCTAAAAGCAATCTGATCTGATCAAGGAACTGAATGGAGAAGCAATGATGCATTAGAATGGTTGCTAGAAAAGGGCATAGAGTGGCAAACCACCATAGGGTACAACAGCAAACAATAATGGATGGGTAGAGAGAATGAACAGGACCCTTGGAGAGAAGATGAGGATGTTGCTAATGCAGAGGAGACTACCAAAGAAGTTCTGGCCATACATGATCAGAGCTGCAGCATTCAAAATAAACCTCACTCTGAGCATTGATAATGAGTTCCCTTATCAAGCAATGTTTGGCAAGTTGCTGGAGCGAGCTTTAAGACTCCTACAAGTGTTTGGTTGTCTGGCATGGGTAAATGTACCCAAAGTCAAATGGGACAACAAGAAACTGGACCAGTGAGCTGTCGCATCCATTTTCTTGGGATACAGTCTAGAGAGAAAGGGCTGGCTCTTCTACAGTCTGGACTATAATCCAAACATGTTCTGGAGCAATTCAGCAAAATTCATGGAATCAAAGTGCTGGTCAGACAGAACAGAGTGGCAACTGGTTGACACAAAGGCACCTCCAGCAATGATGACAGAAGAGAATTTCAAAGATCTAGGATATAACAAAGAAAATATATTTGATGAAACAGATGAAGGGCCACTACAAGAATACATGGATATGGAGACAGATTCAGAAGAAAGGTTAAGTGGAGGAATGGCAGAGGTGATGGAACAAGAATCAATTGCCAAAACTCAGATTGACAGCAAATTCTTTGGACTCATGGTGATGCAACTGGAATGGAGAAAGAACCTGGACCCAACCATACATGAAGCAATGAGTGGAGAAGACAGAAAGCACTGGGAGGAGGCCATGTGAAAGGAGCTGGATGGATTGGAAGTGATGGGCATGTGGGAGATCACTGACCTCCTGAAGGGTGCAAACACTGTCAACACACATTGGGTACTCAAGATCAAAACTGATGCAAACCTCATGCCAACAAAGTTCAAAGCCTGGCTTGTGGCATGAGGTTTCACCCAATGCAAGGGCATCGACTACACAGAGGTCTTCACACCAGTAGCACCCATCCAATCCATTCGAGGGGTGATTGCTGTTGCAGCAGTACAAGATTTGGAAATAGACTCTATTGACATAAAGCAAGCATACCTGAACTCCACTATACACCATGATGTATATCTCAAGCCCCCAGTAGGAATCAAAATACCACCTGGAAAAGCATTGAAGGTAGTGAAAGGACTGTATGGTCTGAAACAATTGGGCTGAGAATGGAACATTGAGTTAGACTCACATCTCTGGACAATCAGATTTCATTGCATGCTGAGCACACCATGCCTATACTCAAGAGGGACAGGTGACAAGATCACAATCATTACAGCATACATGGACGACATGCTGATAACATCACCCAGTCATGATGAAGTAGACTGCACTAAATGAGAGATCATGGACAAATGGGAGACACAAGACAACAGAAGGATCAAAGAATTTCTGGGTATCAAGATCACATGTGATAGAAGACAGAGGAGGATATCTCTGGGTCTAATGGCATACATCAAAGCAATGGTGAACAAATGGTTAAGAGGAGCAAATGAGAAATCTTGGGTACCCATGCTGAGCATAGTGAATGTCACCGGAGGCGAGAGATGTGAACCTCAATGAGCAAAGAAGTATCAAGAGTTGGTCAGCCAACTATTATGGGTCTCCAACACAGCCTGACCAGATATTGCCTTTGCTGTTGGCATATTGTTGTGATATATGTCAATCCCAATCAACAGTGCATGGAAGGCAGCCATTCATGTGGTAAAGTACCTGAACCAGATGAACAGATATCAGTTGCACTTAGGAGGGGAGACAAACAAGCACTTGGATACACCAGTAACAACATATACTGACACAAACTGGGCATCCAACCCCACAAATGGACAAAGGAGCACCTTGGGGTCAATAACATATGTGTATGGATGTCCAGTGAGTTGGAAGTCTCACATTCAAAAATGTGTGGCATTGTCAGCAGTCGAAGCAGAGTTTGTTGCTGCTTCTGAAGCAGTGCAAGAAGCATTGTTCTTCTCATATTTGCTCCAGGACTTGGAGATCACAGATGTTTGGCCCATGCTATACACAGATAGCCAGGGTGCATACAGGTGAGTAAAGATCCAGCCAAACATTGGAAGTTAAAGCACATCAACACATGGTATCATTTTGTTCATGATCATGTGCAAGAGGGCAATGTGGCAATTAAACATATCAGAACAGCAAACAATGTTGCAGATGTCTTGACAAAACCTTTACAGGGTCTCAACACCTCACAATTGGCTAGGATGATAGGGCTGGAGATCCTGCTGAAGGGGGGAGTTGAAGATGCATCAGCATCTCAAGCAAGATGCATGTGTCATGGCTGAGACACCAAGGTACAGGAGGCCCACTTAAGCAAGAAGCACAATGAGGTACATGATTGTTGTCATGGTGACAGCTCAGTGGTACCCAGTATCATAGCAACACAGGAGTACAAATGAAGTGACACATCCTGTCCTGGATAGGACTAGAGTGGTGAATGGAGTATATATATGTGTTTGTCATTTAGGTTCACACTATGAAAAACTAAGCATTACATAGAACACATGGCTGTGGTAAAGGGAGTCTGATCATGACCCCAATAATGCTGTATATTAATTGTTATCTTCAATTCAATTAGATGATTTTAGCACGTGACAAAATTTCCTGCTTTGAACGCCCGCCCTGAAACGAGGCTCGCGCGCGTGTATTTCTCTGTCTTTCTGCTCTGCCTTTCTGCGCTGGAATGTGTTGGTTTCACCTTGGACCCAATAAAGAGGCGTTCCATTTCGACGCGTCGATCCGGGCCAGGAACTCAACCTCAACCCAGGCTCAACTTGTGCAAGGGTAAAGCCAAGTCAAAGCCAAGAGCAATCTCCTCATCGACAGACCAACTTGGCATGCGATCCATTTCCTTTGCGCTTAGAATGCAAGTCGGCTGCCGTAGAGAGAGAAAAGGGTTCTGCTCTCCGACTTGCATGCGGTCGATCATGCAGTGTTGCATTTCGGTTTTCAGGGTTTGTGCCCAGGAATAATAACTTGTATACTCAGCGCAGAACACAGGCGGACAGAGCAATAGACGACTTCGCCGAGGCTCGTTCGTTTTGTTCTTCTGCGCTCGGCACCTTGGCCTGTATGCATGTGTGTTGCGCCGCCAGCACAAAGCTACAGTCATCGCAGATCAGCAAGAATAGCAATGTTGCCGGCACCCACGAGGTTCGAGCCCTTGTTGGTGACAATGCCTGCGGCTCTACTACTCGCTCCTAGCGAGGCACTCTCACTACTCTCACCACTCTCACCACCACCACCACCAACCCCATCTCAACTTCATATACTCGCAAAGGCAAAATGGTCAAATTCGTCACCTTCAACACAGTCGCAGTCTTGACGCTTGCCGGCTCGGCCATTGCTGCCGACATCCACGGCATGAACCGTTCCAACCAAAAGCTTCATGCTCGTCAAAGCTCTGGTTCCATCATGGCATCTGACTATCAGAACGGTGCCACTGCCCCTGGTGCTCGTCCAGGCGACGCAGAAGGTCAAACCGTCGTCATTGACAACGGTGGCGGTCACGACGATAACTCACAACGTGATGCTTGTCCTACCATCTTTATCGGTTCTGCCGCTGTCGGCGGTTCTTTCTCCACTGGTTGGACTGATATGCCCCAAGTTCTCGGTTTCGACACCATGCGCGACCTCACTGTAGGCAACAACATCGTTCAGCCTTACATCATCGAGCGTGGTAAAGACGCTTCCAAGGTCACCCGTGTTGTCATAACCCAGCCTGGTCTGCCACGCGATTACTGGAAGTATGCCAACTTGGTGCGCAACTCGTTGCTCTGTGCTTCCGTCAACTCCACCCTCGCTATCAACAGGGACGAAATTCTGATTGCTGCTCCTACTTGGTTCAGCACCAACGATGCCAGCGCTGGTTCTGCTGGTTCCAACGATCTTGTCTTCCGAGGTGGTGCTTGGTCCACTGGTGTTGATTCTGCTGGACCCAACGGCGCTTCCATCTCATCCTACGAAGCGCTTGACGGCTTGATCAACAAGTTCTTCGACAAATCCACCTACCCCGCCCTCCAGCACATCGTCATTGCAGGCCACTCGCTTGGTGGGTCTTTCACTCAACACTACGCAATGCTTCGCAAGTCCAACTCTGCCCAGGACGCCAGCATCAGTTACTTTGTTGGTAACCCCGGCTCCTACGTCTGGCCTACCTCTGATCGCCCTGTGACCAACCCAGGCGGAAGTTGTGCCAGCACAGCTAACCAATGGCAATACGGTCTTGAAGATCTCCCTCCCTACGGATCCGGTCAAGGTGGGGCCAACAGCATCGCTTCTCGTTACTACGGTCGTAATGTGATGTATGCACTTGGTCTGACGGATAACGAGGGCGGTGACAGTCACTGTGAGGCTCAGTACCAGGGTACTTCGCACTTGACTCGTGGACAGAACTTCCAGAGGCAGTTGAGACAGGCGAACAACGGTAACGTTCCCAGCAGCCACCAGTTCAACTACGTTGCCAACGTAGCTCATGAGGATTACCTCATTTTCAGTGATCCTACCTCGCAAGAGTTCCTTTTCAAAGAGGGTGGCCAGGCAGCGGGAAACTCTAGCCCTTCGGCAAGTAGCAGGGGTGGATCAGGCTCGAGTGCTGGTTCTACAGGAAGCGGCTCCGGGTCGAGCAGTTCTTCGCAGTCGAGCGGTAGCAGCAGTGGTGCCGAGAAGGTGGGTAAGGCTATTGGTGTCGTGACGGCCGTTGCTGCTGCTGGTGCTGCTCTTGCCGCTCTTGTTTCATAAGCATACAGTGTGTGCTTGTGAGAGGAGCAAGGCTAGAAGGTGTGTGGCTTTGCTCTTATCTGGCTATCCTTGGAATTTACCTTTTAACTCGTTTGCACGTTTCAGTTTTAGACCATCTGCTTGTCAATTGATCTCTTTGCTACCCGCCTTTCATCTGTGCTGTGTGTCATCCGCGCTGCGTGTCATCTGTCGAGTGATATGAGATCTATGCTGAGTGTTGAATGAAGTGAGTTTCCACGCGCCACGCGATATGCCAAAACTCAAATTTGGCGTGCACAGCCAAGTACAGATCGCCGGGCGCCAAAAAGAAAACAACACTTTCCACTTTGCTTTCCACCTTCTTTCCATCGTCTTTCACCCTGTGCTCTCCACCATTCTATCATCTCGATTAACCCGCATGAAGGGAAGGTAGCAAAGATGAGTGATCCAGGCTCATCAGCTCCCCCGATCGACAACGATCCCCTGTACGATGGCGATCGCGAGTTATGGTCCTTCTCCGCTTTCTTTCCACCACCGTATCGCGTTCTTCTGCTCGCATCCATCGGGTTACTACTCTTTGCGGTGAATGTCAAAGTGTTGCAACACAAAGGGATTGATCTGTTTGGGCTGTTCAGAGCGGATGAGGTAGAGAAGAAGCGCAATATTGGGGCTGCAGCTGGGAGTGGGGGTGGGGGGTTTCATAGGAGCACGACTGGCGCAAGTACTCAGTATGGGTCGTATCACAACCACAACTCCTCCTCCGGTACTAGCACGAGCAATGATGGACCGGGGATTCTGCCAACGACAGCACCCAGCAGGCCAACAGGAGGCGAAGCAGGGGTAGGAGGAGGGATGACAACAAAACCACTCTTCGCATTTGGTCTCTTCCAACTCGCCTGGTCTCTCCTTAACTGGGCATCGTATCGATACTATGTCGACAGCCTCAGCGGCGACCATAAGGGAAGGCACGCACAAGCGTTTCAAGGGTTCTGCGTCTCTGGTGCTGTCCTCGCCCTCCTCTGGCCAGGAAACCTCTTCTTCAAGTCAATGCGAAGAGCGTTCGGTCGAGCGATACTCGTCATCCTGTCACCCTCTCTCAAGCAGCAAATCACATTCGGAGACGTCATATTGGCCGACATCCTTACTTCTTTCGCCAAAGTATTCGGAGATGTTTGGCTCACCGCATGCTTCCTCGTCCCTCGCAAGGAACATCATACGTGGTGGAACGGGAAAGGGTCAGTAGCCGTACCCCTTCTCATCTCGCTACCATACGCGATCCGATTCAGGCAATGTATCAGCGAGTACTGCATCTCGCCTCCCATCCAAGGCAGGAATGGGGGAGAGAAAAGTAAACGACCCCTCTGGAACGCAGTTAAATACGCCTCTGCATTCCCCGTGATCTGGCTAAGTGCTTGGTACGAAGCGGACAAGGATCCAGGTGGACATCAGGGTGAATGGGTAACGAGGTACGTTTGGTGGTTGTTAGCCGTATTCGTCAACTCAATGTTCAGCTTCTGGTGGGACGTGACCAACGATTGGGGTTTGAGTCTGTTGCAGTGGCAGAACATGGGTTCAGTCGGGCAAGTTGCGCAAAATGCGGTACATTTACATAGAAGAGGGATGTCGTATATGCCTTTACCGCTGAGTGAAGAAGCGGAAGTATTGCCAATGGCCAGCTTTAGGCCTGATGAAAAACCCTCTTTCTCCAATTCCTCCGCTGGAACAGGAGATGGAGTGGGAGGATATACATCACTAGCTGTTCCCCCGACGACAAACCCCTCCGGCGGCCCCTCACGCACGACTACCAGAACAGGTCATAGGAGAAACCTTTCAGCAATGGAAAGAATCCTCCGTCCCTCCCCCTCCCTCCTTTTCCCCGCTTCTTTCTACCAAATCGCTATCATCCTGGATCTCTTACTTCGTTTCTTCTGGAGTCTCAAACTCAGCTCGCATCTACACCACATAATCGAATGGCAAGGAGGCGTGTTTTCGATGGAGCTACTCGAAATGATTCGAAGATGGGTATGGGTCTTCTTCCGCGTCGAGTGGGAGGTTGTACGTCGAAGAGAGCGAAACCGAGCTATGCATGCAGCTTTAGATTAGCTCTCCATACTCACGTGTACACATTGAATAGATTGGAATATCCTAGATGCATTGCTATTGGTTTTGAGTAAGGAGTGACAATTAGTCTGTTGGTTTATCGAGAAAACTTGGTCCTTGAGAGAGAAGTTTCCGCTCGAGATTCTGCAACCATTTCTGAAGGAGTGGCATTGTTTGTCTCTCCGAGTCAGGTGCGTATGATGAGAGGTAGGAGAATAAGTTCTTTGCGATCTTTCTTGCAAAGTCTACTGCTGTTGTTTCTGACATCGCTGCTACACCCCCTGTGCTCGTGCTCAAGGGAGTCTGCAGCTTCGCCATCTGCTCATCCACCAACTGGTCCGGTTCGATGCTTATCCCCAATGTCGCAGTCAGTCCTGCACCTCCTGCTGGTGTCGGGGTGGTTGGTGAGCGAACTTTGAATATTGCGCTTGGTTTTGTGTTCCGCAGACAACCCAAAAGTTTCCAGTCGCCGGAGGGAGAAGCTGAGACAGAGGGATCAGAGGGTATGGTGGAAGGCCAGAGGAGATGGACGGTAGCAGAGTAGCCAGGAGGAAAAGGTTGAACTCCGGTCATGAATACAACTACGTGTTGGATTGATGAGGCATCTTCGAGTGGGAAGATGCAGTGCGTTTCGTCGACTTGTTGCGGTGTTGATAGCGGTAGACGGCCTGGAAGGACTAATGAGAACATCTTGAAGCGCTCAACCTGTAAATTGGTGTCAGAGAGGAAGAGAGAGTGCGGAAGGAAGGTCGAAAAGGAGTTGGAAGAAGGTGGGGTTGGAAGCTGGTTTGTGCGGAAACAAAGGAAACTCCACCTTTTCTTTCCCGATTCTTCCACTCTCCCAATCGGGCGGTATCCGAATTCCGAATTTCGAGGATGGATTTTGATTTTGCCCCACGCAGAAGCTTCGAATTTTTCCCCCCTTCTTGGACCCTTAGCCACTACCACCACCTCCTTATACACCACCTTATCTTATCGCACCGCATAGAGAAGAGATTATCATTATGGCCAACCCACGTCAACGTCGCAAATCCCGCTCCGGCTCGTCCATGAAACCCTCCTTAAACGCCAAACGACAAATGAAAAAGCGACTCGCTCGAGCACCCACAGTCCACGGCGCCGACGTCCTCAAAGACAACTACGACCCCAAACTAACCCTCCGTCAAAACTATGCTCGACTCGGCCTAGTCCCCTCCCTAGATGTACGACCGGATACTGGTGGAACCGAGCGCACTCCCACCCAACCATCCACTTCTACCTCTGATCCAGACTTCAAACCTAAGAAAGGCATGGCGAAGGTCATCCGCGACGATAAAGGAAACATTCTCGACATTGTCGAAGCTAACTCTGACTCAGAAGAAGAAACCGCCTGGGGGAAACCGATTGCAAGTATAGCTGATGATGAAGAGGTAGAGACGTACATGCCAGCCGAGAAGGCGAAGAAGGAGGTGAATCCGGTGGTGAGGGAATTGGAAGAGATGGCAGCGAAGGCTGAACCGGTGGAGAGACATGCGAGTCAGTTGGAAGGGCAGTGGTTGAGGGACTTGGTACAGAAGTATGCGGAGGATACGGAGAGGATGGCAAGGGATAGGGGTTTGAATGTCTGGCAAAAGACTGAAGGGGAGATTAAGAGAGCGATTAAGAAGGCTGGTGGATTTGAGGCTCTACGTGGATAGTTAGACCGGGGTTCGTTTTGTATTTGTACCGTCGTTCATCACCTCTGGCATTCACACACTTGCTCAGACACTTGCAAGGATTGATTTCGATTGCACCGATCTTGCGAGTGTAAGATGCGAAGTAGTTGGCAAGAGTTACGGTCAAACGTAATAGAGTACTGGAGGAAGCGGCTGCGATCAAGAAAGCAGTGATACTTGTCAGCGCCGAGCCGCAGGTTTTGGAGAGGTAAAGAAAAAGTGCTCACCGATCAAAGAGGCCTCTTGTTACGCTAAGTTGACTTGTCTCAGTCTAACTTCATTTTTTGATAACATCACACATCTGGGACACACATAGTTTGTGAGAAAAGGACGTTCATTTCTGTGAGGTGCAAAAAGTTTCTCGGCGAGAAAGTTTACATGAATGCTACGAATGGCGACTGTAAGAGCAGAAGAAGCGAAGTTGCCAGGATCGATTCGAGAAGAGCTGCGTGAGAAGAGGCAACTAGCAATGGCGTTACTCATCTGTCTTTGACGACCAGTCCTTCTTCTGCATCTGATCAAAGCTGACAGCTCGGCCATTAACCTGTAGGATGCCCGTCAATGGCTTGTTCTGCTCCTCCTACAAGAACATCCAGCTTAGACATCAGACGTCTGTTCTGTTCTTCCTGGGAGCGCAGCGAAGACTCGAGCACTGCTGAGATTTCTTCCTGCGTACGGCACATCAAGGCAAAGGTTTGATCATTCAAGGTAGACATTGCGGTGTGTCGGTGTGATGGAAATGCGTGTACTGGGGCGATGGAGCTGGTTGCAGTTATCCAAACCTTATTCCGCTACCATCGTCCCCCTTTCGAACCCATCTACGCCGTTGTCAACTTTATCGTAGCTAATTGTAGCGTACCCAGTCTCCACTCTTCCCGCCCTCCTTTCTCACAACTTTCACCTCCCCAATCCGCATCCCTTTCCCGGCAATAGCCTTGACCATGTCCCAAATAGTCAGACAAGCGCCCATGCATCCTGTCAAAGCTTCCATTTCCACACCGGTTTGACCTGCTGTTCTTGCTGTGCATTCTACACTCATCCATCCTTCACCTTCTTCTCCATCTTCCACTTCTAGCTTCACTTCGACATGCGTAAGAGGGAGAGGGTGGCAAAGTGGAATCAGATCGGAAGTTCGTTTAGCAGCCATGATTCCAGCCAACTGCGCGGTGTGTAGAACTGGGCCCTTGCCAGATGGGTCTCCTGTGGTGCGGATGAGAGTGATGGCGGAAGAAGGCATGTAAACGCGACCCGTGGCGGTTGCGGAGCGGAGGGTGGTGGGTTTGGGAGAGACGTCGACCATTGATGCTGATCCAGAGGCGTCGATGTGAGATAAATTGCCCGGATTCTCTTGATTCGCGTGGAAGGAGGAAGAAGAAGTGTGATTGAGCATCCGAGCTACAGCTTGGGCGAACATTGCCTCTTCCGAAGATTCAGGCTGGGTTTGTTGTTGGATGAAAGCGCTATTCGCCGCGAATGCATCTGTTGCCGGGTGTTGCTGATGGTGCTGGGGTGTCGCGGTGGCGAAGTGTTGAGCACTAGTCTGCATAAGCTTCTGTTGTTCCTGCAGGTGCAGAGGAACAGCAAATTGTGCAGAAGACTCAGGGTTATCCGCAAAAGCATCTAGAGATGACCATGGCGAATCGTCTTCTTCCCCCGTAGCACCCATGTATTCGGACCATTTAGCACCCGCATCCCCATCCATACTAATCCCGTTCAAGTCGGCGCCGGATCCGCCCACTGAAGGAGGCACTTCAGAGAACTTTACTCCCGACAATGGCGCCATCGTTACATTTCGCTCTGGCTTACTGGGCCCTCTCACAGCCGCAGCACCAGCTTGGGCGAAGATAGCTTCTTCCATCTCTGCGATTGGATCTTTTGCCGCGCTCAAAGGTGCTACCGCATCCTCCGAGGATGGAGCATGAGGAGAGCCAGGATGTTTGACGTAGACCTGTTTGTAAAGCGATTTGTCTTGGAGATTCTCGAATGCTTTATCAAGGTCGCCCCATGGGTTGTCATCGTCGTCCTCTTCTTCCTCCTCTACCTTGTTCGAATGCTGTTGACGATGTGCGGAAGAATGATACCCACGGCGCGGAGCCATAAAACCAGATCCTTTCCGAACCGTCTTTCCGCAGCGTCGCATAGGCCGATCTTTGTTGCGGACACCTGAAGACGTGCGGATAATATTGAAAAGTGGAACGATCTTGGTAAGCAATTCTGTAGTGGACATATAGAAAAATGCTGCCCAACGCATGCTTACGCGCAATCAACCGCCGATGGTAATCATAGGCCTGTTCAACGACTTTGCTAACTCAGTTGGATCCTTCATTCCAGCGTGCTTTGCATGTTTTCTTCCAACAGCTGCACCGATCAGTTGCAGAAGCTGGTCGTCTGTTGCTGGTTGACCCTTTGAGCCTGCGCTCAAGGAGGGTATAGGGCCAAAGCCGGTGCGCATTGCATCGCGAAGACTGACTTCTGCGTTGCCGAACAGGCAGACCTGCATAAAGCGAGAGGGGAGAAAGGAATGGGTGGTGAGTGTTGTGTACGGAGAAGAAAGGAAGGGGTGGGGGAGAGTGAGGTTGGGAGACTAACCTTGAGATTACCATCCGCAGTGATGCGGAGTCTGTTGCACGTACCACAAAAGTTTTCCGTCATACTGTTGCAACGAAGGGGGTCAGAAAACGAGGTTAGTGAGATATCCAATGATTCCGGTCAGGGCAGGGGTAAAATGTACCTTGTGATGAAGCCGACAGTACCCTGATGACCAGGAACATGCCAATGCTTGGAAGTGTCGTTGGGATCGTCGCGATTGGCAATACGTTCAAAGTCCGGGAATTCGGATTGGATGGTCTTGACCAAATCCCTATACGGGACAAGTTTTTGCACTTGCCACTTGTTGCCGTCGAATGGCATGTACTACATCAAAAACAAGACGGCATCGTCAGCACCAAAGTCACCCACGGTCCAGTCAGCGAGAGGAGAGATGACTTACTTCAATGAACCTGATAGTGATAGGCTTATCCTTCGTAAACCGCACAAAATCAATCACGTCCTGCTTATCATTCAATCCCTTGATCACCACCACATTGATCTTGACACTCGGCATCTCTAATGCGAGAGCCCTTTCTATAGAGGCCATCACCGCTTCATGGCCTCTCCTTCTCGTCATGAACTCGAACTTGAACGAATCCAATGTATCCAAAGAAACATTCAGATGCGTTAACCCATTCTGTACCAGCGTATCCAATTTCCTTTTGCCCAGCGCGATACCATTTGTAGTAATTCCGATCTGTTCCAGCCCATGCTGTTTGAGCTCGTTCAGCGAGGACACAATCTGCGGTAGATCTGAGCGAACAGTAGGCTCTCCACCGGTAAGTCGGATCTTATTGACACCTTGAGAGACGAATAGCGATGCAAGGCGTTCCACCTCAGAGGTCGAAAGAAGCTCGTTGGAAGGTGTCAGAGGTACACCGTCCTCAGGCATGCAATAGAGACAGCGGAGATTGCATTTTTCGGTGAGCGAGATGCGAAGGTAGGTGTGCTGTCGGGCATGTCGGTCTCGCAGGACGTGGGAGGGGGAGGGTGGTTCGAGACGAGAATCGATTTCTGAGATTCGCTGACGAACTCGCTGTTGCTGTTGTTGAAGTGCGGAGATGGCAACCGAAGGGTCGTACGAGGAAGATGAAGCTTCTGCCCCTGCAGTCAGCGGTTTCGAGAGGGTTGACGTGCGCGAGTAGTGCCGTAATGATTGTGGGCACGCAGCCCCGCCCCCTGTGGTGCTGCGACGAATGACAAGCGAGGACCAAGCGCCTAGCCTACTGGGACCTGCAAGCGTCATGTTTGAGGCTAAGTGCAGCCAGCTTTAGCTTGCGAAAGTGCGAGGTCAAGCGAGTATCAAGGTAGATGGTTGGTGTGGATAGACAACGATGCGAAGAGGGAGATAAAGAGGACAGAGCGTCCGGCTTTTCCTTCGCCACGCGGAAAAGCGTCTCGGGCGACTCTATTTTTCCCACCGGAAGGTCGTCGTCAACCTGTTTTTTCCCGCTGTTCGAAGCCACGACATAACAGCCGTGCTGTGCTGAATTGCTCGGCCAAATCCGAATCAGCCAATCGGAGTGTCAACTTTATCGCAACCGAATCTTATCTCTTATTTGCCGCGGTAACCTTGTGAGTGAATCGCGCTGCTTCTGATTCGTCGTTGAACCTCAACCGCAATCTCGGACGAGCTCTGACGTTTCCCCATTCGACGCCACGCTGTGTTGATGATATCGGTGTCTGATCCGCTTTGATATGCTCAACGCAGGCTTACTCATCTCCCACGGTTCCTGACAGCCAAACAAGCTGTCTGTGTCTGCTTTTCTGACTCGTGCTTTGTCCACCTCCTTTTTCCCCTTCAAGCCACCGTATGTTGCTGCATTGATATGCGAACGATCCTCGATATCACCAACTATAATATACCCTTGCTCCACGACGTTCGGAACCCAGCTTGATAACCTCCCACGTCAGACGACAAGACTTTAAGCGCCTTGTTCTACACCTCGTTAAACCCATCGAATTTCTTCATCCCACCTCGCTCCTGCAGTAATGGAAGTCGAACAAAAAACCCGCGGCACGATGCCTTCAAAACTCGCCACCGTGACCACTCAACCCTTTGCTCATCCTGAGCCATCAACCTCTTGGCCATACGATTCCGACGTGCCCAGCTCGTCACACCGCAGCCCTCGCCAGCGTCTTTGCCGAGCATCACACAGGCTCAGCACCCGCCAAGGCTGGCTTGGGGATTACAATTTTGCCGCCTTCTGCCTACCTCGCTTGTTCCCCTGGAAACCATCATCCAAGCTCAATGGCGGAGCAGCAGAATCACCCTTCTACGGCGTACACGATGATCTTCCCATAGCAGTGGCTATGATCTGCGGCCTCCAACATGCGCTCGCCATGCTTGGAGGAATGATCACTCCGCCGATGATCATAGCTTCTTCTTTGAATCTTTCTGGCGAGACATCGGCATATCTCATTTCGGCAAGTCTCATCACATCAGGAATGATATCGGCTGTGCAGCAATCTGCGGTACCGCTTCCCTTCCTAGGTGGTAGGCAGTTGGGAACAGGACTGCTCAGTGTAGTCGGCACCAGTTTCACCACTCTCTCCGTCACCACTAGCATTTTCAACAATCTCTATGCGGAAGGCGTTTGCCCTTCGAACCCGGACGGCAGCAGAGCGGCCTGTCCAGACGCATACGGTTATCTCCTCGGCACAGCAGCTATGTGTGCTCTGCTCGAAATTGCACTCTCCTTCTTACCACCCCGGATATTGAAACGAATGTTCCCACCCATTATTACCGGCACGGTGGTAGCATTCATCGGAATCAAACTCATCGGCGAATCCGCGATCCCTTCTTTTGGTGGTGGTGCTTCTTGTCATGGCACTGACACTCTCTGTCTTGGCACTGACAGTAGGGCCTATCTCTGGGGCGACGCACACTACTTAGGACTAGGCTTTTTGGCATTTATGACCATAGTCATTGTCGAAATATTCGGCAGTCCTGCGATGCGCAACGCATCCATCGCCATCGGGTTGCTTTTCCCCCTCCTCATCGCCGGACCATTGGGATACATGTCTTCAGCACCCATTGACTCAGCCCAACCGATCACGTTTTTATGGGTGGAAACGTTCAAGCTCCACATCCATGGTCCTGCCGTTCTTCCCCTTCTTGCAGTCTACATCTCGCTAATGATGGAATGCATCGGCGACGTAACCGCAACTTCCGAAGTCAGTAAAGTCGAAGTAGACGGCCTTGCATACGACCGTCGCATTTCCGGTGGAGTCCTGGTCGACGGTCTAGCTGGAGTGTTCTCCGCCTTATTCACCGTCCCACCCCTGTCGGTGTTTGCACAGAACAATGGTGTGATTGCGATCACAAAATGCGCCAATATTCAGGCCGGTAGATGGTGTTCCTTCTGGCTGATTCTTTTTGGGATCATTGGGAAACTCGCTGGTTGTGTGAGGGCGATTCCACAACCTGTGCTGGGTGGTGTGCTGTTGGTTCTGTTTGGGTCAATTGCAGTTTCGGGGTTGAAAGTATTGCAGAATGTGACGTTTACAAGGAGGAATAGGTTTATTCTGGCGATCAGCTTTGCGTTCGGGTTCGGGACACTGTTGGCGGACGATCTGTTCAGTAATCTCTTCACGTATAGGGGTGGGAACAAGGCATTGAGTGGATTTTTGGATAGTGTGTTGATTGTTATTTCAACGCCGTTTTTGATCAGTGCGATTGTGGGGATGGTTGCGAATGCCGTACTGCCGTTGGATGAGGAGGATAGGAGGTTGCTAAGGGTGGAGCAGTCGCCGAGGGAGTCTAGTTCCGAGGAGAAGCTTTCAGCATAACAATCTCACAATTTTTGTATACTATCACGATCACAATCGAGCATTCAAACTAGTCCTTCAGATTACATGTCTTTCAGATTACATGTCCTTCAGATTACATTTCCATTTGAAGTACACTTGGACGTTCTTAAAGAACAAGAGTACCGGCAATAGCACTTCCAAGCAGAACAGTCAAGACAGCAGCAACCATGTTTACGGGCAACCCGTTGACGCTGCTACCCATAGCTGCGTTACTAGCTCGAGAAGAGGTAGCGGAGGCCGCGCTGCTGGAAGCATCGGAAGCAACCGATGAAGCACCCGACGAAGCGGCAGTAGCGACGCTAGAAGCACCGGATGCGGCGGAGGAAGCAATACTGCTAGCACCGGATGCGGCGGAGGAAGCAAGGCTGCTAGCACCGGAGGCAAGGGAGGTGGCGATACTAGCAGCGCCAGAGGTGCCGGTGCCTAGAGCTGAGGTGGCTTCACCGAAGAGAGAAGAGGCACCGGATTCGATGGTGGGTCCGATCCCGCCGAGGACGCTGGTTGCGTCAGAGAGGACTGTCAAAACAACCAGTGGGGAATAAGGCGGTGAGCAGAGTGTTCTTCAAAGTTTATGTGAGGATGGAGGTAGGCTTGTCGTCTGAGACTTACACTGAGCCTGAGTGCCGACGACAAGAACGGCAAGGAGGAGAGCCTGGAGGGTGATGGTCGACTTGGTGAACTGCATTGTGAGTATCTCGTTAATGTTGGTCTTCTTCGAAATTGTATGTAGAGCGTGTCTGAGGGGCAGACCAGAAGGTAATGGTGTGAGGATGAGGCCGTATATATGCAAGTCCAAGGTCAGGGGCGGGACATAGTAGCGATTGAATCAGCACTCCCCAAGCGAGCAGGTCGGCGGCAGTGTGATCATATGGCTTTCCCCAAACCGGCCACAAGACACTTGGCGGAGAAGCCCTGTTGTTTCCTAAGTCTTCTCATCAGCGGTAGTAACACAGCCGTAAAAATAGACTCTGTCTGCTCGCTCGAAGCCAGACGACATGATCTGCTGCGAAACCGGATGTGACACCCTATGAAGCAATGCATCGCTCAACTTGGTTTGTACATTCAGAGCTCACTCTGCCGTAGAGCCTGATTTAAGGTTGGAGGCGGTGTTCCAAGCAGTGCAGATGTCGCATGACGTGCACGCAGGAAAGGAAGGTACCTTTTTCGCTTCGACATCGTCATAAGACCTCAGCGCCGCCTGAACTTCTCTCCACACTTTTGTTCGGTTCCGAATCGCACCCACCCTTCTAACCATCTTTGGGTGCCAATCATCATCAGATAGTTGCTCGATCCCGATCTTCCTATTCCTACCGCGGATGAACGCACGGATGATTCTTGATCCGTCACTTGGTGATGAGGGTGGTGAGAATCGGCTGTGTTTGGCGTCTCTTTCATGGTTCGGTAAGGTCATTTTCCGCCGGAACCTTGTGTTAAGACCTCAGAAATTAGCACGAATCGGAAAATCGGTGTGAGTGAACAAGCTCATCGGGCCCCCGCACTTTCGATATTTTGAGCTTCTTTCTGTGGAGATCGCAATTCCCTCGCTTACTCTCGCCGAGCCAGCCTCAACTCTGTACCACCAACATCCTTCGTTTCTGAGAACAGGAACGCTGGTCAGCGCTCGTTGTCGGACTTGGATCGATAGCAAACATGGCCTCTCCAGTCTCGTCCTCCCAAACAACGCCTTCGTTCAATTCCGTACCCAGTAACTTGGCCGAACTGCGTACCTTCTTCTCCGACCCTCCTATCCCACCGAAAACTCGAGTACCAGCACGTGCTTTCGCCATAGGCTACTCTGCCAATGTCGTTCTGCATGGTCTACTTCCACTCGCACTACGCAAGGAACCAGCACGAAAAACTTTGAAGGCGTTCATCTCGATCAAGTCTCTCCGATCAGGTGCTGTCCTAGCTCTGTTCTCTGCGCTCTATCGCGTCCTCCTCACCCACTTGACCAGGGTGAGGCTGAACCTGCTCTCAAAGTCATGGAAGCAGAACGACCTGGACTATACCTTGACGCGGGATCGGGTCAAAGCTAGACTTGCCAAAATCCTCAACTCAGCCGCTCTAGTCCCCTTTACCGCCTCCCTCGCAGCTTCAGCCGTACTCGCTGCATTCCCCATCCCCTCCCTCCGCCGATCCATGGCGTTGTGGTTGAGCACAAAAGCAATCGAAAACCTCTACGTTCACCTTCGTCAAGTCAAATCCCGATCGGTAGCTTGGGTACCAGACTGGATCGGGGGAGCTTTCTTTTACGCCCTTGCCAACGGTCAACTTCTTTGGACTTTCCTTTTCGAACCTTCCTGTTTCCCTGATTCGTATGGAAGGGTGATTTTGGCTAGAAGCACATCTTACATACCTCCACGACCAGACGGTTTACCTTCCTCGATCCCCTGGCCTGCACCGAGAGATATTGCGGATGCTATCGCAACACTTTCCACTCCCACGGCGACTTCGGCTGCTTACCCCGCGTTTAAAGCTCCAGTTCTGTCCGCGTTGTCACCTTCGAAATATCCTACCACGAAGTATCCGCTGATCAATCCCGTGTTGGATTACGGACCTGCACATCCAGCACACTCTCGTTTGCTCTGTGCGCTTTTACACCCCACCGAGCCTTCCTGCTCGAAGAACTTTTTAGGCTTCTTCGCGAGGGAATGGCAAGCATCAGCCAAATTCGTTGCTATATTCACCGCTCTAACCCAGCTCATCTCCTACAAAAAAGTATCGAAAGATCCAGAAACAGCGCTGTTTAAATTCGCACTAGCGGTGGTACAGGGAGCAACGGTAATCTCGGGCAGTATCGGTACTGCTTGGGGGCTCACTTGCTTTTTCCAACGCTACCTTCCACGAACGGTGTTGCCGACCAAGAGGTACTTCCTAAACGGATTCCTCAGCAGTGTATTCATCCTCGCTGTACCGAAGGCAAGAAGAGCACAACTGGGAAGCTACGTTACAAGGCAAAGTCTAGATGCAGGGTTTGGAGTCGCAAAGAGCAGAGGTTGGTGGAAACCTATCCCACAAGAAGATACGATGTTGCTAGCTTTTGGATTGGCAACGTTGACGGCGTTGTACGAGACCAGACCGAAGGCTGTGGAGAGTTCGATTAGGAAATCTATCTGGTTGTTGTTTGGGAACTCGGCGACGGTGGATTTGGAGAAACAGGCTCAGTTGAACTGGACTCCTCCTAGTGAATTGGTGGAGGAGAAGAAGACTCAGTAACTTTTCACACCCTTGCACGCTTGTAGACTAAGTTCTGAAGGAATGCTAATGGTTTTCTATATCATCACCTCTCTCTGTTAGTGAAAGGGATCTACAGCTGCAAATCCTTCTCCAGCTCACTAAGCATACTATACAGCTCTCCGTCTCGAATACTAGCATAGATCACCGAAACATACCCTCCCGTCGTGTTCCACTGACTGAATTCACCCTTGAACTCGTTCAAATTCTCCTTTCCGTGCATCGGCACGCCCAACGTCTTCCTTACAAACTCGTACGCCCGCTTTGTCTTACCCAAAAGATGGCTGGCGTGACAAGCGTAGGGGTTGTCCAAAAACTCCACCGTCACATCTCTGTAGATCTTCTCCGTATCGGCAACACCAGCTGCACGCCACTTAACAATGTTCCTCAACGGATCAGCTCCACCACCGCTAGGCAACTCTGAGAAATATTTGACCAGAACCGAACTGGCATCTTGGTACGTTTCCACCAGACGATCGCGGAGGTCTTTTGAAGAGGTTTCGTCCAAGCGTTTGGACATCTGTTTGAGGACGAGTTTTGCGATTTCGGCTTGTTTCGCTTCATCCATCCATTCTCCAAAGTGCGAGTTGAGCGAGGCGAGGATGAGTGCGGGCAACTGTTCTGCTACTTTATGCTGCAGAGCGCGAATATCAAGTGCTTGGCAGAGAAGGTAAAGACTCCAAGCCTGAATCATACTCAAGCATTCCACTGCTTGAAGAGTCATCCTACCACTAATAAGCGCAAGTGAGTTGATGGCTTGGTTGGCCATCTCTGCGCTCTGAACATGCGTGCTTACTGGATTACCCAAGAACATGAGCTCGGAAGTGACACTCGCCAGTGCAATGTCGATACCCTTTGCGTGGAAGTTCAACGACAAATCCGGAGTAGACGCAAGGTTGGCGGGCAAGCCACGGTTCATTGCAGGGTTAACCAACTCTGTCATCTGCTGGAAAGTCATTTTGCCCATGGCGCAGAGAGCGAGTCGGATCTTTTCGACAGCATTGGTCATAGCCATAGCCTGGAAGTTTCCACCGTGGTGAATGCGACCGTCGCCATCGTAAGGGTCGATCATTGGGTTGTCGGTTGTACTGTTGATTTCGATATCCACCGATCGCTTGGCGTTCTCGATATCTTCCAGACCGGGTCCGACCCACTGGGATGCTGTGCGGAGAGTGTATCGATCTTGTCGAAGAGTTCCGTTGTCTTCGCTGAACAGTACGTGTTTTTCGTTCTCAAGGTGCTCAGCGAGCTGGGAGCCCGAGAGAAGAGCACGGATGAAGCGGGCGCTCTTGATCTGACCTGGGTGGGGACGGGCAACTTGGTGAATGAAAGGTGCGAAGGAAGCATCAGTTCCTTTGAGCGCTTCGACTGCCATAGCGGTAGTGAGTTGAGTGAGGTTGGCGAGTTTCTCAGCCTCGTACGTGGCCAAAGCAGCAACGGATGCGGAGAAAGCAGTGCCGTTGAGCAAGCCCAACGCTTCCTTGGGCTCGTATTGAACAGGTTCGATTGCGTACATACGGCATGCTTCGTCAGCAGTCACTTTAACCCTCTGACCGGATTTGGCATCGGTAATCCAACAGTAGATGCCCTTCTGACCAGCAAGTGCACCAGCGACGTAACTGAGCGGACTCAAGTCACCACTAGCCGAGATACTTGAGCGCACAGGAACAACAGGAGTGACATTGTTCTGAAGGAACAACTTTTGCATCTTCTCCAACACTTGCCATCTCACACCCGAATGACCCCTCATCAACGAGCTGAGCCTGACCACAATAGCACCCCTAACCCAAGCCTCGGGCATGACCAAACTCGTCTCGGTATCAGTCAAGGGTAGAGCAAAAGGCGCAGAACTCGGCTCGCCCGTAGGAAACGTAGATGGGACGGGCAACACACCGCACTGCTGCATCTGCAAGAGGGCTAGCTGCAAAGCACGGGTGTTGGCAGTACGCGAGTCTGCCGAACCACCAAAACCCGTGTTGATGCCGTAAATCGACTCTCCACGATCCAACTTGGCGATGAGGGACTGGACAGAATCATCGATACGCTTGCGAATAGCGGGGGAAGAGTCAAGGACGGGGACGTGACCGTATCGGGCGGAAGCGACGAGACCTTGGATCTTGAGGTTGTTACCATCGATAACCACTTGTTCGGTGCGAAAGGAGGAGGCTTTGCGGAGCTTGGTGTCCGAGGGTTGGACGGCGAGACTGGGACGGGTCTCGGTGGGGATGGGCATGGGGAGGACATGGGCGGTGGGAGCCATGATGGGCGATTGTTTGAGGGAGAGTGAATGTGACCGCGTGTGTGTGTGCGTGTGTGTGCGTGTGTGTGCGTGCGTGTGCGTGTGTTCTCGTTTGTGGAAGAGCAGAGGACGAAGGAGCGATATGCTAGGGTACAGTAGGGTTTGAAGTGGACACGATGGTGAGGGAGAGACGGTGAGCCAGGTGACTGTCCAGCTTCTTATATGATACTCATGAGAGGGCGCGGCCTCACCTCACTTACAAGCGGATACACGCGACTCCTCTCCACTGACCTTCGAACAAAGCTTTCTCGGTTACATTCCATTGTTATCGCTCCAGCCGAATTGAAAGCGCACAACGGTCCAAAGCTGACGCAGCGCAGTGCGGTCAAGATTGAGCGCAAGCAAAGGATGCGAAGTAGCCGATGATATCCGGCCTCTGGCCTCCCTCGCTCACTCAGGTTAAATGCCACGATTTTTTTGACAGGACGCAAACGCTTCTCTCTGGCTCTCCTGCAGTCAAGTGTGATTCTTGCGGAGAAATACGAAATACGAAAGAAAAAGAAAAAGAAAAAGAAAAAGAAAAAGAAAAAGGAAAAAGCCACGGAACTGCGATCTGGAACGCGTGCCGTTTTCGGGTTTCTCGTATTTATCGGTCCTTCGTTCTCCACAGCGTCACGAGGCCTGAGAGCAGAAGCGATAAGCAGCAGGAGTTGCAAGTACAGTAAACCGTGGGGCCCGATTGGGAATGAGATTTCATTGTTCCAAAGGCGATCCCGATTCTGCGACTGCCCGACCACAACAGCCTTGCTTCAGTGCTTTCGGTTGAAGGTGTTGCCATATAAAGTCAGTCATGATTCGAGATCAGTGAAAGACATTGCTTTGGCTGTTCCATATTTAGACTCAGGCCTGGCCGTGATGCCAACACATGCTTTGCCATTCTGTTTCAGGAATCCTTCCAACACTGCAGACAGCTCCACATGGAACCTGAGCGAGATCAGAATGATGGGCTTGTCGTCTGCTCTCAAAAGCACAGCAAAGAGAAGAGAGAAAGATACGTTTCTTCTGCAGATCTGTACTTCGCAGTTCTCTGTCGATTCGGCCGGTGCTCGGCAGCCGCTCCTCTCATCTCAACTCGACTCTTCACGTCGAGACGGCTTCGACTCCACAGCACGCACGCATCATCGCTATTAGCAAGGACCTGACGAATCGATGGTACTGTACAGTACTGTACAGTGATGGTTTCTTTCAAGCACCCAACTGCAACGAGCTCCACTCAGCAACACTCCCCTTCGTCCTCGTCGTATGATGAGCCCCTCCAACATTGTGAACACTCTTCGGATCCGCATCGTCCTCACTCTTTGCAATCACCCCACTTTCCGCTTTCTCGTCGTTCAACAACGGAGCCATTCTCCCCGACGCATTCATTTCATTGATCGGCGTCTTCTTCCCCCCTCCCTCCTTTCTCTGACTACCATCCTTCCTACCCCACCCACCACCGCCAGGAGTCTGAATCACAATCTTATCTCCCCTTCCCATTGGAGTTGAATTCTTCCCGCTCAAATTGATCACCCTTGCCTCCGCCTTTCCTTCCTCCTCTCCCTCTCTCAAATCCCCATCCTCTCTCCTCCGCTGCTTAACCCAAAGGTTCATCCCCTTCCTCGCACTTTCTCCTCCCTCCAACCCGAACGGCTGAAACACTCTCCTCTCGCTCAAAATTGACACCTGAATCCCTGGACTGAGAAATTCAATATTCCTCACCACTCCATCTCCTCCTCTAAACTCTCCCTCCCCACCCGATCCATCCCTTAGCGTAAACTCCCGCAGTACCACGGGATACCTTCGTTCCATAATCTCTGGATCAGTGATCCTCGTATTCGTCATATGCGTATGCACCCCTGAAGTTCCATGCCAATACGGACCAGCCCCCGAACCACCCGCAATTGTCTCGTAGTATCCAAACCCTTCAATATGGTTCCCTTGCTTATCTTTGCCTCCGAGACCGAAAGTGAGATTGTTCGTATCGCCCTGACTCGCAGCTGCAGCCTTGAACGCTTTCAGAACGACATCGGTGATCCTTTGACTGGTCAACACGTTGCCGCCCACAACAGCGGCTGTTTCGGAAGGGTCAAGCAGTGAACCTTTGGGAATTTTGATATCGATCGGTGTCAAACAGCCCTGGTTCAATGGGATCTCTACAGAAACCATCGATCGGAGACAATAGATGATCGCAGAGCTCACAACGGAACGGGGACAGTTGAAGTTGGCTGCTACTTCCGGTCCTGTTCCTTCAAAGTCGAATGTTGCCGAACCAGCGTTGGTATCGATAGTGACGGCAAGCTCGATGGGTGTTCCATCATCCATGTATTCCACTGCGTGCAACTTTTGCCCTTGTCGCTTGGCTACGTCTCGCAGCAATGATCGAACTGCACTTTCAGCGTTACTTCGGATATACTCCATATAGCGTTGTACCATCTCCAAACCCCACTCTGCTACGAGCATGTGAATCAAGTTGATTCCCTTTTGATTCGCTGCAATCTGCGCATGTAAATCGCTTTCCACATCTCTAAAACACCTCGTTCCCGAACAACCAGGATACTGTGCAGGCTCTTCCAACATATACCTCTCCAGTCCCTTCCTATCGAACTTTCCCTCACTGACGATCTTAAAACTCTTAATCCTCGCCCCTTCCTCAAAAAGCGTCTTGCTCGTCGGCGGCATCGAACCAGCCGTAATACCACCAATATCCGCATGATGCCCCCTACTAGCACAGAAGAAGATGATCTCATCCGAACCATCCGCAAAACAAGGCGTAATACACGTAATGTCCGGTAAGTGCGATCCACCAGCAACCGGCATATTCGCCATGATCACATCTCCCCGCTTCATTTTCTCCCCGATCGAAGCTAAGTGTTCGACTTGAAATTTGACTGCGAATGACATCGAGCCAAGGTGGACAGGAAGATGGGGAGCGTTGGCGACAAGAGAGCCATCGGGACTGAAGAGTGCACAGGAAAAGTCGAGTCGTTCTTTGATGTTGGTGGATATGGAGGTTTGTTGGAGGGATTTGCCCATGGATTCGGCGACGGACATGAAGCGATTGGCGAACAGGGAGAGAAGGATAGGGTCTGGACCCTCTCTCTTTTCCTCTTGTGTCATGGTGGTGATGGGAGAAATCATAGCTGACCTCTGAAAGTGTGCAAAGACAATAGATGCGAGTTGATGGTGAAGAGAAGAAGAGGTGAAGTTGATGAGTCAAATGTTGGTGGAGTGAAAGGAGCTGACCGTGCGCGTGTGCCTCAATTTCGGTCTCTTCCACGGCTTCTACTTCGGCATCTTTCACGCGATCGGCGATTCAGCCGAGGCGCCAACGTTTTCGATCGGCATATTTGGTCAAATCCACGATGAAGTTCAGTCTTGCCACAGGACCTCTTTAGCCATAGCTTTGCATCGCTCACGTAGGCTTAGAGACAGATCGATGACGTATATATCTATCTGGATTGTAGCCAAGTATGTACAAAAGAAACAGGCACAGGCCAGGGAGGACATACGATGTCGACTGGCCTTGTAGTAACGAAGAATGTGAAAGGAACGTGCTGTGATGCTGTATGCGAAGGAGCGTGTGTATATGCTGTGATCCGAGAACGCAAACCAGAATGTCCAAGAGTGAGAGGTCGAAGCTAGAATGACGTCGGTCTGTTGCTGTTCTGCAGATCAGAAGAAGCCAGCAAGACCGACAGCCGCAGCAGCGAAGACAGTAAGAACCGTGGCACTGGATCCCATAACACCAACAGCGCCGTTACTACCGGACTGACCAGTCGACGAAGGACGAGCGCTAGAACCAGTCATGTTAGCAGTACCAATCGATTGCGAAGCGCTTCCTGGAGGAGCAGCACCTCCCGAGCTTCCTGTAGTAGTAGTAGTAGTAGTAGCAGCAGCAGCAGCAGCAGCAGAAGTGCTAGTCGACGAAGGAGCAGCAGCAGCAGCAGTCGAGCTGGAACCACCGACGGTCGAACCGCTGACAATGGAAAGCTGAGCGTTGTTGGAAGTGGTGCTGTTCTTCGTGATGTAGATCTTGTCGGTGTACGACTGCAAGCTCTCATTCTCCACGTTCATGGCTCGGAGAGCACTGTAGTTGCCGGCGTTCCAAGAGCTTGGGACGGTAAAGACAAAGCCACCGCACTGAGCGCCGTTAGGACCTGGCCGACCGTAACCTTGACCAGCATCGCAAGTGTTGGAGATAGCAGGAGCAGTACCGACAGTGTAGGCTACGTCAGAGTTGTTGTTGGTCATGAGATCGATCTTGACAGTGCCTTGGGGAGGGTTGATCCAGTTGACAGCGACTTGTGTACCTGGTTCCCAGTAGATGGTGCATTGGTAGAAGTCGCACGAAGGCTCGTCGATGACGAGCATCGAGTTGGGGTCCTGGTACTGTCTTGTCTCGAGACGTTGGAGGGACGAAGCGACGACGAGAGCGGGTGCAGCGAGCACAGCAGCGGCCGCAGCCAAAGTCTTTGCGAGAGGAGCCATGATAGTGTGGGGTGTAAACGAATGTGTGTGTGGAAGAGGAGAAAGAAGATGCAAAGGGCGTCCTCGTCGATGAAAGGCGAGGGTGATGGTCGTAGGAGAAAAGCGGAAAAGAGAACGGCAAAGGTGATGGGGATCGAGACGGTGGTCGGAGATGATTGAGGTTTCAATTTGGAAGGTGACGATCAAAGAGCGGCACAGGCGATGGTGCGAGATTCCTCCTAACTACCAAAAAGGGTTCAAGAAAGAGAAAGGTAAGGCACAGCAGCAGCTCGGGAATTTAGCATACGGTTCGCCGATGTGCAACAAATCAAATCAAATCATTTTTTTCTTTTCTTTTTCTTTTGCGTCTCTCTGTTACACACACGCAGAGCCTCCTTTTCATGCCTTCGCCGTGAGTTTGGCGGTTAGTGAACCAAATTTGGGTCACTTCTACTCTTTCACTGTCTTTGAATCGGCGACCCTAACCCTTTCGATCCTTCCAGGTGACAAATCCACATTTGGAAAGACACACAACTTTGGCTGCCACATTCGTCAGCCATCTTTCGGATCGAGCTTGGAGCTTGCTGATGAGTCGCATCGAATCGTCTGGACTTCAAAGTGGGGCTTGCATCGAGGGCAGAGCAAAGGAAGCGGCGACAGGCTGTACAGACCTCTGGTCAACCCCGGTGTGCGTCCGTACAGCTTGCTGCTCAAAAGAAACCACGACAGGAACGCAGATCTTCTTTAGCAGCGTTAGCAGCACTAAGGCAAGCGCTTTGTTTCCTCACTGCTCGAGCCAACGTTAGTTACAAAAGGGGGGAAGGACGATTGTTCATGGTTCTGTTTGGTTCGATTTTGAGCGGTTGTGCCTGCCTGTCACAATGAGATGGCCTCGGAATTCCACTCTGCACCTCGGCCCTCGTTGCAGATCTTAGACTGCCTGCCGTCTGCCACTCGGATGTCTCAATGACGGATCAAGCTTGATTCTGCTTCTCCTCACTGAGTGCGATGCTGCAACAATGCCGTCCGCAGAGAACTGCAGCGATGGTGACAAGACCAAGGAGACGTCGGATTTTGCTCGTTCGCCAATGTTCGATCGTGACAGGTAACAGCAACAAAAGGAATCGGGCGAATGAATCTCAGATCCTGCGAAATTGCGAAATTGCGAAATTGCGAAATTGCGAAATTGTGCTGAAACTCAGGCAGCGCAGCGCATGGAAACTGCGAGAAGCTTCACCAAAATTCATTCACACTCCCGCTTTTGGCCCCCTTTTGCTTCCAGAGACTTCCATGAGCTGCTCGAATAACGCAGACACGGCGATTAAGGGTCCAAAAGGGTCCAGACACTCGAAAATTGCCTGTTCTTCCTGCATCCTCAAGCATCCATGGCCATCCTTGACAATCCTTCGACGTCCATATCCGTCACTAGAAAGTTGCCGAAGTAAGGGTCCAATGCGTGGCAAAGCATGGAATGACGCCTTTCGGAGTTTACTTCCCCCCAGTGTCGAGCTGTCAAACAGTCTCGCCTTCGCTGTGCCTCCAAGTCTGAGATCGAGCGTTGATCCTTGAACGTCGTCATGTTGCGCTGTGGTCGCCCTCGAGGGTCTCGCAGCATGTTCCCCTGCCCACTCTAATACCTATAAAGCTACCCTTATCCGTTGGCATTCTCATCCCTCCTCGTCATCAGACTCACACAGCTCTCATCTCACTCAGCAACATACTCCCGCACTAGCACCAACACTCTTACTCCATCACAACAACCCGACCACCACCACCCCGCAACAACATCAGCAACAATGGAGTTCTTCTTCCCCACCGATGTTTTCGCCGCTTACCCCCGTCAGGGTCCCTCCACTCGCACTCACCCTTTCGGTGCCGTCGCAGCTGGTCCCTCGACCAACATCTTCAGCGGCTGCGGCTTTGACAGCCACGCCCTCTTCGCAGACAATTTTATCGATGCAATACAACACGAGCGCGCTGCCTATGCTCGTGCCCAAGCTGAGCGCGCTCGTCGCGCCGAAGCTGCACGCAGAGCAAAGGTAGCCGCAGCCCGCCGAGCAGCTGAAGAGCGCCAGGCTCAAGCCTATCTTCAGCATCTCCTGCAGATGCAGCAACGCGAGGCTCAGCGCAGATACCACCTCGAACAGCTCCACCTTCAACGTCAGGAGGCTGAGCGTCAGCGCAGACAACAGTATGAAGAGTACCAGCGTCGAAAGGCCTACGCTATCGAGAAGGAACGCCAGCGCATTGCGGCTGCTAGGGCAGCTCAGGATGATAAGGACGAGTCCAAGCAGCTCTTCCTTGCTCTTGAAGATTTCATCTTTGGTCTGAACAGTTTCTTCAGGGCTGCTCAGCAGGGCGACGACGAAGATGAGGACGAGGAGGTCGAGCTCGCTCACAAGAACGACACTCAGCAGGCCGCTCCTCCCGCTCCTCAGGCCATCGATGTCAAGGGTAAGGCTAAGGCTAAGGAGACTAACGATGACAACGCTATGGGCGTCGACCACGAAGATAGTGAAGACACTGCCGCTGCTCTCATGACCATCGATGAGGACCCCGCCGAAGTTGGTCCTGCTCCTTCTACCACTGCCGAGCCCACTCCTGTTCCTGCTTCCACTATCACTCCTGCTCCAGTCAGCAAGACAGAACAGCTCGTCTTCTCACACGCCTTCCCCGCCGACTCCTCCTTCGACAGAACCACCGTTCGCGCCGATCAGATCAACGTCTCTGTCGACGAAGCTGAGCACAAGGTCACCGTCTCCGGTCTCTGGAACGATCAGCCCTCTGCTCCCGTCGTCGCAACTTCTCCCACCGTCCGATCTGCCAGCCCCACTCCCAGCGACACCTCTTCTCGCCGCGGTCGATCTCGTTCTCCCAAGCGAGCACGTGTCTCTGACGTTGACGAGAACGGCGAAGAGATCGTCACGCCCGAAACCAACGATGGCGACGATGACTTTGTAGAGGTCAGCTTCACTCGTGCCTCTGAAGCCAACAAGCAGGACAAGGTCGAAAAGACTTTCAACTTGCCTCAGGGTGCCAACGTCGAAGACCTCAGGGCTGAACTCTCGGATGAGGGTTTGAAGCTTTTCACCACTGTCTCGGCCTAAATCACATCTCTGCTTCGATATCCTCTGGTCTTGAATATGCTCCAGTATTTACTTAGTATCGCATCATTGTACACATACAATCCCGTAAAGCAAGCAATGTTCGCATCTGATTCACAATACTTTATCTTGTCTGTTGTGCATGAGGAACCCGACGACTTCTCCTTGTTTTGTCTACTTCCGCCGGCTAATAAGTTCCTTTTGTATCGGAGTCTGGTTTTGGGCCTCACTCCACGATGTAAGCGACGAGCACTCGCCAGGCGCGTGGTACTTCACGCCAAGCCTTTTACCCTTGCTGCCACCATGATAAGAAATCGTGGATCTTGGCTAACGGCTGCTTATCTCGATGTCAGTTTCCCCTCATTCTTGTGCTTCAAGAAATTTTCGGATTGATCCTTGTACCTATACCGACTTTCACTTGCCTCCGTGTTCACTCTCGAAGATACTCCCGCACGGTTCTCCATCTGCTGTGCGATTCATCACCTGTAGCTAAATGATTAAGTTTTGATCGAGCTGACAGTGGACACGACACCAGCGCGAAGCGCGTGAGTAAATCCCCAGCTGTCACTTTGCGCGTAGCTCTCCTGCGTTTTCTTATCAGTTAGCCGAGCTGTGCTATAATTCGACGGTCTTCATTCGATGAAGACTCACACACTACGACATCGATCTTTGGAAGGAGGGGCTTATCAGCGTTCTTCACCGGACGGACTTCAACCTGCGGCCTCCAACGGCTGTACCGCCCTTCATACGCTTGGCTTTGATTGTCCGCTGCGTTTGTCTGTCTTATCGTCCATGCTGAGGGCCCCGCACGGCTGCAAATCTCGCTGTATGCAGCACCGTAGGCTGCCAAAAGAACAATCTCGCCATCCAGAGTATGTAGAAAGTATAAAGCAGACAAGGCTTCATCCATCCCCTTCGCCATTCCCCTCCGTTCCCCTCACACCAACGCACGCTTCGCAAGGCGACACCTCCATCATGTCGCAGATGGTCACACTAGAACAAGCAACATGGGCCTGGATCGAAGCAGGTCCGCGCAAGCACCACATGCCTGTTGGCAAGCGTTTTGCCAAAGGTATCATGGCTGGTTTCTGTAAGTCTCCCCCCCCCCACACACACACTCTTTCCCCATCGTCCCCTTTGTCGCACTGCTTTCTGTTCTTACACACGATATTGACCGTTTCACATTCCCTCTTTGACACTGTAGTGCTATCAACAGGAGGAATGCTAGTTCAGATCCTCTCCGCCAACCCATGGTTCTCCACCAACGCCCCCGGTCTCCTCAAGATCTTCCAAGGTGCCGTCTTCCCCGTCGGTCTCGTAATGATCGTCCTTCTCCAAGCAGACCTCGTAACCGGCGAAATGGCCATCTTCATCATGTCCACCGTAAAACGTCGTGTCCCCTACTGGGCCTTCCTCTACGGCTGGACCATCACTTTCATCGGCAACCTTATCGGCTCACTCCTCTACGCTGGTCTCTTAGTCCACTTTTCCGAAATCTACACACCCGCAATGCAGCGCGGCGCAGCGATGGGCGCAGATGCAAAAGTCTCCACGATCAACTTCCGCGAACTTTGGCTAAGAGCAATAGGCTGTAACGTGTTGGTCTGCATCGCGGTGTTCCAGGCTTCGCTGGCGAAAGATGTGGTATCGAAGGTGGTAGCGAGTTGGTTTCCGATCTTCGTGTTTGTGGCGGCTGGATTTGAACATGTGGTGGCGAACATGTTTTTAGTCAATGCGGCGTTGATGACCAGGGAAACGAACTTTGGGGTGGGGGAGTATGTGTGGAAGAGCGTGATTGCGAGTTTCTTGGGTAACGTGATTGGGGCTGCACTGCTGGCGTTGCCGCTGGTGTATCTGCATGGCGGTGATGAGTGGGATCCGAGCGAAGGGGCGAGGGTGGGGATGGTGAAGGGCGGAGCGGTTAGTCCGGGAGGGATGTGGGTGAATGAAGTAACGTTGCCAGGGAGTGGGACAGTAAGTGCAAGAGGGAATGACAAGTGGGGGAAGGATATTGAGGCTCAGACTCCGGCCTAGTGCGTAATGAGGCAGCAAGTGATATTGCTGATGGCGTTTCTGTCTGTACTTTTTCTAGAATTGAGATTCTGTAATGATTGTTGATCAGAATGTTGGTATGTGAGACTGACAGTCGCGAATCTCATTCTCATGTACTGTTCGTTGTTGAGTGTATGGATGCTTTCGCTAGAGATGCTTCTGCATTGTCGCCTCGAGTACAGTCTTGAGCCTGAAGCCCCATGGATGATGGTTGGTGACGCTAGGAGAAATCAAATTCCAAAGTGACAAAAAATGTGGCACCAAAAATCCTTCCAAAAAATCTTTATCCGGCTTTGCATTTCTTCCTTTTCTCCGATATTCGGTTCGCCACACTCGCATCTCGAAGACCAACACTTTGCAAAGGACGATTCTTCTCACCCATACCACATCAAATTGACAATTGCACATCCTTCATCCATCTCTGGGCTCTACTCAGAACTCGAGTTGGCATCATGGATGGCAAACAGCAGGCAGCACGCCCTGTATGGGGAGCCAAGAAGAGCTTGGCAGCCCCTACTGCCTCCACCCCATCCCCCACCTCTGCATCATCCTCTTCATCATCGTCAGCATTCCCACCCCTCTCCTCACCACAAGCAACCCGCCCGTCCTCCCGCTCCACCCCTCACTCCTACTCCTCACCTTCTACCTCATCCCTCATCTCCCCTTCCACCTTCAACCCCTACCCCACCCGTCACCAAGAACTAGCCCAACGAGCAGCTACCAACAGCACACGCAAACGATCCCACATCACTCGCTCCGCCCCTTCCACCTCCCGTATCCACTCGCTCCTCGACTTCGATGACTCCGACGACATCCTCATGCTTAATGAAACCGTCGCAGATGAGGAAGAAGGGGAGGTTTCATCTCGAGGCGCAACTATGTCCTCGATTGTGTTTCGCGATCTATCAGCTTCGTCGTCGGTTGGGACTAGTCGATCGAGTTCGCCGTGGCAGCAAGGAAGGATGAGTGCGGGGCTGGCTATGTTCGCAAGTACGAGCTTTGGCGGAGAGCCGTTGAGGGTGTTGGCGAATGTAGATCAGGAGTTGGGAGCGGCACATATGGGACCAAGAATTTATAAGAGACATAATCAAAAGCATGTAAGGAATAGGGTGCGGGCGAAGATAGATGCTTTTCACACGGTCAATGCTAGCCCACCAGCACCGATGGTAAAGGCGCAGGAGAGCAGCGGCGGTCGTACACTGGGAGGTTCGAGCTCAGTTTTGACGGCTGAGGACACAAAAAAGTTACGGAGCTTAGACCTGCAGAAGTTGGTCGAGGAGTGCAGGCGATGCCATGCCCTCTCTGCCATTCAGAAGCGGGTAGGGCCTGATACCACATCAATAACCCTAAGCAGTGATGCTGTTTCACCGACAACAACATTTCTAGCAGCAGTGCAAGCTCGTATCGCAGACCCTCGTATCTGGTCCACTAGCACCGAAACCACCGGCCCCATCCTCTCAGACGACCTCCTGCCATCCGGCCTACAACAGCCCCGCATCGACTTCTCCGCACTACCGCATCCTCTTGTATCGCAAATGCGGCACTCCGTACTACAAGGCCTATCGCAGCTACTGCAAACCATCGTCGAATCAAGTCGCACCGACCTTATCAACACCCTCTCCCATCTCCTCTCCCTCCATCCACTCCGATCCACAAGCACCTCCCTTCCCGAACTCCGACCTACACTCCAGCGCCTCTTCCTACAGGTGCTCGACACATTCCGCCAACCCAACACCGAATTCTCACCGCCTTTAGAGCTGCTTTCTGCTGTCCTCCACCGTCCCATAACCGAATGTGGCGACCTGTTAGTAGATCTAATTGGAGAATTAGTCGGTGTTTGTGGCCAACAAATGTCGTCTAACCCTACAATCCTCAGCGAATCGCAGGACAAAACCCTCGTCAGCGCCTCTTGCTTCCTTTCGCTCTGCTTCGCACTCAATGCTACTCGGCCTGCATCTGTTCGACTGCCAGCGCACGCTTTCTATTGTACGGTGCTCGATCTGGCCCCGTTTCTGGAGCATTTCGTGCACTATGCTGCCTCACTCGCCCGGCCTGGAACGGTAGGGGCTGGGCTGGCGGAATTCAACATCTGCCGTTCGCCTTTCCTTCTTAGCTTAGGTGCAAAAGTGCGCATGTTGCAGCTTGAGAACGAGATTCGACTTAGCCGCTCTCCATCTCGAGACTCTAGCACTCCCCAACGCTTCAGTCTGGCCAATAGCGATGCAGAGCTAGTCCTCCTTCCGTCTTCGCTAAATCTCCGCGTTGAGAGGGATGCAGCGTGGGATCAGAGCCGAGCGCTGTTCTTACAGTTGCTCGAATCGGACTTTGTGGGGGTCAGAGGTCTGAGGGTCGAATTTGCGGGGGAGCAGGCAGCGGATGGAGGCGGACCAGCCAGAGAGTGGTTTGCTACCGTTGCTAGTCGTTGGGATAGTCATAGGAGTGTTGTTGGTTCTCATGGCTGGTTTATTCTTCTGTCGGGAGCGAGAATGGAGGAGGGGGAGGAGAGAGAGGCAGAAGATACAGCTGCATTCCTAGGCTTACTCCTAGCTCTGGCGTCACTGCATACGGCAAAGCTTACGCTTCCGTTCAAGCTTCCTTCGGTTGCGTTCAAAGTCGCGACAGCAAGTGATGTTGAGAGGTTGGTGCTTACACCTGTCGATCTGGAATTTCTCGATGCGACGCTGGCAAAGTCGTTACAGGCGGTACTGGATTGGGTTCCACGCCATACAACACAGGTAGAAACAGAGGAAAAGGCGTTCGATAGCACCTTCTCTCTCACCTGGAGTACCAGCATTACAACAGCCGATGGCGGCGTTCAAACAATAGACCTTGTCCCCGGTGGACGTCATCGCAGTGTCAAGCTCAGCGAGAGGAAAGAGTTCGTCTCAAAGCTCATCTGGCGCGTTCTCATCGGAAGCGTAGAGAAACAAGTTCATGCGTTTAGAGAAGCTTGGCAGACAATCATGCCTTCTACTTGGCTGCTAGAGAAGACGGCTGGGGCGGAATCAGCAACCGAGATCCTGAGTCGTGGTGGTTTGGCTTTGTCGCTGTTCAGTCCGGAAGAGGTTGGACAGGCGATTCTTTCCACTCCGACTTCGTCGAGTAGTGTCATGTCAATGCCACTAGATGTGGCTGATATTAGAGGTGCAACAGATGTTATTATCCCTTCGAACAGTGTTGGGCGGACTGAGGGAGGAGGGGTGGCGGGATGGTTCTGGGATCTTTGGACGGCTCTTGATGCTACACACCAGCGAAGGTTGCTCGCATTCATTACAGGGGCAGAGGATCTGCCTGCGACTGGTGCCAGGGGTATTGGGTTGCGCATACATCTCGTACCTACGGATAGAAAAGAGGATGCAAGGTTGTGGCCTTTGCCTTGGTCGAGTACTTGCACTTCAACCCTCTTTCTACCCACCTACCCCTCCGAAGCGCTGTTGGGAGAGAAAGTGCGGATTGCTATTGAGCATTATCAGGGTTTCGGTTTGCGCTAAAGTCTCGCTCTCACACCCACCCTCATCCTCAACCCCAACCTCACTCTCTCGCAAGACAAGCCCAGATAAGGCAAAAGATTCCCATTTCTGCTCTACGTGTGCTCTACCATCTATGTCAATGCAAAGAATGTTACTTGCGGGCCTGCTCCACAAGCCAGTCCCCAATCTCCCTTAAAACCACCATCGTCTTTTCCGTATCCTCCTTACTCATCCCCTCAACGTGTTTCATCATTACATGTTCGTAGCCCTCCCAAATCTTGATCTTCTTCTCCCCCTCTGGTGTGCCAAGCTTTTCATAGAACTGTTTACTTCCATTCGGATCGGTAACTCTATCGTTCGCACCATGATGGATCGTCAATGGGCATGTAATCAAATGCGCCTTCTCTGCTAGATCATCTATCCCGTCCAAAATGGCTAAGCCAGTGCTGATGCGAACTTTGCCTTTGTAGGTGAGCGGATCGGTATTGAATTCGTCCTCTACTTTCGGGTCGTCTGAAATGTTTCCCTTGATGGCGGAGGCTAGGGGGAGACGGCCAGCGAAGAGGCGAAGGATGTGGGCGATGTATTCGATAGCTTTGGAGGGTCGGGATTGGGAAGAAATGGTGATCATGGGTGCTGCTACTGCTACACCCGATAGGCTTGGGCGGTAAGGAGCTGCTTTTCCAGGGACGACAGAGGAAGAAGCGTACCCGTTGGAGTTGCTACGAGAGTCGTGTTCCGGATGATGATGTGCGAGAGGGGTGCGTTCGTGTGCGTTCAGTGCTTCTTCGACCAGTTCTTCGTCCAAGGTCGTTTTGGCTTGTTCACTAGGTTTTTGCTTCAAAGTCAGATCCGGTCCACCATCTTTCCCTGGTGCGAGGGGAGGGTATAGAGCGGCATAGTATAAAACGGTGAAAGCTCCCATTGAGTGGCCTTCAGCAAACAACTTCCTCTCCCTCCCCGCTTTTCCCAAAAGACCAGACTCCTCATCCCAGGTTCTCACATCCATCACCACAGCATGCATGGCTCGAGCATTGATCTTCATACTTGGCAAATAACCATGCAAACCTGTACTCCTGCCGAAACTAGGAAGATCGATCGCAATCACCCTAAACCCACGTTTCATGAAATGCAATGCATGCGGAGCGAGTTTCCCTGCGTAATCGTTGATTCCGTGTGCCATGACAATATCTGCGTGGAGCTGTTCGGATTCGAGTGCGGCAGGGCAGGTCCAGATGTAGTACGTGACCCAGGACCATTTTTCCTTATCCCACGAACCGGATTCGAGCAAAGAATGAGCAGGGATGAGAACACGACGTCGGATAGCAGAGACTTCGGGATTGGAGTAGATGAGACGATGTTCTGCGGCAGAATAAGGGATGTTGGTGCGGCCATAGGTAGGGTCGCCTCCGCCAGGGGTGAGGAGGTTGAGGTGACAGAGGAGAGGTTCGGTGACCACTTGGTGGGCTATTTTGAGGTATTCCATCTTTGGCCAGTTTCGTTTGGGGGGTATAAGGAGAGAGAGATGGTAGGCAGAAGGTGGTAAGGATGGAAGGTGGCAGGGGAGAGCTAGAATGAGAAAGGGATGCGGGATCGCTCGGAAAGAATGTGCCGAAGCACACACACACACACACACAATCGCGTACATTCGGATGGGAGGATCTTTGTCAAGGGTCCGCTTGCTTGATCGACCATTTCACCTCTATGGTACCTCGGCATCGCTACTTGCGACTTGTTCCGCCATTTGTTCATGATCTGCTGTTTGGCTGGATGGTGCTTTGTTGTATTCCTGGCTGAGACATCTTGGTACGATCCGTAAAGATCTTCTTACCGTTCCTGAGTTCTGCATCCTTCAGCAGCGACGCAGCCTTTGTCATGTTCATAATTTGGGCTCCGCAAGCCTCCACTTGGCTTTTCTTCAAGTGTGTTAGGCCTACTTAAAGCAACACTAATTCTGCTTTTCTTTTTCTTTTTCGATGCTCTTCTTGCGACAAGTTTTTGCATGCAGGATGCTTGGACCAATCTCAGCTCATCACTTCTGGTTCGCACCTCCTCGACCTTTCTTGTTAGCTTCTTACACTACCCTTCAAGCCTGCTCGACATCATGGCCGCAGCAACATCTCAACGCGCTGCTAGCCTTCTTATGGCACTGCGCTCTTCATCGCGCTCCGCTATCGCATCTTCTTCTCGCACCCAGACAAACCGATTGGCCTGCACGGCAACCCTTGTCTCCTCACTACTAATTGCCTCTGGCTCCTCCCAACTCCCCTCTCTCCGCCCTGGCCTCTCCCTCCAGCGCCGCTACAAATCCAAACGGTCCTCAGCACAATATATCGACCCTAACGCTGCAGAAGCCGACGATGTCCCCGTCATGAAAACAAAAGGCAAAGGATCCAAAGGCAACCGCGGTGCCCAACCCACCTCTCGCGGCGCCAAATCCAAACGTGGAGACACCGAACAAGACAATGCCGAGTACAAAACTTCCACCCGCAACCAAGACCTCCCCGACGAAGGATTCGATTTTGACGCTATCTCCTCCCATATGTCCCGTGCTGTAGAGCGATGTCGATCCACCACTTCCACTCTTGTGGGTTCTTTTGGACGTGCAGACCCAGCTCTGTTGGACTCGGTGAAAGTGGAGTACCCTGGAACTGGGAGTTCAGGTAAATCTCTTCATCCGCTTCGAGAGTTCGCTACGGTCGGAGTGCGGGATGGAGCGCTGATCGTGACTGCGTTCGATGCTGACATGGTCAAACACATCGAAAGGGCTATTTACGCTGCTGATCTAGGGCTCACACCGCAGACTCAAGCGCATCAGAACCCGGGAGATGAAAACATTATTCGTGTAGCTGTGCCGCAACCAACTACAGAGTCGAGACAGGCGATGGTGAAGGATTTGACCCGCATCTGCGAAAATGCTAGGGTCAGTATTCGCGATGCTAGACACAAAGCGCAGAAACAGATCAAGAGCGATATTGACAGGAAAGTGGTGGGCAAGAGTGAGGGTGAGAAGGAGAGTAAGAAGGTCGAAGCAGAGACCAAGAAGTTTAGCACACAGGTGGATCAGCTGTTTGAGAAGATGAAACAGACTCTTCTTGCTGGGAACTAGATGCAGGGCAGCAGGACTCAATGAAACAGTCATACAGTCTTCAGCACTTGATCCGATGTCCATGTTTGATTTGCTTTGATTGCTTCTTTTCTTCTGCATGTGAAACTGTACTGATCCTCTACGACTTCTTGAGCGAACATGCATGAGCCACAAGCGATCTACTCGTCGTTAACGATCGCATCTACTGCGACTTCTTATCAGCACCAGCCTCCTGCCAAAACTTCTCATCATCCTTTCCCTCCACACCAACTTTCACACCCTGCTGACCCCTGATCACCTTCTGAGGATCGACCTTATCCCCCTGATCCGGTTTAATCGTGAACCTCTTCTGCACGGCCCTAACCATTGCTCTGAACCAGAAAAAGTTCAAGCTGTTCAAAATCACATTTCCCGCCATATAGAACGCCTTCAAATGCCCAGGAATCGGTGGGAAATGAGGCTTACTCGGCGCCACAACGAACTTGAAAAAGCTGAAACTGTTGTACACTCCAAACGTCAACCTGGCTCCCACGTATGCGGAGAGGAGGAAAAATGCGTTGATCAGCTGAGCTTTGCTGCCTGTTTTTCCGAGTTTATCGAGGAACCAATGAATGTTGAGGAAAGGAGTGGAAAGTTCCCATAGCAAGAAGCCCATTCCGTCGTACATGAAGATGGGGTGGAAGACGAGGGTGAATGCGATCAAAGCTACGAGACCGTGAGCGATGAATCCGGGACCTTCGTGGAGGATGGAGGTGACCGAGTCCCAGACGAAGTAGCCTTGGGCGATGGCGTAAATTTGGGCTGCCTCGTGGTCGTATCCGTAAAGTCGGTCTACGGCGAGAGGGTGGGTGTGGATGCCGAGAGCGTTGGTCTGACGAGCTTTCCACCAAACGCGAGCTGCCAAGGGGGTGATAACGGCAGCGTGGACGAAGGAGACGACGTGGATATCCCAGCTGATGCGTGCCTTGCGGTTGAGCTTGGCGAATGTTTGGGGGAATAAACGGGGGCAGACTTGGGAAGATAGGGTCTGGATGGCAAACCAGAGCAAAGTCGAACGAATGAGCGTTGGAACATGGGTGGGAAGATGGTGCATGCCGTACTTGTCGGCGTACGGTTGCAGCCATGCTACGATGGGGTCCGTGGGAACCATGATGTATGTGCGTGGAGGTGTGGAGTGCTTGATCTCGAGATGGATGCGGAGAACAAGGAAGGACGGCGGGATGACATGTACTTCAAGAACGATTCACAAATTCTTGTGGCTGGCCATCAAGTCCGTGCGTAGCCGAATTGTGCAAGGCGTCGCCCAACAACAGGCGTGCTTATTGCGTCGTGAATGCTTTCATTTTTGTTGACATTTTTGAATTGTCTGTGTTGTTCGGTCTGACATCTTGAGCGTTCGGCCAAAATTGCTCGAATGTGGAGAAATCCATCACGGCTACAATTGCGCAGGATGACACAGTGACGCACGCGCTCAAATGAAGTAACACGGCGCATAACAGCAGCGGCGCACTTTCTTCTTACAGAGATTTGTTGGAGTTCCTGACGTATCTTCTGGAGTTCCTGACGTATCTTCTGGACCTCCTTACAAATTCACTTGGCTTTGTTCGCAGGACCTTCCCTTTCTTCCATCTCCCTTTGCCTCACTCAAGACTCCATCGAGGTCCAACATGAGCTGATAAGCAACGACCACAGGAGGGATATCAAGAAAGCCTCCTGTCCACCCCGAAACACTCATACAAATCTGCAGCCATGTCGCCAGACGAGATCCAGGCGCAGTTAAGCGAGCTCTTCTGCCCACCGCTCGATACTACTCTTGTTGCAGCCATTGCCTACGAGCCCGGACAGACACTTCAAAGCGCAAAGGAGGTTTGCCAGACGCTTGCTGCTGCTGCTGTGCCCGATTCACAGCCAGAGCCAGCGTCTCCACCTCGACCCTCGCAGAAGGCTCAAGAAGATGCCAGACCATCGCGCTCCACCGGCGGAGCTTCGGCTCGAAGAAAAGCATTTGGCAGTAAATTGACGAATGGAGATGATACCAGCTCTAATGACACCGCTCCATCCTCCTCATCAAGAACAGCCACCACAAATACGGCGTCCACAGACACCAGCACCACCGCCTCGACAAGCAGCTCGGCCCTCAGCTCACCACAGAACACCGCAGCAGACGCAGCAACCGTCGAACGACTCCTCAACGAATGGTCTCTAATCGACCAAACCTCGCAAGATCCAGACAATCTTCGCCTCACTGATGAAGATACTTCTGACACAGAAGCTTCCACAGCTGCCACTTCTGAACCTGGCCACCAGCTTCTCTCCTCCACTTGCCCACGTACAGCTGAAAAGCTGATCCAAGCTGAGAGCGAAGAAGCGGTACGACTAGGCGAGCTTTCTGGATCGCATCCTATCGATCCATCTTCTGTCGCTCCCGGGAGCTCTGATGTGAATGGTGCTGGGAGGAAGGACATGAAGTACAGGGATACTTTCGATCCGGTGCTCTTCTTGCAACATGCATTTCCTTCGCGCACGGTCGAGTTTCTAAGGGAGACATTTAATGATTCGCATGGAGATGTGCAGACGACGTTGGATACGATTATGACTATTGATCTGATTGAAGCGGAGGATGCGAGGAGTGCTATTGCTTCCCAAGCATCTGCTTCTAGTGGCGGTGAAACACGCAAAGGGGGAGGATTGGATTACGAAGCGCTCGTCAACGGCACTGGTGTAGCCGGGCCGGAAGATCCCAACCTCAAAGGCAAGAAACGTCGCGCTGCTCGAAAGCGACTACAACAAGAACAGAGACTTGTCTCTACCGGATTCCCAACCACTGGTGCTAAGGACAAAGGCAAGCTCACAGTCAACCTCACCGATGCCCGTCACGGAGGCCCTTCTTCCAACACCCTCCTCAAAAAGCTCGCAGACACTCCTTCCTCACAACGATCTCGCACCAGCACACCCCTCCCGCAACTGACAGACGAAGAATTAGCAGCTAAACTCGCCGCCGAGGAAGAAGCCGCTTCTCGTGACCCAGACGCAGATCGACCAGTATCGGACAATCAATGGCTTCTCACCTCCTCCGTCCTCGCACAACTTTCGACTCTACTGGACATCGAGTCGAGCAAAACCACATCCACGTACAACTCTTCGTCCTTTAATCTCGCGGTCTGTTTTGCAAGGCTACTCGAGGGGGAGGCGGACAAGTATCCGACACTCTCAAGTCTGGACGAAGCGGGAGACGCGCCTAGTGGGACAGCGGAGAACATAGCAAATGGCATTGCGGCTATTAGAGGAGTGACGCAGAGTGCAGCGAGTAAAGCGTTGAGGGCGACCAAGGGGAGACAGGATGCAGCGTTGGATTTGTTACAATTGCAAGGGTTGGTGCAGCAGCAGGTGGGTGAGGTGGACGCGTTGGATCCGATGGGTAGGTTGAGGGAGTTAGGTGCTGCAGAAGTGCCGAAGAGTGTTGAAGCTGCTAGTGTTAAGGGCTATGTTATCGATGCTCGTGCAGGAGAAGGCAAGTTTGTAAAGACCTTCCCCAATCCATCACAGGCTGCGCTCGCGAAGGGCAATTCAAATGGCGGTGGAGGAAGTTTCTACTCGAATGTCGTTGGCCGCAAGATGCCCGGCCCTACTTCTGGTGCAGCAGAGGCTTTCCGATCAGGCTCAGCCGTCGCATCCGTCTTCCCTGCCAGTTCTGCATTCGTCAACCCCGCAGCAGATAACGACCTTCTGAACGACCCAGTCGCAATCGAAAGAGGTCTTGCCTCCCACACAGCCCACTACGACCCCTTACGTCGTATGACAGAATACCGTCTCGTAGCTGAAGGATACCGCATGCGTCGAGATGAAGTCCTTCGCAAGGCTGCTTCCGCCTGGAAGACTCAACGTGGCGGTGTCCGTACCGGAGGCAAAGGTGGCGACGGTGGTAGAGGTGGTATTGCATGGCACTATGCTGACGAAGCCCGTCGTTTAGACGCAAAATCACGCGCTTGGTCCCTTCGTGCTTCCCAAGCTCTTGTCGAAGATCGCCGTAGAGCAGCCATCGGTGTTGTCCGACCAGGTACGCAGCCTACAGCATTCAATACCGTGGCGAGCAACACGATCGACCTGCACGGTGTGACGGTGCATGAAGCATTGTCGATTGTGAGGGAGCAGGTGACGAGGTGGTACGCGCGACCTGGGCCGGGGATGAATCCACCACCGTTCAAGATCATCACGGGTGTCGGGAGACATTCGCCTCATCAGATTGCTGTATTGCGTCCGGCAGTTGCTAAGATGTTGGATAGAGAAGGGTGGAGATACGATGTGGATCATTCGCGAGGTGCGATAATTGTTCGTGGGACCAAGTAGCGGTACTTTCTCCTTCATTCGTCCGTTTGGATGCCTCTAGACAAGATCGATGCAAAGCAAGCACAGACATCCATTTTTGTAGTGTGAATTTGTGGTGCTGTCTGGAACAGCTGAGCGGCAGAATCAGTCTGCGAGAGCCTCGTACCACTCAACAACAGCCTTATCCAGCCCATCAACCGCCTCGTTTGAGCGGTAGAAGTGGTCTGCTCCCTCAATCAGCACGTGATGAAATGTCGACCCATTCTCCCTCTCCGCAACCTCGTTCGGTGATGGAGCCAGAGAGCTACACTCCTTTGTCCAAGTATGATACGTCTTGATCCCCGTGAACTGATCAGCATCGCCATACACAGCCAGCACATGACCTGCTACTGGCTGCGCATCCGCATCATTGGCAGGCGTTGACTCGACCGCTCTTGCTGCTGCAGCTGCCGCAGCTCTTGCCTGACCTTCCACCTCAACTTCCGTCGCATTCCCTCCTGGCAACGTCTGACTGCCTAACAGCACCTTCAGCGCATCATTATATGTTTTTGTAGTGAAGAAACTCAACGCCCAAGTAACACCCGTTGGAAAGCTCACCAGCACATACCTTGGCTTCTTCCCTCCTCTGAACTGTCTTGTCTCATACACCCCCTTCGGCACCCTTACCGTTGTTGCGTATAAGCTTCCTGCCGAGTACCCAGCTACGACCAACTGTGCAGCGGTACTGTCGGGGAAGTCAAGACAGAAGTTATCCACACATTTCAACAGCAGTTCTTGAAAATCGCTGCATTCCGATCTACCAGTCCAACTCGGTGAGCCGCCGGATTTGCCTACTCCTCTCGAATTGAATCGTACCACACGCAGCTGGAAATGCGTAAGGAATAAGGAAGCGAGATGAGTGACGATAGGATCGTCGAGCGAGCCACCGAGACGGCCGAGCGGGTGAGCGATGATAGCTAGGCCCCGACAGGCGGTGTTGGAGGATGAGGAGGGATCTTGGATGATGGATTGGAGGTAGAGTGCGCCGTTGTCGATGGCGATGGGTAGGATGGTTGGTGTTGGATAGCGTGGCATTGCTGCTCTTGTTCAGACCTGAAAGCAGGCGACGAGGGTGGTGAGGATGGTGGTTGTTGAAAGGATGGAAGATTGTGGTAACATTGCAAGTGAGACATGAGGGAGCGGGGATGAGGAAAGTGACAAGTGAAAGTGGGATGAAGATGCAGGGTCAAATTCCGATGCCGTGCGCGATGCTGGACTGTGGAGTTCCGCGCTCTTGCGCCCTCGCTCCTTCCATATCAGCGGCAAACACGCAATCATCCTGGATCCTCTTCGTATAATTGTACCGTCTTGACAATCTCGAATCGCTCTTCTATCTGCTCTATGCGGTTGCTGCTCTATGCCGAGAGTTGAGATGCTACCAATCAAAAGCGCCAGGCATCTGCTTCTCCTCCTTCACCTCCCCCTTTTTCTTCCCCACCGCATCTGATTCCAACGCACCCTCACCCCATCTCTCCCTCCAGCAGGCCAACTCTTCCTTCCAAAGTGTCTTTACACATGGATCGCAGCTGCTTCCGCAGCATTCGTCCGGTTTCGGCGGAGGGGGTGGATCGTCGTATGCTCGAGAAGCGGCTTTGATGAGCTGCTTTTTGCGGATGTTGGTGATTCTTCGTTGCGCCAAGATCGTAGGTAGCGATTCGATGTCGGTGTAGACTGGCTCCGGCGCCTTTTTGGCTGCCCAGGTCATCGCATTTGTCCTACAAGGAGTGAGGTGGAGAGGGGGACATGGTTGTGAAGTGTGAAGATGGGGTCGGGTGATGTAGGAATTCTTGTTGGCCGGTGTTGGCCGATTTGAAGGTGATGTGAGAGTGTTGGATTTGACATTCGTGGAAAATTGCAAACCCGAAGGCTTGAACGCCGAGAGAGCAACACCTTTTGTGGCACAGCTGAGACCGACACTTCTTTTTGCATCATGGCTGGCTTTGGCCCTTTGATGTGCATTGGATTGCTTCTCATCTGCTCGTTCTGTTTCTCGTTCTGTTTCACACCAACATCACTATTAGGGGCAAAGGGATGACACTGAGTATGACGATCGCTAGCGCCACACCAAGCGCGACAGGAACAGATCGACCTCAGCACAGATATCCACCAGCAGCGTCCCCTTCATCCTCACAGTCCACTCACAGCAATGCATTCGACACATCGACTGGACCCTCTACACTAAGCTACATCATCCACACCGAAACCAACGGCATTAGCGACCTCAGGCTTCAGGTCAGCCACAAAGCCATCCCTTCCTCAAGCAAGCATCCTCTCCGACCAGCCTACTTTCGCGAACGAGTGCTAACAGACCAGAACGAGATCGTAGACAACATAGTCGACGCAAGCACAGGCAGGATATGCTGGACGATACACAGACCAACTAGAGGATGGTATCTTTATCTTCGCTCGCCAGGCTTGCCACAGACTACAGCTATCTCATTGAGGACGGCGAAGAGGGAAGAGTATGATCCGCTGGCTTCTCCGTTGACTTTTTCGCTTCAGACAAAGTTGCACCGGCAGGCACTTGGGCGGATCAGGACTCGCATCGGGTCAGCTTCGACAAAGGGGGAGGCTGACGATGCATCACGGTCAGAGAGCACGATTACAGACGGGGGAAAGAGCAACGGTCATCACATTGTAGGAGCACGGGACGATGTTGGAGAAGCGAAACAGGATGTGGCAGTGGCAGCAACCGGAAGAGAGAATCGCAAATCAGGTACGTCAGGCCACGCAAGGCGGAGAAGTGGTGCAACGGGATCTGGCACACATTCAGCATTGGACTCACGGCATCCATCAAAGCGGACGAGCTCTGCAGTCGCCAGTAGCCCGATGATTCCAGAGACTGAAGACGAAGCACTATCACCTACACCCGCACACACCAACCCGGGGCTATCTCAACTAGCCATTCCCTCCTCTTTGATCGCCTCTACATCCTCTTCTCCTCACTCGGCAGGAGCAGATCGACCATACTCCCCAATCGAACCACCCACATCCTCATTTCCTACAACATCAGGACCACAAGCATGTACATTTCTCCTCACAGACGGCATCCCACCCGGCACCTCCTCATTGGATCCAACTGCAGCGCCAAAACAAAGCTGGGCAAGATGGGCAACTTCTCTCCTCCCCTCAGAAATTCGCCCCTCGCTCTCACTGGACACGGACAAGAGCTTCAGTCTTTGCTGGTTAGATCCTCCGACATCAGGTAGAGGAGCAGAGGGAGTGGAAATAGCGAAATTCGAAGATCAAAGTGGCAGATGGTTATGGAACTCACAAACAAGAGGAAAGCTGACATTGCAAACGAGCGCAATGCAAGCACTTGGGCTAGAAAAGGAGTTCTGGATCACTGCGGTGCTAGCTTACATTCAAGTTTTGGAGGACAAAGATGCGTATGATGCCGCTAGAGATGCCTGATCTGGCCATATCATATTCACCTGATCGCACACACATATTCGTCACAGTTCGCATCTCACCATAGCATACATTCCTCGCATTGCATAACAACAATCACAGTTCCACATCGAGTCTGACTGCTTAGTGGAACTTGCCAGGAACAACAGGTAAACTCGCCTGCAAACCACCATCCACCGGCAGCGCCACACCATTAACATACGAAGCCTCATCCGAAGCCAAGAATGTCACAGCGTTAGCGATCTCCTGTGCTACACCGTACCTCGCAGTAGGGTTGAGCTGACCGATTTTACCTGCAGTACCTCTCTCCCTAGCCATCTCGAAGGTTGGCAGCGTCATGCCAGTCTCAATAAGACCGGGACAAACAGCATTAACCCTAATATTGCTGCGCTGCAGCTGCCAAGCGGTAGTCTGAGCCAAACTAATCACCGCAGCCTTAGATGCTGAGTAGTCTACGCTACCCGCACCAGATCGCAACCCAGCAACCGAGGCAGTGAGAATGATCGATCCGCTAGACTCGGTTTTCGAGCCGCCAGCCTTTGCCATAGCGGCAGAAGCGTATTTGCAAGCGAGGAAGCAAGATGTGACGTTGATGTGGTGGGTTCTTTCCAAGTCCTCTACATCGGTAGCAGAGATGGGTGCGCCAGTGGCACGAGCAGCGTTTGCGAAGAAAATGTCGAGATGACCGTTGTCGGAGATGGCTTGGTCGATGATGGATGTGACTGAGGCTTCGTCAGCTGCGTCGGAGGCGATGGCGGTGCATTTGACCTCAGGGTAGCGTTTAGTGATGTCTTCTTTGAGGGAAGGGAGGTTTTCGTCGTCAATGTCACAGACGTAGATGTGTTTGACTCCTTCGTGCGCGAATTGCATCGCCGTGGCCCGACTAAGGCGCGGCAAATTGTAGAAGAGAAGAGTGATGTTAGCATGTATGCAGATCAAGAGGAGCAGGTTAGATTTGGTGCTTACCCGATACCTGAAAGACTACCGCAACCGGTAATGATGGCGACCTTGCCCGAAAGACGACCGGAACGGGGACGCTTGTCGAGATGGTTGCGAATGCGCTCGAGACGCTGCATGGTGGCAGCGTAAGCCTGCTTCAACTGTTCTTCTTTTGTCTGCGCCATCGTTTCGGTTTCTCTTCTTGATGTGTGGACGATGTGTGAGGTCAAGGTAGGGAAAAAGGAAGAAGAGAGAGACGAGCGTTAAGAAGTGCGGGGGATGGATGAACATGTGCTAACCGAGGCTCTTGTGTTCGGGTCAAACGAAAGCCGGACCCTTTTTTCGCCTAGCCGAGGACAAAAAAAGTGTTAGGGTCTCGTACTAACAGCCGTTGTAGAAATGAAAATGGTTGAGGATGGCCTGAGCGCGCTAATTCAGGGTCCTGCATTGGACCATGCACGCCACATCCGGACCCTGTCTGGATCAGACTGACCATGTCGATTCGAGGCTGCTTATCACAATGAACGCATGACAGACGCGGCGGCTGTGAAGCAGCAGCAAGAAGTGGGTAGGGTTCGACGGAAAGAAAAGATAGCATCAACGTCTTGATGACGAGGCCGAGGCCGAGGTGAGTCAAGGAAACGCGTTCCGAGGACCCGAGCTTGTGAGCGACACGATAACGATACAGGCGAGCAGTAGCGTGTCCTTGCTTCACATCATTTGCAGCGCCTCACCCTATCTTTGCCCAGTTCAGCCTGCTGTTTCCTCGCTATCAGTTCCGCTCCTCCTTCGCTGGTCCTTTCTAACGCACCTCCACCACCATCCCCTACAGCAGTGTGAACTGGTCTTCGGAATAGCATCAGCCTAGCCGCATCAAGCTATCCGTTCAGCTTCAAGCATATTCTCTCTTCTCAGACAGGCGTCGCTCGCATCCCGAGCACAGCGTGGTCACCATGTCCGGCTCAAATGTCCATGTCGTTCAGCATCCGCTGATCTCACATCATCTAGCGAATCTTCGACTTGCTGACACCTCGCCAAAAGGTAGGTCCCTCCCTCGCAATTTGCTTTCTTGACAGCCATCCTACTGACACGTCCTTAATCCGCTTTCTTGGTCTTTTGCAGAATTCCGTTTGCTCGTCAAGAACATCTCAACCATACTTTGCATCGAATCTTCTCGAACGCTCTCTGTCAAGCAAGTGCAAGGTCAAGGTCCACTTGCAACCTTTCAAGGCGAGCAGCTTTCGGAACGTATTGGTTTGGTCCCCATTCTCCGAGCTGGTCTCGGCATGACAGAAGCCTGCCTTGACCTCTTGCCTGAAAACACATCCGTGCTGCACATTGGCCTGTTCAGGGAGAAGGTCTCGCTACAGCCAGTGGAGTACTACAACAAGCTACCTGCCACGCCAACCGTCGATCAGGTCATCATTCTGGATCCGCTAATTGCTACTGGTGGAACTGCTGTCGTAAGTACGACCCACACCTTTCCTGAGCTGGGAATTATGCATGCAGTATTGCTGTGAGAAGTCGCTGACACTGTGTCTTTTTGGGATTGGACGGTATTGCAGGCATGTATCCAAATGATTTTGGACTGGGGTGTGCCAGTGGAAAAGATCAAGTTCTTGTGCGTGTTGGCATCACAGAAGGGTCTTGAGCATGTGGCTGAGTCGGTGTCAGGATTGGAGATCTGGGTTGGTCGTGTTGATCCCGAGTTGAGCGAAAAGGGGTTGATCTTGCCGGGTTTGGGCGATACTGGTGATAGGTTGTTTGATACTCGTACTTGATCGGTCTTGGATGGATTTATGATTGTCTGACATCTACAGGAATGGAGCGCTATCTTCGCAATGGACTAATGCTCTCATTCTAATGTCGCCGAGACTATGTAAGGAGCTGTTACTGATACCGTTGCATCCTCGGATGAAGCTGTTCTTGAAGACCGGCGACCAGATTTTATTGTGGAAATGGCGGCGTAACATTGCTAAATTCGCTGCTCTTCTTCAGCTTTGGCTTCCACGACCGGAGAACGAAGCACAATTTTCCGTCGTTCCCGCTTTGAAGATCGTGCACGAATTTTCCGATGAACAAGCCACTGCCGCTTCCCCTCATCAACGACGGCATCTTCCTTATCAAAGGTAACCTGCGTGTGGTCATGACTCCGATCGAAGCCGTGTTGGGCAGCGAAAGCCTAAGCTTGAGTTCAAGAAGCGGCGGTTCTCAATCTCAGATCAAGGGTTGCATTGTCGTTGCGGCAAAGGGGAGGCGGGGAAAGAAGGAACGGCGACCTTTCTTGCTCGGTTGTGTCTGGCCGATTTCGTTTTTGCCCGTTGACCCCATTTCCGGTTTGCCCTTGCTGCTGTTGCAGCCAATGAAGTGAAAGACCCCTCGTTCTCCTGCCTCTCTGTGCTACCCTTGGACCTTTATTCTGGACCATCACCACTAATCTCGACTCCCTCCGACTGAGACACTGGATGGCTATGCTGTCAATTCTCAAAAGGCGCTCAGCGCCATCCCCCACCACCGACGGACCTACTAGAGCCTCGCAAGAAACTGACGATGCAACACTCGCCGAGTTCAGCCGTATGGCTCACGAAATGGGCGTCGGTGGAGCCTACGAACGCAAAGTAGCCTTACTCAACAAGACTATTAAAGAAGATATTGGATTCGGACATTTCCAAATCTGGCTCACTTGGCTTGCCGGCTTCGGCTGGTTCGTCGACAATATCTGGTTTCAAGCCCTTTCGATGTCTTTACCGCAAATCAAGCTCGAGTTTGGACCGAAACATGTTCAGTTCGCCACCCTCGCGCTATACTTGGGTCTCTTGATCGGAGCGACATTCTGGGGTTTCATGGCAGACGTAATTGGTAGAAGACCCAGTTGGAACATCACCCTCTTCATCTCGGCTGTTTTCGGTGTTGCTGTTGGTGGAGCACCAAACTTCGTCGCACTCGGCGCATTGCTGTCTTGTCTAGGTCTGGGATTAGGTGGAAACTTGCCGGTGGATGGAGCGATGCTGATCGAGTTCATTCCCAGCACGCATCAGTGGATCTTGACCTTTTTGAGCATCTTTTGGTGCTTTGGTCAGTTGTTTGCCGCGTTCATTGGTTGGGCGTTCATTACCAACTACAGGTGTGAAACCGCGGCGGATTGCCCGAAAAGCTCGAATATGGGTTGGAGATATACGTGGTTCTTGTTGGGAGGGATTACGTTTTTGATGTGGGTGGCTAGGTTTTGGGTGTATCCGATTCCAGAGTCGCCCAAGTATCTGATTGGCAAGGGGAGAGACGAGGAGGCGATGGAGGTGATCAAGTATATTGCGGCGCAGAATGGGAAGACTACAAGTTTGACGTTGGAGCAGTTGAAGGCGGCGGGTGAGGGAGTGACGATGGCCATCAACACATTGGATGCGAACGAGAAAAAGCTGGCACGGGAAGACGACGTTGAGACCAAAGCTAACGGCGCTTGGCCTTCGTCAACTACAGAGGAGAATGGAGAGAAGAAGGAAGGCGCGAACAGTGCTGATGCTCATGTTCGTGCTGCTCCTGCCACCGTTCAGCCTACCGATCCCGCCACTGCTACCCCTCAATCCTCGCCCGACTCTTCACCAACCGCCGCAGTATCTATTTCACTCAAAGGTCGATTCCTCTCTGTCTCCGACCTGGCGCAACTCCGTCGCTCCCTCTCCGAATTCGATTCACACCACATCGTAGCGCTCTTCTCCACGCCACGCATGGCATGGAACACAATCCTCATCTGCTTCCTCTGGGGTCTCATCGGTCTCGCCTACCCTCTCTACAACGCTTTTATCGCGCTATATCTCCAAAACGCAGGCGCAAACCAAGGCGAAACCACTCAAGCAGAACAGTACCGCGATCTCGTCATCATTGCAGCCTGCGGTATCCCCGGTTCTTTTGCAGCCGCAGCATTCGTCGAGCTTCCCTACGCTGGTAGACGAGGGACGATGGCGTTCTTCACCCTCCTCACCGGTTTGTTCCTCTTCCTGTTCACAACAGCGAGAACTGCAGCAGCGGTGTTGGGTTGGAACTGCGCAACGAGTCTCACGCAAAACGCAATGTACGCGGTTTTGTATGCGATCAGTTACGAAGTCTTCCCTGCACCCAATAGAGGTACGGGAGATGGGTTGGCAATGGCGACGCAGAGAGTGTTTGGTGTGATTGCGCCAATTGTGGGTGCCTATGCGGGGTCGACACCGACAACGCCGATTTATGTTTCGGCGAGCTTCTTCATTGCTGCGGCCGTGTTGATGCTGTTTTTGCCTTATGAGACTAGGGGTCGTTCGGCGTTGTAGAAAGTCAGACGCTGCAATTAATTCAGTACAGTACAGTACTGTACATGACGTTCTCAGGACTGGATCGCTTCGATGTTTGAGCAAGTTTTCAAGATTGTGAGCACAGACAGACGGGATTCGTTTTGATGTTTGAGGTTCCGATTAGAGGTTCCGATTAGATTAGATCACGCAATTACAAAAGTGGTAGAATTAGGCCTTAAGAGCATTAAGGATCTCCTTTCCGACACCAAGAGCGCTAGCCGGGTTCTGACCGGAAATCAAGACCTTTCCACCAGACTTATCAACAATGACCTTCTCGCCCCAAGGCTGAGTCTTGTCGAACTTTGCACCCCTATCAATGAGCCTACTCTCGACCAACCAAGGGATAGCCTTGGTCAAACCAGCCTGTTCCTCCTCCTCATTAGTGAAGCAAGTAACATTCTTGCCGTTAACGAGGTAGCTTCCATCGCTCAGCTTAACATCAGTGAACGCCGCAGGAGCGTGGCAGACGGCAGCTGTGGGCTTACCAGCCTCGTAGAATCCACGGATAAGCTCTTGCGAAGTGGAGTCGACGGGAAGGTCAAAGCAAGGACCGTGGCCACCAGGGTAGAAGATGGCGTCGAATTCGGAAACGGAAGAGGAAGAGAATTCAGAGAGAGGCTTGGTGTTCGAGACCCAAGACTGAGCTTCAGAGTCTTTGAGGAACTTGACAGAGTCTTGGTCGTTCTTGAAGGCTTCGACGGAGGATTGGTCGAGTGGTGCTTCACCACCTTTGGGAGAGGCAGCGACGAGAGTGTAGCCTGCCTTCTTGAGAAGGTAGTAAGGGTGGGCAATCTCGGGGAGGTAATAGCCGGTAGGGTGGTCCGAACCAATGAGCTTGGTGTGGGAGGTGAATACGACGAGGATCTTCTTCGACATTTTGCACTAATTTTGAGTTTGTGTGTGCGTTGTTGACGGTGTTTGGTGTGAGAAGGAAGGTGGGCAAGTGTGGAAGAGATTATATATGGAGCAAGCCAAGTCGAAGGCCGCAAATTGAACGCACGGACGGTGTGGAATTCTCAAGGTTGAGAGAGAAGACTGCTCAGGCGCTCCAATTTTTTCAATGGTTCTGTTTCTTTTGGTGGAAGCCTCCACATCGAAAGAAAGGCGCAATTAGGCAGAGAAGAGAAGAGAAAACTGTCACTGACGATCTGTGAATGCCGAGAAGAAAACAACTTCTCATTGTTTGCGGTGTGTCATCGAGCTCACACTGCTACTTACACAGGCAAACTGGCGTGGCGATCATGGCTATGCATTTTGATCATCATTCTTTCCACACTTGGGGAACACGTCATCCCAACCTGCGTGCTCGTTCTTCAGAATGTGTCTCTTGACTCCCGTGCAGGTGGAGGATGCTGTATGGAATGGCTATCTAGTGAAGAATGGAGTTGCATCTACAGGGACACAAGTTAAGGTAGGCGATCACTTGGGCTGATACTTATCCGCGGCGCCATTGAACTGTTCTCTGAACGCATCATCCCATTTCTTGACCAAAGGAATACCAGATCCAGCCGTAACCACATCTTGATCCGCTTGCAACCCTTTTACCAAATCCTCCATGAATTCTTCCACCGTCAACGAGTTTGTCGCACCGAGATGCTTCTTGTTGTCATCCGGATTCTCCCTCTCTCTGTGCAGATCTGTGCCTACGCTTGGTGGGACAATCTCGACCACTCTGACGTTAGTATTCTTGAGCTGCACTCGTTGTGTCTCTGACCAGAAATGCACAAACGCTTTCGCCCCGTTGTAGACCGGGTTGATGATGCTATACGGCACGAAACCCAGCACCGAACTGACATTAGCAATCACACCTAACTTCTTGCCCTTCAAGTGATCTAAAAAGGCAGTAGCGAGATGGATTGGACCGCGGATATTGATGTTGATCTCGTTATCGACTTTGTCGAGAGCTAAGTTCTGGACTTCGAGGGGTCGTTGGACGCCGGCGTTGTTGATCAGGCAGTCGATTTCGGGATGTTCGGAGAGGACTTTTTTGGCGAATGCGGGCATATCATCGACGTTGCCTGTGTCAAGAATGTAGTATGGAGCGTTGTTGAGCTTTTTCGATGCTTCGGCGAGCTTGGATTCGGTTCGACCGACAAGGATGACTTTCTTGTTGAGAGAGAGAAAGTATTCTGCCATAGCATAGCCGAGGCCTCCAGCACCGCCAGTGATGACGGCACATTCAAAGTCGAGGATTTTGCCAACCATTCCTGACGTTCTTGAGGACGTTGGAGGAAGTATGTTTGATGTGATGGGGGGCGAGGTAGGCTTAGGGCTGGTCAGCTTATTCAGGCGGTACAAGTCGCCGAGCTGAGCAGTTTCTTCTCCACAACAGCCAGTGATGTGCTTCCGGCCTCAACCCTAGCCGAATCGGGCTACTGGATTTGTTCCATCGTCGATGCGATTCCCAAAAGGTGATGTTCACGCTAGCGACGTAACAATGGTTGAGATGCTCGAATAATTGGAGACCCTTTCCGGTCATCTGGAACGGCGAAAGTTCGGAGGAGTGATTTCCGACGCTTCGCTCACAATCTGCCACCTCGCTTACCACCTTCTTAAATGAATTGGTGTATGGGAGGACGTTGCTGCCACGCTGATCTGATTTCCTTCATTTTAGGCTAGGAATCTCAAACAGCGCTCAAACGGTTGGCCAGACAGTGTTGAGATTTCTTGCCCACATTCCTCGGGCCTATTTGAGAAGCCTCTTAAGCGAACGTGATTTCGGCATAACCAGAAGGGTTCTCAATCCCATCTTCTCGAAACCTTTTTCTTTTTCTTTTTCTTTTTCTTTTTCTTTTTCTTTTTCTTTTTCTTTTTCTTTTTCTTTTTCTTTTTTTTTTTTTTTTTTTTTTTCTTTTCTTTTTTCTTCTTCTTCTTCTTCTATATAACGCCGCAATTGGAATGCTTGTCTCTCGCTCTGCCCTTGAACAGCACAAAGCGGTAGGAGCGATAAGATGCAGAGCCTGATTCGTGGTTGTATGATCACTCAGCTGTTGTCGAAAACGCAAGAAGCCTTGTGCACTGTTCAGAGAGGGTAATCAGTGAAGCACGCCAAGCTGTCGTACAGAGAGTGACCGACGGTGTATAAACAAAAGAGGCAGCACAAGGCGCTCCTATCCGTAGGACCGAAGGAACCAAGGTTTTGGCTTTCTCTTTTGCAGCTGGCGGAGAGAAGGAGGCAGGCAGGCTTGCGATTTCTAGAACCGCTTCGCTTGTCTCGAGTGTGTTTGTGTGTGAGCTTCGGTCTGCCGCCACCATCCGAATCCGCAACCGCAAGGGTCGTCGCTTTCTAAATACTTTCGATTGCTCTTTCTCCGTGTACCACTCATCCTCTTGCACCATTTCTCTGGCCTCTTGCCTTTCATCGGCCATTCTTCGTCCTTGCCATTGTTGTGCACCTTCTGCTAGCTGACTCAACCTTGACCGGTCCGTAGGAGACAAGATTGGCAACAAGCTTGTTCCCTCGTCAGCTGTTGATCCCGCACCGGCCTACCTCTTCGGTCTCTGCGGCCAACCTTCTCTCCTGGACACCTCTCTCTCTCTTCATCGTCGACTCTGGTTCACCTGCATCTCATCGCCTAGTCCTGCATCACATCAAGCCTTGCCTTCATACTCGCTGCGGCTTCCATCATTGATACCTTCGGCTCCTTTCCCTCTCCTTAGGCCCGACGATTCATTCCACCAGCTCAGCTCCGACAACTCACAGACTCACCTTGTGACTGGCTCCATCATCTCGAACAACGTGATTGTGCAGGAAATATTGCTGCTTCATTCACTACCTTACCAGTCTGCCGTCCAAGCCCGACCCTTTGCTTCAAGTAGAACACACGATTCGGCAAACAAGACTTACACCAGGCTTTCCTAGCTCGCTCATTGTTTCATTCTCCCTCACGAGCCCTCGCCCCCTTCCCTTATCTCCAAACTCTTCTTTCCTACCTTACTGCCCGTCGAGACGCCAAAACCTATAGGAAGTCTTCTTCGTACTATCACGAGCTCTTCTTTCCCTTGCACCCAACTACAACACACCCTTCCAATCCACCGAGTAACATCGTCCATCAGCTACACCACAATGGAGGAGATTCAGTGCACAGGTCCCGCCGACAACGGTACCGGCTCCACCGGTCTTCGCATCGGCGCCATCTTCATCATCTGGGCCACATCCACGCTCACCACCCTCTTCCCTGTCGTCACAAGACGTATCCCTCGTCTCTCGATCAATCGAGAGTTTTTCGACTTTGCCAAATACTTCGGTTCCGGAGTCATCATTGCCACCGCTTTTATCCATCTCTTGTCACCCGCTGCAAGTGACGAAGAGCTCGGTTCGCCATGCCTCAACGATGCCTTCCAGGACTATCCTTTTGCGTTTGCGTTTGCCATGATCGCCCTGTTCGCCGTCTTTGTCGTCGAGGTCATCGCTTACCGTGTGGGAAGCGAATTCGCCAACAAGCTCGCATACGACCCACATGCCGGCGGTCACCACCACGCCATCGAGCACGGCGGAAACTTCAATAGGCCTCGTTCTCACACTCACGCCGTTGCCAAGGACCTTTCCATCGATGATGTTGAGAACACGGCTGCTGTCGCTCCTGGCGGCTCCGCAGCGGAAGCTCAGATGGTAGCCGACACGGACTCTTCCACATCCACAGCGGTCACTTTCGGGGCACAAGCATCCGAAATCCTTGGTGTCATGATACTCGAATTCGGCGTCATCTTCCACTCAATCATCATTGGTATCACGCTCGGGACTACGGCTGATTTCACCGTTCTCTTCATCGTCATCATCTTCCACCAGATGTTTGAAGGTCTTGGTCTCGGTGCTCGTCTCGCGTTCTTGCCGATTGGCATGAAGTCATGGATTCCGACATTAGGCGCTATCGTATACGGTCTCGTTACGCCTATCGGTATTGCGATTGGTCTTGGTGTTCGACGCACCTACAACGGTGACTCGAGGACGGCTGCATACACTACCGGTATCTTTGACTCTATCTCGGCGGGTATCTTGCTGTACACGGGTACCGTCGAGCTTTTGGCACATGAGTTCATCTTTAACGAGAAGATGCGCAATGCTCCGTTGAAGAAGGTGATCATCAGCATCCTTGAGATGCTCACAGGTGCGGGTTTGATGGCTTTGCTCGGTCGATGGGCATAAGCATCTTTCTCTCGGCTTCCTTTTCACCATAGACACATTGCTTCTATTCTTGTGAGATACCTTCGGGTTGACATGAATGATCAGTCATGTAGATTAGACGTCATGGTCACGGTCACATTATACAAAAGGCGGGCTCTCAGCGCTCGTCACTCATTGCTTCAATTGCATACACTTTATTGCTTGCTTCTTTCCGTTGTGTGTGTCTACGCAAGTTCAGCTTGTTTGAGGTTGTCAACTCATAGAGTGTGTGAATTCACAAAGCACTCTCCATGTGACAACGCAATTCAAACCTTAATCCTTGACTTGTTTTGCTCGACGCTTTCAAGCTGTCAGCACAGTGTGACAGGAAGTGTACGACGCTTGTTGACTCTCCTCCTTTCCGCACTTGTCCTTTCCTCTCTTCCTCCTTTCCTCTCTTCCTCCAACCCGCAACATCTCTCTTCCGCCCCACCACCTCCACCCCCACCTCTCACCACACCACCATCATATAAAGTCTACATCAAGCTACGTACCACACTCATAACCGTTCCTCAACACGTTCTCCAGCAAAGACGTCAAGCAAGATGACTACCTCTCCTCCCCCTTCGGCTGCCACCGGCCTCGTAACTTCTCCTTCTGCAAAGTGTACCAAGCGCGGCCCTAAGATTCCCAAAACTCCTAAGACTCCTGTTAAAGCCGACGGCTCTTCTGCTACCGATCTCAACGCTCACACTCCTACTACTCCCAAAGTCAAGCGCTCTACCGCTTCTCCCGAGACCTCCGATTCGGCTTCCACCCCTAGCCCCCGCAAGAAGGCCGAAAAAATGGACGAGAGCACCAAAAAGGTCATCCTTGCGCTCAAGATGCGAGGAATGTCCACCAAGGAGATCGCAGCCGCTGTCAACGCCAACTATAAGCGGGTCTGGAATGTTATCGACAAAGCAGCCAAACAGGGAGCCAAGTTCGGCCCCACTGATGGAGCTGAGCTCGGCCAGCTCAGCGATACTGATAAGAAGAATGCTGCGTTGACCCTCAAGCTCCATGGCTGGAAGACCAAGGACATTGCCGACCTGCTTGACACGAAGTACAAGTATCTCTGGAACTTCTTTGACCAGTATCAGAAGGCTGCGGGTTTGCCTGGTGTCATTCAGGATCCTGGTCTTTAGGTGCATCAGCGAAGCCGCATCTAATCTTCATATCCCCATATCGCTGTGGGGAAACATCGAAGGAGAGTCAAGCCAGAATAGCTGTACGCTTGAGATTCCGCAGACTCTGCACTTCCACAGTGATATGAGGACCCTAAACGAATCCACGCGATGGCTTCCACCAAAACTCAATTCTCGTGCGTAGCACCCCTCGCCGATACGAATCGCTTCGACACCCGCTCATCATTCGTATACCTCGATATCTTCTCTAAGCTATCTCGTACCGTAACAAACAAACATGCATCGTTTTCGCTCCGTCAAGATTGGTTTCCGCACACTCAAACCAATCCGCATATTCAAAGCAGCAGCTCTTTCCTCAGAGTGCTTCGCGGCGTTGCAACAAACTCAAAGTTGCGGAAGTGAAGCTCAAGTGCGGAATGTCGAGCAATCGCGGGAACGGCAAGCGCTGCGGAAAAGGTCCGTGTCGACACGCGTGTCTCGACTCCTGCCCTTCGTCTTTGGATGATGCAGGAGCGAGGCTTGACCAACTTGGAGGTATATAGTCTCAACCCTTTGTCCTTTCCCCCCTCTGTCCTCTTCCTCCTTCTGCAACACTCCTCTCAACTCCTCTTTGCCCCTCCACACCAAAACAACTAGTCCAACGCTATCACCAGCCCTCATCGATACCAGACACGCTCAACATCATCCTGTCCCCACATACAATCCATCCTACGTCGACCATCATCGTCCACCCCATCAAGACCCCTCCCCGTCTCAGAGCATCAGACCTCTTCTCGACACATCAGAGAGGTAAGCTGGTCCTAACCACTCTTTATGAAGCTTTCCGTCTTCCTTCCGACCTTTAAGCTGATCATCGACGCGTCTTTCGGCTGGTCTGCCAACATCCTCACATCCCTGTTCGATCACCGTGAATTCGTCATCACCATCTCCCTCACGATCTTCCACTCTTCCTCTCGCTCGTGATGACATTCTTCGTCGGCGCTTCGCTTTACCCTAAGGTTCAGAAAGACCGCCTTCACTCCGAGAGCCCCGAACCCGAGATCTCTGATCCCACACCTCCTACATTCTACCCCACCTTTCACGCAGACACCGGTCGTCCTTCTCCCCCTGAATCTACAATCAAAGTCGTCGCTATGCACCGCAACAACACCGCGCATGACAAGGGCAGGTTCGATCTCCTCTCTCCTCCTTCCTCTGCTCCCACCTCCGGCGACTCCGCTAGAAGTCCCAAGAGACCATTCCGCAGAATGACCCAGGCGGAGCAAGACACAATTATTGCGCTCGCTATGAACGGCAAGAAAGCTCAAGAAATCGCTCGTACTCTCGGTATTCTTCCTAGAACCATCAACAGGCTCCTCAAGAAGCAGAGGGAGAAAGGTCTTGCTATTCAGAAAGAAGACGCTTGAGTTTGTGTTGCTCGTCTCACTCCCTCCGCTGCGGCTCAGAAGGAAGCGGCAAGAATCAGTTCGCTTTCCTTTCTTCCTCTTCGCTTTTGTATCCAATATCAAAGAGCATTAGGCTCGCTTTCCGCTTTCATGTCCGCATTTTCCGCAAGTTAGTGTACCTCTTGTATTAGTCCGCAATGTGATGTCATCCGCCGTCTTCATTTTCAAAGTAGCTAGTTGTTCCCCAAACCTTCTCTGACTATTCAGTGATGTGTGAAAGCAAAGCCTGAGCGGGTGAGAGAGGTGACATACCCACTACTGTACAAACTTTTGTGAAACCTAAAAGCGACAGCTTCACTAGACCGTGACAAGACGGAAGCCTTGTTTTCGACACGAGCCTTGTCGAACAGAGAGCTTGACTCCTTGAACAGCATGAAGTCGAGCTGCCGAACGAAGACCGACCAGCAATTGCTCGATCCCTATTATTTCCGCAGCCGACTCGCAGTGGAGCTTGTCGTTCCCGCAATCTGCAGCTGGCTTTCCGCAATTGAGTCCGCTCGTACAGCGAAAAAGCTCAAAGCGTTGAAGTGTACTTGTACTCAACCCTCCCTTTCCCCAACCCCCTTCCTTTGTCTCCTCATAACGACACTCGACTCCACACACCTCCACGCAACACTCGACTCCACACACCTCCACGCAACACTCGACTCCACACACCTCCACGCAACACTCGACTCCACACAGCACAACACGTCTCTTTCCCTCATCGAACACCTCACTTACCATCGCAATGATGTATTCAGTCGGTGCTTCGGCAAGTAAACTTGGCATGCATTGCAGCGATGACCTTGATCGGGAATCCACCATCGCTTCTTCGGACGGTCCCTTCCACGATGCTTCCTCCAACACTGGTACGGGGACCATCCATTTGCTTTCTGGCGATGAGTCGGACTTTGGCGAAGATCGCAAACCTTCCCCAGCACCCAGCTTCGATTCGGACGATGATATTGAAGTGATTGATGTTGTTCGACGTGGGTCTCCTCCCCCTCCATCCGCATTCGAAGACACCAAACCCAAGTTCGAAGACACTAAACCCAAGTTCGAAGACACCAAGCCTGCTCGTGGCCGTGGCGCCCCTCGTGGTCCAACTCAACGACTCACCGAAGCTATGCAAGCCCAAATCGTCTCCCTTCGCGAAGCAGGCTGGACCAACAAAGCGATCGGAGAACATATCGACCGCAGTCCGAACACGGTCAATTCTTTCCTTCGAAGCCGCAAGAAGAGGATCGAGGCTTTGATCAGTGATCTGCCTGGTTCCAGACCGATTAAAGGCCTTCCTGCTGCTGGACGATCGAGAGTGGCAAAGCAGGAAGATGTGGAGCCGAATGTGAGATTGTCAGTCCCAACTCCTAGAGCTAAAGCGACGACGAAGCGCGAGAGGGATACGGGTGCTGCTTTCGGTTTTGACCAGGAGGATTTGCTTGATGTTAAGCCGGGTAAGCGACCTAAGAAGGAGGAGCCCTTTTATGTATCGAAAGGGACAACGGGACGTGAATCCATCGCCTCATCTTAGACTGCGATGTGAGAGCCACGAACGTAGACATGTCGACAAGCAAGCAATGGCGAGGCAACGAAGATGAATGCCAGAAACCTTCGAAAGAAAAGAAACGAAAATTGGAAACAGGGAGCATCAAAAGAGCGTAACGGGCATGGTCAACAGCAATCCTGCACTACATCTCTACACCACCTCGGCGGTTACCCTTCAAGACAAACGCGAGCCTCAACCTCTCACGCCCTGAATCCCCCAGTCACACCGCCATCAAGAACGATATGGGTTGCAAGAAGCAGTAGAATACAAAGCGAAGCACGATCTCCTCCCCACCTACCATCAAATAGCCCAAGCAGCCCTCGCTCTACCCTTCCTCCACAACACATGCGCACCCCTCCTTGGCCCAAGCAAATACCCTCTGTCCAACTCGATCTTCATCGGCGTCACACCATCTCCCCCGTTCCCACCCCCATTCACCCCCGCCGAATCATCAAAACTCTTCCTGAGCCTCCTCACAGCACTAGGCCAAGCAAACACTGTAATTTCCTTTAACTTCTCCCCCAACCTCCCATCCCCTCCCGGCCAACTTCGCAAGAGATGCAGTGCCTCGATGAAGTCCTGCATATCACTTTCCAATTGAAACACATCTTCCTCCTGCTGTCGACTGATATCCGCATGTGCATTGCGCTCTTCTGCGCTATCTTCATCTTCGTCGCCAAACGTGGGAAGTTGGGTGGGCAACCATGTGCCTTGCCCGCTTTGGAATGCGGGACCTCTTCGACGTGTGACTAGACGCAGTTCGAGTTTTTCCAGACAAGGGAGAGTGACACGAAGCTCGCCAGCTGTAGCAGCGTCCATGCCGAATACGAGCAGTTCTAGCTCGCGCAAGTCTTCGAATGTTGGTAGGCTGAGGTAGGGGATGGTGGTGAGCTCGGTGCAGAGTCGGGTAGGTTGTGGACCCTTTTCGAGTCGGGATACTGTGCCGGTGTGTAGGGCGCCCATGCTGAATAGGTCCAGGCTTAGCTCTTGCAGGTATGGGCTGACGAGGAGCATCTGTTCTATGCCCACCGATAAAGGTCCATGATCAGCAAGGGCGGAAGGGCAGTATCCGGAAGCATCGAATTCGGAGCTGCCAATCTGCAAGCGACGGACGAACTTGCCCAGCGAAGGGTTGTGAAGTGCAAGAGTGACGCGGAAGGAGCGGAAGGATGCAGGTGTGTGGAGCGATACACTGTGGTACAGCTTGGGGATGATGAGGTTGTAGTATCGACGGGAGACGAGGAGGATGTTGGTTGGGCAGGAACGAGGTTCGGTAGGTGCAAGACTAGGGCAGGCGGCAAGGATGAAGATGTAGGAGATGAGCTCCTCGGGGAGCTGACGGAAGATGCAGCCTTCTCCGTTAGACGTCATTGTGAGAAGAGAGGCGTACGGGGAGGTAGAGGGATATGTATGCGGTGATCTGTCGTGGGATGATTCGAAGAACGACGTTGGAGGTTGTGCCGAGTTTGAGTTGACAGCAGGATCCGATGGCGTAGGAGTAGCACTGGCACCGACGAGTGTAGCTGCCCACCTCGCAAAGTTCCTCAATCCCTGTGCAACCCTCGTATCAAGCGCTTCGTACTTCAGAACGTTGACCAAGCTCGAAATTTCAGGATACACCGGTACCTCAATCCTCCTCTGCGGGTCAGTCACTGCGATCCAATCTCTCCTCTGCGCCGCAGTTAACAAAGTTGATCCAGCAGCAGTCGTTGTCCTTCTCCCCGAACCTCCTACACTTGGTCCGTCCTCCCTTTGCACTCGTCGATGCACAAAAGGGCTCAATACCCTACCCGACTGTGCGGCACTGTCCTGCGGCAAATTCGTTCCGCCAATCCCACCGCCGTTCCACTGCGTACTAGGCACAATAGGAGCTCCTGAAGGCCAAGTCGTCGACCCCAACAGCAGCAGATTCGCGTGCGAGTTTGCCAATCGACTCGCAAGCCTTGCTTGCAGCCTTGCGCCAAAGCAATCACAAAGTTGTTCCAGACCGTTCTTGAACCCAAGATAGATCAGACGGGAGATGATAAAGGCGGCTACTGCATCAAGAAGCAAGTACGAGACCGAGAAGACTAGCATAGGGACCCACATGCGGGGTAGTCTGATCCAGTTGGTTCGTTTCAAAAGGAAGATGATGAGGCAGTGATAGGCTGTAGTGTTGGTGGTGAGGGTTTTGGTGAACATGCTAGAGTCAGCATAGGCGCTGGCTCGGTTGTTGGTGAATCATGTATCGTAGCTCGAAGAAGAAAGGCCGCTCGAATGCAAAGTTGCGTTCACATGTCCACTGTTTTCGAGCTCGATGCTAGTTGCGCTCGTGTGGCACGTGTATGTGGGTTTGACGGAGGTGATGAATGAGATGATGGTGGGGTGTGCGAACAGAATGAATAAAGTGTGGTCACCGCCGTTGATGGCGCAAGATGGTAGCTCCAGCACAGCGGTCTTGTGCACTGACCCTGCATGTTAAGCAGCTGCCTGATAGCGCCGAAAGAATAGAGTCAGCTTTCCGGCTTTAACCAAGAGAATAGAAAAAAGCCGCAGAGCTCCACTTACTTATGGAGTTTTTATCTTTCGTGCGTGAATTTTTCAGCCGGACGATGTTATATCGGTTACACCTTACAAGATCAAGGGAAACGGCATTCCTGCGGCAGCCTGGATCCGAGAAAAGCGAGGAAGGAAGAAGCCTTACACTTGTGTCCGCGGCTAAGTTGATAATGCTGTCAGAAAGGACTATCGCCGGCGGCTGCGCATTCTGTGTTGGTGTTTTTTGCAATCGGAGCCTTTTTGCTCAACGTTCGTCCTTCTTTCACCACTCCATCGTCTTGCTCCTGCGACAACGAAAGGCGAGATGATGTCACATCTATTAACACCGCGCATGGCGCACGGGCTGCTGCTCGTTGGCGCCATTGCCCTTGCATCACTACCCACAACCCATGCACACGGACATCACACCCACGGACCAGCCGACAACTCAATACCCATCGATTCCATCCTCTGGATCCATATCGGCGTCCAAACTTTCGCCTGGTTCCTCCTCTTTCCCCTCGCCATGGTCTTAGGCATGGTTCGACATCGCCTCCACGTCCCAGTAGCCACTACCTCTCTCCTTCTCACCGTAGGCGGCTACTTTCTCGGCCACGGCCACAAAGGACGACAATTCCCACACACCGCACACGGAACCTTGGCCTCCCTTCTCGTCTTCTATCTCGCCGCACAAACCTTCCTCGGCATCTACCTCAAACTCCATCTCCAATGGCGACCTGAAAAATGGATCCGTCCCACCCTCGTCACTATCCACGGCATCCTCGGCAAATCCTTTCCCATCGTCGGCTGGGTCCAGATGGTGTTCGGCATCAGCACCCTCCAATCCTGGTGCTTCGGTGGACACCTCGGTCAGTGTCTAGCGCACTACATTATGGGATCTGCTTTCCAAGCCTACGCCGCGATTCTGGTGATTATGATGAAAGCGGGGGGTGATTGGCTCCAGAGGAGAGGACAGAGTCAGGAATGGTTTGATTCATGGGTGATCATGTTGTGGGGTATCGTGAATACATTTACCGAGCACCACGGTGGGCCTTGGACGCATAAGGATTTGCAGCATACGTTGATGGGCGCGTTGTGGTGGGCTGGTGGTGCGGTTGGGATTTGGTTGAGTAGAGGTGGGAGAAGGAATGTGTTCCCGTCGATTATCATTATTTCGACTGGGTGGGCGATGAGTGCGCATTCGCAGGCTTTGATGATTTCGACGATGGTGCACTCCTTATTCGGATATGCACTGATGGGGGCGGGTATTGCGAGGATGATCGAGGTCTGTTTTGTGCTGCAAGATCGACCTACCGGCAGTACACGGGAGACGCCAGACAGAGCGGTGAGGAGCGAAGAGGCAGTGAATGGAAGTTGGTATCCTATTAGGGCGTTCCAGTATCTGCCGCCGTATCTGTTGGTGGCTTCAGGGGTGCTGTTCATGTCGGCAACGGATGAAGAGTTGAGATGGGCAGATGCAAGGGGAGTGGATCACGCGACGTGGGGGTTGATCGATTTCAGTGCGAGTATGTTGATGTTCTTGTGGATCAACGTGCTGGTGGATCTATATGTGGGGTATGGTGGAAGGTATGGAGCTGCGAAGAGGTATGCATTGCTGGCGAGAGGTGGCGATAGAGAGGCTGAAGGGGTAAGCAGATCGATGTATTCAAGACTCAGTATGGGTAATGGGAACGGTGCAGCTCAGAGTGAGGATGCGACAGAACAGCTCGAGTTGAATGGATTGAATGGGAAGAGAGCTTTGCACGCCAGGAGAGACGAGGAAGAGGAGATGGAGCCAAGTCACGTGCTGTTCGATGAAGAGGATGAGGATCCCTTTGAGGAAAAGGAAGTTGATGGCGAGAGTAGCGCAAGTGGGAGTGGGAGCGGGGCTAGGGGTCGGATCCATCTCTAGGGATCCCACCTCTCCAGCATGGCGTCGTTTGTAACATATATCATACTTGATCAATGCGTCTTCTCACAGTCCCCATACTTCTGCAGACCTGTATCGGCAATGCGAGTGGAGAACGGAGCAGATCGGGGCGCATGTATCATCGGGGTGGGTGGCAAGAGAAGGCCGGGATGATATACAAGCGCAATGCACACCCAAAAACAACGTGCCCGACAAAAGAGCGAGAAAACTGACGCTCCTTTAGAAGTGCGTGGGTCTACTAGGCATCACCGATGTACAGTATCGGGTATCCTCCAACGGCGTGTTGCCGCCAAGGATCGCGCATTATCGGGAATTAGGCTATAAAAGAAGCAGAAGTGTGAGTCTATAAAGAAAACAGAGCTCGAATGTGCAGCCTCTATCGCTCTCAAAGAAAGGCCAAAGAAAGGCGATTTTCAAACGGTGGCGATGGAATTTCGCACGGGCGTCACTTGCAAGCCAACGTCACCGCTCTATCACAGCCAGGAAAGGTGAGAGACTTGTCTCTCTCTGAAAAAAGGTGCAACAACGGCGCTTGGTCGAGCCAATTAAACTGCTCGCACATTTGCGTTTTTCAGTCGCTGCCACACACGCTCGCGCTCCTCACTCTCTCGCTCAGACCCGCACCGCAACCGCACCGCATCGCACCGAGACTGTGTAAACATCACTCTTTCCTTTGCTACATCAGTCAGAATTACCGACAACGCTATCTACGCAGAAGCAGAGGCAAGCTACAAGCTACAAGCAGGCGCTCCTTCAACCACTCTTGCCAGGCAGCGCGCACTGATCCAGCTGTCAAAGCTTCGGACCGCCCCACCACATCAACTCTCCAAGACGCCGAGCGAGCGAGTATTGTCCCTTGAGGTCGCAGCAAGCTACTCCCAGGCTGCATTGCTAATCGGTCAAAGCTCACAGCCTCTTCAAAGGGCTTCATCATCGGCTGCTGTTGTCAACAAGCTCCGCATCAGACTGCCGCCAGGTCTCGAACAGGCTGAATTTTCAACACACGTGAGGTCACGACCCGAGGCACATCTTCTCAGTCATGACAGCACCCTCCTCTAGACTGCCTAACAACGGCAGCAGTAGCAGTGTAAATAGCTCCACCACAGCACCTGTCGCATCAGCCGCAGCTCCTGCTTCACAACACCACCCGCATCACCACCATCATCACCACCACCATCACCATCATCACGCTCATCACATCACCGACCCAGCTCGTCGCAAGAAGAAGCATCTCCCTGCCCAGCTCGCCCAGCTGCAGCTTGAGAACGAGGAAGATGACGCCAACAACTTCATCTCTTCCTCCCGCGATGCTTCAGAAGAGGACAATGATGATCAGGAAGAGACTTTTGATGACGACGCTTCAATCGCTTCGCTGCGTCACCACCAGCAGGGTGCAAACACAAGCTCGCTCTCCAACGTGCCCACCTCTTCGTCGCTGTCCTCCATCCCGCCCAATGACCGAGATCAGGCTCTGATCGACTCTGCAGCGCTTCATCAGCCATCCAAGCTCCAACAGCAGCTCAAGCCTACTCCTGCACTGGATGACAGGACGCCCGCCAGCTCAAGCCCGCCTCGAGTTGCCGCAACATCAGGTGCTGCTCCTCTCGCAAGCGGTGCTGCTGGCTCGTCTCGTTCAGGGCAGCCCTCTGTGCAGCATGGCTTTGTCTCTCCACCCGCCGCCCAACAGCAGGCACAATCGAACACAGATCGCAGGCGTGAAGCTTCCTCGGACGATGAAGAGCGATATGTCCGTCCCTCTGTCGGTGTAACGCTCGCGAATGCTAGTGCCACTCTCTCCGGGAGCTCCTCGACTGAGCTAATGCCTAAGGTTGTGGCCGCACAAAGGCAGCAAGGCGCAGCAGAAGGTGTCTCCAGCAAATCTGCGAAAGCCGGTGCTGGAGCCAACCTCAACCTCGGCTCGCTTCCGCCTCCCTCAGTTGATGGTGTTGCGGCTTCGCAGCCATTGTCTACTGTCAAGCCTCAGGCCGACAACGCCGATCCTTTCTCGCCAAGCAGCGGCTCTGGTATTGCGAACGCTTTGTTCGGCAATGCTGCTTCGTCGACACCAAAGGCGAAACAAGCTCAAGACACTGCGGCTGCTCCAGCGCTCGACCCTTCAGTCCTTGGTCAGACCGTGGCTGGTGCCGGAGTGTCGGCTGCTTCCAAGCGCAAGACATCTGCATCGCACTACGCTTTGAACGCTACTGCACGACGAGCTGAGCTCAAGGATGGCACAGCCGATGATGAAGCTGATAACAATACCGATGGCGGCACTCCATACGATGGCGATGTCGAATACGCTGCTCGCACACCTGTCTCCACTCTAGTTGGTGCTGGCTCTTCCACTGTCGGCGGCGCTGCTCGCGAATCCTCGGCCAAAGCAGCCACAGCAGCGATAAAGAGCACCGCCCCAGTCCCCGTTTGTTCTCGCTCCTACATCCAAACCATGAAGAGCCGTCACGCAGACTGCCACCCGCAAGGCGACGCTTTCGAAGAAGGCGGCTTCCAACCATCTTCCATCCCCTCCGCTGAAGAAATCCAAGCCTGGGTCAACGAAGCCATATTCAACCCCGACCCTCAGCGCGACTACTCCATCAACCCACCGCCCAAACGCTACGACACGGAAGGTCGAGAACGACCCATCCGTATCTACGCCGACGGAGTCTACGATCTCTTCCACTACGCACATGCTCTTCAGCTTCGTCAGGCCAAACTCTCGTTCCCTTCCGTCCACCTCATCGTTGGTGTCGTAAGCAGCTTCTCATGCGGCAAGCACAAGAACAAGCCCGTGCTTACAAGTCAGGAACGCTACGAATGCGTCAGGAACTGCAGATGGGTGGATGAGGTGCTGGAAGACGCACCTTGGGTGGTGGATCAGAATCTGATCGATACGTTGGAGATCGATTACATTGCGCACGATGACCTGCCATATTCGGATATCGGAATGGAAGATATCTATGCGTTTGTGAAGAGACAGGGAAGATTCTTACCCACGAAAAGGACGGATGGTGTTTCGACGTCCGAACTTTTGGGTAGGATTGTCGAGGTGTACAGAGAGGGAAGTTTGGATGGAAAGCTGGCAAAGATCGGGCTTGAAGTCTTGACTTCTACGCATGAACTGAAACATGCTTAACGCTTTTGGTGTGACATCAAAGCCATTCGTTCAATTGATTCGTATCACACAAAGGCTGCTATGAATGTAGTTTGAGAAGGCGTCTTGTCTGCTGAGATCTGACCGCGGAATACAAGCTTCCATGCTCTTTGTTCCGAATTCCGCGATAGTGAACCAGAATTTTCGCACGAAGTGTAGAGGCTCAGACCCTCCGTATTCCCCTTCAACACCCTACTCCATCCTCTCTCATCATACCTTTCTCTCATCTCACACAAGTGTGGCTCAAAAATGCCAACGCGAGGAGGCGCAAGAGGAGGAGCAGCCGAATTCAGCTGGGACAAGGTCAAAGAGTCCAAAGATCGCGAATTCTACCTCGGCAACTCAGTAGCCGCCCCAACAGGGCGATGGCAAGATGGCCGAGATATCAACTGGTACAACAAAGATGCATCTACTTCCTCCTCCGCAGCTGCAGATGAAAGAAGGGAAGAGCTAAGAAAGATCAAAGAGGCAGAAACTGCCGCGCTATATGCGAAGCTTGGGAAACCGCCTCCTGCGCCAAGGTCGGATGATGGGTTGGTGAAGGTGGGGGAGAGATTGGCGAGCGGGTCGGCGGGGGCGGTAAGGAGGGAGGCCACGGGAGCAAATGGTGCGCCGCTCGAAGGTAATAAGTCGAGAACGTGGGGAAAAGGAAGCGAGGAGGCGGAGGAGCTGTCGGAAGCGGATAAGAAGCTGGCGACAAAGTTTGCAAGGAATGAAGTCAGGAGAAGGCGTGCTGAAACTGGTGAGGATAATGGCGAGAGGAGGAGGAGTAGGAAGGACGAAGAGAGTCGTCATCACTCTAGCGGTAGAAGGCGTCGAGATGATGATGAGGACCGGGAGAGACGGCATGGTAGGTCTCATCGACACCGCGACAACGAGCTAGAAGAAAAGGAGTCGAGAAGACATCGTCATCATCACAGCAACAGCCGAAGAAGCCGCAGTCGCAGTCGCAGTAGGAGCAGATCTCCCGAGTCAAGCAGCTATCATCGACACCGCCATCACAGACATCGATATGACGACCGCCACAGATCGAAGCATTCGCGAGAGAAGGATGCGGAAGATACGCAACACCGCTCTTCATCTCATCGAGAGCCAGATCACGGTCGCTCGCGACAACGGTCTGACCAAGACTGAAGCTCTAGCCAACATAGTTAGAACAGTCATTAGGCACACTATACCCAATCGATTCCAATTCACACAGTCTCCTTATATACTGCTTTGCCTGCTGTGAGAGACCATGTTCCTGCTGAAGATTACGATCCAGTCCGATGCTAAAGGATGACATAGATCCGATCTGATCGGGGATCGGGTACAACTGTGTCCCACTCGTTGTTGTACTTCGTCATTAGGTAGGATGTGCCCATTCCTGGGCATGTGCCGTATCTTTGTATATATATATCTAGCGGGGAGCTCGAGGCTCCCGCCACATTCTTTCCTGATGTCAATATAGTATAGTGTTTTGCTCTTTAGCTTGAACACCGTACTTAGACTGATATCTCCCGATCTTCGTCGCTAAGTGTCTCTCCATTCATCAGTTCCAACGTTATGAGCTTCATGCGAGAAGAATCGAACCGTCGTGTAAATTACGGCTCTTGATGGCAGGGCACGCGTTGAGTTTTGGACGGCGTGATTTTTTATCGAAGGTGTTGTTGACAAACTCAGCCTCCACACGACCAGACCATTACCATCATCACATCAGTCTTGACACCTTAGCTTCTGATCTTTCCGACGTTCGCAGCTCCATCGCTCAACCAAGCTGGACCCTCAACCAAATAAAAAAACCTAGACAGACCTCTGGCTGCTTTAGGCTGCGTCGCACGGCCCCGAAGAACGTTACACCATGGCCTCGTAGCATTCTTGGAACCATCCTCCTGCTCCATTTGACCGAACCCCATCTCGGAAAGGGACACTGCATCATGGCATTGCCAAGGGAGGCAGCTCGCAGGTACGATGCATTGGCACCCGCTGCATCGTCTGTCTTTGCCTCGACGTCAACCGCTGGCTCCAGCTCAGCGCCTTCGTCAGATCCTGCAGCACCTTCTGACTCCACAACACCTAAAGAACACTTACTCCCCGATCTCCCTACAGGCGACGATGGCACCACCTTATCAGATAGAGCTCCATCACTCAAGCTCCCAGAGCCGACACACCAGCCAGTACCAACACATACGAACCTTGAAACCGCAGTACATAGCAACGGCCCACCACCATGGCCGACAATCACCTACAAGCACCTCCTGTCCGCTGGCACACTCAACCCGACCAACCCTCTGCGTGTCGTTGCGCACTGCGACGTCGATGCAGCCTACGCGCAATTCGAAGCATCTCGTCTCGGGCTTGATGCCGCAGTAGTACCAATAGCAGTACAGCAATGGCAAGGCCTCATTGCAGTCAACTACCCAGCTCGAGACGCTGGAGTATCACGATTCGAGAGCATTCCAGAAGCACTGAAAAAATGCCCTGATCTGCATCTCGTCCATGTTGCCACCTATGCCCACGGCAGCAACAAGGCTAACTACCATTCTGATCCGAAACCGGAAACACACAAAGTCAGTCTAGACCCCTACCGTAGGGAAAGCAATAAGATCTTAGCTATCTTCAAAAAAACCTGTCCACATGGTGCCGTGGAGAAGGCTAGCGTTGACGAGTCGTATTTTGATCTTACGATTGAGGTACGCAAGCTGATGATCGAGCGTTTTCCGCATTTGAGCCAACCACCGCCGGATGATCCGGTGACGGGGATGAAGGGAATGGATCAGCCGTTGCCTCCGCCGCCGAGGTTGGGGCTGAAGCAATGGAAGCAGCTTGGATATGTGGTGCCGAAGTCGGGTGATGTGGGCAAGGCAACGGGCATTGGAAGGCCAGAGAAGGCGGTTGCGAAGGGAGCGTTGCTTGTGGATGCACCGATCGGAGCGGGGATTGTGTCAGAACCTTTACCGTCGCTTGCTGAAGACCCGAACAACCCTTCGTCAAAGCTGGATAGGCAACCGCAAGGAGAGGAAGAGAAGTTTGCTGAAGCCAAAGACAAGCAAACTCCTTCATCGTCCTGGAGTTCAGACGACCGCGTCACAGATCCATCTTCGAGCCAACCCGGCGATCTCGACTCCGAAGCAGCACTCTGGGACCGTATCGAATACGGCGAAACCACATGGACTGATGTTGCACTCGCTCTCGGTGCTGAATTGATGAACCGCGTTCGTCAAAACGTACTCGACGAGCTAGGATACACTACCTCAGCAGGCATCGGATCCAACAAAACTCTCTCCAAGCTATGCTCTTCTTGGCGCAAGCCTAATGGACAGACCATTATGCGGCCCTGCTCTGTCGCCAACTTCTTCTCCTCGCTTCCCTTCCAGAAGATCCGTTTTCTTGGCGGCAAGCTAGGCAACGCCATGGGTGTGGAATGGAACTCAGCAACTGTTTCGGATCTATGGAACGTGACGCTGGACGAGATGCAAGCCAAGCTCGGAGAAGAAGCGAGATGGGTCTACAACGTGCTGCGCGGCATCGACTATAGCGAGGTGAGGGAGAGAGTGAACAATCAGACCATGTTAGCGAGCAAGTCGGTGAGACCGGCGATCACCAAACCGGAGGAAGCTATGCACTGGTTGACGATCCTAGCGACTGAATTGGCGATCAGGTTGCGGGAAGCGAGAGAGGATAGAATCAATCTCTGGCCAAAGACGTTAGTGCTTAGGTATATCAGAGCTGGATCTGTGCCGCGCAGTCGACAAACAGCTTTTCCCTTTACGAACACGACCAGTCAGGATGAGCTGGCGAAAGCCATTCTCAAGAAAGGTCAGAAGCTGTGGGAAGAGTCTCTGGGCGATGCGTTAGGGATCACTGGAGGCTCAGGGTTTGCAGGAGAGGCGAAGGTGTTGACGATAGCCCTGGGCTTTGGTGGGCTAGCTGAAGGTGAGGTTGGTCAGCGAGGCATCGCGGGCTTTCTGGGGTCAACGAGCAACGCTGCACCGAGCTCCACTTGGATACCATCTTCGACGTCAGCGTCGACAGGACCGGCGGCAGAAGCTGGGTTGGAGGAACCGTCTTTGCCTCGCAAGAAGAAGAAACGCAATCGACTTGATCAGATGTTCCAAACGCAAGCCAAACAACTAGAAGCTACCCAGCAGCGGGAGTCGCCGAAAGGGTCAGAAGCAACAACACCAAATAACCTCAACGAGGACAGCGCTGTTGACACCAAGGCGGCAGATGGCTCAGCACAAGAGAGTGCCAACCCAAAGCAAGAAGACGCATCAGCGGCATCGGGAACTGACGATCGGGAAGAAGCTCCCCCACAATGGCGTTGTCCCGAATGCTCGCAGCTCATCGTTGCACCTCCCGATTCAGCCTGGTTCGAAAAGCCGTATCTGATAGAAAAGCTCAAAGACGAGCATCTCGATTGGCACTTTGCTGTGTTACTTTCCCAGGCTCCCCCTCATCCATCATCATCGTCATCATCCGCCGCTGCTGCGTCTCAACCGGCATCGGCAGCCAGGAGCAAAAAGAAGCGAGTGTTGGACAAGTTCTTTACGCGACGGTAAATTGAAGATCTGCAATTGGTCACGATATTTGGGGTCTGCCCTCTTATTTTTCTTCTTGTCTCGCCCGTTTCTTGCTTCGCGTGGCCAAATGAGATTGAAACTCAGCAAGCTATTGTGTCCTCGCGATCCTGTGTCGCCACTCTACTCTCAGCGAGACCTTTTCACGAAACTTGGCGCACGGATTGGGACCATGAACAGATGTGAAAAGCATTGTGTCGATCAACAGCGATCCACTTGTGTCTCGCTTAAGAAAACAGATTGCCCTGCAACAGTTCCCTGCCGAGATGATCGTATATTGGAATGGTGGCAAGCGAGATTAGATGATCGATCTTGGTCACTTACCCCGCCCCGCACTGATCCGCCTCATCTTTGCTTGAGGCCGGACAAAGATGTTGCGGATGATCAGCTTTGCACACCTTCGAACGGCATAGCAAGCAGTCGCCGGTTTCTTTCACACGAGGCTCACTCTTCCGCTCGAAAAGTACAGGGGTTCCTAACCCTAAGCCATGATCGGAAGAGCCTCACGCACGAAGACAAAGGAGTGCGATCGGCCTTGGCAGCATGTACTGCTTGGCTAAGGAGGGACAGGGGAAGCATTTATCCTCCATTGCCGTTTCGATCGGATTCGAACCCAACACAGGAGTGAGCAGCGAGGGAGCAGGATGTATGGAAAAATGGCAGGAAGCAACGTCTTAAAGCGGCGGAACCCATTCAATTAGTAGATCCGTGCTTGCACTACAGTATATGAATGTGCTGAATAGCATTCCAAAGCCCAGCGCGGGTTTCGAAGGTGGCTGTCTTGCCAAGGCTACAGGTGCCGCACCTATTGTTTCTTATGATAGCACGATAGAGAGAGCAGACTTGACCTTCAACAGGTCTTACACACAGAGCACTCTCGCAGGAGTGTCAGTCAGTACTGTAGTGACTTGGAATGTGAGCGAGGAGAAGCATGAATGGCAGCAGAGAAGTGGCAAGAGGAAGCAAAAAGCGAATTTCGAATTTCTTCGCTTTCTCAGATTGCAGAATCGCGTGGTCCAAGCGAACTTTTGCTTTTCTCTTTTGTCCCATCGCTCTCCCGTGCTTATGCTGGCTGTGTCCCCTTGGGCACCTTCCCACTCTTTTCGCGCCACCGCAGAAGCTGTGCTTCCCGCCCCTCTCTTGGCTGTTGGCTGTCGCCGAGAAGTCACATTGCGCCCACAAACCTTCGATTCACTCCGCCGCCCACCCACAGGAGAACAGCAAGGAAGCACAGAAGCACGCCCGCGCTCCCTTGTGTGTGATTTCTTCTTTTTCTTCCTAGATTGGGGGGTTTTTTTTTTTCTCCTTTTTTTTTTTTTTTTTTTTTTTTTTTTTTTTTTTTTTTTTTTTTTGCCGCTCTCTATTCTGTCACACTATCCACTGTGCCATGTCAAAGGGGAGAAAATGAACAATGGTCGCGGCTACCGGAGCAAAGCACGCCCAACTCCCATCCCTTTCTGCTCGTCGGCCGCCTGACTCCATGTGAACGAAAGTGTGAAGGGCAAAAGCAAAAGCTAAAGCAAAAATCAAGGGTTCATCCCTCGTAGTGCTGATACGCTGTGCTTTGCTGCGCCGTGGCCATGTGCCTGCAGCTAGTTGAGAATTGGCTCCCCGATGACTGCATCTCTCCCTCTCTCTCCCTCTCTCTCTCTCTCTCTAGCTCTGTTGCGTAACACGTTTTGGGGTCGCCGTAGGAGCCTGCATTAAGCTGCAAGACTACTCTAAACCCTCTTCTCGCTTCGTGATCTCGATCTGCAAATTACTGCATTCCTTTTGTGACAACAAAGCCTGTCGCACATCTAATCCCAAGATCTGCTCTTGATTTTGCGTTGACTCAGCTATATCTCACCAGAACACATCATGGGAGATCCATTGGAGCACAAGAGGCTGGTGCTGTGATGCGAAAAGGGTGAGAAGAAGGCGCAGTGAAAAGAGGGTCCAAATGTTTCATGCTATAGCTTGGCATCGGCAGGTGCTTCTGCATTCAAGAGTCCCGCGGTCCACAACCATGTTACCGCTTGTTAGTGCTGCTGACACGAGCCCCATCACGAGCGAGCCATGTGCGATCAGGGAAGAGTTCGGTCGGTGGATGTTTTGGTCCCTTTCCCTCCCCCCTTGTCCTTTCCTTCCGTTCAGAGTTCTTCCTGAAACACAAGAGTCCGCAAGTTCTACTTTCCCGCCCCGACACTCACCCTCCTTTGCTCAACTGCTTTTCTCAGCATCTTCTCAATCCTCGATTTCTCCTCCCGCCTGCGCAGCTCCCTTCCGCTCCGTTCGCTGGCGGAATAATGTTGTGCGCAGAGTCTACAGAACCAGGCTTGCTGTAGCTCTTCTGCACGGCGTTGCTCTTGCCATATCCCATTTCCTGGTCAACAGCCGTGACATGCAGCATTTCCTCTGTCCACGCCACAGTTTTGTCCGGCCTAATCTAGGCGTGGAAACGCAATCTTTTCGCAGGGACATTTCGACCCAGCTGGGGCCCACCCTCACTCTATGTTGCCTACAGGGCGGATAGATTGGCAGATACCGACATGCCGCCCTCTCTTACCCCCTTTCTCCGATCCGATCTGTACTGTAACGCAGGCACGCCTGAAGCCAGGAACCCTAAACATGCCCCTCTCCGTTCGCAAAAACATCTAGCACAGCGTTAAGCATGAGCGGTTCCTAATGCTCTGTATACATGTATAAGTACGCTCGCTCTTTCTGACAGACCACGGATCTCCGTCCACCCAAACAACCCCTTCCTCATCATACCACCACCGTACTCTCTGGACTCCTCCTCTGCTGGCCAGAGTAGTGTCCCTATACCTCTCTACACGTCTATACCAATATCATCACAATGAAGTACTTTGCTCTCCTCCTCTCCGCCCTTCTCTCGGTTGTCGCTTTGATGCCCCTCTCCGCGCAAGCTGCGCAACGAGGTCTCGCATGGGGCACCAATGACAACTGGGGCTCCAGTATCGCTAAAGGTCTCATCACCTGGTATTGGCACTGGCAAGATGGTCCTAACTCACGCTTCAACGGTAAGCTCGAGTTTGTTCCTTGCTACTGGGGTCCTAAGTACAACTCGCAATGGAAACAGCGAAAGCAGGAGATGAACGCCAACGTTCCCAAAGCTTTGCTCGCATTTAACGAGCCCGATATTAGCGGACAGTCGAGCCTTGATCCTACCACAGCTGCTAACTTGTGGATGCAGGAGATTCAGCCTTGGAAGAAGAGGGGAGTCAGGCTCGGAAGCCCTCAGATCGTCTGGAACCAGGATTGGTTGCAGTCGTTCATGAACATTTGCAAGAGCAAGGGTTGCACTGTTGGTAAGTACCTTATACCTGCAAACTGACCTTTATCTACCATGCAATAAGAGACTAACTTTTCAACCTTACATCCTGTGCTCTTAACTACATGCAGACTTTATCGCCATCCACTGGTACGGTCGCTGGGACGACATGGCAGGTTTCAAACGCTACGTCACTTCCATTCGCAACCGCTTCAACCTCCCCATTTGGATTACCGAGTACGGTGTCACCTCTGCTTCCGGCGGCAGCCAACAGCAGGTCAAGCAATTCCACATGGATGCTACCAACTGGCTCAACTCGCAGTCGTACGTCGAGCGCTCTTCCAACTTCGGCAGCTTCTCTTACAATTCGCCTCCTGATGCCTACGGATCGCGTCTCAACGCCCTCTTCAACGGTGACGGTAGCTTGCGTGATATGGCTTACTGGTACATTTGGACTTCGGCTCCTCAGCGTCGTAGCGTCAGGCTCAACTCGACGGCTGAAGACGACTATGAGGAGACCAAAATGGATATCCCTGTCCAGGAGAAGCCTGCAAGCTTCAACCACTAAGCTCCCTTCCGCATTCGGGTTACAAAATTGACTTTAGGCCCCCCTTTCTCGGTGTCGGGCCTAGCCATATCTTTGCTTCGTCTCTTTTCGATGCGTCCACATCGAGGCTGTGGATGTCATTCCTGTATTTGTTCTCTTTCACTGTCATGGGTTTCATGTTTCAAATTGCATTCTCTCTATCTTTCCTTCGAGTGTCCTGTGTGTGAGGCTCAAGTTCGAAAGTTTGAGGCTGATGACAGCTGTCACAAGCGCCACCAAACCGCGGTCCCCTCCCGCCAAATTTGTTACCCTTCCCATTGCTAACATGCTGAAATTTTTTGGATAAACCAAATCGGCTGAACTGAGTTGAGAAAGAAAAGCGCCACAGCGACGGGCGGCCGCGGCAATATAGAATGCCGTACAATGTAGCGTAGGTCACGGGACCGGAGTTTTGACCGGCTCCATATTTTTGCTCCGGGTGTACACATGTCAGGCTGCCGGCAGATGCAACCCTTTCCACGCATTCAGATGGTGCGTCGCTTTGCTCCATCACCTCCTTCGACTCTGAAGCATCATGTCAGAAGAGGACGACCATCGCCGTTGAAGACCGAGGTCGAAACATAGACGAGACATGGAGGCCAGACGGACGTAAACACCTGCATTCAAGCTTCATTCCGTCAAGCTCATCGACTTCCGAGCCGACATCACACTTAACATACCTGGTCAACACAATCGACATCTGAAAGACTTTCCCTACACATCCGATAGGCTCAGCTCAACCCTCTACACCAAAGGCTGAGTTTGCTACCTCGGCAAGATGGCAACTCGAATAGAAAACATCAGCGCAACTCGCACCCCACCTGCCGAGTCCCACCACCCCAACCTCAGCGCAACTCAGGCCGAAAAGCAAGTCGATCTCTCAACAACAACCAATGTCAACCTCTCCGACTCCCAATTTACCATCCCAGAAGGCGGTTACGGATGGGTCAATGTAGTATGCAGCATCTTCCTCAATGCCGTAACCTGGGGAGTCAACACTACGTTCGGTGTTTACTTCTCCTACTATCTCCAAAACGACTATTTTGCAGGTGCGACTCCGATGCGATACGCCTATGTCGGAGGACTCTCCGTAGCATCATGTATGCTTGTTGCTCCGTTTGTGAATTTGTTATGGCGGTCCAGTGGATGGTTTAAAACGCCGTTATATTTGGGGATGATTTTCATCAGTCTCGGTCAGGTCGGTGCTGGGTTGTGTAAGACGTATATCCAGCTTTTGTTTACACAAGGGTTCGTATTTGGAATTGGGTTGGGGTTGACGATGATTCCAAGTCAGCCCTTGTTGAGTCAGTGGTTTAGGAAGAAGTTGAGTTATGCTCAGGGGTTAGGCGCTGCTGGGAGCGGGTTGGGGGGATTGGTGTTGGCAAATACAACGAGGTATCTCATCGCAAACAAATCGCTCGAGTATGCGCTCATTTGTAACGGGATCGTATCCTTCGTCGTCCTCCTTCCTTGCATTACGCTGATGAAGAGTACAGAACCGCAAACACTTCGGTTCATCCCTTCGAAACACCGCAAGATTTCCTCGATATCAGCAGGCACAACAGCAGCAAAGATCAGAAAGAATCCGCTCGAGCTCAAATGGATCGTCCACCCAGGCTACGCTTTCGTTTTGCTCTTTGGAGTGTTTTCCATGATCGCATATTTTGTCGCACTCTATTCCCTCGCAGCCTTCGCATCCTCTGGTCTGGGATTGACGCAGAAACAAGCTTCGACACTACAATCGATCCTCGCAGCTGGACAGATGATCGGTCGCCCCCTCTGCGGATTGTCGCTTGATATATTCGGCAGACATCCCTCCGTAATCACCATTCAGATTTTGGCCGGGATTACTTGCTTTGCTTTCTGGCTCCCCGCACGCTCGTTCGGGCTATTAGTTGCGTTTGCCATCACTCAAGGCTTGTTGGGTGGAACGGTCTGGTCGAGTGTCGCACCCATCTCAGCAGAGGTGGTGGGGATCAGAGACCTCCCCTCAGCCCTGGCAGTGTTCTGGCTGGCGATGGTCTTCCCCAGTCAATTCGGACAACCCATTGCGGTAGCCCTGATCAATTACTCGAGAGATCATTTGGGAAGGCGAGGTGCGGATACCTATCTGATTTCGATCGGATTTTGCGGTGCTTGCTTTGTGGTTAGTGGTGTAATGCTCTGTTTTAGCTGGATATATGTAAGAGCGAGGAATAGGAAGGAGTTGAAGAGCGCTGTGCCATGTGCAGAGCGACAAGTGTCGCAGCCGGACACGGTCGAATCGGCGAAAACATAGGGTGGGGTCGAAAAGGCTTGATGCCAAATCAATCGTCTATTCTCAACCTGATGCATGGAATCAATCGCACATCGCATATCCTCACGATCACCGCAAGAGTGTGACAACAGCGTGTGGCTGAGTTGAGTGTGAAGGATAGTAAGAAGGTGTAGGGAGGGGAAAGAAAAAAAAAGAAAAAAAAAAAAAAAGGGAACTGCAGCACCGAGGATTCCCGCGTGGTCCCCCACCGCAGTACTGACTAGGCGATACCTTGCTTAACTTCGCAGATCGGACGGGATGCGGTGCTTTCAAGGTTCTATGGCCGCAGATGTTATTAAGACCGGCAACGCCATACATTTGGACACGCGTTCGCACAGATATGCATCGATGTGATGTTCGAAAAGATGCTGGAGACTAAAGAGAAAGCCGAAGTAGCAACCTGTCGGATAGCGGAATTATTCTGTTTAACATAGCTTTTTAACCTACCGAAGATCTTCCTTCCGAGTCCTTCCGTTTTGCCTGCCGCTGTCGTCGGCTATACGCACGTTATAACACAATAGTAAGCTGCGATTAGAAGCCGAATCGTGTGAGGTGTTCCTGCAAAGGTTTGAACGGCGATATTCTCTGGAGCTAACCGACCAATCACGGAGCCCCACACTCCGTTGCTTCTCGCCACCAACCAACGCGTCACTAGCGCCAGAAGGTCTTTCTATGCATGACGGCGTGCATGATAGAACCATTTCGAAATCTCCGTCTGAGATCACAGAGTACAAAGCTTCGATTGCTGTCACACTCGGTGACAGATAGGCGGCCGTCGGAAGCGTTTTACCCTTTCTTCATCAGACCGGATAGCTCTTGGGAAAAATTGGCAACTGGGGTTGAGTGTTGGACTCGGCTATCGTTCGATTCAGCGCCTTCGACCGTCGGTTGACTGGCAGGAAAGGATTTTAGTCCCGATATGGAAGCTGGTTCAAGTTGTTGGAACCGAAGACTTTCTGCCTTGAAGAATTGCATTATCACCAACTACAACGATCAGAACAACGTAGAGCAGTGTTGGTTGGGGTCGAATCAGCAAGATGGTCTACCGGATCTGAATACGGAGAATTAATACGTGGTGAATGGGCTGAATAGCTGGGTGAAGGGTTTGGTCGGGAACTACTCAGCCGATGGACTTAGGGTCGACACGGTGAAGCATGTGAGCAAGGACTTTTGGTTGGGCTTCAACTCGGCCTCCGGGGTGTACTGCACGGGAGAGGTGCTTTCTGGTGATCCGGCGTATGTTTCTCCGTATCAGAGCGTCATGGATGGATTGATCAGCTATCCTCTCTTCTGCCCACTAACCCATGCCTTCCAGAAGCCGGCGCAAGGCTTCGGAGAGCTCAAAAACATGATCAACACCATCCGCTCCCAGTTCAAAGACCCCTTCCTCCTCACCAACTTCCTCGAGAACCAAGATCAACCTCGATTTCCTTCTCTCACCTCTGATCGGGCGCTGGCCAAAAATGCAATCACTTACATCCTCACCGGTGACGGAATGCCCACCACCTACTACGGACAGGAACAGAGCTTCAACGGTGGAAACGATCCGTACAACCGAGAAGCCTTTTGGACGTCGAACTACAACACCAACAGCGAGATGTATCTGCATATCAGCAAGGTGAACAAGCTTCGTAAAGCGGTGGAAGGACTGGGTAGTGGAAACCCATCACGACGCCACTGACGAGTGTGCACGATGATAGGAAAGCGGGGATGGTTGTAGCGTTGAGTTCAGGGGGTAGTGGAGCGGGGGCGCAGAATCTGTATGTGAACGCGGGAAGCTTGCCGAACGGTCAATTGCAGGACGTGGTTTCGTGCAGGACGATCAACGTGGGATCAGATGGAATGGTTGATATTCAGCTGTAGGATGGTCAGCCGGCGGTGTTTTATCCTGTTAGTGGACCCACTGGTTCGGGCATCTGTGGTCGCTGAACTACTCGCACTTGACAGCACTGTAGGCTGTCACATAGAGAAGTGATTTCGAACATGGAAGACAATGACTGTGATCAACGCAACAATGGTATAATGACAGTGAAAGAATGCAATTGTATACCCTCTCCTACTCCTCCTTCTTCGCCCCGATGCAGTCTTGAGACTTGCAATACCCAGCACTATGCTCAAAGAAAACCGGATCACCACCACTTCTATGCTCCGCCTCGCACTCCAGATGACACCTCGAATACAGCGCGCAAGTGAGCTGACCTTGAACGAAAGTGTTTTTCTTCGCTTCTGGTTTCTGAGCGAATACCTTCTTCCGTTTCAGCTCTTCAGCGTCCCCTCCTCCCCTCTCCTTCTCCGCATCCGTCTCTCCTTCCTGCTTCTCCTCCAACCCACGGTTGACGAGCTTCAGCGTAGGATGATCGAGACTGAAACTCTGCTGATAAAGATTCACAAACACGCACCCTTTCGTCTCGTCACATGCCCTTAAACACTGCGATACACTTGTTACCATGCCCCAATGTAAGAAGCTTTCCGGATCTGAGACGACCGACCCGAACGATTTTCCCCCATACGATTCCAATGGCCTCCTCGCATTGGTGAACAGCGTTGAGTACCCATCATGACACTTCTTTTTCGACTGTGATTGGGGGGAAGAAGGGCCATCGCGACGAGCCAAAGAATGCGGCTTAGTAAAGTCGTGGCTGGTAGAGGTGAGGGAATGAATCTTGTTGAAAAGCCATTTGTCTTTTGTGCACGTTTCGGCTTTCTGTTTGAAGTCGGGTTTCTCGGTGAGGTCGGTGAAGCCTGTGCAGTGGAGTGAGCAATGCATGAGGAGTAGTTGGACGAGGTTCGAGGATGATGCGCGGGAATGGGTGAGGTCGAAGACAAGGTTGGAGATGGAGGGGGTGGTGGAGGAGGGGAGGCAATATGAGTACGATCGTTCGATGAGATGGTAGCATAGTTCTGGGCTACCACCGCATTGCGATGAGGATGAGGAAGAAGAGGAGGTGGTTTCTCGTTTGGTCTTTGCGGCGCCTGCACCGGAGGAGGGAGTAAAGGATGAGCTCGTTAAGTCAGTCGTGGAAGCTGACCCAGGGGAGCCAGCTGAGCCAGCAGAAGTGAGCGGGCTTGTAGAGGCACTAGAGCCAGCGGCATCAGTGGCACTAGCCGCGCCACCGGTACCACCAGCACCTGCGACACCTCCATCACCGCCACCACCAGCACCTGCACCGGAACCACCTGCACCGATGGAGTCAGCTAGCCCAGACGAACCAGCGGTGGAAGCTTCATCAGCACCTGCGACACCAGTCGTCACTCCTGGATGGCCACTCTCTGTCATATTCCTCGCGAAATCCTCTTTCATCTTTTCAATATCCGTCGTTGTCTTGTACTGCAAGAAAGCAGTACCCACATTACCCAGGGATTGAATACCAGCCACTACCGCAGGAATAGCTGCTTGCACCATCTGTCCGATATTGATTCCTCCCATACCACCTCCCATCATAGGACCCATCATCATTGCTGGTCCCAATGGGTCTCTTTTGACGAAGCTGGCCTTGAGGGAGGAGGAAGAGGAAAATGCAGAGTTTAGTGCGTTGTTGGTTTTCAGAGCGGCGTGGATGAGGGACGTCACTTCGGGTGGGATCGAGTCGTCGTCGAATGGGGATGCTCGACGGGTGAGGGGAGTGGTGGCACCGCCGGGAGAAGCAGCAGTGCCTGCTGAACCAAGAGCTCCGGCTCCGGCTTGAGGGATAGCAGCACCAGCACCAGCACCAGCCCCTTGCGCACGAAGTCTGGCAAGACGAACATCCTTTCCAGCCTGAATGCCTTGATTCACAATTTGCTGAATCTGACCAAACCCTGGGATCGGGCTAACAAGTCCCGGACCAGCACCTATCATGCTTCTCAAACCACCGGTCATAGGTGAAGCCATCCCCGTAAGAGGGTTGAGGCCTGACCCCATCCCTACTCCTCCTGCAGGTGTCGCTCCTCCTCCTATTCCCCCGCCACCACCTGCAACTCCGAGTTTAGCGAGGCGAGTCTCTCTACCAGCCTCTATACCTTGGCCTACAATCTGCTGGATCTGGCCGAAGGTGGGGATGATTCTCTTTTCCAACCTTCCCCCATTCGAAGCTGACTTGCAGACAGCATGAGGATCGGGAAGAGGAACGGGGGCGTTGCCATGGGTGCAAAAGTCACTTCGGGCTTCGTGAGGGATAGTGCGCCTTTTGTGATCTGGTCGATGCTTGACTGCCTCCCCAACTAGATCGCCTCGAACGTTCTCTTCTGAATTGGGAGGGGAAGAAGGCTGATGCGGGGAAGAATGAATAAAAGCGGGGGAAGAAGAGGCAGGACAGGCAGCAGCATCTCCACCATCCCAAAATGGAATGTCGTAGACATGACAGAATGACCATCCGGGTTTGCTTTCTTCCAAGAACGGCTCCGGGGGCTGACCTTCGGAGGACGAGGAGCGACGGAAAGGTCCTTGGGAGGGAGTCCAGACGCGTGGTACTTTGCCAAAGGCTCGTTTGTGAGTGGCTTTGTGCGGGATGACGTGTTCGTCGGAAGGGGAAATGTGAGGGTTGTGATGTTTGGGGTGGCGCGAGTGATGTAGATGACGATGATGATTGCGACCGGAAGCGGTACTGCCAGACGCAAAGAGGATGAGGGCAATGTGCGCCAATAGCACCAAACGCAGCGTTTTGGTAGAAGGCTTTGTCATTATAGCGAAGAATGGCTAGTTCGAGCAACAAGTAGTGGAGTGGAGGAGATTTGACAAGTCGAAAGCGATGAGGAGATTCCCTTTATACATCGCCAAAGCATAGTGGAGCAGCACCTCAAGCAAGCGTAACTAATGAGCGCCAACGATAAGATCGATTGTTCCATGTGTAGTCCTCCTTCTCATCTGGTTATGCTTCAAACCAAGTCGTGGAACTGCAGACCGAGCCAGCAAGCAGCATGTCGGTCATGAGATGTTGGAAATAAGCATCAGACCGCTCAGACTTGAATGAGGCGCTCGACATCATTCGCGCGCACGTACAGATACCGATGTGTTTCCAGAGAGGCCGAGCCTACATTAAGCTGGAGAAGCGGTCCAAGCGACACCTTTATTCGAGCGCTTTGGTTGCGAGATTGTGTGGCGATGCGAAATGACAGATGAAAAACTCGGACCCGCTTTATTCCGCTGCAACCAAGGCGCTTCGATGCTGGATTTATCGTGCTGCGGCGAAGACCAAAGCCAGCTCCCTCACCAAATATCGTTGCTCTCTGGCAACAGAAGAGTCGGATCACGGTTCACTTGCCTTCCTCTGCCCTCGGTTGGTATTCTCATCAAGTCCTAACCGCTCACAGCTGCGGCCAGACCTCAGACTTCATCTTTGGCCAGCGGTTCGACCATTCAATTCATTACGTGTTGCATTGTCTACATTGGTAGCTAAGTGACATTACAATCCTTGTGTGTTGGCGAGGACAAAACGTCTTCACCTTCGTATGAGGACGAGCCGCTTACTTGTCTTCCTTGTCCTCATCATCATCCTCAACATCTTCATCATCGCCCGAGTGCCAGCCGTACACAACCACGGTCGCCAAACCGAGCAAACCCGTCAAAATGCAACCAGTAAAAGCACCGATCGCTCTGCCCGTCCAACCCGACTCCAAGTAGGTCGGGCCCTTCTCCAAGCCCCGGAAGTCAGTAGTCGAATTCAAACCGACGGCATTTCCCGTTGTCAGGATGCCCTGAGCCTGGCACTGATCCTTGATGTAGCCCGGCAGGTTGAGGTACTCATTCGACAGCACATCTGGCGCTTCGATAAAGATGGAAGCCAAGCCAGAAACAAGATGGGGGTCAATATGACAGTGGAAGAACCAAGCTCCTGGGTTGTCCGCCCTGAACCTCAAATATGCCGATCCACCAGGAGGAACCATGACAGTATCACGTCGCATTGGATTGACTTGGGAAGCGTTGAACGCAGGGTTGATGGCAGGATCGTCGGATGTGACATCTTGCGACTTGTGCACGACTTGGAAGTGATGTCCGTGGAGATGGAAGGGATGTTTACCGGCGTCCCAATTGAAAAGTTGGACTTCGATCATGTCGTTGTGCTTGATGACATATGCGTTTGAATTAGGACCGTAGATGGCAGGGTTGGAAGCGAGAGCTCCCATCGAGTCTGCTGAGAAGAGAGCAGGGACTTTGGGTGCGATGTAAGAGATGTTGTTGAATGCAGCGTAGTTTTCACCGTTGGACATGGTGTCGAAGGAGACATCAAAACGGTGGCTCGCATCGGGCTCGACCATTGGCTCAACGTTGACAGGGGTGAATTGGAGATCGTCGAAGTAGGTGTATTCTTGGATGATCTTCTCTGGTCCGTAACTTTCCTTGGGAGCATTGGGGTAAGAGATGGTGGCGGAGATGTTGAGCTGGAGATCGTCGGGGACGATATCGAACATGTCCTCGTCCATGTTTGCATGAAGCTTCCAGTTCTGCGGCTCAGTGTCGTTACGTGCCTTGACGAGAACACTGAAACGCTGAGCAACAGCGAGAGAGAGCAAGTCAACGGATCGTGGCTCGACATCAACACCCTCGATCTCGATAACCTGCATGTCGTGACCGGAGAGGTAGAAGTAGAATGCAGCAAGAGCAGACATGTTGATGACACGCAAGCGGTAGGTCTTGCCTGCCTCGAAGGGCAAAGTAGCGTTCTCGCTGAAACCAGGAAGATAGGTAGCAGCAGCGGTGTTGTTGGGAGTGTGAGCAAAGTAGATAAGACCAGACTTGGGGACGGGTTCAGCACCAGTAGGGTTCTTGCGGTTCAAGAACTCATCCTTGACCAAGTCGGTGTAGTTGGAGTGGTACCAGTCACCAAGGATGACAGTGTAGTCGTCGTCGTAGTTATAGTGCATGTCCGCCGGGTCATCTGGGTGAATGATGACGGGCGAACGAAGACCGTCGGTGTACTGGTCGTTGTTGTGGGCGTGGATCCAGAAGGTACCCATCTGCTTGCGGCGGTCAACTGGCGAGGCAGGAGAGTTGAGAGTCTCATAAGTGAAGCTCTGACCAGGTGGAATAGGGCACTGAGTGATGCTGACGGCACCATCAAAGTAGCCAGTGCGGTTGAAGAACATGCCATGGGAGTGTAGCGAAGTGCCGACACCAGTGCCAAGGTCATTGGTGGCAGTGACGCGGAGAACATCGGAAGCGTTGACATTAATGATGGGAGGAGGCCATGTGCCGTTGACGCCGATGACATGCCTGGGGAAGAGACCGTCTGGGTTGACATCAGGGACCCAGTTGATGTTCCAGTGGTGCTCGACGGTAGCAGCGGTGGCGATCGAGAGGAGCGAGCCAAGAAGCGCCAGCGCAGACAGCGCCGAACCTTGCTGTGTCGCAACCATGACGATGACTCTGCTCTGGAGAGAAGACAAGCGTTAGTGATGGTGGTAATGGTGAGCAAGCAGAAGGATGCGTTTTTGATCACTTGCTGGAAGGTCGCGTCTTCGAGGTGACAAGATGCTCGAGAGGAAGTCGCTGGGCGAGTTGTTGATCAGCTGATTGTTCACTTATCAGGGAGGAAGGGTGGGATCAAAGGTGAGAGGGACCCGAAAGCTCTGACGAGGGGGAGGATCAAAGCTATCAGATAGGCGAAAGAATCGACGGTGCGAAGAGAAACTTTTTTTTTTTTTTTTTCTTTCTTTGTTTTTTTTTTTTTTCCACTCTGCGCAAGTCAGGAACAAGACGAGCAAGCAGATGATCGAGTGTCCGAGCCCACGCTCGGGGATCTGATAAGCCAGTGGGAGTCAAGGGGGAAAGCTGAGCAGGTGACACGAGCTCCGGGAGTCTGGAGCGGTAAAGGACAGAGGGGTAGACGTGGACGCAAAGTTGCTATTGGCTGTGTGTTGAACGCGGGAACACTCGGGGAGAGAGGGCAAGCAGGCTAGTGAACTGTGGATGCGAGTGCGCAGGGAGGTTTTTGTCGCTGGATGAGCCGAGCGATCCAATGACAGGCGAAGGTCAGCACGGACGGGTGGGAAGAAGCAACAGAGCAGGCTACGTAAGAGCCGTGTTCCGGACAGAGAGGGGAAGGATCGGCCGAGGCGGAAGTGGGCCAGAGGTGAACAGCGAAAGGGCCAAGAGACGTTTTTCGTATGAAGAGCTCCAATGATGCGATAACTTAAGAGAGAGAGAGAGAGAGAGAGAGAGAAGAAGAACAACAAGAGTGTGCAAAAATGAAGGCCGCAAGGCGAAAATCCCTGTGTATCAGATCAGATCAGATCAGATAAGGAAGTCAAATAGCGGGCGGGCCTGGGGAATATCGCCTGAACTTTTTTCTACCGTCCTCTTGAAACTTGAATGCAAATCAAGCTCAACCGAGGCAACCGCGGCTTGCTTTGTTGCAAGTAAAGCTGGAAGAGGTTGGGAAGCGAAGGCAGAGACGAGGGCAGAGGGCAAGGGCAAAGGCAAGGGTCGCATAAGGGCCGAACTGCGTGGCTTTTCAACAGCTCGCTTAACGACCTGACCCGCAGGTTCGAGTCTGTTGAAAGGACTCGGCGATACATTCAGCAGTTGGAGCAGCCGAGTTGGAGCAGCCAAGAGGCAATGAGATTGTTATGCATGCTTGGTGTACATACTGTATCATTGTTACTCCTCCCGCTTGTGCACAGAGAAGGGTGCAGCTCTAGACCGTAGGTTGGCTCTTTTCTCGCCTGTGAGAAGGCGCGTTTTTAGCTTTGTGTGGCTTGAGCCCCTTGTCTCGCTTAGAGAAGAGTGGTCTCCTTTTGTTTCTTCTATCTGATAAACGAATTCTCTCTTCTCCCTGCTGCTTTCCTCCCCTTTGTACGCTTCCAATCGATGCACACAAGCACAGCCAATGGATCGTCTCCTGTCTGTTCTGTTGTGTTCAAGTTGAGCTCTTCCGCCTTGAACACCTTATTGGTCATTCCCTTGCTTCCGGACTCTTCCGTCCGGTTGTGTGCCCACACTGATCACAGCGAATCATTCGCATCTGCCTGGTAGGTCAACCTTTGTTTTCTTTTTTCTTTTTTTCTTTTTCTTTTTTCTTTTCATTTTGAGGTTGACCCAGGGCAGAACAAAGTTATCAGATCAAAGATCATATCCTCTCTGCCCTTTCTTCGGCACCGTCTTTTTCCGCTCTTCCTTCACTGCACTCTGGTCTCGCACTCGCACTACATATCTCCCCTACCTTTGCCTCCCTTTCCCTTCCGAGCCGTACTTCAACCTCCCCTCCTCTCCCCATCCACACCCCTTCCATCATCATTTCGGCAGAGGTTCTGTCCAGCAGCAAATATGTCGGCTCAGGGCAACAAAGTCTTTGCCCCAGCGATCTTCTTCATCGCTGCAAGGGAGGCGCTCGAAGCCTCCCTTGTCATCGGTATCCTCTCTGGTATGCTCGAGAACCTCGTCATGCACACCAAATCGGCTCAAGATGAGGCCTCCGAGGCCTCGCTCACCGATGAAGAGAAGGAACGCGCTCTTGCCAAGAAGAAGGCTATTGTTAGCAAGTTGCGCAGGATCGTAAGTACACTCAAGCCCATTCCTGTCTAATCGCCCGAGGACGATCACTTACAACGCTCTTGTCTTTGGCGAATGCAGGTATTGTTGGGCGCAGCGACAGGTTTGTTCATTGCATTCGTGATCGGTGCTGCTTTCTTGGCTGTCTTTTACACCCAGGTCAATGACTTGTACGCAAAAGCTGAAGAGCTTTGGGAAGGTATCTTCTGTCTCGTTGCTGTCTTGCTTATTACTCCCATGTCACTCGCCATCTTGCGTGCCGGTAACAGCAAGCGCAAGTGGAAGCGTAAACTCGAGAGCGCTTTCAGTGATAAGAACATTCAGCCTAACCGCGCTCACGATGTCGAAGGCGAGTCCACCGTCCTCAACACCAATGCCAACGCCAACGCCAACGCCAACGCCGCTTCTTCCTCTGACGCTGCTTCCTCCTCGTCATCGTCCGGTCGCCGAGTCGCCTCCGAACAGGCAGCCCTCAAGACCACCGGCACCGAAAAGATGAACCCTCTCGAAGCATGCGATGTAGTCCCCAGCATGCCCCACACTCAGACTCGACCAAAGGCCGGCCTCCGTGGCCTCTTCTCCAAGCCTTCTGGCGCCGTCACCGATCTCAAACTTCGAATAAATCGCGGTACACTGGCACTCTTCACCATTCCCCTCATCACCACTCTCCGTGAAGGTTTGGAAGGAGTCGTCTTCATCGGTGGTGTCTCCCTCGGCCTCCCTGCCACTTCCATCCCTCTTCCTGCCATCGTCGGTCTTGCAGTCGGTCTGCTCGTCGGCTTCCTCATCTTCCGATCGGGCAACGTTCTTTCAGTTCGAATCTTCCTCGTCGGTTCCACATGTTTCCTTCTCCTTATCGCTGCCGGTATGGTCAGTCGTGCAGTGTACTACCTCCAGTTCTACTCTTATGTCAAGCTTGTCGGTGATTCTGCTGCCGAGTCAGGCGACGGTCCTGGATCGTACGATTCCCAAGGTTACATCTGGCACTTTAACTACGGTAACCCAGAGAACAACAAGGGTGGTACCGGATGGGGTATTTTGAACTCGCTCGTTGGGTGGAACAACACTGCTACGTACGGTTCGGTGTTCATGTATGTTGGATATTGGTTTGTTGTCGCTGGTTACTTGTGGTACCAGATTTGGAGCGAGGGGAGACTGGCGCTTAGGTTTCGAGGAAAGACTTATTGGCAGTCGAAGCGTGCTGCCGAGAAGAGCGAAGCTAGACAGTTGAAGGCTGAGCAGCGGGAGCAGAGGGCGTTGCAGCAGGCTCGCCAGTCGTCTTTTGGAAACGATGAGAAGCTTGCTCAGGCTGGCCCTTCTTCCCTTTCTCAACTGAGCTAGACAGTCTCAAATACAAAAAAATAAAAAAATAATAATAATAATAATAATAATTACAAAAAAAAATCCCTGTCACTTTCTTCAATGTGTATAGCATCCGCATGTAATCATGCCCTCAATGTTTGACTTTGGCTGCCTTAAAGTAATGCATAATGGTCATCCATGTGAACAACGGATCTACTCTGTATGCTTGCGCTGAACTCGAACTTAACCTTGCTGCCACAGATCTTGAAGCGCGGACGATGCCGTGCGAAAGGTACTGAATTTCAAAAGGCGACGTGATCGAACCGAGACTGATGAAAAGAGGATAAAGGTGGTGGGTTTGATGGTATCTACTGAGACTTCTTTTCGCCCGAGATGGGATCTTTGCGGACACCCATTTGGTCTGGTGTCTGTACCTGAGCGAGCTGAGCCACGGCAAAGTAGACGATGGGAAGCAAGACGCCACCCACCAGCAACAGCGTCAAGATAAGAGGTGTAGAGAAGAGCTGGATCGTTACAAGTGGGCAAGAAGGGCAAAGTCGGAGATGAGGTCATGTCAGCTTCCCCTTTCATGGAGTGTCGGATCGAAGAAAGTAGGCAACGTACCTGATACCTGGCAAAGATGCCGCCGGTGGGCTCTGTCCAGTTGCCGCTCGACGACGATGGTGCAGCGACGTACTGCAGAAAGTAAAGCATAGAATCGAGATCGGTCGCAGGATCAAGAGCAAGTGATGAATACTGTCAGCGCAAGAACAAGAGGCGCATCGCTAGGCAATCATACCAAACCTACCTGACGCTTTGTGTGTTGATGCAATTGGCCATTCTGCATCACCATGACCAGGTTGCGAGGTTTCTTCTCATCAAGGGATTCCAACGCTTTCAATAGTTGAGCCTCTAGTTGGTTGTTGAGTGTCGCAAACGAGCCATAGGTCCCAGAAGGTGGATGTAAGAGAGAGTATGTCAGTGAGATTACTAGCATCACAGACCGACTCGTCCGCTTGTGAGCGTCAAGTGTTCCCGAGGCTGCGACTTACCTTGTCTTGGAAGATCGTGCACCAAGATCTCAACGAATGGGAAGGTCTTTTGTTGCTGGTCGGGTGGTGATACTTCCTGGTTGCGCGTTAGATCACTCAGCTGAGTGACGCTGTATCCTTCGAAGCGACAGGTGCTCACAATATGTTCTACCAAGATTGCGGTTGTGTTTGTGTTTGGAGCAGCACCGAAAGTGACCTGCGAAGGAGCACCGATAGATCTTGCCCTAAGCGAGTCTGAAGAGGTGTGTCGCAAGCTTGCAAACGTGTCGCGGTCCAGATGATCAGCCCAGACAGTGGCAATAGCGTCAAGCTTGCAGGCTGGGGATGACTTTCCGGCTGCGAAGAGAGTGTCGACAAAGCCGTCGATGCTCGAGTCGTAAGGAAGCTCCAACTGAAGATTGGAAGCTTGTTGCGAAGTGAAAGCGAGCACCGGGTGAGAAGCGCTGCTGGCTGAGGCGCATGCTGCAGCTGCCAATAGCGATGCGATAGCTGTTGTTGTCCTCATGCTGCCGATGTTGCTGTGTTAGGTGGTGTATGTCGTTGAGAAGATAGTTGGAGCTTTTCAGTGAGTCAGGCTCAGCAACGCGCGTGTGCGTGTGTGTGAGTGGATCGTGCGCCTGCCCAAGTGACATAACGGGGCTCAGGGGCAGGCAAAAGCTGTCAAAAAATTCGGCTCCGCGAAAAGTTTTGAGTTATGTTAGAAGTAGGGTCATAACATCTCCAAATTCAGGCGCTCATGTTCCTCCAAGTAACTGTGGGAAGATGAGCAACAAGCACAAGCAAGAGATAACTTAGTTCGGTGACTTGCACTAGGATTCCATTGATGACATGAGGCTTGGAACGTAGCAATGCAGATGCGATATGGCCTTTTGTTTGATGCAGAATGAGATTACACAGAGGTGTAGCCGCCATCGACGATGAGATCCGCTCCCGTTGTGAAAGCGGAAGCGTCACTGGCGAGGTAGACAACAGCACCCTTCAGATCTTCAGGGTCACCGAGACGGCCCATAGGAGTCAAATTCTCCCAAGTGGTACGGAGCTCCTTGCCGCTAGGACTGTTCTCGAGCACAGCTCGGCTAAGCGAAGTGAGCATGTAGCCTGGTGAAAGAGAGTTGACACGGATGCCTGACTTGGCCCACTCAACAGCCATAGATTTGGCTAGATGCTTGACTGCCGCCTTGGAAGCATTGTAGGGAGCCTGAGCCTGAGGCACATTGACGACCGAACCAGACATGGAAGCAATCATGACAATGGAGCCGTTGATCTTGTCGTCCATCATCTTCTTGGCGACCTCGCGGGCAACAAAGTAGGATCCATTAATGTTGATGTCAAAGAGCTTCTTGAGCTTAGGCGTTGGGTATTCGATTGCAGGGAAGTTCTCGACGATACCTGCCGAGTTGACAGCGACATGGATCTTGCCGAAACGCTTGTGGATGCGACCAACGACATCTTGCACCTGAGCCTCGTCAGAGATGTCGCAGCCGAAGCCTTGGATGTCGAGTTCGCCAGGCTTCACTCCACCCTGCTTGAGGAACCACTCCTCGACCTCCTTGGCGGCATGCTTGCACTCTTCCTCGTTCAGATCGACAATGGCGACATGGTTGGCACCAGACCCAACAAAGGTACGTGCGATCAAGTTGCCAATACCTCGAGCAGCACCAGTGACTACACAGACCTTGTTCTCCATGGAGAAGCTGGCGAGAGTGCGCTGTGAGTGTCGACCGACACGGCCTCCGGTGGTGTTGTGTCCAACATCGTCGCGAGGGTCACGCGAGCTATCTTCTGGGTATGGCACGATGACGTCGTCTTTGGTCGAAGCGAACGGAAGGCCATCAAGCGGCCTGGCCTTGCCTCGGTTGTCGTCTTTGCTCAAGCATCGAGACGAAGTCGCGAAGGCACGAGGAAGGGTCGAGGTTCGCGCCGAGCTGCGAATCGCGGTGCGGGAGGCTTGAGCGAGGCCTGTGAGAGAGCGAGCTGCTCGTGTAGCGCTTGCTGAGTTGGCCAACATGGCAACTGGAATTTTGGAGGTGGTGGTGGTGGTGGTGGTGGTGAATAATTGAAATGTTACAGAGGGAGACCTTCTTGACGTTCGTGACGTTCGTGAGTCAGTCAGCATCAAGCCGAGTGGGGGTCGTGGCAATGCATCCGGCCCTATCATCAGTCTATTCTTCCGTTGGAGTGCAAACATACACACACATTTTTCGTAGCCGATCTGTTTTCTTCTGCAAGCAACGAAGTTTTTTCGCCGATGCATTGACCATCTGATGCGTGAGCATCATTATCCGACAATGCATCCTCAGACTTGAGTTGACCTTTGAATGTTCTGACTGCGATCGCCTGAATAAGCGAAAAGAGCCTCACACGTCAATTCCGAATATGTGAGTGTGAGCCTCTCGTTCGCAGTGCAAAGTGGGTAGCAGGTTGGCTATCGGCCAAATGACTGGCCGACGACGCGTTCTACCAATAAGTTTGGATCTCCTACCACGCTTTTTGCCAGCAAGTATCGGAAAAGCATCTTTGCTCCGCCCTCGTCTCTCACACCACCTTGGTCGGAGGAGGCTTCGCAATTATGTCAATTAGAGGTGCTGTAACCGACGTTAAAGGCGATGCTCATACTTGTGCTCTCGGAATTTGATCGACAAATGGATTGCTGAAGTGCATCAGATGCTTCGCCTGCTGCTGCTGTCGGCAGAGCCAGCCAATCTGCATTCACTTGATCGTTTCCGCAGGACCTGTAGATGACCTCGGAAGATCGACGTTCGGAAGTGTGCCGGCAACATGACAGGCCATTGATTAGATGTACCCACTTTGGAAAGGTGCTGGGCAACGAGCGACTGTATCACTACTTTCACGGTGCATCCTAATCGGCCGATTTGGTTGTGGCCCTTACATAGATGTGGTTTCTTGCTTTGCCACTGCAATTCTAATGTGAGCCTCGATTTTGTACCACCTACGTCTCGCTACCACCCAACCTGAAAAGTCACCGAGATGCGGCGATATAAGAGTCTTGATCGGCGAATTTTTTTTGGTGAATTTTCTTTTGGTGAATTTTCTTTTGGTGAATTTTAATCTTGTTCTGTTGCCTGTAGGGCCGTCATGGTGAAGTCGAATTTGCAGCAGTAGACAGGCTTTCTAGTCTGCCCCTTTTGTTTCATCGGCGAGTTACCTCAAATAACTCCCCTTCTGAGCCTTAGAAAATGCGGGGCAAGACTTGAGGCAGTTCGACAACATTTATTGGCCGTCAGTTTGCGTGTGGGTCCGGGCTCTTGGTTGGCCTGTGCAGGCTAGACCACAGTCGCACTTCTCCGGCTGGAGTCTCGCTTGCAACTCGTCTTGCATAGGCTCCTTCCCCGTGCCAGTCGAGTAGTCAAGTCATCTCTTGATTGTCCGTTGAGCGTCGCTTGGCACGCCGTCTATTCGCCACTGTGCTGAAAGACTTTTAGGCCCATCACAGGCCTCCCAATCCTTTCCTCCTTCCCATCACACGAACAGCTCGTTGACCATCACGGACGAGCCTATACCCTTCTTTTCTTCACTTCTTTTTGAATATCTCAGGGTAAATCCTTTGATCAATAACCTCGATCGCCTTTCAGCTGGATAGTACCTTCCGTGCTCAATTAGATTCTTCAAGATGGCGACCAAACACATGTTCGATAGCTCCACCGGCCTCGTGGACCGCAACCTGCGCGGCACGGTGGCGCAAAACCCCGCTCTCCGATAGTAAGTGCATTCCTTGCGAAAACGCATTTGCTGCTAACACTGTCTCCGCACTCAAGCAAGCAGGCAGCCATTAGCGATAAGCAGCTTTGCAAAGAAGTACAAATTCCATGACCAGTGGTTACTGACATCTGAATGCGTGCGGTATCACTCTTTTCTGGTGTTTGCAGCTATTCCCCTCACAAGGTTGTCTTTGACCCTTCGCATGACAACAAGAAGGTTGCCGTCATTTCTGGTGGTGGTGCCGGTCACGAGCCTGCTCAGGCTGGTTTCGTTGGTAAGGGTATGCTTGCTGCTTGCATTTCCGGAGACATTTTCGCTTCGCCCTCGGCTGCTCAAATTTGTTCCGGTATCGACCTGATCAACCATGACGCTGGTGTCGTCATGGTGGTCAACAACTACACTGGTGACTGCCTCCACTTCGGTCTCGCCGCTGAGAAGGCCCGTGCTGCCATGGCTTACTCTGGCAAGGAGGGCGGCGGTGTCGAGGCTGTCATTGTTGCCGACGATGTCGCTGTTGGCCGAAAGCGCGGTGGCCTCGTCGGCCGCCGTGGTCTTGCTGGTAACATCTTCACCTGCAAAATTCTCGGTGCTGCCTCCGACAAGGGCTACGACGTCAAGCGAATTGCTGACCTCGGTCGCAACTTGATGGACAACATGGTCTCGATTGGTACCTCTCTCGACCACTGTCACGTTCCCGGTCGTCCCAAGGGCGCCGAGGAGCGTGGTGCTCTCGCGGAGGAGGCCGCTGAGCTCGGTATGGGTATCCACAACGAGCCCGGGTTCAAGCACATGGACAAGAAGCCCGAACCTGAGGCTCTCCTCGCTGAGATGCTCCAGCTCCTTCTCGACCCCAACGACGAGGACCGTGCGTACACTCCCTTCAACAAGGACGACGCTCCCGTTCTCTTCGTCAACAACCTCGGTGGTATGAGCCAGCTCGAAATGAACGCTATCACCGACCTTACTATCGAGCTGCTCGAGAGCAAGTGGGGCCTGCACCCTTGCCGCGTTCTCTGCGGTTCTTACATGACTTCGCTCAACGCTCCCGGTTTCGGCGTCTCGCTCATCAACCAGAAGCGATTCGAGAAGAACACTGGTCAGAGCTTGCTCGAGCTGCTCGACTACCCCACCACTGCCTACTCGTGGCTCGGTGTCCAGAGCGGCTGGGGTTCTGCCAGCGGCCACCCTCGAGACCGCAAGGCTGAGGAGAAGGAAGCTGCAGACCACCTCCATTCTGTTCGCAAGGCTGGTGGATCGGTCAGCGGTCTCGCTGGCCCCGGTGCCTCGTCCAACGGACCCGTCAACCCCAATCCTGAGCTCGTCAAGAAGGCCATCATCGCTGCTTGCGATGCTACTGTCGAGATTGAGCCCACCTTGACTCGGTACGACACCATCGTCGGTGACGGTGACTGTGGTGAGACGCTCGCCCAGGCGGGTAACGAGGTCAAGAAGGCTCTCGAGAAAGGTGAAATCCCTGTTGACAACGCCGCCGGCACCCTCATCGCTATTGGCGAAGTGCTCGAGTACGCGATGGGAGGTACCTCGGGTGCTATCTACGCTCTCTTTTTCGCTGGTCTTGTGCAGTCGTTGCTCTCGAACCCTAAGGGCACTCAGGCCGATTCCAAGGTCTGGGGCAAGGCCTCGCTCGATGCGCTCGAGAACTTGGGCCGATACACTCCTGCCCGTCCAGGAGACCGAACTCTTGTCGATGCACTCGACCCCTTCTGCCGCGCTCTTGGCGCTGGCAAGTCGCTCACCGAGGCTGTTGATGCTTCAAAGGTGGGTGCTGAGAAGACTCAAGCCATGACTCCACGTCTTGGACGTGCTACATACGTGGGCAGTAAGGACGCAGGTGAGATGCCCCCTGACCCGGGTGCGTGGGGTATCTGGGCTCTTGCTGACGGTCTCCGCAAGGGACTTGGTCAGTAAGTGGACGCTCACTGCAAAGCCCTCACATTGTTTTCCCTTTCATGTTCGTAAAAAGCTCTTGTCTCGTCCACTCGGCTGCATTGTCTGAAGCAAAGAATCATCGCATCCAAATCACTGTACGACTGTTGTCTGAAGCTCTTCGATAGCGGTCGCGAAGACAGAAAAGTGGATCCAGTGTAGGACCACAGATCTCCCGATGCGAGGCCGATCCCAACGTGCCACAGCCGCTGCAGCCCGTCCTGTGGAGGATCGACGACTCAAACAGACGACAGATCTGAGCGAAATCTCACTCAAAATCTTACACGTGCCGTTAGACTCGGCTAGTATGGCAAGAAAAATTTCCGAACAAAAATGACACATGACGAATTGAAGTGGAGAACAACACGGCCACATTTCACACACAAAAACATCGAGCATTTTTAAATAATTTTTTTTTGGTTTCGTGGGTCATAACTGAGCTTTCTTCTCCTTGACTTCGGCGTCCAGCGCAGACTCTTGTTCGCCAATCCCACGTCTCTCCCTTTCTTCTCCGCCACCATCCATTCATATCCAAGCACCATCCTCCGAAGGCCAGCGAACAAAGCAACACTCATACCCACCGCTCCTTCACTATACCCCACTCCCGCGTATTCCCACAAGCTCATCGGACTGGACTGCAACGCTCACCGAGCACTGCCATCATAGACCCACAATTCATCTGTGTTATAACCCCTATTTACACTATCAAAGCCGGCGTCTGCTACATATTGCATCATTGAATTGCTCAGCCAGGTGTCGAAGCACAACTCATAATTCATCAGAAAGCTAGCACTCATCTGAAGCAAGGACAAGTTCCTATAAGATCCATCATCCGGATGCCGATCGAGAGAAAAGGGGCAACTCTCACCCTACGCAAATATCACAAACTACCACTAAGCATACGCCGCCAGTAGACAACATGCCACGCCTCAAAGTTCAGGTTGGTCCCGATCAATTCCACATGGAAGACGCTTGCCTTAACGACACCCTCCATCCTCACGAGATCGATACCGAGCACTTTGTTGGTCGCGTCCTCGTCCGCATCCTCGACGCTCCCGGAGCCAAGGAAAGCGAGCCAGGTCGCGAGTACTTTGAAGGACGTTCGCGCAAGTTCTGCATCCAGATTGAAGGTCGCTTCAAGCGGCGTCTGAGCGGCAACGACGTCCTCTTCGGCACAGACTTCGATCGTATTGTCGACTTCCCTCGCGCTCCTTTCAACGCTGGTATGCGAGTCGCAAAGTACATCGACCCATGCACCTTCTACAAGCTTGATCCGGATTCGGGTCGTCCCTACATCATGTCGCCCTACATTGCATGCATGAACACCTTCTGTGCTTGGCCAGCACCGTCACGCGCACACGACGCCGTTGTCGTGCTGCGACACACACATCGTGGAAGCACTCCCGATACCTCTCGCCCACCAATACCGATGATTGGCCCCGAGAAGTCGAATCACGGTCCACAAAACGCTCTCGTGGCCAGCCCACATGGCACAGACGACGAGGACGAGGGCGATATTGTGCCACGCGAATCACTTGACCGCAGCCGCAGCATGAGCGAGAAGGATGGCAACGGAGCTGCAAAGAAAAAGAAGGGCTGGTTTGGCGGTTTTGGTGGAAGCAGTGCGCCAAAAGAGGAGCGTATCCTCAAGAAGTACTGGCGCTTCGTCGGATTCAAGGACGAGCCCCGAGTGCGTGGACTTCTCGAGGCTCATCACGCAAAGCTGCGTGGAGGCAGCAGCTCTGGCAACCATTCCGAGGCAGAAGGTTCCAACACAGAGGCGCGTGCTCCTGCACCTCGGGACAGTCTAGGCAGCGTTGGCTCGAATGATGTCCAGCATGGTCCAGCTGGCCAGACGCTCTCGTTCCTTGGTACAGGCAAGCGCACTGAGCTCGACCGAACACCTGATCGTGCTTTGACGCCCAATCACGGGAACGGAGGTGAAGGGATGCTCATGTCGCCTCGTGTTGGCAGTGGAAGCTTCAGCGATATTGGTGCCAACGAGATCGCAGCAGCTCCTCCTAGCGATGTCAAGGACGATGGCAACTCCAGTGGTCCCGCTCTCGTAGCGCCAAAGCCCAAGCACGGCGTGGCTGCACCGCTCGACGAGGCCGATGCCCCTGCTGCCGCTCCATCATCTGCACATGCCAAGACCGGCTCTGCATCTGAGGAGAAGCCCGAGATGCCAAAGCTCGAACGCATCGCCACCTCGGTGCGTCACGAGATGGAAGAATCAGCCAGATCAGATGGTCTCAAAGATGGAGATTTCAAGCTTGCAGACGCTCTTGCTCACACCCACATTTCACGAAGCAACAGTGCTCAAGGCGATGCCAACAATGCAGCTTCATCCAAGCTCGACGAGCAACTGGGCCCTTGGCGCTTTGCAGATCCCGGTACAGACATGATCGAGGACAATGCTTTCATCTTCACCACTCAGTCGCTATCCGTGCCTCGCCGACGCAAGCATTTCGCATCGGAAAAGAATCGACTCGACTTCCACTACGACCCGGACGTGGTCTACGGAGCTTCATTCTTCACCGATGCGATGGACTTTAACACTTTCAACCTGGGCATCGGGCCTGTCAAGTTGAACGTAGCCAAGTGGTTCAAGGACATGCCAGTAAGGTACACGCTCAGGAACACCAAGGACGAGAACTTGACGTACGTGACTATAAGCTTCCAACTCGTTGACGAGTAAGGCAGCCGTTTGCATCCAGCCAGTCATAGATGTAGACAGAGACCTGATAGACTTTTGTTGTGATAATCCAGCATATTCACTTCCACATGACTGCAATGCGTGACTGTTTGTTTCGTGACTCGACACAGACGGAGATAGCTTCATCGCGTGCGAAAGAGAAGCTACTGGTATTGCAAACCTGTCTTATTTGCAATGATACAAATCTGTGATGAAAGCGTGAGGTTGCAGCTGCATTACTTGCCCTGAGCGGCACCCTTAGCAAGATCGCCATCAAGGTTGGTCTGCTTTGCCTGACGAGCCAACTTCATCTGCTTCTTCTTAGCCACAGTGTTGAAGTATGTTGCGAGGATAAACCTGATGAAAGTGAAGAAGGGTTCCCACACGACAGCGGGCAAGTAGTTTTGCGCAACGGCAATGGTGATAGGGCTGGTGGTCCAGGTGACTCGCATCACAGGCCAGAAAGCAGCCTTGACGGCCCTCTTGATGTTCTCGACACCACGGGCACCGTTGATGTAGGCCATGCACGAGAGGTAGACCGTGTTGGCAAACACCGAGACGGTAAGATTGGAGGTAATGATCTGTAAGATCTTGTCACGGGTGGTGGTGCGGCCGACAAAGGCCTTCTGGAGGAGGCCAGTGAGAATGTGACCCATGGGAGCCGAGACGAAGAAGCCGTAGACGAACATCTTGAGTGCACGCTCGTTGATGCCGAGCTTGGTAGCATAGGCTTGGAGAAGACCAACAGGGTTCTGCTGGGCTTGACGCTTCTTTTCGTCGAGCGAGGAGGGGGTCTTGGTGTTGGTAGGGGCAACACCGGCAAAGTGACCGGCAAGCACTTCCGCGAGGGCAGATAGGACACCCGAAGTGATCATCCTAGCAAAGCATTAACCGAGAGGTGAGGTCAGTTCAGCGCTTTGCAGTCATATTTGGTGCACAATCGCAAACTCACTTTGTGCGAAGAGGGTTGGCGGCAAGCGCCGAGAGGTAGCCGACAAGCAGCGGGTTGGTCGTCAAAGGCGACGGCTTCGAGATGACGGTGGCCATTCTGTGCGTGATATGGGGTAGAGGGGTTGTAGTGTGTACCGATGGATGTGATGTAGCTAGCAGAAAGTAGAAAAGGTGTAGACAATGGTCAATGATAGTTCTGATGCTACTGAGAAACGGTCGGGTCGTGCACGTTGGGACATCGCCGACGTCAGTGTGTGAGATCGCTTCATTCGCTAGTCGATGAGATATGGACGAAGGAGAATATTTGCAGACACGATCATGTCCTCGCACTCTAGGCTGTGTAGTGTAGATTCTCGACGAAGAAGCGAGTTGCCGGACACCATGTTGCAACTCACTTTGATGATGCTCCTTGACGAGGCGGGGTTGTAGTGAGGATAAGCGATCTATTCGGCTGTCTTGAGAAAGATGCTGAAAAGCAAGGCTGTGGGCGATTTGTTCGAGATGGTGGAGGTGAAAGTAACAAAGGAAGTTGGACCGACGCCCAAGCCACTCAACGACAATACGGGACAAAGCTCGACAAGGTCGGAAGCTGGGCCGGAAGGCAAGCAATTAAGCAAGGATTCTGGCAATACAGAGACCAAAGGCTTCGGTTGTCAAGGGTCTGACTCTGGCGCCCTTCTATCTCTCTGTTTCTCTCTGCCCGGCGTCTGTTAGGGAAACTACAGCACTGCAGCAAGGCGGCAAGACAATTTTGAGCTTCTTGCCAAACGTCGCTTAGCCGGAATACCCGGTGACTCTCGCTGTCTTGAGACCGAGAAAGAAAGTCTTCCCCACAAAAGCTCGCTCTCGGCCATGATTCTCTACCGCGACTCTTGACGCTCGACAGGCAGGCTTTCGATCTAGCTCTTCGCTTTCGTCCGAATATGATCTTGCCCAAAATTGTCGGAGGTCGCTCTGATCGAAGCAACACCCAATCCACTGGCAGCTTTGCCAGATGAAACCATGTCGCAAGACGAGAAAGCGCGCGGACCACGTTCCTAAATAGTCTCAAGTCAAGGCAGCGTGGGCCGGTATGATGTCTTGGTTGCGGTTAGTGTGCGGGAAACAGCGAGAAGTGAGATCCTTTGCGGGGAAAAGAAAGAAGAGCTCTTCTTTTCTTCTTGAAGCGGCCGAAGCGCAGTCTCAACCGGGCCAGATAGGTACGAGTTTTCTCTTCAACAGCTTATTTGGATGGCAGAATCCGAGTCGGCAGCAGCATCAACCTGTCAAGGCTCTTGCTTCACCAGGAATACTCAGACTCAACCTTGCTCTAGGAAAGGTTTGATGTCGTCATGTTTGTATTGTTGTATTGCTTGTTACATCGGCAACATGTACACATTCTTTTATCTGACCTTGTCGTGCGAAAGAGGCCGCAGACGAGAATTAGCCGACGCGACTGATGATTGGAAGCCTTTTTTTTTTTTTTTTTTTTTTTTTTTTCCCGGTGTGTGTGTGTGTGTGTGTGACTGACTTCTTCATTTTGCATCCACGCTCCACCACTTTTCTGACATCTTCGCCAGTTTATCCCACTCGATTATCACCATATACTAGATCATCTCTCGCAGACTACCCATCAGCAAGGGCGAGGTTCGATCCAATATGTTTTGTGCTAGTAAGTGGCGCGATCGTGCGCAGGACGGCCCCGATAGTCTCACAGTAGATGCTAACCTTTGCTTCTTATTCTGATCTTGACCTCGTCTACCAGTCTCTGGAGAACCACCAAAGGTCCCAGTCGTGTCGAAGAAGAGCGGCCTTGTATATGAGCAGCGTCTCATTCAAAAGTACATCAACGACAATGGCAAGGACCCAGTGACTGGCGACACCCTCGATCTGGACGACCTCATTGAGATCAAGTCAAGTGAGTATGGCTTCTTCGACTACATGTTCACCCAAGGCAATGGAGCTAGAGGCAATATGAAAGACCTCGCGACGATGCACACTCGCTGGGCAACAGGATACAAAGGATGAAATCGCTTTCTCAAAAACTACATATCAACTAGAAGCTGTTGATGAGCCTTCGGGCGACGACTACACCACGAGTTCTGACACCACCTGCTACACGCTCAAGCAGCCTTAACCACCCTAAATCGTCGCACAGTCTCCCAGCTTCGTCCCGAGCTGCCGTTGACATCTTTACGAGAGCGACATGCTGACTTAGGATGCTCATTCATTGACTTCTACAGATCCAAAAACAGCAGTACCTCGTCCTCCACAGCATAGCTCGATCCCTTCTCTGCTCACTTCCCTGCAGAACGAGTACGATGCAATCATCCTCGAGACCTTCACACTCAAAAAGCACTACGATAACTTGCGGCAAGAGCTCGCGCATGCGCTCTACGCCAACGATGCAAGCGCAAGAGTCATTGCCCGTTTGCTCAACGAAAGGGATCAGGCACGCGAAGCGTTAGCCAACATTCAGGGCACCATCGGCGCTGGACCTTCTTCGTCACGAGCAGCACAAGATGTCGAGATGGCCGACTCGGCGCCTGCTGAGAACGGCTCCGCGGCGAGTGGCAGTAAGCTGCCGTCCGACGTCGTCGAGATCATTGAGTCGACCGCGCAACGACTCTCAAGCCAGCGAAAGGCAAAGTCGAAGCGCAAGGCTCCTGAGGGCTATGCAACTCAGGCTTCTGTGGCCGAGTTTGCAGAAGTGCAGAGCTTGCCGTCGATGCACCACGCCAAGCCTGCTGGTGTATCGTGTCTCACCTTGTCTGCAGATGGCAATGTGCTTGTGACCGGAGGCAACGACAAGAATGTACAGGTGTATGATCGAAAGCAGGACCAAGTGTTGGCAACGCTCAAGGGACATACAAAACGAATCACTCGCGTCGCTGTCACCGGCACCTCCGATGCACCCATTGGGTCTGAGGCTGCCAGCGAAGAGACGACACTTCCTGACTACGTTGTCTCTGCGAGCGAGGATGGCAAGGTCAAAGTGTGGGCACCTAGTGGCGCGAAAGGCGCCAAGGCACAGGTATACGCCCTTTCGAGCACCATCAACGCGCACAAAGGCGAAGTCACTGGGTTGGACATCCACCCATCTGGCGCCTTGTTCGGAACTGCCGGACGCGATGGCACCTTGACCGTGCGTAACTTGTCCGACAGCGCCGTAATTATTCGTCTCGAAGCTGATCTGGAAGACGTCTACGAGTCATTCGCGTTCCACCCAGATGGTCAGCTCGCAGCAACCGGCACGTCCAGTGGCGCTATCCGCATCTGGGACATCAAGGCCGGATCCAATGCTTCCAGCCTTCAGACCGAACTTCCGGGACGCGTCTCCTCGCTTCATTTCAGCGAGAACGGGTACTATCTCGCCGCAGGCTCAGATGAGGGTAAGAATGTCGAGGTTTGGGACTTGCGCAAGCTCACTACTGTTGGCAAGCTTGCGATTGAAGAGGAAGGAAGCACCGGCGTTTCGGCAGTCAAGTTTGACCCTTCGTTGCAACTGCTCGCGGTGGCAACGGACAGCGTCAACGTGTATGCGAACAAGTCATGGACCCACCTAGCAAAGTTGCAAGGAACAGCAAACTTGACTGGGCTGGCGTGGGATCACCGAGATGGCAAGATTGTCGTTTCGAGCCTGGATCGCACAGTGCGCACGTTTGGCCTCGCTGCTTGAGATTGACGTTGATCTGTACCATGATACAATGTTTCGTACCTGTTGCACCGATACCATCGAAAGCCAATGCAGCCCATTTTGGGCTATGTTTCATTGTATCGATGATTATGGATTCCAAAGCATACTTAAGCTGGTGAGGAGAACTGAATTTTGCAACCTTCTTTTGCCGGTCATTTTTTTTTTTTTTTTTTTTTTTTTTTTTTTTTTTTTTTTTTTTTTTTTTTTTTTTTTTTTTTTTTTTTTTCATTTTTTTCATTTTTTGTTTTTGTGCTTGACCACTCCTTTCTTGTGAGTGCTGCGGAATCTCCTCGGGGATGCCCATCACGAAAGCCACACCGCACTTGTTTGCTTGGTAGATCCGTCCATTTCAGAGATGCTTCCGACCTGATCACCAAAGACACAATGCCGCAAAATGAATGAAAAAGGCACCTAAAGGAAGCTGATGGAAGGGGCGGCAAGCTTTGTTGCGCTCAGGTATCTGAGAATATTCATGCCAGTGACGAAAAAGCTGGGAGATCTGCCAAGGGAAAAGAGTGGGATTTGAATCCCCGCCGATCTACGCGGGTAAAGAATTCATATGAGAAGAAGCGATACCCTGTAAGCAGCTTTACGTATCTGGTATGGCGGCATTTCGAAAAAGAGTGTCGAATACAGTTATCGTGCAGTGGAGCAAAGTAAGCAGCTTGCAGCCAAGTTGCAAAGGGTGCGAATCGGACCCCACGGAAATGTCAGTAACACTGTCCTCCAAACAAAGCGCTGAGCCGCCAAGTGCCTTGGAATGAGCTCCCATGGAGACGGAAAGGAAGATCATGGCTTCGCTGAGCTTTCACGACGAGCCCTGTTCCAGCACAGAAACGAAACGCCGCGGAAAGACTCACGGAGCGGGAAAGCCGCGTCGAAAAAAGTGTCGGAAAGCAATCGTCACGCGACGCTTATCATCATATCGTGTGAAATTGATTTTTTTTAGCGACTTTGACATCGGAAAGGCCGAAGGGATTCGTGGTAAGCAGATCTCCGCGGAGAATTGAGCTATCTCTTCTTTCCGTCCTAGACGATAATACTGTAATTTAAAACGAAAAACGAAAAACGAAAAACGAAAAAAGAAAAAAGAAAAAAGAAAAAAGAAAAAAGAAAAAAGAAAAAAGAAAAAAGAAAAAAGAAAAAAGAAAAAAGAAAAAAGAAAAAAGAAAAGAATAATAATAATAAAAATTGGATGGATGTGTGACAGACGTTTCGCTGGAGGAAGAAAGCAGATTCCTCAGCTGAAATTGGTCAAAGAGAGGTGAGAGAGAGTTGAAGTCCTTCGTCAGTGCGTTGGAGTCAGTCGTCAGTGCGTTGGAGTCAGTGGTTGATGATGATGGTAGGAGAGAGAGAGAGAGCGAGAGAGCTAGGAGTCTATATATACAAAAGAAGAGCGGCGGAGAGCCGCATTGACTGCGGAGCATAACAAAGCATTTGCCTTGAGTAGGTTGTGACACATGTGGTCCGTGCTAAGATGTTCAGGCCTTTTACTCGGCCGTAAGCACTACCTTCACTGTCTCCACGCTTTGTGCGGCTTTATCTACTTCAACTCCCCCCCTCAACAGCATATGTACCCTGTTCATTATGCTGTTGCTTCAAGGTGTGACCTCCGTTCTTCAACACTGTCGCATAGCTCGGGGACCCCGTTCCGTACACTGCTGCCGGTATTTGCAGGTGTAGCCCAGATCTTGCTTGCTGCATTGCCTGCCTCCCAATGGGCTTCGTGAGTACGTCTGCCAAGTTTCTTGTGGTGTCTACGTACTTGATCTGCACCCTTCCCTCTTGTACGTTGTTACGGACGAAGTGATACTTGGTGTCGATGTGCTTAAGCTTCCAGTGCTGTGCTGGGTCCTTACTAACCTGTATGCAACCAGTGTTGTCCGAGTAGACCGTCGGTGTGCCTGTGGCAATGCCAATTGAGCGTAGCAGTTGCTTGAGGAAGAGCACCTCACGTGTTGCTTCCGTGGCTGCAATGAACTCTGCCTCGACAGCGGACAATGACACGCATTTTTGTGTCGCTGACTTCCAGGCTACTGGGTTCCCGTACACTAATGCCACTGACCCCGATGTGCTTCTTCTCTGTATGGTGGCATCGCTTGCCCAGTTTGCATCGCTGTGTGCAACCAGTGGCTCTTGCGACTCACTTGCCCTATAAACCAATCCAACCTGCCTTGTGCTTTCGAGGTAGCGTAAGACTCTTTGTGCTGCCTGATAATGCTCCTGCGATGGTTCACGCATGTGCCTAGCGAGAACACCCACGGTGAGACTAAGGTCGGGCCGGGTGCTGTTGGCAACCCAGAGCAGCTTGCCAACAATCACCGGATACTCCTTCTGTTGTGCTGCGCTTGCGACAAGGGTTCCCTCCGGTATGCTCTGCATTGGAACCATGGTTGGCTTCGTACGTTTGTCCAGGTGCTTCGCCAGCACTTGGTCGATGTACCCTGACTGACCAATCGTCATGGTGCGCATCGCACGGTCTCGACTGATTTTGATGCCCAAGAAGTGAGAGACCTCACCACTATCTTCCATCTTCCATCTCTGACTAATCTGCTTCTTAACCTCTAGGACCGTTTCCAGCCGTGGTGCTATGACTAATGTGTCATTGACGTAGATGACCACAATGGCCATATCTTCACCCTGTCCCTTGGTGTAGATACAGGGAGCGCACTCTACCTGGAAGAATCCCATGCGTCGCAAAGACCTGTCGAACTCCTGATTCCATTCTCGCCCAGACTGCTTTAGGCCATATAGGCCCTTGACTACCTTGTACACCTTGCCAGGTGCTACTCCTGATCCTTCTGGCGGCTTCATGTAGATTGCTTCCTTTAACGTGGAGTTCAAGTAAGCCATAGTGATGTCCAGAGCATGTACCTCCCAGTTGTTCTGCACCGCTAGTGCTAAGATGGCTCTGATCGCTCCGAGGGGTGCTACTGGAGAGAAGGTTTCTTGGTAGTCGATCCCCTCTCTCTGTGTGAAGCCCCTTGCAACCAGTCGCGCTTTGTGCTTAACAGGTACACCGTCAGCATCAAGCTTCAGCCGAAGCACAACCTTAGAGTCCACAAGTGGTACTCCTGGTGGTTGGTGCACCACCTCCCAAGTCCCCATTGCCTCAAGTCCTTCTAGCTCCTTTCGTATTGCCTCCTTCCAGAGCTGGGCGTCCTCACCATTCATTGCTTCCCCAAGCGTTGGGTCCAGGTTCAGTATTGCTGTGTTGGCGGCACCCACTGTGCTGTCTACGGCTGGTAGGAGATCCTCCACTGCAGTCTCTGATCTGGTCTCCTCCTCTACTATGGCTGGCGTGACACCCTCCTCCTCGACCTCCACGGTCACCATGGGCCTGACTGCCTCTTGTTGGCGATCACTCCATCCTTTGTCCTCATGGAACGTTGCTGAGTTGCTCCATTGAATTGACGCAGGCTGGTCCGGGTTGCAAAACTTCCATGCTTTGTGTTCGTCGTCATACCCAATCATGATGGCTGGCTTTGCTCTAGCTCCATGCTTGCCTTGCTGGTCCTTCTGTTGAACATGAACCCATGCCAAGCATCCGAAGACTCGCAGTTGCTGGGCCAGCTTGTGCGCGGTGGTTCCATAAAAGGCCTCGTGGGGAATGGTTTTGGTGGCTGACGGGGTAAGGTTCATCACGTGTGCTGCTGCTGTGATTGCGTACGGCCACAACTCTCTGGGGCAAGCTCGACCAATCAGCATCGAGCGCATCTTTTCTTGGACCGATCTGATTGCTCTCTCCGCCCGTCCATTTTGGACGCTGATCCCCGGGACGCTCTTTTGCCACTTAAAACCCTCTTGAGTTTGCCAGTCTTCGGCTGCTATGCTGCACCATTCTCCTCCATTGTCGCTGCGGAGTGTTTTGAGTTTCCTGTCCGTTGCCCGTTCCATCCTGGCTATCCACCTTCTCAGCACCGTGAGTGCGGCACTCTTTGTGCAGAGTGGTTCCACGTAGATTAGAGAGGAGAAGTCGTCCACAGCAACTAGTGCGTAGTGGTAGTTGGCATGTCCTTTGAAATCTGTCATCAGGTCTACATGTACCAGCTCTAATGGTGCCTCCATTCTTTCTGACTCTGATTGGCTCATCCGTGCTCGAGTCTGTTTTCCTTGACTGCACGCGTTGCAGTGCTTCGACTCATGTTCCATTTCCTCGTCGGTACCTAGGTAATGGGCCCGGATTTGTCTCGTTTTGTCTCGTCCTGGGTGTCCGAACCTCTCATGCCATAGGTAGCTGTCTCGATGCTTCATGTCCTTATTGCCCTCTGGGGCATTATCTAGTTTTCCTGTGTTCTGGTTGTCCTCTGGGACGCCATCTCGTGTTTCCTCCAGTTCCAAAACCCGTGCTTGTCCTCGCACTTTGAAGTGGCCCTGTCTTCTGTCCCTTTTGAATTGTACTTGGGTACCATCGTTCTGCTTTATGGTAGTTCCAAACTCATCAAAGATTACTCGTGCACCATTCTCGATCAAGCCTTGTACGGACAATAAGTTAGCATTCAGTTTCGGTACATAAAGCACATCCAATAGTTGGATGGTGGCCTCACCAACCCGAAGGGAGGCATCTCCTATAGCCTTCACCTGAAGCTTTTCGTCCCCTGCCGTACTGATTTGGCCGACCTTGTTCGTTGAGGTGAGCAGCATTCTCTCATCATTTACCATATGATGGGTTGCACCTGAATCGATGATCCAGGTGTCGCATGCTGATCGCTCGCCCCTGTCGACTGCTAGAAAGGTGCACCCGAGTTCCTAGTGGTTCACTTCCTGTGCCAGATTGGGGGTGGGTCCGTCTCTACTAGGTGCGGGGTTATTGTTGGTGTTCGTGCAGTTTCGAGCAATGTGATTAGGTCCTCCACAAGCGTAGCACTTTGGAGGGGCCGAGGGGTTGCGAGGATCGCGCCTGCCTCTGGGTCCTTGCTCCGCCTGGTCCGTACTTGTGGCAACCCTTGCTGCTCCTCTAATACGGCCGGTGACCTCACCATCCTGCTGTTTCTTGGCGAGTGCGTGGTAGGCTTCGTCATATTTACAGTCTGGTCTGGCCGTTTTCAGTGCGTCGACGGTGTTGGCATAGAACCAGTCTTGGGCCGTGCAGCGATAGAGAGTTGATTTCTTGAGGTCCTCGTCGAAACGCTTTCCCAGGCGTGCCGCATCGTTCCAGATCGAATCGAGTTCCTTGCCTAGCCTGACAACGTCTCGATTGTGCAATCGCACTGTGTGAATACGATCCTGCAGTCCTGCTTGCTTTACAGCGTCGTTCAACGTTAGTGCCTTCTTGAGTTTGGCATAGAGTGTGCTACCGAGTTGGACTTCTTCATCCACTCCCCTGACGGTGTAGGTGTCGATACGGCTGTCTGGACTGTTGTCACAGCAGGCGTGGATGAGGCCCACGAGGGCTTTATCCAAGTCTTCGTCGTATTCCTCGTTTCCAGGCGCTACCGTGCCATACAGTATCTCCTTCGCATTATGTACTCTTTGGAGGCAGTCGATGAAGGTAGGTTCCCAAGTGTGCCAGTTGCTGTCGCTGAGCTTCTTGATGTGCGCAATGGCGCTCGACACCTCCTTGGGGATCTTCTCGGTTTCCCTGCGCGGGGTCTGGTTGCTAATGCTGATGAGACCCATAGCTCGTACGATTGCTTCCTCGGCCGTTAGTGCTGGGTTCGCCAGCTGGAGGATCCTGACTACCTGCGTGAGCCATCCTTCCTCCTGTCCATTGCTTGGGGTCGTTTGATCATCATCGCCCCTTCCCGTCTGTCCAGCTCTTGTCGATGGCGGCATTGCGTTGAGTGTCAGACTCTTAATCAGTTGAAGTCCTTCGTCAGTGCGTTGGAGTCAGTCGTCAGTGCGTTGGAGTCAGTGGTTGATGATGATGGTAGGAGAGAGAGAGAGAGCGAGAGAGCTAGGAGTCTATATATACAAAAGAAGAGCGGCGGAGAGCCGCATTGACTGCGGAGCATAACAAAGCATTTGCCTTGAGTAGGTTGTGACACATGTGGTCCGTGCTAAGATGTTCAGGCCTTTTACTCGGCCGTAAGCACTACCTTCACTGTCTCCACGCTTTGTGCGGCTTTATCTACTTCAACTGAGAGACCTCTTCGATAGCATAGCGTGACAGTAGTGTGGTGGTGAGTGGAGGTTGCATTGTTGACCCACTCAATCTTCTCTGTGTGTGTGTGTGTGTGTGTGTGTGTGTGTGTGTGTGTGTGTGTTGATCCTGTTGGTCGTTTTATCGCGATTAGAGCGAATCTCATTGTCCGCTGTGCAGCCATTCAGCTCAGATTGACAAGCAGACCAAAGAAAGCTCAGACTGGTATCGTCGTGACACCAACGACGAACAACACACCTCTTTCTTACCACCTTGACTCCACCACATTACGCCCCTGCGACCAGACCCGCCTTTTGCCTACCTGTCCTTTCCGAACTGGCACCATTACTTATCAGCTACTCGAATTCGCCGGCCCACTTCTACGACCCTTGATATCCGTTCCCACCGACCGCTTTGGCAGAAATAAAACAATTTCGCAAGTTCCGAGTGCTATGCTTTCTGCCCTCGTTTCATCTCGACTTTCGAAAGCTCAGTCCAGGTTCAGTGAGGATTGACTCTTGCTGCGCAACCAGTTCGGCAGCCACTTGGTTTCATTCCCACCACACCACACCTCGTCGACAACTCTGTCACCGCCACCGCCTGGAGGTGGCCGCTCTCAATAGCAGCCACAAAACTTCTTCGCTCCCTCTCGAATGGATCCAATCTAGCTTATACTGCAAACCACTTAGCTATAAGCAGCTTCAGCTTTTTCATCCTGCTTCACAAAAGAACACGACTGTGCCCTCGTCGTTGCATCAAATCTCTAACATGTACAATCCTGGCATGTACCAGCAGGCCGCAGTGTCGCCAGCTAATGCCGTCTACCAACAACACACGATGCCTTCTACGTCGAGCTTTCCCGCCGATATGCAGGTACACATCAACTCTCAGCAGCCAAGCATGCCAAACACATCCTCGAATCCCGACATGTCAGGGCACGCTGCCGATGCCTCTGTGGACACTAACGACCAAGATGACGAAGAGGGTGCTGGCAAGAGGAGGAGAGTCCAGCGCGCATGCGACGTGAGTAGCCCGTAGAGCCGAGAATCTGCCAGAATCTGCTCAGAACAGCCATCTCTCAGAACAGCCATCTGATAGCTTCTTTCTTCTTTCTTCGTAACCTCCCTCACTCATCTCGAAAACAGACATGTCGAAAGAAGAAGGTCCGCTGCGATGGCCTTCAGCCAGAGAAAGGCGCTTGTTCCAACTGGTAAGTCTTCTGCTTGATCCCTTGTCTCCGCTGTAGGCCGATTCAATACTGACACGTACGTATGACGCCGCTCTACTCGCATCACCTCCCCTCAGCGCCAACTATGGATACGAGTGCACCTTTGTCGACGCAGCACGAAAGCGCGCACCACCCAGAAGCTACGTCGAGGCCATCGAGGCTCGAATCGTCAAGATGGAGCAACTCGTCTCTTCTCTAGCACCAGGCGTTGACTTCACCGACCGCATCGGCAAGCCCATCAGGCGGCCAGATGAGAAAGGCGATGAGGGCAACAGCGACTTCAACCAGCCTTCACAAGCAGCTTCGGTGAAAGCTGAACATCCTCTGCCTGCCATCTCGGTCGAAAGAGCCAACAGTTTCTGTGCTTCTGGCACATCCATCTCCCAGATGCTCTCGCCATCCCATGCCAAGGTGCGCAGCAATACCGACTCCTTGAACGAGCAGAGCAGCGAAGATGACTCGGAAGATGACATCGCTTTCATCGAAAGCAGATTCGGCGACGTCAATTTGAAGACACTGCCCACCGAGACTTCCAGTACAGCCACTTTCGATAGCAGTCGTTCCGAGCGCCTCATCCTTAATGGGTCGGCAAAGGCAGATCCTGCTTCAGAAGCTACAGGGACACACAAATTTATTGGCAAAGCCAGTGCCATGCATTCCCTTCCTATCCTCGAAAGGCTCAGCAGCAAAAGCTGCATCGAACTTGGCATTCATCCCAAGGGTGCAAGGCCAGAGTACTGGGCAATACCTGCAGGTTTCATCGACCCTCCTGGAGATCCCGCCGTCGCCGTCACGGCGTGGCCCGCAGCTGACCTCGCCGACAAGCTCATCAATGCTTACTTTGGCCGCATGAACCACGAATTCCCTGTCGTCAACGAGTCACAGTTTCGCGACGAGTACATGAATCACCCGGAACTGCGTCAAGATTCCGAGTGGCTCGGACTCGCCTTCTGCATCTTCATGGTTGGCAGCCACTATCTCGTCGACGACAGGGTCAGGGCTTTCTCGAGTGATCCACACTCGCGCGGAATGCACTGGTGGCAGGCTGCCAAGGGCCTCATGTACCGCAACGCTCAAGTTGTGAAGCCACTCTACCACATTCAATGCCTCTTGCTCTCCACTCTCTTTCAGCTTGGTCTTCCACTCGCCGCCTCCGCCTCCTGGCTTCATCTCGGCGGCGCTATTCGACTCCTGCTCGACGTTGGAGCTCATCGAAAGCAAGCAGCCAAGAAGCTTGGTCTTTCTAGGATTGAACAAGAGACCTACAAGCGTACCTTCTGGGTCGCTTACAGTCTCGATCGCGAACTTGCCTCCTCGCTCGGCAGGCCCATCATGCTTCAGGATGAGGACATTGACGTCGAGCTTCCCATCGAGATCGATGACGAGTATCTCTTCAACACACCGGAAGGGCAACCTCTGCCCAAGCAGCCGGGAGGCAAGCCGGCTCTGATTGGTGGGTTTCTTTGCTCGCTCAGACTTGACGAGATCGTCGGACGCACCCTCAAGACTGTCTATGCGCTGCACAAGACCAAGTTGCGATTCGGTATCAATTCGAGAGAGTGGGACGAAAGACTGGTCACCGAAATTGACTCGGCACTCAACAACTGGCTTGACACAGTCCCACCACACCTCCGCTACGACCCTCACGAGACCGACGACGAATGGTTGATGCAGTCTTCGCTCCTTTACTCCAAGTACTACAACTGCCAGCTTCTGGTTCATCGTCCATTTATCCCTGCCAAGAAGGGATCCAACCAGAACTCGATCCTCAATTTCCCTTCGCTCGCCATCTGCACCAATGCTGCACGAAGCATCAGCCATCTTATTCAGAACCTCAAAGACCGCGAACTGCATAACGCTGTCGGCATTCCCGTTGCATTCAGATCGATCTCTGCCAGCTCAATTCTTCTGTTGGTCGTCTGGGGTGCCAAGAGGAATGGCGGAAGGGTTTCCAGCTCGGCATCAACAGACTTGCGTCGCTCGATCGATGTCTTGCGATCCATGGAAGCGCACTGGCAATTCTGCGGCAAGGCAGTTGACATTCTCGAGTCCGTCATGACTTCGACGCATGTCACCGTCCCAAGAAATAGCTCTTTCAATGAGCAGGGGACCAAGCGGTCTCGTGATGGTGAAGAGGTGCAGGACGGCCAGCTTGAAGAAGAGACTTCATCGGCGCTGCCCTCGGCCAGGAACGGAAAGAAGTCAGACGCATCAACTGGCAAGATTGGAACCAAGGCAAACGGCAAGATTGCGCATGGTGGCAGCGCCGATGGTCAGCCGCTAGCTCCCGAAGCAAGGCAATTGCCCTTGTCGACACAGCAGCTCGCCTCCATGACGCCACGATCCAGTGCAGAGCAGTCGCCATCATCGGCCAATAATGACGGCAACACCATGCCTTTCGCTGAGTCGGACGCACAAACCACGTTCTTCGGCGATCCTTTCGATCCCAAGACGCCTCAAGCCGCACCTCGCGCTCGCATGCCCTCTTTGGGTGGCGCTTCTGGCATTCCAGCGTCTCTGTCTTTTGGTCTGATGACCCCTTCAGCCGCGAACTGGGGCAACATGGCGCAGAACTATTACATGCAAGAACTTCATTCTCAAGCACATGCATCTCAAACTCTCCCCGCCATCACCCCTTCCATCTTTGACAACCTCGGCTTGCCTGCAGGCTCAAATGGCTTCATGGGTACCAATATTGGCGACATGTCTGATATGGCGCAATTTGGCTTCGGCGCAGAAGGCGAGGAAGGTCTCGGTGTCAATGGAGACATGTGCGGCAATCTTGATCGCTACTACACCGGAATGGATGGGCAGGGTCTCTCGACCAACGGCGAAAACACCACGCAAGGCTCTCAAATAAATATACCGCAGTCAGACAGCAGCAACGGCCTCACGAATTATGCATTCGAGCTGCTGCAGAAGCAGAGCGTCTGGAATCTGGACGAGGAGTCGCTTAACTTTTTGCAGCAGCAAGGTCAACGTTGGTGAAAATATAGACGTCGGTTCAAGATCAGTTCGAGACCAGGGTTAGGGTTAGGTTAAGTTTAAAACATCTGTACGTAGAAGGTCTCTTGGGCTAGGGTTAGCCTCATTTCCCTTGTGTTAAATCACACGCATCATCGAATCACACCACCTCTTTGATCCTTTCAGAGCTTGTTGCTGATTGAGGACTTTGTGAGTGAAAGTGAAAGTGAAACACACATCGAAGAGCACAGAAAGAGTAGAAGTTGCGATGTGTAAACTACAGTGCTAATGATATATCGAACGTCTAAGCTAGACAATGCCAGAGACCGACACTAGATCACGAATACTCTGGTTCTGCGCAGGCCGCCTGGACCAGCTGAGCCTCGCACACCCGTGGTCAGTGCTGGTGGATGCTTTCGTTGAAGCCTAGCAAACGCTTCTTGGATGTGCGAGGCTAATAGCGGCGTTTCAACCGAAGGAGGCAGTGTGAACAGGGTACACAGCTCGTCGTCAGTCCCTTTGGCGTTGGCTGTTGTGTTGGCCTCGTCATCTGCTTCCTGCGCATCCGCTGCTTCACCATTCTTAGCTTCATCGGCCTCACCAGCTGTTGTTGCTGCTGGCCCATACATGTCTGAAGCTTCCATCTTGGCTCGCTTCTCCGCCGCCTCACCCTCTGTATCTCTACTATTGTCGTCTTGCTTGCGTTTCGCTGAGGCCGCGGATGACGACGAAGAAGATGCTGCGGGTAGTGCTTGTGCTTGCTGTTGTTGTTGTTGCTGTTGCACGTCGGCACGGACCCTTGCAGCTTCCTGTTCCTCCAAGGACTTCTTGATCGCTACTGCACCCACGCACAGCTCTCTAACCACCTCGAAAGCCAAAAATCCGAGGATGTCAATGATATCGTCGTTCGGCTTGACGTCCAAGTATGCATTTGTGTTGATGAACTCTCTGAACTTCTTCGACTTTCTGAAAGTGAAACTTGCCTGTCTGCACTCCGAGTAATGTACATACTCTTCCCTCGTCATCCGTCTTGTCGCTTCATCTGCATCTTTCAGTCTCTGCATCGACGCCTCGTGTGCTTCGATATCGTCATCGTCCTCTTCTTCCTCTCCTTCTGCATTAGGCAGCGCCAACACGTGCTCCGAGTAGATGGAAGAGATCTCCCATGGTAGCCGGATCTTCATCTTGGTCGCCTTCGTATTCGCACCATCCATGGCCGAAGGATCGTCTAACGCATCCATCTCGCCCGCTCCACCTGCTCCACCACCAGAATCACCAGAGTCCTTGGCATTCTTGCGAACGTCTTTCCATGACAGGTACGTACGCAGCCTGTTGACCTTCGCTCGATCGTATCGGATGAGAAAGATGAGATCTTCGGGTGAAAGGTACTTGGAAGAACGACGTTGTGCGAGACGGCGAGATTGGATCATCATCTCGATGACCTGGCTGCGAACAATGTCTTCGACAAGTTTGGTGATTTCGGGTGCTGGATCAACAACATCGGCGAAGACGAACATCATTTGGGAGATCTCGACTTGGTATCGGTATCCAGGAGCAGGTGCATCGCCGGTATCGACCTCCATCCCGGGTCCGGGGAAGGAGTTGGAGCTTGACGGTCCTGTTTTCGACATGGTGTGCGAGGACGGGAGGACTTTGCACTGACTGGATTGATGTGCTCGACGGAAAGGTGAAGCGCGGCCAGGTAGAATAGGTGCGATGCGGATGTGGTGTGCAACAGCCGTTGAACAATTGAGGTCGAACATGAAGTTGGCCTGCAGCAACGTCTTGCCGACCTAGCCGCGGGGCGGAAAACATTGTGTTAGATCTACACAGCTTTGGTGATGTGGATGTTAGAACCTCTCTCTTGAGATCTTTGAATTTGTGGAGCGGCTATACAGAAGCTTTGGGGATTGCTTTTCGTCATCCTCAAGCTCGCTTGCCACAGAACAAGCTTTTTTGGACTGCAGAACGTCGGCAAAGCGCTTCCGAGTAGAAAGATGACCTTCTCCGACGTCCTGTGTTTGAAACTGCATGAAGAAGATGCTGCACCGGGTCGCCGGACCCTCATTGCAAGTGGAGGCATCGCGATGGACAACCCTCTTGGTGACCGGCTCGCTTTTGTTCAAAAGCTACGATTCACTCTCCTCCTCATTCTTCTCCGTTGCAACACACATCCGAGAGAGTATCACCTAAAAACATGGTCAACAAATCTGTTCGAGTCACCAAGGCGAAAGGTGCTTTCGTCGAGACACAGCCCAAGGCTTTCTCGGCCTCAGACCTGGAAGCCAACGAGGTCTTGATCAAGAACGTAGCAGTAGCTTCGAACCCTAAGGATTGGAAGCTCGCTTCGTATGGAATGTACGAAGGAATCAAAGGCAACGATGTGGCTGGGCATATTGAAGCAGTTGGATCCGATGTCAAGGATCTCAAGAAAGGCGATCGGGTAGGTTCAGCAACCACGCTCTCCACGATGGTCTTCTGAAAAACACTTCATGTACTGACTCAGCGATCTGTCTTCCTATGGTGACCAACGCAGGTGGTTGCCTTCACCCGCATGGCTTCGGGCGACAAGTACGGTGCATACCAGCCCTACACTGTGGCACCTGCTTGGACCACGGCCAAGCTCGCTGACAATGTCAGTCTCGAGGACGGTTCCACCCTTCCTCTGGCTATCACTACTGCTTTTGTCGGGCTTTTCGACAAGCTGGGCATTCCTGAACCCACCAGTGATGGCAAGCCCGCTATCGGCGCTGATAAGGTCACCCTTCTGGTGTGGGGAGCTAGCTCGTCTGTCGGTGCATACGTGATCCAGCTTGCCAAGATCGCCGGCTACAATATCATTGCTGTAGCCGGTGCTGCCAAGGACTCGGTGCGAGAATTTGGCGTCGACTCGAGCAAGATTGTCGACTACCGAGATGACCGAGCCACCGTCATTGCGAATCTGAACAAGGCTGCCGGTGGTTCGGTTTTCACTCATGTCTACGACTGCATCACTTCGCAGGACACCGTCGAGACCATTGTAGAGCTGCTCTCGACTGCTCCGAACAAGGGAGGCAAAGTGACAACAGTGCTTTCCAGCGCTTACGACGACAAGGACACCAACGTGAAGCTGCAAAAGGAGAAGGGCGTCAGCTTTGACAGGACCATGTGCGGTAGTGTTCACAACGACAAGGTCGATTTCGGCACACGCTGGTTCAAGACGGTCACCGAGTGGACGGTCGAGGGCAAGATCAAGCCAAACAAGGTACAACTCCTTGATGGCGGTCTCGATGGCGTTCCGGCTGGACTCAAGTTGCTGCAAGAGAACAAGGTCAGCAACCGCAAGCTAGTTGGTAAGTGCACGGCTTCACGTAAGGCAAGGAAGTGTGACGGTGACCCTATTACCGACATTCCGTCTGACTTTCTCACGCTTGATGCCGCTTTGCAACAGCCCGAATTGCCGATACAAAGGCTTAGACTGGTCTCCATTAGAAAAGCGAGTGAACAGCCACTAATACCACAGTTTTCAAAGAGTTCTCATTGACATACTCATCCTATTGCCAATCTTGAGCTGGGATCGCTTAGCCCATGTCATTGGACGATAAGCCTGTGTCAGCAGATAAGCCATATACATGTTGATTTGACGGCAAGGTCACAAAGCACAAAAGTAGTAGCATAGCAAGACCTGCTGATCATCTGGACCGTAAAAGCCGAGATCGACAGAGCAACACGATACGGCCAAGTCTCGGTGCTTTATCGCGTGACTCGGCCCAAGTGGGGAGAAAGGGTCCTTTGAGGGAATTTTTTCTCAAATTTTTATCGTGTTGGTTGTTGTGCATTGGAATGGCTTCGGAGCGCATTTCGCGCTTCTAACGGTGACTCCTGTGGCCTCCTCGAACCCTTGACTTCCTCTGATAGATACACCCGCCATCATCATCCGATCCAACCACATCAACCCTTGTCCTACTCCATACGCACATAGACACTATGCCTGCTCCAACCTCCTCCGCGGCTGCTGCTGCCAACGCCGTTCAGCAGGCTGCCTCTTCCTCGACCATGGCGCCACTCAACGCTGACCTCCTCCAGATCACGCTCAACGAGAACGCACCCGCACCAGACTTCGAGAAGCTCGTCTTCGGTCAGAAGTTCTCCCCACACATGCTCATCGTCGAATGGAACCACAAGTCTGGCTGGGGTGTTCCCAAGATCCAGCCCTACGGCCCCCTTTCCCTGTCCCCTGCCGCTCCTGTCCTCCACTACGCCAGCGGTCTCTTTGAAGGCATGAAGGCCTACCGCTCCGCTGATGGCTCTGGCAAGATCCGTCTCTTCCGTGCAGACAAGAACATGGAGCGCATGAATCGATCCGCTGCTCGCGCTGGTCTGCCCACCTTCGACGGTGAAGAGTTCATCAAGCTCATCAAGACCCTTGTTCGCATCGACCGAGACTACGTTCCTCACGGCGAGGGTCAGACTCTTTACCTCCGTCCTACACTCATTGGCACACCAGACACACTCGGCATGGGTGTCCCCACCGAGGCCAAGCTATACTGCATCTGCAGCCCCGTTGGCAACTACTACTCTTCCGGCACTGGTTCCAAGCCCGTCTCGCTTCTTGCACGCACTGATGTCGTCCGAGCATGGCCTGGCGGAACTGGCTGCTACAAGCTCGCTGCCAACTACGCTGGTGCCACTCGCCCCGCCATGGACGCTTTGCTGGAAGGCTACCACCAGGTCCTTTGGCTCTTCGGCCCTGACAGACAGCTCACTGAGGTAGGCGCAATGAACCTCTTTGTCGTCTTTCGTGACCAGGGTGTTGACTCGGAAAGCACACGATACGAAGTTGCCACCGCCGCTCTTGACGACGGCACCATTCTCCCTGGTGTTACACGAGACACCATCCTGTCGCTTCTCCATGCCTACAAGGCAGGAAACGTGCAGATCGAAGGATTGCCCAAGCCCGAGCTGATCGATGTTGTCGAGAGAAAGGTGACGATGGACGAGATCATTGAGAAGGCCGAGAAGAGCCAGATCGCTGAAGTGTTCGGCTCAGGAACTGCTGCTGTAGTCTGCAGTGTCGACAAGATCGGCTTTGAGGGCATGGACATCCCCATCCCTATTCAGGCGGACGGTATGGGCGCTTTCATGCGCACGATGCTCAGGGAGGTCACTGGAAGGCAGTGGGGTGCCATTCCTTGTCCTGAGTGGAGCACTGTCTGCTAAACCACTTGATGCAACTGATTTATCTCACTCTTTGATAGAATGATCGAAAGAATTCGCTTTCTCGCAACACACTCCTTTAGCCCTTAGATCCTCAGTTTTTCAAACTTCACGGTAACGGCACATACACTCGTTTATACCACGCACTCGAAAACCTTCCCTTCGACAGAGCAATAGAAAGCAATTGAAACAACTCATTGTGCATGACACTAGTACAGTGTGTGATTGATTCGGATAAAGAGCGTTCAAATGGTGTATCGGAAGTAAGAACTCTCTTCACCGCGCAGCAAGACGTCAATCTTTCTTACTTCTTCCTCGCTCATCAAGGTACTCTCGCCGACTCCAGCCCGCCTCTCCTCGTCCACTTCGCTTCCACTTGGCCTCTTCACCTCTGGAGTAGCACCAGCTGCGTTGTTGTCTGATTGAGCCATCATGGCATCCTCGCGATCTCTACGTCGGTTAATCCTCCAGAACCTGAAGCTCAACCCGGCAGAGATGATGACACCGAACAGCAGCAATGCCGCACTGGTTGCTGTACCCTTGACATAGTATGGCTTCTCCTTGGCAGGGAAGAGATGCGTTCCGAGCAAAGGACCACACTGGCCGATGGTGGCAAAGATGATCAAACCGAGACCTTTCTTCGATTCGCTGACCTGATTCGTCATCAACCACATGTACAGGATAGGGATGAAAGGGAAGAGGCCGTTGATGATGAGCCAGACACCGACGTATCGTGCCGCTGGGGAGCGAAGACAAGCCAGCATGATGTATCCGATAGCGCCGATAGTAAGAAGGAAAGTGCAAACAGGGCCGCGAATCTGCCAGCGATCCGTGAGCCAGCACGCCGTGATGGAGATCATGAAGGCGAGAACATAAGGTGGTGCTGAGAGACCTTGCGCTTTGATGCTGCCGAAACCCATTTCTGATATGAGCGTAGGAGTGTAGACGGGAACACTCGAATAGCCGACGTTGATGATGAAGAACAAAACCGCAGTGATGTAGGACATAGGGTCGGTGAAGGCAGAGGCGGCTTTGGTCCAGCTGACCTGCTCCTTCATCCGTCTTGTTACACCAGGATCGGTGGCTTGACCTGTCTCTTCGATCTCGATAGCTTCAGGGGGTGGTGGTCGGAAGAGTCGAGCTTCGGCAATCGCCTTTTCTCGTGCGGTGAGGAAGCTGGCAGTCTGAATGCTGTTGGGCAAGACGAGGTATGTGATGGGAACCAAGATCAATGTCGGAATACCTTCGATCAGGAACAACAGCCTCCAAGACTCTACCTCTGTGTGAACATGCACCAGTCCATATGCGATGGAACCTGCAAGCGCCGCAGAGATTGCTCCCGCCGATACAAAGATACCGAACCTCAAACCAATCTCCGTCTTTGGGTAGAAGAAGCTCAAGTACAAGGCCCAGCCTGTCCCGTAGCCAGATTCGCTCAAGCCCAACCAGAACCTGGCTGCCATCATACCCGCCCAATTCTGCGTCGTCGCTTGACAGACGCCGCTGATGCCCCATACGAGAACGCAGAAAGTCATCCAGATGCGTGGAGGCAGCAGCTTGTACATAAATACCTGGAATTGGAAGACGATGTAGGCGATGTAGAAGATCGTGAGGAGCCACTGGAATTGCGAATCGGACATGCCCAGAGAGCGCTCCATCCCAGCCATCTTGGCATTGCCAATATTTGATCTGTCGAGCAGGGCTGCAAGGTATAGGAAGAAGGAAGTGATCACGATACGCAAATCCAGCTTGCGTCGGATGGCAGCTTCTTCTGAGTCGGACCACCACTTGTTGAGTTTGGAAAGCCAAATGTCTTTGTGTAGGGTCGAGTCGTGAGTTTGAGTGGGCATGCCATGGGAGGAGAGGCTGGCTGCATCGCCAGAGGGTCCGGCCTCAGGTGTCTTGATGTCGTGAGCCATCTTGATGGATGAAGATGATGGATGAAGATGATGGTGTGGAGAGACAGTGGCGAGCACACGGTTGACGAAGAGGTTGAAAAGGTGTCGGCGGATGTGCCACTTTTGCAGGCGTGAGCGGACGAAGCGGTGGGACTTTTGGCTGCAGGAAGCTGCATAGGCCCAGGTGGGTGTTGTTACCGAGTCAAGACTAACTTAGGTTGAAGCTTTCTGGCGAGCCGAGGGCATACAAGATTTGGCCGCTCTGTGCAAAGAAACGAAAAGAGCGATGGCACATGGCAACATCGAGGTCGACAATATCGACTGAATATGACAACGCTTCAGTGCAGCTTGAGCAACATTGCGTAAGGTTCATCTCGGCCATTGTCCAAAAAGTCCACAACGCCACCGTTCCGACTTCGAGCACGATGCATCCATCAGGCTGCTCTGTGTATTCTCCCATAAGGAGCTAAGCATTGGTTCATCAGCGTCAAAGAAAGCCCAGTTGAAGACATGTGTGTGATAAAAAGTGAGGAGAACGGGTCCCGATAGTCGACGATCGGTGAGAGGCGGAGGGCGATGTCACTGCTGTTTAGGACAGAAACATATATACTTGATTGACTAAGGAACGTGGTGTGAGCCTAGTGCTCACAGCTTGATATATTGCATCTGCATGGCACCTGCCGAATGTGGGAGTACTCTACTTATCTGGCTTGACAACGAGCGGGACTGTGTTGTACCCGATCTCTGGTCAGATCGGTTCTACCAGATCTCCGATTAGGTGAACTTTCCCCGATCTGTTACCAGATCGTGTCCTGCTGGATCGTTATCTTTAGCAGTGTGAGGTCAATGGTGAACTACTAGAACAAAGCTTTAGTCAAAGTACCGGGTCCAAACCCGACCGATTCATTCGCCTGGCTTTCCGGCACCGCGCGGCCTTGTGCATCTAGCTTGTTCTTCCAGGCAGCGCCTCTCTTGTCCGGAGAGGGGAGAGCATCGTCGAGCAGCCTCATGATGCCAATTGCCTTTTCTTCATGATATGGTCTCGTCACCACCTGCACGCAAACCGGCAAACCAGCCATCTTCTTGGCATCGTATGCAGTCTTGTCGAGCAGGAAGTTGCACACTTTGCTCGTTGACTTCCAGCTTCGCTCGGAAGCCCACTTGTCATACGCCCTCTTCTGCTCTGCGGTTGCATGCTCAAACTCCTTCTCCTTCTGCGAGTCGAAAGCAGGATCGACACGCAGCACGGGCAGCACAGCGACAGGTGCCCTAACAATGTTGTAGAGCACTGTCGATCCCGCCATCGCAGCATTGTGGTTTCCGCCACCATGGGGCACTGCAGGGCATGCCTGTGTGGGAGCGATAAGCGCGTCGAGTGCGAGATCATTCCACATGGTGTGGTTCCACTTATCGACAAAACGCTCGCGACGTTCGAGCGCAGCAGCGTGCTCTGCAGCCGAAAGCTGGGCCATTGATGCAGCCAAGTCAGCGTAGATTGGGTCTCGGACGATGTAGCGGATGAAGAAAACCATCACGCCTCGCAGCCATCGAGAGATGCGGCTGAGTTTCACGGGCAATTGAAGCTGAGAGATGAGCTTGTCCGGTCCAAGGTCCTTCAAAAGCGTGCGATAGCCGTCAGCAGTGAGCAAGCGCAAGAAGATGCGCATGAGCTCGAGCGTCTGCAGCTTGCTAGGCTCGATTTCAATCAGCTCGACTCTCTTGTCCGAGTATTTTGTCTTGAGGGCGGCGACGCATTCCTGAATCGCGCGATAGCAGGCGGGTGAGGTACGGTAAATCCCATCACCAACGACGTAGCCGATTCGCAAGGGGACACCTCGAGCCTCGACCATACCGATCGGGTTGAGCCATGCTTCGTTGAGCACCACCGTTGTCTCGTCAGCCGTCTTGAACTGGGCTTTCTCTTGATCGTTCTCCACGGCTTCTTGAAGCACTTTGGGATCGTTTTTGTCCCTCGGAGTACGCAGCCATTTGGGTAGCTGCTGACGTACCACCTCCAAATATAGCGTCTCCACGTCCGCCGCTGTTCGACACATGGGTCCAATGACCGGCACAATGCTCTCAAACCCTTTGCCGAAGTCACACTGACCCCCATAGGCCCATCTCCCAGGGGAAGGCTTGACCGTGTAAATGCCGGCATGATGGGCCGGGATCCTTAGACTACCGGCAATGTCAGATCCGATACCGGCTACCGAGCCATCGCAAGCAACAATGGCACTTTCACCACCTGAACTTCCGCCAGAGGTATGATCAGGGCTGTACGGGTTGAGAGTGCGTCCAAAGACAGGATTGATGCTCTCAAAGGTCATCATTGTTTGCGGAACGTTGGTTTTGACATAGTGTACCGCGCCGAGATGTTGTAAAATCGATGCAGCGGTGGCAGTGGTAGACTCAAGCGGCTTTGCAAGCCAAGTCGAGAAGCCGATCGTCGTTCGGACATGAGGGATGTGGAAGGTATCTTTCAACGAAATCGGAATGCCATGCAGAGGCCCGACCAGCTCGCCAGTCTTGGCAAAGTGAGCATCGAGCTCAGCAGTACGCTCGAGAGCTTTGTCGACAAAGACCTCAGTGAGGCAATTGGTTCGGATCTGAGCTCGGCGGGTTGCACGAACGTAGGCGCAAAGAACTTGCGTTGCGGTCCAGCGACCAGCTTTGATGCCAGAGGTGATACCAGCAATGTCCGAGGAAAGGATGTCGAGGTCATGCTCCTGAAGACCAACTTGGAGACCAAAGTATCGGTGGTTGCTGTCCTGAACGATGATTGGTTCCTTGTAAGACGATTCGTCGGGTAGAGCGTGGCCGAGAGCAGCATCACGCTCGGTGATGTGCTCATCGATGACCTTCTGTGTAGCTGACTTGCCTCCGAGTCCGAGCATGTTGGATGTCTTTGGCTGGTGGAAGGATGTATGCTGTGCTTGCGCATACGTCGAGGCAAGAACTTACACATACAGCTCGGACCAGCTTTTAAGCTTTTCCACAAGGTTGTCGATCTTCCTGCTTCCTTCGTGAATGCCTGAATGCGGGGCCACCCAAAACTCGACCGACTCGACATCGCAAGCAGCTGTACATTACTCACCTGTCACACGAGGTTCTATGGTTATCACCACACTTGAACCCGACCAATCGGATGGCGTCGCTTAATTGTTACCATCTGTGTTGAACTGGGTCAATGTTAGAACCAAAACGTAACACGACAACGTCGAAGCAAAAAAATAAAAAAATAATCAAAATCGGTTTTTGCTTTCCGTCTGGACTCAATTGCACGAAACAAGACCGAAATTGTATATACCTAACACGAACAAACTAAGTGGATTGCAGGCAAAGAGCCGTGAGGTCCTCGAAGCTCGACAAAGAGGCTCCCGGCCCGCCGTAACAGAGAGCCGGCCGAGCGCAGAAACGAGCAGCAAGAGAGGGTGTACAGGGAGGGCAAATAATGACGAAACAGGCTGCTAATGGTACGCCTGGCTTTTGGTATAGATGATGGTAGTGTAGAGAGGAGCGGAGAAGGGGAACGAAGACTGATCACGTGATGCAGTCTCGGATCATCGCGATCCCGCCGATGCCATCCATGGTCAGTGCTGGCTCGGCGACGGGAAACTTTTATTACAAAGGAGCTGCAGAATCAGGTTGCAGAGAGTGAACGTGTCTTTGCAGTGTTGGACACTGCTGTTACACTTTTTCAATTTCCGGTTTTGCTATCTGCAGGTCCACGTTGGCTTGTGTCAGTTGGTATTGCAGAATGTAACTTGCACGGGATGGGACACTATTGAGCAATACAAAGTTGCTGCTGCAGGACGGGTCTTCCTGGCCGAGGCGGGCACGTTTTGTCCTCAACGGCATGCACGTTGATCACGCTGCCTTCTTCACCCTTCCTTTCAGTGCTCTCGAGGGGTTGCCCAGCCTGCTCAACGCTTTGTTGCTGTTGAAGCTCTCAGAGACACAATAGCGACTCTCGGCTGAAGCTCTGTCTACTCTTCGAGCTGTTCCAAGGACTATGACGCCAAGGCTAGACAAGGGAGGGAGAGAACGAATGGCGTCGATATAGTCCCGGACTGACAGACACATCGAGGTCTCGGTGATAACCACTCGACGAAACAGTGGCTGCTCAGAACAAAAGGCACATGCAGCGTTGTTCACCGAGCTCTACTCCGGTCGATGTATGACCGTTCCTCCATAGAGCATGCAAACTGCACGGAACGCATGAATCTTTTAAGCTCCTTCCTGATGTTTCTCCCTGTCGCCCCTTGGACGATGTTGGGCGTCTGCATCTCGAGCATGTGCTATCTTTTTCCCCCGTCAGTCGTTCGAGCTGCTTTTTCATGACCTTTTCCACAGCTTGTTCTCTTGGCAGATTCGTTCCGGCCTCTTCCTTGTCCAGTGAGCTCTCAGTTGACCCTGCATGGCTCATCCAATGTGAACTTTTCTGTGGCTCAAGTGTTGTTCTCGCCAAGATGTTGCACTCTCCTCCCTGTTGCTTTCCAGAGTTCATAGTCGTGTGCACACTCAACAGCTTCTTCCTTCCCTTCCTCTCCATCCAACTTCTCCCCCAAGACTTCAACGTGATCACGATCAACGAACCTCCCTTGATCATCTTCACTCGCGTCAAGCTACAAGACGGAACAAGATGCCTACCCCCGTCATCAACTCCAACGGCTCCTCGAGTCTAAGAAACGTCCAGTCGGTACCCAACCACGTCCGCACCATCTGCTGTATCGGTGCTGGCTACGTCGGTGGTCCTACTTGCTCCGTTATCGCGCTCAAGTGCCCTCACATCAAGGTCACCATCGTCGATGTCAACCCTGTCCGAATAGCTGCATGGAACTCGGACCTTCTTCCCGTGTTCGAGCCTGGTCTTGATGAGGTGGTTCGTCAGTGCCGCGGACGCAACCTTTTCTTCTCCACTGACATCGATGCTGCTATCCAGGAGGCCGATCTGATCTTTGTTTCCGTCAACACTCCCACCAAGACCTCTGGTGTTGGCAAAGGCTTTGCCGCCGACCTTCACTACGTAGAGGCTTCCACTCGTCGCATTGCTTCCGTAGCAACCAGCTCCAAGATCATCGTTGAAAAGTCCACCGTGCCCTGCCGAACAGCAGCGAGCATGAGGACCATTCTCGAGTCCAACTCTACCTACACTGCCGATGGAACCCTCATTTCTTTCCAAATCCTCTCCAACCCCGAGTTTCTTGCCGAAGGAACCGCAATCCGCGATTTGATGGCACCAGACCGTGTTTTGATTGGCTCGCTCGACACTCAACAGGGTAAAGCAGCCGCAGGAGCTCTCAGTGAAGTATACCAGAACTGGGTTGATCCTTCCAAGATCTACGAGACTGGTCTCTGGTCCTCCGAGCTCTCCAAGCTTGCTGCCAACGCTTTGCTCGCGCAGCGTATTTCCAGTATCAACTCTCTCTCTGCCATTTGCGAGGCTACTGGTGCTGATGTCGACGAAGTTGCTCACGCTTGTGGTCTCGACGCCCGTATCGGACCAAAGTTCCTCAAAGCTTCCGTTGGATTCGGTGGAAGCTGCTTCCAGAAGGATATCTTGAACCTTGTCTACCTGTCCGAGTCCCTCGGTTTGAGCGAGGTGGCAGACTACTGGCACCAGGTCATCAAGATGAACGAATACTCCAAATCTCGTTTCGCCCGCAAGGTCATTTCGACCCTCTTCAATACCATCACATACAAGAAGATCGCCGTTCTCGGCTTCGCCTTCAAGAAGGACACCGGTGATACCCGTGAATCGGCAGCCATCACCCTCTGCAAGTACTTCAGACAAGAACGCGCCCTGATCTCGATCTACGACCCTAAGGTCACTCACAACCAGATCATGCTCGATCTCACCGAGCCAGGTGTCGTTGATGATGCGGAGAATGCCAAGCAGCAGGTCAAGATCGCCGGATCGATGAAGGAGGCCTGCGAGGATGCTGAGGCCGTTATCATCTGCACTGAGTGGGACGAATTCAAGAACGCCACCGCTCAGGACTGGGCTGAGATCTACTCTAGCATGAAGAAGCCTGCGTTTGTGTTCGACGGACGTGGAATTGTCGATGCAAAGGTGCTTCGCAGCGTCGGCTTCAAGGTTCACGCTGTCGGCAAGGGCCCTCTCATCGTTGACCCCATCTGGGCCTAAGCTTTGGCTTTAAATCTCACAAAGCATCGCAGAATGCCCAAACTGTACAAGGACGTAAGAAGTGCCTTGCAGGATACCCCGCCCGTGGTTTGTTCTATTCCACTCTAAGCTTCAATGTTTTCGCCCTAGACAGACTCGTTTCGCAGATGCATCAGTTCGCATTGATTGTTACTGTCCGATTGACCCGTTGAGTGTGAGGTCGGTATGGTGAGAATGCTACAAAGAATGCTACAATTGAAAGTCCATTAGAAAAGGAAGTGAGTCTGGCAAAAGACCCAAAATGGCAAAGCTACGATGACTACGGCAAGCAGATCTTCCCTCCAACTGCCCTGCGTGCCTCTTCTGGATCCTGTATGACGAGGTCGCTCGTTGGCCAGAGGAGGATCATCGTCATCTCTCTTACGCTGATGCTCGCTGTTTAGCGGAAGATAGCTTGCTGATGTCTTTGTTCTTTGTTGCACGAAGCGTGACCAAAGCAAAAGCCCGAGAAGGCTCAAAATGAAGAACGGAAGATATAGTCCCATCCAGATACCGATCTGGTCAGGCAGTAGACAAGGCGTGTATGCCATAGTGACCTGCGCTGAGGAATCGGAAGGCGGGAACAAGCTCAACCTAGCAAAACCTGGCTTTCGTACACCTTCGGTCATCGAGATAGACTTGACGGTTAGCTCGGGAATCTGGTCGGGTTCGAACCCGTCCACGTAGGCTGTTGATGCGGAGGCGGCCGTCGTCTCGATTCTGCGATGTCGATATTCACAATGATCGTGGTCGTCCCCACTGAAGACTGCCATGGGGTTTATTGATTGCAGTAGCCAGTCGGACACTGATCGCGAGACCATGTTCTGATATGTCGAGCCTCGATCCGTGCCCTGATGCAGCGGTCTCGAGGATTCCCTGTTGACACCGTGCTCCTTTGTCCGGGCAGCATCATTGCAGCTCGTTCCTTCAGGTCTATGCAGAGGCACGTGCGTTAGCAGCGCCCGTGGCACTTTGAACCCGCCTCGCTTGACCGACTCGATAAAGTTATATGTTTCCTTGTATGCAATGTGTGCATTGTCTCCCAGCTGGCCATCAAGCTTGCCTGTGTGTTCAGAGCTAAGATGTGTATCGAATGGTCCTCCGTCTTCCCTCTCCATTCCGACCAGATCTTGAGCATTCACCATGATCAGCTCGTGCGTCGCTCCTAACTCCGGGTCCGTCGAGACAAGGATGCGACCGTTGAGACTAGTTTGCAAAAATGGATTGCGGTCCTTGACAACAAATCCGCCTCCATCAATCTTCATGCCAAAGTCCTGTTGGAAACGAGCGACGGCGTTTTCGCTTGCATTCGCATCTACTCGGTGTAAATCAGCCGATGTGCCGGATAGACCGACATCGGGGTTACCGGAGAGGTAGAAGGTGGGAATGAAGTCTGTTGCCGATATGCGAGGAACGATAAGTTGTCGAGTTGAACTTAGAGTGGAAGGCGTCGCTTCCCAATTTGCCTCCCTTGGCCGCCAGAAGACCTTATGGAACCGCTGCACGAGAGCAGCCCACTCGGAGTCGAGTCGCTCTCGTCGATCTCCGTCAGTGAGGTCACCCATCCAGATCACGCCATCTGGCGGTTGAACGAGCGTTGTGCGTGACCGTGAGGACCGGCGTTGGGCTTCTTGTGTGGGCGTTAAGATGTGGCCTCGATACATCCACTTGTTTGGGTTTACAACGAGAGCCGTCCATACATTCTTGAGGTAGTTGTCCGAAAAATGGCGAACAATAGGGTAAACCAAGCTGAAGAAAGGTAGATCCGGGTATGTGTACGGATCAATGATTTGTGGGTCTGTCACGAGTAGGACATGAACTTCCGGTCGAGTTTCGTTTGCTGCAGATGACGTGGGTTGATAAGGCCACTGGCACGAATTGGCTGCGTTATGAAAGACAGCCCGTTCGCCGTAGAAAAGAAGCGCCAACGACAGCAATCGGAAAGTGATCACATGCGTCGACCCGGCGAAGAAGTGGAAGAGGCATCGGATCGTCTCCACCCCTAGCCGGGACGATGATCGATCCCGCATGATTGCAACTGGAGGCCCGCTCTGTCGAAAAGGTTAAGGCGTCATCGAGAAATGAGTGATGAGGGGCGGATTGAAGGTTCCAGCGCACATGCTACGAAACGTTAGCTAGAGATGCATTTCAAAGATGGCTCAACATCCGAACAGCGTGGAGCCTTCGCTACTATCAAAGCTTAAAATCAGCTTGCTTGCCAAGAGATCGGCCAAGCTTGAGTACGACTGTGTGCGACCCGTTCATGAATGCCGATCTTCGGCTGTGCATCACTCTGCATTATGCTTCAATCGAGAGTCACGGCGAAAGTAGCTAAATGTGAGAAGACGACGTCGTAACAATGTGACCTTGCCGCGCCGGCCCTCGCGTGTCATCAACATCATGGCCTTCCGCCGTGTTAGTTTTTGGTATGGTTTACGCCTTAACCGAGAGGGAAATTTTTTGATTTTTCTAGCTGAATTTCCGCTTTTTTTTTTTTTTTTTTTTTTTTTTTTTTTTTGGCTGCTGTGTTGGACTTGCGGAGATGTGCGAGCCGACTTTCTCTCGTACTTACCCGTTCTCAATGGACCATCCTTGCTCGCTTCTACATATAGTCGACACGGAAAAGGATCCTCGAGACCAGCAACAATATCATTCGCCTGGACTTACGCCACAGGACCGACCGTTACTTGGAGCAAGATTCATCTATACTTGCCCTTCGGCCTCCCTAGAATCCCATCGGCTCGTCGGTCAACCCGTAAGGTTGACAAGCAACGATGCTGTCCACCAGCACTGCTGCATCATTGCGCTTGCAAAGTCGCTTCCTGCAACGTCATACTAGCCATGAATCACTTAGGAGACTAGCTCGAGCCTCAGAGAGCTGGTCGACACTTGGTTGCATCAGCACAATACTTTTAGCCAAGGATCCATTACATTGCCGCACAGCATCATTACCCTCCTCATTACTGGGACCAATCCCATTGCGTTCGCGGCGAGCGTTTACTACAGCACCTCCTCGATCTTCCCAACAGCCCTTTCAGTTCCTCACAGCATACGCATTCCAAGGCAAGCCTCGATATCCGGAAGAGCAGCCACAAGAAACTGATTCTTCTTCCTCGTCTGCATCAGCGAACGACCAAGATGACTCCTCGCCATCATCATCAACTACATCTGATGCTGACGCACCTGCAAAGAAGGGTCAGATTGGCTTTCCTGCTGATAGCGAGATCGGACGATGGCGAGACGAGTTGCTACGGGGAGGCGAAGCGGGAGAAGACTCGCTCATGTGCACATCCATGTCTGTTGCAGGCGATGTAGCGATCGGAGTCGCTGACGGTGTTGGTGGTTGGACAGAGAACGGCATTGACCCATCGCTCTTCTCACAAGCGCTCATGTTCCATGCTTCCAAATCCGCCGCCACTGCCCCTGCAAATCCGGAGAGTGGTGCTGCTCCCAACCGCATCCTTGCCGAAGCCTTCGAGAAGGTCCTCAAAGAGCCCCTCGTGGTCGCAGGCAGCGCAACCGCATGCATCCTCACCCTCAACTCTAGCAACGGCACTCTTCGCTCAGCCAATCTCGGTGACTCTGGCTTCGTTATCCTTCGCCAAGGTACAGGCAAACAAGGCGTCTTTCATGCAAGTCCTCCTCAGCAACTCGGCTTCAACACTCCATTACAGCTCGCCAAGCTGCCGCACGAATGGGTTCAAGAAGGCTCCATCTCCAACACTCCCAAAGACGCTGCCAGCTGGGAATGCACATTGCAACACGGTGATCTGGTCATCGTTGGGACTGATGGCCTGTTCGATAATGTCGATGCGAAGATTGAGATTCCGCAGTTCGCCAAGTTCATCAAGGAAAAGCATCATGCTTCATTCGCGGCGAGGCAGGGCGAGGGCAAGAAGGCAGGAGACAGCTTGGAGGAAGACAAGGAATTTGTTCAGGTCTTGGCGACAAATCTGGTGGAGTATGCAAAGATCTGTCAGAACTCGACGACAAAGCAGAGTCCATTTGAGAGGGAGGCGGCTAGGTACGGCATTCACTTCCCTGGTGGAAAAATTGACGATGTTGCGCTGGTCTGCTGTCTTGCTATTGAGCGATGAGCATCAGAGCGATCTTCAATTGTAACTGTACCCTTATGCGCACGATCAAGCGTTGCTCCCATCTTGGAGCCAAGCGTGTGGACGAATGAGAGTGATGAACAGAACAGTAAGAAAGCTTGAGGTGGGCATGTAGAATAATTTCGTGAGCCTGGACGGAAAACTATGGACTCCAAGTTCACTTCGCAGGAAATGGTCTGTCCTCCACTTCTGCACTGACAGCAGCTCAGTTTCACGCACACGCACACACATCTACACAGTCACCACTCTCAACCCTTTCGTCTCAACCTCAGCATCTCGCACTCAACCCTTGTGCAACTCACCTCTCGTTCCTCCATCGTTGCGATCTACTAACAATGCCATCAAAAATCAGCAAAAGGAACCCTCGACGTCGAGACACCGACCTTGACATAGACGACGAAGTAGCATCCTGGGACTCGCTTTCCAACGCATCGTCATCCGGGAGTCGCAGCTCCTCCTCCTCCTCCTCCTCCTCATCTTCTGACGGTGGTCTCACGTCAAAGCTTCCAACCCTCCCTGACCTTAGATTTGAGCAATCGTACCTGGCCACCATCCGCAACTTCTTGCACGAAGACCCACCATGCTCAACATCACAAGACGACTCACCTGAGTTCAACGAAAAGCAAGACCTTACCGACGAGAAGGAGCAAGACCATCATCATGAGGTCGAGATCACACGAAGTAACGCTGACAAGAAGGGTCACGAGCTATGGTTGGGTAACTTGAGAGTTGAACTGTAAGTAGGCCACCTCGTTCAGACTAAAGAGGTGGGACAGAGCTAACGCAGTTCCGACGTTGTGTTGTCGGTGAACAGGTTTCCCATTCTGTACGTGACAATTCGTGATCAGCTGCTCACACCTTTGGTGCAGGGAGCAGTATGGGGTCTGGGTGGGCTGCTCCTTACTCAAGTGAGACAGTACATGTCGGCTAGAGTCAAGGTTGCAAAGATGAGCAAGGGAAACGCAGGGCCAAGAGGATCCAATCCGAACATTTTGCGTTCCCTCGGTCTCAGCAAGAGGTGATCAGCCATTCCTGTATTGTGGAAGCAGTCAATATCGGATCAGATCCAGATTATATACCCGATTATACTTTTCCATAGTCAGAAGAAATCGCATGTGTTCATAGAATGAGTTATAACGACGCAGGCTCAGACGGGTATCTACAAGTGACTAGAAAGCTGAGAAACAGGAGCAACATTGTCCTTCACAAGCACCTGTGCTGGAGCCTCTCCCTTCTTTGACTCAGCACTTCCACCCTGGGTCCAAGAGTAGACGAGCGAGTGACCCAACTCGACATCGCTCTTCGCAGTCGCCGCAACAGTGGTAGCTGCTTGCTTGAGCTGCGAGACCAATCTTGCCAGATCTGCAAATCCAACAGCTCCATCGCCGCCAGCACCGATCCAGAGCCTGATGAGATGAACATCTTCCTTCACACTCTGCTCGTTCACCTGTACTCCAGCCAAAGACTGGAGCTGTTGGCTCTGAGCCAATGTCTTGATCTTCCAGGCAGCTTGTTTTAGCAACAGGGCTGATCCATGGATGGCCATGATAAGGTCAAGCAGGTATCGAGAAAATCGCATATCGCCCGTCTTCATGTATCGTTCCAGATCCAGTCCCTTCAAGACCGCACCAGTGTCTTGGATGACACGGCCGAGGTACTTGATCTCACCGCCAAGTTGGGAGGAAAGGGTGGTGGGGAGGGAGGAGAGGGTGGAGGCTGTGTCTTGGAAGAACTCGATCAGAGCGGATCCTTTGGACTGGACAAGAACACGGAGGACGTCGAGAGAGAGAATGGCAGGAGTGCCTTCCCAGATACGCTCGACTGTGCCATCGCGGAGCATCTCGCCCATGCCGACTTCTTCCATGTATCCTTGCCCGCCGAAGGCTTCGATCAGAGTCAAGTAGCCTTCTGATGCGCGGGTGGCGACGAAAGCTTTGAGGGCGGGAGTGAGGAGTCGGAGACGGGTCTGGTCGCGTTTCGAGGCTTGACCGGATTCCTGAGCACCCATGAGGAGGACGTTGGTAAAGAAGATTTGCAGGAAGACTCGGTACAGCACTGTCACCTTCAGCAGCTGATCAGTGTGCAGAGGAAGCTTGTCCAACTTTCCTCCGCCAAGGGCTGGTCGAATCTGGGCGTAAGCTGTGGCCGAACGCAATCCCCAGGAGAGCGCACCAACCGCACCTCCAGCGGAGTACAGTCGTGTGATGTTGAGCACCGAAGAGATGGTGGCAACACCACGGCCGATCTCACCGACCAACTCGCCAATGCATCCGTCTAGCTCCAACTCGGCCGTGGGCAAGTACTTGGTGCCGAGCTTCTTCTTCAATCGATGCACCCGGATACCGTTCAGCTTGCCCGTATTGTCATCCCTGATCTTGATCAAGAACAATGATAGCCCCTTCGAGCCAGCGCTGAGATCCTCGTTTGTACGGGCAAGAGCGAGAGCAATATCTCCATCAGTTGCCGAGGAGAACCATTTGAAGCCGCTGATGACGAACTGGTCTCCTGCTTCTGGCTTCTTGTTTGGGTTGAGGGGTTTGGCCAAGGTCTCTGTGCGAGAGACATCCGATCCACCAGGACGTTCTGTCATCCACTGACCTGCGGTCCAAGCGGTGTTTGGATCAGTGCTGCATAGCCTCGGAATGATCTCTCGCTTCTGCTTCTGCGTTCCGAACATCTCCAATACTCGCACTGCGCCATCAGTCATACTGATTGGGCACAGAGTCACCTTTGATACAGGTGTGAACATGACGTTGCGCGTGAACGCAAACAGTCGAGCATACTTGCCGAGCCCGTCTCGACCACCGCCATTGACGGCTTCAGGACATGCGTAGGATTCAGGAACAATGCCCTCTGAAGCGCAGACAGCTTTGAGACGCTTCCATCCTTCACCGGTGGCAAGTTTGTCGACGCGCTGACCCCATGCATCGTACTGGATCAGGGTGGGTTCGTGCTGTGGGCCGTCAAGGGTACTGGCAATATCGGTGTACGGGCCAGCAATGCGCTCGCCAAAGACGGAGAGGCTGGAGAAGAGGCGGTCGATGTCAGAGGCAGAAAGAGGCGAATCACCAGATGAGAGGAGGCGGAGGATGGTGAGTCTGAGTGCTGGGTCAGAGGACCAGGGCGAAGCAACGCAGAAGCGTTCGAATTGGAAGCCTTCCTCTGCTCTCATAGTGATATATTAGACGAAGGCGATGATGATGTTGATAGGTTGATGAATTCCTGGTCGATGGATAGACGTAGGAGGTGATGACGATCAGGTGAGCGAAGGATGCAGATGACAAGACACGAAGAGCAAAGAGAGCAAGTGTTTAAAAATGCGGGGTGCAATGCGGGGCAGGCCAACGAGCATTTCCCAGCAGAATTGTACACAGCAAGAGTTGCTTTTCATGCCGTGGTTGCACAAGCATCCGGAGAGAGTGCTGTCCTGCCTGGATCACGAGCCGGCTATGGGCTGCCGGAAGTCGCCAAAACAACGCTGTGGCCGCCTGCCTTTTTCACAAGATACCTTGAGCCGACTTCCACGATATCGCAAGCGCACAACCGCTTATCTGATATATTATGCCCGATCTCAGCTCAAGGCTCCATGTGCATGCTTTCACTAGTAGTTACAGACGTTTCAGTCAGGACGGCAACCTGTAATACTCCTTATCATGCTAGTATCATTGCTGCGATCGTTTGTCTATGACGCGTTTGTGCTGGTAGTCTACCTTAGGCAGTGGACCTCTCCTATCTGTTGTTGATGGGGAAGAACTGTCTCGGCAGAATGTCGATCATCTCTGGTGTCAGCTCATCAAGAGAAGTGACACCAAGCAATCGCATGCCCCTGTGAATCTCGTCTTCCAGAATCTGGATCGCTCTTGTGACACCAGCCTCGCCGTAACCAGACTGTGCGTACAAGAATGGCCTGCCGAGACCGACAGCCTTTGCTCCCAAAGCAACTGCCTTCAACACATCAGTGCCTCGCCTGACACCGCCATCCATAAATACCTCGATCTTGTCAAACAGATCCGGTCTCCTCTGCCTCAGCTCCACCAGCACATCCAATGCAGCCGGAGCGTACTCCAAACTCCTACCACCATGGTTAGATAGCACTACGCCTTCGACATTATGCTTGACGGCGAGCTCGACGTCCTCTACGGTCTGAACACCCTTGAGGTAAAGAGGAAGCTTGCATATCTTACGGAACCACTTGATGTCGTCCCAAGTTATGTTGGGGTCAATGTAGCCAGAGATAGCTTGAGCAACTCCTCCACCTTTCGCCTTGACGACTTTGCCATGGTCTACACCCATCTCGACTTCCTCGCCCTTGCAGCGCATGTCGCGTTCACGCTTGCCCATCACAGGAGCGTCGACTGTAAGCATTACTGCTGAGCACCCTCGCTCTTCAATCTTCTTGAGGATGCGCTCTGATGCAGCACGGTCCTTGTTGACGTAGAGCTGGTAGATGATGGGCTGTCCCTCCTTTCGGACATCCAGCATCTCGTCGAGACCAACGGATGCGTTGGCAGAGATACCTTGAATGATGTCGGCTTTACCTGCGCCGCGGGTAAGGTTGAGTTCTCCATCAGGGTGACCGAGCTTGGCCATCGCAGCGGGAGAGATGTAGAGCGGAAGAGAGCTAGTGAAGCCCTCACCTTTCGAGGTAATCAGCTTGACGGAGCTGTCGACGTCGCCGATAGCGCGGAGGATGCGAGGACGGAAAACAATGCGCTGGAAGGAAGCACGGTTCTGTGCAATAGTGACCTCGTCATCGGCTGCAGAAGAGTAGTATGCCCAAGCTTGGTCGGACAGAATACTTTCAGCGATGCGCTCGAAGTCGTCCAAGTTGAGCACTGTCCCAAGCGGAGGCAGATTTTGGCGTGCCAGTCTCCTCTTGCGGCCCTCGGCAGACTCTTCGCCTGCTTGCTTGATCTGAACCGTAGCTGGGTCGACCTGCCCAATGTGTTTTGATGCGTCGAGGTTCTCTTGCAATGCTGTGGGTGGATGAATAGGCTCATAGAGCTCAGTGACGTCCTTGCCCGCGTTCTTGAGGATGATGTTGCGTCCACCTGGGTGGTTGTCGACGAACTCGGTGACGTCGTAGATCTCGCCCTTGATGACGACCCAGAGACCCTTGCCGCCGTCGGAGGGGAGCTTGTTGTATTCAGCGACCGTGTCCATCGAGATAAGCTCGCTTGCTGGATCGGAAGCAGCAGCAGGCGAGACTTTTGTTGGTGGTAATCGAGCTTGCTCGTTGTGCACCTTGCGTGTAGGGATAGCAGAGGCGAGGAGGGCCAAGCCAACAAGGCCTGCTACGAGGCCCTTGACGTTTTTGTTGCCATCTCGGCTGGTTTGCGCTCTTGAATTTGATGCAGTTGCGCTCGACGAAGAAGAAGAGAGAGCTCTGTACTGGAGTGAAGATCGCTGAGCTGATGAGTGAAGCAAAGCAGAGCTGCTTAAACTCGAGCTCGAGCTCGATCTCGAGCACGAGCGGATCGAGGAACGGACTGCGGTGCGGAACATGCTGCCCTGGTATTTGAAGAAGATGTGGGGGTTATAGAAAGAGCTTGTCGAGGAGTTGACGAAAGTGTCAACAAGTTCCGTGTCTGGTGGTTTTATAGACAAAGCTGCTCCTCAGTCGGTGCCGAGGACCAAAAAGTGTATGTACGAGATTCGCCGTTGGGTCAATAACCTTTACACTCTTGCTTCTTCTTCTTCCTATTCTTCTGCTCATTGCTCTTCTTTCGGGCCCACGTCACCATCTCCAGAAGGCTGAGAGGGATGGGTCAAGCGCGGGGGCATCAACGCGGGGTTGGACAAGGTCAACTTTGTCCTGTGTGACTTGACCGAACCTCAAAGTTGTCCAATCCACCGTCCTTGAAAAGGCGGAATACAAGTCGACTGGCGAATTCAACATTTGAAATGCAAACGCGCTCGAACGGTCCGATTCTCCGTTGGACCCTGAGAAAAACTAGACGGTGAAATTAGCGGAAAACGCTCGGCAACCTCAGTGCGTTGTACGGTGCAATGTCGCGGTGGAACGGATTCAAGAGCAAAGCAGTTTAAATGTATTTGACAAATGCAAGAGCAACACAAAGCAGAAACAGCGACAAGAGATGAGCGATGAGCGATGAGCGATGAGCGATGAGCGATGAGCGATGCACTAGGGAGATATCGAGGGTTGCACTGAGGGTATAACCAAGTAAAGATGCAAGCAGAAGATGGGACAAACACCGTGCCGAGAAGAAGATTTTCACGCAGCCTCCGCAACAATGCGGCGCGAGGTCATTCTGGGAGAAGTGCGGCGGCTAGACGAGACGGAAGAAGGAGAGCCTTCCTTGATTGCTCTTGTCGCTGCTTCGTCATCAGCTCCGTCCTTGCCTGCGTCCTGATCGTCGCGCTTGAGTCGCTTGCACACTTCCTCGAGCGATTCGGAGACCGCCGCAGCTTCTACCTCGTCGGTAAGCACCACTTGGCTAAGAGCACTGGCCTTGCGCTTAGTCGCGGCAGAACATGCAGCAGAAGGCGAAGTGTCGACATCGGATGTGTTGGGCTTGCTGTCATTCTGTTCGGCATCATCAGTGTCCAAGAGCGGCTCCATTGTAATGGCGCTGGCAGCAAGCGGACTACTCTGGAAAGGTGCGGTCGAGGCGAGGCCGTGGTGGTTCTTGCTGTTCTCGGGGGGGCTCGTGCCACGCGTCGGTGAGCTACGGTTGTTACCTCGGTTGTTGCTCGAGTCTTCCTCAACTGGAGCGGCGGATCCAGATCGAGTGCCTGTACGTCGTCCCGTTGAGCTTTGCGCGGCAGTAGGAGCTGGAGAGGATGCGCGAGAAGCTGGTCTTCGCGATCGGCTTGCAGAAGGGACGGTAAGGTTGGCCTCGGATGAAGGTTTAGCAGAATTACGACCACGGAACGAATCACGGCTCATAGCTTGGCCAGCAGTATGGTCCTGTGCGGCCCTGGAACTGCTCGACACAGCTGCTTGAACGACCACAGCCGCGGGCACAGCGCCACCAACGGTTGCGTAGGGGCTACAGCTCTTGCGCTTCTTGCTGAGACCCTTGACACCGAGATGCTCGAGCTCAGCCTTGGAAGCCAGCTTCTTGGCAGCTTCGCGCTTAGCAGATTGGATAGCTTTCTGCTGAGCTTCGCGTGCCTTGGCGAGGGCGGTGCCTGGCGCGCCAGGATAGCGGTCGTTGGTGAGCGAGTACACCTCGGAGCGCCTGCCAGAGTTAGGGTCGAACAGGGGCTGAGATCCCTCTGCAGACCAGTGCGGTGTGCTGGTGACGATTAGCGGTTTCAGCTTAGTGGTGGTGACGGTTGTGCTAGCGGGGAGCGCCTCTTTGGGCGCCTTGTCCAGCGAAGGAGCGCGGAAAGCTTGAAATTTGCGGCCACGCTTGGCATAAGCAGCGTAGACGGCGCCACTGGATGACTTGATGTAGGAAGACGAGGGTGGAGGGGAGCCGGCAGCCGACGAGGAAGAGGACGAAGAAGAAGCCGAGGCGGATGCAGCAGCAGCAGCTTGAAGAGCTTGGAGCGCGAGGATCTGGTTCTGCTTGGCGGCTAGCGCGACTCGGCTGAGCGGCGCAGGCATTGGCTGAGGAGCGCGGATCGATGGTGGAAGCGGGCCCAGCGAGGTGTAGGCCCGCGTTGGGGCAGGCACAGCGGAGGTCATGATGGGTAGCGGGTGTTGGATGATCAGCGTGGGTCTATGGGTAGCGGGTGTTGGATGATCAGCGTGGGTCTATGGGTAGCGGGTGTTGGATGATCAGCGTGGTCTATGGGCAACGGCGATGGTGATGAAAAGCTCGGAGGCTGGGAGCAAGCTTGCTACGGTGCGTGGAGGAGCTCCGCAAAAGACTGATGGAGACGGCTGGTTGAAAGGCGTGAAGTGTAAAGCTGTTCGCGATAAGGAGTATGGTCGCGGTGTCGTGGTGGTGATGATGATGAGGTAGATGGAAGGGGCGGTGATGAAGGAAGGAGACACGCAAGCTCCAAGTTGCGACTTGCAGCGAGGTCTGAGGAGGGTGAGTGAGGACAGCGAGCATGCCAATGAACAGAACGAGCCAAGCGGGTTCAATGAAAAGTTGAGCAAAGGGGAGCAAGGCAGTTTCTGGTTTGACTACGACATCCGATTCAAAACCTGGTTACACACAGATCACAGTACACAGATCACAGTACACAGATCACAGTACACAGATCACTGAAGATGGTGCAGGCGCAGGGTTTTGGCTATTGTGCCTACGTTGGACTAGTCATTGTTGGTAAGGAGAGCGCCAACCTCAAAATGACCACTCACCACTCACAACTCTGATTGAGCTCGGCTGGAATGGCAAGTGAGAGACTAAATTGAACGTGATGCGTTGTGTTGCTCTTCTCTCAGACACCTCGCCTCTCTCTGCCCTCATTCCCTGGCGTGTGCGTTTGGATTATTATTATTATTATTTTCCCGAAAAACCTGCAGGTCGCTGTGAGAACGGTCCAAGGTGAGAGTGTGAGCGCTGTCTGTAGTTGCAAAATTTCGCTCGCTCCCTATGGCCATTCGCTTCCCACAGCACGTGCAGTCCAGATCACCTTTGCTACTGTATCTTCACCTCCCGAGCGCTCTCACTTGCTGACAGATGACACTTCGGACGACAATCCGATCCTTTTCGGGGAGCTTTCGTGATCAAGTCTTGATAGAATGGACTGGCGGTTGCGCAGCGTGGACATTGAACTTAATGGAACCATTCGAACTCTGGCCAATTTGTAAATGCCTTGTTAGAGTTTTCGAGTTCAAGCCCTTCTCCACTGACTTTCCTCACAGCTGTCTTCACACACGGCGCAAGGATTATCACGATCTCCATACGGCAGCCAAGCTAGAGCCACTGCATCGCATCTCTGCGACTCAACGCGAGCTGGAAGATGATCTCGAAAGCACAGCTGACTTGGTGCCCAAGTCTCGCAAAAAGGCCTAGGCAAGCGCTGCAGCATCGTGTCTCGTTCGCTGAGGTCTCAGCAAGAAGAAGCAGAGAGCTATGGCAGAAGAACGCATCCGTTCAAGAGCCCAAGGGAGGAGCGAGCGACCGCCGCTGGTCCATTTCGCCCGGTTCGTCTCGCGGCGTCAGTTGGGATCCGCAAACGTCTCAGCCTGTTCTTGTTCGAGAAGTTCTGCCCTTTCTTCCATCGCACAGACCCACAGCAAGCAATTTGCATGCTCTAAGCTCATTGTCATGCTCGTCAGGCAACCATTTTTATGAAACTGTTAGTTCCGATCGATCGGATCCAGAGGCAAGGCAACAGGTTTTCCGATTGAGTGGGGGAAAGGTCTACATCACGGACCCTAGTCGGTTAATTCTCGTTCAGGTCCCTGCATCTTCGACTGCAACTGGCAGACAAGCAAATCTAGGCGTTCAGTCGTGCGGGACTCGAGGGACGACCCGTGACACGAATGTTAAGCTGATGATCTGCGTACCCAAAGTGGAGCTTAAGTGGAGCTATAATCCGCTTGGCAAGGCTTGGCAGCAAGGTCACAGCTCACCGCCTCATGGCTCCGTCTCACACACTCTTTGCCGCCCTCGCCTTGTCCTCCTCATTTCCGCAACATCATTGCGCTTCAGTGACGGATAGACTCTCAGCCACAGGATACCGCAGCAACTGTTAAGCTCGCACGCCTGCTTCGAATCAGGGCAAGGAATCGAGGTCAAACGCACAGCGCAAGTTTCATCGAGTTCAAGCATCCCCCACTGCATTTACTCAGTCCTTTTTGCCGCCACGTCCTACAGCGCAAACAGTCGACATCAGATTGGACACATCATATGCCAGCATGATCTCAAGGCCGACAACGCCTATCCTCAATCAGTCCGGCTCCGGCAGCCTGGCTACGCCGAGGAGCAGCACAGAACAACTCCGCTCATCGCGCCAGAGTATCACCATTGAAGAGCCAGAACGACCGCGAACAGCAGCGAGCCATTCTTCCCTCCACTCAGGTACGGGAACGGGTAGGTCTTCCCCCGCACGATCCGGTGTCGTCGGCGATGGAATGTACGGCGGCCGCAGAGGAGGCCCCTCCTTGAACAAGAGCCGAACCAGCAGTTCTGGTGGTTTGAGCGACATCAAAGCCGGCTACGAGCGAAGGGTGGGCTTCGATACCATGCCAGACGCTGACGAGACCAACTCGGGCGCATTCAGCTTCACACTCCAGGTCAAGTCACGAGGCTTTCTGCGGACCAAGAACACGCGAACCTTCATGGTTGCCGTTGACGACAATCCCTATTCGGAGCGCGCGCTTGAGTGGCTCATGGAGAACCTCGTCGAAGATGGCGATGAAGTTGTAGCGGTACGCATTCTTGATGAGGAAGCAGATCAGATAGATCAGGAGGATGCAAGAGAGGAAGCGCGCGAACTGATGGCATCCATTGTCGAGCTCAATGAGGAAGCCGAGGATCGCAAGGTCTCGATCGTCGTCGAGTTTGTCGCCGGCAAAGTCGTATTCACCATCCTCAACATCATTCACGTCTACCGGCCAGATAGCTTGACAGTCGGTACACGCGGCAAGTCTGCCAACAAGTTCCAGAAGATGCTCGGTCAGCACATCATGGGTCACGTCAGTCGCGACATTCTCACTTCATCTCCGGTTCCAGTGGTGGTGGTGAGACCGGAAGCTAAAGTGCAAAAGCACCTCAAGAAGCGTCTCAACGACCCAAAGCGTAGAGGCTATCACAACTTGGTCAAAGGTGTAGAAGGGTTGCCGATGAGCATCACTAAGAACAAACGTCGGTCTTTGCAAGTTCCTTCGTGAGGGATTGAACAGCGTAGCTCGTTGCAAAATCACTCTTTGATCCTTGTCACGGTAGAAAGAATCCCTGGTCACTGACTGCTTCATCCTCACTGTATTTGTACGCTGGCTTCCTTCACGTATGCCCATGCACATAAATCGATTCACCTCTTTCACCTCGATCATGAAATTCCGACATCGCCGTCTTAACGCAAGCGCAATTACCTTTTCAGTGTCCCAGGTTGACCAAACCAGCTGAGCCTGCTAGTAATGCGGCAGAAGACTACCGCCGGGTGGTATATCATCAGCATACATCAAGGTCAGTAGGAGCGATGCTAGCAGCATAATTGTCTGTGCGGGGATGGCCTTATCTCAAGCAACGCGTTGATTGGTTGATCGGATGTGGTTTCGGTCTTGTCCGAAATCCACCAACTGGCGGACGCAAATAACCGAGTCAAACGTACAGCAAGAAGATCCTCCATTGAACTCTTACGGATCGTGACAACACTTGTTACTCAGTGATACGTTTTGCACTACGCTCTTGACTCAGGCTCGAGCTTGAGGACTGATCAAAAGCCAGGATGTCGAGAACATCTGTGAAAGGACTGGCGCTGTAATCTTGAAATGCGGCAACGAAAGTGTGCTTGCAACCCGAACATGCATGTGTCGTGTGCACAGTGCCCTCACCATGTTTCTTGTCCTTCTTCCTCCATCATCTCAGAACGATATCCTCAAACCATGCCGACCCTTCGAGGACACTGCAACTGCGGCGCGCTCGAGTACCAGCTCGATGCTACTCCCGCCAACCTGCGCCTCTCAGCCTACTGTCACTGCACTCGCTGCCAACGAATCAATGGTGCACCCTACATCTGGACCACTCATTGGAAGAAAGAGGCTATCACATGGTCATCCCCTGCCTCCTCTCCGTCGACCCAGAAGCAAGTCGATGCGCGAGTGCAGCACGTGATGGGTAGCTCTGTCACCACTGCGCAGCTGTACGAGTCTGTACCCGGTCGCAAGTTCAGACTGCGCTGCTCTGAGTGTGGTAATCCAATGGGCTCATGGAATGACGCCAAGCAGCAATGGTCGATCTCGCCCAGCACGCTCGCTCGTCCTGAGGACGACAAGACCGGCATTCCAGGAACGGAAGCTTTCCCTGCTACAGCGCACATGTTCTATGGACCTGGTAGGATAGCTACTGTCACTGACGATTTGCCTAAGTTCGCCGGCTACCCGAACGAGTCCCAGCAAGTGGACAGAAACGCAGAGCCATTGCCAGCCAATTTCAACATCAATGACTTCAATCCACATGACCCGCGAGAGATGGTCGGATACGGGCCGAATCCTCCTCATCCACAGTGGCCCAACAATGCACGAATCGCAGTCTCTTTTGTACTCAACTACGAAGAAGGCGGTGAGAACCTTACTCTCAACGGCGATCAGTACGCAGAGCAGTACCTGACCGAATACGGTGCTGCTAACGGATCCAAGCCTCCAGGCAACATCCGCAACTTGAGTGTCGAGTCGGCATACGAATTCGGCTCACACCGTGGGTTCTGGCGCATCTTGGACCTCTTCACACGGAACAACCTTCGTTTCACAAGCTGGTCCGTTGGTCGAGCAGTCGAACAGAACCCTGCAGTAGTCAAAGCGATGGAAGAAGCAGGCTGCGAAGTCGCCAGTCACTCTTATCGATGGTTCGACCACTCTCTGATGTCACAGGAGGAAGAGAGAGCTCAGATCCAAGCTGCAATCCGTGCAATCAGGAACGCTTCCTCCCGCTCAAGGGAGCCGAGGGGATGGTACACCGGCCGACAATCTATCAACACGCGTCGACTCGTCTACCAGACGTACAAAGAACTTGGTCTGCACAACGAGCTATACGACTCGGATGCCTACGATGAAGATCTTCCCTACTGGGTTCCTGCCCCTGATGGCACACCGGGCGAGCATCTGCTCGTAGTACCCTACACGTTGGACAACAACGATATGCGATTTGCAATCACTCCGGGCTTCTTCAACTCCGAGTCCTTCGCTACGTACCTCATCGATGCATTCGAGACATTGGTCGCTGAGACACACTTGCCAAAAGATAACCCAAACTCAGTGCCGAAAATGATGAGCATTGGATTGCACTGCAGAGTTGTCGGTAGGCCGGGCAGGTTCCAGGGATTGCAGAGGTTTGTGGATCATGTGCAGAAGAGGAACAAGGAGTTGTTGGAGCAAGGCGGTGGTGGTGTTTGGGTTGCGACGAGGGAGGAGATAGCCAACCACTGGAGGAAGACTCATCCTGCTCCCAAGAGCTCATAGATGCTTCGCTTCATGTCAGGGTAGCATGCAACGCAATCACATCGCTTCAATGAATTGACCGATGCTGGATATTGTGTGTTTGTGATATAATAAGGATACAACTTATAAGCGAACTGAAGCGAAGAGCGTGTGTAAGATGTTCACGATCGCTCGAAAAGGTATCTGACTCTGTCAGCAGCCAAGTAGAACATCTGAGGCGGCCTCTTGGGCGCAGCACCCTTCGTTCCCTGTGTGCCGCCCTTCATTCTCTCCACCTGATCTCCCACTTCCGCTGCCAATCTACCACCCTGCATCTCCTTGGGCAGAATCGTGAAGCCCAACGGTCCGCACTCGCAATCCGGGCACAAAAGGTACTTGACAGTCAACTCCTCTCCCGGCGTCAGACCAAGACTTAAATGCGAGAGCAAAGAATTGACGTCTTCATCAGACGAATCTGATCCGCTACCAGCACCACCACGCTTACGGTCTCGCTTCTCCTTCTTCTTTCGCACTTTCTCTTCTCGTTGACGTTCCTTTTCTTCCTTCTTGAGGCGGTCTTTGGCCTCCTTCTCTTGCGCTTTGGTCTTTTGCTGACTGTTGAGCTCGACACTGTTGCTTATCGAATTGCCTCCCGAACCGCTGGGAGCGTTCTCCGATGTGGGTGACTTAGAATCATTAGGAAGAGGAACGATCCACTTCATATCCCTTGAGAAGCCAACATTGTCAAACTGCAGTGGCCCAGCGACCATCCAAAAGCCCTTCACTGTCGTTAGGAGTCTGTTGTTGATCGCTGGACTAGCAGCATGCAGCGGGAACGCTGGTCCTTGAGGCGGCGCCGGAGAGTTGGGCAGCTCTAAAGCAGGGTTCGACAGCGGTCCACTCTCCTTGCGCGTCCACTCGCCGGCGTTCTTTGCGAGGATGCAGCAACGACAGTTCTCCTGTGGACAGTAGAGTTTGGCGAGGTTGGTTCCGGTCTTGCGATCCACCAGACGCGCTTCGAGAGCCATGCCAGCATCTTCGGCGGGTGTCTTGGCTGCGACAGCTTGGCCAAGGATGGAAGTGTATGTTTGACCGGGATTCTTGCCTGGCTTGGACTGGGCTGCGAGAGCAGCCATGATGGATGCTTGCGATGGCATACCTGGTGGCGAGGGTCCCTTGGGGGTTGTGACTGCCTTGGATTCTGACGCGGTGGGAGTCTTGCTCTCTCCGCTTGCTGCTGGTGTCTGGACGGTGGGAGTGGTGCTTTCCTGTGCTGTAAGCTGCTGTAGTGCGGCGTCAGTGGCAGGTGTGCTGCCAGAAGTCATTCTGAGACCGGCGGTTGCGTCGTCGCTACCAGACGAAGTTGCCGAGGTAGTGCGTGTGAGTGCAGATCCAATGCGACTACCTGGCCCGCTGCTGGGCGAAGGGTAGACACTGCGCCTCATCTCGAGCCATTGGCCACTGCCATACTGGATGTGACTGACGCACTGAGTGCGGAAGCCGACCTTCCTGTAGAGACCGGTAAGCTCTTCATGTGCCAACAATGCCAATGTCTCGTATCCTCGTTTGCCCTTGACACCTTCAGGACCCTTGCCTTCTTCGGCCTTGCGAATGCGAGCAATGTAGTTCTCGAGCATTCTTGTGGCCAGACCCTTCTTCTGCAGCTCGGGAGCTACGAGGACAGAGTGAATGCAGACCATGTGTGCGTCCTCTGATGTGTCGTGGGTCGACATGGACCGCAGGGTGAGTGCTGGAGCAGCAGTAGCGCATACGTAACCCACAATTCTCCTTCTTGGCTGGCTCGTGACCGAGAGCGGACCAGCAACCTTTGGAGGAGGCAGCGGGACAAAGGCACCCAAAAAAAGATGCGGAGCCTGTGTCTGGCGCGAAAGCAGCCTCTCGTAGCTCGCCGCATCCTCAGGCGGAAAACCCTCGACCTCGAGAGCGTGTGCAGCGCGCACCTCTTCCGGTCGGACATAGTCAAAGACGAGATTGCGAGGCAGGGCAGAAGTGGTGTTAAGGGCACTAGAGGCCTTGGACTGCGACGATGTTCGCTTGTGGGTGCTGGGAGGCGGAGAGCGCTGAGAAGACTGGCTCATGTTAGATGCGGTAGAAGAGGAAGAGTTGGAGCGGGTGTTGGTTCTGCCAAGGGTGTTGGTGATAGTTTGGTAAAGAGTGGTCGAGTTGTGAGCCATGGAGCTCGGTGGTGGATGCATGTTGGGCGATCAGAGATGAAACACGGCTGCTGCGAACGCGGCCGTACTCGAATGCAGATTAGGTTTGGATCTGCGTTTGAATGCAGCGATGCCGATAGAAAGCGGAAGATAGGGACGCGCGATGCACGAGGCACGGGCTCATTCAGGATGTCAGCTTTGTAGTTTCCGAGCTGGTTGAGGCTTCGAGAGCGGAACAATGCTGGCTGTTCTGATGATTCTTGATAAGAATACTGAAGCGAGTGGAGCAGGAGTGAAAGTTATCGGGTTAAAAGCGGTCCGAGCTCTGCGAGCGTGAAATTTTGGCGTTGGAGCTATGGTAAGCTGATAGCCATCGTCGTTGCAAGCGTTAAGCAGTCGATGCAGTGGCGATGATGGTGTGAAAGGAAGAGATTCGTGGATCAAGTTGATGAGGAGGAGGGGGGGGGGGCGCGGGATGAGGATTCAGGGCGAAGCCGATGTCGTGACGACCAATTGAGACTGAGCGAAATCAGAGTCTCTGGGCCGGAAAGAAAGTTGGGCAATCTGCAGGCACGCTACAAGAGAGAGAGAAAGGGGGAAAGCGCCTGTCTGCCCTGAAAATAACATCACTGAGCCAAGAGCCAGAGTCTGGGCTTTTTCTGCCGTATCGCGGTCTCCTAGCCTAGAAAATTCAGGAGAAAGAAAGGCTATATCGAAATCAAAAAGTCAACGTCAACCTGGGCGATGATGAGTCTCGCTACTCTGTACCACAGAACCAAATTTAGCCTCGGCAAATCATCGCCACACACACACACACACACACGCACCAGAGAGCTTTTGACACACAGTCCTCCTTCTTCTTTGGATTAACTTCCTCCTTTCGCCGCACTGTGCTGTAAATTATCGTAGCCGACAATACAGAAAACAAAAAGAACAAAATTGTGTGGGGGAAGTCATGTGAACCCAATCAAATTCTTCCAAAAGGCCATGTGACATGGCTATGCTACTCAATGATTGCAGTATTCCTTCGCAATCTCTCCTGCCAGGGTGTCTTCGCCTGCAATTCTCCAGCGCAGTCCATCTTGACTCTACTGGAGACATCCGCGTTCGCAGTTCGGAAACTCCCTTACAGCCACAACCAGAAGCAAACCTTCCCTCCGTCACGATCGTTCCTTGTTTGAGTCTTCATCGGGAGAGTCGTCGGATCGGGTCGTCATCTCATCCCGATCTTTTTTTGTTCTTGGGATGAATTTCTGGATTTGCCGGCAACAAGAAGAAGAAGAAAAAAGAAAAGAGAAAAAAAAAAAAGAAAAAAAAAAAAGCTTCCTGGATTCGGACCGTCCGTGCGTCATTCCACCGCCTCATGCGTGGCTGTGAGACGCAAAGGCGCAATGTGGAGGCTTGACACTGCATCAAAGAAGATATGGCAAACGGAACGGCATGCTCTTCTTCGCCGCAAAGAGTTGGTCAGTATTGAACTTTCATTGCTATGATCATGTTGTCTTTCGACCACGACAAAGTCGATCAGAACACACGATCATCGACTGTCCCATTACGATAAAGACAGTAACAGCTGCAAAATGAAAAAATTCATCGAGAGGGTTCAAGACAAATTTGCCGACTTGGAACGCAGAGGTGATGCTGCTGGCGGTGCTCCTCTTCAGGCCAACTCACAAGCACCACCGCCGACATCGGTCGACGCCCCACCCTCTCGGCGTGACATCTATCTTAATCGGAAGCAGCGTGGTGTCAACCTCGGTTCCTGGTTCTCGCTCGAAGGATGGCTCACTCCCTCGCTCTTCCAGAAGGCCAAAGAGCCAAAGGGTAGTGAGCTCGACGTTGTCGCCGGTATGGAGCCCAACGAGGCCAAGGCCATGCTCGAGAATCATTGGGATAATTTTATCAACGATGGTGATCTCCAGTGGATGGTTGATCACGGTATTAACACCATTCGTATCCCTATCGGCTATTTCCATTTCCTAGCAGGTCACCCTAATGAGCAAGTCCGAGCACTTATGCAAGGCACCCACTTCGAAAACTACGCTCAGGTGTATCAGGGAGCTTATTCTCGCATTCAGCGCGCCATCGAGTCGGCTGCTGGCCGCAATGTCGGTGTGCTCGTCGACCTTCACGGTGCTCCAGGCGGCCAGAACGCCGATGGTCATTGCGGTGTGGCTGGCCGAAAGGCAGCATTGTGGAACTCGCGCGATGATCAGCAGAAGACCATCGAGATCCTGAAAGCCATGGCTGCAGAGTATTCATGCTTCGAGAACGTCGTTGGTCTCGAGCTCATCAACGAGCCCAAGAACTCCGGCAGATTGCAAGGCTTCTACGATGAGGCAATCGGTCAGATCCGCTCTGTCTCGCCAGAAGCCGCCGCTCTCCCACTCTACCTTGGAGATGCATGGGACACCAATCACTACACTGGCTACGTCGGTCAGCGTGCAGCTAGTGACAACTTCTTGGTGTGTGACTACCATCTGTACCGATGCTTCACTCCACAGGACCATAGGACCCGATGCGAGGACCATGCACATAAGCTTCACCCAGGCACATCGCCCCATCCTTCCAACAAAGATGGATGTGGTGAGACTGCCGCCTGGCTCCAAGACATGTCTCATCGATGTGGTGGCTCGCTCATCATCGGGGAATGGAGTGCTGCTCTCAACCCTTCCTCTCTCCATCATCTCGGCAACGAGGACCAACAGCAACCAGCTAAAGCCGAGTACGCACACAACCAGTGGCAAAGCTACGACAAGTTCTGCGCAGGCTACTTCTTCTGGACTCTCAAGAAAGAGGGTGGACCCGACACCGGCTGGAGCTTCTACTCTGCTGTTGAGCGTGGAGTCCTGCCTCAACATCTTGACCCACACCGTGGACGTCGTAAGCCCATCCATGAGCTCCAAGGTGCTCGACAAGGTGCACAGGATGGCGCACTTGCTGGCCATGCCCGCTACTGGGACAAGCAGAATGGTGGACCATACGAGCACTGGCGCTTTGCACAGGGCTTCAGCTTGGCCTGGAACGACTCAATCGAGTTCATGAAGGCTGACGAGTCGAATGAGATCGGTTTCATCGGTCAGTGGCAGAAGACAAGGACGGCGGCACATGCTCAGGCCAAGGGCCAGGGTAGCAAGATGATTTGGGAGTTTGAGCATGGGTATAACCAGGGTCTGTCTGCTTTCAGGTCCGTTTTGTATGCTTAATGGAACCATTACTTTCACTTATGTAGCTAGTATCGTTTTCGTTGGAGCAATGCAGTCATTTGAAGTCACGTTTAGCTTGACCGACCACAGTGGACCGTTGCACCAGGTGTGAATTGAGCTTGAGTCAGATACGCGAGCTCGGATAGACGCGATCTCACGCCTGGGCACTTTCTCGTGCGAATACATGCCGCACAAGAGAGTCCGAATTCCTATCGTTGCTTTGTACGGAAGCTAGTACTTAAACTAGCCTCCCTCTAGATCCTCCTTCCCGCAATCCACTTTGTTACCCCGTTACAACGTGCATATAGCCTGCGCATGTAACACGCGAATAGCCGAAGTTAAGACCCTGAACAACCTATTTAGTTTAGTCTCGCGTGCAGATCATCACTTCTCTGCTTTCTAACCCGTTTCGTCCGTTCAACAACAGACAGCAATGGCCATTGGTCCATACACTAGTGAAGGATCGCAGCTATGCCAACCACATTGACGCTGAGCTACGTTGCTGGCAGCACCGACCCCGAACAGCAACTCGACCTATACCTGCCATCTCAACCAGCATCGAGCTTGATCATCTTCATTCATGGAGGAGCCTGGCGCACAGGATCAAGAAAAGACCACGCTGATCTTGCAAACCACCTCTGCTCTCGTGGCAAAGTTGTAGCTGTCATTGACTATCGACTGTCTGTCAAGGACGATGCTACAGGCTTGCCAAAGCACATCCACCCGGTTCACGCAACTGACGCCAATGCAGCACTCTGGTTCCTTCAGAGTCGCAAGGAAGTGCCACAGAAGAACTGGATTGTAGTTGGGCACTCGATCGGAGCATGGCTGGCTCTAGCAGCGATTATCGATGGAGAGACGAGGAAAGGTGATGCGGAGTATCCAAAGCCAATGCCAGTGCCAAATAGGGGATGTATTCAGACTCTCGTTCTTGTTGTAGGTGCGACCTTTCCACGACCTAGTGCCAGATAGAAGCATTACTGACCATGTCCGCCTTCCTTTCAATCTGACTATAACTACAGGATGGCATCTACTCGGTCAGTGGGCTACTTCAAGAGTATCCACACTACCAAGGATTTGTCGCACAAGCATTCTTGCCCCAGCCTGGGCCTAGCCACTACGACGTTGTTTCTTCCGAGACCTGGCCTCTAGCATTGAAAGGCAAGAATCTGCATGTATGGCACTCGAGAGATGACGAACTGCTATCATTCAAGCAGAGCATCGATGCTCTGCTGCACCTCGATGAGCAACTTACAATCAAGCCATCCTTGGAAAGTGTGACAGTGGAGATCCCTCAAGACGGCGCCGCAAGCTTCACAACGGTTAATGGCGAAAAGAAGCCTATCTCTTCAGTGTATGGCAAGATTCGGATCAGAAATGCTGATCGACTGCATGCCGATTTGACGACTCTCAAAGTAAGTACAGAGCATCAAGCATGCGTCCGACTGCGAAAGCAAGGCTTACCAACAACCACGCTCCCGACCATCTTGCTTTCACAGGGCGCTCATGACGATCTATTGCACACAGAGACATTCTGGAACCTGATACTCAAGCTCTAGGGTTGGATCAATGAAATAGAATTCGACCGCAGCAGAACAGGTAAAAGCAATCGTAATACAATGACCTAGAAACAGAGACTCCTGAACGGTGCGTCTAGAAGATGAGATTATCCTCCTCCTCAGTGAACACCTCGCGCTTGAGGACAGTGTCAGGCTTCTTGTCCTTCGACCCAGGAACAGCGCTAGTCTGTTTCTTGGACTCAGCAGAATCAAGAATAGTCTTGCCATCCTTCTTCGCGGGAATCTCACTCGAAATGGGTGTGATCCGAGCATCTCCGGAGTACGATCCGCCACCCTTGCCGTTCTTGTCAAAGCTTCCCAGAGCCACACGGTCAATCGAGTAAACGGCGCCCTTGTACTCAACACCAGACTTGTTCTTGTCCTGGTATCTGCTCTTTTCTCGCTTGTGGACGTTGGTCGACTTGGCAATACCCTCGCACTGCACCTCAGGAGTGCTAGCGTGCTCGTCAACCTCATCGACTTCGATCTCGACATCCTCGTAGTACACGGTGTGCTTCTTGTGACCAGGCTTGCATTCGGCACAGTAGTACTCGGCACGCCAGAAAGACATGACGGAGGAAATCTCGAGGTGAGTGACGTCGATGGGGTTGCCGTGGGTGTCGTAGATGATCTGGTTCCATACACCCTTTTTGTCATCGCTACGGACGAGCTCGAATTGGAGAGAAGTGCCGGGCTGATGAGAGGCGGGCTTCGCTTTGGTGGGGATGACTTTGGTGACTTGCTTGTCGCGCTTTACTGTGTCAATGCAGACCGTTCCGGCTGGGCCAGTGGTCTGGGAGTGAGCGCCGGAAGCGGTTGTGTCGATGTTGTATCTAGGGGCAGAAGGAGGCACGCCATTGGTATCGCGCTTGAAGACGATGTTGGCGCTTTCGTCGACCTTGCTCCAATCACCGAGAGGCTGAACGCCGGCAGCAGATCGCTTTTGTACATAAGGTCCAGCGTGCAACAACTGCTGCTGACCAGGGTTGAGCTTATTGGCATCGGTATCGGGCTTAGCAGCACCAGCAGCAGAGCTGGTCGAAGCATGGGGAAGAAGCGCCGCCGGCACGATGTAAGGTCGGTTCGCACAGACCTCGCCATGACGAGCCAGAGTCTTGGCACAAGAGCCTTGATCTGGGTTCTTGTTCGAGTACAGACCCGAGGTGGCCTTGATCACGGCACCCTTGACGCTGTCAGCCTCAGCAACGGTAACAGCACCACTCTCATCCCTGTCGATCTGAACTGACATCTTGTAGCGGATACGCCTGATATTGGCAGTCGTGTGACCAAGGTAGCAGTGAGCTTTGTTGCCAGCATTGAGTTCTCCCGCTGGCACGGCGATCTTGGAGTCTTCGAAGGGCGAGGCTTTACGAGCGACGTTGGTGCGTATATCATCACCAACGAGCTTGCGGATGGCCTGAGGAGGGGCAGTGGTCTTGCTCAACTTGACGGGGGTAGCCAGCTTACCAGAAGCTTCCTTCGATGGTTGGAAAGAGGGACCGCCTTGAGCGAGGTACTTCTCGATAGGGTCGAGGGCAGCCGAAACCGCGATAGAGAGAGTGACCATGGCCACCAGGGCCAAAGTGAGGGGCTTGCTGTTGAAGAGCATCCTGATTGAAATAAAGGTAGCAAGGAGAGCAAAGGGATCGGAGCGAAAGAAAGATGTTAGGGAAGCTAGTTCTGCTGAAGATGATATGGTAGGGGTGGGCTGGGGCCCCCTTCTTATACCTGACATCGTCCGCTGAGATCTTCTCGAATGCTGTGGGACGAAGAGGCTCTTTGAGTGGGACGGCTCCGATGTTCAGATGCAAGACCACTCTGTGGGGCTGGCGATGTCACCCCCTGACAGCTGTTGTTGCCATTGCCAGACAACAGCAGGCGAGAGCCGCATCGATCTCATATCGGCGACCACCGAGGCCCACTAGCTCCTACGGAGATTGAGTGAATGTGGGATATGAAGTTTCTCTGAAGTGGCATGCTGATGCTTTTGTTTTGTGGGCGAGGTTAAAAGTGGCGAAATGGACCTTCACCAGCTTCATCGCGGCTCAGGTGCAAAGTCTCACGGTCTTGGTGAGACATCCGGTGCGTTTGCTTCATACGTAGACAACTCCCCCGAACGTGCGTCTCGGGGCTGAGTCGGGGCATGTTGGTGGGAAGCTTCTTCCGGTTGGGCGAGATGATGGAGTTGTGAACGCGTGTCGACGGCCAAGGACGAAGCAGTGCAGTGAACGGCGCGCACAGACCGCGGCTCTTTTGGTTTGCATTTCCTGCCTCAATTCTCACTTCTTTTCAACCTCACTGATCCCGCCATCTCCATAATCCTATATCAACAACTCTCATCTTGGCTCGAGCTCATCACCTTCACAATCCGGTTCCTCATCTACATTAGCGCTGCTCTAGCGTGTCTCATTGCTGCCGTCCTTTTCACAGCCACGCGACCTCACCGCCTTCATTTTAGCAACATGTCAGTGCTCAAAACGCTTATCATCAACCCACGCTCGGGCGTCAAGCCCACCGCCACGCTCTTCTTCCTCCATGGTCTTGGTGATTCCAGCGCTGGCTGGTCCGATGTGGCACAGATGCTCTCGCAACGCCCTTCGTTGTCGCACGTCCGATTTGTGTTGCCAAATGCTCCCATTCAGCCAGTTTCGCTCAATATGGGCATGCCAATGCCTTCGTGGTTCGATAGTAGGTCTTCATACTCTTGTGCGTGGTGAAGCTTCCAGCCCGCACTTTTTTCCTTCGCGATCCTGACACCATAGTGCGTGAAACTCGTTCTGAGAGTACGATTTCGCTGACAACCGTTCACACTTCTTATTCTACCTACAGTCTTGGCACTTGACGATCTCTCTGGAGCCGAAGATGAAGCCGGCCTCCTCAAGTCCACTGATGAGATCAAGAAGCTGATAAAGGCAGAGAACGATGGTACCGCACAAGGCTTGGATGGCCAGCAGATTCCAAGTGAGCGCATCGTCGTTGGTGGCTTCAGCCAAGGTGGCGCCATTTCGCTCCTTACCGGTCTCACCAACCCCAATGCCGTTGCTGGTGTTGCTGCTCTTTCGACATGGTTGCCTCTGCGTGCGAAGATTGCCACGCTCCGAACGCCCACCTCGAAGAACTTGAAGGTCTTCCAGGCGCACGGTGATGCCGATCCCGTTGTCAAGTACGAGTATGGTCAAAGGACAGTGGCTTTCCTGAAGAATGAGTTGGGATTGGCTGAGAAGGACGTCGGATTCCACACATACCCTCGCATGCCTCACTCGGCATGTCCTGAAGAGGTAAGTTGCGGGCACGCGCATCGAAGCCGATGCTTTGACTAATATTTTTCGCTCAAAAAAACTTTCCCTTTGAACACAGATTCGCGACCTCGCTGCCTTCCTCGAGAAGGTGATCCCTGCTCAGTAGACTTCGGACAATCCAGGCAGGGCGTGTGGACGATCATAGCAAGTACAGTATGTACAATACAACACAGGCTTAGAGTAGAACAATTACTCCCGTCCGAGTGATCGTGTTTCGTGGTTCTGCACCTGCTAGATGGCAAATGCCAGAGTTTACAGTCCCGAAGGAGGGATCGAAGCTTTGCCATCTCGCTGCTCGGCTAGTCAAGCGCCATCAACAGTGACAATGATCTTGCCGATGTTCTTATTGGCTTCCATCTCATCGTGAGCCTCCTTGATGTCCTTCCAGGAATAAACCTTGTGGATGACTAGCTTGCTTCCCTCTCCACCATCTTTCCTTGCGCCCCAAATGAGACGCTCGAGACCCTTCTCCCGAACAAAGCCTTGAACCAAGTCACTCTGGTATTCCACGGTGCGAGATCGCAGTGTCGAACCCTCGATCCTTAGTCGCTTGAAAAGGATCTGTGCAATGACGGTTTCCTTGATCTTTGCTCCGCCCATGAAGGCCAGCATGACCATTCGACCGTCTTGTTTCAGGCTTTGCAAGTTGCCATTAAAGTAGGGTGCGCCGATAAAGTCAACAATCACGTCAACCGATCCGGCGGGTCCTTTGGCACCAGTGTGCTTGGCTAGCTCTTCTGACCAGTCGCCGGCTTTGTAGTTAAAGCCTTCATCCGCGCCAATCTGCTTACAGAAGTCAATCTTCTCCGTGGACCCTGCAGTGATGAAGATCTTCCCTGCACCGAATGCACGTGCGAGCTGGATCGCAGCCAAACCCACACCAGAGGCGCCTGCGTGAATGAGCACATTTTCGCCCTTTTGCATGCTGGCGATGGTCCTCAAGGCCTGGAATGCAGTGAGGTAGTTTTCAGGGATAGCAGCTGCTTGCACCCAGTCCAGTTCGGATGGCTTCTCCAGGATCATGCGTGCAGGAACCTTGATGTATTCGGCATAAGCTCCTCCCAGAGCAAGACCGAAGACTTCTTGACCGACCTTCCACTGAATGTCTTTGAGACCTTTAGTGGCGATTATGTGACCAGAAAACTCCACACCCATAATTTGAGGCGCGTGAGGCGGGAGAGGGTAGTTGCCCTCACGTTGCATGATGTCCATACGATTCAGGCCGAAAGCTTTGATCTTGACAAGAACTTCGTCATCGCCGAGCTCTGGAACGGGCGCCTCGCCGAGGTAGAGACTCGAAGATGGACCTTTGCCGTCCTTGACGAGGATGGCCTTCATCTGCGATGGAACTCCCGTGGAAGACATGGCTCGAGCTTGAATGGGGCTGCGGGAAGAAGTGTTGACGATGACGGTTGGGCAAAATGGAAACGCAGAGCGTAGGTTTCGTGCACCTAGGGTGAGCTGAGACACCGTACGCGATGGAGCTTTGCTGAAGGTTGAAGAAGAAGAGGTCTTGAAGGTGTGTCTAAAAAATTGAGTTGTAAGACTTCCTGTGTTGATAGCAGGGAGAGCTGACATGCTGTAACGCAGCAAGGTGAGCAGATGCGAAACTTTTCAGTAATGAACCGGCTATCTCCGTTCTACATAGCCGTACTAGCAGAAGTGGTTGGTTCAGAATTTTCTTCTTGTGCTTGCCGTTGGATGGAATGATGGCGTGTATATCCTGAACTCAGGAGCGCTACGTACCTTTTGCAGGCTGCTGCTGTCGATGGTGCGATGAGGTAGGAAGCATGAGTGGGGAGGTATTCGGTCTACACTTCATCCAGCAGTCGGTGAAAGGTGGATTGTGCACGGACGGCATGTCGAGCGTGCTCCACTTCCTCGCGGGCCAGGACGATGACGATTTCCGTCGGTCACCCATCGGGCTTGTCCTGATTATAGATCGGGAGATTCATTTGTTCATAAGCGACGCTGCTTCCTGGAGAGGCTTTGGGTTTGCAGATCGTCAAAGGACGGTCCTCTTTGCAACGTATCATAGCCTTCTGTCATCGTTCAGCTTTCTACCGAACTACAGCGGTGATGACTGAGCATTATGGCGCCCTAATTATGGCAATTTGAACTTTCATCGCTTTGACTCCGCCTTCTGACGGCGGTTAGCAGACTGTCCGATGGGACCTGTGACTTGTTGTCGCGACAGCCTGCCCGCATGATCGTGGCAAGTTCAAGAAGGCACAATGTAGAGGTCCAATACACCTAGCGATGACATCATCTCGAACGCATCTCCTTGCTGTACAGCTGTTGGAAGCTGAGGTCGATGTTTGCCATCATTTCATAAACGCGTCAGTCAGCGTGTCTGCAAGCGATATTGATGATCAGCAAGCCCATGTCATGCTTCATCACATAGATGGTGTCAGAGCATGTCATGCACAATGGCAGACACTTTGCGCATGAACAATCTACGATGACAGTCAACCTTCAGCTCTATGATGAGGAAAGAATAGCTATTCTTGGACGACGATAATTGTTCCTGAGTCCGAAGACATTTATGTTGCCCAGACAAGTGAGAGCTGGCACGTTGAAACGGCTGCGGTTGTGATTTTGATGTTCGCTCGCGCGACCATCAACGAGCACATCATCATGCTATCAGGATCAAGTGGTTCGACTCATCAGACGTGTGACTCCGTCGGCTGATGGAGTTGACAGGAATATCCACAGCTCAGCCTTTGCGAGAAACGTCATTTTCAGAGACAAGGGACCTACGGACGACCGAGCGAACATGCATGCGATCCTGATATGGTGATTGTGCGACTGTTTCGCATTCAGCGCGGAGGTCGTATTGAAGAGAGAGCGGTGAGCTCGGAGGTGAAGGCTGGAGGGCAGACAGACAGCGAGAGAAAGGATGTGCGAGATGGGAAGGCTTCGAAGTCCGCAATAGCCCTCGCTGATCCGTAATCTAACAGGACTTCCGTATCGTTTTCTGTATCGTCCGACTGATCCTCCTCCGTACGGCCGTGTGAGTCAGCCCGCGCTAAAATATTTCATTTTAGTAATTCGCTATCCGAAGCAATTCCAACTCTTCGGGATTTCTAATTAAAAAAACTGACACGCGAACTGGAGTCCACAACTGGCGCCGCAAGCCAGCCTGAAGTGTCACTTAGAGCCGAGAGGTCTGGCGCCCTTCAATCTCATTTTCTGTTCATTCATTTCAAACGTCACCTCCAAAATGATTAGGAAGCAATGAATCTGACTCGAGCATAAGTCCGCAATTTCTTGTGGAAACAATGAATACAGTTTCGAGTCTGTGGCTGTCCGCCATGTCGGCCTTTGATGTAAAACATGGCGGATAGGTCGACATCAGACGCTGCAACGTAGACTCTGATATGAACATCGTGAAGATGGCGCTGAGTGCTTCAGTCTCAGGCACAATAAAAAAAACTTTCATGTTGTGGCGCTGGAGCCCGGGAATTGAAAAAGTAAATAAAATAAATAAATAAAAATAACAAACAAAATAACAAACAAACAGAAAAAGAAAAACCCTGGTCCGAGACCTGCATTCAAGCTTTCTCAGCCACCAAGTCCTGCTCACTGATACCTCGAATCAAGCCACATCAATAGACGCACACATGCACTCAGAGACAAGGTGAGATCTGGGCGGCTTTTGATCAACCTCAATTGCCGACCCATCAATGTTCCTGGACCAATGTTTTTTGCTTTTGTTACAAAGGACCCTGGGAAGCGAAGAGGCTGGGTATTACTTGGGTGGATGTGATGAGTTGAGTTGGTGAATGAGAACTTTGCCCGGACGAGCCGGGGATGTTTCAAAGCTTTTGCTACTTGCAAACACATAATTTTGACGCCAGAGATTAAGCCGCAGTCTCGGTGCTCCCTTTCAGATGAAGATAACAATTAATATACGGCGTTATCAGGGTCACGATCAGACTCCCTTTACCACAGCCGTATGTTCTATGTAATGCTTAGTTTTCATGATGTGAGACTGAATGACAAACACATATATATACTCCATTCACTGCTCTGGTCCTATTCGAGGCAGGATGTGTCTCTTCATTTGTACTCCTGTGTTGCTATGATACCGGGTGCCACTGTGCTGTCACCATGACAACAATTACGTACCTCATTGTACTTCTCGCTTACGTGAGCCTCCCGTGTCTCAATGTCTCGGCCGTAACATGTGCATCTTACTTGAGATGCCGACGCATCTTCAACTCCCCCCTTCGGCGGGATCTCCAGTCCTATCATCCTAGCCAATCGTGAGGTGTTAAGACCCTGTAAGGGTTTTGTCAAGACATCTGCAACGTTGTTTGCCGTTCCGACATATTTGATTTCCACATCGCCCTCTTGTACGTGATCGCGAACGAAATGATACCGTGTGTCGATGTGCTTTAACTTCCAATGTTTGGCTGGATCTTTACTCACCTGTATGCACCCCTGGCTATCTGTGTATAGTACGGGCCGAACGTCCGTGGTCTCCAAATCCCGGAGCAAATATGAGAAGAATAAGGTTTCTCGTACCGCTTCGGAAGCGGCGACAAACTCTGCTTCGACTGCCGACAATGCCACACACTTCTGAACGTGTGATTTCCAACTCACTGGACACCCATATACATATGTTATCGACCCCGAGGTGCTTCTTCGTCCATTTGTGGGGTCGGATGCCCAGTTTGCGTCGGTATACGTCGTTACCGGTGTATCCGAGTGCTCGTTTGTCTCCCCTCCTAGGTGCAACTGATATTCGTTCGTTTGGTTCAGGTACTTTACCACGTGGATGGCTGCCTTCCATGCACTGTCGATCAGGATCGACATATATCGCGCCAATACGCCGACGGCAAAGGCAATATCTGGTCGGGCTGTGTTGGAGACCCATAATAGTTGGCCGACCAATTCTTGATACTTCTTTGCTCGCTGAGGTTCACATCACTCGCCTCCGGCAACGTTCGCTACACTCAGCATGGGTACCCAAGATTTCTCGTTTGCTCCTCCTAACCATTTGTTCACCATTTCCTTGATGTATGCCGTTAGACCCAGAGATATCCTCCTCCGTCTTCTATCACGTGTGATCTTGATACCCAGAAATTCTTTGACCCTTCCATTGTCTTGCGTCTCCCATTTGTCCATGATCTCTCGCTTTGCGCGATCTACTTCATCACGACTGGGTGATGTTATTAGCATGTCGTCCACGTATGCTGTGATGATCGTGATCTTGTCGCCTGTCCCTCTTGAGTATAGGCATGGTGCGCTCGGCATGCAATGGAATCCGATCGTCCGGAGATGTGAGTCTAACTCAATGTTCCATTCTCGGCCCGATTGTTTCAGACCGTACAGTCCTTTCACTACCTTCAACACTTTTCCGGGTGGCATTTCGATTCCTACTGGGGGCTTGAGGTATACATCATGGTGTATAGTGGAGTTCAGGTACGCTTGCTTTACGTCGATAGAATCCATTTCCCAATCTCGTACTGCTGCGACAGCGATCACCCCTCGAATGGATTGGATGGGTGCTACTGGTGCGAAGACCTCTGTATAGTCGATGCCCTCGCGTTGAGTGAAACCTCGTGCCACGAGCCGGGCTTTGAACTTTGTCGGCACGAGGTTTGCATCGGTTTTGATCTTGAGTACCCAACGTGTGTCGACAGTATTTGCACCCTTTGGGAGGCCGACTATCTCCCATGTGCCCATCGCCTCCAATCCATCCAGCTCCTTTTGCATGGCCTCCTCCCAGTGTTTTCTGTCCTTTCCACTCATTGCTTCATGTATGGTTGGGTCCAGGTTCTTTCTCCATTCCGGTCGCGTCGCTACGAGTCCATAGAATTCGCTGTCAATTTGAGTTTCGGCGATTGGTCCTTGTTCCATCACCTCCGCTGTTCCTTCGCTTAATCTTTCTTCCGAATCTGTCTCCATATCCATGCATTCTCGTAATGGCTCTTCATCTGTTTCGTCGAATATATTTTCTTTATTGTATCCTAGATCTTCGAAATTTTCCTCTGTCATCATCATTGGGGGTGCCTTTGTGTCAACCGGTCGCCACTCTGTTCTGTCTGACCAGCACTTTGATTCCATGAATTTTGCTGAGTTGCTCCAGAAGATGTTCGGATTGTAGTCCGGGCTGTAGAAGAGCCAGCCCTTCCTTTCTAGACTGTACCCTAAGAAAATGGATGCGACGGCTCGCTGGTCCAGTTTCTTGTTGTCCCGTTTAACTTTGGGTACGTTTACCCATGCCAGACAACCAAACACTCGTAGGAGCTTTAAAGCTCGTTCCGGCGACTTGCCAAACATCGCTTGATAAGGGAATTCATTATCAACGCTCGGAGTGAGGTTTATTTTGAATGCCGCAGCTCTGATCGTGTATGGCCAGAACTTCTTCGGTAGTCTCCTCTGCATTAGCAACGTTCTCATCTTCTCTCCAAGGGTCCTGTTCATTCTTTCTACCCGTCCATTTTGTTTGCTGTTGTACCCTACGGTGGTTTGCCACTCTATGCCCTTTTCTAACGACCATTCTAATGCATCATTGCTTTTCCATTCCGTTCCTTGATCGGATCGGATCGCTTTTAGCTTCCGATCCGTCTGTGTCTCCAGGAACGAAACAATCCTTTTGAGTTGCATAAAGGCATGACTCTTTCGTGTCAATGGCTGTGCATACACATACTTGCTATGATCGTCGACCAGCACCAACGTGCATGTGTACTCCGTCACGTGGGACGAGTCTATTATTAGATCGACGTGGATAAGATCCAGGGGCCCTACGGCTCTTTCGCCGCTACCTTTCCCCATCCGAGCGCTTGTGCTCTTGGATCGTACGCACTGCTCACACGTCAGAGCGGTGTTTGGATCCAATTTCATGGTATGCTTATCCTTTAACTTGGTTGTGATCGCCTTAGCTTTATCTCTTCCTGGGTGCCCGAGACGCTCATGCCATAGTTGTTGTTTTGAAACTTTCGGCTCATTCTCAATATGCTCGAACTCCTCATCAACACCTTCAAACAATGGTGCTGATGTGGCCATCGCGCTTTCTTGCCATGTGTCGCCTCGGAACTCCAGAAGTCCTCGCTCGCGATTCTTTGCAATCTTAAGTGTCATGCCGTTTGTTAGAAAAATTTGGCCGCCGGTTGTGTCCAATATCACTCGTGCTCCTTCATCCGTTAATGAATTTGTTGACAGAAGGTTAACATTAAGGTGCTTTACATACAATACATTTTGCAGAGAGATTTCCCCGTAATCTGTTGATATGCTTGCATCTCCTATAGCTGCCGCTTCCAAGACCTCGCTTCCGGCGGTAATTATCCGCTTTCGGCAAGTTCTCGGGTGGATGAGCATGCTGTAGTCGTTCACCATATGGTAACTCGCCCCCGAGTCCAAGATCCAATAAGCTGTTTCTTTTGTGTTCGAGGGGTCCTGCCATTTCATTGGGAGGGTGAGGGAGCACCACGCTTCCTATTTAGGTTCAGCGAGGGGGGAGTCCTTGGGAATGGTAACCAAGGCGTCGCATTGACTGATACCATGTCCCGGTCGCTTGCAGACCCAGCATCGGATTCGGCGTGACTTGCTTGCGTTCCTCGAGCTCGCGTGGCTGTTGTCGGCTTCGGCTTCGGTCTCTCCGGCCCGTTCGTTTTGATCGTCGTTGCTGGCGGTTCTAGCACTGGCTTGTCGAGGGTCGATCCTTTGTGCGGGGACGCTCTCGACAGCGGTCTGCCGGATGCTTAGTGCGGTGGCAAGGGCGTTGAAATCGATTTGATGGACGGTGGCAACCGTCTCCTTGTACACCAGATGCCGGATCGTGCATTTCTGCAGAGCCGAGAACAATGTATCATCGGCGAATGGTTTGCCGAGGAGGCTGCTTTCGGTTTGTATGGACCGGATCTCTTGAATTAGCTTTCTGGCGTCCGAGTTAAACATCTTTGTATCGTTGAGTTGCGAGATAAGCGCAAGTCTGTGAGACGTCTTGGTGGCTTCATTCGTGAGACCGTTTTCGATCTTTCTCCACACTTGGTTGAAAGTAAGGTACTCCTTGATTACATCTAGAACGAGGTAATTTACATTGTGTTCTCCGGTAGTGTCGATTGTTCCACGCAGGGCGTTGATTAAAGCATCGTCGAGGGAGCGGCTCCATTTTGGGTGTTTCTTGTCGTACGTTCCCTCGAGATGTTTCATCGCATGAGGCACGGATCGGAGGAAAGATTTCACGTGGGCGCTCCAGCTATGATAGTTTCGTGACGTGAGCTTTGGCACGGGTTCGAGGAGCTTTGCTAGGGTGCGAAAGTTATATCGCTTGTCACCATCATCAAAGTCGGAGTCGGAATCGGTGTCTTCGTCGGCTTCATCATTGATGGCCTCCGGCTCGTTCTCGCTCGTGGCATTATTATCGACCCGAACCTGGGTGTTCTTGCCTTTTCTGCCTCCTTTGGTCCTCGTTTCGGTGTCTTCTACCATGGTTGTCGGCGAGTTTCGGTTAGCTCGGTGATAGCTTCTTCAGACTCTTAATCAGATGAAGATAACAATTAATATACGGCATTATCGGGGTCACGATCAGACTCCCTTTACCACAGCCGTATGTTCTATGTAATGCTTAGTTTTCATGATGTGAGACTGAATGACAAACACATATATATACTCCATTCACTGCTCTGGTCCTATTCGAGGCAGGATGTGTCTCTTCATTTGTACTCCTGTGTTGCTATGATACCGGGTGCCACTGTGCTGTCACCATGACAACAATTACGTACCTCATTGTACTTCTCGCTTACGTGAGCCTCCCGTGTCTCAATGTCTCGGCCGTAACATGTGCATCTTACTTGAGATGCCGACGCATCTTCAACTCTTTCTCTCGAATTTCCCACGCTCCTTTTCTTCTCGAATTTCACACTCCCACGGTCTCGATTTTTCCATGCTCTCGATGTAACCTTCCCATGCCTCCGACTACCGTATTCCCTTACCCTCACATTTCCCACGCTTCGATCGACAATCTTTCTTCGTTCTCAGTCCCCCCTTCAGTCCTTACATGACAGTTTTCACTTGTCTTCTTTCGTACTTGCTAAACACAGAGTCTTTGCTCGTACACACATTTGCTAGGCCAGTTGGCTATATAAGTTCGCTCTATTTCTTGTATTTACTTTTACTTTGAATAATCAACTTAGTCGTTCTCATTGACATCGCCTGATCCCTCAACAGAATTCAATATCTCGATCCAGGATTAGGCAGGCACTGCCACGAGTGAGGAAGCTTGAACTCACCCCGCCTCACCCTCTTGAACAACCATGACGGTGCATGCAGCGCAGAGGTGTATAATTCGGCAGCAGCAAAGGCAAAGCAAGGTGATGTCATTCGGAAGAACGTGAAGCACTCTCCGCATCTATGTCAAGGCTTAACAGACCTGGACGAATCTCAACCTTGACATTACAGACACCCTCGCAGCCAGACTGGTTAGACCAATTCACATGTTCGTCAGAGAAGTCGTACATTGTTAAAAATCATTGCTTTGCTTTGAGTCGCAGGTATCTACATGAGGTGCCGTAAAGAACAGACGTCGTCAATCGGTTTCGTACAGGAAATCCGTTACTCGAGGTTCGAAGCAACCTTCTCGGTAGCCCGTCCGTTGCCAAAGATCCAGTTCCACAAACCAGTTGACTCAGGCTTCTGGTTGCCCTCGACCTTTCGTGCGCCACTGTGCAGCTTGTCGCCGGCATAGTCGAGACCCTCAGCTGTCTTGTCTCTGAGGCTCTCATATCCGCTGTCAGCCTTGTCCTTGAGGTTGTAGAAGCTCGAGTTAGCCTCGTCTTTGAGGTTCTTGTAACCCTGCTGCGACTGGTCACGGAGTGCCCTGTACTCGCTCTCGGCCTGGTTGTGGGCATCACGAGCCTTGGCATTAAGCTCTGACTTCCACTCCTTGCCGGTCTGCTTGAGGTCCTTGTAGTCTGCTTTGACGCCGCTGTCCTGGAAGTGGCCACGAGCCTCGCCAGCACGCACCTCAGCGTTGTACTGAGCAGCAAGGATCTTTTGCTGAGCGTTGTGCTCGACCTGGTCGCTGTGGCTCTTAGCTTGGCTGCCAACGTCATCAGCAGCATCTTCGGCCTTGCTCTTGAGGTTGAACCAGCCCTTCTGAGCCTCATCCTTGGCCTGATCGTACTTGTCCTCGGCAGCAGACTTGCCTGAGAACCAGGAGCTCTTGGCCTGGTCCTTAGCTTCCTGAGCCTTATCCTTAGCGGTGAACCAGCCTGACTTGGCGGAGTCAGCTGCCTCATCAGCCTTCTGTTCAGCGGCCGTTTTTGTGGATAAGAAGCCAGACTTGGCGCGGTTGGCAGCATCATCAGCGGTGTCCTTAGCAGAGAACCAGCCCGACTTGGCGGAAGTAGCAGCTTCGTCAGCCTTCTGCTCAGCTGCGGACTTGGTGGAGAACCAGCTGGACTTAGCCTGGTGAGCAGCCTCATCGGCTTTCTGCTCGGCAGCCGATTTAGTAGAGAAGAAACTTGACTTGGCTTGTTCGCCGGCCTCAGCTGCCTTGTCCTTGGCACTGGACCATCCCTGCTTGGCAGACTGGGCCGCCTCATCAGCCTTGCGCTCAGCGGCTGATTTCGTCGAGAAGAAACTGGATTTGGTCTGTTCTTTGATGTCTTCAGCCTTGTCCTTGGAGGCGAACCAGCCTTGCTTGGCTTGATTGGCAGCCTCGTCGGCCTTCTCCTGGGCGGTGTTCTTGGCGGAGAACCAACCAGACTTTGCCTGCTCGCCAGCTTCCTCTGCCTTGTCTTTGGCAGTGGACCAGCCCTTCTTAGCCTGAGCCTCGGCCTCGTTAGCCTTCTGCTCGGCCGTGTTCTTCGCAGAAAACCAGCTAGACTTTACATCTTGCTTGGCGTTCTCAGCACTCTGAGCTGCGCTGTCATAAGCACCTTCAGCGCTGCCTTTAGCCGAGCGCCAGGAGCTCTTGACCTCATTCTTTGCGTCGTAATACTTGTTCTCAACGTTGTTCTTGGCATCCTCGAGCCTCTGTTCGGCTTGGTCGACCTTGTCGTGAGCGTTGCGGCGAAGCTGCTCCAACTCTTTGGAGACAGTTCCGTAAGGTACGCTACCGGGGAGGGCGTTAGGGTCGTTGTGCTTGAGATCAGTGCCTGGACGCGCAGCGATACCAGAGACGCCTCGAGCAGCAGAAGAGCCAAGAGGCGGACGCTCATGAAGCTCGGTAGTGGCACCTGAATGAGGCTTCAAGTCTGGAAGCGTGTTGCTGCCAGGTGCACCAGCTTGGAAGGTGCCGTTGGTATCCTTTGCATACTGCTGCAGCAAGGGATCAAAGACATAGTAGCCGATACCGACACCGACGGCCGAAGCACCGAGGAGTGGCAGGACTCGCTGTCGGAAAGCCATATTTGACAGATACGGTGGGTGTTGAAAGAGAGGAGGTGGGTATAGATGTGCTACTCAACTCGAAAAGGCAAGTGGAAAGATGGCTTTGCTCCTTATGAGTAGGTGGTGGTCGTGGGAAGGTAAGTGTGTTCGGGCGGCGGATGGAGGAACAAGGTGTCAGGTTCTCCGATGATCCTGAGAGGCGAGACGAAGAAGATGCAAGCGGACTCAGCTTTGTGCGATGAGCCCTCACACTTGTTAAAGAACAAAAGAGCGAGAGTCATTCCGGCAGCCTTGTGCACTGACGTATGTGTCGCCTAAATCAGCGAGGGCTTCTGCATCGGCGACCTTTCCGAGAGAGGATCTAATTTAAGCCCTGGTTGGTTTGTCTTTGGGGTACCAGACAAAGTGGCACTCGTCCCTGATGCTCTTTCCAACTCGAGAAAGGCCGATGCTTCTAAAAACAGCTACAACATCTACAGAAAGCGCACGGGCACGAGGACCAGGAGAGGGAAATAAATTAAAAAAAAAAACCCATCGTGCCTCCACTTGGCAGAATGACGCCAATTTGCATCGGGCCCTCTCAGTGCTGTCTCGTGCGATTGGAAGGTCACGCTGCAAGCAACTTTTTGGGCGTTGGACCCTGAAGAACCTGTTATCCTTGCAAGTAGCCTCGTACTTGGCACAACCGTCCTGGTTGAGCTGCCTGAATGCCAAGAGGACGATGAGGACCAATCGTAGTACCATCCTGGCGGGTCGCAAGGTAGTGCTGGTGCCATATCGCAAACAGCATGTGCCTCGCTATCACGAATGGATGAAGGATCCATTGATCCAGGAGCAGACAGCTTCCGAGCCGCTCTCGCTCGAGGAAGAGTACGAAATGCAACAGTCTTGGGCCGTCGACGAGGACAAGCTCACATTTATCATCTTGGCTCTGCCAGAAATAACTAGCTCAAAAGGGGAAGCTTCTTCAATAGAGTTCTGCAAAGCGCAAGATCTGGTGTCCAAAAGCAAGATGGTTGGCGACGTGAACATCTTCTTCAATGCGAGACACGAAGACGAGGAGGATGAAGAGGTGGACAAGACGCAAGGCAATGGAGCGAAACAAAGAAGTAATGCCTTCGATGCCGAATGCGAGATCATGATCGCAGGTGAGTTGCTTCAGCGTGAGGAGCTCTTCGCTTTTTCTTGTCCCTCATCTGATCGAAGCCTGTCTATCCCTCTGGCCTGAATGCCCTGCAGAGCACAGCTATCGACGCCAAGGAATTGCTCGAGAGGCGCTACAGATGATGTTCGCATTCGTCACGACACGACCTACACCAGTCGCTCAAGCATCATCAGATACTGGACAGAGCAACGCGGCGGAACTAGCAAAGTCTAACGATGTAATTCACTGCACTCTTCCGATACCCTTAGACTGGCTCACATGCAAGATCTCATTGAGCAACACTCCGTCCATCCAGCTCTTCGAATCGCTCGGCTTCACCCGCCAAAGCGTCAGTGAGATCTGGAAAGAAGTCGAACTGCGCTTCACAAGCATCGATTCGAAGTTGCACGATCAGATCGCTAACTCAATACAAAACGTCTTCTACTTGTCAGACGAATAGCTGCTGCAGGCTCGACGAACGGGGCAATCATTACAAGACCAATTGCCCGCATATTTGATGTGGTTAGATTCGTCACTCGACTTTTCTGATAATGCTATTGTACACCAGTCCATGCTGTGTGCCTTGTGATGGCCGAGAGCTCGTCTGGAGTCAGGTCCAGACCGTGTTGCGCTCGAAGATGGCGCCGAAGATCGTAAAGTCGCTTGAAGCGGTGCTCACACGCGGTTCCCTCATCATTATGTTCTTGGTTCTGTGGCTCATCTTCTTCGGAAGATGGCCTCAGAGCAGGATCTGGCAGCTGTTGATCAAGCTCTTTGCGAATCTTTGTCCATGGACAGGAAAAAATGCGGTTTCGCGTGGTTCGCCTTTTCTTGACAGAAGATCCTTCCTCTTCATGAACCTTACGTTTCGAGGATGCGTTCTGGGCAGCTGAATAGCCTTGACCAGTGAGCAGGTCGAGCAATCGAGGTTTCAGCGTGGATGTTGCCTGTTGCCAAGCATGAGCAGTGGCAGTCACCCCATTGGAGTCAGATTCATCGTTGAGTGCCGCTTGTGCAGACGCATCTGAGTCCGTCCCGTCATCGGCATCGTTCTCGCTTTTGGAAGAGCCGACGAAGCTTTCGTTACCCGGAGAATGGTTGGTAGAGGTTGAAAATCGCAATCTGCTCCCAGCGTTCGGTGTCTGCTCAGGCGAGGAACGGATACCTGTACAGACTCGACGATGACGCGAGACAAGATGCTTGTGCGCGAATCGACGACCGCAGTCAGAGCATTCGAAGGGCCTTTCGCCGAGATGGGCGGTCCTAACGTGGATGGACAAGGTCGATTTGCGAGTGAAAACTTTACTGCATCCATTCCATGTACACGCGAAAGCATTGCACGAGTCTCGACCGCTGGTCACTGATGTTGCGACACTCCCGTGAAGGGCCGAGCCTGTTCTGCCTGACAGCGAGGTGACCACGCTGAGAGCAGGAGAGCTTAGATCCCGAAATACACCGCCCCTGCGTGGTCGAGTAGTATGCAGTTTTGCAGCTTTGTGCACGAGTTGTTCTTCGGTGAGGGAAGAAGATTGTGTTGGTGTCGTGCTTGGGCTTGTCTGCCGTGTTGACGAGAGCTGCAGTTCGTCTGATGGATGTGCCGATGGCGTGAGTCCATCGGCATGTAAATTGATGCCGTTTGCGCCTCCGGCCTTCGAAACTGACTTGTCTCCATGCCTTTCGGGAGATGTGGATTCTTCCTCCTCATCAGACGAGGACGCATAGCTATCGTCTGACGACTCAGCTCGTAGATGGTTGAGCTCGTTCTCGAGACTACCTTCTAGCACCTTTGCTTCAATCTCTAGTCGTAGCTTGCGCTGCTCGTGCCTTCGATAATGCGTCCTAAGGTTGTCCTGACGCTGAAATTGCTTGCTGCAGTCCGGCCATGGACAAATTGGCGGATGTGCTTCCTTCATATGTAACTGTAATGCAGACCAGGTTGAGAATGTGTAGATGTAGGGTGCTTGAGCCGGACTTGCGGCTTCTTGTGGTGATTCATGATGCATAGAGCAGGTGTATCTGCCGTCCTCGTGCGTCCGATAATGCGTCTTGCGTTTCGAGTTGGTGGGAAAGCGCTTTCCGCAGCCAGGATGCTGGCAGGCAAAGGGGAGCTCCGCGGCAGATAGCTCCGGATGTTCTGGGTGCGAGCCAATCGGATCGATACTTTGATCGGGTACAGTAAGGCCGCCATGTTGATCTCGTAGATGTTGACGCAGCTGCTTACGCTTATAGAAGCTTAAGTCACAATCAGGCTCGGTGCATGGGTAGTCCTGTGTGCTTGTGCCTGTGATGGAGGATAGATGGTCAGCGTGGCAAGCCTGGACATGATTCTTGAGCTGACTTGAGGTCCAGAACTTGAGATTGCATCCATCTTCCTGACATGCAAAAGGCTTTTCGGAAGGATCCTGATGACGGCGCTGGTGCGCCTTGAGATGCTCATTTCGCATGTAGCTGGCATCGCATCCTGGGTGATTGCACTCGAAAGGTCGTTCGCCTGTGTGACTTCGAACATGTTGAGCCAGCTTAGATGCTTTGATGTAGCTCTTGGTGCATTCATCGTACGGACAGTGGTGGCGGCCACTGTCGGGTCGACTGCTGGGACCAGCTTCTGACTCTCCTGGAAACAGTTGAGCGGATGGCGCAAGGCTGGCGCTGCACCCGTTCGCCTCCGCCGTTGTCATGATGAGCTGCGTCCCAACATCAAGTAGCTGAAGGGTCTTCGCCAAAATAACACAGACGCTCTGGACGACGGGGACTTTTGATGCTGGCGCTTTTGCTACTGATGGTGGCGGATGGCAGTGGGAATGAAGAGAATAGAAGGCAGGATGAATGCAAAAAGTCCAACGCTTTCTTCTTCTGGAAGTTTTTAGAGTTGAAAGGCCTTATGCCTCCACCTGCTTTGGACCCTGAACTCGCACAGAGCATCAGCCCTAAAGTCAGCCTTCTTCTTCTCCTTCTTCTTCTTCTTCTTCTTCTTCTCCTTCTTCTTCTTCTTCTTCTTCTTCTCCTTCTTCTTCTTCTTCTTCACCATTGTCGGCACTTCTCGGCGAATCCCAATATCTCACATTGGCAATCAGCAACTTGGTACAGACATGACATCCAGTGGCTGAGGATGACCAGCTTGCCCGCTGCGATAACCGCGACAAGATATGCGCCCGAGCCACATGATCCATTCGCGTCGGAATCTCTCAGACCTTCCACTCTTAGGCTGCAACGTCGCAACAGCAAACTCACACATCTCCATGGCCTACGTGACCGCTGCAAAGACGCAGCAGGGGTTCTCACAATCGATCATGAGGTCGATCACATCCGCTCCGTGACACGAGCCAAAGCTTTGGACGAGGAGTTCTCTGTTGCGGTGCGAGAGCGATGGCAGACGTGGTCACGCAACGCAAATCCGTTTCGCACCGACTTGGCATCATCGGCAGCTTCCGAGCTCAATAGATCTGCTGCCAATTCAGAGTCTGACCCTGAAGATTCCTCGGCAGCCTCTGCTACAGAAGATGCAGATGAGCAAGAAGAGGCTGAGCATCCATCGAAGAGGAAACGAAGAAAGGCATTTCGCGCCGAAGAGATCAAAATCAAGGTTGGGGAATCCGAACTCGAGATGACTGAAGGATGGGAAACAATCCGTCGAGATAGAGAAGCTTGTCTTTCTGGGCTCGATGCGGCATTGCCAAGCGCTTTTCGCTTTGATGAGCGACAGTTGCAGGTGTATGCTCATCGACTCAAACCAAAATACATCAACTCGCTCGATCGACCATTCGAGGTCCGCGATGTTCGGCGGCTGCTTCGACCTTCTCAAAACATCGTTGGTGCTGGCGTCGTTGTAGCACGCTCTGCATGTGTGTTCAATGGCACGACTGAAGTGCCCAACGTTTTGACCATCTCCTTTTTCACGGGCAGCCTCGACTTTGGCAAGGACGATGCAGCGACGCAAGACACGACTGATCCTTCTGGTTCTCCCAAGGAGCTCGACGGTGACAGCACCCGAGACGACTACGTCAAGCGGATCTGTGGTGATGGACTTGGTGGAATGAAGCGCACACAGACCGTCGAGCTGATTTCGTCACAGACATTGTCGGATCTGCAAAATTCTCTCTTCTGTTGGTCCGACGAACAGCCAGAACGATGTGGCTGGCGCAAACGCCTCAAGAGGAAGCACCTTAACCCCAGAGGGACGCAGCGCGGTCCCGAACTTAGCAACACACGGCATCAAAGCGATCCAGCCAACGAAGCAGGCTCAGAGTGTGAAAGCAATGATGAAGACGAAAGAAATTCGGATCCTCGCTTTGCTCGATTCACGGGCCAACGAAGGCAGACGGACACAGTGCTGATCATCGAGGACAAGATGTACAACAAAGGGGTTCGCCATGGCGACGCCTTGGAAGAAGCCGGTTATGCCGCACTGCTCGCGCAATGGAAGACCGCTCCGGGTCAAACTAATGCTTCAGTCGGATGGGCAGAAAAGGCGGGCGATCTAAATATCAGCATCGATCAGCTCAATTCATTCCGTGTCGGTCAGCCGTACTGGCTGCTTCATCAGGGTGATTGCGTACACTGCTTCGTGATTGAGCAAGTCCGAGCCATGCGACCACGCGAGCAGACATGGCTAGCCGACACCAGCAAGACTATGACTAGTGTGGAAAGCGCACCTGGCGGCAGCACGGTCATAGGCTTCCCACGCGTCACTTGGCTGTCTACGCCCACCATGCTACGATTCACTGCGGACAACAAGGACAGCTATAGCATCGGTCATCGCATCTTGCATTTGGATACTCAAGTACCATCAGGCTACGACGAACTTAATGAGCAAGGCGGCTCATCTAGCAACTCGAGAGAAGCGGAATCGTCACAGCCTTCGAATCCTTGGCAGATCGCCTTGAGTCGTACCAGGCGCAAGGAGGAAGGTCTCTTGCGCAAGAAACAGGGCAAATGTCTTGCATGCTCGCTGCGAAAAGCCCAAGTTGGCATTCTTGGAGGCGATCGTGTTCGTCTGCCTTCGAATACTGTCGAGAATCACGACAACGATGCCACTGCTCAGGACGAACGCATCGTTGCAGGCCTAGACGACCACCTTACAACACTATGTACCTCGTGTGCAGCTCTTCTCGGTCTTCCCACACGCCAGAGTGACGCAGCAGAGAACCCCGAAGCGGCTCTTGAGTTGAATTGGCAGCACATCGACGCAGACAAGAGCCGCCAAGCCGGCTGGACTGTCTTTCCCATGTATTAAAGCATGACAAAGTGAAACCCATCACCACCGCGTCAGTCCTCCGCCAAACTCAACAATCACGAAATTTGCACCTATTGAAACGCTGAAAGTACTGAGAGTGGTGTCAATTGTCAAGGAACAGTAGAATAAAGAACAAGAGCGACGATGCACCACGGTCTAAGTGCAATAAGAGTCGGAGAACGGTGCTTGTATAGAATTCGAATCAGGTTCAAAGCAGGTGGAGATTATCGTACAAAGTCGTTGCATTTGCGTTGCGAGACTTATACTGCGCCATTGAAAGCCTTAAGGCGACGATGATTGGACACTAGCACTAGACAACACTTTTGTATGCATTTTGGGGAGGAGGAGAAGTCGTTGCCTCTCTAAGCGTGGATCTTGGTGACGATACCGGTACCAACAGTCTTACCACCTTCACGGAGGGTGAATCGCGAGCCCTCCTCGAGAGCGATGTCGTGAACGAGCTCACCGTCAAGCTCAACGTTGTCACCGGGCATGACCATCTTCTCGTCAGCATCCTGGGTACCAGGGGGGTGAGTGAGCGAAACTGTGACGTCGGCAGTTCGGATGAAAAGTTGAGGACGGTAGTTGTTCATGAAGGGCGTGTATCGGCCACCCTCCTCCTTCTTTAGGATGTAGACCTGAGCACGGAACTTCTTAACAGGCTTGATCGATCCGGGAACAGCCATGACCTGACCACGCTTGACCTGCTCGCGCTTAACACCACGCAAGAGGGCACCCATGTTGTCACCGGCCATACCCTGGTCGAGCTGTTTGTGGAACATTTCGATACCAGTGAGGGTGGACTTGAAGGTGTTGCCGAGACCGAGGACCTCGACTTCAGCACCCTTGTTGATGGTACCACGCTCGACACGACCGGTCACGACGGTACCACGGCCAGGAATGGAGAAGACGTCCTCGACGGGCATGAGGAAAGGCTTCTCGAGGTCACGAGGGGGAAGGTCAAGCCACTTGTCGGTCTCCTCCATGAGCTTGAGGATAGCCTGCTGGCCAACTTCGGGGTCGCGGCTCTCGAGAGCAGCAAGAGCGGAACCGGAGACGATAGGGGTGTTTTCACCGTCGAAACCGTAGGTGGAGAGGAGATCACGCATCTCCATCTCGACAAGCTCGAGCATCTCGGGGTCGTCGATCTGATCAACCTTGTTGATGAAGACAACGAGCTTCTTGATACCAACCTGCTTGGCGAGCAACAAATGCTCACGGGTCTGAGGCATCTGACCGTCAGGAGCCGAGACGACGATGATGGCACCGTCCATCTGGGCGGCACCAGTAATCATGTTACGAATATAATCGGCGTGTCCGGGGCAGTCGACGTGGGCGTAGTGGCGGTTTCCGGTCTCGTACTCGACGTGGGCAGTGGAGATGGTGATACCACGAGCACGCTCCTCGGGAGCCTTGTCGATGGAGGCGTAGTCGATGAATTTTCCGGTACCCTGAGCCTCGTGGAGGATCTTTGTGATAGCAGCAGTGAGGGTAGTCTTACCGTGGTCGACGTGGCCAATCGTACCGATGTTCATGTGTGGCTTGGTACGCTCAAACTTGCCGGAGTCGGCGGCGTAAGTTCGGACCTGCAAAGCGATGGCGACACGGGGGAGCTGAGCAGCGCATACTCGAGCACGGCCGGCATGGGTGGCGGGTGACTTGGTGGCAGGGCGGGTGACCAAGGTGCGGACAGCAGCGGGAGCAGCAGCAACCGACTTCTGTGCAGCCAGAGACCTGGCGATGGAGCGAGGGGCCTGAGTTCGGAGAAGGCTCATCTTGAAGACTGAAACGTCGGATCAAGAAAGGGGGGGGGGCAAATTGAGGCGATGAGGAAGAGGGAGATGATGATGTTGGTGGAGGAAGAAATGTCTCTGTTGAAACAAGGGCTCGGATCGTGAAGAACTGCTTGCTTGCTTGCTCGTCTTGCTGCTGATCGGAACAACTCCCAGCTACCCTTCTTCCTAACTTAGCTTCCGCGATCCGAACTATTTTTGCAGCTTGTAGGACACTTCATGAGCCTCTTTCTTCTCATCTCTGATACTGTAGAGCTCGATTCACATTGTCTGTTTTAATCTTGCTTGCAGTTCAGTAGGCAGCTAGCATCATAGCAATGAATCAGAGTCAACATCTCGCAAGGTTGTCTCGAGAACAGGTAAATATGTGTTTAAGGGACACCTCGAAAGGGCCAAATCGGAACGTTACGTAAGATGTCTTCGGAACACACAAATTTTTGGCGGTTTGACCGCGCGAGAGGAAGGAATCCAAGAAGTTCTCTCTCTTTTTTTTTTTTTCTTTTTTCTTTTTTCTTTTTTCTTTTTTTTTTTTCTTTTTTTTTTTTTCTTTTTTCTTTTTTTTTTTTCTTTTTTCTTTTTTCTTTCCTTTTTTCCCCCCTTCTCAAGTGGAGTGCAAATCGCCGATCTCCCGATGCTTGAAGAAGATCCCCGGGGGACTGAGCTGAAGGTGAGAGAGTTGGACTTTGCGCGCTGTCGGCACATAGTGCGACACTATCTTGCGAAGGTGTCGACTGCGCAGCGTCGGTCACTACAGCTAACTGGCATCTTACGTCTCTGCCTACCTGTCCTCTCGCTCGCCTCTCAAAACAAGACTGGTGGCTGATCTTCTCTCCACGGTATCTGCGAAGAGCAATCAAATTTGCCCTCTCGCCGGGCAAATCTCGCCGCCTGCAATATCCACTTGGCCACGGTGGCGCCTCGCATTTACGACACTTCCTGACTAGATTGGCGGCAGCCATAACTCCTCTCGAACAGCCAGTGCTCTCGATCGAGCCCAACATTTAACACCATGGAGGACGACATTGAAGTTAAGCGAGAAGACGCACGTCCACTCACCACCGGCAGAGACGACAATGACAAGTCAAGGGTCCAGCACGGCGGCAAGAGGCCTGTCGACCCCTTTGCAGAGGACGACGACGATGACATAGACGCGCGTGGCGACAATGATGATGAAGAAGACCAAGAGGATGAAGAAGACGACGAGGACGATGAAGATGATGACGAGGAGGACGATGACGAGGAGGAAGGTGCCAGCGGTGGTCGCCGTCGTGCCAAAAAGCAGCGTCGAAACCGTTTCCTCGATGTCGAAGCCGAGGTCGACGACGATGAAGAGGACCTCGACGAAGAGGAGGAGGAGCTTGCACGAGAGGACGGTTTCATCGAAGAAGACATCCCCGACGATACCGAAGATGTTCAGAGACGCGCTGCTCAAGACAACCAGAGGCTCGACCGCTTCCGAAGACAAGAAGAGGATACCAATGCAGAAGCGCTCGCAGAAGAGTTGCGCCAACGATATGGTCGCTCTGCTCGATATGCAGCTCAGTCCGATTATGCCGAGGTGCCGCAACGCTTGCTCATGCCCTCAGTCGAAGATCCGAGCTTGTGGGGTGTTCCTTGCAAGCCTGGTAGGGAGAGGGATATCGTCATGACGCTTGTGCGCAAGGCCATGGCTGAAAACTTCACATCCAGCCCTATGCGCATCATCTCTGCCTTCTGCCGAGACACGATCCCCGGTCGAATTTATGTTGAAGCAAGAAGAGCCGATGATGTTGTTAAGACTTGCAACGGTCTTGCTGGTGTCTATGCACGACAGACCACGTCGCTCCACCTCATTCCTATCTCTGAAATGGCCGACCTCCTCAAATTGCAAAAGGTTCAGAACGAGATCCAGGTCGGTGGATGGGTCCGTATCAAGCGAGGCAAGTATGCCGGTGATTTGGCTCAAGTTCTCGATGTCTCGGAAAATGGCGAAGAAGTCGGTCTCAAGATGATCCCACGGATCGACCTCAACCCCAAGGACAGCGGTCTCTACACCGACAGCCTTGGTCGCAAGAGGAAGAAGGGAGCCGGTTCGTCCGCCACCACAGTCGCCTTCCGTCCCCCGCAGCGTTTCTTCTACCCCGAAGAAGTTCAGAAAGCCTATCCCAAGGATACGCCAACCAAACGTGGCAGTCAATGGGTCTTCCAAAACGACAGTTACCGCGACGGATACCTCGAGAAGGACGTCCGAGTTACAGGCATCATCACCGAAAATGTCAACCCTACCCTGGACGAAATCACAAAATTTGCAGGTGAAAGCTCTGTTGAGGACGGCATGAAGCTTGGCGCTGTCGATCTCAGCTTGATCGCCGACGCCAGCAAGAAAGCCACCGAGGCTCTCATTCAGCCCAAGGACCAGGTCGAGATCTTCGAAGGTGAACAGGCAGGTGTCTACGGTACTGTCAAGGCGATCAACAACGAGGTCATCACCATCCAGCTCGAGCACGAGGACCTCATGGATCAGATCGTCGAAGTGCCCGCACGCAGTGTCCGCAAGCGCTTCAAGCCTGGTGACCACATCAAGGTCATGTCCGGCAAGCACGCCGATGAGACCGGTCTCGTTGTCAAGGTAGAGGACAATGTGACTACTTTCCTGTCAGACTTGTCGATGCAGGAAGTCTCCGTCTTCAGCAAAGATATCCGTCAGGCTGCCGAGGTCGGCTCCGGTGTCAACGTCATCAGTGGATATGAGCTCCACAACCTTGTACAGCTTGATGCCCAGACAGTCGGTATCATCTTCAACATCGAGCGCGAGAGTTTTAAAGTGCTCGACCAGACCGGCCAGGTGGTTACCGTCAAGCCGCATCAAATTAGCACAAAGAAGGACACCAGCCGCGCCTTTGCGCTCGACCACGACGGAAACGAGGTCCGCGCAGGTGACATGGTCAAGGAGGTCGCTGGGCCTTTCTCACGCATGCGTCAGGGTCAAGTTCTGCACATCTACCAGTCCATGATCGTTTTCTTACACAACCGCGAATACACCGAGAACGGAGGTGTCTTCATCGCCCGTGCTCGTACATTGGAGCCGCTCGCGCCCAAGAGCGTCTCGACCAAGACGAAGAAAGAGGGTGGTGATCTGTCCAAGATGAACCCTGCTTTGTCCAACCTGAGCGGCGGAGGTGCCAACGACGTCCGCGTTGAAGGTGTCAGGCGTCTTGGTGGACGTGACATGCACAAGGGCAAAAACGTAGCCATCATCAAGGGACCGTACAAGACCTACCGCGGTCGCATCACAGAAACGACGGGCAACATGGCACGTATCGAGCTTACCTCGGTCTCAAAACCCATCACCGTCAGCCTCGACTGGCTTGTCGAGAAGGACCCAATCACAGGTCGCAGCACCAAATTGACCTCTGGCGGCTCAGCACCCAGCCGTGGCGGGTACAACGGAATGGGCTCGAGCAATGGCGGCGGTATGTCAAGCAACCCTTACTCTTCCAGCGGTGGCGGCTCGATGGGCGGCTACGGAGGCGGAGGTGGATACAACCCATATAGCTCATCGCAACCCGCCGCAGCTGCTGCTGGTGGCTACGGTGCATTTTCGGGCGGCGGTAGCGGCGGATGGGATAGCTACTCACAGCCAGTTGCGACACAAGCCTCAGCAGGTGGTGGCTACGGGGTCGCAGGGGCCAAAACGCCTGCTTACAACCCTTACGCTGGTGATGGTGGCAAGACACCAGCGTACAATCCGTATGGAGATGGCGGCAAGACACCAGCATACAACCCGCTTGGAGATGGCGGCAAGACGCCTGCTTACAATCCAGCAGCGGACGGCGGACGCACGCCTGGGTACAATCCTTATGGTGATGGAGGACGCACACCAGCGTACTGGGGGTAGGACCGATCTCTCTGGCTCTTCTGATATTTACTCATACCAAAAAGATTCCCGTTTCTAACATCGACCATGCTTCACATGTTCAAATCTCAAGCGAGTCAGGCACTTTCGAGGTCGTCATCGATCGAGTGTGAGGTCAGATGCGTTACGAAGACTGTATGCTGCGATTGGTGAGACTAGAAATACAATGAGACAGAGGTGATGAAGGGATGACTTGGAGAACAATGCTGGGTCCGGACAGGTTGAAGCGAGTCTATGGAGATTCTAGATGCTGTTGGCAAAATCGAGCAAAGTCAGACGTATTTTGTATGCTTTTGATGGTTTGTGACCAGAATGCGGCTGAGCGATGACGCTCCGCTGTGACACTTGGGTCAGCTGAGGGGGGTATTGCACACATGATCGACTGGATGTGCTGCTTGGCAACTTTTAGCGGTGACTCAAACTCCTCGTACAAATCTCGAAGAGCGAGGTATTCCCTAGCCTTGTCCATGGCTGATAGCTCGTTGCTACCACCGATTCGGTCCGCCTCTGACAGGGATGGTCGGAAGAGCGCTGGATTCTCCAAAAGCGTTTCCCCAACCATCACACCACTGGCACGAGTCGTGTGGAAATTTGTTACAGCGTCGTCCCAGCACCGTACGTTGCCATTGCTGACGACCGCTGTTTCCCCCTCAGAATGCTCGGCGTTGCGGAGGAGACCTTCGGATTGCAAAGCTTGTCTGACCTGAACGACTTGATCAAGGTCAGCGAGTCCTTTGCGGCGTCGGACCGCAGAAGCAAAACGAGGATGCACGGTGACGAGACTGCTCCCTGCATGGGCTAGTATCACTGCCAGCTGTGGTGTCTGCTCCTTCGGCACTGTAAGCCTGATCTTGGTTGTGATGGGAATGTCTACAGCCTGGACCAAGCCCGAAACCATTTTCGCTATCAAGGGCCAATTCTGCTTGGGCAAAAGGTAGGCTCCGTAGTGTCCTTGCTCGGCATGTCGCTGCGGGCAGCCAAGATTGAGGTCAATAGCATCGGCAAAGGGCGCCACCTTTCTAGCTGCTTCGACGAGTTGCTGCACATCATTTCCGGCCAGTTGCACAATCTGAGGAGCTGATTGACCTGTCATCGGATGCGTAGAGCCCCGGATGGTGTTCTCGGTAGCATCTCTGCCGAGCACAAGGCTTTTGCAGAGAGTATCGAGCATGTCCCGATCTGAGTTGAGGTCGGAGGCAAAATACATCTGTGTCCAGGTGGATGTGGCACCGTTTCGAACCGTCTGCAGGCGGAATGGGAGGTCAGACTGTCCGACCATTGGAGCGGCACAGTAGAGCAAGCTCTCGAGCGGAAGCTTGTGGTTGACAACCATCGTGCCTGACCTCCTTCTGGTGCGTGGCGATGCTGAGCTGTTTGCAGCAGCGCGCCTACATGACGATCCGGAAGGATTTGTCCTTTATGTTGGCCGGCAGAGTGGCCTCTCGATGTCGTCCAGAAGAAAGATTATGGGCGTGCATTGCATGGAGCATGAGAAGAATTGGCAGAGGAAATGCAAAGCCGGTTTGAAATCTGGTGGTCACGTGCATGGTGCTTTTTGTCAAATTGATTCGCGACGCAGGCCCAAACAGAGAGCAACACTAACATTACTTCCTTTTTTTTTTTTTTTTTTTTTTTTTTTTTTTTGGAATCCCTTGCCTGTCTGCGAAAGCGCGTGTATCTTTGTGTGTGTGTGTGTGCTTTCGGAACAGCTGACATGCTGACGCGACTCAAAGTTGAGCGCGTCCTTGGGCTGAGTTGCCTGAGAGAGCGCAAGACCAACACATCCGAAGATATCGAGATTGCGTTTTGAAGCGTACTGCTTCCGACGTCCATCACCACCTCATCGCCTGTCGCGCTAACATCTTTGACTCCTATACCCGCTGGCGCGAACCGCGACGTGTACATCTCGAAAGGGTTCCATCCACCATAATGCCGTCGCCTCTCAAGCCGCGACGCTCGCCACGCTCCAGGATGTCTCTTGCCGGTACTGGCTCGGGAGGTGTGCCTCTTGGAGGCTCTTCTATGACGATCAAAGGGTCCGCCAGCGACGTTGCTGCAAGGGAGAACGGCCGCTCCGCACGCGTCTCTTCAACATCAGGCAAGGATGACACGATGAAAGCTGCTAAAGAGCGTGCAACCTCACAGAAGCGAGCTGCATCTGTAGGAGGTGCTGAGCTCGACACACTGCTGAAGGAGTCCAACAACAAAGCGAATGCCACGATTGCAGCAACAAGCAGGCGCAACGCACCAGCACCGCGGAAGAGTGCCATTCGACAGGTTCCTCAGGTCTTCCTCAGCCCCACGGGTCTTGTCCCCAGTCCAGAGTCCAGAAAAGGTCTTTCCGTGCCTTCACTTACAGAGCAGATCGCTCAAGTCGGCAAATCGGCACCAGAGATCGCATCGTCCAGCAAAGCGAGTCGTTCTTCTCTGCCCAACGTCGAAGTTGCAGAACGCAACAGCAGCTTCGCTTCAGGCTCAGCTACAGCCAGGGATCGAGACTCGATCCATGGCGCCAGCTTTGGCTCGCTTGCAGGTGCCGCTACCAGTATCATCGCATCTTCTTCTACCTCAACAACTGCCGCACCCGCGCTGAGGAGTGCCATGACGCAGGTAATCCGACCCAAGCGAAGAGTCACATTCAGCCATCGTCAGGAGAAGACCGAATTCGCTCGCGACGAACCCACACTTCGTCTCAACAGCTCGAGGAGAGAGCAAGTGTCGCCGCCTTCGACGCCTGCTAGTTCTTCGATTGCAAGTGCCGGCTTTGCCTCTTACATCCAGTCCCAAGGCGACGAATCCAGCTCAGACAGCGACAGCGACAGCGAGAGTGAGTCGGAATCCGATATGGACTTGGACGCTTCCGACGAGTTAGCTGCGAGGTCGCTCGCTGCCTCGATCGCAGCCTCGCTGCCACACGATGACTCGACCATGGATGCCTCCCCAGATGCATCCACCGACATGAGCAATGTATCCGCCTCGGACTCGAGCGCTAACATGGAGTTGACAGGCACCCACGGCTCGGTCAACAAGCGACCCAGCGCAGACACTTCTGACGACCAGGATTCGACTCTGGATGCTGGAGCAGACGATTCTACACAGATGGACATCACGCAGGCCATGTCAGCGGCACCGGCGCTGAAGCGCAGACGAAGCAGCAACACCGCAGCCGATATCTCGGCGTCCACCGATGGCTCGCGATCCGCGCAGATGGGTGGAGATGCTTCTGCCATGGAGCTGGATCAAACCGCCACCATGGAGTTTACTGGGATTCATTCGCTCGCACGGAACGGCGACGACAGCTCCGTTGACTCTGACAGCAGCGATGGCGGCGATGGAATGGAGATGACAAAGGCGATCACTACGAAGATCGAAGCGAAGCGCAATGGCGACGCCACGACCACCATTATCACTGACTTCCCCGAGCTCAGCAGCAGTGATTCAGAAGGCGATGACACCATTCAGGCCGACGCGACCATGCCCATGGAGATGACGCGGGTAGTCACTGGCTCCATCCACGAGAAGGACCATGCATCGAGCGATATGGACCTTGTTGACTCGAGCTCAAACAAAGGCTTTGAACAAGCCTCGTCCGATGATGCGTCGATGGCTATGGACATGACCATGTCAATCGGTCGCTTTGCTGAGTCCAACACCTCGCCAAGCAAGCCTGTTCGTACGCCATCTCAGTCGCCGCTCAAGTTGGGCGCGGGAGCGCCGAGCCCATTCCAGCCGACACCTGGCAAGTCACCAAGCCGTTTCCGACAATCGCTTCGTGGAGGCATGGCTGCTCTTGAGACGAACGCTCATTCTCCCGCCCAGCGCATCGGAGGTGCTCTGCCACCAAAGGGACACGTGCCACATGCTAATCTATCGACTGACACGACATCGTTCCGCCGATCCATCATCGGCGGTGTTGCATCACCAGTCTACCAGCATTCTTCTGCTAGGCGAGTACAGTCGCAAGAAGCAGCGAGTGCAACGGCTGGGGCTCCACTCACGGCCGACAACTTGGCAGAGGCTGGCCGCCTGACCGCAGGTCGAGCTTCGAGTGCATCCCCTTCCAAGCCTAAACCATCAGCGGCAGCATCTCTTGCAGGCCAGCGTAAATCGCTGAGCAGCGTTGCTCTGGCATCTTCATCGCGCTTCTCCCCTTCCAAAGTAGCGAGTCCTAGGCGTCGAGCTGGTCGCTCGTCGCTTGTTGCTGCTGTGCTTCCAAATCTCTTGTCCGAGGCATCTACAAACGACGACTCCTTCCACTCTGCAGTCGAACACCGTGCAAGGCATGCTATCGGAGCAAGCAGTGAACCCCAGGACATTTCGCTTGCTCCCTCTGCTGCATCTGACATTGGCGTGGGCCTGGACAGCTTTGATGACTACAGCAACGACGAGCGCCACCAAGTACCCGTGCAGATGCCGCTCAACGACTTCCTTCGCTTCGTTGGCGTCCATTTCAACGATGACATGAGCGCATCGCGACGCAAACCTGTGCCGCCCGCCAGGTCTGAACAAAGCGCAGAGAATGGTGCTTTGAACGAGTCGCCGGCACCGGTCTCGATGATGCGCCTTGTCAAGGCAGCCTGCGGAGCTGTTCCCCAGCTGGAGGCGCTCCGTGAAGCGTGCCGCGAGATCAAGGAGCAAGTAGATGATGGACGAGAGAAGATGGTTGAGATGGAGCAGGCCTTCTACGACTCTCCGCCTGACTTTGTCCGCGAGATCATGGGCTTGCAAAATGAAGAGGAGCGACGAGATATGGAGGCACAGTTCAAGCTGCAGAAGCAAGCTGCACGTGCCCTTGTCAGCGCCGACTACTACGGCTGGCGACTCGACAAGGAATTCGACCAAGAGATGATCCAAACCCTGCAAGCATATCACGGCAGACTGCAATGCGATCTGCACATTGTCGACACCAAGAAGCAGCAGCTACAGCAAGAGATACTTCCCGTGCTGCGGGCTAAGCACGCCAAGCTCAAAGCCGATCTTGCACTGGCCAAGAAGCGCCAGGCCGAGATCGAGACGTGCGATGCGGAAGAGCTCAAGGGTCTCTACTCGAGTATTGAGGAGCAGCACGAGGTGCTCGAGTCGATGCGAGCCAAATTGATGGACGTCGAGGAGCAGCACGAGCGCTTGTTGGTCCGACTGGAGGAGAACCGCGAGAAGATGGCAGCAGCTCAGGAGATGGTGGATAAGGCTCATGCTACTGTTGACCAGATTCAAGGCTATACTCGCGGCGAGGCAGGACGACTGCTGCGTGAGATCCGCAACCTGGAGAAGTTGCACCTCGTACGCATCCTAGACAATGGCTTCGATCCCAGTCTCGACGAGGTTGAGCAAGGAGCAGAGGGTGTCGATGTTGGCGGCAATCGCGATGTTGTGCTGATCCTAGATGGCTGGCTCCAGGTCTCCATGTCGCTGCTCGCCAGCAGCATGAGCAGTCAGCTGCCGAACAACAGCAAAGTCTCGCGCATTCAGCTCAAGCAAAAAGGCACACGATCCAGCAACGACGACACCAACCTCGTTCGCAAGCTTGCGGTACAGATTCTGCAAGGCGAGTTCGACGTCGAGTTTGCTGATGGCGTGCCGCAGGATGCACTTGTCATCTTGCGCCGGATCTCACAGACGTTCATCCGACAACGGATCCTGCTGGCGGAGATCGAGCACCTTCGTTGTCGCTTCCCGGTGCAGCTGCTCGATGGTGTTGTCAAGCGATCGCGCACGGTCCTGAACGGAACGCAAGACGCTTCCACCAGCTCTTCTTCGGCGGCAGCGGATGGACAGGACGACAACGAGGTCGCTCTGCAGGCATCCATACTGCTGCCCAACAAGAAAAGCAAGATCGTCATCACGGCCACGTCCGATCTCAAAGGCGTCGGAGAGAGCCGTTCGATCTTGTTGGCCGACAGTGTGCAAGTGGAGCGTGTGTATGGCAGTGTCGATACCGAGGCTATGTCTTTGCAGATCCTGGACTGCATCGAGACGGACCCTACCATCGGTTCGCTAAGCAAGGCTTTCATTGAAACGATCGAGACTTTCGATAGCTGAGCGCCAGCACTTAAATCAGCGAGACGAGATGCAGTCTACCTCTGCCTACTGTCTCTAAACCTCTTTCGCCTATGCTTTGTGCCTATGCTTTGTATCTTTCTTCTATGTACTTGTACCGACTCATTACCGATTGACATGTATTCTTTCTAAGCAATGACTGTTTAGATTTATACCGCTGTGTTTCCGAAGTAGTCCCTTTTCTTCGTCAGTCAGGGTGGATCGTGCGAAGGCGACTTCTGTACGTGTTGATTGGATTCTGGATAATGTACACAGCTTCTTCTCCGCGGGCGAAGAGAGCCTGAGATAAGAATGTTTTGATACAAGCTTACGAGCGGCGGGGTCGTGCTGGTCGTGGCGGCGAATCGAGGAGACCAATAGTCAGTCGTGCTGACAGTAGTGCGAGTGGCTCGCTTTAGGGACTGGCGATGGGGTCATCGTGAACAACGAGGGTCGGTTTCCAGATGGTCCACGAGAGTCGCTCAGTGGTGTAGTTAACGAAATCGATGCAGAGGGATGGGGTGTGATTCTGCTGGGTAATGAGGCCGCCGAGAGCTTCAGATCTGCTTGGACAACCTTGCAAGATGGTAGTTGATCGTTGGCTTGGATACGCCACCGCGGGGCTTCTGTTCATATCAAAGCACATCAAAGCGGTCAGTATTCACTTCTGCCCGATCAGCTTCGAGTCTGTGGAACCGATGATGGGCGCCACGAAACTTACCCTGCTAGCCATGCACTCTTGGAGAGCACGAGCGGAATCCTTGCAAGCGCCAATATTGTTAAGATCGTTCGAAGAAGCCCAGCAAGCCAACATGGTGGCGAACTCGGCAGCGCAAGGAGCAGCTGCTGCATCCTTCTTCGGCCTGACCTTGAGCTTGTTCAACTTCATCTTGACGCCGTTGATGGTCAGAAGAAATGGTGAGCAACACAGCAAGCGATATGTGCTAAGAAGAAAGGGTGGAGTTGCAATCAAATTTCCCTGGAGTGGATTTGTTTCGGCCGGTAAGCAAACCGAAGACGGACCCGAAGGCTGCATTTAGAGCCAAGGCCCGCGAAAAGGGCGTGAGCTGGAAGGAAGGGAACACGAAGTCAAGTTGCCGCTTTTGGGTGCAACCCCAGCTTGCAGATGAGGCTCAGACTTAGAGACTGAGAGCGGGGGGTTAGCCAACTTCTTCTGATTCGGTGCACAAGTCAGTTTACAGGTTGCTTTCCACATCTACGCATCCGCTCTCTACCGCTTCTATACCGCCATCATCAACACCTTTGGAGTCGGTAACGTTCTTTGTAGCAGTATATACACATCATATCCAAAATGGTAAGTAAGAGCAACAATAGTCGTGGGCGTAGACCTGGTCGTGTGTTCAAGCCAACCAGATAGCAGCAGCTGACTCCCGGTCGCTCTCACGCTCTCCACTCATCTGCTCGGCTCCATCTACTACAATCGCAATGCACTCATCCGAACACTACTGCTGGACTCTGCATCCTCTGCCACTTTCGATCAACCGAAAACCGCACCGTCACCGGCACGCTTCGTTACAACCTCGTCTTACTCTGGCTCGCTCGCAATTCCACGGCCCAACTTGACCCGCTCCGAATGATACTGCTACCTACCATCTAGTCTGACGCAAAAGCTTCCGGCGCCCAGCCTAACCTTGCCGCTCTGGCGAGCAAGAACTCGCAGACCATTCGGTAAGTAGCTCTTGCAGCAACACTTCCGCAAGCTTTGCTCAACTGGCGATGGACATTGGCTAACGCACTGCTCTTCCTCTACCACGATCATCTACGAACTCAATCTTCATGTGCATCATACTTTTCGTCTCTCCTGAAACCTCACTTTCGACATTCCAATCGCCAACAGTCGACGAGCGGCACAGCAGGCAGCAGCAAAGCCCAACTCGACACGAGCCGCCGGTGCCGGTGGTTCGTCCTCGACTATGATGCGTCTATACACTGATGACAGCAAGGGTCTCAGCGTTGACCCTGTCGTTGTGTTGGTTCTCTCGATTGCTTTCGTCTTCTCGGTTGTCTTGCTTCACATTATTGGCAAGTTCATGAGGTGGTTCTCCAAGTAAGAAGCTCTCGACTCGTCTAGCAACCCGCCTCGCATTTCGGCCTCCTCCTCTTCGCATCTACTTTCAAGCTACTCTACTTGACTCGCGACCCTAGATTTGGCATCTTGGAAGACACCTGTATCTCAACGTTCGTGATCGAATCGTCGGGTCGGAGGTTAGGGTGCCGTATTGCGCCAATCAATCATGTGTAAATATATATCCTCTTGCACCGTGAAAGCGTCACTGTCCTTATCTTGCATCCATCACATGACGGTGGTCTTGCATAGCTTGCGCCATTGATGTGAAGCATGCCGTATCTAAAGCGTAGAGTGTGCTGCCAAGTGAGGAAGAGCATTCAAGACAGGATCGCTAGCGTCGGCCGTCTGTACTCTTTGCCCGATCGCGTTCTGTTGAGAATTTTGTGACCACATTTTTGCCTCCCTTTTCCGAATCGGTGTTCAAACCAACAGATGGCTCCGCCGTACAGCTTCACTCTCCTCGATCTTTTCTGACAAAACGTCATCTGCCAAAGACTTAGCGGCCACACTCGGTTTACTCACGAGCCAGCATCTGCTCTTCACCTGCTCGAGCGGTTGAAGGCCAAGTGATGCCGGGTCCTAGATCGGACAGACATGTCAAGATTGAGCCTCGTGATCGGGCAGACGGATCCCGATAGGCATACCACGCAGATTCAGGCTGCAACTTGGCTGTCGACCGGAGACTTTCAGACAGTGGTGTGTAACAGTCGCACCTTGGAGTTGACTTTGACAGCGTGGAGGGCAAGTGTTGCGCCAGAGCGACAGTGTGACAGCAGTCGGCGATCGTTGTCGAGATTCTCGAGCCAGACCTCCTTGCGTTCAGAACGGTCGTCCATGGAAGTCGACAGTCATGCTTCACCCATGACAGTTTCATTCTGTTAGGAGATATCGGGCATATCGGCTCGTTAAGACCGGTAACCCGATATGGCTCGGACATATCGGTCAAGAGGAAGCTTCTAGAATGGAAGCCTCTGGAGAGGAGAGTGATCTTGGTCGCCTCCGTACTCTGGTGAAAGGTATAAGAATCGGCACTCAGACAGTAGCTCCACTAGTTTCCTCCATCCATCTGTACTTACGTTTGTTGTCGCCACACGTAATAACACTAATAACACCGCGTCTTACCATCAAACCATCACCTTTCAACACATTCAACTCATTTTCTCACAAACGAGAGCCTAACGGTTCTCTTTCCTGTGATGCGCCTTTCCCTCAGATCTCTTATCGTTCACTCGTCTGGCATCGTCGTGGCTCATGGTCGATTGCTAGCGTGGGAACCTGTCCGTAAGATGGATGCGGTGCGAGTGATGTGGTGCGAGTGATGCAGGATGCTGACAGCCAACTTGGCAGTTTGCACTTACCGACGCGCGTCTCCGAGGCACCGACGCGCAGCGCACATGTGGCATTTCTGGTCATTCGACACTGGAGAAGTACTGCAAAATCTTGAAGCTTCACCCATTGCATCAGAGCGAAGCTGCACCTCGAACAGCTGTCAAAAAAAGGATCGCCCTCATCGAGATTACACTCAGACACTTGTATTAGCCCCTCTTTGCTCCTCCGAGCTGCATCATGCCCTCCTCCCTTTGTCCCTTGTCTGCTACACTCCTTGCCGCCACCCTGCTTGTTCTGATTGAGGCAAGTCTTGGCATTTGCAGCCTTCTCGGACTTGAGCAAAGGCATCTTCGTGCTGCATCAGAGCCAAGCACAAAAGCTGATCTGCAAAGTGCATCGCTGTTTCACTTCCGATCCCGTCCGCCTTCCCGAGTCGTCGAATCGCCACCAAGACGAACGGCATCGTTCGATACGAGGTCCATCCATCTGAATCACCCTTTTTTCTTCTTGTACAAGCAAAAGCTCGAGTGCCATCATCGCAGATCGAGATTGGCTCAACCAGCCCGCTGTACTGCACGCCTAGGCACACATGGGCCATTATGAGCATGCATCTACAGTCTCTCACGCAATCAACACTATCTCTCAGTCCACAGCACGAGCGGCCAGGATGACGACGCTGACAAGAGCCCGAGTGGATGCGATGATGCACCAGAAAGAGCGAGAAGCGGTGACCAAGTGCATGTGTCTGCACTCAAGGGATGCACGAAGAAGCAGCTTACCGCTGCTTCAAGCTTTAGCTACATCGACGGTTGTCCTTCGTGGCGTTTACCTGCTTCGGCGTCTGAGTATGTCATCCATACCCAAGCCTGAGGTCTGCACAATCGAGATTCTGATTTCCCCACTGCTCATCTGCCTCCGCACGGCAACGGTGCATACAAGGAATGCTCTTGTCAAGCTCGACGCTAGACCCATGTCCCTGACCTCTTGAGTTTGCTCTTCGATGATGCCAAGCTCACCTCGGTCCTTGCTGTGCTGCGCTCACCGCTCACACAGCCGACTCGCGCCCTCCTACGCCCTGCTGGGATGCGCTTCGCTCAGACTCGATAGAAATATCTCCCACTCAGGCACCTGCCCTGATGTCGGCTTCCGAACGTGTTCATTGATCTAGCATTTGTTCCACTGCACCGTGAGAGGTCACGGCACAGAGGCACTCTGGGGGTGCGAGCGAGCTCACCGACTGTCCTCATCCTCCTGTTTGCTTCTTAACTGCAAGCACGCTTTGGACCAACGCTGTCGTGAGCTCAAGTCGGCCGTAGTCCTCGTGCTGAAGGGAGTTGCCAAGTCTCTGGACCAAGCTGCTTGCCTGTCACCAACAATGTCCGCTTTTCATCCGCTGCCTGCCGCTTTGAGCTCAACCGGCTCGCCGAGATGGCGAACTCATCTAGAATTGGCTCGCTAGGCATTCCACCCTTCACCGACTCCGTTCCAGTGGACAAAGTGTGATTGAAGCTTCGCTCGCTCGCTCATATCGCCAGCTCATATAAGTCTCAATCGAACTCGATGCCTTCCGACCTTCTCGCCTTGTATTTATTTCTTCACCCCTCCCCTCCCCTCAACCCATATCGTATCAGGCTGTCACTCTTTCCAGCCCTTCCCTAGCCCGACGATCCCCAGTCTCTAGTTCTCCCATTTCCATCGGACCACCACAACTGCAACTATGAAGTTCGCTTTCACCGTCTCTGCGCTCCTTGCGCTCGCTGCCTCGTCGCAAGCCATTGAGTTCCAGAACCTTCAGCTCCGCCAAGGTGGTGATGCCAACGCCATCCTTCAGGGTCTTCGTGACAACAACCTCACCGCCTTTGCCAATGTTCTCTCGCAGCATCCTGCCGTCACTGAGCGCATTCTTGCCGACAACTCGGAGAAGCTCCTTCTCGCTCCCACCGACGAGGCCATCTCCAAGCTCCCTTCTTGGGTCACTTCCAACTCTTCCCGTCTTGAGGCTACTCTGCTCAACCACGTTCTCCGTGGGAACTTTGACACCAACAACCTCAACAGCTATCCTTTGCACACCATTGGTCACTCGCTCTTGAACAGCTCCGAATTCTCGCAGCTTCCCGGCGGTGCTGGTCAGGCCGTTGCGCTTTCCAAGTCTGGTGACAACCGTTTCGTTGCTGAGGCCGTTAACAACGGTTCTTTCGCCGGCGAGAGCAAGAAGTTCGACACGCTCACCATTCAGCCCATCAAGCAGGCTATCACTGTCCCTGGCACAGTCACTGAGACTCTCCGCTTCCTCGGCTACACTGGCATTTCGACCTTGCTCGCCAATGTCCAGAACGGTGCTCTTGCCCGCACCATCGACTCGATGCCCGGTGTCACCCTCTTCGTCCCTAGCAATGATGCTATTCAGAAGTTCGTTGCTACTCAGCCTAACCCCACCGACATCCCCACTGTTCTTGGTCAGCACATTGTTGCTTCCCGAGTCCTCTACTCGCCCCTCCTCATTGACCAGGGAGCTATGATCTCCTCCTCGGGCCAGGACATCGTCTTTGACAACAACGCAGGTACCGTCAAAGTCGGCAACTTCACCGCAAAGATCCTCCAGACCGACATCATTGCTCAGCAGGGTGTCATTCATCGGATTGACAACGTTCTCGCCTCTACCTCTCTCGACACTGGCCGTGCTTCCCAGGCCCAACAGTCCGCCCAGGAATCTGTTGATGCTGAGCGAGCCCAGTCCCTCTCTGGCCCTGTTAATGGCAAGAACGCTATCACTTCCCAGGGTAACAACATCCCCGCCATTCAACAGGGTTCGGGCGCCAACAACCGCTCGGCCAACGACAACACCGACACCGCTGGCACGGGTCAGAACGAGTCTGCTATCGGCAACGGTACCAACGGTAACAACAGTGGCGCTTTGCAGGCTGGTACCAGCAGCAACGGCAACGGCAGCAACGGCAACGGTAGCAACATCGACCACCGTAACCAGAACGGCGCTGTTGCTAGTGTTCGCAGCTCGTCGCTTGTCGGCTCGGCTGTTTTGCTCTCTTCTGTTCTTGCGATCGCTCTCTAAGCCTCTCCGCGATATGGTTGAGGATGAGATGTTCGCGTCAACCGCCGTACGATCGGGACGCGAGAACTCCGTCTGGATTCCAACCCTCCTTACCTGTCTATATACTCTTTCCGATAAGTCTTCTTGTTTCCTTCAGTCGACCATCTGTCGCACATTCTCCACACTGTATTCTTAGCTCTTCCTCTTTCGCTTGCTGGCCCTTGTACGGGCTCAGAGTTCTTCCCACCACCTTTTCAATCAGAGGTTTCTCCTTGCTCTCAATCGGCCTTTGCATGTGCCAAGAGTGTGCTAAGAGATGGCCAAGAGCTTCAACTGAACGAGACGGTCAAGAGCTTCGATTGAATGCGAATACGAATACAGCTGAGAAGAACTCACATCAACCTGACGAGATCAAGAACCTGATGAAGACAACAATACGAGAGCTCCCGAGAATACAAGGCAAGACATTTCAATCAGTCTTACCCTTTACCCTTCGCAAAACCAATCGCTCCGCCGGGCCAGCAAACGCAGCTGGCGCCACTCGATCGACTACCGTCAACGCCGTAGTCAATCCCCAACCCGCCACTCTCTCGAACCTGTTCGCGAACGGCACTTTCGACAGCACTGCCCTAGACTGCATTGGAACGAGCGTCAAGCTCAACCAAGGTCGCCCTTCTGTCGGCGATGTCCTCACGCAACTCTCGTGTGGAGTGTGCGAAGCCAACATTCGAGCGGAACCAATATGGTCCAGCTCAGTATCCATCCGTGAGGCCAAGCTCAGCCATTCATCTCCCTCGCTGCTCGCCCTTTCTCGTCTCCTGTTCGCCACTGGCATCCGCGGCAGCAACCGCAGCGTGTCAGTCGGACGCAACCTCAACACGGTTCCGGCAAAGCCAGGCAACGAGCGAAGCGTAGAAAAGACACCATGCAGCTCAAGGTGAATAGCGAGCTCAATGTTGATAGCCACGCGGCTGTTCCAGTTTTCTTTCCAAAGTATCGGGCTGAGTTTGAGGGGCAGATGGTATCAGACAGCAGAAATCGTGGGATTGCTCGTCAGTTTGAGGCTATCTATGGGAGGCGCCAAGGTTGGGCCAGCCAGTCCTGACGTCTTGTAACGGGTGGAAAGGGGAGAGAGAAAGTTTCGCCTACCCCACCATAGATCTCTTTCGACCTCGTAATCGGACTGTTAGCGCGAGACACAACGCAAAGTGATGTAGATATTACGTCAGCAATCCGTGTCCATGGCGGAAGATCTCTGCGTCATTGTGGGAAACTTACCTTCTTCGAGCTTCCTCTTGGTCTCCTCCCACTTGCCGAGTCTTCCGCCTTTACCGCGGTTCTTACCAGAAGATCGGGCGGAGACTTCTTCCGCATAGCTATCAAGAATCATCTGGAACAGCCTCTCCGATGCAGGATGTGTCGAGGCAAATGCACGCTCAAGCACGTACAGATCCACCGCCTTGTCCTCTGCAAACGCTGACACCGAAGAAAGACCAAAGTCGATCAACACGACCTCGTCATGATCCAGATCAACCGCTGCCGAAGTATCCTTCGACGCAGGTCTCAACATCATGTTTGACGTGGTCAGATCACCATGAATGATATCCGCTTCATGCATAATCGCCAACTGCTTCCCGATCAACCTCATCAACTTTGCCTGCTCCTCTTCCGACAGCACTGCTTCCTCCCCCTCTGCTGCCTCAGCTTCTTCCCCATCGATAATCACCTCATCCTCACCTTCAGCTCCACCTCCCAGCCACTCTCTCACACTCTTACCCGCAATCAACTCCAGCCCCAGGATCCCTTCCTTCTCATCTACACACCTCACAGCAGGCACTGCCACTCCAGCCTTAGCACACCTCAACAGTGCTCTCGCCTCCATGATCGTACGCGAGGCCGTTATGTTGCTCGACAGCGTAGGATGTCGGTACGTCTTGGGAAAGCGCCATTTGAGCAAGATCGAAGATGGAGGCTCCACAGTGCTAGATGCGAGGTTGGAAGAGCGAGGTTGAGGCCAAGAGAGGATGTTGTTGGTTGCGATGCGAGAGATGTAGACTTTCGCTTCTGCGCCCTGCTTGATGAGCTTGGATGCTCGAGAGTCCGAGAGGAGCGCCACGAGGGGCGGTGCGTTGGGGAGGGGATTTGGTGATGTAGCAGTCAGCTTTTTGGTGGTGCTTGGGCCAGCGACTTTGCTCTCTGCTGTTGGAGACTGATCGCGAGATCCTCGCCTTCTTCCGGCCCCCGCCGCGGCTTTAACGTCGCTTTGCGAGGCGGTGCTAACCCGTCGAGAGCCACCTTCAAGCTTGTCATCAGGTTTGATTTCAAGCGAGGTGCTGGTCGCAGGCGTTGCTGCCGAGCGTGTGGTCGATGCCTGCAACAGAGATGGGAGTTTGGGTCGACCGCCCTCAGTGCTCGACCTGGATGTACTAGATGTGGTGCGTGTTCTGTGTGGCTTGGCTGCAGCAGCAGCGTCTCTGGCTTGAGCAGAGGCGAGACGGTCAGCAGCCGACTTTATGTGCTTACGAGGCGAAGCGCCCGTTGAAGTAATGGACGAGGCTGGAGAGGTGGAGAGGATAGCCTCTGCGCTTGTCTCTACAGATGTTGTCGTGGTATCCACGATGGATGTGGGTCGGGATCGTGCGGTAGGGAATGCCAGCCTTGGTGTCCTGGATGAAGGTGAACTGGAGGTGGAGGATCCACCCTCTCGCTGTTCGATGCCTGACATAGTTTTTCGCCGATTCAAGCCGGATGTTGAGTGCTTTGGGTATTGATGGTGTTTATCAAGAAACGTGTTCCAGTAGAGCAATGGAAAGAAGAGAATGAGTTGAGGGAAACGTAACAATGGTCGGAGACGCGTCGGAACCGAACAGAGCCTATGGGGTCTGTGGAGGGCAAGTAACCATTGATGATACAAAACCACACATCGGTGGCTATGCATGTGGGATGCATAGGTGTTACCATGACAACTTAGGAGCGATGTGAGGGGTGAACTAGTCATAGATGGGCACAGGCTGGAGGTAACTGCCAAGCATGCATATATATATATGCTTATGTAAATAGCACTCAAAAATAACTCAGTGCCAAAATTCTCAACTGTTTAAGAGTCTGAAGCTTGGCAGCTTCAAGGCACTTTGCCATCAAGATGCCACCCAGAGTAGACAGTGTAGCTTTGCTCGAATGCACCATGCAAATGATCAGAGAGGTTCACACTGACTGGAACAAAGACCAAATCTTGGAGTGTGCCTTCTCTATGATGAACCTCCAACCAAATACCAGCCAAGTCGAAAAGATTCCTAAGTCAGTACTCAGCATCATATTGCAGATTGTCAAGCTCAACGAGAACAACTGGGCCATCTGGGAGCCCATGTTCATGGACTGGCTCATTACTTGGGAAAGGATACACTGCTCGAGCACAATGCAAGAGACTGCAACTTGTCAGGGGTCTCGCGCCTGAAACCCAGGTCGGTCTGTCGAGATACTCGGTGACTATCAAACTGTGCGACAGCTATTGTCTCGAGATACTCGGTGACTATCAAGTTGTGCAGTGACAGCAGGTGGCGTTTGTTGTATATACTATCGTAGGTTTCGGCTGACCTCTGTGGACACTCCGTTCAGGGGTAGCTCGGCACGATCAATATCAATGTTATGATGACACCAAGGTCTGGTGTGAGTGTTGATGATGATGAGGTTGATGGTGTTGGTGATGAGATTGGTGATGTCGATGATAATGAGGTTGATGGTGTTGGTGATAAGGTTGGTGGCGTCGATGATAATGAGGTTGATGGTGTTGGTGATAAGGTTGGTGGCGTCAACACGAGTGTCCAGTGTGTTGACTTGATGCTTGAAGTGATCCCCGGACCGCAGTGGACTACTGCCTTCGGTTCTATCTATATCCGGACCGCTAACCTGCTATGGGCGCCTTCGGACGTCAGGTAGTGGTGATACAACACACACACTACGATGAGGAGCAACCTTGATAGATTGCTGCTATGCTGACTGTAACTAATGAGTACTTGTGTTTCTAAAGCATTGACTAGTTGTATGGTGAGTAGAGTGGATGAGGATCCACTCGACCTATTGATGAGAAAGCATGGTTATATACCTCTTCTCAGCATCGCCAGCGATGCTGCTCCTGCTCTCTCTCCAGAGAGTACCTTCTTCATCGAGTACTGCTCAGGGGCCTCTCCTGCTTGGCACCCCTGTGCCTCTTGAGCTGTGTCGACTCCTTCGACACTGCTCCTCCTCCTTTGATCAGTGACAGTTCCTTTGGCTCTTGTCTCTCGAGCCCCTGAGTGGTAACCATCTGCATGCTCCTTGAGCTTGGTCCTCTTCGTGGCTGTGCCTGCTCCTTGAGCTTGGTCCTCCTCGTGGCTGTGCCTGCTCCTTGAGCTTGGTCCTCCTCGTGGCTGTGCTTGGCCCTCCTTTGCATGTGAGTCCATAGGAGTCCATGGTCTCCATGGAGACTGCACTACGACCATGCTCTCTACTGGTGTCGACTAGGTCTTCGATACCTGTGCTCCTTCCATATGAACCCATGACCCTCCTGCTTCTTGAGCATCCAGGCCCATGACACTACCCCCCTCTTAAGAGCCGAGCTCCGTCGAGGCATGCTCTGGTCTGGTTCATGCTGACTCCTCCTCCTTGACAACATCGCCAACATCATCCTTCCTCCTTCTCTCAACGTCATCCTCCTTCCTCTTCCTCTCTCTACTCCTCCTGTTCCCTCCTCCTCTCTCCACTCTGTCTACTCACTCGTCCCCCCTCCGACACCTCATACTCCTGGATGAGGTCGGGACAGTTGAGGTTCTCTACTGGTTCCCATGAAGCAGCTTCCTCTGAGTACCCTCTCCACAACACCTTGTACTCCGTAGTCCCATTGTGTGAACGCTTGTCGATGAGTGCTTCGACTTCGAAGTCGAGGTCCTCATCTGGAAGTGATGGTATGGTGGGCTGTTCAGCACGTTGAGGAAGAGAACTTGTTCTTGCTGGCTCGAGCATGGAGACATGGAACACATCATGCACCCTAAGGTTTGCTGGCAATGTGATTCGATAAGCTCGGCGTCCTACCCGTTCCTGAACTGGGTAGGGTCCTGCAAACCAGGTGTCTAACTTGGGTGTGGGTCTCCTTGTCTTCCAGTTTCGTCGGTTGATATAGACCATATCACCCACCTTAAACTCGATGTCCTTGTGCTTCCTGTTATACTGGTTTACTGATCTACGTTGTGCCTCTCTGATCTGCTCCTGGAGGTACTTGCAATGCTCCTTTCCATCCATGAGGTACTCGAAGCGACCTGGATCATTGACTCCTAGTCGTTGAGGGATGTCAGGATGAGCTTTGGGGTTCCATCCATAGCATGCAAAGAATGGTGAGACACCAATGCTGTTGTGGACCGTGTTGTTGTATACAAAGGCCGCAGTGTCCAGCAGGTTGGCCCAGTCATTCTGCTCATAGTTGCAGTACATCCTGAGATATTGCTCTATGACCTGATTGACTCTCTCTGTCTGACCATCAGTTTGAGGATGGTAGGCCGTGCTAAGTGAGTGCTTCACACCCATTTGCTCTGCAAATGCCTTCCATGCTCCTGATATGAACTGCCTGCCTCGGTCCGAGACCATGTGATCTGGATATCCAAAGAGTCTAACCATGTGTCCATATAGCAATACTGCAGTCTGTTTGGCCGTGACTGTCTTATGGGTTGGAGCTAGTATGGCAAACTTGGTTAGTCTGTCGACAATGACTAAGATAGAGTCATAGGTCTTGGAGTCATACTTCTTCGATGTTGGTAGTCCTTCGATGAAGTCGAGGGATATGGAGCCCCAGGGCCTGTCTGGGGTTGCTAGTGGCTGTAGCAAACCATATGGACGATGATGAGGAGCTTTGTACCTAGCACATACAGGACAACTTGCTACATAGTCTGCAATCCAAGCTGTCATGTTTGGCCACCAGTAATGTCGTTGAGCTGCCTTGATGGTAGCATCTCTTCCTACGTGTCCAGCAGTGATACCATCATGGCATTGGGTCATCACCATGAATCGCAGATGCTCTACAGAGAGAGACTGTCCATCTACCTCTTTGGCACTCCTTGAGTGTCGGTTGTTGGTCCTCCCTGGCATGATCACCTTGGGGATAACCAACCTTCCTCCACTGTACCATAGGTCATCCTTGAGTTCGAAAGGCTTCTTCCTATGTATCTCCTGTAGCTCTTGGTCTAAGGGCTGGAAGATCTTGACCAGGTCTTTGAGACCTTTTGATGCTATGGACTCCATCGAGGTCATGGGGGCCACTAGGAGCGAGTCATGGTCTGCTGTCTCCTTGAATACTCGAGGAGGCAGTAGTTGCCTCACATTGTGATCCTGCTCTTCACCAGCTGGTTGCATGTCTGTCCTTCTGGTGAGAGCATCGGGTTCACCACCTTTGTCTCCTGGTCGATACTGCAATATGAAGTCGAAGTCTGCTAGTAGTATGGCCCATCGAGCCTGTCGACCTGTGATGCGTCTCTGTGACTTGAAGTACTTGAGGGCTTCATGGTCAGTGAGGATGACCAGTTGGTTCGGTAGTCCAGCTAGCATGTGTCGCCACTGAGTGAGGCAGGCGACCACAGCTAGGAGCTCCTTATCATGGATCTCATAGTTCTTCTCGGCAGAAGACATCTTCCTAGAGTAGAAGGCCACTGGATGCCATCGTCCTTCATGCTCCTGCTTGAGTACTCCTGCTATAGCAAAGTCACTTGCATCCGTCTCCAACCTTGTTGGAAGGTGGTAGTCGAAGTGCTGAAGCACTCCTGCTGATGTGAAGGCCTGGATGAGCTTGTGGAAGGCCTGTTGGGCCTCCTCTGGTAGCTCGAACTTCTTGAACCGTTCTATAGGCTTTACCAGTGCTGTCAAGGGCTTGGCTATGCGAGCAAAGTGGGCTATGAACCTTCGATAGAAGTTGGCAAAACCCAGGAACCTCTGGATGTCATGGATTGACTCCGGCATTGGCCACTCCTTGACAGTGCGCACCTTTTCTGGGTCCATCTCTATGCCCGTTGGCTTGATGATGTACCCCAGGAACTCCACTGTCTTGGTGTGGAACTCACACTTAGACAGCTTAGCAAAGAGCCTGTTGCTCCTTAAGCGAGTGAGGACCTCAGTGACATGCTTCACATGTGCTTCTTCAGTGTCACTGAAGATCAGGAAGTCATCTAGGTATACTACCACATATATCCCAATGATGTCTCGGAAGATGTCATTGATGAATGACTGGAAGTGAGCCGGAGCATTGGCTAGGCCAAAGGGCATCACTAGGTACTCATAGAGTCCCAACTGAGTGCCAAAAGCTGTCTTCCATTCATCTCCTTTAGCAATCCGGATGAGGTTGTATGCTGCTCTAAGGTCTAGCTTGGTATAGATCCTTGCCTTCCTGAGTAAGAACAGCTGCTCCTCGATGAGGGGCAATGGTGCCCTGTTCTTGACAGTGATCTCGTTGAGACCTCTGTAGTCCACACAGAGTCTGAGACCTCCATCCTTCTTTGGTACGAAGAGCACCGGTGATCGTGCCGGGCTCTTCGATGGTCTTATGAACCCCTTCTCGAGGTTCTCATCCAAGTACCTCCTCAACTCGGACATCTCCTTGGGTCCCTTAAGGTATAGGGGCCCTTGAGGTGGCTTACCTCCTTCTATCAACTCGAGGTGGAGATCATGCTCGGTATGATGGGGCAGCTTGTCTGCTTCCACCTCATCGAACACATCTCGCAGGTGTTGGTATGGCTTTGGTATGTCTGCAGCCGTCACCACCTTATCTACCTCCACCTCCATCTCGACTCCTTTGTCTGCGCCTGTAGGTACAAAACCAAAGGCCGGGAGTGATGATGGTGGCTCCTCTAACAGCATGAACCCTATGGGTCCATCTTCCAGAGCTGCTCGTAGTATGCGCTCTGCTGAGACAAACTCGTTACCATGAAGGGTTGGTCTCCTCATGGTTAGGTCCCCTGCTCTTGCTGTTTCAGGGGGTCTCCTAGGGGGTCGGTCCTGCTCCTGAGTCTTGAACTCCAGCTGGCCCGTATCCCATTGTATGGTGGGTTTGAGCCTCCGTAGCTCAGTGAACCCCAGGATGAGGTCATAGTCCGCAGTGTCGGCCACTGAAGCTTTGACCACACCCAGATTGTGTGTACCAATAGATACCTGCATGCTCGCAGAACTATTGATGGAGAGTTGGTGCCTGGTGACACCATGGATTGATCTTGTTTTTATGGGTTTTGTGGGTATTTGGTACTTACTAATGAAAGAATCTGAGACTATGGACAAACCAGCACCGGTATCAGCTAGTATCCGAGCAGGATGGTCTTGAACCATTCCAGAGAGCTCCAGTACTGCTTTGCCTCCACTGGTAGAGAAACATACTTGACAATCTTGATATATACAGAGTGATGGCGAGGAGGTTTGTAGAGCAATGCATGCCATCAGTGCATCACCCCACTGACGTTTCCCTCGTCGTCATCATCATCGTGCTCCTCCTCGTGATCGGGGTCCATGGGTTGCTGGTATGAGCTGAGGTCCATGGCCTCGGGGTCACCCGCCTCAGTGCTGCCTGTGGGGCCATCTCCTGAGTCGGTGGCCTCCTCGAAGGGGTCTGCTGTGGTGACCATAACCTTTGGTCCCATGGGTCGAGAGCTAAGAGGGTTTACCCTCCTGCTGGGGCAGTCTCTGGCCCAATGGCCAATACCTTTGCATACATGACAGGTGTTGATACCTGATGGAGCAGGGCTTCCTTGCTTCGAGGGTTGGGTGGGATGATGAGGAAGGGGTCGGTTTAGGTTTTGTATAGTTGCTTGTGTAGTTGCTTGTGATGGTGATCGAGCTGGATAAGTTTGAGTGGGTTGTCGGATGGGGATCGAACTTTGATTTGGCCGAGACCCAGTTCTTAGTGGAGGTGATGTGGCATTTGGGAGTGAGTGTCTAGCCGAGGACTGCTGTAGTAGCATCCTCTGTCGATCGATCTCCTCAACCTCTCGATACCACTCCCATCTCTTCCCAGGTGGATTCCTCTCGAACTTCTCCTGTATGCTGCGAGTGAGACTACCTCTGAAGAGATCAATCACTAGCTCGTTGTCATCTAGGTTGACCTGTCCTTCCAAGTCTCTGAACCGCTCTACATGACGTGTGGCGGCACCAGGAGTATCACTTGTGAGTCTGAGAGCCAACAGCTTGTTGTATGCCTCCATCCTAGCATTGCGTGGGTTGAACTGCTCTGACAGTCGCTCTGTGAAGTAGTGCCAATCATTGAACAACCTTCCTTCTCTAGCTCTATCAATACGGAGCTTGGAAGTCCACCACTCTCTTGCTGTCCCTTCCAGTTGAGCACCCATGTGATTGATCATCCTAGACTGCTCATACACCTGGTTGAACTTAAACCATGCTTCGGCTTCTAGAATGAAGATCTCCATGTCTCGGGGATTGAACTTTGGAAAGGGGGTGGCAATGGGCTTTGACCGGTTAAGCTCTGCCATGATGCTGGTATCCTCCTCATGGTCCAGGGGGTAAGGGTCCATCCTAGTCCTGCTGTAGGGGTCCAGCTTAGTCTTGACATATCTTGGCCCAGTAGGTGAAGCATACTTCTCGTAGTTGATGTCCTCCTGCTCATCCAGGTTGAATGAGACTGATCGTCTTGGTCGTGGAGCTGGAGTAGGAGTATGTGGGTCTCCTATCATAGACTCATCTCCTCCTCCTGCTTGGTCTTCTGAGTGAGAGAGGTCCATTGTCTCCTCCCTGCTCAGTTGAGCTCGTTGTAATCGTTCCTCTCGATGACCCTGTCTGGTAAGCTCTAGCTGTGCTTCCAATAGAGTGAGTAGTCTATCGAGCTTATTGTTGAGGTCTGGGTCCGTCATGGTGATCGTGAGGAGCTGCTTGAACGATCCACTCTAATGTCAGGGGTCTCGCGCCTGAAACCCAGGTCGGTCTGTCGAGATACTCGGTGACTATCAAACTGTGCGACAGCTATTGTCTCGAGATACTCGGTGACTATCAAGTTGTGCAGTGACAGCAGGTGGCGTTTGTTGTATATACTATCGTAGGTTTCGGCTGACCTCTGTGGACACTCCGTTCAGGGGTAGCTCGGCACGATCAATATCAATGTTATGATGACACCAAGGTCTGGTGTGAGTGTTGATGATGATGAGGTTGATGGTGTTGGTGATGAGATTGGTGATGTCGATGATAATGAGGTTGATGGTGTTGGTGACGAGATTGGTGATGTCGATGATAATGAGGTTGATGGTGTTGGTGATAAGGTTGGTGGCGTCAACACGAGTGTCCAGTGTGTTGACTTGATGCTTGAAGTGATCCCCGGACCGCAGTGGACTACTGCCTTCGGTTCTATCGATATCCGGACCGCTAACCTGCTATGGGCGCCTTCGGACGTCAGGTAGTGGTGATACAACACACACACTACGATGAGGAGCAACCTTGATAGATTGCTGCTATGCTGACTGTAACTAATGAGTACTTGTGTTTCTAAAGTATTGACTAGTTGTATGGTGAGTAGAGTGGATGAGGATCCACTCGACCTATTGATGAGAAAGCATGGTTATATACCTCTTCTCAGCATCGCCAGCGATGCTGCTCCTGCTCTCTCTCCAGAGAGTACCTTCTTCATCGAGTACTGCTCAGGGGCCTCTCCTGCTTGGCACCCCTGTGCCTCTTGAGCTGTGTCGACTCCTTCGACACTGCTCCTCCTCTTCATGACCTGGTGTCGACTCCTTCGACACTGCTCCTCCTCCTCATGACCTGGTGTCGACTCCTTCGACACTGCTCCTCCTCCTTTGATCAGTGACAGTTCCTTTGGCTCTTGTCTCTCGAGCCCCTGAGTGGTAACCATCTGCATGCTCCTTGAGCTTGGTCCTCTTCGTGGCTGTGCCTGCTCCTTGAGCTTGGTCCTCCTCGTGGCTGTGCCTGCTCCTTGAGCTTGGTCCTCCTCGTGGCTGTGCTTGGCCCTCCTTTGCATGTGAGTCCATAGGAGTCCATGGTCTCCATGGAGACTGCACTACGACCATGCTCTCTACTGGTGTCGACTAGGTCTTCGATACCTGTGCTCCTTCCATATGAACCCATGACCCTCCTGCTTCTTGAGCATCCAGGCCCATGACACAACTGTTGCAGTCAAGAAAAACAAACACATGCAAGAATGGCAAGCAGCAAAATGGAACAAGTGCAGGAGCCACTAGAGTTGATACACATCGACCTAATGACAGACTTACAAGGACACCCAAATTATCACCATGCACTGGTAGTTGTTGATGACACCTCATCCTATGTGTATGTGAAACTGCTCCTAAGCAAAGCAGAAGCATTCCCTGCCCTAAAAGCATGGACCAAAACAGTGGAGATAGCAACAGATCACACATTAAAGTGTATTTGCAGCAATAACAGAATGGAATGGTCAAGCTTAGCAGCAGAGGAATGGAAGTGGGAGGCAGGGTTTAAGTGGCAGAAAACCACTCCATATGTCAGCATACAGAATGGGAGAGCAGAGCACACTATCAGATCACTCCAAGAGAAGATGCATGCAATGCTCGTCCAAAGATTGGTGCCAAAAGGACTATGGCCCTACACCATTATGGCCGCTGGACATGTACTTAACTTGACACCATCAGCAAATGCCAACAGAATTCCATATGAAGACTTTCATCACACAATGGCTCACAGCTTGGCAAAACAACTGCATGTCTTTGGCTGTCTTGCATGGGTTCACCTCCCAAGGAAAGATCATGCAGGTAAGCATGGTGTGAGAGCCATACCAGGAATCATGATCGGTTACAATGATGAGCACAAGGGATGGAAATTCTTCACTCCAGACCACACACCATCCATCCAGTGGAGCAATTCAGCTACATTCCATGAACACAAAGGTTGGCATGATCGACCCAAAGTACAAAGCCCACTGCAGATTGGATTTGAGAGCCTTGAAGCAGAAAGTGCCAAACCAGAGGCAAACAACCTCGAACCTGAACCAGAAATCGAAGAGCTTGACATGCAAGACTCACTCCAACATGCACCCATTGGACAACCAATCGATGATACTGAAGACAACTGATCGGAGATAGCAGTTGAAGACATGATCGGGGGAGTGAACACCACCACCCTAAATCTCACACCAATGATGAAGGAAGCACTTGCCAGTGAAGACACACAGCAATGGCAAGAAGCCATATGCAAAGAGTTGGACAGACTGGAGGCCATGGGAACTTGGGAGGTTGTGGACATACTGCCAAACACCAGGCTTGTAGACTCCAAAATCGTTTTATGCCTCAAACTGGATGCAGATGGCATACCCGTCTGACACAAAGCAAGATTAGTCGCATGAGGTTTCATGCAATGAGAGGGCATCAACTTCAAAGAAACCTTTGCACCAGTGGCACCACTTAGTGTGATAAGAGCACTATTATCACTGGCAGTGGAGCATGACTGGGAGGTTCATCAACTAGACATTACAATGGCCTATCTCAACTCCACACTTAAACACAAGATCTACATGAAACTGCCAGAAGGAGCTAAGGTGCCGAAAGGAAAAGCTTATCAGGTAATCAAGGGACTATATGGTCTCAAACAGTCAGGATGAGAGTGGAATATGGAATTTGACAAGTTCCCCTGGTGATCCAACTTCCATAGACTTGATTGTGCACCATGCATCTACTCCAGAGGGAAAGGGGATGACTTTGCAATAGTGGTCATCTACGTTGATGATACATTAATCATGTCCCCAAAGCTAGAAATGATCAAATGCATCAAGGAGGAAATAGGCAAGAAGTGGAAGATGGAGGAGGGTGGCAATGTGTCTCACTTCCTTGGAATCAAGATCACCAGGGATTGTGAAGAAAAGACAATGGACCTCAGGCAGACCAGTTACATTAAACAACTACTAGATGAACACCTAGACAAACACAGGAGAAAATCCAGCATGCTGCTCCAAGACATACCAGCCCCAGAGACAGCAGTGAGCACAGCCAAACAAAAGGAATACCTGCAGATTGTTGGCAAGCTCCTATGGCTCTCAAATGGAACACACCCAGATATCAGCCAATCAGTAGGGTGTCACAGGGACGGCTGGCCTGCGCAAGAGAGTGCGCCAAATGATCAGCGGCAGTTATGATAAGGTCGCATAACGGAGCAGTATATGAAGGGTGCGCAGAAGATCAACATATGAAGGGTGTGCCAGATTGATCAGAGTTGACAACCATCGGGGATCAATGAGATTAATCGGGTTGGCAGCACACATGATTTACAAGATCAATCGAACCCCAGGAATCCAGATCGATCTCATGGGATTGGTTGGAGTCAGCTGGACCAGTATGCTTCAACGAGTTGGCCGATCCGAACAAGTACTCAGAGCTATGCCGACGACAGAGGCAGTTGGATCAGCATGCCTCAACTAATTGGCCAATCTGAACAGGTATTCAGAGCTGTGCCAATGTCGGAATCAGTTGGATCAGCACGCTTCAACTAGTCGGCCGATCCGAGCAAGTATTCGGAGCTGTGCTGATGACAGAGTCAGTCAGATCAGCATGCTTCAACTAGTCGGCTGATCCAAACAAGTATTCGGAGCTGTGCCGACGTCGGAGTCAGTTGAATCAGCACACTTCAACTAGTCAGCCGATCCGAACAAGTCGAGATGGAACTGAGCCGACGTGACCACATGACCAGGGGGTATGGTCATGAGGTTCAAAAGGGGATTCACAAGATTAAGATGAAAGGGGGCCATGCTGAAAGGGGGGCATCACACATCAGGCAGAAGGAGAGCATGAAGGCGAGAGGGCAGTGTTGCATAACCCTTACGCCGAGCAAAATGGTAGGAGTGCAGTATCGAAGGGGATGATGCCAGCAGGGCAAGGCAGTGCCTAACAGGGGACAAAGGCCCCTCAAGAGGAGCAGGATAGGTGTCGAGGGAAAACACCAATCGAACATATAAATACTCTCTTTCTACCATAGCATTCGAGTGGATGGGCATCCACTCTGAAACTCAACTACTTACTCTATACTTACTAGGTTACATATCTTCGCAATAGCAGTGCTCTTGCAACGACTCTCAACATGTGTGTTGTATCACCGTTAGTCAACAACTGTAGGCAGTGTTCTTCAACACCAGCAGTCCAGTTCATTACTGTAGGCAGTGTTCTTCAACACCAGCAGTCCAGTTCCTTGCTGTAGGTGGTGTTGCTCGACACCAGCGGTCCAGTCAGTTATTGTAGGCAGTGTTTCACACCAGCAGTCCAGTAACTCACATCCTCTGTAGGTGATTGGCATATTGTGGTCCAGATGATGTCCAAGAGCATTATCAACAGTACTACAAACACTCATACTGTAGGGGAGGGTGTATCATGCACTCACCAACAAACAATGTGTCAGGGGTCTCGCGCCTGAAACCCAGGTCGGTCTGTCGAGATACTCGGTGACTATCAAACTGTGTGACAGCTATTGTCTTGGTATCGGTGACTATCAAGTTGTGCAGTGACAGCAGGTGGCGTTTGTTGTATATACTATCGTAGGTTTCGGCTGACCTCTGTGGACACTCCGTTCAGGGGTAGCTCGGCACGATCAATATCAATGTTATGATGACACCAAGGTCTGGTGTGAGTGTTGATGATGATGAGGTTGATGGTGTTGGTGATGAGATTGGTGATGTCGATGATAATGAGGTTGATGGTGTTGGTGACGAGATTGGTGATGTCGATGATAATGAGGTTGATGGTGTTGGTGATAAGGTTGGTGGCGTCAACACGAGTGTCCAGTGTGTTGACTTGATGCTTGAAGTGATCCCCGGACCGCAGTGGACTACTGCCTTCGGTTCTATCGATATCCGGACCGCTAACCTGCTATGGGCGCCTTCGGACGTCAGGTAGTGGTGATACAACACACACACTACGATGAGGAGCAACCTTGATAGATTGCTGCTATGCTGACTGTAACTAATGAGTACTTGTGTTTCTAAAGTATTGACTAGTTGTATGGTGAGTAGAGTGGATGAGGATCCACTCGACCTATTGATGAGAAAGCATGGTTATATACCTCTTCTCAGCATCGCCAGCGATGCTGCTCCTGCTCTCTCTCCAGAGAGTACCTTCTTCATCGAGTACTGCTCAGGGGCCTCTCCTGCTTGGCACCCCTGTGCCTCTTGAGCTGTGTCGACTCCTTCGACACTGCTCCTCCTCTTCATGACCTGGTGTCGACTCCTTCGACACTGCTCCTCCTCCTCATGACCTGGTGTCGACTCCTTCGACACTGCTCCTCCTCCTTTGATCAGTGACAGTTCCTTTGGCTCTTGTCTCTCGAGCCCCTGAGTGGTAACCATCTGCATGCTCCTTGAGCTTGGTCCTCTTCGTGGCTGTGCCTGCTCCTTGAGCTTGGTCCTCCTCGTGGCTGTGCCTGCTCCTTGAGCTTGGTCCTCCTCGTGGCTGTGCTTGGCCCTCCTTTGCATGTGAGTCCATAGGAGTCCATGGTCTCCATGGAGACTGCACTACGACCATGCTCTCTACTGGTGTCGACTAGGTCTTCGATACCTGTGCTCCTTCCATATGAACCCATGACCCTCCTGCTTCTTGAGCATCCAGGCCCATGACACAACTGTTGCAGTCAAGAAAAACAAACACATGCAAGAATGGCAAGCAGCAAAATGGAACAAGTGCAGGAGCCACTAGAGTTGATACACATCGACCTAATGACAGACTTACAAGGACACCCAAATTATCACCATGCACTGGTAGTTGTTGATGACACCTCATCCTATGTGTATGTGAAACTGCTCCTAAGCAAAGCAGAAGCATTCCCTGCCCTAAAAGCATGGACCAAAACAGTGGAGATAGCAACAGATCACACATTAAAGTGTATTTGCAGCAATAACAGAATGGAATGGTCAAGCTTAGCAGCAGAGGAATGGAAGTGGGAGGCAGGGTTTAAGTGGCAGAAAACCACTCCATATGTCAGCATACAGAATGGGAGAGCAGAGCACACTATCAGATCACTCCAAGAGAAGATGCATGCAATGCTCGTCCAAAGATTGGTGCCAAAAGGACTATGGCCCTACACCATTATGGCCGCTGGACATGTACTTAACTTGACACCATCAGCAAATGCCAACAGAATTCCATATGAAGACTTTCATCACACAATGGCTCACAGCTTGGCAAAACAACTGCATGTCTTTGGCTGTCTTGCATGGGTTCACCTCCCAAGGAAAGATCATGCAGGTAAGCATGGTGTGAGAGCCATACCAGGAATCATGATCGGTTACAATGATGAGCACAAGGGATGGAAATTCTTCACTCCAGACCACACACCATCCATCCAGTGGAGCAATTCAGCTACATTCCATGAACACAAAGGTTGGCATGATCGACCCAAAGTACAAAGCCCACTGCAGATTGGATTTGAGAGCCTTGAAGCAGAAAGTGCCAAACCAGAGGCAAACAACCTCGAACCTGAACCAGAAATCGAAGAGCTTGACATGCAAGACTCACTCCAACATGCACCCATTGGACAACCAATCGATGATACTGAAGACAACTGATCGGAGATAGCAGTTGAAGACATGATCGGGGGAGTGAACACCACCACCCTAAATCTCACACCAATGATGAAGGAAGCACTTGCCAGTGAAGACACACAGCAATGGCAAGAAGCCATATGCAAAGAGTTGGACAGACTGGAGGCCATGGGAACTTGGGAGGTTGTGGACATACTGCCAAACACCAGGCTTGTAGACTCCAAAATCGTTTTATGCCTCAAACTGGATGCAGATGGCATACCCGTCTGACACAAAGCAAGATTAGTCGCATGAGGTTTCATGCAATGAGAGGGCATCAACTTCAAAGAAACCTTTGCACCAGTGGCACCACTTAGTGTGATAAGAGCACTATTATCACTGGCAGTGGAGCATGACTGGGAGGTTCATCAACTAGACATTACAATGGCCTATCTCAACTCCACACTTAAACACAAGATCTACATGAAACTGCCAGAAGGAGCTAAGGTGCCGAAAGGAAAAGCTTATCAGGTAATCAAGGGACTATATGGTCTCAAACAGTCAGGATGAGAGTGGAATATGGAATTTGACAAGTTCCCCTGGTGATCCAACTTCCATAGACTTGATTGTGCACCATGCATCTACTCCAGAGGGAAAGGGGATGACTTTGCAATAGTGGTCATCTACGTTGATGATACATTAATCATGTCCCCAAAGCTAGAAATGATCAAATGCATCAAGGAGGAAATAGGCAAGAAGTGGAAGATGGAGGAGGGTGGCAATGTGTCTCACTTCCTTGGAATCAAGATCACCAGGGATTGTGAAGAAAAGACAATGGACCTCAGGCAGACCAGTTACATTAAACAACTACTAGATGAACACCTAGACAAACACAGGAGAAAATCCAGCATGCTGCTCCAAGACATACCAGCCCCAGAGACAGCAGTGAGCACAGCCAAACAAAAGGAATACCTGCAGATTGTTGGCAAGCTCCTATGGCTCTCAAATGGAACACACCCAGATATCAGCCAATCAGTAGGGTGTCACAGGGACGGCTGGCCTGCGCAAGAGAGTGCGCCAAATGATCAGCGGCAGTTATGATAAGGTCGCATAACGGAGCAGTATATGAAGGGTGCGCAGAAGATCAACATATGAAGGGTGTGCCAGATTGATCAGAGTTGACAACCATCGGGGATCAATGAGATTAATCGGGTTGGCAGCACACATGATTTACAAGATCAATCGAACCCCAGGAATCCAGATCGATCTCATGGGATTGGTTGGAGTCAGCTGGACCAGTATGCTTCAACGAGTTGGCCGATCCGAACAAGTACTCAGAGCTATGCCGACGACAGAGGCAGTTGGATCAGCATGCCTCAACTAATTGGCCAATCTGAACAGGTATTCAGAGCTGTGCCAATGTCGGAATCAGTTGGATCAGCACGCTTCAACTAGTCGGCCGATCCGAGCAAGTATTCGGAGCTGTGCTGATGACAGAGTCAGTCAGATCAGCATGCTTCAACTAGTCGGCTGATCCAAACAAGTATTCGGAGCTGTGCCGACGTCGGAGTCAGTTGAATCAGCACACTTCAACTAGTCAGCCGATCCGAACAAGTCGAGATGGAACTGAGCCGACGTGACCACATGACCAGGGGGTATGGTCATGAGGTTCAAAAGGGGATTCACAAGATTAAGATGAAAGGGGGCCATGCTGAAAGGGGGGCATCACACATCAGGCAGAAGGAGAGCATGAAGGCGAGAGGGCAGTGTTGCATAACCCTTACGCCGAGCAAAATGGTAGGAGTGCAGTATCGAAGGGGATGATGCCAGCAGGGCAAGGCAGTGCCTAACAGGGGACAAAGGCCCCTCAAGAGGAGCAGGATAGGTGTCGAGGGAAAACACCAATCGAACATATAAATACTCTCTTTCTACCATAGCATTCGAGTGGATGGGCATCCACTCTGAAACTCAACTACTTACTCTATACTTACTAGGTTACATATCTTCGCAATAGCAGTGCTCTTGCAACGACTCTCAACATGTGTGTTGTATCACCGTTAGTCAACAACTGTAGGCAGTGTTCTTCAACACCAGCAGTCCAGTTCATTACTGTAGGCAGTGTTCTTCAACACCAGCAGTCCAGTTCCTTGCTGTAGGTGGTGTTGCTCGACACCAGCGGTCCAGTCAGTTATTGTAGGCAGTGTTTCACACCAGCAGTCCAGTAACTCACATCCTCTGTAGGTGATTGGCATATTGTGGTCCAGATGATGTCCAAGAGCATTATCAACAGTACTACAAACACTCATACTGTAGGGGAGGGTGTATCATGCACTCACCAACAAACAATGTGTCAGGGGTCTCGCGCCTGAAACCCAGGTCGGTCTGTCGAGATACTCGGTGACTATCAAACTGTGTGACAGCTATTGTCTTGGTATCGGTGACTATCAAGTTGTGCAGTGACAGCAGGTGGCGTTTGTTGTATATACTATCGTAGGTTTCGGCTGACCTCTGTGGACACTCCGTTCAGGGGTAGCTCGGCACGATCAATATCAATGTTATGATGACACCAAGGTCTGGTGTGAGTGTTGATGATGATGAGGTTGATGGTGTTGGTGATGAGATTGGTGATGTCGATGATAATGAGGTTGATGGTGTTGGTGACGAGATTGGTGATGTCGATGATAATGAGGTTGATGGTGTTGGTGATAAGGTTGGTGGCGTCAACACGAGTGTCCAGTGTGTTGACTTGATGCTTGAAGTGATCCCCGGACCGCAGTGGACTACTGCCTTCGGTTCTATCGATATCCGGACCGCTAACCTGCTATGGGCGCCTTCGGACGTCAGGTAGTGGTGATACAACACACACACTACGATGAGGAGCAACCTTGATAGATTGCTGCTATGCTGACTGTAACTAATGAGTACTTGTGTTTCTAAAGTATTGACTAGTTGTATGGTGAGTAGAGTGGATGAGGATCCACTCGACCTATTGATGAGAAAGCATGGTTATATACCTCTTCTCAGCATCGCCAGCGATGCTGCTCCTGCTCTCTCTCCAGAGAGTACCTTCTTCATCGAGTACTGCTCAGGGGCCTCTCCTGCTTGGCACCCCTGTGCCTCTTGAGCTGTGTCGACTCCTTCGACACTGCTCCTCCTCTTCATGACCTGGTGTCGACTCCTTCGACACTGCTCCTCCTCCTCATGACCTGGTGTCGACTCCTTCGACACTGCTCCTCCTCCTTTGATCAGTGACAGTTCCTTTGGCTCTTGTCTCTCGAGCCCCTGAGTGGTAACCATCTGCATGCTCCTTGAGCTTGGTCCTCTTCGTGGCTGTGCCTGCTCCTTGAGCTTGGTCCTCCTCGTGGCTGTGCCTGCTCCTTGAGCTTGGTCCTCCTCGTGGCTGTGCTTGGCCCTCCTTTGCATGTGAGTCCATAGGAGTCCATGGTCTCCATGGAGACTGCACTACGACCATGCTCTCTACTGGTGTCGACTAGGTCTTCGATACCTGTGCTCCTTCCATATGAACCCATGACCCTCCTGCTTCTTGAGCATCCAGGCCCATGACACAATGTCTGTGCTGTGCAACCTCTGAATGGAGTGTTCAAGGCGGTCAGTCGAGACTTACTAGGCGGCGACGCTTGGTTACATTTAGGCGAATCATATCGAGTAGTCCTTACTCAATCAACCCCAGCTAGTCTCTGGCGCGCGACCGCTTACATAGGGGTCCTCGCACGCTATATGACTCAACCATCGAAAGAGCATTACAATGCAGTGCAGAAGGTACTACAATACCTAGATGGTACCCAGGATGTCCATCTATGATATGGTGGCAACAAGGAACAAGATTTTCTAACAGCGCATAGCAATGTGAACTGGGCAAGTGATGCCACCACACAATGAAGAAGCTCATCAGGCTCAGCAGTGTTTGTACATGGGAACCTGGTCACATGGAAGTCAGCACTACAATGCTGCACTGCTTTGTTGGTGGTGGAAGCAGAGTTTGTGGCAGTGACTGAAGCCACACAAGAAGTACTTTTCTTCAGGCATCTCTTCAAAGCTATTGGAATTGACATTGGCACCCCCACAATCTTTTCAGACAACACAGGCACTATTCAGGTTAGTAAGGATCCAGCACAACACTGGAAGTTGAAGCATATCAACACCAAGTACCACTTTATCAGAGATAATGTGCAAGATGGAAATGTCAAAATCAAGTATATTGGCACCGAGGACAACTTGGCTGACATCTTCACCAAGCCAGTGGGCAAGGAAGTATTATGATGTGCACAACAGGGGTTGGGACTGACACCACAGCAAGGTACAGCAGCTCAGCAGTTCCCCACTTCCCCACTGAGGGAGACAGTTGAGGGAAATGTAACAATGGTCAGAGACATGTCGGAACTGAACAGAGCCTATGGGGTCTGTGGAGGGCAAGTAACCATTGATGATACGAAACCACATGTCAGTGGCTACACATGTGGGATGCATAGGTGTTACCATGACAACTTAGGAGCGATGTGAGGGGTGAACTAGTCATAGATGGGCACAGGCTGGAGGTAACCACCAAGCATGCATATATATATATGCTTATGTAAATAGCACTCAAAAATAACTCAGCACCAAAATTCTCAACTGAATGACAAATCTTGCTGATGAGGATCCGGTCTCGCTACGAAAAGGACTTTGATCACCGGTGATGAGATAGGGTAGATTGAGAAGAATGACGAGCTTTTGCTTAGCGAATTATGAATAGTTAGAGCTGGTCTTCGCCAGCCAGAAGGTGTTTCCTCTTATCATCTCAACTTTTCGAAACTCAAAATCGGCTCCACATCTGGATGACATTTTTCTTTTTGTCTGCTTAGCTAGTCTAACAAAGCCAAGCGAAAACTCTGCTCTTCATCGTGGTCAATGTCTCTAACATCGACAGCAACGAATGGGGCATAGACAGAGTTGAAGATAACAATTAGTATACACCGTTATTGGGGCCATGATCAGGCTCCCTTACCACAGTCATATGCTTCTTGTAATGCTTGATTATTTCATTTGTATGGATCTCTATCACAAGCACATATATATACCCTGTTGCTATCTTTAGTCATGTCTGAGTCAGGTGAGTCACCTCCTCTGTGACCTCCTGAGTTGCCATCTTCTACTATGCCCCTGAACCATTGTCATGCCAACCTTCATGTATTTCATTGTGTTCATTGCTTATGCACACATCTGGCCCCTTGGCACCTCAGCTGCAACTCATGCATTCTTCTTGAGATGCTGACACATTTTCAACTCCCCCCTTCAGCAGTATCTCTAGTCCTATCATCTTGGCCAATCAAGAGGTATTGAGGCCCTGCAAAGGTTTCATTAGAATGTCCACTATGTTGTTTGCTGTTCTGATGAATTCAATCATTATGTCACCCTCCTGCATGTGGTTGTGAATGAAGTGGTACTGGGTGTCGATGTGCTTCAACTTCCAGTGCTTGGCTGGATCTTTACTTACCTGGATGCACCCCTGATTGTCTGTGTATAGCATTGGCTGAACATCCATGATCTCCAAATCCTGGAGCAAATATGAGAAGAATAGTGCCTCTCGCACTGCTTTGGAAGCAGCAACAAATTCTGCTTTGACCACTGACAATGCCACACATTTCTGAATGTGAGATTTCCAACTGACTGGGCATCTGTATACATATGTTATCACTCCTGAGGTGTGTCACAGGATCGGCTGGCCAGCGCAAGAGAGTGCGCCAATTGATCAAGCGGCAGTCATGGTAATGTCGCATAACGGAGCAGTATATGAAGGGTGCACAGAAGATCAACATATGAAGGGTGCACCAGATTGATCAGAGCCAATAACCATTGGGGATCAACGAGATTAATCAGGTTGGCAGTGCATATGAATTATGAGATCAATCAAACTCCAGGAATCCAGATCAATCTCATGGGATCAGTCAGGATCAGTCAGATCAGCACACCTCAACTAGTCAGCTGATACAAGCAAGTACTTGGAGCTGTGCCAATGTGACCACATGGCCAAGGGGTTTGGTCACAAGGTTCAACAAGTGGCTAAAAGGATTCACAAGATAAAGTTGAGAAGGAGCTGTGTTGAAAGGGGGCATCACACATCATCAGGCAGAAGGAGAGCATGAAGGTGAGAGGGCAGTGTTGCATAACCCTTATGCTGAGGGAACAGTAGGAGTGCAGTATCAATGGGATTAATGCCAGCAGGACAAGACAGTGCCAAACAGGGGACTAAGGCCCCTCAAGAGGAGCAGGATAGGTGTTGTGGGCTACACCAACCAAATGCATAAATACTCTCATTCTACCATAGCATACAAGTGGATCCCCATCCACTCTTTATTTATTATTTATACTTTATACTTACTTAGCTACATACCATTGCAATAGCAGTGCTCTTGCAACAACTCTCAATGTGTGTGTTGTATCACTGTTAGTTGACAACTGTAGGCAGTGTTCTTCAACACTAGCAGTCCAGTTCCTTACTGTAGGTGGTGTTCTTCAACACCTGCAGTCCAGTCCCTTGCTGTAGGCAGTGTTGCTTGACACCAGCAGTCCAGTTCGTTATTGTAGGCAGTGATTCACACCTGTGGTCCAGTAACTCCCGTCCTCTGTAGGCGATTAGCATATTGCAGTCCAGACGACATCCAAGAGCATTATCAACAGTACTACAAACACTCATACTGTAGGAGAGGGTGTATCACCCACTCACCAACAAACAAATGTTCATGCCATGCAACCTCTGAATGGAGTGTTCAAGGCAGTCAGTGGAGACTTACCAGGTGGTGATGCTTGGTTACATATAGGCGAAACATATCGAGTAGACCTTACTCAATCAAACTCAATATAACCCCCAAACCTAAGTCTCTGGCGCGCGACCGTTTACATATGGCTTGAAGCAATTGGGCTGTGAGTGGTGTCAGGGGTCTCGCGCCTGAAACCCAGGTCGGTCTGTCGAGATACTCGGTGACTATCAAACTGTGTGACAGCTATTGTCTTGGTATCGATCTCGATGAGCTTATCGCTCAGCGACTATCAAGTTGCGCGATGGGTGGTGTTCGTGTATATACTATCATAGGTTTCGGCTGACCTCTGTGGACACTCCGTTCAGGGGTAGCTCAGCATGATCAATATCAATGCATAGATTATGATGACACCAAGGTCTGGTGTGAGTGTTGATGATAATGAGGTTGATGGTGTTGGTGATGAGGTTGGTGGTGTCAACACAAGTGTCCAGTGTGTTGACTTGATGCTTGAAGTGATCCCCAGACTGCAGTGGACTACTGCCTTCGGTTCTATCTATATCTGGACCACTAACCTGCTATGGGGCGCCTTCGGACATCAGGTAGTGGTGATACAACACACACACTACAATGAGGCCCATAGTAATTCTCTAGCAGCCCCTGCTAGTGCTACATATTCAGCTTCTATGGAACTGTTGGCCACTGTCAGCTGCAGGCATGATGACCAACTACATACGAGGCTGTTGATGGTGAAGACATATCCCAATGTGGATCTTCTACACTCGCATGAACCGGCCCAGTCACTGTTGGCCCATCCAGTGAGTATCTGTCCGCCAATGGGTCCTATTGCTGAGAGACTCACCTGTATAGTGTCAGGGGTCTCGCGCCTGAAACCCAGGTCGGTCTGTCGAGATACTCGGTGACTATCAAACTGTGTGACAGCTATTGTCTCAGTATCGATCTTGATGAGCTTATAGCTCGGCGACTATCAAGTTGCGCGATGGGTGGTGTTCGTGTATATACTGTTGTAGGTTTCGGCTGACCTCTGTGGACACTCCGTTCAGGGGTAGCTCAGCATGATCAATATCAATGCATAGATTATGATGACACCAAGGTCTGGTGTGAGTGTTGATGATGATGAGGTTGATGGTGTTGGTGATAAGGTTGGTGAATGTCGATGATAATGAGGTTGATGGTGTTGGTGATGAGGTTGGTGGCATCAACATGAGTGTCCAGTGTGTTGACTTGATGCTTGAAGTGATCCCCAGACTGCAGTGGACTACTGCCTTCGGTTCTATCTATATCTGGACCACTAACCTGCTATGGGGCGCCTTCGGACATCAGGTAGTGGTGATACAACACACACACTACAATGAGGAGCAACCTTGATAGATTGCTGCTATGCTGACTGAAACTAATATATACTTATGCTGAAGTGATAACTAGTTATATGGTGAGTAGAGTGGATGAGGATCCACTTGACCTTTGATGATGAGAAAGCATGGTTATATACCTCTTCACAGCATCGCCAGCGATGCTGCTCCTGCTCTCTCTCTCCAGAGAGTACCTTCTTCATCGAGTACTGTTCCGGAGGCCTCTCCTCTTGCTTGGCACCCCTGTGTCTCTTGAGCTGTGTCGACTCCTTCGACACTGCTCCTCCTCCTTACTATCCTGCTGCTTGTTTGGCACCCCTGTGCCTCCTGAGTGGTGTCGACTCCTTCGACACTGCTCCTCCTCCTCAGGACCTGCTTGCCAGTGTCCTATACACTGCTCCTTCTCCTTTGACTGGTGACAGTTCTTTTGACTCTTGTCTCTCGAGCCCCTGAGTGGTAACCATCTGAGCTTGGTCCTCTTTGTGGCTGTGCCTGCTCCTTGAGCTTGGTCCTCCTCGTGGCTGTGCCTGGCCCTCCTCACATATGGCTCGGTCCTCCTTTGCATGTGAGTCCATAGGAGTCCATGGTCTCCATGGAGACCGCACTACGACCATGCTCTCTACTGGTATCGACTAGCTCTTTGATACCTGTGCTCCTTCCATATGAACCAGTGACCCTCCTGCTTCTTGAGCATCCAGGTGTCATGGGCCTGGAGGCCAATTCAAAGTTCAATCCCCATACGTCAACCCACTCAACCTTATCCAGCTCGATCACCAGCACAAGCAACTACACAAGCAACTACACAAAACCTAAACAGACCAACTAACTGACCCCTTCCTCATCAACCCACCCAAACCTCGAAGCAAGGAAGCCCTGCTCCATCAGGTATCAACACCTGTCATGTATGCAAGGGTATTGGCCATTGGGCCAGAGACTGCCCCAGCAGGAGGATAGACCCTCTTAGCTCTCAACCCATGGGACCAAAGGTTATGGTCACCACAGCAGACCCCTTTGAGGAGGCCACTGACTCAGGAGATGGCCACACAGGCAGCACTGAGATGGGTGACCCTGAGGCCATGGACCTCAGCTCATACCAGCAACCCATGGACCCCGATCACAAGGAGGAGCATGATGATGATGATGATGAGGGAAACGTCAGTGGGGTGATGCACTGATGGCATGCATTGCTCTACAAACCTCCTTGCCATCACTCTGTATATATCAAGATTGTCAAGTATGTTTCTCTACCAGTGGAGGCAAAGCAGTACTGAAGCTCTCTGGAATGGTTCAAGACCATCCTGCTCAGATACTAGCTGATACTGGTGCTGGTTTGTCCATAGTCTCAGATTCTTTCATTAGTAAGTACCAAATACCCACAAAACCCATAAAAACAAGATCAATCCATGGTGTCACCAGGCACCAACTCTCCATCAATAGTTCTGCGAGCATGCAGGTATCTATTGGTACACACAATCTGGGTGTGGTCAAAGCTTCAGTGGCTGACACTGCTGACTATGACCTCATCCTGGGGTTCACTGAGCTACGGAGGCTCAAACCCACCATACAATGGGATATGGGCCAGCTGGAGTTCAAGACTCAGGAGCAGGACCGACCCCCAAGGAGACCCCCTGAAGCAGCAAGAGCAGGGGACCTAACCATGAGGAGACCAACCCTCCATGGTAACGAGTTTGTCTCAGCAGAGCACATACTACAAGCAGCTCTGGAAGATGGACCCATAGGGTTCATGCTGTTAGAGGAGCCACCATCATCACTCCCAGCCTTTGGTTTTGTACCTACAGGCACAGACAAAGGAGTCGAGATGGAGGTGGAGGTAGACAAGGTGGTGATGGCTGCAGACATACCAAAGCCATACCAACACCTGCAAGATGTGTTCAATGAGGTGGAAGCAGACAAGCTGCCCCATCATACCAAGCATGATCTCCACCTCAAGTTGATAGAAGGAGGTAAGCCACCTCAAGGGCCCCTATACCTTAAGGGACCCAAGGAGATGTCCGAGTTGAGGAGGTACTTGGATGAGAACCTCAAGAAGGGGTTCATAAGACCATCGAAGAGCCTGGCACAATCACCAGTGCTCTTTGTACCAAAGAAGGATGGAGGTCTCAGACTCTGTGTGGACTACCAAGGTCTTAATGAGATCACTGTCAAGAACAGGGCACCATTGCCCCTCATCGAGGAGCAGCTGTTCTTACTCAGGAAGGCAAGGATCTATACCAAGCTAGACCTTAGAGCAGCATACAACCTCATCCGGATTGCTAAAGGAGATGAATGGAAGACAGCTTTTGGCACTCAGTTGGGACTCTATGAGTACCTAAGTGATGCCCTTTGGCCTAGCCAATGCTCTGGCTCACTTCCAGTCATTCATCAATGACATCTTCTGAGACATCATTGGAGTATATGTAGTGGTATACTTAGATGACTTCCTGATCTTCAGTGACACCAAGGAGGTACATGTGAAGCATGTCACTGAGGTCCTCACTCGCTTAAGAAGCAACAGACTCTTTGCTAAGCTGTCAAAGTGTGAGTTCCACACCAAGACAGTCGAGTTCCTGGGGTACATCATCAAACTGACAGGCATAGAGATGGACCCAGAAAAGGTGCACACTGTCAAGGAGTGGCCAATGCTGGAGTCAATCCATGACATCCAAAGGTTCCTGGGTTTTGCCAACTTCTATCGAAGGTTCATAGCCCACTTTGCTCGCATAGCCAAGCCCTTGACATCACTGGTAAAGCCTATAGAATGGTTCAAGAAGTTCGAGCTGCCAGAGGAGGCCCAACAGGCCTTCCACCAGCTCATCCAGGCATTCACATCAGCAGGAGTGCTTCAGCACTTCGACTACCACCTTCCAACAAGGTTGGAGACCGATGCAAGTGACTTTGCTATAGCAGGAGTACTCAAACAGGAGCATGAAGGACGATGGCATCCAGTGGCCTTCTACTCTAGGAAGATGTCTTCTGCTGAGAAGAACTATGAGATCCATGACAAGGAGCTCCTAGCTGTGGTTGCTTGCCTTACTCAGTGGCGACACATGCTAGCTGGACTACTGAGCCAACTGGTCATCCTCACTGACCATGAAGCCCTCAAGTACTTCAAGTCACAGAGATGCATCACAGGTTGACAGGCTCGATGGGCAATACTACTAGCAGACTTCGACTTCATATTGCAGTATTGACCAGGAGACAAAGGTGGTGAACCTGATGCTCTCACCAGAAGGACAGACATGCAACCAGCTGGTGAAGAGCGAGATCACAATGTGAGGCAACTACTGCCTCCTCAAGTGTTCAAGGAGACAGCAGACCATGACTCGACCCTAGTGGCCCCTATGCTCTTGATGGAGTCCATAGCATCAAAAGGTCTCAGAGACCTGGTCAAGATCTTCCAGCCCTTAGACCAAGAGCTACAGGAGATACATAAGAAGAAGCCCTTCGAGGTCAAGGACGACCTATGGTACAGTGGAGGAAGGTTGGTTATCCCCAAAGTGATCATGCCAGGGAGGACCAACAACCGACACTCAAGGAGTGCCAAAGAGGTAGATGGACAGTCTCTCTCTGTAGAGCATCTGCGATTCATGGTGATGACCCAATGCCATGATGGTATTACTGCTGGACATGTAGGAAGAGATGCTACCATCAAGGCAGCTCAATGACATTACTGGTGGCCAAACATGACAGCTTGGATTGCAGACTATGTAGCAAGTTGTCCTGTATGTACTAGGTACAAAGCTCCTCGTCACTGTCCATATGGTTTGCTACAGCCACTAGCAACACCAGACAGGCCCTGGGGCTCCATATCCCTCGACTTCATCGAAGGACTACCACCATCAAGGAACTATGACTCCATCCTTGTCATTGTCAACAGGCTGACCAAGTTTGCCATACTAGCTCCAACCCATAAGACAGTCACGGCCAAACAGACTGCAGTGTTGCTATACAGACACATGGTTAGACTTTTCGGATACCCAGATCACATGGTCTCGGACCGAGGTGTCAGGGGTCTCGCGCCTGAAACCCAGGTCGGTCTGTCGAGATACTTGGTGACTATCAAACTGTGTGACAGCTATTGTCTCAGTATCGGTGACTATCAAGTTGTGCAGTGACAGCAGGTGGCATTCATTGTATATACTATCGTAGGTTTCGGCTGACCTCTGTGGACACTCCGTTCAGGGGTAGCTCGGCATGATCAATATCAATGCTTCGGTTATGATGACACCAAGGTCTGGTGTGAGTGTTGTCAGGGGTCTCGCGCCTGAAACCCAGGTCGGTCTGTCGAGATACTCGGTGACTATCAAACTGTGCGACAGCTATTGTCTCGAGATACTCGGTGACTATCAAGTTGTGCAGTGACAGCAGGTGGCGTTTGTTGTATATGCTATCGTAGGTTTCGGCTGACCTCTGTGGACACTCCGTTCAGGGGTAGCTCGGCACGATCAATATCAATGTTATGATGACACCAAGGTCTGGTGTGAGTGTTGATGATGATGAGGTTGATGGTGTTGGTGATGAGATTGGTGATGTCGATGATAATGAGGTTGATGGTGTTGGTGACGAGATTGGTGATGTCGATGATAATGAGGTTGATGGTGTTGGTGATAAGGTTGGTGGCGTCAACACGAGTGTCCAGTGTGTTGACTTGATGCTTGAAGTGATCCCCGGACCGCAGTGGACTACTGCCTTCGGTTCTATCTATATCCGGACCGCTAACCTGCTATGGGCGCCTTCGGATGTCAGGTAGTGGTGATACAACACACACACTACGATGAGGAGCAACCTTGATAGATTGCTGCTATGCTGACTGAAACTAATGTATACTTATGCTGAAGTGATAACTAGTTATGGTGAGTAGAGTGGATGGGGATCCACTCGACCTATGATGATGAGAAAGCATGGTTATATACCTCTTCACAGCATCGCCAGCGATGCTGCTCCTGCTCTCTCTCCAGAGAGTACTTTCTTCATCGAGTACTGCTCAGGGGCCTCTCCTGCTTGGCACCCCTGTGCCTCTTGAGTGGTGTCGACTCCTTCGACACTGCTCCTCCTCCTCATGACCTGTGTCGACTCCTTCGACACTGCTCCTCCTCCTCATGACCTGTGTCGACTTCCTGTCTCTCGAGCCCCTGAGTGGTAACCATCTGAGCTTGGTCCTCCTCATGGCTGCGCCTGCTCTTTGAGCTTGGTCCTCCTCGTGGCTGTGCCTGGTCCTCCTCGCATATGGGCTCAGTGCTCCTTTGCATGTGAATCCATAGGAGTCCATGGTCTCCATGGAGACTGCACTACGACCATGCTCTCTACTGGTATCGACTAGGTCTTCGATACCTGTGCTCCGTCCATATGAACCAGTGACCCTCCTGCTTCTTGAGCATCCAGGCCCATGACAAGTGTTGATGATGATGAGGTTGATGTTGTTGGTGATAAGGTTGGTGAGTGTTGATGATAAGGAGGTTGATGGTGTTGGTGATAAGGTTGGTGGCATCAACATGAGTGTCCAGTGTGTTGACTTGATGCTTGAAGTGACCCCCGGACCGCAGTGGACTACTGCCTTCGGTTCTATCTATATCCGGACCGCTAACCTGCTATGGGCGCCTTTGGACATCAGGTAGTGGTGATACAACACACACACTACGATGAGGAGCAACCTTGATAGATTGCTGCTATGCTGACTGTAACTAATGAGTACTTATGTTTCTAAAGTATTGACTAGTTGTATGGTGAGTAGAGTGGATGAGGATCCACTCGACCTATGATGATGAGAAAGCATGGTTATATACCTCTTCTCAGCATCGCCAGCGATGCTGCTCCTGCTCTCTCTCCAGAGAGTACCTTCTTCATTGAGTACTGCTCAGGGGCCTCTCCTGCTTGGCACCCCTGTGCCTCTTGAGCTGTGTCGACTCCTTCGACACTGCTCCTCCTCATGACCTGGTGTCAACTCCTTCGACACTGCTCCTCCTCCTCATGACCTGGTGTCGACTCCTTCGACACTGCTCCTTCTCCTTTGATCAGTGACAGTCCCTTTGGCTCTTGTCTCTCGAGCCCCTGAGTGGTAACCATCTGCATGCTCCTTGAGCTTGGTCCTCTTCGTGGCTGTGCTTGGCCCTCCTTTGCATGTGAGTCTGTAGGAGTCCATGGTCTCCATGGAGACTGCACTACGACCATGCTCTCTACTGATCTCGACTAGATCTTCGATACCTGTGCTCCTTCCATATGAACCAGTGACCCTCCTGCTTCTTGAGCATCCAGGCCCATGACACGAGGCAGGCAGTTCATATCAGGAGCATGGAAGGCATTTGCAGAACAAATGGGTGTGAAGCACTCACTTAGCATGGCCTACCATCCTCAAACTGATGGTCAGACAGAGAGGGTCAATCAGGTCATTGAGCAGTACCTAAGGATGTACTGCAACTATGAGCAGAATGACTGGGCTGACCTGCTGGACACTGCAGCCTTTGTATACAACAACACAGTCCACAACAGCATTGGTGTCTCACCATTCTTTGCATGCTATGGATGGAACCCCAAAGCTCATCCTGACATCCCTCAACAACTAGGAGTCAATGATCCAGGTTGCTTCGAGTACCTCATGGATGGAAAGGAGTGTTGCAAGTACCTCCAGGAGCAGATCAGAGAGGCACAATGTAGATCAGTAGACCAGTATAACAGGAAGCACAAGGACATCAAGTTTAAGGTGGGTGATATGGTCTATATCAACCGACGAAACTGGAAGACAAGGAGACCCACACCCAAGTTAGATACCTGGTTTGCAGGACCCTACCCAGTTCAGGAATGGGTAGGACACCAAGCTTATCGAATCACATTGCCAGCAAACCTTAGGGTGCATGATGTGTTCCATGTCTCCATGCTCGAGCCAGCAAGAACAAGTTCTCTTCCTCAACATGCTGAACAGCCCACCATACCATCACTTCCAGATGAGTGTCATGGGCCTGGATGCTCAAGAAGCAGGAGGGTCATGGGTTCATATGGAAGGAGCACAGGTATCGAAGATCTAGTCGAGATCAGTAGAGAGCGTAGTGCAGTCTCCATGGAGACCATGGACTCCTATGGACTCACATGCAAAGGAGGGCCAAGCACAGCCACGAGGAGGACCAAGCTCAAGGAGCAGGCACAGCCACGAAGAGGACCAAGCTCAAGGAGCATGCAGATGGTTACCACTCAGGGGCTCGAGAGACAAGAGCCAAAGGAACTGTCACTGATCAAAGGAGGAGGAGCAGTGTCGAAGGAGTCGACACCAGGTCATGAGGAGGAGGAGCAGTGTCGAAGGAGTCGACACCAGGTCATGAGGAGGAGGAGCAGTGTCGAAGGGTTGACATCAGGTCATGAGGAGGAGGAGCAGTGTCGAAGGAGTCGACACAGCTCAAGAGGCACAGGGGTGCCAAGCAGGAGAGGCCCCTGAGCAGTACTCGATGAAGAAGGTACTCTCTGGAGAGAGAGAGCAGGAGCAGCATCGCTGGCGATGCTGAGTAGAGGTATATAACCATGCTTTCTCATCATCATAGGTCGAGTGGATCCTCATCCACTCTACTCACCATAACTAGTTATCACTTCAGCATAAGTATATATTAGTTTCAGTCAGCATAGCAGCAATCCATCAAAGGTTGCTCCTCATCATAGTGTGTGTGTTGTATCACCACTACCTGACGTCCGAAGGCGCCCATAGCAGGTTAGCAGTCCGGATCAAGATAGAACCGAAGGCAGTAGTCCACTGCGGTCCAGGGATCACTTCAAGCATCAAGTCAACACACTGGACACTCGTGTTGACGCCACCAACCTTATCACCAACACCATCAACCTCATTATCATTGACATCACCAATCTCATCACCAACAACATCAACCTCATCATCATCATCACTCACACCAGACCTTGGTGTCATCCTAACATTGATATTGATCGTGCCAAGCTACCCCTGAATGGAGTGTCCACAGAGGTCAGCCAAAACCTACGATAGTATATACCACAAACGCCACCAGCTGTCACTGCACAACTTGATAGTCACCGATACCGAGACAATAGCTGTCGCACAGTTTGATAGTCACCGAGTATCTCGACAGACCGACCTGGGTTTCAGGTGCGAGACCCCTGACATTAGAGTGGATCATTCAAGCAGCTCCTCATGATCACCATGACGGACCCAGACCTCAACAATAAGCTCGATAGACTACTCACTCTATTGGAAGCACAGCTAGAGGTTACCAGACAGGGTCATCAAGAGGAACGATTACAACGAGCTCAACTGAGCAGGGAGGAGACAATGGACCTCTCTCACTCAGAAGACCAAGCAGGAGGAGGAGATGAGTCTATGATAGGAGACCCACATACTCCTACTCCAGCTCCACGACCAAGACGATCAGTCTCATTCAACCTGGATGAGCAGGAGGACATCAACTACGAGAAGTATGCTTCACCTACTGGGCCAAGATATGTCAAGACTAAGCTGGACCCCTACAGCAGGACTAGGACGGACCCTTACCCCCTGGACCACGAGGAGGATACCAGCATCATGGCAGAGCTTAACCGGTCAAAGCCCATCGCCACCCCCTTTCCAAAGTTCAATCCCCGAGACATGGAGATCTTCATTCTAGAAGCCGAAGCATGGTTTAAGTTCAACCAGGTGTATGAGCAGACTAGGATGATCAACCACATGGGAGCTCAACTGGAAGGGACAGCAAGAGAGTGGTGGACCTCCAAGCTCCATATTGATAGAGCTAGAGAAGGAAGGTTGTTCAATGATTGGCACTACTTCACAGAGCGACTGTCAGAACAGTTCAACCCACGCAATGCTAGGATGGAGGCATACAACAAGCTGTTGGCTCTCAGACTCACAAGTGATGCTCCTGGTGCCACCACATGTCATGTAGAGCAGTTCAGAGACTTGGAGGGACAGGTCAACCTAGATGACAACGAGCTAGTGATTGATCTCTTCAGAGGAAGTCTCACTCACAGCATACAGGAGAAGTTCGAGAGGAATCCACCTGGGAAGAGATGGGAGTGGTACCGAGAGGTTGAGGAGATCGATCGACAGAGGATGCTACTACAGCAGTCCTCGGCTAGACACTCACTCCCAAATGCCACATCACCTCCACTAAGAACTGGGTCTCGGCCAAATCAAAGTTCGATCCCCATCTGACAACCCACTCAACCTTATCCAGCTCGATCACCATCACAAGCAACTACACAAGCAACTATACAAAACCTAAACCGACCCCTTCCTCATCATCCCACCCAACCCTCGAAGCAAGGAAGCCCTGCTCCATCAGGTATCAACACCTGTCATGTATGCAAGGGTATCGGCCATTGGGCCAGAGACTGCCCCAGCAGGAGGGTAGACCCTCTTAGCTCTCGACCCATGGGACCAAAGGTTATGGTCACCACAGCAGACCCCTTTGAGGAGGCCACCGACTCAGGAGATGGCCACACAGGCAGTACTGAGATGGGTGACCCTGAGGCCATGGACCTCAGCTCATACCAGCAACCCATGGACCTTGACCATGAGGAGGAGGAGCATGATGATGATGACGATGAGGGAAACATCAGTGGGGTGATGCACTGATGGCATGCATTGCTCTACAAACCTCCTCGCCATCACTCTGTATATATCAAGATTGTCAAGTATGTTTCTCTACCAGTGGAGGCAAAGCAGTACTGGAGCTCTCTGGAATGGTTCAAGACCATCCTGCTCAGATACTAGCTGATACTGGTGCTGGTTTGTCCATAGTCTCAGATTCTTTCATTAGTAAGTACCAAATACCCACAAAACCCATAAAAACAAGATCAATCCATGGTGTCACCAGGCACCAACTCTCCATCAATAGTTCTGCAAGCATGCAGGTATCTATTGGTACACACAATCTGGGTGTGGTCAAAGCTTCAGTGGCCGACACTGTGGACTATGACCTCATCCTGGGGTTCACTGAGCTATGGAGGCTCAAACCCACCATACAATGGGATACGGGCTGTCATGGGCCTGGATGCTCAAGAAGCAGGAGGGTCATGGGTTCATATGGAAGGAGCACAGGTATCGAAGACCTAGTCGACACCAGTAGAGAGCATGGTCGTAGTGCAGTCTCCATGGAGACCATGGACTCCTATGGACTCACATGCAAAGGAGGGCCAAGCACAGCCACGAGGAGGACCAAGCTCAAGGAGCAGGCACAGCCACGAGGAGGACCAAGCTCAAGGAGCAGGCACAGCCACGAAGAGGACCAAGCTCAAGGAGCATGCAGATGGTTACCACTCAGGGGCTCGAGAGACAAGAGCCAAAGGAACTGTCACTGATCAAAGGAGGAGGAGCAGTGTCGAAGGAGTCGACACCAGGTCATGAGGAGGAGGAGCAGTGTCGAAGGAGTCGACACCAGGTCATGAAGAGGAGGAGCAGTGTCGAAGGAGTCGACACAGCTCAAGAGGCACAGGGGTGCCAAGCAGGAGAGGCCCCTGAGCAGTACTCGATGAAGAAGGTACTCTCTGGAGAGAGAGCAGGAGCAGCATCGCTGGCGATGCTGAGAAGAGGTATATAACCATGCTTTCTCATCAATAGGTCGAGTGGATCCTCATCCACTCTACTCACCATACAACTAGTCAATACTTTAGAAACACAAGTACTCATTAGTTACAGTCAGCATAGCAGCAATCTATCAAGGTTGCTCCTCATCGTAGTGTGTGTGTTGTATCACCACTACCTGACGTCCGAAGGCGCCCATAGCAGGTTAGCGGTCCGGATATCGATAGAACCGAAGGCAGTAGTCCACTGCGGTCCGGGGATCACTTCAAGCATCAAGTCAACACACTGGACACTCGTGTTGACGCCACCAACCTTATCACCAACACCATCAACCTCATTATCATCGACATCACCAATCTCGTCACCAACACCATCAACCTCATTATCATCGACATCACCAATCTCATCACCAACACCATCAACCTCATCATCATCAACACTCACACCAGACCTTGGTGTCATCATAACATTGATATTGATCGTGCCGAGCTACCCCTGAACGGAGTGTCCACAGAGGTCAGCCGAAACCTAAGATAGTATATACAACGAACGCCACCTGCTGTCACTGCACAACTTGATAGTCACCGATACCGAGACAATAGCTGTCACACAGTTTGATAGTCACCGAGTATCTCGACAGACCGACCTGGGTTTCAGGCGCGAGACCCCTGACACGGGCCAGCTGGAGTTCAAGACTCAGGAGCAGGACCGACCCCCTAGGAGACCCCCTGAAGCAGCAAGAGCAGGGGACCTAACCATGAGGAGACCAACCCTTCATGGTAACGAGTTTGTCTCAGCAGAGCGCATACTACAAGCAGCTCTAGAAGATGGACCCATAGGATTCATGCTGTTGGAGGAGCCACCATCATCACTCCCGGCCTTTGGTTTTGTACCTACAGGCGCAGACAAAGGAGTCGAGATGGAGGTGGAGGTAGACAAGGTGGTGACGGCTGCAGACATACCAAAGCCATACCAACACCTGCAAGATGTGTTTGATGAGGTGGAAGCAGACAAGCTGCCCCATCATACCGAGCATGATCTCCACCTCGAGTTGATAGAAGGAGGTAAGCCACCTCAAGGGCCCCTATACCTTAAGGGACCCAAGGAGATGTCCGAGTTGAGGAGATACTTGGATGAGAACCTCGAGAAGGGGTTCATAAGACCATCGAAGAGCCCGGCACGATCACCAGTGCTCTTTGTACCAAAGAAGGATGGAGGTCTCAGACTCTGTGTGGACTACAGAGGTCTCAACGAGATCACTGTCAAGAACAGGGCACCATTGCCCCTCATCGAGGAGCAGCTGTTCTTACTCAGGAAGGCAAAGATCTATACCAAGCTAGACCTTAGAGCAGCATACAACCTCATCCAGATTGCTAAAGGAGATGAATGGAAGACAGCTTTTGGCACTCAGTTGGGACTCTATGAGTACCTAGTGATGCCCTTTGGCCTAGCCAATGCTCCGGCTCACTTCCAGTCATTCATCAATGACATCTTCCGAGACATCATTGGGATATATGTGGTAGTATACTGTCATGGGCCTGGATGCTCAAGAAGCAGGAGGGTCATGGGTTCATATGGAAGGAGCACAGGTATCGAAGACCTAGTCGATACCAGTAGAGAGCATGGTCGTAGTGCAGTCTCCATGGAGACCATGGACTCCTATGGACTCACATGCAAAGGAGAACCGAGCCACATGCGAGGAGGACCAGGCACAGCCACAAGGAGGACCAAGCTCAAGGAGCAGGCACAGCCACGAAGAGGACCAAGCTCAGATGGTTACCACTCAGGGGCTCGAGAGACAAGAGTCCTAGGACACTGGCAAGCAGGTCCTGAGGAAGAGGAGCAGTGTCGAGGGAGTCGACATCAGGTCATGAGGAGGAGGAGCAGTGTTGAAGGAGTCGACACCACTCAAGAGGCACAGGGGTGCCAAGCAGGAGAGGCCCCTGAGCAGTACTCGATGAAGAAGGTACTCTCTGGAGAGAGAGCAGGAGCAGCATCGCTGGCGATGTTGTGAAGAGGTATATAACCATGCTTTCTCATCATCATAGGTCGAGTGGATCCTCATCCACTCTACTCACCATAACTAGTTATCACTTCAGCATAAGTATATATTAGTTTCAGTCAGCATAGCAGCAATCCATCAAAGGTTGCTCCTCATCATAGTGTGTGTGTTGTATCACCACTACCTGACGTCCGAAGGCGCCCATAGCAGGTTAGCGGTCCGGATCAAGATAGAACCGAAGGCAGTAGTCCACTGCGGTCCAGGGATCACTTCAAGCATCAAGTCAACACACTGGACACTCGTGTTGACGCCACCAACCTTATCACCAACACCATCAACCTCATTATCATTGACATCACCAATCTCATCACCAACACCATCAACCTCATCATCATCAACATTCACACCAGACCTTGGTGTCATCATAACATTGATATTGATCGTGCCGAGCTACCCCTGAACGGAGTGTCCACAGAGGTCAGCCGAAACCTACGATAGTATATACCACAAACGCCACCAGCTGTCACTGCACAACTGCTAACCTGCTATGGGGCACCTGCAGATGTCAGGTAGTGGTGATACAACACACACACTACAATGAGGAGCAACCTTGATAGATTGCTGCTATGCTGACTGTAACTAATGAGTACTTATGTTTCTAAAGTATTGACTAGTTGTATGGTGAGTAGAGTGGATGAGGATCCACTCGACCTATTGATGAGAAAGCATGGTTATATACCTCTTCTCAGCATCGCCAGCGATGCTGCTCCTGCTCTCTCTCCAGAGAGTACCTTCTTCATCGAGTACTGCTCAGGGGCCTCTCCTGCTTGGCACCCCTGTGCCTCTTGAGCTGTGTCGACTCCTTCGACACTGCTCCTCCTCCTCATGACCTGGTGTCGACTCCTTCGACACTGCTCCTCCTCCTTTGATCAGTGACAGTTCCTTTGGCTCTTGTCTCTCGAGCCCCTGAGTGGTAACCATCTGCATGCTCCTTGAGCTTGGTCCTCCTCGTGGCTGTGCCTGCTCCTTGAGCTTGGTCCTCCTCGTGGCTGTGCTTGGCCCTCCTTTGCATGTGAGTCCATAGGAGTCCATGGTCTCCATGGAGACTGCACTACGACCATGCTCTCTACTGGTGTCGACTAGGTCTTCGATACCTGTGCTCCTTCCATATGAACCCATGACCCTCCTGCTTCTTGAGCATCCAGGCCCATGACACTCATCCAGGCCTTCACATCAGCAGGAGTGCTTCAGCACTTTGACTACCACCTTCCAACAAGGTTGGAGACTCATGCAAGTGACTTTGCTATAGCAGGAGTACTCAAGCAGGAGCATGAAGGACGATGGCATCCAGTGGCTTTCTACTCTAGGAAGATGTCTTCTGCTGAGAAGAACTATGAAATCCATGACAAGGAGCTCCTAGCTGTGGTCGCCTGCCTTACTCAGTGGCAACACATGCTAGCTGGACTACCAAGTCAACTGGTCATCCTCACTGACCATGAAGCCCTCAAGTACTTCAAGTCACAGAGACGCATAACAGGTCGACAGGCTCGATGGGCAATACTACTAGCAGACTTCGACTTCATATTGCAGTATCAACCAGGAGACAAAGGTGGTGAACCCGATGCCCTCACCAGAAGGACTGACATGCAACCAGCTGGTGAAGAGCAGGATCACAATGTGAGGCAACTACTGCCTCCTCGAGTGTTCAAGGAGACAGCAGACCATGACTCGACCCTAGTGGCCCCTATGCTCTCGATGGAGTCCATAGCATCAAAAGGTCTCAGAGACCTGGTCAAGATCTTCCAGCCCTTAGACCAAGAGCTACAGGAGATACATAGGAAGAAGCCCTTCGAACTCAAGGACGACCTATGGTACAGTGGAGGAAGGTTGGTTATCCCCAAAGTGATCATGCCAGGGAGGACCAACAACCGACACTCAAGGAGTGCCAAAGAGGTAGATGGACAGTCTCTCTCTGTAGAGCACCTGCGATTCATGGTGATGACCCAATGCCATGATGGTATTACTGCTGGACATGTAGGAAGAGATGCTACCATCAAGGCAGCTCAATGACATTACTGGTGGCCAAACATGACAGCTTGGATTGCAGACTATGTAGCAAGTTGTCCTGTATGTGCTAGGTACAAAGCTCCTCATCACTGTCCATATGGTTTGCTACAGCCACTAGCAACACCAGACAGGCCCTGGGGCTCCATATCCCTCGACTTCATCGAAGGACTACCACCATCAAAGAAGTATGACTCCAAGACCTATGACTCTATCTTAGTCATTGTCGACAGGTTAACCAAGTTTGCCATACTAGCTCCAACCCATAAGACAGTCACGGCCAAACAGACTGCAGTATTGCTATATGGACACATGGTTAGACTCTTTGGATATCCAGATCACATGGTATCGGACCGAGGCAGGCAGTTCATATCAGGAGCATGGAAGGCATTTGCAGAGCAAATGGGTGTGAAGCACTCACTTAGCACGGCTTACCATCCTCAAACTGATGGTCAGACAGAGAGGGTCAATCAGGTCATAGAGCAATACCTCAGGATGTACTGCAACTATGAGCAGGATGACTGGGTCAACCTGCTGGACACTGCAGCCTTTGTGTACAACAACACAGTCCACAACAGCATTGGTGTCTCACCATTCTTTGCATGCTATGGATGGAACCCCAAAGCTCATCCTGACATCCCTCAACGACTAGGAGTCAATGATCCAGGTTGCTTTGAGTACCTCATGGATGGAAAGGAGTGTTGCAAGTACCTCCAGGAGCAGATCAGAGAGGCACAACGGAGATCAGTAGACCAGTATAACAGGAAGCACAAGGACATCGAGTTTAAGGTGGGTGATATGGTCTATATCAACCATCGAAACTGGAAGACACAGAGACCCACACCCAAGTTAGATACCCGGTTTGCAGGACCCTACCCAGTTCAGGAACGGGTAGGACGCCGAGCTTATCGAATCACATTGCCAGCAAACCTTAGGGTGCATGATGTGTTCCATGTCTCCATGCTCGAGCCAGCAAGAACAAGTTCTCTTCCTCAACGTGCTGAACAGCCCACCATACCATCACTTCCAGATGAGGACCTCGACTTCGAAGTCGAAGCACTCATCGACAAGCGTTCACACAATGGGACTACAGAGTACAAGGTGTTGTGGAGAGGGTACACAGAGGAAGCTGCTTCATGGGAACCAGTAGAGAACCTCAACTGTCCCGACCTCATCCAGGAGTATGAGGTGTCGGAGGGGGGACGAGTGAGTAGACAAAGTAGAGAAAGGAGGAGAGAACAGGAGGAGTAGAGAGAGGAAGAGGAAGGAGGATGACGTTGAGAGAAGGAGGAGAGATGATGTTGGCGATGTTGGCGAGGAGGAGGAGGAGGAGTCAGCATGGACCAGACCAGAGCATGCCTCGACGGAGCTCGGCTCTTAAGAGGGGGGTAGTGTCATGGGCCTGGATGCTCAAGAAGCAGGAGGGTCATGGGTTCATATGGAAGGAGCACAGGTATCGAAGATCTAGTCGAGATCAGTAGAGAGCGTAGTGCAGTCTCCATGGAGACCATGGACTCCTATGGACTCACATGCAAAGGAGGGCCAAGCACAGCCACGAGGAGGACCAAGCTCAAGGAGCAGGCACAGCCACGAAGAGGACCAAGCTCAAGGAGCATGCAGATGGTTACCACTCAGGGGCTCGAGAGACAAGAGCCAAAGGAACTGTCACTGATCAAAGGAGGAGGAGCAGTGTCGAAGGAGTCGACACCAGGTCATGAGGAGGAGGAGCAGTGTCGAAGGAGTCGACACCAGGTCATGAGGAGGAGGAGCAGTGTCGAAGGGTTGACATCAGGTCATGAGGAGGAGGAGCAGTGTCGAAGGAGTCGACACAGCTCAAGAGGCACAGGGGTGCCAAGCAGGAGAGGCCCCTGAGCAGTACTCGATGAAGAAGGTACTCTCTGGAGAGAGAGAGCAGGAGCAGCATCGCTGGCGATGCTGAGTAGAGGTATATAACCATGCTTTCTCATCATCATAGGTTGAGTGGATCCTCATCCACTCTACTCACCATAACTAGTTATCACTTCAGCATAAGTATATATTAGTTTCAGTCAGCATAGCAGCAATCTAGCAAGGTTGCTCCTCATCATAGTGTGTGTGTTGTATCACCACTACCTGACGTCCGAAGGCACCCATAGCAGGTTAGCGGTCCGGATCAAGATAGAACCGAAGGCAGTAGTCCACTGCGGTCCGGGGATCACTTCAAGCATCAAGTCAACACACTGGACACTCGTGTTGATGCCACCAACCTTATCACCAACACCATCAACCTCATTATCATCGACATCACCAATCTCATCACCAACACCATCAACCTCATCATCATCAACACTCACACCAGACCTTGGTGTCATCATAACATTGATATTGATCATGCCGAGCTACCCCTGAATGGAGTGTCCACAGAGGTCAGCCAAAACCTACGATAGTATATACCACAAACGCCACCAGCTGTCACTGCACAACTTGATAGTCACCGATACCGAGACAATAGCTGTCGCACAGTTTGATAGTCACCGAGTATCTCGACAGACCGACCTGGGTTTCAGGCGCGAGACCCCTGACAATGAGGACCTCCACTTCAAAGTCGAAGCACTCATCAACAAGTGTTCACACAATGGGACTACAGAGTACAAAGTGTTGTGGAGAGGGTACTCAGAAGAAGCTGCTTCATGGGAACCAGTAGAGAACCTCAACTGCCCCAACCTCATCCAGGAGTATGAGGTGTCGGAGGGGGGACGAGCGAGTAGACAAAGTAGAGAAAGGAGGAATAGAGAGAGAAGGAGGAAGGAGGATGACGTTGAGAGAAGGAGGAAGGATGATGTTGGCAATGTTGTCGAGGAGGAGGAGGAGGAGTCAGCATGAACCAGACCAGAGCATGCCTTGACGGAGCTCGGCTCTTAAGAGGGGGGTAGTGTCATGGGCCTGGATGCTCAAGAAGCAGGAGGGTCACTGGTTCATATGGAAGGAGCACAGGTATCGAAGATCTAGTCGATACCAGTAGAGAGCATGGTTGTAGTGCAGTCTCCATGGAGACCATGGACTCCTATGGACTCACATGCAAAGGAGGACATGAGCCACATGCGAGGAGGGCCAGGCACAGCCACAAGGAGGACCAAGCTCAAGGAGCAGGCACAGCCATGAAGAGGACCAAGCTCAAGGAGCAGGCACAGCCATGAAGAGGACCAAGCTCAGATGGTTACCACTCAGGGGCTCGAGAGACCAGAGCCAAAGGAACTGTCACCGGTCAAAGGAGAAGGAGCAGTGTATAGGACACTAGCAGGCAGGTCCTGAGGAAGAGGAGCAGTGTCGAAGGAGTCGACACCAGGTCATGAGGAGGAGGAGCAGTGTCGAAGGAGTCGACACCACTCAAGAGGCACAGGGGTGCCAAGCAGGAGAGGCCCCTGAGCAGTACTCGATGAAGAAGGTACTCTCTGGAGAGAGAGCAGGAGCAGCATCACTGGTGATGCTGTGAAGAGGTATATAACCATGCTTTCTCATCATCATAGGTCGAGTGGATCCTCATCCACTCTACTCACCATACAACTAGTCAATACTTTAGAAACATAAGTACTCATTAGTTACAGTCAGCATAGCAGCAATCTATCAAGGTTGCTCCTCATTGTAGTGTGTGTGTTGTATCACCACTACCTGACATCTGCAGGTGCCCCATAGCAGGTTAGCAGTCTGGATATAGATAGAACCAAAGGCAGTAGTCCACTGCAGTCCAGGGATCACTTCAAGCATCAAGTCAACACACTGGACACTCATGTTGATGCCACCAACCTCATCACCAACACCATCAACCTCATTATCATTGACATTCACCAACCTTATCACCAACACCATCAACCTCATCATCATCAACACTCACACCAGACCTTGGTGTCATCATAATTGAAGCATTGATATTGATTGTGCCGAGCTACCCCTGAACAGAGTGTCCACAGAGGTCAGCCAAAACCTACAATAGTATATACAATGAATGCCACCCGCTGTCATCACACAACTTGATAGTTGCTGAGTGACTAGCTCATCGAGACTGATACCAAGACAATAGCTGTCGCACAGTTTGATAGTCACTGAGTATCTCGACAGACTGACCTGGGTTTCAGGCGCGAGACCCCTGACAGTGCTCTCCGGTAGTGTCAATTGTTCTGTGGAGAGCGTTGATCAAAGCATCATCAAGGGAGTGGCTCCATTTTGGGTACTTCTTGTCATATGCTCCCTCAAGGTGTTTCATTGCATGAGGCACAGGTCAGAGGAATGACTTCATGTGAGTGCTCCAGCTGTAGTAGCTGTGTGATGTGAGCTTCAGTACAGGTTCAAGAAGCTTTGCTAGGGTGCAAAAGTTATATTGCTTGTCACCATCATCAAAATCTGAGTCAGAGTTGGCTCCTTCATTGGCTTTGTTGTTGATGGCCTCTGGCTCATTCTCATTTGTGGCATCATTGTCAGCTCACACCTGGGTGGTCTTGCCTTTCCTGCTTCCTTTGGTCCTCATACTGGTGTCAACCTGGGTTTTGGCATCTTCTACCATGATTGTTGATGGGCTTCAGTTAGCTTGGTTGGTAGCTTCTTCAGACTCTTAATCAGTTGAAGATAACAATTAGTATATGCCATTATTGGGGCCACAATCAGGCTCCCTTACCACAGTCATATGCTTCTTGTAATGCTTGATTATTTCATTTGTATGGATCTCTATCACAAGCACATATATATACCCTGTTGCTATCTTTAGTCATGTCTGAGTCAGATGAGTCACCTCCTCTGTGACCTCCTGAGTTGCCATCTTCTACTATGCCCCTGAACCATTGTCATGCCAACCTTCATGTATTTCATTGTGTTCATCGCTTATGCACACATCTGATCCCTTGGCGCTTCAGCTGCTACTCGTGCATTCTTCTTGAGATGCCGACGCATTTTCAACTGACAGGAACTCTTAATAGTGACAGACGAGATGCGAGGATATACCTTTATGGTTGTCTTGATCTAAAGCTTCACTTTTGCTGAGTTGTCGACCTGAAGGGCGGTTGCACATGATCAACGGCCGGCAGGAGATAGGTCAAAGAGGGAAGCAGAAAGTAGACGTCAGTGTCAGTCCATACATCATACAGCCACTGGGATTTAGAATGTCTACTTAGCTGGCAGCTAGCTAGCCGGCTCGGAAGACATCTCATGCTCTAATCTACTCACCTTGGTATGCGTACCAGTGATGGTCTTCTTGACGCGCTTCCACTTGCCCGAGTATACTGGACCCTCTCCATCGTCCGTCTGACCATCATCTCGCTCCACGATCCAGAACTCCGCAGTCAGCAACGCAATCGATTTGCCCACCTGCTCCGAGTATACATCCATCTCGATCACCGATCCAACGGGGCACGCATTCATATACAAGACGCTCAGATTCTGTGAAACACCGAGGAATGACCAGGGCGTTCCCATCGCGCCCGAAGTGTGATAGAAGATGACCATGCTGGTAATATTGTCGACCAGAGTGGCACTGCAGCCACCATGCATATTGCCAAGACTGTTGTCCATCTTCTCGGTGACCCGCATGCGTAACACAAGACGTGTGTGGATGTCCTTACGTACTGGCGTTGTGTCTGTTGCACTGCCGGATGTCTTCATTGTGAGTCGGGCTGTTTCGTTTGAGTCGTCAACATCGGCAGCTTCGCGGACGAGATTGCCATTCTCATCGAGACCTGTACGCTCAACTGAGATCACCGTGACGGAGGGATCCACTGCTGAGCTTGAGTACCCGTGGTAGTCGGCCAGATTCCTCGTCATGTTGACGGCATCCTGCGTTGCCTCTTGCAGATTTTTTGGTGCTGGTGCTGGCATCTTGTTTAGGGCTCCCGAGTTGCTCGCCTGTGAGGTCTACTTGCGGTGTGGGAGTACTTGATGAATAAGTGCCTGGTCGCTGTGCACTGAGAATCCGGTTATATTTTGGCTTCTGTGTTCGTACTAACTTGTAATGCTAGCGATGGATCGTAAGGCGAGAACGCTCGTGTGTTGATTGCAGATGCAAGGCAAGAAGGCTTCGAATGTGCTTGCAATTCACTGCACGAAGCTTGAAGACCCTTTCACACTTTTGGTAGCTCGCCATCCGGTCAGATCCACCCGAAATCCAAGTCTCTTGTGAAACTGCATTGTTTTGTGCTTCAGGGAACACCCAGTCAGAGGTCACAATTGGCACTTTCGAGGATTCTCCTGATAACCAGAACAGTCGCTTACATCTGTTCTGGTCCTCAATTTGGCCTGAAAATTCAGTTGAGGTTAATGCAGAAGAAAACGATCCGATATGATGATGCATGCTGACATAAACGTAATTGGCAATCAGATGGGACAGATTAATCTGGAGATCGGGTGCAACATAGTCCCACTTGTTGTCAAGCTAGGTCATGAAGGAGGATACTCCCATGTCCAGCATGCATCTCACAATTGTATATATACAAAGCTGAGGACACTAGGTCCTCACCATGTTTTACTAGTCAATCGAGTATACATGTTTCTGCCCTAAAGTAGTAGTTGTTACAGGGTCAGAAGGATAGCACAAGAGAGTGTGCCAAATTGATCAACAGCAGTCATGGGAATGTCGTGCAACAGAGCAGTATATGAAGGGTGTGCAATGGATCAATATATGAAGGGAGTGCCAGATTGATTGGTGCCGAACCATTGGGGATCAACAAGATTAATTGGGCTGGCAGCACATATGAATTATGAGATCGATCGAACCCCAGGAATCCAGATCAATCTCATGGGATTGGTCAGGGTCAGTCAGATCAGCACACCTCAACTAGTCAGCTGATACAAACAAGTACTTGGAGCTGTGCTGATGTGACCACATGACCAAGGGGTTGGGTCACAAGGTTCAACAAGTGACTAAAGGGGTTTCACAAGACAAGTCAAGACAGAACTGTGCCAACATGACCACATGACCAAGGGGTATGGTCACGAGGTTCAACAAGTGACTAAAGGGATTCACAAGATAAGGTTGAGAAGGAGCTGTGTCAAAGTGACCACATGACCAAGGGGTTTGGTCACAAGGTTCAACAAGAGGCTAAAGGGATTCACAAGACAAGGTTGAGAAAAGGAGCTGTGTTGAAAGGGGTCATCACACATCATCAGGCAGAAGGAGATCATGAAGGCAAGAGGGCAGTGTTGCATAACCCTTACACCATGCAAACGGTAGGGGTGCAGTATCAATGGGATTGATGCCAGCAGGACAATAGTGTCAAAAAGGGGACAAAGGCCCCTCAGGAGGAGCAGGATAGGTGTTGTGGGTGACACCAATCAAATGCATAAATACTCTCATTCTACCATAGCATACAAGTGGATCCTCATCCACTCTTTACTACATACTCTATCTACTTTACTTACTTACTCAGTTACATACCATTGCAATAGCAGTGCTCTTGCAATGACTCTCAACATGTGTGTTGTATCACCATTAGTCAACAACTGTAGGCAGTGTCCTTCAACACTTGTGGTCCAGTCCCTTGCTGTAGGCAGTGTTGCTTGACACCTGTGGTCCAGTCAGTTATTGTAGGCAGTGACTCACACCTGTGGTCCAGTAACTCCCATCCTCTGTAGGCAATTAGCATATCGCAGTCCAGACAACATCCAAGAGCACTATCAACAGTACTACAAGCACTTGTACTGTAGGAGAGAATGTTTCACTCACTCACCAACAACCAGTGTCCATGCTGCACAACCTCTGAATGGAGTGTTCAAGGTGGTCAGTCAAGACTTACCAGGCAGCAACATTTGGTTATGTTTAGGCGAAACATACTGAGTAGACCTTACTCAATCAAACTCAATATAACACCCCAAAACTAAGTCTCTGGCATGCGACCGCTTACAGTAACCTGCTGTGTTCTCCTGAGCTTGGTCCTCTTCTTGGCTAAACTCAGAACCCCTTTTGTATGTGAGACCCTTCCTTGTGTCCTATCCTACCTTTGATGATGGAGGCCTTCCCTACCAAGTCTCCTGTTGCTTCCTTGTGTCCCATTGGTCCATTCCATACTGATGGGGCTTTGTGCAACATGTTTTGGTGAAATCAACCCAATGAGTGTGTTCCACTTGATTTCAGCAAAACTGATCAGAAACCCCCAACATGGTTGATTTCCCTGAAATCAACCAGAAACCTGTGTTACAGTTGATGTCACATTTCATGCACCTTTTTTGGTGCACCACATCTTCATCTTGGATCTTTGTGCACAGACCTGATCTTCTGCACAGGTCCTGTGACAAAAACCTTCCAGAGCCTCTAAGCAGGCCTCTTCCTTTGACTCTTCAGAGCAGTTGTTGATGCCAAAATGCTCCACAAGCCCTTTAGCTGCTGTGGAGATTCTTTCCAGGGCAGCTTCTGCATCTGTTCCCTTGGCAATATCAATGCTTCTGTAAGCTGAATTGATATTGCTCTGCAAAGGCTCTGGTCTTTGGGGTGAAGCTCTATATCCCTGCAAAAGAGAGGGTAGTCTCATTTGACTAGTTGCCAACCCAGCTTCAGCAGCTGTTTGCTTGGAACCACTTGGAGTATTGGGGGTGGTGGTGGTGGTGGGTTGGCCTGTGCCATGTTGGGCCACCTCCTTGTATCCAGCCCCCCCCCCCCCCCCTCCCCCCCCCCCTGCTCTGCTTTGTTCCAGTGAAAAGGGTTCTTGAGAGGTTTGAATTTGTCAAACTTATTCCCACAGTGAGCCCTTAGGATCTTGGGGGCAATACCAGGAAGATAGTCATTGAGCCTTACCTTGTCATATTGTGGGTGGCCAAAGACTGCTGAGCTGCCATAGACCATGACATCAGCAACTACATGAGCCTTGCCCTGGCTGACAAGCCCATCCCACTTTGCAACTAGAGACTGATCCAGCCAGAACTTGTGGTGGCAGGGGGGATGGGACTTGCAGTTGCAAGGCTTGCACTTTACCTTGTAGCTGCCAGAGTCAGCAGGCATGCAGTCAATGCTGACCTGCAAGCATCTTTCACATGGCCCACAGTGCCTGGCAGCCAGAATCTTGCAAGCCCTGGCATGAAGCTTAGGCTTCTTGAAGACATGCATGCCTCCCACTTTCTTTGCTGTTGTCACCTTGACACAACCTGAACATTTGATGAGTTTGCTCTCCTCACTATCAGCTTGGCTCCCTGCTGCCAAGGAAGCGCTCTCCTTGCTTGTGTCATCGCTGCCTGATTCATCAGACCAGTAATCACCTGTGTCTAGCAGACTGGTTCTTATGTGATCAAGAGCATGTCCCCCTGTGTGGTAACCTGCTGTGTGCTCCTGAGCTTGGTCCTCTTCTTGGCTAAACTTGGAACCCCTTTTGTATGTGAGACCCTTCCTTGTGTCCTATCCTACCTTTGACAATGGAGGCCTTCCCTACCAAGTCTCCTGTTGCTTCCTTGTGTCCCATTGGTCCATTCCATATTGATGGGGCTTTGTGCAACATGTTTTGGTGAAATCAACCCAATGAGCATGTTCTGCTCAATTTCAGTGAAACTGATCAGAAACCCCTGATGTGGTTGATTTCCCTGAAATCAACCCAATGAGTGTGTTCCACTTGATTTCAGCAAAACCAATCAGAAACCCCTGTCATGGTTGATTTCAGGGAAATCAACCAGAAACCCATCTTACGGTTGATGTCACATTTCATGTGCCTTTTTCTGGGTGCACCACATCTTTATCTTCATCTCGGATCTTCCTGCACCGACCCGATCTCCTGCGCAGTTCCTGTGACACAAGTGAGTGGATCGCCATCCACTCTACACCATACATAACTAGTTATCACTTCAGCATAAGTATACTTAGTTTCCATCAGCAAGTTGCAAACATAATAGATTGCTTCCCTTGTAGCATGTGTGTTGTATCACTGCTCACTGACATCCAAAGGTGGTATTAACTGCAGTCTGGATAATGATCAACACTGAAGGCAGTTCATAGCAACCTGTGGCCCAGCTCGTGATCATAGAACCAAAGGCAGTTGTCCACTGCAGTCTGGGGATCACATCAAGCACTCAGTTGGCACACTGGACACTCATGTCAGTGCCACCAACAAGCACACTCATACCAGACCTTGGTGTCAATACAAAGTTCCTGTTGTTATTGATCATGCCAAGCTACCTCTGGACAGAGTGTCCACAGCAGTCAGTCAAAATCTGTAATAGCAAACACACTACTACATCTTCAAGCAAGACAAGTCATAGAGGCTTTTCTACAACATATATCGACAAGAATAATAATACACAGCACTCTACCACATATCTGCTGAGGGAAACGATCCAATTTGATGATATGCGCTGACATAAAATGTAATCGGGACACAGAGGAGAAGATCCACACAATGATTGGGTACAACACAGTCCTGCTTGTTGTCAAGCTGGATCATGAAGTAGGGGTTCTATCACATTTTGGCATGTACCACACCTTTGTATATATATCTAGTGGGGAGTTTGAGGCTCTCGCCACTTTGGTCCTTTTAGTCAATTTAGTATATGTTTCTGCCTTAATGAGTAGTGATATCGTACTTAGACTATCCCCAATCACTTGTATCAGGACCCAAATGATGTCTAATTTCCTCAGGTTATGAGCCCAACAAGCCATTACACTATTATATCAGTATGTCAAATGTTAACTATTCTATCTACAGGGCCTTTGCTGCTCCTGTGCAAAGCCTCCTGCCATGACTGCCCCAGGTACTCCAAGACCAATTCAATCAAGTCATGGAAGAGGAAACTTATGGCACTCCTAATGCACCTAAGGACAGCCAACTACTAAAGTTCACCTTCAATGATGACAAGGAGCAGATAATCTCACATCTGTCCATCATGATTGAGTGTGTTAGCATACTCTATCAAGGGATGCATGATCTTGGCCCTTTTGCCAATTTTTCCAAGCTTGGAAAGCAAATGCATACTAGAGTAAACCTATTCATTGCCAATGAAGAGTGGAATGCTGCTTGCATCCTTGACTTCAAGATTGCAGGTTCAGTCAAAGCTGTCCACAATACCAAGGAACCTAACCATCTCATTAAGAGTGAAGCCCTGGCATCAGCTAGAAGCAAAACCCCCACCTTCAACCCAAATGTCACTGATGTCACCAACCATCGCCTGATCGGTCATGAAGCCACGCCAAGTCCTACCCTCGAGCTCAGTGCACTCACGAACTGTCATGGGCCTGGATGCGCAGAAAGAAGGAAGAACCGAAGTTCATATGAAGGCAGCGCAGGAATCAAGGGATCAGGCAGATCATAGGATTTGTGGCAGAGTTCACTGAGATCAGCAGTAGAATCAGCTCTATGACAGATCTCAGCAAAATTGGCATGAGCATCATTGATATCATGAATCCTGCCAGAATCTGCAGCAAGCATGATCATGTGACAGATTCCATGGAGATCAGTGACAAGGATGTCCATATGATGATTCACATGCAGGACAGACCAAGCTCACATATGAAGGGGACCAAGCTCCACCAGGCCGAGGACCAAGCCTTGCCAAGACAGGGACCGAGCTCAGACACACAGACAGGTTACTGCTCAGGGGCTTAGGAGATAGTGGATAAGAGAAACATTGCCAGTTGAAGGAAGAAGAGCTGTGTGATGGAAACTGGCAAACAGGTCATGAGGAGGAGGAGCAGTGTCAATGGAGTCGACACAGCTCAGGAAGGACAGGAGTGACAAGGCTTGATGAGGAGGAGGAGTCTCATTGGAGACTCCTGTACAGTACTCGATGAAGAGGGTACTCTCTGGAGAGAGAGAGTGGGAGCAGTGTCACTGGTGACACTGCGAAGAGGTATATAACCATACCTTCTTGTCGCAAATGGTTGAGTGGATCCCCATCCACTCTACACCATATAAAACTAGCTATCACTTCAGCATAAGTATACATTAGTTTTCAGTCAGCATAGTAGTAATCAATAGATTGCTCCTCATTGTAGCGCATGTGTTGTATCACCACTCACTGACATCTGAAGGCAGTTCATAGCAAACCAGCAGTCCAGATTAGATAGAACCGAAGGCAGTTGTCCACTGTGGTCCGGGGATCACCTCAAGCAATAGTCAACACACTGGACACTTGTGTTGATGCCACCAAGTATCATACTCACACCAGACCTTTGGTGTCAACATCAAGTTCACCCAACATCATATAGTTATTGATTGTGCCAAGCTACCTCTGGATGGAGTGTCCACAGTGGTTAGTCAAAATCTGCAATAGCATTACTACAACTACAGATTCGAATGAGAAAAGTGATAGAGATGGCTCTATCACATATTTCACTAAGAATCGAAATACCACTAGTGTTGTCACATAACTCAACAGAATTGGTAATAGTATCGATACTACTACCGATCTCAGGTTTCAGGCACATGACCGCTGACACGAACCACCACCTAAAGGTGCTTTCAGGCTTGAACGACAAAATGAAATGGGATGAGTGAGACCTCCTTGACCCAAGGTCAGTCTCAGTACATGCATGGTGATGCAAGTTATTTGCAATGCTGTCCATAGTCCCATTTGCACAAAATGTCTTCAACCAAAAATTGACAACCTTCAAAGATGTCAACTCAATGCTAAGCTCTATCATCATGCATAGCTTCTCAGACAAACTGCACACTGAATACTTCATGGAACATGGTGACCAGCCTGTACTGATTGCTGTTGACCTGTTCAACTGGGCAGTAACTAAGTGCACCTTGCACTCTACTGCCAAAGAGTATGAACTCCTTGCTGCAGCCTATGCCTTACAATGGAACCAAGTTCGTAGTCATGCATACAACTTCCTTGTCAAATGGGAAGCTCATATTTCAGAACTGCATGCATACCTGCAAGTCCCCTGGATGCCTGATCACTGCTACTGGACTCTCAAGCATGCTCTGCCATCTGACAGAAATGCCTTATCTAATTCGGTGTTGATCTTACATGAACAACTTCATGGCAGAGAACAGACAGCCAAGAGTGTTGCCAACATCCTATGTCAATATTACAAGCTGGTGGCTGACAGTATCCCAGTGAATCAACACCACATGATGGAGGAGTCAGAGCTCAATGCCCTGCAAGCTGCCACCTTCATTAACTGCTGGGCATGCGGCAAGCTCGGGCATGCAGCCAATCGCTGCCTGAATGAAGTTGCTCATGCTCAATGGAGAGAAGAAAAAGTCAAGGTGCCACCAAAGAACCGAGCTAATACATTGTCAGAGGTTGCGCACCCAAAACCTGATATCTGTAATAGAATCGTGTCTATTACGAATCCTGTCAAGATATGTGGTAATGTCTTGTGTATTACAATTTCTATCAAGGTATGTCATAGATAAGCCCTTATGACTTTTCTTGACCAAAGAGGTAGTAGTGAGTTTGCTATGACAGGTTTCAACTGACCACTGTGGACACTCCATCGAGAGGTAGCTCGGCACAATCAATAACAATGAATATATTACAATGACACCAAGGTCTGGTGTGAGTATGCTTGCTGGTGGCACTGACATGAGTGTCCAGTGTGCTGACTGATTGCTTGAGGTGATCCCTGGACTGTGTCATGGGCCTGGATGCTCAAGAAGCAGGAGGGTCACTGGTTCATATGGAAGGAGCACAGGTATCGAAGATCTAGTCGATACCAGTAGAGAGCATGGTCGTAGTGCAGTCTCCATGGAGACCATGGACTTCTACGGACTCACATGCAAAGGAGGACCGAGCCATATGCGAGGAGGGCCAAGCACAGCCATGAGGAGGACCAAGCTCAAGGAGCAGGCACAGCCACGAAGAGGACCAAGCTCAAGGAGCATGCAGATGGTTACCACTCAGGGGCTCGAGAGACCAGAGCCAAAGGAACTGTCACTGATCAAAGGAGAAGGAGCAGTGTCGAAGGAGTCGACACCAGGTCATAAGGAGGAGGAGCAGTGTCGAAGGAGTCAACACCAGGTCATGAGGAGGAGGAGCAGTGTCGAAGGAGTCGACACAGCTCAAGAGGCACAGGGGTGCCAAGCAGGAGAGGCCCCTGAGCAGTACTCAATGAAGAAGGTACTCTCTGGAGAGAGAGCAGGAGCAGCATCACTGGCGATGCTGTGAAGAGGTATATAACCATGCTTTCTCATCATCATAGGTCGAGTGGATCCTCATCCACTCTACTCACCATACAACTAGTCAATACTTTAGAAACATAAGTACTCATTAGTTACAGTCAGCATAGCAGCAATCTATCAAGGTTGCTCCTCATTGTAGTGTGTGTGTTGTATCACCACTACCTGACATCCATAGGTGCCCCATAGCAGGTTAGCAGTCTGGATATAGATAGAACCAAAGGCAGTAGTCCACTGTGGTCCAGGGATCACTTCAAGCGTCAAAGTCAACACACTGGACACTTGTGTTGACGCCACCAACCTCATCACCAACACCATCAACCTCATTATCATCAACACTCACCAACCTTATCACCAACCCCATCAACCTCATCATCATCAACACTCACACCAGACCTTGGTGTCATCATAACTGAAGCATCGATATTGATCATGCCAAGCTACCCCTGAATGGAGTGTCCACAGGGGTCAGCCAAAACCTACAATAGTATATACAATGAACGCCACCTGCTGTCACTGTGCAACTTGATAGTCACCAATACCGAGACAATAGCTGTTGCACAGTTTGATAGTCACTGAGTATCTCGACAGACCGACCTGGGTTTCAGGCGCGAGACCCCTGACACTATGATCATGTCATCGACGTACGCTGTGATGACTGTGATGTTGTCTCCAGTTCCTCTTGCATACAAGCAAGGTGTGCTTGGCATACAATGAAAACCCATTCTTCGAAGGTGTGAGTCCATCTCAGTGTTCCACTCTCACCCTGACTGTTTTAAACCATATAATCCCTTTATTAGCTTGAGAACCTTTCCCAGTGGCATCTTTGTTCTGACTGGTGGCTTCAGGTACACGTTGTGCTGTAAGATTGAGTTGAGGTATGCTTGTTTGACATTGATTGAATCTACCTCCCAATCTTGCACAGCCGCCACAGCCAACACTCCTCTGATTGATTGAATCGGTGCCACTGGTGCAAAGATTTCAGTATAGTCAACACCTTTTCTCTGAGTGAATCCCCTTGCAATGAGTCTTGCTTTAAACTTTGTGGGCACCAAGTTTGCATCCGTTTTCACTTTGAGTACCCATTTGGTGTCGACAGTATTCATGCTGACTGGGAGATCCATCACTTCCCATGTGCCCATAGCCTCTAAACCCTCGAGCTCTTTTTGCATTGCCTCCTCCCACAGCCTTTTGTCTGGGCCTGCCATTGCCTCTCAGATGGTTGGGTTTAGGTTTCCTTCACCTTTGTTGTCCATGGCTGCAAGTCCGAAGGACTCGCCATTTGTCCACCCTTCAAGGTCTTGGCCTTCGTTTGTGTTCATAGTCATTTCCATGTCCATGTACTCATTTTGTGGTTCCTGGTCCATTTCATCAAATAGATTCACTTCTGAATAACCCAAGTTTTCAGCATCTTCTTCATTCATCATTGTTTGCGGTGATTGAACTTTTATCGGTTTCCACTTGGTCTGGTCCAACCAGTGTTTGGATTCCATGAACTTCACCAAGTTACTCCAGAATATACTTGGTTGATAGTCTGGACTATAAAATAGCCAACCTTTCCATTCCAGGCTGTATCCTATGAATATAGCTGCCACTGCTCATTGGTCCAAGTTCTTGTTGTTTCGCTTTGCCTTTGGGATGTTTACCCAAGTGAGACATCCAAAAACATGGAGAAGTTGCATGAGTCATTCGGGTGATTTGTTGAACATCATCTTGTATGGGAGCTCATTGTCAGTGTTTGGAGTAAGGTTTATCTTGAATGCCGCTGCCCTGATTGCATATGGCCAAAAAGTCTTTGGTAGTCCATGTTGTACCAGTAAAGTATGCATCTTCTCACTCAAGCTTCTGTTCATTCACTCCACCCTGCCATTTTGTTTGCTATTGTATCCCACTGTTGTTTGCCACTCTATTCCTTTGTCCTGTGACCATTCAAGAGCTTCATTGCTCCTCCACTCTGTTCCTTGGTCTGATCAGATTGCTTTTAGGCTCCTGTTGGTCTGTGTCTCAAGGAACAAGATGATTCTCCTGAGCTCTGTGAAAGCTTGGCCACATGCAAGAGGGTGATGTAACAATTGAGTTCATCAGAACAACAAACAATGTAGCAGACATCTTGACAAAACCATTGCAGGGCCTCAACATCTCTTGATTAGCTAAGATGATAGGATTGGAGATGCTGCCAAGGGGGGGGAGTTGAAAATGTGTCAGCATCTCAAGAAGAATGCATGAGACACAGCTGAGACACTGAGGGACTGGATGCATGCATAAGTGATGAAAACAATGAAGTACATGGAAGTTGGCATGACAACGACTCAGGGGCATCACAGAAAACAACAACTCAGGAGGCCACAGAAGAGGTGACTCATCAGATTTGGACATGACTAAAAGGTAGCAACAAAGTATATATATGTGTTTGTTATTATGATCCATACAGTAGCAATACTAAGCATTACAAGAAACATATGACTGTGGTAAGGGAGCCTGATTGTGGCCCCAATAACGGCATATGCTAATTGTTATCTTCAACTGAAACACACCTCCTCAATGTGACTGTGGAGAAGAACGGGAGAGGAAAAAAGGACTCGACTCAACTCGGCTTGACCGAAGCTGACATAATCCCTCATGTCACCTCCTCGGCTTCGTCAAGAACGGTTTGCCTCCCTCCAACTCCACCCACGGTAGCTCGCAAAACGTCTTTAGAATCATTAGCTTGTAGGGAACCTTGTCATATGGCGTTACATTGTTGACGGGCCTGCTGTTGAAACATAAGAAGACGTGGCAGAGCTCTTTAGAACGTGAATCGCCTCTACACAGCTCGCAGCCTTTCGTAAGCTGCTTCACCACTCGCAACGTGACCTGCCACTGATACGACAATGTCCAAGATCTGCTGCACTTGGTCCAGGAAAGCTTGATCCTCGGCAACGACCTGGCGTGACCACCTCTTCTCGACTGTGTCCAGTCGTGCTGTCACTTCAGTCTTCTCTGCTAGATCACCCATGTGGTGATGTAGTCGAAGCATGTAGTACAGAATCTGCGTTTGTAGCCCGAGACATTCAGCTCGGTCAGCATCTGTCGTTGAAGTGCGAGAAGAAAAGAGTACTGCCATGTCAGTCATTTGTATCGACGTAATCTTGTCGGGCTTCAAGCATACTCACCCTTCTCCGCCTCTTGCATCCAACGTAAAACTCTCGTCAACTCTTCGCTGTTCTGCTTGTCAGTGGATGACAGCAGGATACGTGCGTACGTCCACTGTGCACGAGATCGAAGCTCAGCGTCCTCGCTAATGAGACAAACCGACAGATCCGCCTCCATGAGCAATCGCGCTCCATCCGGCATTTTGAGATGGAGACCCAGTGTCTCAGCTAGCTGCACCCTTGCACTGCATATCAGCCGATGACAATCCATTTCCTTTGCAATCGATAGACTTGCCAATGTCGGCATCAAGGACAAGGTTGGTTCGCTACTCTTTGCTCGTTGAGCGGCTTTACGCAGGAGTGCTTCCGCAGCTTCTTCGGCCGTGAGCCGACTGAATGCTTTGAGTTGCTCCCCAAAGGCTTTTTCGGCCGCACTTGATCTGCCAGATTCAAGGTATCGGAGGGCGAGCTCGACGAGAGCGCTCGGTGTATCGACAGCGTCTTCGATGTCGCAGCCGTCCATCGCTGATTCGCGTGTTGGCAGGTTCTCCGCAAGGAGACGGAGGGCAGCTTCGTCTTCTCTTCTAATAGCTCGCAAACGCAACACATCGCCGATGGCATTGTGCCAGGTTGTGTACTGGCTGACGGGAATGCCATGGTAAGCTTTTGTTGAGACCAATATGGTGAGCGCCTCTTCGTACTGACCTGCTTGTGCGAGCCTTTTCGCTTTGCGACAGATGCAGTCCATCCGAGTCTCTTCCTGCGAAGCTGAGAGAGTATGGTCGTCGACGTCGAAGTGTGCGCGATTCTGGTAGACATCCGCGAGCGATGGTTGACCGAGCAAGCTCCACAGGTGAGATACTTCGGCATCCTGCTCAACGGCGTCTCGGCCCAAACGTCGCTTGGCATCATTCATCAGCTCCAGTGAGGCCTCGGAAGCAGCCAAAGCTTCTTTGGATGGCTGCGTGGGCGCAAACTCGTTCTCAAGGTTCTGCAGTACTTCCACTGCTGAACGACCTCTGGCAAGCTCGCAGCGCACTTTCCACACCGCATCATTGCATGTAGTGCGACTTTCTCCGCTGCTGAAGGCTTGCGACGATGCTGGCACCGATGCAAGGACGCTTGTACCTACGCCTTGGATACGATGCATGAGGCTCTCGCATGCAGCTATGCAATCACCGTCGTTGGCGGAACGGGCAAGACTGATTGCCTCGTCAAGTGCAGCCTTGGCTGCAGAGAAACTTTCGGTCTGAAGATGGAAGGCGGCAAGGTGCAGCAAGGTGTGCTGATGAAGCTCCCTGTCGGCACCTGGAGCGTAAAAATCGAAGAATCTCTCCATGTTGTCCTTGGCCATTGCGTAGTCGCCACGAAAAAGTCCGAGCTGGTAATCTCGGAAGGCAGTTAGTCGAGCGTCCGATAGTGGAGATACATCCATCTCGTTCAAGTCGTAGTCAAGCGAGGCAGCCAAATGACCCTCTCTCCAGGCCCGTGCGGAAGCAGTCAAGTGATCCCTTGCTTGGAGGTCGAGACTGTCGAATACCAGCTTCATGCGGCGAAAGAAGAGACCAAAGAATGAGCGCCGCTCAAAAAAGATATCGGTGGCGTTGAGCATGCCCGTAGGTTCGTATGTCGGCATGATACGGTTGAGCTTCTCGTTGAACAATTTCGTGAGTCCGTCTGGTACATCGAGAAGATGGAACATGCCATCGAGGTAGTCGATCATGATGCGGCAATTGTCTTGTTCTGCCTCCATGGCTGCTCTGAGCTCGTCGACATATGCTGAGTATGAGGTAGAAGGTGGGCGTGTCTGGTAGATCTTGTCCATGAGGAACAAGAGCAGCTTCTTGCGTGAGGTCTGCGCTTCATCGTTGAGCTGAACGCGGCAGTGAAAGTTGAACAGGATGAGGATGGCAATGGTCTCGCCATTCATCTCGTCTGGCGGTGTGAGATTGACGTCCATCTTGGGGGCAATAGGTGAGAAGAGGGCCCTTCAACAGCCACGGTCAAAGTGATGTTTAAGTGCTGTTCCAAGACCAACAGATGTCGAGAACAACACTTTTGGTTTGGCAACGCGTTCTGAGTGAAAGGGTGCATCTGCTGCTATGCTTCAGAAGACTGACGCTCTGCAGGAAAATCAATCCGTCCAGGCTGATGGAGTAAGGACCATTATTCCTCCACTTTTGGCTCTGTTACAGCTGCCAAGAGAAATGCCGAATGGCGAATTCTCGGAAATCGGTCTTGGGAAAGTTGCTGCGCTTTTGTGCTGTCGGAAGCTGCAGGAAAGAGTTTTTGCGTCCAATTGTGCTGCAGCTTATGGTAGCATCATTGTAACGAACACCATCTCATCACCACACTACATCATACCTGAACGATTCATCAGTTTTTGGGTTTTTTTTTTTTTTTTTTTTTTTTTTGGTCGACATTCCAGAATGGCTTTCTCAGAAGACACCAAGGTGAGTGATAACTGCTTAATGACACTGGTCGGACCCGTTCCGACGAAGACGGCGATTGCGAGGCAAGGTAAAAGGAACTGAAGGAGGCAGGGGAGCCAGTGATTCTCTTGCTCTTTGTCTTTCTTTTCTCTGTCACAATCGCCGCAATCTGTTCTGGACAAGCACTATAGCTTGAATACTGACTTTCAGCCCTTCTTTGCTGCTACACTTTCTTCTGAAATCACTATCCGATGATTTCCAGGAGCGAATTGTCAAGGCGGTCGACGTTTCCAAAACTGTCCTGCACTATGGCTGGTAAGTCCTGCTCCCGTCAATGCTGCGCCCAAGTCGATCGGTGACTGATGAATTTGTATCTACTCTTCGACTGTCACATGTGATATGACAAAGGGTTCCTTTTGTTCTCTACATCGGATTCACCCGAAGCACGCCACAGCCAAGCTTGATCAAGTGAGTGACACTGATTCACGGCACATCCGTTGGCGCATTGCCGTTGCCCTTGTTCTCGCAGACCACTGATGAATCCTTCTTTCTTCTCTCTGTATATCGGATCAATGCCGACTCTTCGCATAATCTTTTCCTCTCCGACGCCCTTTCTTTTCTGGTCACACGTCAACAGGCTGATCAGCCCTCTCGCCTGAACAGAGCATGTCTAAAAATCGGCACTTCCGAAACTATCCTTTCATGCTTCCCACACCAAAAAAAATAACCCCCCCCCCCCCCCCCTGGCTTGACGAGCGCAGCATTTCGTCTCTGTATAATTATCGCTCAGTTCAGCTGCCTCGGCTGATGTGAACAATCTCCACCCCTTTCCACTGACAAGCCAAAGCACAGTGTGTGCCTTTGAATCCAAAAGCGCAGCCTGTCGATCCCAGCAGGGATAAATAACTGCTGCTCTCCTATGTTCGTTCTTGAGACACGATTCCCTCCCTTGCTCGGTCAACAGCCTTTCATGACTTACCTATCTCAATCCAGCAAGTCGTTACATCACAACACCTAGCTTTTGACCATAGCATTTGCATTCGAGTCCTCCAGCCACCATTCCCGTCGGCGTCGGAAGATATTCGAGCAATCTCAACGCTACTTCCTCCGATACTCTTGACAATATCCCGCGATCCAGAAGCATTTATGACAAGATTGAGCTCCCATGCAGCGTCGGGGAGAACCTACGCAAGTCGAAAAAGGATTCTGACCCAGCCCTCTGGACCGACCCCTCAGCCCGCACCCGTTGGTGCTTCGTCCGGAGCTTCCCACTCAGCAAGTTTCCGCAATGGCCCGGTCTCCAATCGAAGTTTCGAAAATGCCGGTCACTCCAACGACTGGGCCGTTCCTGGCACTCAGGCACAAGCAGTGAACCAAGCATATTCACATCAACCAGCTCCATCACTCCAGGGCGTTCAGAGAGACTTCTCGATCGTAGCACAGAGCAACACCGTTCAAACAAGCAGTCAGAGCGAGTTTGCCGTGCGGCCACGAAGGACTGTCTCGCAGAGCCGACGAGGCCAATCCAGTGGCGAGCCTCATCTGAATGGACATGGTCACATGGTTGCTGCTGAACCTTCAAACACACACGTCAGCGAATTCCAGACGTCCACCTTTCTTCCCCACGCTCATAACCGCCCACCAAGCTGTGGCGTGACACATGCGGACGAAGGGGCGCCTACATCCTTCAACGCGCAGCAAGATAGAGCCAGAACGGCTCCTGACGCAAGGCGTCATGCTTCCAGGGGGCCGGACAATTCAATTCAAGCGCAGCCAATCTCTCTCCAAGGGCAACCCCTTTCTTCTGATGCGCAACACCTTCATCCCAGCAGGCTGCCCACTCCTCGCGAGGCATCACGTCCTCCTTCCCAAAAGCTGCGCACTACTGTCGAAGAGCCATCTCCTTCTTTTCAGCAGCAGCGAGCGATCTCGAGGGAAGGGACTACGGGTACCCGTAATGATGCTGATCCAATTTACACGCGCCTACGCAAATTCCTGGTAGACGCCAATGACTTTCTTCAAAATATTACAGACGCAGGCGAGAAGGTCATAGACTCCTTTGAGGCCTTCACGGAGGAGCACGGAACCATCGGCGATCTCAGATTGGATATTCTTCAGTTGCAAAAGGATTTGGGCAAAACACTCCGCGAAGAGATTGGTAAGTTTGAAGTTCTCGTTCAAAGGCGAGGCAAAGACGACTCCTTGAGGCATCAGGGCTGTGGTGACACATGGCGATGGTCAGGATTTTGGTTCATCAGCTCATCTAAAACCTTGACTGTTCTGGCCTTTTCAAACGATAGCGACGCAGCGACATGAGACGATGAGAGACGTGGAAGACATAGTGGGGAAAGTCCTCCAGACGTTCTGGGTCTCGAAAGTCCTCCCCGCCCTCGAGACGGTCAAGAGATCCGTCGAAGGCATTGAGAGCAATCTCACTCGCATCCAATCAGCTGCTGAGACGCGGCATACAGAGGTGAGTTGCCGATCTCTTTGCACTGTTGCTCTGAACACAATGACCATCAATGTCGAATCGAAGTCTTGAGCTCGTTTGTCTGACCTCCTCCATCTCTCTGACGCTTCACTCTTGACTTGCTGCAGCTGAAGCTGTCCGTTGAGAGCCTCCAAACCTACGTTGGCGAAAAATTCGACAAGCTCAAAGAGAATTTGGAAGACTTCTCCAGCAACGAGCGTCGGGCACGTCAGCGAGACTTTGATGATTTCCGGGATCTACTCCTCAGAATGCAAATTCGACAATTTGTAGATCAAAGGGAAGATCATGGCCAGATTGCTCAAGCAGGCTTGCCGTCTGCAAACCGTTCCCGTGGTCGATCGCAGACGGCTCGAGAATACCCTACAACGGTTCAACAAGGCCACGTAGCGACCGCAAGTGGCGCACAACGGGCGATCGTTGACCGGAGGAACGCTGTGCCAACCCTGGCGCAAGCGCCTGATGCTACGACTCGGATCCTTGAGCATGAGCTTTCTGATGAAGATGATGTCTTGAGCTCAGCAGATGATGATGCACCGCTTGATCAGCTGATCCGGGAGCGCAAAAAGCATGTTGCAGCACCTGTCGAGGAGAACGAGACCAGCAGCGGTGCTGATACACGCTCTCCCTCACCGCCGCTGCCGCCGCCGCCCAAGAGGAAACGAGGCCGAACTCCCAGCGTCAAACCGATTACTCAGCACGTCGATGGGTCAACGCTGCAAGGCCGACCTGCACAAACGAACGTCGACGCCGGGCCGTCTACGACGAGGGCTGAACCGAGGCAGGCAGCGCCATCTACCTCGGCCCAGGAACCGGGCAGTAAGAGGCCTCAAAGCAGACCTCGCAAAAACACGAATCTTACAAGCAACGAAGGAGAAGGCGAAGCTTCGTCAGTGGCAGAGCCCGCAGAAGAGCGAGCAGCACGTCCAGCGACGGGACGAGCTGTTTCACGAGGAAGACAAAGGGCTACATCCGTGAGCAATTCGAAGCGCAAGCAGCGTGATGATGACGAGGACACCGAGTATGTAGCCCGAATTAAGACAGGCGAAGTGACCAGAGATGCTGGGGCGTCGGAGGATCGCCGTTACCCAAGGCGAACGCGTAAGCAAGTGAACTATGGGCTCTAAGACCTGTTTACCTCGGCAATGATGTGGTTGGACACGCATACCTTTTGTACCACTCTTTTCTTGTTCATTCATTCATTTTGACTGCACCTATATCTATCTCTACTGCCTTGATGAGGTCTCGCCATTGAGAAATGTTTCTAGGATGTTGCTCTCGAAGCAAGGGTGCCTATAGTCAGATCCGTTGTTGTCTGAGTTCAATTCTGTCTTCCAAGTCAAACACAACACTCATGTATACCTGCGCCGACAACTATGTACCAACTGGTCGAATGCCCGAGTGGTTATGGGGCTGGCTTCAAGAACTTTATGATTTCTTGGCCACGTTATGGCAAACACCTCCAGTATATCCTGGGTTCGAATCCCAGTTCGACCAAAATCGAATCACGCCTCGGTGGGACTTCTGCCTTTTTTGTGGCCACCACGAACGCGGATTTATGAGGGAAACGCCCTCACCAAATTTGGACCAAGATCGATCAGACAATGGACAAAAAATGGCGTTCCAAGCGATTCTGTAGATGATGGTTTCTGACACTCATCAAGAACCGCCACCTGCGACTCCAAATCACACTAAGCACCCCTCTTACGGTCCTAATACAATCTTCCTGCCCATACTATATGCAAGCCAACATTCTATCTTTGTGGTCTCAACGATGTCTACACGTCTCACAGCAACTTGCATCGATACTCAGCATGCCTCTGGCCAAAATGTGGTCCACTTTCGACAGACTCCTGCCGTTTTTCTGGCAACCACCGACTTTCAAGCGACGCTGGGGAGCCCCCGCACCATGCAATGGCAAAACCAGCACTCTTACGAGCCCTTTGATCGTGCCAAAGACCTGTATGCTATGTCTCTGACACCACCTGTTCGCGACAAGCCTTCTCCTCGCCTGTCCCCACCAAACGGCCACACGCAGGTTCCTTGTCCGGAAGGCACAGCCACGAGGCCCAGCCACATTGACTTTCTACCCCCCTTTGTAATGAAGGTACCACATCCCCTCTTCTCGACGATCCAGACCCACCTAGTGCCTGTTTGCTCCGACCTGACTGGCCTCTGTCATGGGAATGGGGAATGCACAAGAAGAATTAGATTCATATGAAGGAACCATGTGCAGCCATTGTGGATCAGGCAAAGGAAGAGTTCCAACAGAGCTCAGCAAGATTGGTAGGATTGAGGACTCTACAACATAACTTGTTGGGATTGGCAAGAGCAAAGGTCTTGTTACATAGTTTGGCAGGATCAGTAGTACCATGCTTGTATGACAGATCTCATGGAGACTGGTTTGAAGATGCTTCTTCCATCAAATCCCACAGTAGCAAGACAATAGACAGGGAAGGGGCTGTCACTTGATGAGGTAGGGGCCCTACATGATGATGGACTTGTCAAAGAGGATGGGTGATATGAAGGAGGGGGCAATTCACCACTCAGATGAAGTGGGAGTGGCCCCTATCAAGGATGAAACAGCACAAGGTCTTCCCATACACAAGGAACAGGGGAAACAGTGCTAATAGGGAGGGGACATTGTAGACAGGATCAGTAGGAGAGACAACAGGGGGAGGAGCAGTGTCAGAGGAGGTCTCCTAGAACAGGAGCTGTGTCACAGGCAACACTGCGAGAACATCCATATAAGCCACACATGTTCCCCATCATAGTAAGTGAGTGGAGCCTCATCCACTCTACCTTACTCTTTACTAGCTATAACTTTCATACACATATATTTAGTAGTTCATCAACAGTAGCAATTGCAGAGCATTACTTCTATCATAGCATGTGTGTTGTATCACTGCTTCTTGACACCATCCAAAGGCAGTACATACTGCAGTACATACTGCAGTCCAGACATTGATCAACACCAAAGGCAGTTCACACTGTGGTCCAGCTCTCTTGATCTCATACCAAAGGCAGTCATCCACTGTGGTCTGGGGATCAATCAATCAATCAGTCAACACACTGGACACTTGTGTCAAAGCAAACACAATCACACCAGACCTTGGTGTCACCTCAGATAAACTATTGAACATTGATCATGCCGAGCTACCTCTGGACAGAGTTGTCATGGGACCGGATGCGCAGGAAGCAGGAAGAACTGAATCATATGAGGAGAGGCATGTCAGCGGTCATGCACCTGAAACCTGAGATCGGTAGTAGTATCGATACTATTACCGATTCTGTCGAGTTATGCAACAGCACTTGTGGTATTGTGATTCCTGGTGAGATATGCAGTAGAGCCATCTCTATTACTTTTCTCGCTCAAATCTGTAGTTGTATGAATGCTATTGCAGATTTCGACTGACCACTGTTGGACACTCCATCCAGAGGTAGCTCAGCACAATCAATAACAATGTGAACTGGTACTGACACCAAGGTCTGGTGTGAGTGATGTGCTTGGTGGTGTCAACATGAGTGTCCAGTGTGTTGACTATGTGCTTGAGGTGATCCCTGGACCGCAGTGGACTACTGCCTTCAGTTCTATCTTATCTGGACTGCTGGTTTGCTATGAACCACCTTCAGACATCAGTGAGTGGTGATACAACACACATGCTTCAATGAGGAGCAATCTACTTGATTGCTGCTTGCTGACTGAAAACTAATGTACTTATGCTTCTGAAGTAATACTAGTTTATATGGTGTGTAGAGTGGATGAGGATCCACTTGACCATTTGTGACAAGAAGGTATGGTTTTATACCTCTTCACAGCATCACCCATGACGCTGCTCCTGCTATCTCTCCAGAGAGTACCTTCTGCGTCGAGTACTATACAGGAGTCTCTAAGGAGACTCCTCCTCCTCATTGATCTGTCCCGTCTGCCCTTCCTGTGCTGTGTCGATTCCATTGACACTGCTCCTTCCCCTCATCTCTTCTCGCTGGTGTCTCTTACACAGCTCTTCTTCCTTTGGCCAGCAATGGTCCTCCTTTACTCCTATCTTGTGTGCCCCCTAAGTGGTAACCAACCGTGTGTTGCTGAGCTCGGTCCCCCTCTTGGCAAGTCTTGGTCCTCGGCCTGGTGGAGCTTGGTCCCCTTCGTGCATGAGTTTGGTCCATCCTGCATGTGGATTGTCATACAGATGTCCTTGTTACTGATCTCTGTGGAATCTGCCACATGATCATGCTTGCTGCCGATTCTGGCAGGATTCATGATATCAATGATGCTCATGCCAATTTCGTTGAGATCTGTCATAAAGCAGATTCTACTGCTGATCTCAGTGAACTCTGCCACAAATCCTACAGTCTGCCCGATCTCTTGATTCCTGCGCTACCTTCATATGAACTTCGGTCTTCCCTTGTTCTGCGCAGCCAGGCCCATGACAAGGCGCAGGAATCGCAGGATTGGGCAAAAACAAGGGTTTACAACTGAGTTCATTGAGATCAGTAGTAGAGAGGCTCTATGACAGGTTTCACCCAAATTGGTAAGAGTGGGATCTTACAACGAAGCCCACTGGAATCAGTAGTATCATGATCATACAGCAGATCTTGTGGAAACCAATGAGAGGACACCAATATCACAGATCTCACAATAGGATGGATGGTGATGACATCTGGGTCTGCCACTCCAATGAAGCAGGGGGCCTACTCAATGATGAACTCAGAGCAGGAGAATGGTGTCATGGGACCGGATGGATGGGCAGGAAGAACGGAACTCATATGAAGAGATCTGGCTCAACCATCATGGATTGGGTGAAAAGTAGAGTTCTGACAGAGCCCAGCAGAATCAGTAGGAACAATGGTGCTACAATGTAACCCATCATGATTGGTAGGAGTATGGGTCTTGTTATAGGAGTAGAATCAGCAGGGAAGTAGAGCTCTGACAGGGATTGGTAAGATTGGTAGGATCAACAACCCAATGACATAAATTGTTGTGATTGGTAGGAACACAGTGTCAGGGGTCTCGCGCCTGAAACCCAGGTCGGTCTGTCGAGATACTCGGTGACTATCAAACTGTGTGACAGCTATTGTCTCGGTATCGGTGACTATCAAGTTGTGCAGTAACAGCAAGTGGCGTTCGTTGTATATACTATCATAGGTTTCAGCTGACCTCTGTGGACACTCTGTTCAGGGGTAGCTCGGCACGATCAATATCAATGTTATGATGACACCAAGGTCTGGTGTGAGTGTGATGATGATGAGGTTGATGGTGTTGGTGATGAGATTGGTGATGTCGATGATAATGAGGTTGATGGTGTTGGTGATAAGGTTGGTGGCATCAACACGAGTGTCCAGTGTGTTGACTTGATGCTTGAAGTGATCCCCGGACCGCAGTGGACTACTGCCTTCGGTTCTATCTTGATCCGGACCGCTAACCTGCTATGGGCACCTTTGGACATCAGGTAGTGGTGATACAACACACACACTACGATGAGGAGCAACCTTGATAGATTGCTGCTATGCTGACTGAAACTAATGTATACTTATGCTGAAGTGATAACTAGTTATATGGTGAGTAGAGTGGATGAGGATCCACTCGACCTATGATGATGAGAAAGCATGGTTATATACCTCTTCACAGCATCGCCAGCAATGCTGCTCCTGCTCTCTCTCCAGAGAGTACCTTCTTCATCGAGTACTGCTCAGGGGCCTCTCCTGCTTGGCACCCCTGTGCCTCTTGAGCTGTGTCGACTCCTTCGACACTGCTCCTCCTCCTCATGACCTGATGTCGACTCCTTCGACACTGCTCCTCCTCCTTTGATCAGTGACAGTTCCTTTGGCTCTTGTCTCTCGAGCCCCTGAGTGGTAACCATCTGCATGCTCCTTGAGCTTGGTCCTCTTCGTGGCTGTGCCTGCTCCTTGAGCTTGGTCCTCCTCGTGGCTGTGCTTGGCCCTCCTTTGCATGTGAGTCCATAGGAGTCCATGGTCTCCATGGAGACTGCACTACGACCATGCTCTCCATGGAGACTGCACTACGACCATGCTCTCTACTGATCTCGACTAGATCTTCGATACCTGTGCTCCTTCCATATGAACCCGTGACTCTCCTGCTTCTTGAGCATCCAGGCCCATGACACACAGGTCCTATTACAGGGGTCAGTGGGATCAGCAGGATCACGTTTGCTACAACAGGCCTTGTGGGGATCAGTTCAAGAGAATCCTCTATCACCGATGTGGCAAGGGGATGACAGAGAACATGGGGAGGTCGCCATCATATGAAGCAGGGACCTTGCACAATCATGAAGTCGATGGGCACTAGCAACAAAAGGGAGATGAAAGGGGGCAGGTCACCACTCAGATGAAGTGGGAACAGCCCCTGATGATGATTGGCGCAAGGGCCATCCATCCATCCACAAGAAGAGAGGAAGATGGTGCCAGCAAGCAGCAGCTCAGCATGGATGGAAAATGGAAGGAAGGACGAGGAGGAGACATAGGGCTGAGGGGTCTCACAGAACAGGAGCAGTGTCATAGATGACACTACGAGGATGGTATATAACCATGCTCCTTGTCATAACAACTGAGTGGATTGCCATCCACTCTACACCATACATAACTAGTTATCACTTCAGCATAAGTATACATTAGTTTCAGTCAGTGAAGTTGCAATCAAGTAGATTGCTTCCATTGTAGCATGTGTGTTGTATCACCACTCACTGACATCCAAAGGCAGTTCATAGCAACCAGCAGTCCAGATATTGATAGAACTGAAGGCAGTCATCCACTGTGGTCTGGGGATCACCTTAAGCACTCAGTCGACACACTGGATGTCAGAGGTCATGTGCCCAAAACCTGATATCTGTGACAGGGATGTGTCTATTATGAATCCTGTTGAGATATGTGGTAATGTCTTGTGTATTACAATTCTTGATGAGATATGCAATAGAGATGCCTCTATTACTTTTCTTGCCTGAAGAGGTAGTAATGGTTTCACTATTGCAGGTTTCAACTAACCACTGTGGACACTCCATCCAGAGGTAGCTCAGCACACTCAATAACTGCTATGAACTGATATTAACACCAAGGTCTGGTGTGCTTGTGATTGCTGTCATCGACATGAGTGTCCAGTGTGTTGACTGAGTGCTTGAGTGATCCCTGGACTGCAGCAGATGACTGCCTTTGGTTCTATCTTTATCTGGACCACTGGTTTGCTAGGAACCACCTTTGGACATAAGTGAGTGGTGATACAACACATGCACTATGATGGAAGCAATCTACTTGATTGTGACTTTGCTGACTGTAACTAATGTATACTTAAGTGAAGTGATAACTAGTTGTGTATGGTGTAGAGTGGATGGTGATCCACTCACTTGCTGTGGTAGGGGACATGGTTATATACCTTTGGTGTAGCATCACCTGCAACACTGCTCCTCCTCCTTGTCCCCCTTAGGCTCCCTCTCCATCCTGCGATGCTCCTCAATGACACCGCTTCCTTGTCCCTTGTGGATGGATGGACCTCCTTGTCAGGGGTCTCGCGCCTGAAACCCAGGTCGGTCTGTCGAGATACTTGGTGACTATCAAACTGTGCGACAGCTATTGTCTCGGTATCAGTGACTATCAAGTTGCACAGTGACAGCAGGTGGCATTCGTTGTATATACTATCATAGGTTCTGGCTGACCTCTGTGGACACTCTGTTCAGGGGTAGCTCAGCACAATCAATATCAATGCTTCGGTTATGATGACACCAAGGTCTGGTGTGAGTGTTGATGATGATGAGGTTGATGATGTTGGTGATAAGGTTGGTGAGTGTTGATGATAATGAGGTTGATGGTGTTGGTGATAAGGTTGGTGGCATCAACATGAGTGTTCAGTGTGTTGACTTTGATGCTTGAAGTGATCCCTGGACCGCAGTGGACTACTGCCTTTGGTTCTATCTATATCCGGACCACTAACCTGCTATGGGGCACCTATGGACATCAGGTAGTGGTGATACAACACACACACTACAATGAGGAGCAACCTTGATAGATTGCTGCTATGCTGACTGTAACTAATGAGTACTTGTGTTTCTGAAGTATTGACTAGTTGTATGGTGAGTAGAGTGGATGAGGATCCACTTGACCTATGATGATGAGAAAGCATGGTTATATACCTCTTCACAGCATCGCCAGCAATGCTGCTCCTGCTCTCTCTCCAGAGAGTACCTTCTTCATCGAGTACTGCTCAGGGGCCTCTCCTGCTTGGCACCCCTGTGCCTCTTGAGTGGTGTCGACTCCTTTGACACTGCTCCTCCTCCTCATGACCTGGTGTTGACTCCTTCGACACTGCTCCTCTTCCTCAGGACCTGCCTGCTAGTGTCCTATACACTGCTCCTTCTCCTTTGACCAGTGACAGTTCCTTTGACTCTTGTCTCTCGAGCCCCTGAGTGGTAACCATCTGAGCTTGGTCCTCTTCGTGGCTGTGCCTGCTCCTTGAGCTTGGTCCTCCTCGTGGCTGTGCCTGGCCCTCCTCGCATGTGGCTCGTGTCCTCCTTTGCATGTGAGTCCATAGGAGTCCATGGTCTCCATGGAGACTGCACTACGACCATGCTCTCTACTGGTATCGACTAGATCTTCGATACCTGTGCTCCTTCCATATGAACCCGTGACCCTCCTGCTACTTGAGCATCCAGGCCCATGACACTCCTGTTGCCTCCTCTCCATCAGGGGTCAGTCCCACCTCATCTGGGTGGCAACTTGCCCCTTTTCATCACTCCCTGTTGGTGCCCACCTGCTGGTGCCCACTTCAATGCCATGTAACGCCCCTGCTTCATCTGGTGGCGACCCCAGCTGTACTTGCCACTACTCTATTTATTGTGCAATTCTCCTTGCCATTGATCTCTGCAGAATATGTCCTATGACCTTGTGTACTGCAGATTCTGGTGGGATTTGCAATACCATTATGGCTCATGCCGATCTAGCTGGGATCTGCCCTAGAGCCATTCCTTCTACAGATCTCAGTGAACTCTACTGCAAGTTCCATGATCTGCCCAATTCCTTGATTCCTGCACTCCCTTCATATGACTTGCCAGATCTTCCTGCTTTCTGCGCATCCAGGCCCATGACACTGGACACTCGTGTCGACGACATCAACCATCTCACTCACACCAGACCTTGGTGTCTTGCAATACATTCATCATTATTGATTGTGCCGAGCTACCTCTGGATGGAGTGTCCACAGCGGTTAGTCGAGACCTGCAGTAACAATCACATTATCACACCTATGGACAAGAAAAGTCATAGAGACTTCTCTACAACATACCTCAATAGAAATTGTAATACACAAGATGTTACCACATATCTTGACAGGATTCATAATAGACATGTTCTTGTCACAGATATCAGGTTTTAGGCATGGGACCTCTTGCAAATGGGTGAGATGAAGAAGGAGGCAAGTCGCCACTTGTAAGCGGTCGCGTGCCAGAGACCAGGTTGGGTGTTATCCAATTGGTATCAGTGGGATTAATTGAGTAAGATCTACTTGGTATGTTTCAACTAAATGTAACCAGACAGCTTCATACTGGTAGGTCTCAGCTGACTGCCTTGAACACTCCATTCAGAGGTTGTGCAGCATGTTTGTTGTTCTTTGGAGAGAGAGTGATACATACTCCTTACAGTATGAGTGTTCATAGTACTGTTGTTAATGCTCTCAGATGTTGTCTGGACTGCGATATGCTTATCGCCTACAGAGGATGGAAGTTACTGGACCACAGGTGTGGGACACTGCCTACAATAACTGACTGAACTGCAGGTGTCAAGCAACACTGCCTACAGTAAGGGACTGGACTGCAAGTGTTGAAGAACACTGCCTACAGTTGAAGAACTGGACTGCAAGTGTTTAGAGAACACTGCCTACAGTTGATGCCTAATGGTGATACAACACACACATTTGAGGGTCATTGCAAAGCACTGCTATTGCAATGATACATAACTAAGAGTCAAGTAAAGAGTAAGTAAAGTATGTGATAGAGTGGATGAGGATCCACTTGTATGCTATAGTAGAATGAGAGTATTTATGCATTCACTTGGTGTTGCCTGCCACACCTCTCCTACTCCTCCTGAGAGGCCTTTGCTGTCAGGGGTCTCGCGCCTGAAACCCAGGTTGGTCTGTTGAGATACTCGGTGACTATCAAACTGTGTGACAGCTATTGTCTCAGTATCAGTCTCGATGAGCTAGTCGTTTGGCAACTATCAAGTTGTGCAATGACAGCGGGTGGTGTTCATTGTATATACTATCATAGGTTTTGGCTGACCTCTGTGGACACTCCATTCAGGGGTAGCTCAGCATGATCAATATCAATACATAGGTTATGATGACACCAAGGTCTGGTGTGAGTGTTGATGATGATGAGGTTGATGGTGTTGGTGATAAGGTTGGTGAGTGTTGATGGTAATGAGGTTGATGGTGCTGGTGATAAGGTTGGTGGCATCAACACGAGTGTCCAGTGTGTTGACTTGATGCTTGAAGTGATCCCTGGACCACAGTGGACTACTGCCTTCGGTTCTATCTTGATCTGGACTGCTAACCTGCTATGGGGCGCCTTCAGATGTCAGGTAGTGGTGATACAACACACACACTATGATGAGGAGCAACCTTGCTAGATTGCTGCTATGCTGACTGAAACTAATATATACTTATGCTGAAGTGATAACTAGTTATGATGATTGTGTGTAGAGTGGATGAGGATCCATTCGACCTTTGATGATGAGAAAGCATGGTTTTATACCTCTTCACAGCATCACCAGCGATGCTGCTCCTGCTCTCTCTCCAGAGAGTACCTTCTTCATCGAGTACTTGTACAGGGGGCCCCTCTAGCACCACTCCTGTCCTCCTTGAGCTATCGACTCCTTTGACACTGCTCCTCCTCCTTGCTATCCTGCTTGCTTGGCACCCTTGTGCCTCTTGAGCTGTATTGACTCCTTCGACACTGCTCCTCCTTCTTGCTATCCTGCTTGCTTGGCACCCCTGTGCCTCCTGAGTGGTGTCGACTCTTTTGACACTGCTCCTCCTCCTCAGGACCTGCTTGCCAGTTACCTATACACTGCTCCTTCTCCTTTGACCGGTGATGGTTCCTTTGACTCTTGTCTCTCAAGCCCCTGAGTGGTAACCATCTGCATGCTCCTTGAGCTTGGTCCTCTTCGTGGCTGTGCCTGGCCCTCCTCGCATATGGGCTCGGTCCTCCTTTGCATGTGAGTCTTGTCAGGGGTCCATGGTCTCCATGGAGACTGCACTATGACCATGCTCTCTAATGGTATCGACTAGATCTTCGATACCTGTGGTCCTCCTTCCATATGAACCAGTGACCCTCCTGCTTTTTGAGCATCCAGGCCCATGACAAGGTGCACCTTGTTCTTGCTCTGTGTTGGATGGGTGAGTTGGAGAAGAGGGAAGAGAAACATCCCAGCTTCCAGCTTCAAATACTTTGTTGATGAACAACATGGCACACCAGTGTGATGAAGTAGTAAAGTTGAGGAGGTGAAGCAAGCAGATGTGCATCCATCTGCACATCATTTTGGAGAGTGACAAAAAAGTGAATCCATTTTACCAGGTCCAGAGGTGTGTTTTTAGAAACATGTGTTTTTCTTGACTTTGGGTGAGCTTATGTAAGGTTTTTGTGTGAAATAAAAACTCGTCAAAATCGAGAAACACGTATTTCTAAAAACACTCGAAAATTGATAACCCCTAAGATGCAAGTGTCACAGGCCTGTGCAGTTTCTTGGGGTGTCAAAAAATCGAGCCAAACATATTTTCAAAGTATTGTGTTTTCAAAACTCTGTGGATCACTGAAACCCCCTAATCCATGATGAAGATCTGCATTTTCTGACGAACGCTGTTGATACTTGTGTTGTTGGATGCGACAGGAAACATGATGCAAAACGAGATTGCAGCCCAGAGATGTTGCAGGAGTTGGGTCGCAAGGTTGGTGCACTGCGCCGCTGATCCGAGATGCTGCCGAGATGAAATGGCTTGTCGGAAGGAGCCTCAAACAGAAGACCACGAGACGTCGTATTGCCAACACGAAAGAGAAAGGGGGTCAAAATGGGCTGTCTCGTCAGCGTCACAGCAGAGCCACTTTAGTACTGCAAAAGGGAAAGCCACGGGCAAGGGTCTGGGAAGAAGAAGGGGATCAAGCGTTCACGACAAAGCCGAGGATGATTGTCCTGTCAATTTTGACCTTGTTGGGTGTGAACGTGGGGAAACAACCGTCCCGCACATGACCAGACGAGTGGTTTACTCAAGAGCCGGCATACTGTGCAGGCAGGCAATTCCTCGAGCGGGCGGAGATGAAAGAACTCAAGAGAGAAAGATAATCAACTGAAGACGGAGTGTTGGATGCAATCTCGATTTAATCAATTGAAAGGGAAAAAAGTGAGACAGGGTTGGCAGCTCGACAGCGGGATATGCTCGCACAGGTCAAAGCGCATGTGAGCATGTGTGCGTGTGTGTGTGTGTGTGTGTGACGCCTGCGTGACCCTCGAATTGCTGTAACGGGAATCATCATCTTGGCTCTTCGCAACCTTCCTATCTTCGTTTTGACACCCCCCTCCGAGCAGCGACGTGATCTACCGGTCCTGCTTTGATTCCGCCTCGCTTCGTCCTGATTCTTGCTCCGACTCATCTCTTCGAGCTCTTTACGTTCTCACAAATCGCAACATTCCCTCCGACGAACACACGCAACTACAACACAGCAAGTCTCGTACAAGAGGTGTCAGCTTCGATCAACAGCGGCGAACGCCTTGATTCCATACCTATGCATGTCTTCGCGAGCGCAACCAGGAGCTTCATTTCAGTAGTGGCCGCAACTCCTGCGTCATGGTGTCGACACTGAATATCCCCGAGAATGGGGGCCGTGCCTCGACATCGCAGCGAGGACAGGAGGCGATCGCCAACTTCTTTGGTCGCCTCTCCATCGACCAAAGCTCTTTGCGCGCCAAGCATGCCGAACCTTCACTGTCTAGCTACACTGGCAGCATGCGCAGGTCTTCTTCAGGCACTGAGCTCAATTCGCAACCTCATAGCGCCAATGGCGGGGACGGTGCGACGACAGCAGATGCTGCTCCATCCAAAACACCTCGTGTCTATTCCTCTTTCTCCGCTGCAAAAGCAGCTGCCTCTCGCTCGTCGCTCAACAAGCGAAGCTCTCAGGCCAGCATCCCGAGTAACGCTGCTGCCTCCCCGTCTATGAATAACTCGCCCTCCTTCTCCTCTCCTCGCACAACTTCTTCAGCCTTCGGAGAGACAGCCACTCCGACCGGTCTCGCCTCGTCTTCAGCGGCCAATAAAGGATCATCCTTCGATATTGCCTCCGCCAACCAGTATACACCTGGCTTCCTCGCTAATACTTTCCCTTGGCTCTCAGCAAGTCAAGCATCGCCTTCCAGGCAGTCGGAGACCTACGAACGCCCAACACCGTCAATGCAGAGTAGACTAGACGTACAGTCCAAGCACCACTCGCCCCCCGTCTCTCATTACAGCAAAGGCAAAGGCTTTGGCTACAATCCCAATGACCAACACAAACCACCCAAATCTAGTTCCAAGATCCGCCTCACCTCCAATGCTTCCAAAGCGGACACGCGCCAAAGCCGAGATTCCATCGGTCGAGGACAGGGGCTCACATCTTCTTCTGAGCTCGACCTACCTGAACGCATGCGCAGCCAGCGCAAAGGAGCTCCAGCGCCACCGCGTCTCTCACGGGATCCAATCGCCATCAGCATCGAGGAGGAGCTCAAACCTAATACAAGCGCGCAAAGGAACCAATCGGCGTTTTCACGGCTCGGGAGAGCCTTTCGCCGCAAAAGCAAGTCTGGCAGCGAGTTCAGGGCAGACTTTGGCACCTCCAGAGATGTGCCCCCATTGCCCAAGACTCCTCGCCGCGTTCCCAGCCAGGTTCTCAAACCCACCGACCCTTTCGCCGAAAAAGCGCTCAAAGCCAGCAGCGGCATCGTTGAAGTGGATCTGCTCAAGCCACGGCCGAGCGTCGACGTCAAAGGTAAGCAGAGACAAGTTTCCGATACTAGCACGGACGTGCGGTCGCAAAGAGGCTCAGTTGCTATTGTACCTATCATGAGGACAACAGGCACCTACGCCGAGGGCACGGATCAGCAATTAGCCGACCAAAAAGATAGCAATGTGTGTCTGACTGAGATGGAGCAGCCAGACAGCAGAGTTGCTGCAAGCGGAAAGGAAAGAGAGAGTGCTACCTCTGGCAACAACGCCAACGGGCAAGGAGCATTGTCAGCATTAGACGCTCGAAAGGCTAGCGCGGATGATCGGCACGGGGAAGACGAAGAAACAAGAGAGGTGGAAAGTGGACCACAGACCAAGTCGGCAGATTTTTATGCAGCTTCTCTCACCACTGACTCAGACTTCGCCCAGGCACGCTCCGATACGGCCAAGTCAACCCCTCGTGCCGCGGATGCATCCTCAAAGCGACCAACGTCGATGGAGTCTACCACGTCCAGCACGCATCGCAGGTCGCTTGCTTTCCTCGCCTCTGCCATCTCCTTGGGCGCCATAACAGCCGAAAGCGAGGGGGAAGCTGGACAGGCTGCGGACGGAAGCGACGGGCTGAAGGAATCGGACGCAGTTGACAAAGCAAATTCTGGCGCCACCAGGAGCGACGACCCGAATACCACCGCGCAACATTCTTTGGAACCTGGCTCGGCCACTGTTTCCGGCACTAACCTGACCAGCTCCGTGCCCAAAGACACCGTCCAGACCGAACAGACTGCACCGACATTCGCTTCCATGTCTCGCACGAAGAGTTCTGACCGCAGGCGCCTTGAGCCCAAGTCAGCGACGCCCAACGACCAGATTCCAAGCATTCCCACCGATTTCCTCAGCATGGATGCAGACATGTCTGCGAGGCAAGGCAAGGGAGCCAAATCGAAGGCATCCCACAGCCGAGCTCTCGATGACCCTACAGCTCCCGATCTTGATCACGACAACTCAGGTGCAGCCCTGAAGCGTTCTATCAGCGGCAAATCAGATAGTCGCAAGTCTTCGCACAGCACATCACCCAAGGCCACGCGTGCGACCAAGGGTGTCTACATGGCTCAAGCCGCTGGACCAAGCATGGGTGGCTTTGTTTCGCCCTTCTATGTGGCTCCTTTTACCTCGGTCGATGCAGGTCTTTCCAATCGTGCGACTCGCCCAACCGGACGCCGCGCTAGCAACAGCTCACGATCGGTCCACAGCGACGACTCCAGAAGTAACCACAGTGGACCCCGACGTGGCTCACACTCGCTTGCCGTTCCCGACAACGCATCTCGGGAAGGTCAGGACGGGATAGACGCAGCGCAGGCAGAGATGGACCATCCCGGACAGTCCAGGGAGTCTGCCACGTCCGAAAAAGCGCGAAAGGTCAAGTCGTTTGGCAATCTGCGCGCTTCGTCTAACGATCGGAGGGATGAGCCGTTGCCACGTGCCAGCACGCCGCGTCTGCCCTCACCCTCGGTTCTGATTGATGATACCGGCGCCGCCGGTCGATCCCGCGACCTCAATGATGCCGCTCCTAAGTCATCGAGCGCTTACGTTGCGACCGGCGACAGCAATTTGCAAGCTTCCAAGGACAGCGGCGTATCAACGTCGCAGAGCACCAGCCAACGTTTGTCACGTCGACCAAAGACCAGTGGAGCAGAGGCTGGCTTGGGCAGCGAGCGTTTAAGACTATCAACTGCGCAAGCTGGTGCATCTGCATCCTCTCGCAGAGGTTCCGGTCCGGGACGTGCTTCTCTGGACGATTCGGGGCTATCCTCCAAGCCCTTCTCATCGTCACCGACCGAGGCTGGCTTCGAAGTGATGGTATCGCGAGATGCTGCTTCTACGCCGGTCAGGCCACGTGGCGGGGGAGATCAGCCGCGAGACACGTCTACCTCTGAGAACACTCGAGACAAGATGCTTGGCTCGCGTCTTTCGAGCTCGGACTGCAGAGATAGCTCCAGACTTGGTCGAAGACCGAGCGAGACCAGCAATGGAGCCATGACGTCTTCGTCATCAAGGATCGAGACGCATGGGGGAGCTGCCTCTCTCTTCGGCAATCCAACCGCCAGACCACGCACTTCCTCTTTGCTTCCGTCGTTCGGCTTCAACAGGAGTCGCACAGGCTCCTCCGCTGGCCTTGAGGGCACCGGGAAAAGCCCGGGCAGCTTTGGCAATACCTCACGCTCCGCTTCCGGGGGCTTTTGGCGCGAGCCGGGCGACCCACTCACACCAGCTGCTCGAGGTGGAGCCACAGAAACCAACACTCTACAACAGGGCTCCAATGGAGCTAATCGATCACCTCGCGCTTCGTCGAGCTCGCGTCCCTCTTTCAGCAGGCAGCTCTCGACAAGCATGGCGCTTTCAGATGCCGAGTCCAAGCAGGTCTCTGTCAAGCCCGAGAAGAAGTTCTCATTGTCCGCTTTCTTGCCGTATGACGACGAAGATGCACCCGAATATGCAGAGCGAATCGCATCAACAGCACCCAAGACGCAAATCGCCGCCATCTTGGCTTCGAGTCCCGACTCTTTCTACGTAGAAGCCTTGCATCGTTTCATGACTCGCTTCTGGTTCAATGGGCTTCCCCTCGATATCGCCTTGCGTAAGCTTCTCATGGATCTGCACTTGCCCAAGGAGACCCAACAGATCGATCGAGTCATGGAGGCGTTTGCTAAACGATACAACGAGTGCAACAGCGGTCTCTTTGCTTCGGACGACCAACCTTACATCCTGTCGTTCTCACTCATGATGCTGCATACGGACGCTTTCAACAAGAACGCGAAAAACAAGATGACCAAAGCCGACTACCTCCGTAACACTGGCTCGAGCGGAGTGCCGACAGACATCCTCGAGTATCTGTTCGACAATCTGACCTTCACGCAATTCATCTACATCGAAGATGAGGAAGCTGGACGCCGACATCCATCCGAGGCTTCAGCCATGTCAATGATCGGTCCTGCCATGTCAAGCTCCCTCGCGACACAAGGAGCGAACGCAAACAATCGTACCAAGATCGATCCATACTATCTCATTACTCAGGGTCGACTTGGCGAGCTGCGTCCAGATCTGGAAGACCTCATCCCAGAAGACACTCCGTTCTCATATACGGGATCGCTGCCATCCTTTGATGTCGATAGGCTCAACTCTGCTTTCCTGCACGCTCCTAGCATCGAAATTGTCACCACGAAGAACGGGGGCGAGCAGTCTGGAAATGGAAATGCTGCTCTCACAACAGGCGAAGAGGAGGTAGTGTCGCTGAAAGTTACCAAAGTGGGCGTAGTCAACCGGAAGGACGACGTTTCGGATGGCGGCAAGAAGTCAGCCTCACGTAAATGGAAGACGAGCGGTCTGCTCTTGACTGGCTCGCAGCTGTTGCTCTTCAAGGACATCATCTGGATCAACGCTCTGCAATCGCAGATTGCAGACCAGGTTGGAGATTCGCTCGTTTGCAATGGCATCCCGACAGACGAACGGCCTGCGCAGGAAGTCGTAGAAGGTGGCGTTGTCATCTCGCCCCGCATCACCTACTTCCGACCTGACGGCGTCATCTCGTTAGCCGATGCTGTGGCGGTCAAAGATCATTCTTACGGTAAATATGACTTTGTCTTCCGTTTGCTCGCAGCCAAAGGTCGACAGTACCTTGTGCAAGCGCAGAGCGAGGATGACATGAATGACTGGATCCACAAGATCAACTTCTGCGCCAGCTTCCGGACGGCCAACATCAAGATTCGTGGCCTCGACCTTGCGCCCCGCATTGGATCTGGTGCTGCAACGCAGGACTTGAACAGTCTAGACCGAAGTGACACGATAGAGTCACGCTTCGGCCAACCTGCGCTCTCGCGCCCGTCGTTCTCCGATTCGGATCGAGGTGGCTCGAGAGGAATGGACGCGGATGGCAGTGGAAGATCAACACCAGTTCCCGATGACACTGGGGACCTGTCGAGGGACGGTCCTCTGCGATTAAGCGTTGATCCAATGTCGAGAAACAGCGAGAGCGATTGCCCGCCACGACCCCGCTCATCAGCTTCGCATCGCATGAGCCCGGCGTCTTCAGCGCTGCAGAAGCGTGCCAAGGCGCGTCACGAGCTTATGTTGACCAAGATCGCCGAGACGGAGGTGCAGCTGGAGCGTGCTACGGCTCGTCTTGCGGCCGAGATCCGTCTTGCGAGACACTTTGCCATCTTGACACCGTTCCTCAAGTCGACGCGAGATCGTATCGAGATGTCGGCTTTGCCCCTGTCCAGCCGCATTCGTGCGCTACGACTGGATGTGGCTAAAGCTGAATCGCGATGCAAGATTCTGCGATTAGATCTCGCTGCTGGCGGGAGAGTGGCTCGAGCGTTGCTGCCCAATGCGTATCTATCGTCATCGGCGATGCGTGCGGCTAACCAAACGCCTTCTGCTCAAGTCGCTACACCGCAGCTGCTAGAGTTGGGCATCACAGAGTCTCAGGCACAGTTTGAAGAGCTCTTTGCACCGATGAACAACGGGAGTGGCACCTACGATGCTCCCTCCAACACCTCCGTCTTGTCAGGAACGGTGACCAAGCCAGCATCGCATCAGAGGAATCAGATGAACCTCAACGCTGTATCCGAGCAACCAGCCGACGAATCGCCTGTCATGACCTCTCGACTCGAGCTGGCTGGAGAGCCACGATCACAAGAAGGGCAGAAGACGCGGGCTAATCGACCTTCATCGCCTTCGCAATCGGTCGCTTCCAAGTCTTCTGCAGAGCACCACGGCCGAAGTCAAAATGGTGAGCAAGGCGGTGCAGCAGACGAAGTTCCAGAAGATTGGGATCTGAGTCAAGTGGCAAGACCGGGTACAAACAGGATAAGTCTGGTGGATCTGCCTTCGCCCGATGAGCTGCAAGAGGCTACGGGTGGAAGGTTCCGATTTGGTTCCAGGGCAGGTGAGTCGATGTCATCCTAGCTTGTCCGGTGGCACTGTCGGCCAGTCAGCGACAGAGCAGCCCCACAATACCGCAAAGGCGGGGTTATCTTAGCCTGGTATCAATGATGAATGGAGGGGCTCCACAGGGTCCTAGCTATAGTACTTTTCGCGTCAATGTCATGGAATCGCTGCACAGCAACTCAACTGTTTTATACTTTGTGTCTCAGTCATTCGAGATCCTCACATCTGGCTTGCCGCTCGATGGGCGTCCAACATGTTCCGTGTTGCGTGATCAAAGATCATGCCAAGGCAAGCCGAAGTGTGGGGGAAGAAAGAAAGGTACACTCGGCAAGAAATGCGGGGAAGCCGAGATCGTAATTCTCGCGCGAGAATTCACTTCGGAAAGAGCGCAACACGCACGAAAAGTAGCTGGCACTCCTCGAGATCCGCCCAAGCCGTCCTGCCTTGACAAGCATGACCGGCTATGTCGGTCTCCCCATCTCATGGTAGGCAAGAAGATCTTGATCTTTAAACAAGTGTGAAATTTTTGATTGCTTCGGAATGCTCCAACACAGCTGATGGTTCATGTATAACGTCATGGTGGGCAATGTAGATCAAAGATGCTGAATGCTCGATACTCGATGATGTGAGGGTGGTGACAGGGTCCTGTTCAGATTGTGTAGGCGAGATGAAGGAATGAATGTGAAAGAGTGTGTGCGGAAGGGCTTTTCAAGATCGACGCAACCTTTGCTCGCCAGCTCCTCTCTCTGAGATGTGTGGAGTTGTGCAACCGGATCACGCGTGAAATCGTAGCCGGAGCTGAAGGCCGGATTCCAAAGGGCAAGAGAGAAGAGAGCAACAAAACCAAAAAAAGGGCGCTGCAACTCCACTTTCTCGAAGCGCCTTGTGTGTGTTGACCGATGACCCCGCGCTCGAGCGCTCAGGCCAACAAAGTCTCTGCACAAGCAACTCGGCCTGAAAATGCCGCCTGTTTGCGTCCGGTTAACCTGCCTCCTCATCCGCTTCGTCCGTGCTCGATTCACATGAGCCAGCTTAGCTCGAGTATTGGAGAAGCTGCCCATTCAAATACACACACTTCTCTCGACAACCTTTGTCTTCTCGTATCCTTCCCCTCCTTCCATCCCCATCGGAGCTACCTTCTTTCTCTCCATCTTCGTCCAACCGTGCGATCGGTTCTGCAACACAGCCAATACCCCCTTAAACGCCTGCATCCTTGCCCCTCCTCCATACGTCCCGCATCTAATCAACACCAACACCAAAACCACCCCATTCGATAGCCGGGTACTACGGCACAAAATACATCTCAACATGTCCGACTTCCCTTCCACAGAGAACGGCAAGATCTCGTTCAAGAACCGCGTTGTCGTGGTTACTGGTGCCGGTAACGGTCTCGGTAGGGCGTGAGTACAAGCAAGGTTTCCCAAGAAGCCGATCGCTCATCTCACAAATTGCTGAAAAATGACAAAACTGACAATCGTTCTCTCAATGATTTCACTGAACTCTCTCCCTGTGCAGATACTCCCACTTCTTCGCTTCCCGCGGAGCCAAGATCCTCGTCAACGATCTCGGTCCTTCTGCTAACGACAAGAGCAAGAAGGCTGCCGATGTTGTTGTTGAAGAGATCACCAAGGCCGGTGGTGAGGCCATCGCCAACTACAACTCCAACACCGAGGGTGACAAGATCATCCAGCAGGTGATTGACAAGTGGGGCCGTGTCGACATCGTTATCAACAATGCCGGTATCCTCCGAGACAAGTCGTAAGTGTTCCTTCTTTTTGCGCCGATCTACGGACCCCCGTCTCGGATCTCGCATGGCTTTTGGCTGCGAGGCATGAGCTAGCGAAACAGTGACTGACTCCCACTCTCTTTATTTCCATCAAACCCCCCTCACAGCTTCAAGTCGATGTCCGACAAGGAATGGGACCAGATCACCGCCGTTCACATCACCGGCTCTTACGCCTGTGCCAAGGCAGCATGGCCTCACATGCGCAAGCAAAAGTACGGTCGTATCATCAACACTTCTTCGGCTGCCGGTATCTACGGTAACTTTGGTCAGGCCAACTACTCTGCTGCTAAGCACGCCATGATCGGTTTCGGCAAGACTCTTGCCATCGAGGGTGCCAAGTACAACATTCTCTCCAACATTCTCGCTCCTGTTGCCGCAAGTCAGATGACTGCCACCGTCATGCCTCCCGAGATGCTTGAGAACCTTACTCCCGAGTACGTCGTTCCTATCGTCGCTTACCTCGTCTCTGGCGAGAACAAGGACGTTTCCGGGCAGGTTTTCGAGTGCGGTGCCGGCTTCTTCGCTCAAATCCGACGTGAGCGCAGCCGCGGCGTTGTCTTCAAGACCGATGACTCGTTCACCCCTGCTGCCGTCCGCGCCAGGATCGACGAGATTCTCGACTTTGACGAGAAGCCCGAATACCCCTTCCGCATCACTGATGCCAACCACATGGAGTTCCTCGAACGTGCCAAGGAGGCCAAGACCAACGACCAGGGTGAGGGCCCTGTCCGCTTCGATGGCAAGACCGTCCTCGTCACTGGTGCTGGTGCCGGTCTCGGTCGCGCTTACGCTCACATGTTCGCAAAGCTCGGCGCAAACGTCGTTGTCAACGACTTCCTCGAGAAGAACGCTGCCTCCGTTGTCGACGAGATCAAGAAGGTTGGTGGTAAGGCTGCTCCTGCCGTTGGCTCCGTCGAGGACGGCGAAAAGATTGTCAAGGCTGCCGTCGACGCTTTCGGCTCGCTGCATGTCATCATCAACAACGCTGGTATCCTTCGTGACAAGTCTTTCGCTGCCATGTCGGACAAGGAGTGGCACGACGTCATCAACACTCACTTGCGCGGTACCTACAGCGTCTGCCATGCTGCTTGGCCCATCTTCCAGCAGCAGAAGTACGGTCGTATCGTCAACACCACCTCGGCTGTTGGTATCTACGGCAACTTCGGTCAGGCCAACTATTCGACCGCCAAGGCCGGTATCATTGGTTTGACCAACACACTCGGTATCGAGGGCAAGAAGTACAACATCATTGCCAACACCATCGCTCCCAATGCCGGTACCGCCATGACTGCCACCATCTGGCCTCAGGAGATGGTCGATGCCTTCAAGCCCGACTACGTTGCTCCTATGGTCGGCTACCTTGCCAGCGAGGCCAACGAGGACCTCACCTCGAGCCTCTTTGAGGTTTCGGGTGGTTGGGTCGCCGCTGTCCGCTGGCAGCGTGCTGGTGGCCACGCCTTCAGCCACGGCAAGGCTCCTACTCCCGAGAGGATTGTCAAAAAGTGGGGTAAGATCACCGACTACGAGACCAACCCCTCGTGGCCCGCTACTCCCAGTGACTCGCTCGGCGATATCATTTCGAACTTCGGTAATGCTTCCGAGGAGGAGGATGATGATGATGATGACAGCGAGGGTGGCGCCGGTGATGACTACAGCGACCCTGAGGACCCCGAGATCGTTCAAAAGGCCAAGAAGGAGCCCATCGACGACTCTGAGTTCTCGTACGGCGAGCGTGATGTCATCCTCTACAACCTTGGTGTTGGTGCCACTGAGAAGGAACTCGACCTGGTCTTTGAGCAAGACGATGACTTCCGTGCTGTCCCCACCTTCGGTGTTATCCCTCAGTTCATGGCCAGCGGTGGTATCCCCCTTGACTGGTTGCCCAACTTCAGCCCTATGATGCTCTTACACGGTGAGCAGTACCTTGCCATCAAGAAGCCCATCCCGACCAGCGCTACGCTTGTTAACAAGCCCAAGCTCATGGAGGTCCTCGACAAGGGCAAGGCTGCTGCTGTCACCTCTGTCGTTCACACTCACGACAAGTCGAGCGGTGATCTCATCTTCGAGAGCCAGAGCACCGTCTTCATCCGTGGATCTGGTGGCTTCGGCGGCAAGAAGACCGGTAAGGACCGTGGTGCTGCGTCGGCGACCAACAAGCCACCTTCGCGCAAGCCCGACAAGGTTGTCACCGAAAAGACCACCGAGGGCCAGGCTGCTCTATACCGTCTCTCTGGCGACTACAACCCCTTGCACATCGATCCCAGCTTCGCTCAGGTCGGTGGCTTCGACAAGCCCATCTTGCACGGTCTTTGCTCGTTCGGTATCTCGGGCAAGCACATCTTCCGTGAGTACGGTGCGTACAAGGACATTAAGGTGCGCTTCACTGGCCACGTGTTCCCCGGTGAGACGCTCGAGACAAGCATGTGGAAGGAGGGCAACAAGGTTATTTTCACCACCCGTGTTGTTGAGCGTGACACCCAGGCTCTCGGTGCCGCTGCTGTCACACTCGCCGACGGGTAAAAGCTCTCCACTTGGCTTGGTTTCTGGTTCAGATTTGTTCGGAAGAAAAGTTCTCCATGATGATATTGTAGTATGTCTTCTCTACATGGCCTTGTGACTGTGTGTGACCGCGAAGACAACGTACACGTTCGAGTCTCTCAAGTGCCTTACCAGCCTGTCGGGTCACAATGTACCCTTCCGGTCAGGATCCAATCGGCTCAGCCGCAGCGCCGAATGCAAGGTTGAGCGCATAAGTAATGGAACTTGACAACAAGCAGGTGCAAACGTACGACGTCTGAGGTCGTGAGTATACGGGGGCAAGCCAGCGAGGGGTGTCAGGTCAGCACAGAACGCAATGAGGAGCGATCCCAACCGCCTGACAGAAAAAGCCACAATTCTTATCGTGCGAATGGATAGATGCACATTTTTCAATGGTGAGCGAAAGGGCACGTGACCAACACGCAGAACTCCAATTTTTCGTCGCAATGCTTTGATTTCTCTTGGGCAAACGCTCTTCTCTCTTCCTTATTCTAGTTGAAGATGCATCGGCATCTCAAGTGGAATGCATGAGCTATAGCCGAGACACTGAGGGGTCGAAAGCATGCATAAGCAAGAGACACAATGAAGCACATGAAGGTTGCCATAACAACAGCTCAGGGGTGTCACAGAAAGCAGCAACTCAGGAGGTTACAGGAGAGATGATTCATCTGGCTTGGACATGACCAAGGGTGGCAACAGGGTATATATACATGCTCATCATTAGGATGTAGATCACTGAAAAGATAAGCATTACAAGAAGACATATGACTGTGGTAAGGGAGCCTGATCATGGCCCCATTAATGGCATATACTAATTGTTATCTTCAATTATTCTTCATCATCTTCAGTTGAAGATTGGAAGTAAAACGCGACCAATCGGAGCTACTTGCAAGCTCAACTACACAGGCATATAACTTCTTAGATGCTTGTCATTTCTATCGGTATGCTACTGTGTGTATGAACATGTATATATGCTTGATGGTTGCTTCCCATCCCACATTTATTCATGATGAGTCACCATTCATGGTCACCCCTGAGTTGCTATCCAATGTGTGTCACTATGGCAACACATATGCATCCCACATGTATTTCTGACCTTATGCAGCCTTTCCCATCAAGTATTCATCTAGGTCTCACTTATGCTCCATGGACCCTGTTATTCCCATTGTGATGCTGATGCATCTTCAACTCCCCCCCTCAATGGCATCTCCAGTCCCAATGACTGTGCTAGCTGGGACATTGTCAACCCCTTCAGTGGCTTCATTAGGATATCTGCCACATTGTTTGTTGTTCCAATGAATTCAATTGCTATTTCCCCATCCTGTATGTGGTCCCTAACAAAATGATACCTAGTATCTATGTGTTTTAGTTTCCAATGTTTTGCTGGGTCCTTACTCACCTGAATACATCCTTGACTGTCAGTATGCAAGATTGGTTGAATTGTTCCTGCCTCTAGATCCCTGAGAAGATAAGAGAAGAAGAGTGCTTCCCTTGCTGCTTCTGAGGCAGTGACAAATTTGGCTTCCATGGCTGATAGCACCATGCATTTTTTGGACATGTGATTTCCAACTAATGGGGCACCCATATACATATGTCATGGCCCCTGATGTACTCCTTCATCCATTCATTGGGTCTGATGCCCAATTTGCATCTGTGTACATAGTGACTGCATGTTCTGAATGCTTGTTCAATCCATCTCCAAACATCAGTTTATACTCACTGGTCTGGTTCAGATATTTAAGAAGGTGGATGGCTGCCCTCCATGCACCATTGGTTGGACCTGACATGTATCTTGCCAGTACCCCTACTGTGAATGATATGTCTGGACATGTGGTATTTGAAACCCATAGTAGTTGTCCAACTAGCTCCTGATATCACTTAGCTTCTATTGGGTCGCATTTGTCTCCCCCCGCAATGCTGGCTATTCCTTGCATTGGTACCCAATGTCAGGGGTCTCGCGCCTGAAACCCAGGTCGGTCTGTCGAGATACTCGGTGACTATCAAACTGTGCGACAGCTATTGTCTTGGTATCTGTATCGATGAGCTAGTTGCTTGGTGACTATCAAGTTGCATGATGACAGCAGGTGGCATTTGTTGTATATACTATTGTAGGTTTTGGCTGACCTCTGTGGACACTCCATTCAGGGGTAGCTCGGCACAATCAATATCAATATGTAGGTTATGATGACACCAAGGTCTGGTGTGAGTGTTGATGATAATGAGGTTGATGGTGTTGGTGATAAGGTTGATGGTGTTGGTGATAAGGTTGGTGGCATCAACACGAGTGTCCAGTGTGTTGATTGATGCTTGAGGTGATCCCTGGACCACAGTGGACTACTGCCTTCAGTTCTATCTATATCCAGACTGCTGACCTGCTATGGGCTGCCTTCAGATGTCAGGTAGTGGTGATACAACACATGCACTATGATGAGGAGCAACCTTGATAGATTGCTACTATGCTGACTGAAACTAATATATACTTATGCTGAAGTGATAACTAGTTATGATGATTGTGTGTAGAGTGGATGAGGATCCACTCGACCTTTGATGATGAGAAGGTATGGTTCTATACCTCTTCACAGCATCGCCAGCAACACTGCTCCTGCTCTCTCTCTCCAGAGAGTACTGTCATGGGCCTGGGTGCGCAGAGCGAGGATAGACCGAAGTTCATATGAAGGTAGCGCAGGAATCGTGGAATCGGGTAGAATGTAAGAGTTGCGGCAGAGGTCACCGAGATCAGCAGTAGAATCAGTTCTATGGCAGATCACAGCGAAATCGGCACGAGCATCATCGATATCACGAATCCCACCGGAATCTATGACAAGCGAGACCTTGTGGCAGATTCCGCAGAGATCGGTAGCAAGGTTGTCTGTACGACGATTCACACGCGAGAGGGACTGAGCTCAAGTGATACATGGACGGTTACCACTCAGGGGCCCACAAGACAGGAGTAAAAGAGAACTGTCGCTGGTCAGAGGAAGGAGAGCTGTGTAAAGGACACCAGTGAAAGGGACATGAAGAGGAGGAGCAGTGTCGATGAAGTTGACACAGCTCAGGTAAGACAGGAGGGACAAGGTCTGATATGGAGGAGGTGCCTCCTTGGAGACACCTGTACAATACTTGACAAAGAGGGTACTCTCTGGAGAGAGAGAGCAGGAGCAGTGTCACTGGCAATGCTGCAAAGAGATATATAGGCATACCTTCTTGTCATGAATGGTCGAGTGGATCCATCCACTCTACACTCATCAACTGTACTAGTATTACTTCAAGCAATAAGTATCATTAGTACACAGTCAGCATAGAAGTAATCAACAGATTGCTCCTCAACGAAGCGCGTGTGTTGTATCACCATTTCCTGGCACCCGAAGGCGGTTCGTAGCAACCAGTGGTCCGGATAACAATAGAACCGAAGGCAGATGTCCACTGCAGCCCAGGGATCACTTCAAGCGTTAGCTGACACACTGGACACTCATGTCGGCGTCATCAACCCATACTCACACCAGACCATTGGTGTCAACATCAAGCTCATTTAGAGTCATATCGTAGTCTGATCATGCTGAGCTACCTCTGGACGGAGTGTCCACAGCGGTTAGTCAAAATCTGTCACAACGATAATACAACTACAGATTCTAGCAAGAAAGGTGACAGAGAAGGCTCTGTCGCATATTTCACTAAGAATCGAAATACCATTAGCACTGTTGCATAATTCGACAGAATCGGTGATAGTACTGATACTACTACTGTTCTCAGGTTTCAGGCGCATGACCGCTGACATTAGAGTGGATCGTTCAAGCAGCACCCCACGATCATGATGACAGACCAAGGCCTCAACGATAAGCTCGACCGGCTCCTAGCACTATTGGAAGCCCAACTCGAGCTCACCAGGCAAGGCCAACGAGAAGAACATCTTTGCCGTGCTCATCTAAGCAGAGAAGAGATGATTGAGTTCTCACCATCGGGAGAACAGGTAGGAGGTGATGAATCCATGATAGGAGATCCTCAGACTCCTACACCAGCATCGCGACCAAGACGATCGGTCTCATTCACTGCCGAAGATGAGCAAGACGACATTAATTACGAAAAATATGCATTGCCCACCAGGCCAAGGTACTACAAACCCAGGGAGGATCCATATAGCAGGACTAGGACAGAACCTTATGCCACATACTTGGAGGAGGATACTAGTGTATTGGTGGACCTCTCTCGATCAAAGCCAATTGCCACACCCTTTCCTAAGTTTAACCCGCGAGATGTGGAGATATTCATTCTCGAAGCCGAAGCCTGGTTTAAGTTTAACCAGGTATATGAGCAAACAAGAATGATCAACCACATGGGCTCTCAATTGGAAGGGAATGCATGGGAGTGGTGGACCTCCAAGCTCCGAATTGACAGGACTTGCTTGCTGGTTTCCTATACACTGCTCCTTCTCCTTTGACTGGTGACGGTTCCTTTGGCTCTTGTCTCTCGAGCCCCTGAGTGGTAACCATCCATATGCTTCTTTGAGCTCGGTCCTCTTCGTGGCTGTGCCTGCTCCTTGAGCTTGGTCCTCTTCATGGCTGTGCCTGCTCCTTGAGCTTGGTCCTCTTCATGGCTGTGCCTGCTCCTTGAGCTTGGTCCTCTTCGTGGCTGTGCCTGACCCTCCTCACATATGGACCTGGTCCTTCTTTGCATGTGAGTCTGTAGGAGTCCATGGTCTCCATGGAGACTGCACTATGACCATGCTCTCTACTGGTATCAACTAGATCTCCAATACCTGTGCTCCTTCCATATGAACCAGTGACCCTCCTGCTTCTTGAGCATTCAGGCCCATGACACCCAAGACTTCTGACTGGTCGCTTGTAACCATTTGTTCACCATCGCTCTAATATAGGCTGATAAATCAAGAGACATCCTCTTCTGTGCTCTGTTTTGTTTGATGCATACACCCAAAAACTCTCTCACTGGCCTGTTATCTTCTGTGCCCCATTTGGCCATTATTTCCCTCTTGGTTCGATCTACCTCCTTATGGCTGGGGGATGCTATGAGCATGTCATCCACATATGTTGTAATAATAGTTAGACTGCCCCTGGTCCCTCTCGAGTACAGACAAGGCACACTCGGCATGCAATAGAAACCCATCCTTTGCAAATGTGAATCCAGTTCCAAGTTCCATTCTCTGCCTGATTGTTTTAGTCCATATAGTCCTTTTGTTGTCTCTTTTAACCTTGGGAATGTTAACCCATGCCAAACATCCAAAGACTCGTAAGAGCTTTATAAGCCGTTCTGGTGGCTTCCCAAACATAACTTGATATGGGAATTCACCATCAACATTAGGTGTGAGATTCATTTTGAATGCTGCAGCCCAGATCGCATACAGCCAGAAGTTTCTCGGTAGTCTCCTCTGCATGAGCAACATTCTCATCTTTTCTCCTAGACTTCTATTCATTCTTTCCACATGTCTGTTTTGCTTGCTGTTGTACCCGACTGTCATCTGCCATTCTATACCTTTATCATATGCCCATTTGAGCATGTCATTGCTTCGCCACTCTGTTCCTTGGTCTGATCATATGGCTTTTAAGCTCCTTCCCATCTGTTTTTCAAGGTATGATACTATAGCTTTGAGTTTGGGGAATGCATGGCTCTTCTGTAGTAGAGGTTGCACATATGTGTACTTGCTATGGTCATCAACCAACACAAGTGTACATGTATATTCTGCTGCATGTGATGAGTTGACTATCAAGTCAATGTGAATTAGGTCAAGTGGGGAGATGGATTTCTCACCACTACCTTGTCCCATTTGAGTTGTCATGCTCTTGGATCAGATGCATTGCTCACATGTTTGAGCCATATCCAGATTCAGTTCAGCTATGTTCTTGCCCCTTAAAAGGTTGGTGATGGCTCTTGTCTTGTCTCAACCTGGGTGCCCTAGATGCTCATGCCATAGTTGTTGCTTAGATGTCCTGGCATTGCTCTCTTTCTGCTCGAAATCTTCATCAACATCCTCAAACAATAGTGTTGATGTGATCATTGCATTCTGTTGCCATGTATCGCCTTGGAACTCTAAGAGTCCTTGCTCATGAATCTTGGTCATTTTGAGTAGCATACTGTTCGCTAAGTGTATTTGCCCACTGGTGGAATCCAAAGTCACTTGTGCTCCTTCATCTGTCAGCAAGTTGGTTGACAAAAGGTTAACATTGAGATGCCTAACATATAGTACATGGTGGAGTAGTACATCTCCATTACTTGTTGATATGCTGGCATCTCCAATAGCTGTTGCTTCTAAAACTTCACTTCCAGCCATGAATACACATTTTCAGCAAGTTTTAGGATTGATGAGCATGCTATAAATATTAACCATATGATAACTGGCCCCTGAGTCTAAGAACCAATGAGATGTTTCTTTAGAGCCTAGGGGCCTCTGCCAACTTGGTGCGAAAGAGCACCATGGTTCCTATTTGGTCTTGGCAAGGGGGGAGTTCTCCAGGATGGTTACCATAGCATCACACTGGTTGATCCCATGTCCCAGTCGCTTGCAAACCCAGCACTGTAGCTTTCGAGGCCGAGCAGCAACTTTGGCATTGGCATTGTCCTCGTCCTTTTGGTCCTTCTCATCCTTCACAGTTGGTTCTTCTTGGTTGTCGCTGCCAGCAACTCTGGCATTGGCTTGACATGGGTCAATCTTCTGAGTGGGGTAATTCTCAACTGCTGATTGTTGGATAGTCAAGGCTGTAGCAAGGGCATTGAAGGTGAGTTGACTGATGGTAGCAACTGTTTCTTTATACACAGGGTGGCAAATAGTGCACTTCTGTAGAATCGAAAACAAAGTGTCATCTGCAAACAGTTTTCCCAGTAGGCTGCTCTCTGTCTGGATGGTCCTGATTTCCTGAATGAGCTTTTGGACATCAGAGTTGTACATCCTGAGCTCGCCTAACTGGGCTATGAGGGCAATCCAGCATGAGGTTGCAATAGCTTCATTTGTCAAGCCATTCTCAATCTTCTTCCAGAACTGGTGGAATGTATGGTGTTCCCTAATGATGTCAAGGATTAGGTAGTTGATGTTGTATTCCCCAGTGGTGTTGATAGTGCCATGTACTGCATTCATCAGGGCATCATTGAATACATGGTTCCACTTGGGGTGTTTCTTGTTGTATGTTCCCTCAAGGTGTTTCATGGCATGGGGAACAGATTGAAGGAAAGATTTGACATGGACATTCCAACTATAGTAGCTTTGTGACATTAACTTGGGCACCAGCTCAAGGAGCTTTGCCAGAGTGCAGAAGTTGTATTGCTTGCTGCCACTGTCTTGATCAGAGTCAGGGTTGCTTTCTTCATTGGTCACTTTGACCTCTGTCTCATTGGTGGCATCATAATTGGGGACTTGCAGTTGAGGAGCTTTACCCTTTCTACCTCCCTTTGCTTTGCTTGCACCAGCTTGCATTTCAGTGTTGTCTGACATGGCAGTGAAGGGATCCCAGCTAGCTCAGTCAGTAGAGCTTCAGACTCTTAATCAGTTGAAGATTGGAAGTAAAACGTGACCAATCAGAGCTACTTGCAAGCTCAACTACACAGGTGTATAACTTCTTAGATGCTTGTCATTTCTATCAGTATGCTACTGTGTGTATGAACATGTATATATGCTTGATGGTCACTTCCCATCCCACATTTATTCATGATGAGTCACCATTCATGGTCACCCCTGAGTTGCTATCCAATGTGTGTCACTATGGCAATGCATATGCATCCCACATGTATTTCTGACCTTATGCAGCCTTTCCCATCAAGTATTCATCTAGGTCTCACTTACACTCCGCAGACCCCGTTATTCCTGTTGTGATGCCGATGCATCTTCAACTTCTTCTCTTCGCTCGCTTGCTCTCCTCTTCTCCTTCTCCTCATCACCTTCTCTTCTTCGCGCTTGCCTCCAGGCTGCGCTTCATCAAGTTTTCACCCTCTGTCCCCCCCCTTGATACAATTCACTTCTCACACACCTTAGTTCTGTATAGCTTTTCTTGTACTCGTTCTCGCGCGCATTCCGCCTCGCTTACACGCGAAGCTCGACCGACCATGCCCCTTACGGCTACGGCTGGGAGCTCGTAAGCGACTCACCCGAGTTAGGCAATTTAACATTCATTTCCTCAATTCTCAGCATCTTCTACGTGTTATAGTTGAAGATACTTTGGTATTTCCAAGGGTGGACATGTTAGATTGGTGCATTAATTGCAGGGAGGCTGGAGCAATGCAAAGTGCAAACAGAGATGAGGTGGATATGCAGCTTGTGGGAGCATATGCAGCCTATGCTCATGGTTTGACACCAATGCATGCAGGAGTTGTGTTGCTATGACAATGGTTAGGAGGTGTTGTTAAGGCAATGGATAGGGGGTGTTGACAAGGCAACAATTATGAAGGAGACCCACTGGATGATAGCTCAAGGAGTGACTTGAAAGGCAAGCACAGTCAGCTGTTAGGGTATATATACTTATGTTCTGTAGCCACTCTCACCTTGGAATAATAAGTCTTCTCACTTAGACACACTCAACTGTAAAGAGTGCCTGACTGTGGCCTCTGGAGCGGTGTATCTAATTTCAACTGTTATCTAGTGCGCTAACTCACCGTTGAACACATACACACACGATCGGGACACCGCGTGCGTCTGTACTTCTTTCGGCACCTTTTTGAGTCGAAAGTTCTTCTTCTTCTCATACACTTCTCAGCTGCTAGACATTCGTCTTGAAACCCTCACTTGCTTGCTCGACAAAAAACTCGCCGGCTTCAAGTACCACCACAACTTAGCAGAAGACGAAGGCCGGACGTCGTTGATCAAAAACAAGTTGTGAGCAGCCTGCTGCATTGCAAAGGTCCGAGCGTAAGCAAGACGTGGCAGCCGCCCCTGTCCCACACAGCTCTTCATCAGCAAGCAAGCCCCTGGCATCACGGCCCACGCAGCGTAGTCCTCCTCATGCGCTTTTCTTCCTCTGCTCGACCTTTCTTGTCCACCACCACCATTACAGCTGGTACAAAGCAATCGATCCGTCACATCACCAACACCTCCTCTCGGACACCTCTCACCCCAACCTTCGCTCGCTCCAAAAGCACCCATCACCCACCCACCCACATCCCTTCAACAACCAAATCTCCCGTCCTGCCCAAACCATCACACATCGCATCCACTCTTCCATCTGAAGAAGTCGACGTCACAGCCACACCTTCCTCCTCACACCCCAAACCACCTCCTTACGCCGGTCCACCCCGTCTCGTCCGTTACGAGCATCCTTCGCAGTCTCCACTCTCGCTCTATCCCAGCTCATACGCACACGCTTCCTACCCAGATCCCGTATCGTATCGCGCGCACCTATCGAACCGTCGTGCACCAGCAAGTTTGTTCGGACTTTTCCCAAGTACAAGTGTTACAGCGGCTAGTTTGAAGGCTAGTTCGGATCCATACGCTTATTCTGGCAATACAGGAGGGTCGACAATCCAGACAAGTATCCCGACTCCTACGCAAGCAATCTCAACAGCAAATAGCACAATGACGGCCAATACTTCGTCCATCGTTGATGCGACAAAGAGCGGGGAGGCGGAATTGCATCAGCGTAAGAAGAATGCCTCGCCTAACGGTGTCAACGCAGGCACCAAGACTAGCGCTGTTCTCGGTCACTCCCATTCACACTCACACCATCATGGTCATCATCACGGCCACGATCATGGCTCAGCTGAAGAGGCAGACGCTCTCCTAGCCGCTCTTAAAGGCAAAGGTGATCGTGGATCCAACATTACCCTCGCTGGCTTAGTCTCGAATATCGGTCTATGCGGTGCAAAAGGTGTTGCCGGAGTCTACTTGAACTCTGCTGCTCTACTTGCTGACGCTGCGCATTCGTTATCGGACATGTTTGCAGACTTGGTAACATTGTTCTGTTGGAAGATGTCCCAGAAACCTCCTTCCGCCTCCCACCCGCTTGGGTACGGCAAGTACGAAACGATGGGTTCGCTAGGTGTTTCACTAGTCCTAGTCGCAGGTGCGGTCGGAATTGGTTTTCATTCATACGGACTACTACTGGAAGCATTGCAGCCAACACTAGCACATGCTCCAGCAGCGTTGCAAGCATTAGGAAGTTTCACGGGAAGTATCGCTAGTTTGCATTCCCACGATCACGGGAGCGTAAGTGATAGCGGAGGAGTGTTGGATCCAAATGCAATGTGGTTTGCGCTATTGAGTATCGTCGTGAAGGAATGGCTGTATCATGCAACACTGAAGATTGCAAAGGAGGAGAACAGCTCGGTTTTGGAAGCTAATGCACTTCATCATCGATCCGACTCCCTCTCTTCTGCAGTGACCTTCTTGGCTATTGGTGGGTCTTGGTTAGGTTTCCCAGTGTTGGATCCACTAGGAGGACTACTAGTGGCGGGGTTGATTGGTAAACAAGGAGCAGACCTACTCATTGGAGCACTAGGGGAGTTGAGCGATAAAGGTGTGGAACCAGAGACGTTGCAAACGTTCGATGCGGCCATCGTGGAGGTCCAAAAGAACCATCCATTGTTGCTAGGATGGAAGGATTTGAGGGCGGTCAAGTCAGGTGTTAGCACATTTGCTGATGTTACACTGCAACTCCCGAACGATGCTACGCTGAAACAGGCAAGTGAAGTCGAAAAGGCGGTAAGGGACGCTATCGTGGGTTGTGTAAAAGGAGTAAAGGAGGTCAGAGTTCGGTTGGTTACTGTTGATGCTGATGTCAACTGATATCACACTTCAGGATAGTGGTGCTTTTTCATGTCTTTAGAAATCTGCAACCAAAGTTTCGTTTGCTCACAAGCTGTGGTGTGATGGTGATTGTGTGACGTTCTGACCGCCCTGGGAGTCGCAACTGTCGCGAGGAGTAGTCCGAGAACAAGAAGAGTTCACAGCGCCCACCAAGCACTCAATCGCACAAAGGTCACAGGAATCAAGACACTTGCAGTGAAGGAAAGAGGATATTGCAGTTGCTAAAGGAGATGCTAAAACAATACATGCTAGAAGAATGCGTTCAAAGGTTGCGCAACAAAACAAGAGTTGTGGTTGGAGGGTTAGGTAGCTTGAGCAGTCGGTGCGGCCCCGATACTGCTCGCTGAAGGTGAAGTATGTCGTGCTTCTGCTGCGTGTGTGCCGTTTCCATTGCTGTTGCCGTTCGAAGCAATTGTAGCGGCAGAGGTCTGATTAGACGCCAGCGAAGCGCTCGATAGGGTATGTGCTGCAGCGCCGATCGAAGTCAATTGAGATGGTTGACCCACTGCTGCTGTTGAGGTCGAGTTGGGCACTGTAGGCGATGGGACCGTTCCTTTGGCCGATGCTGGAGCGTACTTAGCTGCGGCTGTTGGTGAGGTCAAGGATCCGCCAGTTGCTGGAGTGTTCGCAGTGCTTCCGCTCGTGGTGGAAGAGTAGAAGGGGAAAGCGGAAGCAGGTCCTATCGAAGTAGGGGAGAGAGGAGGGTTGACACTCGGTGTCTGACCGTTTCTTTGTCTTGTGATGAGCGTTTTGAGTGCTGAGATCCACTTGATCTCTTCGTCCTCACCCGGAGCGCAAAGGATGAAAGTACGTTTGGGCGTAATGATCTGGAAGCAGTTCTCTTTGCGCTTTTTAGACCCAACCATGCCCGCAGTCATGTTGGATGCGACGCCGGCTGCTGCAGCAACCATGCTACCTCTTCGTTCTGGCTTCTCGGGGAGTGCGGCGGATGGTCCGGCGCCAGGTGTGACAGCAGCGTTGCCGTCCCGATCGGCGTTGTCCAATGCAAAAGGATTCGTGCTTGGTGACCCGATACCTGGTGAGGTCGGAATACCCGACGAGGCTTTCTTGGGCTCGTACTCGATCGCATCAAGCATCGAAGAGATAGGGATCTGACGATGCGCTTTGGCATCCATGTGGCTTCGCGAGTAAAGCAAACGCGAAGAAGTAAGCACAAACCACCTCTTGCGCCAGACTTTGCGTCGCCCGCTTTGCTTCATCAAGTAGCCTTGGGTGATGACCTTGTTTGGATCTCGAATGAGGTCGCTGCCGCCATGCGGCAATGGCGAGATGTTCAGTGGTGATGGTTGGCCTTGAGACGCTTGCTGCTGGGCGTGCGTCTGCAGGGGAAGGGTTGGCGGGTGTTGAGAAGTTTGTGAAGAGCCCAGAGCTGGCAGTGGCATTGCTTGGTCGGCCACCTCTTCCTCATCCCACTCATCTTCCTCGTCTGAGCTGCTGAGCAAATGTGCTCCACCGCCACCTTGCTGCAGAACAGGGCTGCCTGGTTGCTCGACACCTCCGCTCGAAGACGATGCCAGACAGCGTGTCGTGCTGGTGCTTCGCAGACGCGGTAAGCTTCCGAAGGCAGCCGAGGGACGGCGTTGATGTCCACCTACATCGCTAATCTCGCTGCCCGAGGTATGGCCTCCACCGCCACCACCTCCCGGCGACTGCCCGGCCAGAAGGAACAAATGCGAAGGATCGGGGCGCGTCGAAGGGCTGCCAGAGATGGAAGGGCCGGCCGAGCTTGTGTAGCTGAGGCCGTACCTTTCAGCGCCTGTGTCGCTGTCGCTGGTCGCAGTGAGAGGGCTGAAGGCATTCGAACCTGGAATCGGTCTTGGCTGTGCTGGTGCGGAGTAGTTGCTTGAATCTGGGATGCCAATCTTAATGGGGATCGCCGTTGATGTCGGCGAACGCTCTTGCGAGACGGACCGCTTTCGTGGTTGCGATGTTGGCAGCTGAGGGACAGTGGAAGAGGGTGCTGGGGTTTCGGTGTTGCCAAGCTCCATAGCCGCCATCTCCTGGGTCATGGTACTGCTCTGAGCATACTGCGTCATGATTTCGTTGAGGGCTTCGATCCATGACTCCAACTCTGCTCTGGAAGATGCACGGACATAGAAGGTTCGTTTGGGAGTGACAATGCCGAATGTGTTGACGCTCTTCTTGAGCTCGACGGAAGCGACGGTTTTGATGTCTCCAACATCGATGAAGCGGAGAAGCTGATACTCCTTGTCGTTCTTGTAGTATGCGAGTTTGGAGGAACGCAAGACGAACCAACGCTTCTTCCATGTCTTGCGCTTCTCACCCTTCTTCTCGAGATATCCCGACTTGACAGTGGATTCGTTGATCATGTTGTGATGAGCCTCTGTCCCGTCAAGATGCTCGCCATCCTCGTCGTCTTCATCGGCATCGGCATCGCCCTCAAAGTCGTCTGTCGCGTTCATTTCGTCCTGCATGCGGGAAGGAGGGTTCCATCTGAAAGGCTGCGGTGCTGATGAGTCGGCATGAGAATAGGTAGAAGCTACGACCGGGTTGATCGCAGACGGATTGACTGTTGCTGCATGACCGGACGGCATGATTAGGAGAAAGGCTGCGTACTATAGAAGCCTAAGTCGAGCGATGCTTCGATGCTAAATCCATCGAGCTTGACTAGCTTTGCATGGCGTAATCGAGGTCGAGAGGCGAAGGCTGGGCTGATGGAGCGACGATAGTGAAGTTGTAAAGTGAAAGGCCTGATGAGCGCTAAGCAGTTGGGGCGCAGAAAGGTGAGGCTGAGTTGCAAGGGTGAAGATTATGAATGTGAGGATGTGATGCGGAGTGATTGAGTTGGATTCAGAGTTGATTTGAGCTGAGAGTCGCGCCTCCACCACCCGATCCAGACCAAATTGCCGAATTGGCACCTGCGTAGATCGCACGGCGGATCATCCATCTCTCTCTCATTCAGCAGCTGAGATTTAGCGCTCTCTCTGTCTCTGTCTCTCCACTCGATCCGACTTGACGTGTACCAGCACATTGGACTTGACCAGATCTCTCCTACAGCCTTCGCTCTCGTTGCTTCAAAGCCAACATAATTTGGCTTGTACCGACACGGACTGATAGCGGCTGTCGTGATGCAGCCTTGGCACTCTGTTAACAATGTCAGTGTGCGGCTGCGAGTCTGCTGAAAAGGATGTCCTCGGAAGTGAGTTTCTTCGAAAATCATGCCGAAAAGGAGGCTGCCGAGCTTGAATCTGAATGACTTATTCACTCGCACGAAAAATCTTGAATCTGAAGAACGCGGATCGCTCAGACCTGTCGCACTGTGACATTTTTGGACCTCATCGAGCTCAATACTCACAGCATCCAGCCTGTTTTCTTCGGCCTCGACCATCACATACCTACATCACAATGTTCCGACAGGCACTATCAACTTCGACACGCTCGGCTGCACGGGCTTCCGCCAAGCAGCGCGGCACCGTTGCTCAAATCCGTTTCGCTTCCGGAGGATCTTCCTACAACCAGCCCACCGGTTACCTCTTTGGCGAGAAGGTAAGATCCTGAACTTTGAAGGAGGGACGACGTACGGGAGGATCGAAAGTGCATGGAACGCTGCTGTTGTATCCAAAGCGGCGAACCTCAGCTTCGGCTGACAACGACACACAACTGACAATTTCGATCTGTGTTACTTCACCTTGTCTCGCATCACAGGTCCCCAAGGGAGGCAAGCGACAGAAGGAGGACTGGGAGAACATGTATTACATCGGTCTCTTTGGCGGTATGGCTTTTGCCGGCATTGTTCTTATGTACAAGCCAGACACCAGGTAAGTTTGTCCGGCCCTCGTCTTTCTACTGCTGCCAATCATATCTCGTCCAACTGACGAACGAACATGCTTCTCACCTCATCGCACGATCTCGGATTCTACTCATTGACTCATTGACACAACAGCATCCAATCTTGGGCAATGGTCGAGGCGAGAAAACGACTCGAAGCATCTGGTGACGTTTGGCAGTACAAGCCTTCGCCAAACTCTGGCCACCCCAACGGCGTTTGATCTTCACGTTGCTTGTACACATTGGCTGTAATCTTAACACGTCTTTCGAAATTGAACGCAGATTTCGTGCGAACTGTAGAAGGACAGACAGGACACTTGCACTCAAATTAGGAAGGACATTCAGAAACAAGGTCAAACAACAGAGCAGTCTCGCAATGTTGGTCTCATCGATTGTCCGGCTCAATCGCTGTACGGCGAAGAAACAGCGGCATTCACGGGGCGGTACTCATGACCAAGCAGTGCAGACAGGAATCTTCTCGGCACAGTCGTGCATACTAAAGGGTATCTGTTTCAACAAGAGGACGCATTGTATCGGCTCGAACTGGTTTCTTGAAGGAGAATTAAAGAAGGTAGAGGCGAAAGGTAGAGGCGAGATGGTGCAGCGACTCAGAGCCTAGCGATGTAGTCAATGCCTTTGCCCAGAGCACTACATTGGTCGCCCTTCTGAGCAACGGTCTGCATTTTCTGCCGCACCGGCCCAAAGCTAACTTGGCGCTGGTCCGATGCTGTCAGCTGCGTCCATCTTGCTTCGCTCGATGTTGTTCTCGCGCGTGTCGAAGCATATGCCGCACCCCTCGCGCTCAGGTACTCCATCGACGGCGCAGGGTCACCTGTACGGATAAAGGCCGAGAACTGATCGATCACAGTCGCCATCCACGCAAGATCGTTGTTGTCACGGTAAGGAAGGCGAAATCCGCTTCCTCCAGTGTGGAAGATCGGGATCAGATCGCCCGAATGGCACATGTAATAGCTCGAAGGGCTCAAGTTGCCGTTCTGAGCTGTGCACACGTAGAAAGGGTCGTAGTTCGGAATCTGAATCGATCGCTGATCATGCGAGTAAGAATAGACTTTGGGGAAAACTTTGTTTAACGCCGAAGCATACGCCATTGCTTGGATACCGCATCGGATGTAGATGTCTGTCTTGATGGTGTTGGTCATGTTGCGCACGCCGTAATCGTTGACAGGGAACGTGTTGGTATCCCTGAGCACAATGTCCGAGTAGTTGGACTGAATGCCGACTTGTTTCATCGCATTTACAAAGTCAGTTTCGCCTGGGTTGGGCATATGAAACGATGCTTGCTCGTCGCGTAACGTGCCCCACATGACGGGGACGCGGTTGACATGGCCTGAGGCTCGACTGGCTGGCCTCATGTCAAGCTTCGGCGATTGAATGAAAGTGCCATCCTGTACGATGGATGTGTATGCATTCTGCAAGAAAGATGAGATGCTCTTGCCGCGCAGACAGTCCAGCAGGTCAGAAGCTGTGTCACAGCCGAGCGACTTGACGACGTTGCCTGCCGCGCCTTGGCGTGCCTGTTGGATCGTTGGATAGACAAATGCATTGTCGTGTGCTGCTCCGCTGAAGATCATGGCGCGTTGAAAGAGACCAGCAGCCGCAGGCGAAGCGAGCAAACTCTCGACGTGCTGAGCGCCCGCCGATTGACCACCGACAGTGACCTTGTTCGGGTCACCTCCAAACTCCTTGATGTATTTTTGCACCCACCTGAGCATCGTAACTACATCGCCAAGACCGTAGTTGCCACGGATCTGGTCATTGTATGCAAGGTAGCCGAGTGTGCCCAGACGGTAGTTGAATGTGACGACAACAACGTCACTGCGACTTGCCATGTTACCTCCGTCGAAGGTAAAGTCAAGGCCGGTGCCAGATCGGTATCCTCCCCCGTGGACGAAGACAAAGACAGGCTTAAGAGGCTTTCCATTAGAAAGGTCGGATGCAGAGGGGAGGTACGGAGTGAAGACGTTGGCGACCTGGCACTCTTCTGTGTAAGCAGTGTCACTTCCGAGCTGCGGACATTGCTTGGCACGCGTTCGTTCAAGTGCAGAGATCGAGTAGTTGCCGGTGCTGCGCCCGTCGTATACGGATGAGTAGGTGAATCGCTGAGTAGGGTTGGCGTAGGGCAAAGCCTGGAAACGGAAAGAGAGGGCATCACGGAAGCCGTTGAACTGGACACCATTGCTCGAGGTTGCTACCTGCCATTGAGCAGATGTGTCGGTATGATTGGCAAAATTCCAGGGCGCACTCTGGGTGCAGAGTGCAGGGAGCTTGGTCTCTACGGAAGTTTGAGACAAAGCAATGGCAGCTTTTCCATCATTTCCCGCCGTGACGACGAAAGCTCTGCGGTCAGCAACCCAGAAAGACTGACCACCAGCGTAGCTCCGCTCGAAGAGGGCATAACTCATCTGCGCCTGCAAGCCAGCATCCGACAAGGCTGATGTGGGCGCAAGCGCCTCATTGAGGGCAGTACACTTTGAAGCTGCATCTTGAGCAGTAAGAGGCGTCGTCAGAATCAGGTAGCCAGCTTGGCGCGCGGCTGAATTGGCTCTGGCCCAGTCCAAGTCGTTCTGATACAGAAAGCGGACACCACTGCCGAGGGAGGATACAGAGGCGGCGCCCTGAACGTTGCACGCGTAGAAGAGCACGGCCAGCAACGCCAATGCGAACAGATTCATCATGGTCGAAGTGACACGGCGTCTTTTTGCAGGAGCACCAGGGCTGTGCTGCGTGAAGGAGGGAAAGGGAGGGAAAGGGAGGGGAAGCGATCGAGGGCAGGAAAGGTCGAGATGCAGATGAGAATCAGATGGGGAGGAGGAGGAAACATGATGTTCAAGAGCGCCCATGAGGTCGCTTGACTATTTAACATCGAGTCTCGGATGGCGCTCATCATCGTTCACACCCCACCCGCAGCTCTTACTATGCTTGGCGGGGCACCGTGCAAGCTGGCACGGCAATAGATCGTTGCTGGAGTTCGCCGCCCGGACCCCATCAGGGCATCTTCTTTCGAAACTCTAGCGGCCAGATGCGACCTCATGCAACGTGTTGAATTGTGACCCTGTCGCTTTAGCTTGCAGAGGATGTGGGGTAAATCAAGGCCGTCAATTCTCAGGTAGCTCGCTGCAAGTCCCGAGGCGAAAACAGGCGACGCTCGTACAGGGGCTAAGGAGAGGAGGCCTGGAACCGAGCACAAAGGCTAGCCGGGAGCGCGAGCGAAATGAGCCTTGAGCGCTGTCTTCTGCCCACAAGGTTGGCGTATTTGCTCGCGCCCAGTGCGAATCTCGACAGGCGGAGTGGCATATTCATCGAGGAAACGAGGGCGGGATATGCAAACAGAAAACAGGAAAAACACCACTTCAACGGGGCTACGATCAAGCTCCTTTCGTACAGGTGTATGCTAACAAAAAAGCTTGCTTCGTTTCAATGAGTTGAGGCTACAAGCATGAGCATATATATGCGTCGAGACCGTCTCTGAGGATGCTGTGCTGCCTTGAATGAGTTGGGCGTTTCTTCTGCAGGGCCCCTTTGAGTTCTCTCCCCTGTAGAGGCTCCTGAACCGTTGCCATGTCATCCTTCGTGCATTTCACATGTCCGAGTCAGCTCGTAAATAAGCGGCGAGTTAATTAGATACACCACTTGAACGAGGGCACAGACAGGCGCCCTTCAGACAGGTATATCTCTACAAAAGGTCCTAAGATTTTGAGAGAAGAGAGGCTACAGGACATGAATATATATACCTTCACAGCCACCTATGCTCGCCCTTCAAGTCACAGCCACGGACCGTGCGTCCAGTGGGACCACCCTTCATAACTGTTGCTTTGTCAACGTACCCCCTTCATGGCCGTTGCCTTGTCAACGTACCTTCCTGCATACCTCATATCTTGGTGTCAATTTTCGAGAATAAGCTGCATGTACTCCCACGAGCTTCGCCTTTACCTCATTTCCATTGACACCTTGCTTTATTTCGGTCTTCCGGCCCCGAATGCTCCGATCTAACATGTCGGACCATGGAAATACCGACCTATCTTGAACTGGCGCAACATTTAATTGTATATTCTTATTAAAGTGTGCTTTCACGAGCTTCGGCAACTGGATAAACTCTGGAGATTTTCCGACGTACCTTCAACTAAAACAGAACACAGCGAGATCCGACATGTCAGTTAAAATCTGACAGTGCATATTTCGAGCCTATTCGCTATCAGCCTCAGAACCCTACCTTTTCTCCCACACTCCCTTTGTTCACCATTTTCTCGACAGTTGAAGAGCGTCGTCATGATCAATCAAAGCTGCGTCAAAGTCGATGATCACAAGTATTGATTGTGATAGTGAATCATTCCTAAGTACATGATCAATCAAGTGTTTATATATGCCTTGATGTTCTCCATATGCATGTATGGTACTAAGAGCTGATAGGGCAGGAGCATGAGTGAGTAACTAAGGGGGAGGAGGAAACACTGGCTATCTGATGACCAGTGACTTGAGGTTTGACAGTCAGCCTGGGCAATGCACTAAGTCCAAGTGAGCAAAGTTGGTGATTGGATGTGGGCTTGGCAAAGACTGCATTTGTATGCTTCAATTGCCAAGACACCACATGCTTCAACTCCCCCCCCCTCTCGCCAACTGAGCTATGGTGTGTGTCATAGGACCATATGTGCAAGAGGCAGGAAGGACCGAAGCCATATGAGAAGGAGCACAGGAATCGCAGGATCAGGCAAAATGAGAGTTTACAGCAGAGTTCAGCAAGATCTGTAGTAGAGGGGCTCTATGACAGATCTCACTCACATCAGTACAAGCAGGATACTACAGCAAAACCCACTGGAATCTGTAGTATTGTGATTGTATGACAGATCTCACAGGCACTGGCAAGAGGATGCTGATCTCACAGATCTCACAACAAGTCAGATGCCAAAGGCATAGGGGTCGCCACCCTGATGAAGCAGGGGGGGTGTCTCAATGATGAACTCGCGAGCAGGAAGATGGGAAAGATGAAGGAGGGTCCAAGTTGCCACTCAGATGAAGTGGGAGTGGCCTGTCAGCGGTTGTGTGCCTGGAACCCGAAATTTACTGGCTAGATCGATTTCAACCAGTTTCAGTGAGTGCTCTTGAATATGCACCTGTCAGCCACTTCCACTGAGACTGCTTGAAGGGTTGTTTGTTTGATGAGTTTCGGCTAACCACTGTGAACACTTGGTTCAGTGGTAATGTGGCACAGTCAGCTCCTGCTTGCTGCAGAACACTTAGTATACATGGTGATAACCATCAACTTGACACAAGTGTTTGAGGTGTCGATGATCAGATGGTGAATCAGTGAGAGAAGCCCAGACCACAGTATGAGTACTGCCTTCGGTGAGATAGTATCTGGACCACAGTAACTACTGCCTACAGATGACATCAGTGAGGGGTGATACAACACACCTGCTCGGAGTAGTAGCAACGGCCTGCGATTGCACTATGTGACGGAACAACTTGTCACAGGGTTGGCGCAGGAAGTGTGCGCAGAATGATCTGAAGCAAGCATCGGGGGTCGACAATCTGATCAGGATAGCAGCATGTATGATTTGTGGATTCAACCAAGAACTGGGGTTTTGAGTAATCTCACTAGGATTGATCAGAACAAGCCTACCCAGTATGTTTCACCAAGCATGCACCAACAAAGCACCATCGGTGTAGAACAGGTAGCTCATCACATTGAAACAATGGGAGGATCAGAGAAGGAGTTTCCCTGGCAGGGAAGACAAGGGAAGCATGTGGGAAACAATCAAGGAAGGGGACTGAGCTCAGTATCATGCAGATGGTTACCATTGAGGGGGGATGTGCATACCATCACACAGGGCCAGCCACAGGGGTGACCACATGATCAGGGAGCATGACAATAAGGTCTGGCATGCAACCAAGGGATTCACAAGATAAGAAGGGGAAGATGGTCACTGGTTAGAGAGGGGGAGCTGTGTCAAGAAGACCAGGGATTAACCATAAGGAGGAAGAGCAGTGTTGAAGAGATCGACACATATCAACAGGTGACAAGGAGCATAGAGGTGAGAGGGGGTGTCACCCAAACCAACACCCTGTCTGGGCAGTGTCATGGGCCTGAATGCTCAAGAAGCAGGAGGGTCACTGGTTCATATGGAAGGAGCACAGGTATCGGAGATCTAGTCGATACCAGTAGAGAGCATGGTCGTAGTGCAGTCTCCATGGAGACCATGGACTCCTATGGACTCACATGCAGAAGAGGACCAAGCTCAAGGAGCAGGCACAGCCATGAAGAGGACCAAGCTCAAGGAGCATGCAGACAGTTACCACTCAGGGGCTTGAGAGACAAGAGTCAAAGGAACTGTCACCAGTCAAAGGAGAAGGAGCAGTGTATAGGGAACTGGCAAGCAGGTCCTGAGGAGGAGGAGCAGTGTTGAAGGAGTCGACACCACTCAGGAGGCACAGGGGTGCCAAACAAGCAGGATAGCAAGGAGGAGGAGCAGTGTCAAAGGAGTCAACACAGAGGCACAGGGGTGCCAAGCAATCAGGATAGCTCAAGGAGGACAGGAGTGGTGCTAGAGGGGCCCCCTGTACAGTACTCGATGAAGAAGGTACTCCCTGGAGAGAGAGAGCAGGAGCAGCGTCACTGGTGATGCTGTGAAGAGGTATATAACCATACTTTCTCATCATCAAAGGTCAAGTGGATCCTCATCCACTCTACACACATCATAACTAGTTATCGCTTCAGCATAAGTATATATTAGTTCCAGTCAGCATAGTAGCAATCTATCAAGGTTGCTCCTCCTTGTAGTGTGTGTGTTGTATCACCACTACCTGATGTCTGAAGGCAGTTCATAGCAAACCAGTGGTCCAGATTAAGATAGAACCAAAGGCAGTAGTCCACTGTGGTCCGGGGATCACTCCAAGCATCAGTCAACACACTGGACACTCGTGTTGACACCACCAACCTTATCACCAACACCATCAACCTCATTATCATCAACACTCACCAACCTTATCACCAACACCATCAACCTCATTATCATCAACACTCACCAACCTTATCACCAACACTATCAACCTCATCATCATCAGCACTCACACCAGACCTTGGTGTCATCATAACCTACATATTGATATTGATCATGCCAAGCTACCCCTGAACAGAGTGTCCACAGAGGTCAGCCGAAACCTACAATAGTATATACAACGAATGCCACCCACTGTCATTGTGCAACTTGATAGTCACTGAGTGACTAGCTCGTTGAGACCAATACTGAGACAATAGCTGTCACACAGTTTGATAGTCACCAAGTATCTCGACAGACCGACCTGGGTTTCAGGCGCGAGACCCCTGACAGGCAGTAGAGTAGTGGCATTGATGGAGTTGGCACACAGTACAGAAGTAGTGTCAGGAGGAGGCAAAAACCCTCCTCAGAAGGAGCAGGAGAGGTGTCACAGGTGATATCGAGCAAACACATAAATACTCTCAATTCACCATAACATACGAGTGGATCCTCATCCACTCTACTCTTTATCTTACTACTCTTTACTTGACTCATATCATTGCAATAGCATAGCTTTGCAACAACATCTCAAATGTGTGTGTTGTATCACTGTTGGACATCAACTGTAGGCAGTGTTCCTCAACACCTGCAGTCCAGTTCATCACTGTAGGCAGTGTTGCTCAACATCTGCAGTCCAGTCAGTTATTGTAGGTGGTGTCCAACACCTGCAGTCCAGTAACTCCCATCCTCTGTAGGTGATAGGCATATTGCAGTCCAGACAACATCAAAGAACATTAGCAACAGTACTACAAACACTTGTGCTGTATAGGAGAGTGTAATACTCTCCCCCCAGGGAGTAACAGACATGCCATGCAACCTCTGAACAGAGTGTTCAAGGTGGTCAGCCTAAACCTACCAGAATGAAGCTGTCTGGTTACTTTCAGTCAAAACATACCAAGTGTCACAGGGTCGGCTGACCAGCGCAAGAGAGTGCGCCAAAATGATCAGCAGCAGTTATGGTAATGTCGCGTAACGGAGCAGTATATGAAGGGTGCACAGAAGATCAACATATGAAGGGTGTGCCAGATTGATCAGAGCCAAAAACCATCAGGGAACAACAAGATTAATTGGGTTGGCAGTGCATATGAATTACAAGATTGATTGAACCCTGGGAATCCAGATCAATCTCATGGGATTGGTCAGGGTTAGTCGGATCAGCACACCTCAACTAATTGGCCAATACAAACAAGTACTCGGAACTGTGCCGACATGACCACATGACCAAGGGGTATGGTCACGAGGTTCAACAAGTGACTAAAGGGGTTTCACAAGACAAGTCAAGACGGAACTGTGCCAATGAGACCACATGACCAAGGGGTATGGTCACGAGGTTCAACAAGTGACTATAGAGGTTTCACAAGATAAAGTCAAGAGGGGGCTGTGTCAAAAGGGGACATCACACATCAGGCAGAAGGAGAGCATGAAGGCGAGAGGGCAGTGTTGCATAACCCTTATGCTGTGCAAATGGTAGGAGCACAGTATCAAAGGGATTGGTGCCAGCAGGACAAGACAGTGCCTAACAGGGACAAAGGCCCCTCAAGAGGAGCAGGATAGGTGTCAAGGGAAAACACCAACTGGATGCATAAATACTCTCATTCTACCATAAGCATATGAGTGGATCCACATCCACTCTTCATATGACATACTTACTTTATACTTTACTTACTCAGTTATGTATCATCGCAATAGCAGTGCTCTTGCAACGACTCTCAATGTGTGTGTTGTATCACTGTTAGTCGACAACTGTAGGCAGTGTTCTTCACACTAGCAGTCCAGTTCATTACTGTAGGTGGTGTTCTTCAACACCTGCAGTCCAGTCCCTTGCTGAAGGCAGTGTTGCTTGACACCAGTGGTCCAGTCAGTTATTGTAGGTGGTGATTCACATCAGCAGTCCAGTAACTCCCATCCTCTGTAGGCAATTAGCAAATCGCAGTCCAGACAACATCCAAGAGCATTATCAACAGTACTACAAACACTTGTACTGTAGGGGAGGGTGTATCACCCACTCACCAACAAACAATGTTCATGCCATGCAACCTCTGAACAGAGTGTTCAAGGCAGTCAGTCGAGACTTACTAGGCAACGATGCTTGGTTACGTTTAGGCAAATCATATTGAGTAGACCTTACTCAATCAACCTCAGTTAGTCTCTGGCGCGCGATCGCTTACACGCAGCATGTCTGCTTATGATCTCTGCGCTGGCCCTGTGACACTGCCCCTGTCGATGATGAAGCAGCATGCTGACTGCCCATCTGCAGGAAGACAAGAAAGCGGCACTGGTGAGCAGCTTTGTAGGGCAGCCAGGACTGAGACAAGAGGAAGAGGAGCAGGTTGGAGGAGGACTCCCAAAGCAGGAACAATGTTGCTGGCGACATTGCAGGACTGGCTATATAACCATGCTCCTCATCATAGGAGCCAAGTGGATCCCCATCCACTCTACACCATATCATACTAGCTATAACTTTCTGGGTATTTAGTAGTTCATCAACAGTAGCAATTGCAAGACCTTGCTTCTACCATAGTGCGTGTGTTGTATCACCACTAATTGACATCATCCAAAGGCAGTATTAACTGTGGTCTGGATATCAATTGATACTGAAGGTGGTTCATACTGTGGTCTGGCTCTCTCAATCATTAGAAACCAAAGGCAGTCATCCACTGCAGCCCAGGGATCACTTCAAGCACTCAGTCAACACACTGGACACTCATGTCAGTGCCAACAACATTACTCACACCAGACCTTGGTGTCATCATATTACATTCAATGTTATTGATCATGCCAAGCTACTTCTGGATGGAGTGTCCACAGCAGTTAGTCAAAACCTGCAATAGCAATCAACCTACCACATATTCAAGCAAGAAAAGTCATAAAGGCCTTCTATGACAGATTTTGACAAGAATAATAATACATGGCATTTTACCACATATCTCGACAGGATCTGTAATAGATGCATTACTATTACAGATATCAGGTTTCAGGCGCGAGACCCCTGACATAACTAAGGGGGAGGAGGAAACACTGGCTATCTGATGACCGGCATCTTGGGGTTCAGCAGTCTGCCCAGGCAATGCACTAAGTCCAAGTGAGCAAAGTTGGTGATTGGATGTGGGCTCGGCGAAGACTGCATTTGTATGCTTCAATTGCCGAGACACCACATGCTTCAACTGGGAAGCTTGATTTCATGCAAACGATGCAAATGTTTGCCAGATCGACATGGAACGATCTACGACAAAAGAGTAGCCAGTATACGAGATAAGGCTTCCCGAGACGAGACTGGCGCTCGGCTTTGTATCATCGAAGCATCGACCATCGTAGAATCGGGGATCGGTCCGAATCGTTGCTGTGGTTCAATATCGTTCATCGACATTGGATTCGCCAGTCCCAGGAACGTCGATTCTTCTCCACTTGGAGAATAAATGAGCTGACTCAAGACGCTCTAGCGAACCGGAGCTAGACCTTTGACTTCTGCAGGGCTACAGAAGTCGGAGGAAGATGGTCGAATCGAGTCAAGAAGCAAGACGTTATGATTAAGTCCGAACTTTTGATGGCAAACACAGTTATGATCTAACAAAGCTGCGAAAGTGGCTCAGCATTTGATTTTTCAGGGTCCAGCCCGGCAAAGTAACAAGTGGAATTACGTGAGCCAACAGCCACCGCAAGCTCAATTGGACACGCAAGTCAGAATTTGCTTGGCGAGACTCGGCCATTTAAGCTCGTTCGAAGCCGAACACGACATCCACTTTCGCTCCTCAGACTCTGCTTCCTCCACACACAACCTCACAATCTTCCTCTTCTTCTTCTACCATCACTTTAAATCACAGATCTTTGAGCTTGGCTCAATCAAAGCTTCAAGATGCCAGAACGATCGACAGGACCGATGATGTTCATTGGCGAGCGATGTGCGCTCGACGAATGCCATCGAGAAGACTTCTTGCCATTCAAGTGCAGCGACTGCCGTCAACACTTTTGCTCAAATCACTTCAGACCCCAAACACATCGATGCTCGCACTACAACGAAAGCGATGTCGACTATCGCGTACCTCTCTGTCCGATCTGTGACAACCCACCAGAAGGATGGAAGCGAGACCAAGATCCCAACATTGCTATGGATCGCCACCTGTCTGGTCAGTGCTCAATGCTCGATAGCAACGGCTACTTGAAAGCGAATGTCTCCGTTCCTGGAGCAAGCAACATGAAGAGAGTCAAGAAGACGAACGAGTGCTCCTTCGCCAAGTGCTCCAAGATCATGGTGGTTCCCATCACGTGTCCTCACTGCTGTGCCTCGTTCTGTCCCTCTCACCGCGCACCGAATCAGCACAGTTGCAAACACACCTCGTCCACTTCATTGCCAGCGTCATCATCGGCAAAGATAGCGACAACCACGCAGTCAAGTAGCGGCGTCAAGAACGCTTTCCAGAACCTCAAGATCAACAACTCCACATCGAACTCAAGTGGCAAGCCCACCGCCGCAGTCAAGGCGAGCGAACAATTGAGACCAGCCTCTTCCAACACCGCGTCAAACTCAACTTCAGCACCATTCAGAAAGATGTTTGGCAAGTCGGAAAAGTGGGTGCCAAAGCCAATCTTTGGCAAGGCTTGATCTTCAACGTAGCAGCAGCAGGGCCCTGCTCTCTTCTTATGACGATCGGTATGCCCTTGTCCAAAACCGTTCGTGATCCAACCTTCCAGACGAGATGCACTGACACACAGCTCCCTTAATGTCCTCCTTTGGTTCTTGCAGACGAGCGAAAGCAGAAAGAATGTCTGCGATACGCGCAATGCAAGCTCGACAACGAAAAGGCATCTTATCGGAAGCAGACAAGCTCAAGCTAGCCGAAGAGATGGCTGCATTGTCCAAGACCGAGCGAATGAAAGCGGATGACTCCGACTGCCTCATCATGTGATCCCCGGCAGCCTTTCACTAGATGCCTGCAACCCGGCAAAAACATCATGCAAGAGTAAGGCTGAATTCCAGAACGCATCTCTGATCCCCTACCATAGTCTTTTGGCGCACATCGTAGTAAGGAGTACGGAACTTGCCTTTCTCTTAAGATCGGCTGAACACCTTTCAGTCTCCTGTATACCCACTCCTCTCACAACTCGACGCACTTTGCAATCCAGAGACATCATAGATGTTACATTCTCGTAAAGTGTGAAGGGTGATAATGGAAGTACAAACACAATGCTTGCTACTGGATGCTCCCAACCCTCGCTGTCTATTTGTGATACACAAGTTGGCGGAATGTGATACTCTGCACAAAAAAAAAAAAAAAAAAAAAAAAAAAAAGTTCGAAAGGGTCAGTATCCGGAGTCAACTCGCGAAGTGAGGGCTGTGAGGTGGATAACTTACTATTCTAGGACCCTTGACTTTGAGTTCTTTCGGGATCTCATGTGTGTAGAAGTTCTGCGTCTGACCCTGCATCACCAACAAGCTTCCACCAGCCAATGTCCATCGCTTCTTGACCTTATCTTTCTCTTCTATTGCACCTTTGCTTCCTCTTGGCTGTTTGCGTTCCATAATCCAGCTCCTGTCTGCGCCTAATGAGACTGTGACAATCACCTTGTTCTCGATATTGTCCGAATGTCGTCCAATGTAGATGCTTCCGTCGTCGTACCGATTGAGCATGCAATGGTTGAATCTGACTTCCGAACCTAAGCATTCATCTGTTGAAAGCAGAGAGGCTATGTGATCTAGCAGTGGTGGAAAAGGTGTGTGTAGCTCGACAGGATGGCCACTATACTTGAGATGTAAGCCAGGCGCAGTGGCGTAGGCGGCAATCTCACGACTCTGTGTGATCTCGCGACCATAGACTTTGAGTTTGGGACGATACCATTCTGGCAATCGGTCGAGCTGTTGACGCCACTCTTCGGCTAGAGAATGGTGGATGAAGCCTGACTTGTAGTAGATTTCGGCATCTGGGAGATCATCAACTTTGTAGGCAGAGGTGAAGTCGGAGCGTGTGACCTGATGAAATGGGCCTTTGTGGTGGTATTTCGGCGCTGCTGTGCCGGTGGCTAGTGGTGAAGATGGGGGTTCCACTTTTGCACGTTTTTCCTCTGCTTCTTCGCTATCTGGTCTGTGACTCTGTGATGCTTGTGACCGTGTGCGCTTGGCTATGCTTGGACCAGCCCTTGATGGAGGCAGTCGATTCCGTTGTGTTCCGAACTTGACGTTGAACAGGGTGCTCTGAAACGTTGGCTTGGTGGGTGAAACAGAAGAGCTGCCCCTTACTGGCTCCTCCTGGGACACTGCTGCCGGCGCAGACGGGGCGAATGATGCCGATCTTGGCATGTTGCTTGTACTAGAGAATGATGTCGTGTGTGTGGAAAGCTCAGTCAAGGTCAGAGGCTTCCCTTTCGCCACCAATTCCACTCGGCTATTCAACTCGACCTTTTGTCAGGGTCCAACCTAGTTTGCATGCAGAAAATGTTTGCCGGAGCCCCGATCCCCGATTTTGCTGTGACCAAAGGAGCCATCTTGATTGGAGACGATACCAGACCGCGAATTTCGGTGTGACTGACTGAGCTGTGCAGAACGATAAGGATCTACAGTATTGTGCTTTTCACCACCCACCCATCAGCTTCATCCTTCAAACAAGCCTTCCACATCAAGAGCACTTCAAGTCCATGTGGTTGAGTGTGAACCAGCTCTCAGCATTTGATGCTCCCGCTGCGTTCTAAGAGAAAGAGAACAACACGACGCTTGAGCCACTGAGAAGCTTCACGTTCCAGTTGTTAGGGACCGGCGACATTGCCTCTTGCTCAGGCACAGCGCCCTTCTGCTCGAGGTTAGGGTCCTTATGACTAAGAATTTGACAAAACAGAGACTCACAGGCGGCCAATTCGCAGCATCAGCTCGGTCAAAGTCAATCGTTTAATTTTACTTGGAATTCCTTCGCGATTTTGGGGCGGGCGAAGCAGCTTCCATGTGGCAAAAGAAACAAGAGATCCGTGCGTGCTTGGGAAAGGATCAGAGAGAGAGAGAGAGAGAGAGACGCACAGACTCCGGTGAGCTTTTTCGCGCCTTTTTCTTCTCAATCTCTAATTTTTTTTTCTCTTTCTTTTTTCGCTTCTTCTTCGGCAAAGGCGCAAAATGTGTGAGCGGTGTTGCTCGGTGGCACTTTTTCTGGGTTCGTTCTCGAGATCTTTATCTTTGCTGCTTCATCAGCGGCTGTTGCTGCTGCTTGCGTGTGTGTGTGTGTGTGTGTGTGTGTGTTGGCTTTTTTGTCTAGCCTTTGACCTTCATTTTCTGCAGATCCTTCTTAGAGTGTCTGTTGGCCTTCGCATCGCTAACGACGACTACTACTCCTGCTCTACTACCACCACCCACCTTCTTCTTCATCCTCGTCCTTACTCCGATTAAGGTCGATCGCATACGTCACGATGATCTACGCTCCTATCGCAAAGACTCAGCTCGAGTGGTACGCCTCGCTCAACCCCCTCGAGCACGGTGTCGACAACAAGTTCTTCCGTAAGACGTTAGTATTCCTCGCAACAGCGTAGCAACAGCGATGGCGGTGAGCGCAGCTATACTTTGATGAGACACGATTCGACCTGACTCCCAAATATCTGCTCTTTTTTGTTTGTCCCTTAAATAGATCGATCATCGCTACCATCGGCCCCAAGACCAACAATGTCGAGATGCTCGGTGCTCTCCGTCAGGCCGGTATGAACATTGTCCGTCTCAATGCTTCTCACGGTTCTCATGAGTACTTTAAGTCGGTTGTCGACAACGCTCGCGCCGTTGTTGCTCAGACCCCTGGTCGTCCCCTTGCCATCGCTCTTGATACCAAGGGCCCCGAGATGCGAACCGGTGTCATGGTCAACGGTGAAGATGTCAAGATCAACATGGGCCACGAGTTCTACGTCACCACCGACGATGCTTACGCTGAGAAGTGCAGTCTCGAGTACCTCTACATCGACTACAAGAACCTTGCCAACAAGGTCGAAGTTGGCCGAACCATCTTCATCGACGACGGTATCCTTTCCCTCCAGGTCCTCGCCATCGAGAGCGAGAAGCTCGTCAAGGTCCGCGCCGTGAACAACGGTGTCCTCTCTTCCAAGAAGGGTGTCAACCTTCCCATGACCGAGGTCGACCTCCCTGCCATCTCTGAGAAGGACAAGAAGGACATCGAGTTCGCCGTCGAGCAGCAACTCGACATGATCTTCGCCTCTTTCATCCGACGCGGTTCCGATGTCCGCACCATCCGTGAGATCCTCGGCGAGAAGGGTGCCCACATCAAGATTATCTCCAAGGTCGAGAACCACCAGGGTGTCCAGAACTTTGACGAGATCTTGAAGGAGTCCGATGGTATCATGGTTGCTCGTGGCGACCTTGGTATCGAGATCCCCGCTCCTCAGGTCTTCATGGCTCAGAAGATGATGATCTCCAAGTGCAACATTGCCGGCAAGCCTGTGATCTGCGCTACTCAGATGCTCGAGTCGATGATCGTCAACAACCGACCCACCCGTGCCGAGGTTTCCGACGTTGCCAATGCCGTTCTTGACGGTGCTGACTGTGTCATGCTTTCCGGAGAGACCGCCAAAGGTGCCTACCCCATTGAGGCTGTCAAGATGATGGCTGAGACCGCATACCTTGCCGAGCAGAGCGTTTCGTACGTTCCCCTCTTCAACGAGATGCGAACCCTCACTACCATCCCCACCGATACCAACGAGACCATCGCCATGGCTGCCGTTGCCGCCTCGCTCGAGCAGCGCGCTGGTGCCATCTTGCTCATGTCTACTAGCGGTACCACCGCCCGTCTCGTCAGCAAGTACCGCCCAAGCTGCCCTATCCTTACCATCACCCGCAATCCACACACTGCCCGCGACGTTCACTTGTACCGTGGCTGCTACCCCTTCCTCTACCCGCACCCTCGTCCTGAGGACAACTCCAAGTGGCAGGAGGACGTCGACAACCGTATCAAGTACGGTCTTGCTGAGGCTCTTGCCCTCGGCATTATCGAGAAGGGCGATGTCGTTATCACTCTTCAGGGCTGGAGGGCACAGAGCGGTAGCACCAACACCATCCGCATTCTCAGCGTTCCCGAGAGCGCCCGCGATTTCAAGCTTGAGGGCACTCAGATTCAGTAGAATCACCAAAATTCTGGCGTAGGTAGAGACCCGACTCGATGGGCCTCGTCCTTTTTCACGTTGTTTAGCGTTTCCATGCTTGTTTGTAATTTCATCTTTCGGTCTTTTCAGCCATTGTCTTGTCTCTGTTTGCGATTGCTTGTGGTGTGCTCTAGTTGTGCAGCTGATCGCAGTGTGCCTAGCGGCGAAGCGGCAAAAGGGATGTGAAAGGTTGCCCGGAAGACCAAGGGAAGCGCGTCAACAGGAAACCTGCTCGCAGAGCAGAGAGCAGGGAAGAGTAGGCATCACAAGCAACTAACCAACCACGGAAGGCAGGGATTCACTTGCTATGTAGAGACTGTAGAGGCGAGGAGAAGCCGAAGGGCTGTGGAGGAGCCGAATACGACAGCGTGCAGTTTAAGCAGGATCGGAAGATCAGATAACCGGCAATCAAGCTTGGAAGGAGAGGGTCTACACTTCGGCTAGATAACACAAAGCTTCTTTCGGTCAAAGCGACCGGCGAATTTATGTCAAACTCGGTCAATACAAGGGTAAGAAAGGGTCCCAGAGCTGAAAGGACCGTGGCTTTGACATAGCGGAGAAGGCGAACCCTCGGAAGGAAGTGGTTCACGTAGCGTGAAAGATCGGGATCCTTGATGACCGGACAAACCCGGTGCTATGACGCGCCGAGATCGTGTCTGTTAGGTCGATGATATACACACATGTGGAGAAATTTGCCACGTGTTGGCTCAGAGAGGGATTCTTCGCGAGTTACTGTGGTTGGTTACACAGGACTGCCTCGCTCGCATTTCGCCTCTTGTCACATGGCATGTTATACAATTCAGCCAATTGAACGGCTTGCTGTGACTTCGAGTGCCAAATCAAAAGCTTTCGGATGAACTCAGGACCGACCTCGAGCAAGGGGAAACGTAGCTCACTCATCAAGCATTGCAGTGTGGATGGAAAAAGCGGATCAACAAGGTTTACTGAGCAAAGAAGAGCGGTCACTCGACGACTTCATTCCCAACAAAATCTCCTCATGCACGTCATATGCAGCAAACCAGTGGCAGCAGAGCAAACATTTTTTTTACCTTGTATGTCTGAGCGAATCGCCGCTAAGGAGTGTCAATTTGCGCGACGCCGTTTCGCAAGGCTTCTTCTTGGCTTGGGAGGAGAATGTTGAGCTTCTGCATCACTTTTCTCGTTTGGAACTCACAGAGCAAAGGATCCGGTATAACTGCTCTCAAGCCTTCCATTTTCACAGTCTCTCTTCCTTTGGTCGTGTGACTGTCTCGCAGAGTCTTGCTGACCCCAGCACGAAAGCGAACCGCAGAACATCGTTCTTTCCGCTCTTGGCCCTCCATCTTTGCAAGCAGAGTCCGGAGATTTGCTGGAACAACCTCCGTAGACCCTCTTGCCCTTCCTTGTACCTTCCCTTCCACAGTTCATTGCGGTGGTCGAACCACGAAGACTGTTCTCGTCATGCTGCTCGACGCCGTTTGCAAATCTAAACCTTGTTCCCTTGTGCGGCGAGTAGGTATGAAGGAGCTGTACAGCAGGAGGATGGATGCAAAGTCAGACCTGAAGCATGAACTGCGGGGAATCCGGTCTCGCACTTGTGGAGAGAAGAGGGCTTCTTTTTGTTTGCGGTGTATGCAATGGCCCGAAGGTTGCCACTCGCACATATGAATGAGAGCCCCCAACTTACTTGAGGAAGACCGGCTCAACCATGGTCCGATGCAGCGGTCGGTGTTCTTTGGAGCGAAAAAGTTTCCCACTTCGTTGAGCTTACCAAGCCTTGCAACTGTCTCACACTCTAACTTCTCGCCTTCTGCAGTGCTGGACTCGTCCGTGCTTGATAGACCCTGGCTTCACCCCCCTGGGAGTATATAGACCTCTTACGCCTTCTCACCAATCCACTCTCCACGCCACCCTCCATCGACCTCACCTAGACCTCAGCAACAATGTACCCACTCGACAACCCCCGCCTCTCCTTCTTGCAACGTCTCGTAGAGCAGCCCTATCCCGCCAAGCCCCAAGGTCTCCCTGTGGCAGACTGGGCCTTCGAGCTCTCCCTCTCACCTTGGGTTCCTCTCCTCATTGGCGTCGTCTACCTCTTCGCCACTCACGCCACCAATCACCGCTTCGGTCCTGGCAAGCCCAAACCTGCCGATCTCATCAAGCAGTCCTACGGTCTCTCACAAACCGTTCTCGGCCACAACATCCTCCTCGCAGCCTACTCAGGATGGACTTTTGTACACACTGCAATTCGGATCTTTAGCTACCTCTTCTCTGGAGTCACTGCTGGTGGTGTCTCCGGTCTCACCAATGCATACTGCACAGTGCCTATTGCAGACGCATCCTACTCCGGCTTAGGAATATACGTATGGCTCTTCTACATCTCGAAATACTACGAGATCATTGATTCCGTCATCCTCATCCTCAAAGGCAAACCAGTCTCAAACCTTCAGAGCTACCACCATGCCGGAGCAATCCTCTGCATGTGGGCTGCTTACCGATACTCTGCCCCCGCAGTCTTCATCTTCTTGCTGTTCAACTCGCTCGTACACACCTTGATGTACACATACTACTCGATGACTGCTATGAAGCTTCCCTTCACTGGCGGACTCAAGCGCAGCATGACCACCATCCAGATCACTCAGCTGGTCGTCGGATGCGGTTTGGCCTCGAGCTATGCTTTCTTGACATACAACCCAACTGCATACCCAGCCGGTGCGGTTCCTACCCCGGGTAGACATATTCTCAACCCTGTCTCTGCCGCTTACACCTCGTTCGCGGGTAACAACAGCACAAACGGCGGACTGTTGAAGACAAACACCAAGGAGGCTATCCAGGTGTTGAAGCAAACCATTCTTTCGAGCATGGGTGCAGGAGAGAAGACTCCTTGTGTCGCTACAAGCGGTCAGCTCTTCGCTGTTGGACTCAATGTGGCTTATCTGATCCCTCTTATCTACCTGTTTGTGAGCTTCTACATCCGAAGCTACAAGAACAAGGCTGCTAAGGCTGCAAAGGGTGGCAAGGCTCAGTAAATCCTAGACTATATCTCATTGAAACAGGTAGATCTCTTGGAGGCTCGCCGAATACCCCTCTCATTTCCTCTCACTTGTCTTCTGCAATCCGGGTCCAGCAAGTTTAGGACCGTTCTCTTCTCGTCATGTCAATCTCACTGTAATTCTATCATTTGAACAAGTTTTAGCCACTCCATCAACTGAAATTGTGCGCGTGTGCGATGAGAGTGAGAACTTCTTCAATCGGAAGTCACCATGCAAGATGAGACCCCAAAGCTTGAACGGAGATGCCAAAATATATGTATGACAAATAGTGTACGAGATAAGAATCCATAAACATCGAAGAACAATGCCGAAAGAATGAACGGCACAAGATTAGACAAGAACTGTGAATGCGATGCGTAGTAAAAGCTGGTATCCAGATCGGAGAGATGAAAGTAAAGGTTCTGAGATGCTGTCCGGAAAGACAAGTCGCTGTCGTAGCGAGCTAGGATGTGCCTCTATCTAGAGGATTCCCAACTGCTGCAAGAACCTCGCAACATGAAAAGCAACTCTCTCAGCAAGCCAACTCGCTAACGCCTCCAGACCCCAAAAGAAGAACCCTCTCGACAAAGCATCCACCTTCTTCACTGTCAACACTGCCGTCCTACCATCCTGTCCAATATTATGATTGATACCATGTCTTCCTGCCTGTGACAATCCATCTACCCACTCGATCTCCGCTTTATAGTACACGTTGTTCCACTTGCCGCCCTTCTCTGCTGCTGCAACAAGCAAGTCTCTCCCGACGTTGTAGCCATCTTTGTCGATGGTATGGTGGTACTTCAGGTTCTTCTCCTTGGAAACGGCAAGGAACCAAGCACCGGTATTTGCCATTGTACCATTCTGTTTCCACACTCTGAAATGATTACCGCCGTAAAGAGATTCCCAACAGGCGCCGACCCAGCGACCGGGTGCACCAGGGAAACCTGTTTCGCGATACTCAAACATCTCTGGAACCCACCCTTTTCCATCACCCAAATCAGCCCTTTGCAGGTTACCCATATGAAGGTTCAGACATTCGAACGAAAACCCGATGGTCCTGATGTAATCTTTCAGCCCCAAGTCGGACAAAACATGCTTGTCAGATTTACCACTGATGATCACGTTGATGGGCTCGCGAAGTCCATTTCCAACCAGATCGAGCATAGATCCGCCATATTCGCCTGGATCGATCCAACCAGGAAGATCGGGGTCACCTGTACCATCGCCGTTATCGAGATCGAGTGCATCGTAGACAGCTTGTTCCGAGAACGATTGGTTGTAGGTGAGATAGTCAGTGACGGTGATAGCAGGGTCGTTGAGGTCGAGCGATTGACGTGTGCCGTGTGAATGTGGGTATTCGAGTGTGAGTGGGTCGGTGGGGTCGATGGGTAGCCATGGCATTGCTGTCGTCAGGGGGACGGGGACGACAGCTGCCAATAGTAACGGCGAGAGCAGACGCATTGTGGTGTGTGCGTTGTTGGCTCCAAGGCCGTATGTGAAGGTGGACGTGGGGGAACAATAAGATGAAGTTGTTGTGGAACGGAAACAAGATAGAAACATGACTCTGCGAGATAGAAGCGGAGATTGGCAGCCAGGAAATTGCAAGCCTGCAGTTGGCTTTCTGAAAATAAGAGGCACGAGGGTGCACTTTGGAGCAAGTGTGCTTGAATGTCCTCAAAGGCTCAGTCTGAATTTTTGGTGTCATTGCATAGCATGTGGGGAGTCAATTCTGTCTGTCTGTCTCTCTCTCTCTATATATATCTCGTGCGAGAGAGGTAGCTCACTATCCTCCACATGTTGCATTGCTGTGCAGGTCCGTGTGTGCTTTGGCGCGATCCACACCAACACCTCGTTCCTTGCTCCCTCATCATCTCCCTTCATCCTCACCAACATTGGCCACAATGTCGACTTCAACACCAGAAGAGCTTTTCAAGAACGCCGAGAAGAAAGCCTCCGCTTCTGGCGGCTGGTTCTCTTCCGCTACCTCCAAGCAAGAAGAAGCCGTCGAGTTGTTCAAAGCAGCCGCGAACAAATTCCGTATCGCCAACCGATTCGAAGAAGCCGGCAACGCTTACATGCGTGCTGCCGAAACAGAGACCAAGACCGGCGAAAAAGATTATGCTGCCAATACATTCTTCGAGGCCAATAAATGTTTCCGTATGTCTCGCCCTGAGTTGGCTGTCGTGGCGCTAACAAGGGCAAGGGAGATTTTGATTGAAAGGGGAAGATTCAGACAGGCAGCGGACAGGGAGAAAGCTGTTGCAGAGCTATACAAAAATGAGGCTGCGGATGGAGAGAAGGCCTTGGAAGCGTACGAACAGGCTGCAGCGTGGTATCTGCAGGAGGGAGCGAATGCAACTGCCAGCGGGTGCTACAGGGAGGCAGCCCAATTGGCGACGGATCTAGGAAGGTTCCCACAGGCTATCGAAAGATGGGAACAGGTAGCAAGTATGTCTCTGGAGAGCAACTTGACAAGATATAGCGTCAAGGATTACTACCTGAACGCTGGAATGTGTTATTTGGCTATTCCTGTAAGTGCCGACCCATCCTCTTCCACTCAAGCTATGCTCACAGGATTGAATACTGACTTTTCTCATTCTATCGTGGTTGGTTATGTTAGGACTACGTTGCAGCAGTCCGCGCGATGCAATTCTACGCAGAACAAGATCCAAGCTTCCCTACAACCATGGAAGGTCGTTTCCTCCACTCCCTCGTCCAAGCATGCGAAGAAGGCGATCTGCAAGCATTTGACGGTCGAGTACAGGAATACGACCGAACTAAAAAGATTCAGGGCTGGCAGGCATCACTCCTGCGTGCGGTGCGAAAGGGGATTCAGGATGAACCGGATCTTTCCTAAACCTTTCCCCCGCCTTGAGGTTCTGTTTCAGCGATCAAACGTTTCGTGCTTATCACATTCATCACAGACCGGTCTTGTTTGCGTCTGTCAAGGTGATCTTTCTCATTGTGCATGGGTAGTTGATCAGTGAATAGTGTCGGCAACTAGTACTCAAGTTCGCAAGCCAGAGCCAAAAATGCATCATCATCGTCTCCAAAACTATCATCTGACGATGAAGGCTGTTGTACCCTTCCCACTCCATTTCCCTTTGTCGCTGCTGTTACCTTCACCGGACTAGCCGCTCTTACAACATTAGCCCTGGAGATGGCCGGTGGACGAAATGGCGCTGCAGGACCAGCACCTCCCCCACCGCCACCAACAGTCTGTGATTGTGTGGGTGCATACTGTGAGCATGAACGGGGTAGACCGACTTGTCGAGCTTGAGACATTCCTGGTAGTGGTGTTGTTCGCGTTCGTACTGCTGAAGATGGGGTGGTAACTTTGCGGGTTGAGTCCGCGGGCGATGTTTTGCGCGGTGATGAGGCAGAAGTGCCTTTGGAGAGCATGGAGTGTGCGCGTACGCCAAGCTTTTTGTTGCTGGTGGAAGAGGCGGTTTGCATAGCTTCGATCCGGGCTGAGCGCTTGATTGGTGATGCTACCGCTGCTGTGGTTGTTGTGATAGAAGTAGGAGCAGGGAGTCTGTCGATGGGTTTGCGGTCGATGCTCTGGTGCGCATTTGTTCTTGCTGGTGCTGGCTCGAGATCTGCTACCTCCTTCTGGCGGGGCTGTTGTGGTAGAGAGACTGATGCCACTGGTGATAGCTTGAACTGCTGCGACGTGGGCTTGATCTCCTCCTTTTCCTGCGCTACCTGAGGTTCCATCGGCAGATTTGTCTTCGGCTGAAACGCCCTTTCATCGTTCTGGACCTTACTTCCTCCTGCCCTGAACACATCATGATCAGACTTGACTGGTCTGAAGACACCCTTTCTCGACTGCAATCCCCCCTCCCCACCATCCGTCTCTCCCGGTTGACTAGACCTCACCGTTATTACATCCCGCGACATGACCATCCGACTCGAACTAGGAGCCGACGTCGTCCGATTAATTCCCTCCCTCGGCGTCAATCTACCACCAACCCTGTCCGTCGCTGCACTTTCCTCGTTATCAAAAGTCATCCTCGTTTCGGTACCAGATCCGCCGCCGCCGCCGCCGCCACTACTTGAAGGGTTAGCAGAGGCATGCATAGCTATCGCAGCCTGCAAATCCTCAAACAGCTTCAAACAATCCTTCGTCCTCCCTTCCTCATCCATCAACCCTAAGCCAGCCATCAAGCTCTCCTTCTTCCTCCTTCTTGGATGTCTTCTTTCCTGTCTTTTTGGTCCATGATTTGCTTCCCTATCTAGATTAGCGATCTTGGAGCTCAAGCTGTGCTCCGAAGGGGATGCATCACGAAGCTTGCCCGTGTGACCAGCGTCCATAGTCCTTCTCCTCCTCGATTCAGGGGAAGACTCTCCTGCATCACCTAGAAGCAACCTTGTTGTGCCTCCACTCTCTTCCTCCTCTTCATCATCCGACTGCTCCAAATTGATGTACTCTCGGTTTCTGCTTCGATTTGGTGTTGGGTCGGAAACATGCCTGCTACTGCTGTGCAATTTGCGTTTGTGGGCTGACTCGCGGGAGACAAGAGGTGACTCAAGAGCACCAGGCAGCTTTCTGAGCTCGCCGACGAATGCCTGTGTGCACAAAGGTAAGCACGGGGAATCCTGGGACTTGTTGGGTGTCCAATTGGCGAGGGAGCGGAGGACGCCAGGTGATGGTGATGTGTGCCAGAAGACTTTGCTGGTGGAAGGTTGAGATGAGGATTGCTGGGAGGATGATGGGCCAGCGGAGGCAGTGGTGAGATTGAGGGAGTCGAAGAGCTCTGACATCCTGCCTGTGGGTTGTGTGGATGGTTCCGGTAGGGTCGAGAACTGGTGGTGGTGGTGATTGGAGCAAGGGAGGCTATGTTATCATGGCTGAGTAGTCCGCAAAAGGAGAGGGCATATGCGAAGCGGATTCCAGATGCAGTGAGTGCTGCGCGAAGAAGAAGAAGATGATGAACGGGGAGGAAGAAAGAGTGAAGAATAGACAACGCGAAGCTCGATGTTGGTGATGATGAAAAGAGAAACAAAAGAGACGATTCATGAAATGTCAAAGACCTTTCTCAGAAAACCCTGCAGACGCGGCAAGAGAGTCTCAAAATTTGCCTCAGCCTGCCTGCTGCTGTTCAAAACGGCGTATCTTGCGCGCTTTTAACCCTAATGCTCGATTCAATTCTGGATGTCGCTCAGCGTCTCGAAGGCAATAGCATGGTTTTGATTACGATCACCGTCTTTAGGCTGAAGCCTTCAGCCCATTCCATATGCTGTACAGTTTCTGAACGAACACTGTTGTCAGAATGCTGCGAGGTCAAAGGTGGGATGGAGTGGGCCAAGCTGCGAATGTTGATCAAGCTCGACGACGCGTTTCAGTACGCGACTGCGAGACCAACACTTGTGACTGCATTTGTGGCAATGTTACACCGGCATAAGTTTCGTTGTCCGCAATTTGCCGAAAGCTTGAGTTCAGCCTCACACTTGAGCATGGGCACAGCTTCTAGTATTGTTTGCATTCTCTATGGCCATCGTTCATGGACGAGCCTCTAGATCTACAAGGATGGAGCCTAGGCCGACTTCTCTAAGAACACCTGCTTGTAGCACAGCTGATGAGGAGCACCATCCTCATCATACTGTTCGCCGACTGGGGTGTAGCCGAGCCTGTGCGTACACAGATATCGTCGTAGCAGAAAAAGATAATGGTGGTCAACATCTCGATACAATAAGCTCAATACAGTCTCTGCACGGAATGGAGCGATACTTACTTCTTGTAAAAGCCAATAGCATAAACTTGACTGCTCAACTTGATGATGATACTATCGAGCTTCTTTCCCTCCTCGTCCCCCTCTCCCTCCCCCGTCTCCCCCTCTTCCTCTTGTCCCCCCTTCGCTGCAGCACCTTGCTTACTCGGCCTAGGCCCAAAAGCGCCCTTCTTTACCGCCTCCCCACTCCCCAAGACCCTTAACAACCACCTCTCCGCCTCCCTCACGAGCAAATGACCCAACCGCTTCCCTCTAACCTCCTTCATCAACGCCAATCTTCCCAACTTCGCCCCTCCCAATTCCGGCACTTCTTCCTCCGTCCGTCTCTCCTCTTCCTTCGTTTCTGCTGGATCTCTTCTACCTCTCACTGGCGGATGAGCGGACCAAGCAGCGGAGACAAAATCACCAGCGATCGCACTTTCGCTTCTGCTTCCTCCGAGCGGGTAAGATGAGCATGGGTCTGGTTCGGAACCTTCTGCGTCTGGTTTTGGTATTGGTAGTGGGTAAGGTAGAAGGCGAAGGGTGCCAAGCACGGTGGAAGGATCGGCGTTGGAGGTGAGGATGAAATGTGCTGCTAGGGGATCATATTGATCTATTTCGTCTGAGAGGGCGTAGCCTTGTTCCTTGACGAAGACGGTTAGTCGGACATCGCATGCCCCTCGGAGTTGGGCGCCGCTCGTGCAGAGGGTTACTTGATAGTCTGATTCGGGCGACATGATGGGATAGGAGGAGGATTTCTATGGTGATGGAGGTTAGACCAGAAGGACGAGGAAAGGGAAAGGTTGCTGTCGGAATTCGGCCATGACTCATTATTTATATTGCCGTGAGGTCCAGTCGGGTAAAGTGTTCTTCTTTCTGTCTTCTTGAGCTCAGACCAACACACATGCAAACCTTCACCACACACCATTTCTTCCTTCTTCCCATCATCATCACTACCAACCCGCACAGCAAGCGCAACAATGTCGGTGGTAAACCTTTTCATCCACTCACCGTCAACCCTTGTCTCCGCCGAACGTCGCCTACCCTCCTCGATCCCCCTCTCCGATCTCAAATACCGACTCGAACCAATAACCGGCGTCCCACCCTCCACTCAAATCCTCCAACTTCACTCTTCTCGAACCGATCATGAACAGCAATCTACCCTACCTGGTCACTCACCTTTCCCCTCTTCCACTCGTTCCACCCTCATTCTCTCTGTCCCACAAAACTCCGATCTCGAACAGCGCACATTGGAAGAACTAGGCGCAGTCGATGGAATGGCACTGAAAGTCCTCGATACTAGACCTAAAGAACTCATCCAAACATACACAGACGAGTCTTTGGTCGAGAAATATGTAATGGACGATGACACATACGCCTCTCGCCCAGACACTGTGCTAGCTTTCAAACAGAGGAATAAACTGGGAAGGTTCGATCCGACTAAAGACGCAGCTTCAAGCACAGCATCCACAGAGGAAAAACTTCCAGAAGGGTTGCAAGTAGGCTCAAGATGCATAGTAGACCTGCTCTCAGGTGCTGGCGGAGGAAGCAATCAAAGAAAAGGAACAGTAAAGTATGTCGGCACAACCAAATTTGCAACAGGCACTTGGGTTGGTGTGGAATACGATGAACCTGTTGGGAAAAACGACGGCTCGTAAGTGCTGCACCCACATACTCCCTCTTCTTGTCTGTTCTTAATGCTGACATCTCTTCACTCCTCTGTCTTCGGCATTTGACAGGGTTGGAGGAGAAAGATACTTCACATGCAAGCCGAGTTTCGGTGGCTTTGTGAGACCGGCTAAGGTTCAAGTTGGCGATTATCCAGCAGACGATTTCGATCTGGATCTTGAAGATGACGATGAGGAGATGTAATATCCACACTGACACATGCAATCACAGCAGTGCCCATGCAATGGTGATATTGATCACAAACAAATGATGCTTTTGATTGAATGCGTAACAGCGTCTTACAAGGACGTGTGCATTTTGGCGGATACGAGAGACGAGCAACTTACAGCAGACTGAAAGGCGATATCAACCATTTCTGATGAAATCGAGCGAAGGCAGATCAGCAAGTGAGCTGGCCGAATTCTGCGGGAAGATATACAGAGAAAAGGAGAAGAAATTGCGTGCAGGATAGATGGCAAGTGTGGCAAAAGAAAAGAGGAATCGAAGTTGATGGACAGGAAGGTCAGGGTCTGCAAGCACAGCGGAGTGGCAACTCGATGGCGCAGCAAAGACTTCAGAACCCCCGAAAGAGCTGACATACCCTGTCTAGTCGAGCGAACAATAGTGGTGAGTTCGGCTGGCTGGACTACGCGGCAGCATAAGCCTCTTTTGGTTTCTGTCTGTCTGCAAAGATTGTACGGCAGAAAGATGAGATACGTCGAACAGGCAGCAGCCTAACGAAAAGCGAAGAAGGAAAAGATGTGTGATGAGCCAGACGAATCTGATAAAGACGACGGGGCGTTAAAGATGGCAGCAAGGCGAAAGACGAAGAAGGGTATCGGAACCGATTACTGCCATCACCTGGTGAGTGTCGATGTTGCGGAACTGCGACTGTCTTGAGATTTGCGATACTTTGGACCTGGCACTGAGATAAAGTCGGAGAGATGGAAAGAAATGATAGTCACTGTCGACATCAAAGGCCAGAGACGCGAATACCGTTTCGTTGAGCGCGTAGGCCTTAACCGAGCTTGGCTTGTACGAAAGCATCCGGAATATACTGAGCACTTATGGGCTTCCCACCAAAGAATCTGCCATTCAGACCCTCAAGGGCCTTTCTCGAACCATCAAGGTTAGCAAACGTGACATAGACTTCGCCTGCAGAGTCCTTCTCAACATGGATACTGGTGACGGCACCGTACTTGGCATGGCATTCGTCTTTGACGTCTTCGGCGAGGTCTTTGTCCCAGCCTTGTTCGGTTTCTCTGTTGGACACGAGAAACAAAAAAAAACAAAAAAACAAAAAAACAAAAAAAAAAAGCTTACGGTTAGTAAATCTTCTAATAGGACTGTCTAAGGGAAGCGAAGGTGTGCCACTTACTCTGCGGGATTGAACATGTTCTTGAGCAACAAAGAAGTTGAGGTCGATTCGGGGATGCCAGCGGGTCGTTCTTGAATCATTGCTGAAGTAGCCTCGGAAATGGTAGGAGAGGGATCGTTGTTGCGTGCAAGCTTCTCCATCAGTGCAGCGCGGCGTTCAGGGTTAAGACCTGCTCCTCCACCATCATCGAAAGCAGAGGTGAGCTGGGGCAAATGTCCGCCACCTTCTGAGCCGGGGCAGGAGCCGTTTGAGTACGACCCGGCACTACCAGTGCCCTTAGCATTGACGTTGCCTACCCTAATCGCTCTGCCGGCGAGCTCAAATCCGTTCATCTGCTCCAAAGCCTTCTTTGCATCTTCAGCATGCTTGAATTGAATGAAGCAGAAACCTTTGCTCTTGCCTGTCCCGGGCTCGCGGTGCAAGTCGACATACTCGATCTCGCCGAAAGGTTCGAATACCGCCTTGACGTTCTCATCTGTGAGACTGAAGTGGAGGCTACCGACGTAGAGCCTGGCTTCGGTGTTGGGCATGTTAGGACCAGGACGAGGTGCTCGAGGTGCTTGAGGTGGGGCGACATTCATGTGGATGGGTGCGCCCGCTGTGTGGTACTGCATGGGCAGAGGTGCGTTGGCGAGGACTCGAGGGTCCAACTGAGGGACAGCGGGATGAGGTGTCAAGCCATTGCGGGCAGATGCGTCACCAGGCCCGGCGTAGGCAGGACCGTTGCGTGGAGCGTCGGTGCGCTGGACAATGATAGGGATGCCGAAGAGATCCTTGCCGGAAAGTTCGATGGCTTTGGGCACAAGTTCGCGAGCCGCAAACTCGACGTATCCAACACCCTTGCTTCGGCGAGTGAGGCGGTCCATAACAATACGGACATCCTGAACGGCGCCTTCACCAAGGTGATCCTCGAAGAACTCTCCGAGGTCACGCTGACTGAGTCGAGCCGAGAGCTGAGCGCAGAAGACTGAACGCTCCTCGTAGTCGTCAATCTCGGGACTGGGCGTGCGACGAGATCGGACTGAGATGGCGGGACTCTCGTAGCGGCCGCCTCGACGTCGTGGAGCACGACGAGCATCGTCATCATAGCGACCGCGACTGCCTCGTCTGGAATGCCCAAGGTCAACACCTCTGTCGCAGCGTCGATCATCGTAGTAAGATCCGTACCGATCACGGTCGCGGTCGCGGACGTCACGGTCCGCACGGCTAGAGGATGGTGCAGGACTGTGCCGATGATGCGATCGGTCGGAAGCCGGTCCGGCATTTTCGTCGCGGTGGTCGTCCCTTCTATCGCTGCGATCGCTTCGACGTCGGCGTCGTTCGCGGGCACGTTCTTCCTCATCCTCTTCGACGACACGATCTCGATCCCTGCGATAGAGATCTTCTTCTTCTTCTTCTTCTTCTTCTTCTTCTTCTCCTCCACGTCTCCTCTTCCTTTTCTCTTCCATCTCCTCATCTGCTCGCGAACTACTCTTGCGAGATTGATGACTCTTTCGACTGCGTGCACTGTCTCTGCTACGACTGCGGCTGCGGCTGGGCGACGAGGCATGCGAAGACCGACTGGAAGCGGCCATTGAACGTCCTCGTCCCCGAGCCGAGTCACCATTGTTACCGACTCGTGATGCTTGAGCACGCTTTCGAAGCTGCTCCGCTAGCTCCTTTTCCCTTGATCGTGGGTTTTCGCTCTCTTCCGCATGGGAGGACTTGGAACTCTTTTCGATCTCTAAATCTGATCCTCTGGACGTTCGACGACCGCCTCGTCGAGTACGTGCCTCTTCCAAGTCGGCGTACATGTTTGCCCTCAAGCCTTGGGCGTCCTTGCGTATGCGTTGTTGGTACGATGCACAATGATGGTGGTGCTGAGTTGAGTCGAATCGAGTCGTCTATGGAAAGGTGAGGGCGTAGTGGATGCGGGAGGGAGGCAAGGTGACCAAGTGCCGGGCGCAGCAATTGAGCGTCTTCGTTTCGGCAGTTTCGAAACGCTTGCCGAAATTCAGAGGTCACGTGACGCCGATTCTGCCAGCCTTCAACAGCGCGTCCTACAAATTTAAGCTGCAGTTGACCCTAGAGAAGATGCTGGAATGTAACACTCTTTCCTTGACATGGCTGAAAGCCATTTTGCAGCTGCTACTTGAACGCCAAGGTCGTTCGACCTATCATTCTCACCATCGACATACACCGCCATCCCTATAACAGCAGGTCTCTACGTGCTGGATGGACTTTACAGCAGCATACCGCCACGCTTCTTGGCGATGCATCGCCTTCTCCCCTGGCTCCACCTTTTTAGCCTCAGTCACGGGCGATGATGCCTGTTCGATAGTCGTACGAGCCAGCTCGACACTCCAAGTCATCCGAACGTGGACACTGGAAGCATCGATCAGCATACTCGAATGGTCGCCCGATGGGGCTTTCTTGCTCGCTGCTCATCCGGGGCAAAAGGAAGACGGGGTCGTGTTCGTGGTCTCCCTTGACCCAGCTAAGGAGGCGAACGATGGATCTGATGAGGGATCAGGGTGGGTAGCTCGCATCTCTTCCGGTTCCGATGGACTCTCACATGCAACGTGGGCGCCGCCATATGGGCCAAAGACGCTCATTCTTTTCAGCCAGAACCACCTGCGTGCATCGCTTTACAACCTGGTCGATCAGCACATCTCCGCCATCGAAAGCCCGAAGCACGACAAGATCGTATGGTCGCCAAAACAGCCGAACTTTTTTGCGAGCCTCTTGAAGGGAGCGGAACGAGACTCGTTATACATATTCTCGTGTCAAAAGATGACGCACAAGGACCTGCAGCAGTTCACAAACAAGCCTAAATCAGAAGAAATGTGGAAAGTGGAACAAGCGTTCCATCTGGCAGTGAACGACGCACACGATGTAACATGGGCACCAGATGGAAGCTGTCTAGCCGTCTTGGAAGGACCACTCGAATACAAGCTGCAAATTTACAGCCCACTCGGGGTTCTGCGAGCAACATTTCTGATCGAGCCGGATTCGAAAACCAGCACACCAGTCACACGGACAGGAATCCTCCCCGATTCGCGTCCGCAATCATCAAAACGACGGAACGAATGCAACGCAGAGCTGCCTCACATCGTCGCAGGTGGCGGACTCGGTATCCGCCAAGTCGAATGGCATCCATCTTCTCTCTTCCTTGCCGTTGGAGGCGGCGATGAAAAGGTTCGAGTCCTCGAGAGCATAGAATGGGAAGAGGTAGCTTCCCTTGACCTGTCCAGTACCTCGATCCGGCCATCGAAAGATCCCACCTCCATGCCAATATACGGCCCACTGATCGCGTGGCGAGAGCCTCTTTCCTGGTTGGAGGAGACAAGAGCACGTGGCATTGTCGGCTTGGAACAAGCCAGCCTTCCACTCACCCTCCCTTCGTCAAAGATCGATGCTACTAAACCAAACAAAGCTGGGATCTCATGGATGGGCTGGAGTGCAGAAGGCAACCTATTAGCAGCCTTCAACGAGCGCCTACCGCATGCTGTTTGGATCTTTGCTTTCTCAGAGCCGGGCGAAGCGAGGGTCTCGGGGCGGTCACCACGCCTACTTGCTGTAATGCAGCTGAATGGAGTGGCAAAGAAGATCCAATGGAGACCAGGTCACATCGGCAAGCTCGGAGTGGTCTGCGAGAATCGCGCAATCTGCACTTGGGAACTCATCCCCACTGCATCTGCCGGTGAAGGGGGAAGGCAGTACAGACAAAGAGCAGAGGCCATTCCGATACCGAACGACGACTTGAAGGCATCGCAGCTGCAGTGGTCGCCTGACGGGCAGAAGATCTTGCTTGCTTCTGAGTCGCTCTTTTGTTGTGCTTTCGAGGCTATCGAGGGTTGATCTTCACACGGCAAAACATGTATTATAGCAGCCCACTATGGCGGTGAATGTATTCCATCAATCGCATCTCTACGTGGCTGTGTTACAAGAACCCTCTACCAGTGCCACGAGCCCAAATCTGCACCCTGCCAGTATTCGAGCCAACGTTGCCTCGATCGAGTGCTGCACTCTGGCCATCTGGAGCGATACGGTACAGCACGGCCTTTGCCCGGCTCGGACATGGTGTCTCCACTGCAAAAGCCTGAAGTGGTGGCACTCCTCTTGCTTGATCTTGTTGTTGTGGTGCGAAAGATGGATTAGATGAAGGCAACGTGCGAGCAAGGGAAGGCCGTACGAGCGGATGAACGGTGATTTCTCCATCGCAGTCCCTTGCTCTTCCGCTTGCAAGCTCTTTCACCTCGATCCATACGTCCGCCTTCTGGAGGAAGAATGCGAGGAGGGACTCATCGGTGGGATCGGATGCACCGGCCTTGCTGCAAGATGTTGAGTCCGCGTGCATCAGTGTTACTAGACTTGCGTTCTTTCTTGCAGCGAGGGAGGCTAGAGCAATCACCCAGTTGATTAGTTGTTTGGAAACGTCGACGGGTTGGCCGAACGAGTCAATTGGGTCCAAAACCCAGGCGAGCGCCGTCAAGTCATCGATCATGATGACGCTCTTTGAAGCCCAGTCATGTGTCTTCGCCTCTCCGAGCCGATCCTTTGTATCAGCTTCTGCGAGCTCACGGCTGACCCTTCCGTACAGCTCCTGCAATGCCTGCTCAACCCGAGATTTTCCTTCCTCCTGCTGGTGAATGCTCATCGCAGCCGTCCTTTGCTCTACGCCATGATCTGCAGCACCAATCGCTACCTCATTGGCATCAATATAGCAGAAAGCACCATTTCGCATCTCCTCATCCAAATGCACGCCAGACTTCCGAGCAACGTTGCTAAGATGTACAATCCCATCAGAATTGCATCCCAGCCAGATCACCTTTGTGTGTGCTCTCCCTTTGCCTTTTCTATCTGATGCTGCTGTAGATCTATGAAGCTTGTTGACCGCATGCGAAGCACGCAAGAAGTGTATCAAGACGAACAGAGCCGGTGCGTCGGTCGTGTCTGAGACGAGAACGTGAGAGGATCGTGGTGGGATCGGAGTCCTTTCGCCGCCAGAAGATGGTCCAGCGTCGTTGCTGGGAAAGGAGAGGATGCTGTCCAGGTTCGGCATTGAGGTGTCACTCCTGCCGTTGTGGCTTAGCTGGATGATATGTGTATCCGAAAGGTATGACTTGTCAGGAGGGGTTGGAGAAGGTGACCGCTCGTGTGAACAAAACCAAAAAGTTCAAGTCTTCGAGGTGGAGGAAGATCAACCCGATTGCAGCCAGATACGAGAAGATAAATCGGGACACGGCGAATTTGTTTTTAGGAAAGGGGGGGGGGAAAAAAAATAAAAAAGAAAAGAAAAAAAAGAAAAGAAAAAGAAAAGAAAAAGAAAAGAAAAAGAAAAGAAAAATCACAAAAGAAATAGTTGAGGGAAATGTAACAATGGCTGGAGACATGTTGGAACCAAACATAGTCTATGGGGTCCATGGAGGGCAATTAACCACTGACAATATGAAACCACATGTCGGTGGCTATGCATGTGGGATGCAAAGGTGTTACCATGACAACTTAGGAGCAATGTGAGGGGTGAACTAGTCATAGATGGGCATGGGCTGAAGGTGACTGCCAAGCATGCATGTATATATATGCTTATGTAAATAGCACTCAAAATGACTCATACGAAACTTAGCACCAGAATTCTCAACTGATTAAGAGTCTGAAGCTCGGCAGCTTCAAGGCACTTTGCCATCAAGATGCCACCCAGAGTAGACAGCATAGCTCTACTCAAACACACCATGCAAATGATCAGAGAGGTTCACACTGACTGGAATGAAGACCAAATCTTGGAGTGTGCCTTCTCCATGATGAATCTCCAACCAAGTACCAGCCAAGTTGAAAAGATCCCTAAGTCAGTACTCAGCATTGTATCACAGACCATCAAGCTCAACGAGAACAACTGGGCCATCTGGGAGCCCATGTTTATGGACTGCATATGGCCCATCAAGAACGCAAAACAAATCCTCACCAGGGAAATATCTAGCAACCACACAGACTATGATGAAGAACTAAACAGTCACCTGTTAGGCCTCATCTTGTTGTCATGCAACCACAGTCCTGAGAGCAGTATTCATACATACACCATTCGAGAACAAGGCGAAGAGGAACAACTTGGCTCCACACTGTATAAGAAACTCAAAGCAGTGCTCACAATCAATGATGAAGTCAAACTTTCTGCAATTCATGACCAAGTGCATGAGATCAAGCTAGTACACTGAAATGTTGTCAACCTTGGAAAGGAACTGGATCGAATTTGGAATGACACAGCAAGACTGGGCAGTCACATGGATGAAAAGCTCAAGAAGTCCACCTTGTACTGCTGTGTCAAAGACAACTGGCTCTATACTCAGACAGTAGACTCCCTCAAAGCTGCACAGCCAGGCTGTAGCTATGAATATGCCTACCATGCACTTGCCAAGAAACATCAAGAAGCCAAACTCTCAGGCTGTATCTGAGCCACAACCAGACTCGCCAGCAACAAGAACATAACCAACCAAGCCAGTGGACCTAGCCAAATCCTAAACCAAGAAGGCTACAACAGAGGCAGATGTGATCCCACAAATCCTAATGAGCTGGCTAAGTGTTACAAATGCAGGCAACCTGGGCACATTGCAATCAATTGCATCAGCAGCCAAGAACAAACTTCTACTCAGCAGGGATAGGAATTCAGGTGCACCCTTTTTGTAAGCAACACTGGCAACCATTATCAAGGCAGTACATGGATTCTGGACTCTGGAGCTACACATCACATGGTACATGATGAGGATAAACTCATTGCTCTGATGCCAAAGAAAGGATCCATAGATACCGCCAGACATGAATGGTTGCAAGTACAAGCAATAGGAGATGTGACCTTGCAAGTTGGAAATGTTAAAATACCCCTTACAGATGTACTTTATGTTCCCAACCTTAGCAAGAATCTATTGTCTGTCCCAGCATTAACTGAAAATGGTGCACGAGTGATATTTGAAGAAACTGGAGCTACAATCCTCCAACATGACAGAAGCATGGTTAAGAGCAAGACCAACCAATGCCAGAAAAGATGGGAAGTTCACAGCGACTCCCTAGCAGCACAGCTCAATGACCCCCTTGAGGGCATTGATGATAACACAACACCAGCAAGGCCCGCAAGCCACATGATAAGCAAACTATGGCACAAACGATTCGGCCACCCCAGCAGAAACAAAACTAAGCAAATCCAGGCTCATTATTTGGGAAAGGACACACAGCTCGAGCACAACACAAGAGACTGCAACTGTTGCAGTCAAGCAAAACAAACATGTGCAAGAATGGAAAGCAGCAAAATGGAACGAGCACAGGAGCCACTAGAGTTGATACACATCAACTTAATGACAGACTTACAAGGACATCCAAATTATCATCATGCACTGGTAGTTGTTGATGATGCCTCATCCTATGTGTATGTGAAACTGCTCCTAAGCAAAGCAGAAGCATTCCCTGCCCTAAAAGCATGGACCAAAACAGCAGAGATAGCAACAGATCGCACATTAAAGTGTATTTGCAGTGGTAATGGAATGGAATGGTCAAGCTTAGCAGCAGAGGAATGGAAGCAGGAAGCAGGGCTTAAGTGGCAGAAAACCACCCCATACATCAGCATACAGAATGGGAGAGCAGAGTGCACTATCAGATCACTCCAAGAGAAGATGCATGCAATGCTTGTCCAAAGATCGGTGCCAAAAGGACTATGGCCCTACACCATCATGGCTGCTGGACATGTACTTAACTTGACACCATCAGCAAATGCCAACAAAATTCCATATGAAGACTTTCACTGCACGACGGCTCACGGCTTGGCAAAACAATTGCATGTCTTTGGTTGCCTTGCATGGGTTCACCTCCCAAAGAAAGATCATGCAGGTAAGCATGGTGCAAGAGCCATACCAGGAATCATGATCAGTTATGATGATGAGCACAAGGGATGGAAATTCTTCACTCCAGACCACATGCCATCCATCTGGTGGAGCAATTCAGCTACATTCCATGAACACAAAGGTTGGCATGATTGACCCAAATTACAAAGCCCACTGCAAATCGGGTTTGAGAGCCTCGAAGCAGAAAGTGCCAAACCAGAGGCAAACGACCTCGAATCTGAACCAGAAATCAAAGAACTTGACAAGCAAGACTCACTCCAACATGCACCCATTGAACAACTGATCAACGATACTGAAGACAACAGATCGGAGATAGCATTTGAAGACATGATCAGGGGAGCGAACACCACCACCCTAAACCTTACACCAACAATGAAAGAAGTGTCATGGGCCTGGATGCTCAAGAAGCAGGAGGGTCACTGGTTCATATGGAAGGAGCACAGGTATCGAAGATCTAGTCGATACCAGTAGAGAGCATGGTCATAGTGCAGTCTCCATGGAGACCATGGACTTCTATGGACTCACATGCGAAGGAGGACCGAGCCATATGCGAGGAGGGCCAAGCACAGCCATGAGGAGGACCAAGCTCAAGGAGCAGGCACAGCCATGAAGAGGACCAAGCTCAAGGAGCATGCAGATGGTTACCACTCAGGGGCTCGAGAAGAGCAGGGTCGACAGGTCCTGAGGAGGAGGATCAGTGTCGAAGGAGTCAACATCACTCAGGAGGCACAAGGGTGCCAAACAAGCAGGGTAGCAAGGAGGAGGAGCAGTGTCGAAGGAGTTGACACAGTTCAAGAGGGACAGGGGTACCAAGCAGGCAGGAGAGGCCCCTGAACAGTACTCGATGAAGAAGGTACTCTCTGGAGTAGAGAGCAGGAGCAGCATCGCTGGCGATGCTGTGAAGAGGTATATAACCATGCTTTCTCATCATCAAAGGTCGAGTGGATCCTCATCCACTCTACTCACCATACAACTAGTCAATACTTTAGAAACATAAGTACTCATTAGTTACAGTCAGCATAGCAGCAATCTATCAAGGTTGCTCCTCATTGTAGTGTGTGTGTTGTATCACCACTACCTGATGTCCATAGGCACCCCATAGTAGGTTAGCGGTCTGGATATAGATAGAACCGAAGGCAGTAGTCCACTGCAGTCCAGGGATCACTTCAAGCATCAAAGTCAACACACTGGACACTCGTGTTGACACCACCAACCTTATCACCAACACCATCAACCTCATTATCATCAACACTCACCAACCTTATCACCAATGTCATCAACCTCATCATCATCAACACCCACACCAGACCTTGGTGTCATCATAACCAAAGCATTGATATTGATCATGCCGAGCTACCCCTGAATGGAGTGTCCACAGAGGTCAGCCGAAACCTACGATAGTATATACAATGAATGCCACCTGCTGTCACTGTGCAACTTGATAGTCACCAATACCGAGACAATAGCTGTCACACAGTTTGATAGTCACCGAGTATCTCGACAGACTGTCCTGGGTTTCAGGCACGAGACCCCTGACAAGAAGCACTCGCCAGTGAATATGCACAGCAATGGCAAGAAGCTGTATGCAAGGAGTTGGACAGACTGGAGGCCATGGGAACTTGGGAAATCATGGACGTACCACCAAATACCAAACTTGTCAACTCTAAGATCGTCCTCCATCTTAAGCTGGATGCCGATGGAGTACCTGTCCAACATAAAGCAAGACTCGTTGCACGAGGATTCACACAACGAGAGGGCATAGACTTCAAAGAAACTTTTGCACTGGTGGCACCACTCAGTGCGATAAGAGCCCTGTTGTCACTGGCAGTGGAGCGGGACTGGGAGGTCCATCAACTCGACATCATGATGGCCTACCTCAACTCCACACTCAAGCATGTCATTTATATGAAACCACTGGAAGGGGCAAAGGTACCAAAAGGAAAGGCTTATCAGGTAGTGAAAGGGTTATATGGACTCAAGCAATCAGGACAGGAGTGGAACTTGGAGTTTGACAAGTTCCTGCAGTGCTCGAACTTCCATAGACTTGATTGCTCACCATGTATCTACACCAGAGGAAAAGGAGACAACTTCACAATACTGATTATCTATGTTGATGATACATTGATTATAGCTCCAAAGCTAGAAACAGTCAAATGCATCAAGGAGGAAATAGGCAAGAAGTGGAAGATGGAGGAGGGTGGCAACATGTCTCACTTCCTTGGAATCAAGATCACCAGGAATCATGAAGAAAAGACAATGGACCTTAGGCAGACCAGTTACATCAAACAACTACTGGATGAACACCTAGACAAACACAGGAAAAAATCCAGCATACTGCTCCAAGACATACTGGCCCCAGAGACTGCAGTGAGCACAGCCGAATGAAAGGAATACCTGCAGATTGTTGGCAAGCTCCTATGGCTCTCGAATGGAACATGCCCAGACATCAGCCAAGCAGTAGGGGTCCTTGCATGCTATATGACTCAACCATCAAAAGAGTATTACGATGCAGCACAGAAGGTACTACAATACCTAGATGGCACCCAGGATGTCCATCTACAATATAATGGCGACAAGGAACAAGAGTTTCTGACAGTGCATAGCAATGCGAACTGGGCAAGTGATGCTACCACACAACGAAAAAGTTCATGAGGTTCAGCAGTGTTTGTACACAGGAACCTGGTTGCATGGAAGTCAGCACTACAACACTGTACTGCTTTGTCAGCAGTGGAAGCAGAGTTTGTGGCAGCAACTGAAGCCACACAAGAAGTACTTTTCTTCAGGCACCTCTTCAAGGCCATTGGAATTGATGTTGGCAGCCCCACAATCTTTTCAGACAACACAGGCACCATTCAGGTCAGCAAGGATCCAGCACAACATTGGAAGTTGAAGCATATCAACACCAAGTACCATTTTATCAGAGATAATGTACAAGATGGAAATGTCAAGATCAAATATATTGGCACTAAGGACAACTTGGCTGACATCTTCACCAAGCCAGTAGGCAAGGAAGTATTATGATGTGCATGGCAGGGGTTGGGACTGACACCATAGCAAGGTACAGTGGCTCAGCAGTTCCCCGCTTCCCTGCTGAGGGAGACAGTTGAGGGAAATGTAACAATGGCTGGAGACGTGTTGGAACCAAACATAGTCTATGGGGTCCACAGAGGGCAATTAACCACTGACAATATGAAACCACATGTCGGTGGCTATGCATGTGGGATGCAAAGGTGTTACCATGACAACTTAGGAGCAATGTGAGGGGTGAACTAGTCATAGATGGGCACAGGCTGAAGGTGACTGCCAAGCATGCACATATATATATGCTTATGTAAATAGCACTCAAAATGACTCATACGAAACTTAGCACCAGAATTCTCAACTGAAATGGGGCCTGCACGTGGACAATTGTGTGCGAGATTCAAGGCTGGAGCGTGCCGTGTCCAAGACAGACTCAGCGAACGTGCTCATCCTGGGAGAATACAAAGCCGAGCTTGCTCCTTTGCTGTCAGTGTAACCTCTTCAGCAATTCTACTTCACATCTGCAACACTTCAGTCGCTTTCCTTGCTTGATCTTCGAGCGCCACAGGATGCTGTTGGCCGTCCGTAAAAGTTGTGTTAATGTTGTCGCAGCTCTAGGCTTTTTGGGAGTGTAGCTTGTGTGAGACGGCACCTGTCAAGTTGAGCGGGGTATCTAAGACCGTGCCATCGTGCAGAGCGTACGTTGATTGAGACCCCTCGACCGCCGACCAGCGACTCGTGCCGGGAGACTGGATACAGGTCAGAGGTGGCGGTCCTCCAATGCTCAATGCTGGGCCGGCAAATCTGCCTCGAGACGTGGACAGTCACAAATGTCAACGTGCGCTCACTAGTCTCTTCCCTTAAACTTTTTCTACCGTGGCGTAACTCACCCAACACAACGACGACCAACGGCTTTTTTGGCCTCGGCATCAAATGGCAAAAGATGCATAGTGCTTCATTTGGTATGCAGGGTCGTCTGGTCCGTCACACCCGGTACGTGCTGATCCTGCAGAGTGTGCTCGAGTGACATGACTTGATCCTGTTTCTGCGTGTCCCTGTCATGATCCTCGTCTGACGACAGACCTGCTGTGCGCCGAGCATTCTGACTTGCTATCAAGCCCCTATCCTCGCTCGAGGTAGTGATTGCCACCGTGTCGTCCAAACATATACATGATCCCTTCCCGGCTCACTTCCCCTGCCTCATCACCTCCAACACACCACCACGTCTCAAGACGTTCTCCTCGTTGCGCCGACACGCTCTAACCAGTCATCACGCCGCATCGAATACATACTCGCTTTCACGTCGAGCCCCCTTCATCAGCTCTTGACAAGGAGTAGCACGGCCACAAACATGGCAGACTTTCGTCCCGTGACCTCCATCTCCGACATGGTGACCTCCTACCCACGCGACAACAAGCGTCGTAAACTACGCGTTGCAATCGTAACCGAGAACTTTCTCCCCAAAGTGGACGGTGTAACCCGCACCCTGGCCCGTCTCCTCGAACATCTCAACAACGAAGGCCACGAAGCACTCGTCCTTGGCCCTGAGACCGGAATCCGTCAATACGCTGGCCATGCCGTGGTGGGAACCTTCGGTGTCCCTCTCATCATCTACCCTGGCCTCAAGCTCAACTTTATGCGACCTCGATTCGTCCGTCGTCTCCAACAGTTCAAGCCTGATGTGATCCACTTTGTTGACCCGATCTGGTTGGGAGCACAGATGCTGCCCGCTGTCCAAAAGTGGTTGCCCGAAGTGCCCTGCGTTTCGTCTTATCACACGAATCTGCCGACTTATGCGACACTGTTCGGTATGCCGTGGTTGGAAAAGACCATGTGGGCTTTGGCCAGGAACCTTCACGATCGATGCGAGATGGTCTTCTGCCCCTCGGAGAGCACGAGGAGGATGTTACAGGGAAAAGGATTCAGCAACGTCGAGATCTGGTCTCGTGGAGTAGACACCGAGATCTTCAACCCGCAAGCTAGAGACGACAACTTGAGGGAGAGTTGGGGCTGTACTCCCAAGCCTGCTAATTTGCGCTTGCCTCTCTCGCCGTCGGTCGCGGCGGCCGAAGCTGCAGCAAGGTTCGGATCAGAGCAGGCAGCGTTGTCGCACTTGGCAGGCAAGTTGGGTGTTTCAATCATCCCTGGCGGCAAGAGGGGTAGTGCTTCCAGCGACGATAGCTTCATCCGTACACCACCCACCAACCTTGCTGCTTCGCCAGAGTTTTCTTTCTCTCCTCCTCCCGCTTACGACAGCCTTAGTGGAGTTCCTGATCTCCTCTCATCCGGGTTTTTGCTCCCACCACCCGCCCTATCCTCCCCTAACACAAGACGTAACACTAATGCCATCCCAGCCGCAATGCGCGTCGATCAGGAACCGTTCAACTCGAAAACCGTCGTTCTCTACGTCGGTCGCATCTCATGGGAAAAGAATCTCCGTCTTCTAATTGAAGCTTTCAAGTTTCTCCCCACCTCAGTCCGTTCCAAAGCGAAACTGGTATTCGTTGGTGATGGTCCTGCTCGAGCTGACCTCACTCGTCTATGCAACAAGCTCGAACTCAATGCTTCTTTCATGGGCCACCAGAAAGGATCCAGGTTGGCGGCTATGTATGCAAGTGCAAGCATTTTCGCTTTCCCCAGTTTTACCGAAACTTTTGGACAAGTCGTTCTCGAAGCGTTAGCATCTGGGTTGCCAGTAGTGGGATTGCACGCGGAAGGAACTTCAGACCTTGTCTCACACGGCAAGACCGGTCTCTTGCTCGATGTCAATGCTGTTGCAAAGGAGACTACTCTAGGTGCTGCAAACTCAAACAGACCCCCCACACCAGGCGCAAAACGTTCGCTGAAGGAGGGAAACACATCCAGCACCATCGATGAATTCGCCTCTGCTGCCTCATCCGCTGCTCTCTCCCTCCATGCAACCCTCCGCTCTTCTCCCACTTCTTCCCCATCCAAGCCCGAGTCCCCGACCGTCGGACTCTCAACCCCAATCCCAACAACTCTGGACTTCAAATCATCCATGAGCCCCAACACACCATGGTTCCATCACTGTGCAAAATCATACTCGATGCTTCTCGAACGACTCATCCTCGACCGTCAAACCCGAGCTTTGATGGGGCAGAGAGCTGTCCTCTACGCCTCGTGCAAGACTTGGTGGGATGCAATGGATGCTCCTGTCCGCGGTTACGAAAAGGTCATCGCTCAATCCGGCCTGAACAACCTCAGTGATGATGAATTGGAAGAGTGGAGAACCCTCCAGAGGACGAACGCACCGTTGACCGGACCAAAGATGAAATTCATGGTGGCGTTATACATAGCCTTGTTCGCTTGGTTGGTTTGGGTGTTGTTCTTCTTCACTTCTGCTTAGACCATACGGTCTCCGTCTCTGCTTTATACCCATCTATGTTCCACGCTAGCTTGACGAAATCTTATGATCTTTCACACTTCACTTACAGTCTATATCGTATTGAAGTTGATATACTCTATTGCATCCCCCTCAGCCCCATTTCTGAGAAGTGAGCCGTCTACATAAGCAACGCAACGAAATTACTCGGGAATGTATTAGCACCAACCTTCCTCCTCGCTTCATCCAGTAATTCTCCCTGCCACCAACCATCAGCCTCCGTATGCGTAACCGCAATTACATCACCCGTGGTAAAACTAAACTCTTCCGGATTTGTCGCCTGGTAATCATACAATGCCTTTACATAGAACAGGATCGGATGACCCGCATCGCTGTATTGTCCTGTTGGAGCGTGGCCTCTTGGCTGACCTTGCTGTGCTGCAGAGATAGGTTGCGGGGGTTGAGCAGCTGCGATTGCTGGAGCCAGGGCGGGGGCGGGGCTTGTTGCGCGTGCCCACTGTTGTTGTTGTTGCTGCTGCTGCTGGTAGTGGGAAGGTGCGATACTAGCTGTGCTGGGTTGGTGAACATGGCTGATACCGTTGGGAGGTGGGGCATGTGGTTGTTGTTGTTGTTGTTGTTGTTGTTGTTGTTGTTGTTGTTGTTGTTGTTGTTGTTGTTGATGCTGCTGCTGCTGCTGCTGCTGCTGAAGGTAGTCGTGCATGAACGCGGATGCGGGAGTTTCTTGAGCCACGGGATACTGACCACCTTGTTGGACGGGTGGCACAGCGGCACCTGGGTGACCGTAATATCCAGCAGGAAGAGCGGCTTGCTGGGCGGGTGACGCATAAGCAGCCTGTGCAGGAGCAGGCGAGGCGGCGGCATAGTGCGAAGGGGCCTGTTGGTGCTGTGCCAAATGCGCTGGGACACTCTGGCTCGCCGTAGGCTGATGGCCTGGAGCATAGCCAGTTGGTGGTGCTGCGTAACCTCCATATTGCTGCTGAGGCGCACCTGCAGGCGGCATCTGCGGAACAGACTGACCGACAGTCGAGAACATAGATGGCTGGGATGCATGTTGACCCTGGTAACCGTACGGATTCTGCAGCTGAGGAGCAGCAGGGGCTTGTCCAGGAGCGGTGCTGAACTGACTCGACACAGAAGGACACGCCTGATGGTGCGGCACCTGCTGTGGGGCGTAGTTGGCATGGACGACAGAAGCCGGACGCGGTGGCTGTTGTGCTGGTGCCACTCCAGCGCTTGCAGCGGCGGCGGGTGGAGGCTGTTGCTGCTGCTGAGGAGGAACGCTGCCAGCCCTACGCATGTAGTCGACGGCCATCTGGTCGTGGGTCACCGAGCCAGTCGCGTCCAGAGCGATGCCGAGTGGCGTCGTGCTGCGAGGTGGTACCTGCGACTGTCTTCGCAATAGCGTTCCCGTTCGGAGCTGATCCGAACCTGGTGCTGGTACACGAGGCGACTGTGCTGCTTGTTGTGGGTGCTGTTGCTGCTGCTGAGTCGGTCGAGACCAAGGCTGAGGACTCGGGCTACGACCTCTAGCACCGACACCTGCAAAGCCTTGCTCCTGCGGCTGCTGTTGCTGTTGCTGCTTCGACGGGCTCCTACCAGCCTCTGACGCCGCTCCACCTGCACGCGAAGCGACCGAGTTCTGTCGAGACAATGACTTGCGCTCGCCGGGGAACGACTGTCCATACTGACCCACCACTTCTTCGACTGGCAAAGGCGAAGCGGCACGCTGAGGAGCTTGCATAAACGCAGCAGAGGGCGACCTTGCACGAGGAGGCAAGTTGTTGGTTGCCATCGAAGGTGATGGCGAATGAGCACGGTGATGAGGCGGCATGTTCTGAACGATCTGTCCGGGCTGGGCAAAAGGAGCCGGTGGCTGCGACTCCGCCGAGAGGCTCTCCCGACGTCCAAGAGCAGGCGACTTGCCGCCAGGACGCATACGCAAGCTAGCAAGAGCTTTGGCGATCGGATCATCGTCATCAGCAGCGTTGGTAGTGGGTGCGGCTTGACTGGCCTGGGCATGAGTGTTAGCTGGGGCAGGGCTGCTACCCAGAGGTGCTACAGGCGCTGGACGCGATGAAGACTGCGATTTGGGTGATTTGTTTTGAGAGATCGAAGAAGTGCGAGCAAGAAAGTTTTTAGCCGATATTCTCCGCTGAGGAGCAGGAGTGCGAGGGGAAGGGTTCGGCAGGATGGAAGGGTTATGGGTCGGATCTGGACTCACTTGAGCGGCAGCTGGAAGTTGCTGTTGATAAGGTTGTTGTTGATGTTGCTCGTGCTCATACTGACGCTGTGAGAGGTCAAGCGGCTGGGTAGGAGGTTGAGCTGGGATCGGCTTGTCTTGGTAAGGTGCACCATTGCGTTGTACCGTAGCGGACTGCGAGCCTAGATGAGGCGGCTGAGGCGAGGTACCCTGCGACGAATCGTGCGAATGAGGTGGCTGCTGCTGCTGTTGCTGCTGTTGCTGTTGTTGCTGTTGTTGTTGTGACTGTTGCGGCTGCTGTGGGACGGGAAGCTGTGTCGGTCTGACAGTGTTACGCTGGAACTTGGCAGTGTGATAAGTGGGACGAGCAGGAGGAGCCTGACCTTTGGCATAGTTGATGTACTCAGGAGGTGCAGGAATGAGTGGTCCTGTTCCACAGTACTGAATGAAGAACTGGACGTCGCGAGGAGTGTCGACGTTCTCGAGACTGACACGGATGCGCTCGCACGATTCGTCATCAGCGACGCAGACAGCAGAGACAGCGTTGGCGAAGTTCCAGAGGTTGCTCTTGGCAAAGTCGATGCGCTCTTCCTCCTGATCCTGGCACTGATCGAGGTAAGCCTTCCACTCGGCATTCCATTTGACAGTCGTATCCTTGAGTGCACGAACAAAGTTCTGGTAGTCCTTGTCGTTCTGACTGACAGTCGCCTGAGCCTTGTCGAGCTTGTACGCGACCTTGTCGAGATCCTTGCCCTGCACAAGACTACTCTGAGCAGTGTAGCCATTGATCTTGATGCAATCTTGCTCGTACTTTTCGCGCGACTTGTTGACGTAGTTCTTCTGAGTCTGTTTGTTCTTGTGCAGCTTTTCGATGTTGGCCTGAGCAGCCTTACGTGCGTTCCAGCTGCGATTGGCAAAGTCGGTGACGGCACCTTCGAGGTCCTTCTTGATCATGTTGGCCAAGTCGCTGTGAGTTCGCGAGGTGGTGTCGAGCTCGTTCTTGACGACATCGAACGCGGCTTTGAGCGCACCGGTCTCGCTGTGACCCAGAGCTTGACGTGATAGCTTGGCTAGACGCTTTGCATACTCGGCTTCGATATCGGCACGTTCCTTGTAGAGAGACTTGAGCTCGTCAAGTGTTCGTTGGGAAGCTTTCATACGATTCGAGATGGCTTCGAAGCCAGCATCGTTTTGACCCCAGAAGGCATTGCAGAAGGAGGTGGCCTCGGTGAGCTCTCGACGAATGTACTCGTCTTCAGCGGCGATGCGTCTGCCTGCTTCTCCACCATCGGGGCCCATACTGCCATTTGCACGTTCCGCTCTAGAACGTGAGCTGTGGCCAGAGCCCGCCGACGACGACCGACGGTCCGAAGGCATTGCTGAGAGGTGTGTATATAGAGGTCAGAACGATACGGGCTTATTGAGCCTGTGCGCACGGATCCTTCGGCCAGAGGAGAGTGTGTTGTACCTTGCTCGTTTGGATGTGGCGAAGATCGGACCTGAAAGCTGAAGGTTAGTGAGACAACCGAGCCGCTCAGCGTCTAACAGAAGCGAAAGGGGATGGGTGATGGTAAGGGTTGAAGTCGAGAGATGGTGTAGCTGCGATAAAGCTGTTGAGAAGGGAGACGGTCGATGGCAGTGGTGTGTTAGTCTTGGCTCGGAAATTGGTCAATGCGCGAACATAGCCACAAGAACGAGACCCACCGAAAAGAAATCCAGGCCGCAAAAACATGGCCAGGCGCGCACACACACACACACACATCTTGGCAACACGCGTTTGTCATCTTTCAGCGGGCTCGTGGAGACATTTGCCTCATTTGGAGATGTTAGACCGTTCGTACACACAGTTCTAACTTTTCCAAGACCTCGGCATGATTTCAAGAGAAAACGTGCCCAACTTCGGCACCGCTTGTTTGTCAGTCTGAGCTTTCTCCTCATTTGTGCGCAGCTTTCTTCGTCTCTATCCCTCTACTCTCCTTCACATTCTTCTTATGGCGTAGAGATGGACCGCTACATGGCTTGTATTGCCCCTTTAGCGATACATGCTCGTACATAGCTACTGAGCTTTGTGCTCTCAACTTTCCTTTCCGACCATTGTTAGCATCACGATCACGTCGACATCGCTCAGTCATCCCCACATATCCATGCTCGTACTCCGTTTCTCGAGGCGGAGAATGGACTCGACCATAGCTCGCAGTGCAACAAGGCTAATGCCATCCGTCATCTTCACCCCTGAATCGCCGGTAGAGAAGCAGATCAGGCTTCAACGCATTCGCCATGTCTCCTCCGGCTCCTCCACCGCTGAGCTTAGATGGCCCTGACCGCGTGTCACCGAGCTCGTCAAGAAATGTCAACGACAGCGTACCGGATGCTAATCCTGCACCAGGCTCGACACAAGACCAAACTCCAGCCGACGATGAGGTCGAAGCCGCAACTTTAGACCTCGCAGAGCCAGCACTACCTCCTGCTGTTCGCTTGCCAATAGATCTCCCACCTCCACCACGTAGGCCAGCCAATCGAGAGGATGCTATGATGGACGATGCTTTGCGATCTCTCCCGCCAGCTGCAGAACGTCAACAATACCGTCAGCGTGCACCTGCTACCGTGCTCTCCGTATTCAACGCTTCCATCTTTACTGCCGGCCCGCCCACCTCCTCTTCTCAGCATGCCCAGTCGTCCACCTATCCACCTCCTGCTCCGGGTTCGATCTCTGCTCCACCTCATCTGCATCGAACAATCACTTCTTCCAGTACCAGAAGCATGCGCTCCGCTGACAGCAGCTCGCAAACTTCGCACCGTCATCAAAGGCCCAACCCGCTTCGAAATGCGTTCAGCAGAGTCGCCAGTCTGGCCGGCCCTTCTACTTCAGCACCCAATACGAATCCCACGTCACCTGCGCTCAACGCTCGACGTTCCTCCATGTTTCATGCTTCGTCCGTGCAAAAGTCCAAGGAGGCGCGCAGAGCCGCTCGACGAGAAGCGAGAAGAGCAGAAAGACGCGCACGCCGAGAACGAGAGGCTGATCCGCATCTTGCCGATAACGAACATGACCACTTCCAAGATCGCACGCCTGCTACCTCATCCAGGGCGGCGCAGCTTGGCGACGAAATCATCGAGCTTCCCGCAGAGCCTCCCCTCGACGTCCCAGAAGCAAACGCCCCCACCGCAGACGCGCTTGCCTTGGCTTCCAAAGTCGGACGCAAGCCCAAGCGAAAGCTTCAGTTCGCTCCAGATCAGAGGCGCATTCGCAAAGTCGACCTACCACCAAGCTTTGAAGCCGAAGATACCTACAGAAATCTCGACGAATACGTTGCAGCCTCCCGCACCCGCCGTCGCACGCAACGAGGTCGTCGAAGCAGAGCCTCACGCAGATCCCGCTCACGTCGCGGCTCTCGTAGTAGCCGCGGCAGTCGTAGTTCGGCACGCAGCAGTGCGGATTCAAGCAGCTCAAGCAGTTCCTCTTCCTCCTCTTCCTCGTCATCTTCGTCCAGCTCATCAAGCTCCTCTAGCTCCAGCTCCGGTCGTGGTATCACCATTGCCCGTCTACGTGCCTTCTTCGGCGATGGTTCCAGCTCTTCATCTAGCTCAAGCTCGGGCAGTTCTTCTTCTGGCTCGTCGTCTTCCTCGTCTTCCTCATCATCCTCGTCCGACAACGAGTCGATAACAACCGATGGCACGAGGTCCAGGCGTTCTTCTCGTCGCCTCTCGCTTTCAGGCAAGCGAGCCAAGTCTCGTCGTAGCAGAGGGACACGCTCAAGGGGTGATCAGTCCGACGCAAGTGATCTACCCGGTTCGCCCATCTCCAGCCGCAGAGGTCCCCTCACTCCTTACTTTGGCCCTCTGTCAGACTTTCCTCTCGGTAAGAAAGCTACGGGAAGGCGACAGAACAAGAAGGCGAGACAGGCTGCAAAGCGTGCCAAGAAGCGCGAAGAGGAGCTCATTCGCCAGGGTCGACTGCCCCCTAAACCAAGTCGAAGCGCTCGTGCAAAAGCATTGCGCGCAAAGGAGCTGGCAGGAGGCATTACCGAGTATCAGCTCTTCACACCCATGCGCCTACCCATGGACTTAGCATGCACGACCCTCCCTACTCTAGAAGCTACTCCGGATCCGCAGGTTGGCACTTCGGCTGTGCTCAAGAAGACGATGAGAACTCAGAGCTGGGACCAGGTCCGCAATCAGCTTTACGTGCTTCGCAACTATCTGCGACAAGTTGACTCACAAGGTGGTGACATCAGTCTCGACCCGCGAGCGGCTTATCCGGCACTGCACCGTCATCACAGACACGCGGCGAAAGCTGCCGCCGAGAAAGCATCTCATCATCGAGCCAAGAGGGCGCAAGCCAGAGATGCCAAGGCCACGCGTCACACTGAAAAGACCTCGATACCTGAACCCGTCCCAGAAGCCGCACAAGAAGGGCTTGACTTCTTTGGTGGTGATCTGGCCTTGCCTCCTCCTGCTCTTGACCTGCCTGAAGGGTCAACAGAGCCAGCTGCCGTATCCCAAACTGCAGAGCCCGCAAGCGCGGCAGTCTCTACGAATGGCTCCTCACCTGTAAAAGAGCAACCGCAGCCAACATACTACAGCTTCAACCAGAGCCTTCCGACTGACCAGGATGAGGAGACACGAACGGGTCGTCACTTGTCTGACATGCCCCTGAGTCCCAACTATGCGACTGCGTTCGGCATGAACTTCGGTCGGGCACCGCCTTCCTTCTCGCCCGCTCGAAGCTCTGGGAAGAAGGATGGAGAGCAGACTTTGAAAGATCCACCATCCGCTGGTGCGGGCGAAAGCCAGTTCAACTTCAGCAAGACACCTTCAGACGGGAATCAGAGCAAGGCTGCCGCCTCAGCGACAACAGCCGACCATTCAGACGAAGGTGCATGGTGGCTCCACGTGCACTGTCCTACCTACAAGGACATGCACGAGATCTCCAAACTTTTTCCGATGCACCCGCTTACGGTTGAGGACGTGTTGCAGCAAGATCCGCGCGAAAAGGTCGACGTTTTTGACCGGCTCGGATACTACTTTGTTGTGATCCGAGCTATCGATGAGCGATACTTCCGATACACGTCGACAACGACAAAGAGTTCGCCCGGCTCACCGAACTACACGGGATCTTCGACTTCCAATGTCACTGTGCAGGGTGAGGCCGAGTCAAAGACCAAAAGGAGCGAAGACACGAACTCAAAAGAGGAGAGCATCGAGATGCACGAGATCACTGGTACAGAAAAAGTCTCCGGCGCCCGAGATGCCGAGACAAAAGAACGGAATGATGGCCACAATGCACGCTTGGCGGCCCCAGCTCGCCTTGGCAAGGGTCGAGTCGAAATCGTCGAAGGTATTGGAGGTAAAGAAGGTCTAGAAGGTGTCAGCGTTGGTGCCAATAACCTTTACCTTCTTGTTTTCTCTCACGGTGTCATCTCCTTCGCTTTCGAAGACGTCAGCAAGCACATTGATCGTGTAGCTGCTCGTCTTCTCGAGATCACGCGCCCTGTCGAGTTGACAGCTGACTGGGTTGCTCACGATCTGTACGATTCCGTCGTCGACGCTTTCTTCCCGCTCATCTCTTTCGTCCAGTCTGAAGTTGTTGAAGTGGAAGAGTTGGCTAGCGAACACCCAACCCTGAATAGCCGTCGCAATCGTCGCAAGCTCAATAACTTTGCTCCCAAGCAAAGACGTCAGCGTGCCCTTCTCGGCTCCAATCCCGAAGGCCGACTGATCAGTGTAGAGCCTGTGTCTGTCGGGTCTTTTCCAAAGTCGTCTGAAGTGGAGAAAAGGACGCCGATGCTAGAAGTGCGACGACTGAAGACAGTGCGAGCATTGCATTTGCTACCCGTTCTCCATTTACCCGATCGCCTTCTGGACCGTCTGCCTCGATTCTTTGTCAAGCAGAAGCAGAAAGTGACCATCTCCCGTCTGCCCGAATGGGAATTCAAAGACTCTCTCGAAGCAGAAATGCGACGCACTGCTGCCGAAATCGACGAAGCCAGCAACTCCATTTTTGACACACAAGCAGCCGCCGATCAATCCATCATGCTTCACCGTATCGCCGACACTCGTAAGATTGTCACTGGTCTCTCGCGTCTTCTCGGACCCAAAAACGACGCCGTCAAAGGTCTCCGAAAACGTCTCACAGACATGCAGCAACTTCAGCGACAACAAGAAGCTCTACTACGTATTGGTGGGAACGCAAGAAACATGTTGGCAAGAACAGAAGTATCTATGTACATGTCCGATGTACACGATCACATCATCTCAATGCTCAACCAGCTTAATTCTGGCGAAGGAAGGTTGTCGGAGATTCACCATACGTATTTGGCGCAGATTACGATAGAGAATCAAAAGTTCAGACACGGGGCGGATTCGGCGATTCTCTTGCTGGCAACGATCGGTTTGTCAGTGTTTATTGCAGTGTTCATGACGAGTATTTTCAGTGTCAACGTGAATAGGCCAGGGAACAGGTTGGAGTCGAAGGAATATGCTTGGTTCATCGGGATTGCTTTGACCGCTGTGGTGGTGCCAATGGTGGTTTATGCGTATGTAAAGTATTTGTGGAAGATGAGTAAGAGGGGGGTGGCGAAGAGAAGAGCTGCTCGTTAGATGGGGTAGTTCCATCATATGTGTATAGTTTCATTTTAGTCATTTGGCTTCGTTATAATCAATATCGGGTTGCTTGTATAGCAACTTAAGCCGAGTATCCCTTTGTGTCTATTGCGCTGATTGTGCGTCTCAAAATCATCGTGAGCATCTGTGCCTCGTACACGATGCGTGCGGCCCCAGTTGCATCCAAGAGCCTTACAATGTCTTCTCTCCTGTTCATCTCCCTTCATCTGCCTGAAGCGAAGAACGGAAGAAAGCATTCGTCTGTATCACCACAGTCGCTTCCCTATCAATTGCCTCGAGACGTATTGGAAATCAGATCTGTGTATTGCAAACTATCCAGCACAAAGCGGACAAGTCTTCAAAAAGCTACATCATCACCTAGTGCAGAAACTTTGCAAAGTGTTTACCACGAAGCCTTGGCACTGTTATTCCCCCAATCGTACGAAGTACGGAGAAAATGAGTTATCAGTATGGATGTTTCGCCGAATAATGATGGGATGAAAGGTGGGGATGACTTACATCTGGAACTTGGCAGCAATGAAAGGCAGCGAGAAGCCAAAGACGAGGAATGTGGTAAGGCCGATAGCGACGGGGACCTTGCGGGTGGGACCGGAGGGGAAGGGAACTGTTTCGTTGCAAAGTAAGACATGTGGAGATCTGATGTTAGCAGGTCATCCCTCTTCATCTTCATTCTGTGCAATAAAGGACAGCTGTGTTCGAGACTTACGAGACTAATGAGGTGCACCGCAACGGAATGAAGAGGTTGATCGGAAAGCACAAGTTACGCAAGGGCAAGAAAAGAGAGTCAAAGTTAGCAATACTGCTTCCGTGTGACGGATTGCCAAATGCAACAGAATTTTCCGAATCAGGCTCCAGGAAGCTAGCGCAAGTTTGCGAGTAGAAGCCGAAAGATGTTGCAAGTGTGTGTTGTCCTGGTGTGATATGGCACTGCCATGGAGGGCTATGGATACTAACGGTCTCGTGAGTGTTCTCGACGTGCAAGTTACGACGCATCAAAGGCTGCTGCTGATGCAGAGCGGTGCGTGCGGATCGAACGGTCTGGCGGGCGAGGATCGACATTGTTGACTACAAGTTGGGTGAGGTTGTATGTGGTGTGGTGACAAGAAGGAGCATGGTGCGAATATTGTCAGCTTTGATGGCGACGAGGCGCGCAACCACAGTGCTTCCGAACATAGGCCAAACTCGGGTGCGAAATTGCTAATCTCACTCTCGTTTTGGTGAGCATGACAAATCCAACTTTCACGTCAAATCACGTGCGGGCAACTTTTTTGACCGACTTGTGGAGAAATTCCAGCATTTTTGGCAAAATTTCTAGCAACGAACCCTGAGAAGCTTCTCCTCACTCACCTCTACACCATTCCACCCATTGTGTCCTACTACCTTTCACCGACTTCAACATCGTATACCCACCACTCCTAAGGATCGAAAGCAAAAAAAGAGTCGCAACAGCAGGAGAGGCATCAGTCGTCATGGTAGTCAAAAAGCAAGAAGCCTCCTCCTCCGGGAGCGAGAACAAACCGGCCTCAGGCAGCTTCAGACACATTGGTAACAAGATGAAGCGTACCGAACTCTATCGCAAGTACAAAGCCGATAAACACAAAGCCAAGTTCTCTCGTCGTTCCGCCCAAGCAAAAGAAGAAAGAGGTGAAGATGGTGCCGCCAAAAAAGCCGCCCGCTTGGCAGCCAACAAAACCCGCACAATCGAGAATACTCGTGATTTCAACCCGGCCATTATCAACGCTCCGAATACGCATGAGGGGCCTGGGCCGAGTAGCCTTTCGAAAACCGCTGCAGGGAAGATTGGGAATGATGATGAAGCACATGACGCGGAGGAGGGTGTAGAGGAGATGGAAGAGCAAGAAGCAGCCTCTGAAGTGGACGAAGATGAAGATCCAAGTGCTCCACCTGCACTACTCATCACCACATCAATGCCTTCCTCTTCCACCTCACCCCACTTAGAATCGCTCAACTCTCGATCGCATCCGTCGGCAAAGACACGAGAATTCGTCGACGAGCTACTCTCCGTCTTCCCCGGCGCGGAGTATAGGCCGAGATCAAAAGCCCAAGGTGTCGGTCTGGGCAAGATTTGCGGTTGGGCTCGCGAACGTCGTTTCGACGCAGTTCTAGTTGTAAACGAATCTCATAAAGCACCCTTCGCGCTCACTGTCATCCAACTTCCTTATGGTCCCACTGCGTTTTTCCGCCTTACCTCAATTCTCTCTGGTGCTGAGATCTACGGCAAAGCTCGCCCGACACCACATACCCCAGAACTTATCCTTAACAACTTTACCACCATACTTGGTCATCGAGTCGGAACAGTCTTACAATCCTTGTTCCCCAAAATCCCACAATTGGAAGGCAGGCAGGTTGTTACATGTCACAACCAACGAGACTACATATTCTTCAGGAGGCATAGGTACATGTTCAAAAACGCGGAAAAGACGGCGTTACAAGAGATCGGACCTAGGTTTACGTTGAAGTTGCACAGTTTGAAGGAAGGTTTGCCAAAAGGAGCGGGGGTCTGGGATGGGAAGTATGGTGAAGAGTATGAGTTGACAAAGGAGGAGGTTGATGCGATGCAGAGCGGACAGGGTGAGGAAGAAGAGGCGACCTTGGGTGACGGCGTGGAGGGAGAGGGTGAGGGTGGGGTTGGAGCGGGAAAGAAAGCTAAGAAGGAGACGAAGGAGAAGAAGGAGCAGGAGGAGCAAGTGAAGGAGAAACTTGTATCAGGGAACAAAAAGAAACGACAGAGAGGAGAGGAAGAAACAACAGGATTAGATTTCCAGTGGAAGCCAAAGATGAGCGTTTCCAGACGCAACTTCTACCTCTGATCCCGTCCAACATTGCCCTCTTTCTCGCTTTTTGGTCTTCTTTGCAACAAGCAGGCGAATATCGTAGCAATCAGATGCACACATTTGTACTTTTATAACACGCTTTCAATGTAGCCGCTTATCAGAGTCAAGTAGTAATGACCCAGCACTTGAGCACTGCACTCAACGCAGTACGCCAAAAAAGAGGTCTCAGCAACGGTAGGGGTGGGTTCAATGCTATGGCGGTGCCAAACACAACCCTATCTGGTTCATGGGAGGGCTTCCGACATGACGAAGAACAAAGTGAGGAGTCGTTGGTGGCGACGCTGCTGCTGCTAACAGCAGCCGAAATCGGCGGAACGCGGTCTTGAACACCACCAACCGCGTTGTGTGGATTTTGAGAAGAATGGGTGTTGGACCCTGAATTTCCACTTGGCAAAGGTCAACCGTCTCGACCTCTCCACCACCACCACCATCGCACCATCGCAACCTTCACCTCTACCCTCATCACCCACCACAACGCCCCCTCATCCATCCATAACTGCTGTTTGTATGTGGCGACAATGAACGCCCAGCTCCTGAACCCATTCACGATCGACATCCCTGATTCCGTATCTGCCACCCTCGAATCCGCCGAGTGCACAACCCTTCTCTTCAACCACGGCTCAAACACCCTCTCTGGCCAGTACCTTGCCGTCGGCCGCTCTGATGGGTATATTACAATATGGGATATTGAGACTAAATCTGTCCTCCGCCTTCTCACAGGCCATGTTCGACCGGTAACCGGTCTGGCATGGAGTGAAGGGAATAGGTATCTGGCTAGCGGTAGTGCTGATTGGAGTGTCATTATTTGGGATCTGAAGGCAAAAAGTGGGATTGGGAGCGGGTTGAGAGCTAGAGAGAAAAAAAGAGCGGGAGAGGGAGGGGAGAAAGCGGGCTTGGAGGGGGAAGATACGAGACTACCATTTGGAAGCGAGAGAAAGAAGACGTTGAGATTTGATTGTTCGGTGGTCTCGGTTCAGTTTGCGCCGGGAGATAGTCGACGGTTGGTTGTTGTTCTGGCGAGTCAGCAGGCTTTTCTTGTTGATATCAGGGATAGGGTGAGGATACGAAAACGTCGAGCAGAATCGTCGATCGAAGTCGAGGAAGTGGTTTCCTCTCCCACTCGCACACCTCTCTTATCCAACTCCATTACAACTGAAGAATCATCCGAAGGCAAACCATCAACAACCTCGCCCACTGCAGGCATCACCGCCGCTCGTTTCACCCCAGATTCGCGCTTCATCGTAGCAGGAACCTCCAAAGGATCCCTTCTCATTTTCTCCTCCCTCACCGGCGCCCTTCTATCCGAATCAAAAGTCCTCTCCACCTCTTCTGGGGTAAAAGAACTGTCATTCGACGTTGCTGGTCGATTCCTAGTCGTCAATTGCAATGATCGCTCTCTCCGCCTTCTCTCCCTCTCCCTTACCCCTTCTGATCCCACCCCTACCCTCACCTTAACCCTGCAGAACAAAGTACAAGACATGGTCCAACGCACAGCATGGTCAACCCTCGGCTTCTCCCCCTCCTCAGACTACATTTTCGCCGGCGCCGCACACAAAGCCTCACATAACATCTACATCTGGGACCGACCCTCCGCTACACTCACAAAGATTCTCGAAGGTCCGAAAGATTGGCTGATCAGCGTGGATTGGCATCCGAACAGACCTATGTTGGCGAGTGTGGGCAATACAGGAGCGATCTATATTTGGTTTACACCGACGGAGGAGATTTGGAGTGCGTACGCTCCTGGATTTGAGGAGTTAGAGGAGAACAGGAATTATGATTATGAGGAAAGGGAGGATGAGTTTGATGTAGATGAGGGGGAGGGGGTGAGGGAGATGAAGAGGCAAGAGGAGGTTGAGGCTGGGGAGGTGCGGGTGGGAGCCGGGAGTGGGGGTAGGAGGGGGGCTGTGGGGATAGGGGCCGAGGGGGAGGGGGAGAAGAGGGATGGGGAGAAGGTATGGGGGATGCTGGAATTGGGGGAGGGGCAGAAGAGGAAGTATTGGGATGCGTTGGAGATGGTATGTACTCAGGTTGATGGGCTGGTGAGTGATTCAGGCTGGGTTGGAGGGGAAGGAAAGGAGGTAGGAGAGGTGAGGGAGATGGTCTTTGCTCTAGCAGACAATGATACGGAGGAAACCTTCGTCATTCCACCTCGTCTGGAAACAGACTTTTCAGAGTTTCACAATGAGCATATCTAGCATACCCAATCACACGCATTCCCACATCACTCATCAACCTCTTTCTGTGTGATTGACTGCGATTCCTTCCTTTCCGAGACACAAGGAGTGAAAAAAGTTGCCAAGTATGAGTGAGAAACAGTTGAAGTTATGCGATACACCTCTTCGTCCAGGCCACATTCTAGCTCCTTTCATACTGGTGTATGGTAGATGCAACACTTAGATTCCAATAGACTAAGACTACAGTAATGTGAGGTTATATATACCTTTGGTTCATTTGTGAGATTGGCTATTCACACCCTATGAACTAGGTGTGTTGTGACAAGCCTCAGCATTTTCCTCCTTAGTCTCAGCATTCCTCTCTCTAAACATGTCCTGATTGGTTGCCACTGAATTTACTATGCATGCACAATCCTCAGCCTGTTGGTGGTTTGGCTCTCCTGCATGTTTGTCATTCTGGTGCAACTTCAACTCCCCCCCTTGCCAGTATGACCAAACCCATTGCTTGAGCTAATCAAGTGGTCTCCCCTCCTTTCAGTGGCTTCATGAGGATGTCTGCCATGTTGTTTGTCATTCTGACATACTCAATTGTGATGTTGCCTTCTTGCATGTGGGCCCTAATGAAATAGTATCACAGGTTGATGTGTTTGAGCTTCCAGTGTTTAGCTGGGTCCTTACTTACTTGTATGCATCCTTGACTGTTGGTGTGGAGCACTGGTTTGACATCATTGAATCCTAAGTCTCATAGTAGGTATGAGAAGAATAGGGCTTCCTGTGCTGCTTCTGATCTGGCAATGAACTCCACTTCTACAGCTGAGAGAGCTACACATTTTTGCACATGAGATCACCAACTCACTGGACATCCATATAAGTACATAATTGCTCCTGATGTGCTCCTCCAACCATTTGTGGGATCTGATGCCCAATTCACATCAGTGTATGTTACCACTGCTCTCTTTTCCTCATTTGCCCCCTTTCCTAATTGCAGGCGGTACTCACTCATCTGGTTTAGGTATTTTAGCACATGGATCACCATGCACCAGGCTCCTTTGACCAGAGTCATCATGTGTCATGCTAAAGTCCCCACTGTGAATGATATGTCTGGTTGCACTGTGTTTGATATCCATAAATGTTGTCCCATGAGCTCCTGGTATTCCTTGCTTTGTGATGGTGAACATATGTTTCCTCTGGTGCTCACAGTGATGTCCTGCATGGGAACCCAGGATTTCTCTGTCACTCTCTGTAACCATTTGCTCACCATTGCTTTAATGTATGCTGTTAAGTCCAGGGATATGCTTCTTTGAGTTTGGTCCCATGTGATCTTGATGCCAAGAAACTCCTTTATTCTCCCATTGTCTTCCATTCCCCACTTGTTCATGATCTCACTCTTGGTGCGATCCACCTCCTTGCAACTTGGTGAGGCTATCAGCATGTCATTGACATATGCTGTGATGACTGTGATCCCATTTCCTGTTCCTCTCATGTACAGACAGGGTGTGCTGGGCATGCAGTGAAATCCTATCCTCTGAAAGTGTGAGTCCATTTCTGTGTTCCACTCTTGCCCTGACTGTTTCAAACCATATAACCCCTTTTTCAGCTTGAAGACCTTCCCTGGGGGCACTTTTGTTCCAATTGGTGGCTTCAGGTATATGTTGTGGTGTAGGTTCAAGTTGAGGTATGCCTGCTTGACATCAACCAAGTCTATCTCCCAGTCTTGCACAGCCACCACAGCCAATATTCCTCTAATTGATTGGATTGGCACTACAGGTGCAAAGATTTTGGCATAATTGACACCTTCTCTCTGAGTGAACCCTCTTGCCATGAGTCTCGCTTTGAACTTTGTAGGTACCAGGTTTGCATCTGTTTTCACTTCCAGCACCCATTTGGTATCAACAGTGTTCATTCCAGGTGGTAGATCCATGACTTCCCACATGCCCATTGCCTCCAGTCCTTCTAACTCCTTTCACATTGCTTCCTCCCACAGTCTCTTATCTGGCCCTGTTAGCACTTCTCAGACTGTTGGATTGAGGTTTCTTTCACTTTTGTTGTCCATAGTTGTGAGTCCAAAGGCCTCACTGTTTGTCAATGCTTCAAGGTCCTGGCTTTCATCCATGTTCACAGTTGGCTCCATGTCCATGTATTCACTTAGTGATCCCTGGTCCATTTCATCAAATAGATTCACTTCCAAGTAACCCAAGTTCTTGGCATCTTCTTTGTTTGTCATTGTTTGAGGCAATTGGATGTTTATCGGCTTCCATTTGGTCTGATCAGACCAGCATTTGGATTCCATGAACTTTGCCAAGTTACTCCAGAATATGTTTGGTCAATAGTCTGGACTAAAGAATAACCAACCTTTTTGTTCTAGGCTATATCCTATGAAGATAGCTGCCACCACTTGTTGGTCCAAATTCTTGTTGTTTTGTTTTACCTTTGGGATGTTCACCCAGGTGAGACATCCAAAGACATGGAGAAGTCATATGAGCCTTTTGGGTGATCTCTTGAACATCACTTCATATGGGAACTCATTGTTGGCATTTGAAGTAAGGTTTATCTTGAATGCTGCTGCCCTGATTGCATATGGCCAGAAACTCTTTGGTAGCCCTCATTGTACCAGTAATGTATGCATCTTTTTGCTCAAGCTTCTGTTCATCCATTCCACCCTTCCATTTTGTTTGCTATTGTACCCCACTGTTGTTTGCCATTCTATTCATTTGTCTTGTGACCATTTGAGAGCTTTGTTGCTTCTCCACTCTGTTCCTTGATCCAATTGGATTGCCTTTAGGTTTCTTCCAGTCTGTGTCTCAAGGAATGAAACAATTCTTCTGAGCTGCATGAAGGCTTGGTTCTTTTGCAACAGTGGTTGTGCATAAACATACTTGCTGTGATTGTTGATGAGCACCAGGATGCAGGTGTGTTTGGTTGCATGCAATGCATCAATGATCAAATCTATATGTATGAGGTTGAGAGGTGCAGCAGCTCTTTCTCCACTGCCTCACCCCATTCTTGTGGCCATGCTTTTGGACTGTATACACTGCTTGCATGTCAGAGCTGTATCTGGGTCCATATCCATTTGAATATTACCTCCTATCTTCTTTATAATAGACTTGGCTTTGTCTCTACCTGGATGTCCAAGGTGCTCATGCCAAAGTTGCTGTGTGGAAATGGTATGTTTCTTTGCAATTGGCTCAAACTCTTCATCAACACCCTCAAACAGCTGTGCTGATGTTGTCATTGCACTTTCCTTCTATACTTCACTTTGCAACTCTAACAAGCCACACTCGCTGTTCTTTGATACCTTGAGTGACATTCCATTTGCCAGGTGTATCTGTCCACCGGCATGGTCTAGAATCACTCGTGTGTCACAGGGTCAGCGGGTCAGCGTATGAAGGGTGTGCCAAATTGATCAGCATCAAATCATTGGGAATCAACAAAGCTAATCAGGTTGGTAGCATGTATGATTTACAAGACCAACCGAAATCTGGGGTCCAGGTTAATCTCACAAGGATCAATTGGGATCAGCCTGATCAGCATGTCTCAGCAAGTCAGCTGACATGAGCAAGCATCAGGAGATTCAGGAAGGAGGATACTGGCATTAGAAGGAGAAGCATACAGAGATAACCACATGTAGGAATGGGGACTGAGCTCAGCATCATGCAGATGGTTACCACTTGAGGGGCATGTGCATATCACCACACAGGCCCAAGCACAGGGGTGACCACATGACCAAGGGGTTTGGTCACAAGGTCCAACCAGTGGCTAAAGGGATTCACAGGATAAGGTTGAGGAGGTGGTTGCTGGTGAAGGGAGAAGGAGCTGTGTCAAGAAGAACAGAGATTGGCTAAACAAAGAAGAGGAGCTGTGTCAAAGGGGTTGTCACACATCATCAGGCAGAAAGAGAGTATGAAGGTGAAGGGGCAGTGCCACACAACCATTACACTGTGAAAATGGTAGAGGCACAGCATCAATGGGGATTGACACCAGCAGGAGGGACAGTGTCAAAAGGGGATGAAGGCTCCTCAGGAGGAGCAGGATAAGTGTTGTGAGTGACACCAATCAATCACATAAATACTCTCATTCTACCATAAGCATACAAGTGGATCCTCATCCACTCTACTTACTTTATACTTTACTCTTTACTTGACTCTTAGTTATGTATCATTGCAATAGCAGTGCTTTTGCAATGACCCTCAAATGTGTGTGTTGTATCACCATTAGGTGTCAACTGTAGGCAGTGTTCTCCAAACACTTGCAGTCCAGTTCTTCAACTGTAGGCAGTGTTCTTCAACACTTGTGGTCCAGTCCCTTACTGTAGGCAGTGTTGCTTGACATCTGTGGTCCAGTCAGTTATTGTAGGTGGTGGCTCACACCTGTGGTCCAGTAACTCCCATCCTCTGTAGGTGATAAGTATATCATGGTCCAGATGACATCCAAGAGCATTATCAACAGTACTGTGAACACTTGTACTGTAAGGAGAGGGTATCACTCACTCTCCAACAAACAACAAACATGCCATGCAACCTCTGAATGGAGTGTTCAAGGCAGTCAGTCAAGACCTACCAGTATGAAGATGTCTAGTTACATTTAGTCAAAACATACCGAGTAGATCTTACTCAATCAATCCCATCTATACCAGTCAAATAACACCCAAAATTGGTCTCTGGTGCACGACCGCTTACATCGTGCTCCCTCATCCGTTAATGCGTTGGTTGACAATAGATTCACATTGAGATTCTTAACATACAAAATGTTCTGGAGTAGTGTATCTCCATATTCAGTTGATATGCTGGCATCTCCTACAGCACTTGCATCCAAAACCTCTCTTCCAGCCAGGTAGATATGCTTTTGGCAGGTTCTTGGATTTATGAGTGTGCTATAGTTATTGGTCATGTGAAAACTGGCTCCCGAATCCAGAATCCAACAAGTTGTTTCTTCTGGGTTCAGTGCCTTCTTCCAACTTGGAGTGAGGGAACACCGAGTGTCCTAGTTGGAGTTGGTGAGTGCAGAGTCTTTGGGGATGCTAACAGATGCATCACAATTGCCTGCTCCATGACCAACTCACCTGCATATGAAACACCAGAGCTTTTGCTGTCTGTATCTGGTCTTAGCAATTTCACTGCTGTTGTTGCTATCAGTTTCTTGAGCCAGTCCATCCTGGTCACCACCACCAGCTGTCCTAGCATAAGCTTGCCAAGGATCAAGTTTCTGGGTGGGGGTGCTCTCCAATGCTGATTGACATGTGCTGAGTGTGGTGGCTAGTGCCTTGAAGCTAAGTTGGTGGACAGTGGCAACTGTCTCCCTGAACATCAGGTGGCAAATCATGCATTTCTGGAGAGCTGAGAATAAGGTGTCATCTGTGAATGGTCTTCCCAGGATGCTTCCTGTCAGGGGTCTCGCGCCTGAAACCCAGGTCGGTCTGTCGAGATACTCGGTGACTATTAAACTGTGTGACAGCTATTGTCTCGGTATCGGTGACTATCAAGTTGTGCAGTGACAGCAGGTGGCGTTCGTTGTATATACTATCGTAGGTTTCGGCTGACCTCTGTGGACACTCCGTTCAGGGGTAGCTCGGCACGATCAATATCAATGTTATGATGACACCAAGGTCTGGTGTGGGTGTTGATGATGATGAGGTTGATGGTGTTGGTGATGAGATTGGTGATGTCGATGATAATGAGGTTGATGGTGTTGATGGTAAGGTTGGTGGCGTCGATGATAATGAGGTTGATGGTGTTGGTGATAAGGTTGGTGGCGTCAACACGAGTGTCCAGTGTGTTGACTTGATGCTTGAAGTGATCCCCGGACCGCAGTGGACTACTGCCTTCGGTTCTATCTATATCCGGACTGCTAACCTGCTATGGGCGCCTTCGGACGTCAGGTAGTGGTGATACAACACACACACTACGATGAGGAGCAACCTTGATAGATTGCTGCTATGCTGACTGAAACTAATGTATACTTATGCTGAAGTGATAACTAGTTATGGTGAGTAGAGTGGATGGGGGTCCACTCGACCTATGATGATGAGAAAGCATGGTTATATACCTCTTCACAGCATCGCCAGCGATGCTGCTCCTGCTCTCTCTCCAGAGAGTACCTTCTTCATCGAGTACTGCTCAGGGGCCTCTCCTGCTTGGCACCCCTGTTCCTCTTGAGTGGTGTCGACTCCTTCGACACTGCTCCTCCTCCTCATGACCTGTGTCGACTCCCTGTCTCTCGAGCCCCTGAGTGGTAACCATCTGCATGCTCCTTGAGCTTGGTCCTCCTCGTGGCTGTGCCTGCTCCTTGAGCTTGGTCCTCCTTGTGGCTGTGCCTGGTCCTCCTCGCATGTGGCTCGGTTCTCCTTTGCATGTGAATCCATAGGAGTCCATGGTCCCCATGGAGACTGCACTACGACCATGCTCTCTACTGGTATCGACTAGGTCTTCGATACCTGTGCTCCTTCCATATGAACCAGTGACCCTCCTGCTTCTTGAGCATCCAGGCCCATGACACTACCCCCCTCTTAAGAGCCGAGCTCCGTCGAGGCATGCTCTGGTCTGGTTCATGCTGACTCCTCCTCTTCCTCGACACATTGCCCCCGTCATCCTTCCTCCTTCTCCCAACGTCATCCTCCTCTCTCTACTCCTCCTGTTCTCTCCTCCTTTCTCTACTTTGTCTACTCACTCGTTCTCTACTTTGTCTACTCACTCGTCCCCCCTCCGACACCTCATACTCCTGGATGAGGTCGGGACAGTTGAGGTTCCCTACTGGTTCCCATGAAGCAGCTTCTTCTGAGTACCCTCTCCACAACACCTTGTACTCTGTAGTCCCATTGTGTGAACGCTTGTCGATGAGTGCTTCGACTTCGAAGTCGAGGTCCTCATCTGGAAGTGATGGTATGGTGGGCTGTTCAGCACGTTGAGGAAGAGAACTTGTTCTTGCTGGCTCGAGCATGGAGACATGGAACACATCATGCACCCTAAGGTTTGCTGGCAATGTGATTCGATAAGCTCGGCGTCCTACCCGTTCCTGAACTGGGTAGGGTCCTGCAAACCGGGTGTCTAACTTGGGTGTGGGTCTCCTTGTCTTCCAGTTTCGATGGTTGATATAGACCATATCACCCACCTTAAACTCGATGTCCTTGTGCTTCCTGTTATACTGGTCTACTGATCTCCGTTGTGCCTCTCTGATCTGCTCCTGGAGGTACTTGCAACGCTCCTTTCCATCCATGAGGTACTCGAAGCG